ATAGTCGCTTCGCCTAGAGAGGGCGGAGAAGTCGAAGGCTAACGGCAGCATTGGGCTCGTGATCGCTTGGAGCCCGCGCCGGCGGCCCCAGCGTTCTGCGCAGATCTCAAGTGTATGGCGCTGCAGTTTCTTTGATGGTGTACGCGAGGACTCATAGCTTCATGGCGGTGCTAGAACGGGTATGTGACAGCAGGTTCGCGGATTCGTGAGGTCGCCGTGCTTCTAAGGACGCATTGAGGCCTGGGGAGGGGATTACTCACGCATCAGATGACCTCGTCAGAGAACTCGTGCTCCTAGTACATCTACTTGCCTCATTCTTGCCGTTTGTCATCTGACTGCACCTCGGCCGACGAAACTTGGAACAACAGTGAATGACCAGACACCAGTAAGATCTGCTTGCCCAAACCCCGCCGTCTCCATAGTCGGCAAGACCAGACTGCAACCTGTAGCCACTTCGGGTATGCTCGTGAGTATCTCACCTTCACCGCAAACATTCACGCTCCGTAAAACTGCGCGCGTACCGAGACAGATTGTTCGCAGTTGAAATGACAGTACATGGGACCCCCGAGCCCCCGCTCCCGAGACCACATTCATCTTGCCATTAGCTCATGCGGAGCCGGGGTGTCGACTCGTGTGAGTTGTCTGAGCACCAGCGGGCTTGTAGCTTGAATGTCGCGCAGTACTCGTGAAATTCTTTTCTCGTACTACAGTGAACGCCCACACCAATCTCCGGCAATACGCCGAGGGTCGATCTCCGGGATTTGAACGGGGTACTCACAGATTCACATTCAGCGCGAGCGAAGTGCAGACAACTCTCGCAGAGTAGGTATCGAGAACTTGGATGGTTGTATGTGCATGGAAAGAGGTCGGTAGGAGGAAGCAAAGACCCAGTATTGATAATCATCAAAGCGAAGACGCGCCGTCGCTTGGCGTACCGTCTCGGGCCGTCCGTGCCGATGATCACTGACATGTTTATGTAGATCTCTTCCTCGCACGTACAGATCTTAGCCCAGATTGTGTGCGAAAAGTATCACAACTTGCAACTGAACTTGCGCGCTCACGTCCCACGACCGATGATTCATGCGAATGAGGTAGACCACGACTCCGGCTCCCCTCCAACTGTGATCATATGTTACAACGCTGGCTGATTTCCGGCGACATTCGGTATTGGTGGCAAAGTACAAGATCCATAATGATACTTCTCCGAAATCCCAGCTCTATGCACCGCTTCATGCCGTAGCGTGACTCTCGACCATAGCCTGCACGAGAATGCCCATCAGTACGCTCTCCACTCTCACGCCTAGATTGCACGCACCTGGAGGCCAGCGGGGTTTGCGCCGACAACCTCCTTGATCTTCTGGCCGCTCTTGAAGGCGATGAAGGTGGGCATCTGATCATCGGCGACGCGCGTCATGAGGGACACCGAATACGCAGCACAGGGAAGAGAAACCACGTACCGCACGGACGCCGACCTCCTCCGCGATATCCGCCGCCTCGTCGATGTCGACCTTGTAGAACTTGGCGCCCCCATACTGGCCTGCGAGCTTCTCGAAGATGGGCGAGATGATCTTGCACGGGCCGCACCAGGTCGCCCAGAAGTCGAAAATAGCAACGGTGTCGCCGTTGATCTGTGTGTGACCTGATCAGCCTCGAGTGCGTAGCCGAGATCAGCTGTAGAAGCCACTTACGATGTCCTTGAACTCTTGAAGGTCCTTTACGGCTTGAACCATGGCGATAGTCGGATGTGGGAGGGGGATAGGAAGGTGTAGGTGGTGTGTGTATGGAGGGGATGGTACGGAATGCAGGCGGTGACCGTCCAACTTTATAGGACAAGAAGAAGAGGAGATCGCGTTAGTCTCCCTAATCGGCCACGTGACCGTCCTTACCAATGGGAGTGGGCGCCTGCGTAATGCTCGTCTTTTCGTTCGTGCACTTCGCACTGCTCTGCCCCGGCCGGTTGACAGCCAATTTGCACTTGCCTCGTTCTCGGCATTCGCTCACTGTACCTTCTGGCCTATCCTTAGTCAGCGATGACTTCCTCTTCGCAGCCCCAGGGTGCAGGCTGTTCTTCGGCGTCGCACGTTGACCGGAACATATGGAGCTTCAAAAGCAATGCTTACAGATATTATGCTCGGCTTATCTAGCCCGAAGGCACCCCCTTCGGGCTTCAAAGATTCAAGTTGGAAACTACTAATAAATGTGCAATAGATTCGTTTTACGCAACGGGGAATTCATGGCACAACCCACAATACTAGTGATGACTTCGTCTGCATTCTAAGTTAGTGTGGAGTTGGTTGGCCATTGCTACCTATCATCGATGCCATTCCCCAAGCTAATCAACTGCGTCGCCGCAAGTGCTGCGAGTTCTTCGACTTACAGTTTCTCTGACACAAGCGCAGTCAAGGGCGTACTGAGTTGCGCAGCTACCAAAGAAGTGCGCGCCCAACCTCCAACTCGCAATATCGCGGTCCGAGGAGGGCTACAGGCTACAGCCCCCTGGCCCCCCTTTAGAGAGAAACCAATCGAAACGACCTCTGACCGTGGTGAGCCTGCTCGTTAGTTAGCGTGGCCGTAGACAAGATCGCCTATGTGGCAGTACAGCCGGCGCGGGCTCCATGCCCGCGTCGCTGCGGCGGGGGCGCTCGTTTGCGGGCCTCGCCGTCATATGCGTCCCCTTAAACCGCCTGGCACACGCCTGAACTGACCCCCTCTTCTCTCCGCTACTGCATCTTGCCCCATGACTACCACCTGTCTTTGATTTCACCCTTCGCGATGCTCTTCCGCTCCGCTCTTCTTGCTGTTGTCTTGTTCTCGCTCACGACAGCTCATGCTTTGCCAACGCTGAGTCGAGGTGAGCCGCATTGACACCCTTTCCTAGAGCACAGCGCTGAGGGATTACACAGTGTCCATCCCACTTGCAGGTAACCCGCGCGCAGGTACGCTCACTGGCGGATGGAGGGCTAATCGTCTATTTTGGCTCACCAACCCCGTCCAAAAATAGACCACGCGAGTGTTGGCACGGGCCCTGGATCTGATGCGCTCTCCGCGGGTGCGTCCAAAGGACTGTCACCGGTGGGTGCAGAGGCTGACCGCGAACCACCCCACAGCATTCGCGCAGATACCCGTGCTCAACGTCAACGGCGGCGAGCGCGCAGGCGCTGGTCAGGACATTTCGCGCGAACGAACTCCGGATCTGCCAGACAGACTCGGTCATGGCGCGGAAGGCCACTCTTCGAGTTGGCCGACGACGTTTTACGGCGCATCCATGATCCAGCCGGGATCGGAGCGGAGGCGTCCTCGACAGCGTCCAGGCAGACGGCACGTTTATAGCGTTTTATCGTGGAAATGCACAGCTGACACAGTAATCGAACTCACAGATTCCAAGGATTTGACATGTCCATTCCTCCTTCTGTGCTTATTGGTGCCGTCGCATTCTTCGCCATCGGAGCGGTACTTGGGGTTTTGATTTTTTGATGGGGATTTCGAGGAAGATGTTGGTTGCGTGCGCTCACTGCAGTCTTTCTTTAATATTACGTGGCTCCTTTTTGGAATCTCCCCTCAATTTAGTATTTACTGCATACTCTGGGCGATGTCAACAAGGGAGAGTCTAGCAACGGCCTAGACACATGGTCTCACCTGCTCAGATGGAGCAGGAGCGGCAGAAATCCCAGCAATCTGCGGTTGTGCATCCCGCAAACTTCCCGCGGCCATCGAAACGCTCCAAGTGCACAAGTCCCGGCCCGTTGGAAGAGTGGCCAGCCACATGTAATAGTTTCGGCAATGTCCGCCGTGTGATAGGCGTCGGGATATGCCTCATTCGGTAAATGCGGCGGGAAAGCTCTTGCGCATGTGCACGACGATCTTCTGAGAGTCAAGCGAATAAATAGCACGTAACACAGGTATCTACTTACCAGTCTCACGAGTAAAGCAATCGTGCATTCAGCAAATGTTTTCACTAGAGTCTCGTGAGCAATACTACTTTCAATCAAGTTTGTGATACTCTATTCTCGAAGCTCTTCTTCCACTCGTGAAGTATTTAAATGTCCATCAAGCGACCGAGAGTATCCTGTGACACAAGGCCAAAGACGTACTCAAGTGCTCATCAGCCTGCCTTGCCCTACCCAGCTGGTAGAAGAGTGCGGATTCGCGGGAGCACATGGGTGACTCCGTAGGGTTATCTGCACGCGACTTCGTCGAGGACAACTGAGCAAAGTTTGATGCTCGGTATCTTCGACGCTGTCGGGAGACCAACATGGCTGCTTTTATCCCGCTGTGGTAAAGAAGCAAGGCCAAGGCTCAGGCTGCGACGAACGGCAGCCTGGAGGTCGGGGCAACGACGACCACGTGTTATGCATCAGAGGCGCTGGTGGGCTCAAGGCGGCTTGGGTGGGCACAGCGACAACTCCTTCTTGTCTCCATCCCTCGAGCATATACCTTCACACACAGCCCTAATCGCCCTCATCGCCGTCGTCGGCGCCCCACCCGGCCAAGTCAAGGTCGCCTACTTGGCCTCGAGGCATCACAACCGCCTTCGGATCCTTTCCAACTCGTGGCTTGCACGCCTGCTGCAGCCCACGCAACATCCTCCCCTGCGGCTAATTCTAACTTGTTCTTCCCTCCAATTTTCCCGTCCCCTTTACCTCCTTCCTCGCCAACCGCCATCCACGCTTCCCTACCGCCCGCTGTATGCTCTCTGTCCTCCGCTCTTCCGCGCCCCAGCCCGTGCCCGAACCCCTCAAGGTCAGCTTCGCAACCGCCCTCGGCCTCGGCACTCCCCGCAAAGACCGCGCTCCCACCAAGCTTAAGCGACCGCGCACGGCCGACAGCGGAGCAACACAAGTCTCGTCCGCACGAGGCAGCGTCGATATAGTAACTGCATACGGCGCCCCCCGGTCAGAGCGTACGCCCCAGATCGACAGTCGCGGAATATTCTTTCTTTAACCCGTCGCGGCAATCCAGCACACACACCCCCTCCATTCCCCGCCACTCCCTCCCCCGCCATGCCTGGCAAGAACATTGTCGCCCCCGTCGTCCTCCCCGGGCGGAGAACGCGTACAGAAGATGGTCCATGGGCGATCAGCGCCGCGGAGACGCCCCACGACCCGAGCTCGTACAGTCTGTACGTTAAGAGTGAGTCTTGCCTGCTTGACACATCTTCCTGGTGGGGCATCGTTGGCTCGAGCAGCATGCTTCGCGTCTTGTGCTGTCTTCTACGTCCTGTTTGGTTACGTCAACGTGCCTGGACTGACGTTTGCCCATAGCCCCCACTCATAATCTCACCTTGACGCGCACGGCGCAAGAAATCGTCGAGCTACATGCCAAGCTGCGAGACAACTTCCCCGGTATGAGGCTCCCCACACCCCCCATCGACGCGTCCTCCCTCCCTGTGCCCCCGAAGCGCAAGTCAGCTTTCCTCAACACGCTCTCGCGCCTCGCTTCCCCCTCTGGCAGCAAGTCCGCTAATGGGCGCAACGCATCGGGTCGCCAGCCCTCGAAAAGCGTTCCAAGCAGTGCTTCGCCGAGCTCCTTCTCGTCGACCGTCCAGACCCCCATCGCCACTCCGTCGAACGAGATCGGCGACCCATTCACCGAGATTGGAGAAAACGGAGAAGACATCTCTGCCCTCATCGCGTCCAACAACAAAGTCGTCACCTCGCTCGTTGCGTACCTCACCGCCCTGGCCAACGACGCCACCGTTCGCGCGTCCCGCCCGTGGAAGAGGTTTGTCAGGGTTCGCACGGACGACCTCCAGAGCGTCCGGGTCGAACGCGCCGTCAAGCGGGTCCGGTCGGACTTGGCGGCTCACGTTAGCCCCGGGAAATCGACGGAGATGCAGCGTTCAATCAGCCAAGTGGTGTTGGACGAAGACAATAGAGCGACGGAGGGACCCGTGAGCGAGCAGAGTGGCGGGGCGGAGGATGCCGACGGGGAGCGCGAAGCTGAGGAGGGCACTGCTGAAGGCCCCGAAGACCGGGCCCCGACCCCAATGTCCCCGAAGCCTTCCACGACGTTCGTGGAGCCACGGAAACCGGATGCCGACGAAGACGAGAAGTCCCCACACACACCGGTACAGTCGGAGGCGTCGTGGAAGCAACGTTCTCAATCTGCGGATCCCACGACCCGGAGCTCGCGGCTGTACTCGACCCCGTCAACAAACTCGCAAACCGAGACGGGCGACGACTCTTCAGTGTCGACGACGGAGCGACGTGTGCGGAAGAAACGCTCGAAGTCGAAGGACCCCAACCTCGAGAAGAAGTCGCAGCGGAAGGTTGTCGTCGATGACTTTGAGATGATGCGGGTTCTGGGCAAAGGGTGCGCAGGCAAGGTTCTTCTCGTCCGCCACAAGTCGTCGCAGGACGTGTACGCGCTCAAGGCCATCACCAAGCGGCATGTTCTTGCGCACCAGGAACTGCAACACACGCTCACGGAGCAGGCGGTGCTGAAACGCATGGCGGCGAACAATTCGGATCCATTCGTGGTGAAGCTGTGGTGGAGTTTCCACGACAAGGACAACTTGTTCCTCGTCATGGTGCGTCGCTTGAAATAGCTCGTAATATCACTTGCTGATGGATGCCTTGACCATAGGACTTTCACCCCGGTGGTGACCTTGCCACCCAGCTAGCGCGATGGGGCCGGCTAGGTCGCGATCGCGCTCGCTTCTACGCCGCCGAGATCGTCGAGGGTGTCGAGGGTTTGCACAACGCCGGTGTCATCTACCGCGATCTCAAGCCAGAGAACATCCTCATCGGTGCCGATGGGCATATCGTTCTCACCGACTTCGGTCTCTCCAAGGAGTTCCCTCGACGAACCGCCGCGATTACCGCGCCTCCCACGCCGTCAGGTTCGCGTGGGGAGTTCCTCGACAATGGGTCCGTACCACCTGTCCCCGCCAGCCCCCACTGGATGAAGGGCGACGCGAGCAGCGACAAGTGGACCGCTGGACTGAACGACACGACGACGACGTTCTGCGGGACTGCCGAATACCTCGCCCCCGAAGTTATCCAGGGCTTACCGTACAGTTATGAGGTTGACTGGTGGAGCTTCGGGACGATGCTGTACGAGATGCTCACAGGCATCGTCAGTTCTATCTCATCATCCGTGCCTGCCCAGCGATGCTGATGTCATTGGTCTAGACTCCGTTCTGGGCGGAAAACCATTCGGACATGTACTACCGAGTGTTGCAAGACGAGTTGCAGTTCCCGGAGGATCGAACGATGGATCAGGATACGAAGAGTTTGATTCGTGGGGTGCGCATTATGGTCTGCATTTGATGATGTTGGGACTGATTCGCCACCCGTACAGCTGCTTCAACGCAATCCCGCACTCCGGATGAAAGAACCCAGGGTCAAGAAGCACCCCTACTTCTCAATGATGTGCGTCGTGCCTGTCCTTGTGTCGTTTTGTCATTCCAATTGGTGTTTTGCAGAGACTGGTCTCATGTGTATTATAAACGCTACATACGTGGGTAACACTGCTACGTGTCATGCATATCGTCGGTTGAACATACTTCCATAGCCCCGTATATTCCTCCCATCGATCCATCGAATGCCTCCGATACCCAGAACTTCGACGATACCTTCTTGGGAATGGAACCTGTAATCAAGGACGAGAATGAGGAGGAGGCGGAGACGGATCAAGAACGCACCGACGGCGAAGACTCGGCTACGACGCCTTCGCAGTCACGCAGCCCCTCCGTCCATCAGCTCGACGACGACTCCGTGGACGTCTTCGATGGCTACTCGTTCAAGGGACGGCATTCGGTCATCATCGATGACGATGAGGAGGACGGAGATGGGGAAGACGACGAGGAAGAAGAAGAGTCGATCAGTGTACCCAGCCTCGACGACGTTCTGCCCGAAGAGCTGCCCACCTCCGACTCTGCTGTTGCGGTTCCAGAAGTCGAGGAGGTCTCCGTGCCGGAAGATGTTGGTGAGCCCAAGACTCCGGAAGCCCGGCCGGCAACCTTACCCGTTGAGGCCGAACCATCCATCGTTGAGGAGCCCAAGACTCCCTCTGCGGAGCCTGCTGCACCAGCTACCCCTGTGGTGGACGCTGCTCCTGCTGTTCCCGTTCCTTCTGCGAAGGCCGAACCCGCGCCCCGCCCAAGTCAAGACGAGAAGGCCGCACATGCGGCGGCGGCTGCGGCGACTCGTACTGCGGAAGACATGAACATCCGCACCGCTCCCAAAGTCCGTCCCGCGAAGGTCGCCCGAAACCGGAGGGAGAAGTCGGGTATTCCAGCCCTCGACAAAGACCTCCCCGATGCCACAGAAGACGAAGGGCGCGACGAGGACGACGATGATTGGGACTTCGTCGAGGCGGGTGGCATGCTCGTCGAGGAGCGCAATGGCGCCAAGGGCACGAGTCTGTTCGCGCGTGGGGTCGTCGATCGCTACAAGCTTTCAGTATTCCGCAAGAGTACCCCGCGGCGATCTGGCCCACGCTCTTTCTCCGGCGTCTCCGTCGAGTCCGAGACCATTGTCTCCGAGAGTTCCCCTTCACCTTCGGAGAAGCAGCGCCGCGGGCGGACTCCCGGGCTTACGTTCCGCAAACACCCAAAGCAGTTCCTCAAACAGAAGAGCCCTCCCCCGTCGACGCGGTCGCAGAAATCGCTCGCTACGTCAATGACCGCGACGCTCTCCGCAGCGTCGACTGTCTCGAGTACCGGCTTCCTCACACCTTCTCCGTCTCAGGGCGGGGTATCGCCGTCGCTCAAGTCGAAGGAGTCTGCGCTGTCCATGGGCGCGCCGAGTGAAGCCTCGGACACATCTGGAGACCGCGACCCGGCGCATGATACGATCAGGCTCGGGGCGGTCGGCGGCGGAGAGGAAGAGAAGCAGCACAAAAACAAGGTGTTGAAGAAGTACAAAGAAGGGGCGGAGAAAGTGCTCTCCATCTTCCAATCACCGCGGTAGTCCCCCCTGGAGGTCGATACTCGGAGGCTCGTATGGCCGGATGAAGGCTCACTGTGCACTGCGCTCATCGACCCGTCTTCGTCGACGACGTTGTGTGCGGCGTGATCCCGGTCATGCGCCTGCGCGTCTCTCCCCCCGCTCCTGGACGCGGTTCGCGTTATATCCATATGCACCTCATCTATAGCTATTATTGGCCGCCTGTAAGTACGCATACACCCACTCGTTGGACCGTTCCTCCTTCTGCCCACTCGCTAGGTTATCGCTGTCTGTCGTCGCTGCCCTCTCCGCTAGGTATCTCACACTCGTTATTCTCCCGTCGCGTTTCTCGTCCCTGCATCCGTGTTTTACTACGTAGTCCAATCAAAGCAAAACACAACTTAGTTGGTTTCCTGGTTTCCATAGACATCCTCGCTCTCCTTAATGAACGAACCATTGCATGGCTTCTGGCGAGCGGACTTTGGTTTGACTGAAGACGGGCTGCACGAGCTGACGTCACCGGCGTCGAGTTCGGTTCGCGCGAGTATGGTGGAAGACTTCTCAGTCTCCGTTTCTATTCTTTCCTTTACCACCACAGCTTCAGCAGTTTCGTGTTGCAACACCCGACATGCATGCGCGCACTTCAGCAAAGGTCGGTCTTCATCACCCCCATGACATCCAGCCTCGCTGACTATATGCGTTCAGGCACAGCAGGCACGCATTGCGGCCCTGCAAGCAGAAGTGGAGGGGCTCCAGCGTACGCTTGGGTGAGTGTTGCTCTCTGCGTTGTCTGGGCGTCATCTGACTCGCAGGATGCGCACAGCGAAGGAGAAGACGCAGCGCAGATCGTGGACCGTCACATCAAGCTGCTCCACAAGTACAACGAGGCCAAGGACGCGACGCAGGTGCGCTCGCTTCCGTCCCACCTCTGCGCCTGCGCGGTCTCGCTCACACCTCTGCTCTTGCTTTGCAGATCTTGATCGGCAAGGTGAGCGTCAGGCTTCCTGCTCGCCGCCGTCGTGGTCACAAGCCCACACATACATTGACCTTTTACAGCTCGCGGCGTTTCAACAGGCGACGATCCGGAAGGTCCACAGCGACTATGGGCTTACAGACGCGGATTGAGGGTCGATGTGGCCAGGGCATGCCTAGTACATGTGAGGTACAACGCAGACTGTGCGAATCTCGCTGCCATGCGGCGGTTGCGCGTATATAACACTTTCCTTTCTCGACACGCTCTCCAAGGTCCTCCCCTTGTGCACAGCATGGTTCGACGTCGCCCAAGGCCACCCTCCGACGTCCGACTCTGGACCTCGTCTCATGATCCCAGCGAACTTCATGGATCCGATGTCTGACGAAGACAGCTTCGGCCACGGCTTTCCTGCTTCTCTGTTCAATCAACACAGCTCGCGGTCCCTTTCATCCCCCTTCTGTGCTATTCCAGGCATACCTGTCCGACTTCTTTGTGACCTTGTCTCTGCTGCACCGACGAGAACCCTGGTTTTCCAGCTGAGGAAGGTGTTGATTTGAAGCTTGACTAAGTTCCAGGTCGTGAAGATGCAGCCCGGCGGGCGAACTGAGCCGAAGCCGAGCCGGAGCGGCTGGCGCACATCGCGCACGTGGCGCTTGCACAGGTTCAGTTCGATTTTTTGGACGTTCGTCGTGGAGTTTGAGCCCGTCCGCCCTTCGTCCTCGCCACTGCAACATGCCACCACCGATCCGCAATCTACCTTTCAAAAAGCTCCGGTCGCACTGCAATGACGTTCCTGGAACAGAGCTTTCCAGGGCGGCGTAAGCGGCCTGATGCCAGATGGGCTGTGCATCGCCATTCGTCCTGTCATGCCTGTGAGAAAATTTGCTCTCCACGCATTGCCTCGCTATCCGCAGCTGAAGGGCCTCGGGTCTTTGAATGTAGGAACCTAGCCCAGAGACCCACTTCCCCACTTTCTCCTCGCACGCTCACTCCATAGACCGACACCACCAAAGATTGATCACCTCTTGTGCGACGTGGCCTAATAGCGACGCCATCTGACTCGCAATGACGACCTTGAGGCCTTCACCGGCTGCTACCCTGGACAGCCAAACGACTGTCTTTGCAATAACTCCAGAGCGCTCCATCAGTTACAGCGTGAGCGATGCACCCTTTAAGCCCGTGGTCTCGTACAAACTGACATTGACTGTATCACAGGACACGGACACATCGGGTTCTTCCACAGAACCCAGTGTCCTTGCAGACAGCTGGAAACTCCCTACTGCGGAGGTTAGTTGCTACCCAATATGACGAGTGTTGGTACTGACGTGTATACTATTTAGGAGCTTCGTGAAGAACTCACAAATCGATATCCGGAGACTGATAAAGCCGAAGCTTGGGCTCGGTCAGCCGAGGTAGTGAAGACCTACAACGACGAACTAGTCACACGATGGAAAGAGGAGATGGACACACTTCTCGTCTATGTATGCGCAATTGCTTCCACTTGGGACTCCGACATCGACTCATCATGAATCTACAGGCCGGGTTGTTCTCAGCTGTTCTCACTGCTTTCAACGTCCAATCGTATCAATTACTTCAGCCGGATCCGCAAGATTCGACAGTTCAGGCGCTTAAACAGATTTCTTCGCAGCTCAGTAGCTTCTCAATCAACTCAAATTTCGCCAACTCTACCCATCCTCCGGTGTCGTCTTCAGATCTTGATCAACCATTCACCGCCCCCACATCCGCAGTTTGGATCAACACGTTATGGTTCTCCAGTCTCGTATTCTCACTCGCCTCCGCATCCATTGCGCTGATGGTCAAGCAATGGCTTCACGAGCTCAGCATCGGCGTCTCCGGCACGTCTAGAGAAAGCGCGCGAGTCCGTCAATACCGCCTTGAGGGTCTCAAACGCTGGCATGTCGCGACCATCGTCATCGTCATCCCCATCCTCCTACAGCTCGCCCTCTTCCTCTTCTTGGTCGGACTAGTCATGCTATTATGGAACCTCCACGGGACCGTAGCTGCCATCGCAACGGGGCTTGTCGGCACCCTCTTCGTCATCGTCTTCATCTTCACCCTCCTTCCCGTCATCCGCGTCGATTGCCCATATCGATCTCCGCAGTCTATAGCAATCTTCATGGCAGTTCGAGGGGCGAGGCGATCAGCAAGGACCCTGGCTCATCGTCTTTTCCAAGTCCTTCGGAGCATCACAGGCCGATGGCAACACCACCGCGGCTTCTTCGGGAAAGTGTCCGACTTCGCTTCGAGGACCTGGCGCCTGTCCATCGGAGAAGACCCAACATGGCGAGGACGAGAGTACATCAGCGTCGCAAATCAAATAGGCCGTCTCGATCGCGATCTCGCAGCGATGGCCTACACGATGACATTCGACTCTAACTCCCTAAACGACTTGCGCTTGATGCTCGTGGATCTCTCTTGGGAGCATGCAATTGCTTGTTATCAACTTGTCATGGATGCCCGTACGCGACTTTGGGGAACGGAAACTGCACGAACGCAAGACAAGTTCTCACTGCATACTCTGGACGCGCTGCACATTTCTCTGACTGCCGGTGAGGAAGACCGCGGTCCAGACTGGGATAGCTCGGTGTCCAGCGTCATCAGGGATTTGCGGTACTCAACCAAAGAAGTGGCCTCTGAGAAACCCCTCCGGAACTTGTGTGTCCTCGCCATGGAGTCGTCCTCTGCCGCAGACCAGGCCTTGAACAGTGTCATCGTGGCACTGCGAAACGATCAAGTGCCATGTGACGTGTCCGACATCCGAGCAGGTAAGTTGATTGATTGTATGCGCTCCTCCGTCGAACTCCACTCACCACCATCCAGTGATGACCATGTCCGAATGGCGCACCCACAATCCCGGCGGGACCTCCATCACCTCCACCCTCCACAACTACCTCCACAGCGTAGAGTGCGTTGCGCGCTGCGCCGCCCGCGCATCTTGGTCTACATCCCCTCTCTCCCCCGCGGACCGCCACGCTGTGCGGGAACGGGCGCGGACGATATTCGTTCACCTCCGCGGGTTCCTCCGCACCTCACTCTGGCGCGAGCCGTCGCTGCACATCTGCGTCGGCCTGAGCCACATCGTGCCCATCCTCGTCGAGCTCGCGCGGCACGACCCAGAAGGTGCGCTCGTGACCCACGAGCTCGTGGACGCGCTCGATGCGGTGTGGTCGATCGTGAACGACAGCGCGGCGGACGTCGCGAGCAACCAGCGCCTGAGGAACTTGCAAGCCTACATCGAATGGACCGGCGAAGTCTTGGATGCGCTCAAGGACATCATACGGGAACGGGAGCCAGACCCCGATACGGACACAGGTGTGTTTGGATGTGCACGTGCTGGCTGCGGCTGACACCCATTCCCATGCAGACCAGCGTCCACGCCAAAGGAGACCTCGAGTCGCGTTCGGCGTGACCCCTCCGAAGTCGCCGTCGTCGTTGAGGTTTCCGGCGTGGAACCGCAAGCGCACCAGGCTGATGAGCGTGTAGCTGGTGTCCGGCCCCCTCTCGTGCAAGTCCCGTCTCCCGCTGTGTCTCCACGGCCTCCCGCAGAATGCTGGCTATGCCAGCTCGCACATTCGACATGACCTCGTCCATCGTACCTCCGCGCAGAGCTCGTGTGCGGTACGGATGCCAAATCGCGGGGTGCTGCGCAGTGGTAGTCCCGCCGCTCCGGCCTCGTCTGCTGCGCAAAAGGAGTCGACATCCGACGGCGCTTGCAGCGAACATCGACGGAAAGTGCGGCCTCAAATCAAATCCGAACCCCTCTCCACACGGCCGCAGTCTCTCAGGGCTGTCGGATGTGTCTAGTACTTGCTTCCGCTCGTGCCGTAGACTTTAGACGACCCTCTATCAAGACAAAGGAGCTCATTAGGCTAGATGTATATAAGGAGCACCAACTCAACCCACCAAAGTCATCATTCGACAGCCTTTTCGACTTCACTCCTTCTGCTCTCACCTTCATCTTACACGTTCCATCTTCTCTTCTCTCTCTTCGCCTTTTCCTCCACTTTTCTTTCACCTTCACACCGCCAACCTTTGCATCCACTTTATTCTCTACCGCATATATTCGACATGCCATCCAACGCGGCGGATCGTATCCCCAGTCTTACGGGCAAGATCATCGGCGATGGGTACCAGCTCCTAGAGCTCCTTGGCTCTGGCGCATACGGTGTCGTCTACAAAGCCATCCTCCTCAAAACGGCCCGATCTCGCCGCCCAGTCTACCGCGCCATCAAGGCAATGCCCAAGGCCGGGCTCAGGAAGTTCGAGCTGGCTTCCATCTGCCAGGAGATCCACTTCCACATCACTTGCGCTGAGCAACCGGGCGTGGTCACCATCTACGACGTTTACGACACCGACAACTACTTCTACCTCGTCCTCGAGCTCTGCGACGGGGGCGACCTTTTCTCCCGCATCTGTGAAGTTCATATGTACGAGGACAACGAGGCCCTCGTCCGGACCGCGTTCCTTTCCCTCGTCGATGCCGTCATTGAGATGCACGCGACTGGAATCGCGCATCGGGATCTCAAGCCGGAAAATATCCTTGTCAACGACGACGGCTCGCGCCTTTTCCTCTCCGACTTCGGTCTTGCAAGCGATGAGGCACGGGTGGACATCTACGGCTGGGGAACTGGCATCTACATGAGTCCTGGTATGTCCCCATCTTCCTTCCAGTATGCGCAGTGCACTGATATGTTATTCCAGAGGCTTCCGGTAAAATCATCGGGAAGGTTCCCTACTGCCCTCGCACGAGCGACATTTGGGCACTCGGCATCATCCTCATCAACATGATCTCCGGCCGGAACCCTTGGACGCGTCCCAAGGGCAGCGACCCGCTCTTTGCGGCCTTCCTCGACGACCCGCAGTACCTCTACGACTCGCTCCCGATCTCACGCCACGTCGCGCACACCCTCCGCCGCACCCTCGCCATCGACCCCCGCCGCCGCATCAGGCTCGCCGACCTCCGCCGCGAGATCGCCGACGCGCCGACGCTCACCCGCGTCATGTCCGAGGGATGGCACGCGGCCAACCAGGAGTGCGACCCCGCGGAGGAGGTGCCCCAGGAGGACCTCGTGCCGCTCCAAGGCAAGAAGCCCGTGCGCGGCCGCCGCCCGACACCCGTCGCCCCCCGGAAGCACTTCTCCGAGCTCGCGGAGGACGGCGCGGACGGCGCGGTGGAGCCCGTCGTCCACCGTTCCCGCGCGCGCTCGCACCGTCACCGCGACGGCGACCACCATGGCGGCGACCGCCACGCCCGCGACCACCATGACGGCGACCGCCACGCCCGCGACCACAGCCGCCCCCGCGAGCACCGGGAGCACCGTCGGGAGCACCACCGCGAGCACCGGGCCCGGGCCCAATCCCGCCACGCCCGTCCCGCCCGTCCCGCTCGGTCGCCCACCCGCCGGGTCGCCTTCGACCTCGCCAACATCGCCACACCCAAGGCACCCCAAGGTGCCTGGGCCAACGCCCCCCCGCGCCCGCTCGTGGCGTTCGCCGTCGCCCCGTCCGCCCCGTCCGCCCCCGCCCCGTCCGCTTCTGCTTCGTCCGCCTCCACCTCCGCCTCCGCCTCAGGATCCGCCGGGTTCTTCGACTCCGCCTCGGGCTCCGCCGCGTCGGCGTCCACCGCGGCGACGTCCTGCAGCGGCGAGGGCGCAGACGTCCCGTTCAAGCTGTCGATGGAGGTCGTGCCCGAGGACGAGAACCCGTGGGAGTTCTTCAAGTCCACCCGGGAGCGCGTCCCGACCCCCGCGCCCCCCAGCTCGGGATTGAGGTGCGCCGGGCGGTGAAGGAGATGAAGCAGCAGCACCACCAGCACCAGCAACAGCAACAGGGCCAGCAGGGCCAGCAGAGGCAGTCGCGCTTCAAGGTCCGAGTTACCCACGCGCTGCGCAAGCCCCCTGCGCCCGAGGCAAGGGTGTGAGGTGTATCATATTGCTAGGAGACGGCGCAGCGACCCAGACGGTCCTCGCACATGTAGATGTCTTGTAGCACTGAGGAATATTTATGGATTATGGTCCTCAATCTCTACGTTGGCGAAGGATATTGGGTTCTGATTCTGCGTGCGCGTCCAGCAGTTAGATCTCATTCTGGGGCGGCTGCGAACGTGAACGCACTCTCGTTCTTCCCCGGGAATCCGTTTCCCTTGTTCTGGTGCTGGGTACTGTGGAACCAGATTTCTGTTTCGGGATCATGGCGGCCACACCTCACGATCCCTACGATGCTTACTGTGTCTGCAGCTTCCCCGACCTCCAGGCTGGCGCTCAGTGTCGAAGGCACGCGCCGAGCTCGCCGTAGCACGTGCTCGACTCCGCCCTCGTTCCCCTCCATCGTCGCTCTTCGCCCATCGATCGCGATAATAAATACGTCCTGCACGAGCACAAGGACCACCCTCGAGCCCCGGCGTAGACTCAGCACTGCCTACTATCGTGGAGGACGGAATCAACTCGTACGAGCTCCGAAGTTCCTCCCGACTGCTTAGTAGCGACACCCATCTCCCAGAGTCTCTTTCTCCCCGGTTCGATTCTTCATCGCACGGATATGTCTCCCACTGAACACACCCCTGTTGTCACCCTGATCTTTGCAACAAGTTTCATCTACCGCAACCTATTCAAATACGAAGAGGGTGTTACCGACACGGTGTGGTCGCAACCTCCAGACTCACGGCCAGGATCGTCGTGGGATCTCGACACCGTTTCTGTCAATACTCCACTGCTCGAGGAGGCCGAATCGAAAACGACGCTGCGAATGAAGGAGGCTGGGGTATTTCGTCACTGTCATCGTCCCGGCTGCCCGGTCGGGCACGAAGGCTTCGCTGTCGCACAGATCACCTTCGATGTTATATCGTCGCCAGAGGAAAAAGAGGTCGAGGATCTCGCCGCTCTGTGCAAGATTGCTTGGGGGAGAAGACCACCGGTGCCGTTACGGCTGAAGCCAAAATGTACGACAAATGCCAGGACCTCCAAGGAGACGTCATTCCCCGGAAGCTTGGATTCTTCACCCGCAAAGCGGATGATGAGAACCCAACGCTCTGCTGTCTCATGCTGTCCCCCGATGGAGAACCGGAGAAGCCCTTCGGCGAGATGGTTGACGAAGGTCGGGAGAGTGAGCTTGAATATATGAAGAACTTGGTGTACAGGCGAGTAGAGTCTGAAAGCGCCTCAGCCTCCACTGTGTTGTTGATAACTTCCTCCACCGTTAGACAAGACATTCTCAATGGTCTCTTGAAATTGCATCATGCGAAGGTCGTATTTCCACGGGGGCTTGAAACTTGCGAGACACTGAAGACCTCGGAGACGGAGCGGTACATGATCTACGATCTCGCCGATTCCGAATATCATGCCCGATGCGACCCACTGGAGATGGTGCCAGAGACGATCGCAATGTTCCAGCAAACCCCGACCAATATATGCTCCGCGTTTGAGTGTAGCATCACAGATCTAGGTGCCACGATCCCTCGCCGTGAGTGAATATGCTCTCGAGCCACACAAGTTGATACTTACACACGTTGGTCGCGCGGCTAGACATATACCATCTTCGCGTTCCGTCGAAGTTCCTTCAGACGAAGCGTCAGATCATCGATCACTACATCCCCATCGAGCTTCTATTGGAGCCAGACAACGAGGAAGCCACCAAGATGATCATTTCATTCATCAAGCAGAAACAGGACGAGGTTCTCGACACCGCAGACTTTCGCAGATATGTACAGCGGGAGGCCCATGGCTTCCGCAGGAGCATGCAAGATTGGTTCTATCATCGCGAGGAAACAGCGGAAGAAGATGAAACAGTCGCAATACCGTTTACGAGCCTTAATAGGGAGACGTTGCCGAAGTCATGGTTGCAAGGAGTGGCGAAGATTGGTTTGGAAGTTGTCAATGCCGATGGGACGATGTTAGAAGTGCCGGAGTGGGAGGGAGAGGTAGACGAGGACTACTCCGGAAAAGAGGACTACTCCGAAGAAGAGTAGACGATGTGGAAGACGAAGACGAATACGAGAGCCAAGATAGGTACTGGAAAAACCAGGAGTAGTCGAAGCCTTACCGATGTAATAAGTGCAAAGTGTTTGATGTACACAGGGCTTGTCCAAGTACCGTCGAGATCGTGCGGAGGGCGACCACTGGGGCTGCAGCAACCTGGCCGAACCACGGTCGTCCACCGAAGTGCGAGCAGCGTGTTGAGCGCGCTGCGCCATGGATATGAGCCTACGAACAATGCAAGATGGAGCCTGCGTCAAATAATACATGCATGGGTGTCCCATCGCCTACATCATTAACATGTTGCAGTCTAAAGCCAACTTGACGCGTACTCATGCAGCAACCTAGAACTCGCAGGTTTCCAAACACCCGATGCGTAAATAAAAACTACGAGTGACGCACCTGAAGCCCCGCAGGATGTACGCTCACGACTTCGCAGAGATTCTCGCCCTTCTTGGGCGCCATGAACGTCAGGATCTGGTCCAGAAAGCCATCCGAGCCTGCGTCCCACGCGTCATCCTTCAAAGACAAAGAGACGTACCGCACGCACACCAACATCCTGTGGGATGTGACCCGCCTCGTCGATATCCACCTTGTTGAAGTCCGCGCCGGCGCGGTGCATCCCCATCAGGGCTGGGCGAGATCATCATGAATGGGCCGCACCACGTTGCCCAGAGGGCGAGGTGCCGGTCGTTCACCTGTCGCCCAGACGAGAGAGAGGTAGGCTTACCGATGATAGATCGGGGACTAACGGTTTGTTCGCTGTTCTCCGTCTTTCTGAGCAAGAACATGAGCACGCGATATCGGCAGAGTCTAGCGAAGGATGTCAGGCGTACCGCGGTCACTGGACTCCCTGTTGGACGGTCACGCGAATGGTTAGTCATCCGGAAAAGTAGTACGCGAAGGCGACCATCGCGAACCACGAGTTCCTGTTCCGCGGGAAACAGACAGTGCTGTGAAGCGCGTCGATCTGGAGACCGGAATTGTTAGCTCGTGCGTTCGGTCGGGGAACGGTCTCACCTGTTCGAGGAGGTACGATGTCTCCAAGTTGCCCTCGGTGGCCACCACCTCCTGCTCAACGACTTGCGTGGTCGACGCTTGACGCTCAGGGTTCGCCGCCAGTGTCTTGTCCTGCTCGAGCGCGCTGAGGTCGGCTTGGAGCTGCTCCATCGCCTCTTCGTATACACGAAAATTGTATACTACTACAGAAGGAGGCGGGCGGCGCGAAGGCGAGCGATACGCGTGGAGAGCAGCGCGGAGGCGGGTGATGCGTACGGAAGTGGGCGGCGCGAAGGTGAGGGGGGTGGAGGAGGGCAGCGGGGAGGCGGGCGTGCAGGCGGAGGAGGGCGCACGAGGTGGAGGAGGCGGGCGACGCACGCGGAGGTGGGCGATACGGAGGCGGGAGACGCGGACGCGGACGCGAGTGATGCGGAGGGCTCGCGGGAGGAGGCATGAGGGCCCGGACGAGGCGGAGGAGGTGGGCGAAGCGGAGGGCCACGACGCTGGAGGAGGCGGGCGGCACGGAAATGGGCTCCGCGCGAGAAGGCCGCGATGCGGAGACGGAGGAGGGTGAGGCGGAGGACGTCCGGGCGGACGTCCTTCGCATCTCGTAGCTGTCGACAGCTCGTGCGGCGTGGACGTGGCCGGCGATGTCGGCGGAGGTCGGCATGGAGGTTGAGGTCGGAGGGGAGGGGAGTTGAACGTTGAACGGTGACACCGGAGTCCAATAGCGGACGACAGGCGACTGTGTAGTCGCTGCATATCGTCTGCCTGGACAGGGGGGCTGGGGACGGCGATGGTGGTGGAGGAGAGCAAGGACGGCGAGCGCGTACATATCACAGGTGGGAACTAATTCTCCCAGCGATTGACAGCTGCTCATTCTTCGTCGCCATGTCTCACACTGAACACACCCCCGTTATCATCCTGGGCTTTGAAAGGAGTTTCATTCACGAAAACCTATTCGATCCCCAGAAGACCGAGGTGGGATGGTGGAAATGGCCGCCGTCAAATATAAAAGACCATGCAATTTCAGACTCGCTCTACCGTTTAGAAGCCGTTTCCGGGGTCAATACCGCGCTGCTCGAGGAATTGGAGGCCATATCGACTCCAGTGACGCTGCGAATGACGAAGGCTGAAATATTCCACCACTCCCATCATCCCAAGTCTCGTGAACGTAAGCGGGATGGCTTCGCTGTCGCGCGAGTTATCTTCGATGACACATCGTCGCAAGAGGGCAAAGAAGTCAGACGTCTCGGCGCGCTGTGCAAGATTGCTTGGGGAAAGAATAGCACCAGCGACGTTATGAAGGAGAGCGAAATCTATGATAAATGCCACCGCCTCCAAGGAGACGTCATTGCCCAGAAGCTTAGATTCTTCACCCGTGAAGCGGATGGTATTGACCCAACGCTTTGCTGTCTCATGCTGTCCCCCGATGGAGAACCAATGAAACCCTTCGACGACCTGCGTGAAAATGGTGATAAGATTGAAGAAGGATTTATGAAGAACTTGGTGTATAGGCGAGTAGGGGCTGAAAACATCTCCACTGTGTTGTTGATAATCTTCTCTACCGTTAGACAAGACATTCTCAAGGGTCTCTTGAAATTACATCATGCGAAGGTCGTATTTCCACGGGGGCTTGAAACCTGCGAGACACTGAAGACCTCGGAGACGGAGCGGTACATGATCTACGACCTCGCCGATTCCGAATATCATGACCGATGCGACCCACTGGAGATGGTGCCAGAGACGATCGAAATGTTCCAGCAAACTCCGGCCGATATATGCTCCGCGTTTGAGCAGAGCATCGAACATCTAGGTGTCATGATCCCTCGTAGTGAGTGGATGTGCTCTCAAGCTACATTTGATACTTACACTCGTGGGACGCGCGGCTAGACAGGCACCTTCTTCGTCTTCCCTCGGGGTTGCCTCAGGAGCATCATAATATCGATCACTATATCCCCCTCGAGCTGCTACTGGAGTCAGACTACAAGAAAGCTGCCCGCAGTATCATTGCATTGATCCAACAGAAAGATGACAAGATTCCTGGCGACAAAGACTTCCGCGAATATGTGGAGCAGGACGCCTGTCGCCTCCGTATAGTCATACGAGAGTGGCTAATACGACGCACAATATCAGCGGAAATCAACGAAACAGTCGCAGTACCGTTCGCGAGTCTGGATAGGAAAAATTTGCCAGAGTCATGGAAGATCGGAGTGGCGAAGATGGATATAAAAGTCATGGATGACGAGGGGAAAGTGATAAAAGTCGAGGAGTGGAAGGAAGACAAAGAAGAGGATTCGTCCAAAGATGACTGCTCCAAACAAGAGTAAGTCGAAGAGGGAGTGGTGGAAGATGAGGTGGAAGACGAAGGCAAAGGCGGAAGGCAAGATAAGTACCGAATTAATCGAAAAGTTACCGAAGTAATACGTGGAAAGTGTTTGATGTATACAGGGATCGTCCAAGAACTGTCGCGATCGTGCGAAGGGTGGTCACTGGCAGCCTGGCCGAACCATGTTCGTCCACCGAAGTACCAGCAGCGTGTTAAGCGCCATGGATCGGAGCCTACGAACATCGCGGGACGGAGCCCGTACCAATCACTCCGAACGGGATATCATCAACACATTCCAGTCTAAAGCTCAGAAGCGAGTCCATGTAGCAAGCTCCTCGACCATCCCCCAGAACCCGCGCGTTCGCATACACCCAGCGTATGAATGAAGACTGCCATGAGTGACGCACCTGGGGCCCGCTTCTCGCTTTTCTTGAACGCCATGAACGGCACCATCTGGCCCGGAAAGCCATCAGATCCTACTACTTCCCACGCGCATTCATCAAAGACAAAGAGACGTACCGCACACTCGCCAACCTCCTGTGGGATGTGACCCGCCTCGTCGACATCAACCCTGTTGAAGTCCGCGCCGGCGCTGTGCATCCCCACGAGCTTCTCGGAGCCAGACAAGAGCATCTTGCATGAGCCGCACCACGTCGCCTAGAGGTCAAAGTGCCTGCCGTGCACCTGTCGCGCAAACCACGCATATTAGAAATAGCGGCGCGAGATACTAAGGAGTGTGACGTACGATAGTCTTGAACGCTTCGAGTGATACGACGAAGTTGGGGAGACGGCGAGAGAGGTAGAATTGCCAATGATAGATCGGAGACTAACGGGTTGTTTGCTGTTCTCCGCCTTCCTCAGCAAGAGCATGGGCATATGGGTTGTAGAGTCTAGCGAAGGATGTCACCGTTGGACGGTTACGCAAATGGTTAGTCGTCCGGAAAAGTAGTACGCGACGGCGACCATCGCGAGCCACGACTTCTCAGCTTCGAGAGACAAGGGCACGATCCTGCCGCACTCCGAGATGACATGTCCCAAGAATTCGAGCGAGTGGCCAAGGGCCTCCAAGGGCCCAGCGACGGGGACAGCGCCCGGCGCAGCGGCCTGGTTGCCAACCCCGACAGCGTCCCGAGGAGTCGCGCCTCCCTTCGTGCCCTCGCAAACAGTCCCCTCGGCACCCTCCTTCACGAACTGAAGGTCGGTGGAGAGCTGGAACGCGGATTTGGCGGCGCGAACGTCGCTGATGTTGGGCATGACACGTTGAGCCAGCTTTGACGGTTGTGAATGTAGCGCTAACAGGAGTAAAAGAATTGCGTACCAAGAAATCGAAATCGACGAGCCCTGGGGCCGTGTTGTTGAGATCAGAGAGGACTGCTGAGAGAGACTGTGGCCCTTGAGAATATCCCCAGTGTGGCAGGATCGAGGGTGAGGGTGGGGGTTCAGGAAGGCGTGGGCTTCTTGTCGTGGGGCTCGGAACCTCAGAACCGGTGGAAGTGGTACGTACGAGCGATCTTGCTGAAAGCGTGAGGGACTGCCGTTTCGAAGGCGACCCCAGCCGTGCTGAAGGGGGCGCGGTCGGACGACCTGGCGACTGTAGCGGCGCGGCATTTGCTGAGCCCAATCATGGCTTCGCAGGACTTGAAGACCGGGGAGACTGGGGTACGTTCAGAGCGTAGGGAGGGAGAACGCGACAGGCTGCCCGTACATTAGTGCCCGACCACGCGCGCGACCGCGGGCTTGGGAGACGTTCAGACAGATCTCGGACAAATCAGCAGCTTACTCACCGCTGGCTCTGGAGTGGCCGAGATAACCTTGACCTGGCTCGGGCGGACAAACACTCCATAGTTGGGCTTGCAGGTTACTTGCTGCCTTGAACGGCGCCGTCGTTCTTGCCGTTCGGAACTGCAAGCTCGATTCCAACCTATTTCACAGAAGCAAACGCAGTGGCATCACAGAATCGAACTGTCCCTCGACCTGCGGGAACCTCAACGACCGCACCAACAGGAGGATCCGATCTAGTGGGAGGCATAGCGGGGTGAAACGATCGCGCAGCCTAGAGTCGTAGAGAGAGGCACCCAGCGTCCGGAGGACATTCAGATCGTGAAATTTCAGGAAGGAGCGTGTAGGTCGTGAGCGGACCGCGGCGTCAAGGTGGGTGGTGGAGGTGAGCAGCTTGGAGGACGTTGCCGCCGTGCAGTGGACCTCGCCGCTGGAGCGCTGAAGACGCCTTGTAATCGAATTGTAATAGGTCAAACTTACCAGGGTTGTAAGCAGGTAAGCTTCAGATAAGTTGCCAAGACCGTCTCGACTAATCACGCATTCAATTCCACAGCAGCTGGCTTCCGCCCCGACTCGCTCTCCTCATAACGCACACATACTTCTTCCCTCTCTTGCTTCACAGTTCGGAACTTACGCCTGGACGTTCCATAGAGGCTCTTGTTTGAGCGGGTATAGCCCGCAGCGCGTAGACTCCGACCTACCATCTCCCCCCTCGTTCGTCGCATGAGCATGTCTTCCACTGAACACACTCCCGTTATCGTACTGGGCTTCTCCGCGAGTTTCTTCAAATACAACCTGTTCAGTCACTCCAAGACCCGTGGGGATCGTAAATGGCAGGGACCACCGCTGGCAGACTCAACGCCAGACTTGTTCTGGGAATTCGAAGCCGTTTCTTTCAATACCGCACTGCTACTCAAGGAGCCCAAATCGACAGCGACGCTGCGAATGAAGGAGGCTGAGATATTACGTTACTCCGACGATTTATACGATTCTAAAACCAGGGCCATCAATGAATACACGGGCGAGCATCGGATGATCAGAACCCTGATTGATGGGCCGGACGGCTTCGCTGTCGCACAAATCACCTTCCATGACATATCGCAGGAGGACAAGGGGGTCGAAAATGAAGTCACCGCTCTGTGCAAGATTGCCTGGGGAAAGGAGAAAACCGGGCGTGCCGTGAATGAGGCAAACGTTTACGACAAATGCGAAGAGTTCCAAGGAGACTTCATTCCCAAGAAGCTTGGATTCTTCGCCCGTCAAGGGGATGGTATCGACTGCCCACCACTTTGCTGTCTCATGCTGTCCCCCGATGGAGAACCAGAGGACTCCTTCATGGAAATGTGGGACGACCGGCGTGAGGAAGAATATGGATATATGAAGAACTTGGTGTATAGGCGAGTAGGGTCTGAAAACATCTCCACCGTGTTGTTGACAGTTTTATCCACCGCCGTTAGACAAGACATTCTAGGAGGCCTCGTGAAATTGCATGATGCGGGGATCGTGTTTTCCAAGAACGGGCTCCAACCTGAAGGGACACTTATCAGGGCCGAGACGGGACGGTACATGATCTACGATCTCGACAAATGCGTCGACCACGCCGAATGCGATCAAATGGAGGGGGTGCCACGGAAGATCGAAATGTTCCAGCCAACCCCGAACAATATATGCTCCAAATTTGATTCAAACATTGAAAGCCTAGGTGTTATGATCCCTCGTCGTGAGTGGATGCGCTCTCGAGCTACACTTGGTACTTACACATGCGGGTCACGTGGTTAGACGCGTTTTGTCTTGCCGTTCCGTCCAAGTTCCAAGTTCCGCCGGGGGAGCATGACATTGAACACTATATCCCCCTCGAGATTCTATTGGAGCCAGACTATGAGAAAGCCGCCAAGATGATCACTGCATTGATCAAGCAGAAAGATGACAAGATTATCGTCACCCAAGACTTTCACGATTATGTGCAGCAGAAAGCCGAGAATAACCTTCGCTCAGTCATACAACAGTGGCTCACACGGCGCACAGAAACAGCGGAAAAAGGCGAAACGGTCGCAGTACCGCTCAAAAGTCTAAATCAGGATAAGTTGCCAGAGTCATGGTTGGAAGGAGTAGCAAAGATGGGTGTAAGAGTTTTGGATCACGACGGGCTCCTGCTAGAATGACCGGAGTAGAAGGAAGAGGGAGACGATGGCTACTTGGAAGAAGAGTGAGGGGAAGAGGGGGAAGACAACGTGGCAGACGAGGACTCGTCGAGGAGAAATACGAGATCAGAGATAAGCACAGGGAGGACCAGGAGAAATCGAAACGCTACCGATGTATTATGTGGAAAATAGTGGATGTACACAAAGCCTGTCTCCGTACTGTTGCGATCGTGTGCATCCCCACAGGCTTCTCAGAGCTGGACGAGAGCATCTTGGATGGGCTGCACCACGTAGTCACTGAGCTCCCCGTTGGACGGTTACGCGAATTGTTGGTCGTCCAAAAAGGTAGTACGAGAATGTGACCATCGCAGGCCACTTCCATGCGCAAGAGGTGTAGTGGCGGAGAGAAGGACGCTAAGAACAAGCAAGTTGGAGGAAAAGATGTTGGCTGCGTAACAGTAGCGCCGGGGATCCGTCGTGGACGACCACATATAAGATAGGATTCTGCCCGCTGAAGCTAAGTACCATATCCGACATCCACTCACACTCGCTGGAAAGAAAGTGCTGCCCACTTGGATGCGGGTGTCTTCAGACTGAGACGGAGCCTAGTTTCATTGGCTTGTCGTCAATCGCCAAGTGCGCCGACCTATCCTGCACCGTCTCCACATCGCAGATTGCCGCAAACGCGACGTGGCGAAAGTGTGTGTACATAAATGCTCTACGGACATGGCATGCGTGTAGGGTATAGCGATAACAGGGACCTACAGTAAGGCGGAAGACATAGCAATAGTCCAGCATCCGGAAACGGAGCGCACTCAACGTTCCGGCCCTCCTCCGTCCCGACCTCACTCCGTGTCCGCGGCGATGTGGTTCGTCATCTCGAGCAGGCCCTTGAGGCGCCGCCCGAGCCGCTCGCCCTGCTGCTTGCGCTCGTAGAGCTGGTACGCGGGCGTCTTCTTCCGCGGGAGCCACGCCTTGGTCGTCGCCTGCCCGTCCGCGCGGCGCGCCTTGAGCACGGAGAGGTCGACGAGGCGCGGCGAGGCCGTGTACTTGATCACCTCGCGGTACAGCAGCTTCGACTCGACCGCGAGCGAGCGCAACGTGGGCGCCGGTCGCGGCTCGTCGTCCGATTCCGAGTCCGAGTCGGAAAGCGCCGACGGGAGGAGCTCGGGTGTGGGTGGGCGGGGCAGGGGGCCGAGGAGTTCGGGCAGAGCTTCGATCTCTTTGAGGAGGTCCTGGCCCTTGATGAACGAGTTCTCGTTCCGCAGGAAACGGACAGTGCCGCGAAGCGCGTCGATCTGTAGACCCGGATAATTAGCTCGTGCGTTGGGTCGGGGGAGGCAAGAACGGCCTCACCTGTTCGAGCAGGTACGATGTCTCCAAGTTGCCCTCGGTTGGTACCGCCTCCTGCTCAACGACTTGCGTGGTCGACGCTTGACGCTCAGGGTTCGCCGCCAGTGTCTTGAGCTTCGCGTTGTCTTGCTCGAGCGCGTCGAGGTCGGCTTGCAGCTGCTCCATCGCCTCTTCGTATGCGCGCTCCTGCTTGCGCGCCTTCGAGAGCTCGTTCTCGAGGTCAGTGATTGCGTCCGCCTGTTTCTTGACGGTCTCCATTCGGCGCTCCATGAGCTCGACCTTAACGCCAGTCTCCTGGATCGTCTGGTCCTTGAGCCTGAGGGTGCGTGCAAGCGCCTGGACCTCGTCGCCGAGCTGGGCGACCTTGCGCTCGGCCTCGACGTTGACAGCAGTCGCGGCCTTGATCTCGTCGATGCGCAGAACCCAGGGAGCGGTACCCAAGACTGTGAACAAAGGATGAGCGTGTGGCGGCAGAGAGAAGGCTCAGAATGACGCACTCTTCTGGGTGTTCTCAGCTTCGAGAGACAAGGGCACGATCCTGCCACACTCCGAGATGACATGTCCCAAGAATTCCCCGACAGCGTCCCAAGGAGTCGCGCCTTCCTTCGTGCCCTTACCAACAGTCCCCTCGGCACCCTCCTTCACGAACTGAAGGACGGTGGAAAGCTGGAACGCGGACTTGGCGGCGCGAACGTCGCTGATGTTGGGCATGACGCGTTGAGCCAGCTGTGGCGGTTGTGAATGTAGCGCTAACAGGGAGTGAAGAAGATGCGCACCGAAAAACCGAAGTTGACGAGCTCTGGGACCGTGTTGTTGAGCGCCTGGAGTTGAGGAACAAGATGAGCCTTCAGTGCCATTGAGTCTTGCGTCAAGTCCTCCACGCGCTTCGTGAGTTTCCTGAACATTTGAACCGTTAGCGATAATTAGGGACCTTTGGATGTGTAAGTCTCACTTCGACAGTACTTTGGCGCTTCTGCACTGGTCGAGGAGCTTCTGAAGAGGCTCGAAGAAGTCAGCCTCGGGATCGACATCTCCCAGGTCGACCTCAACATCTGTGATGTAAAGTGAGTCCATGCTACTAGTCACGATAAGGGAGCTACATACCGTCGTCCTTGATGACGGCTGCCACTGACGTCTTGATGAGACCGACTGAGGCTGCAAACATCTCCAAGTCATGATCGAATGAAAGCGCGTAACCAAGCTCGCGTTCGCCGAGATCGTAGTCAAAGCCGGAGAAGTACGTCTCCGAGAGATGGTCGAACTGCGACTGTATTCTGTAACATGTCGGTGCGTTAGCCCTTGCGCAAGATCACCGAAAGACTTGAAAACATACTTGACAGCGTCGCTAACACACTCCAGTTCTCTGAACTCCTCGCGGCGAAGGAGGTTGATGTGCATGTCAATACGCTTCTCCATTGGTCCGACATCCGCATATACTCGGCCGATGTTAAGGAAGTTCTCCACGTCACATTTGCGCAGGACAGCCGCAAAGCGCTTGCAGGTCGTGGACAGCTGTGAAAGACGGCCTCGCATCTTCCAGAGAGGTCAGTCATGGTCATTGCAATACACTGACGAGAACCCACCTCGCAAATGCCGACCAATACGTCCGAAACAGGACCGTTCAAGGCCTCGGGAAGGTTGTGCGCTTGCGCAACGACGGCGTTGATCAGATCGAGTTTCGCCGCCAACCGCTGGAAGAACAAGTAGCAGTTCGTAGCGTCCATGTCCGACTCGACGTAGACTTGGGGGAGATATGGCTGGACGATGGTGAGGAACTCCCGCGCCTCGCGCGCCTCGATCTTCTTGACTTCGAGGTCAATATGCCGCGCCTGGTTCTTCGACGCCGACGACTGTAGCTTGAGGTTCAGCGACATCATCGCAGCCGTCTGTGAGGCAGCTGTAGCAGACTCGTGTTGTGCAGTCTGTGTCTCCGTCCGGAGATTATCGAGTTCCCTGTCGTAGCATCCGTATGAGATGAGGATGACGGATATAAGTTGAGTCGCGTACGTTTGCAATGACAAAACAAGTTCCCGGAACTGAACAATCGTGCCTTCCAAATCCTGGCATGATTCCTCGAGGCTCTGAATCTTGCGGGACTGTTCGTGAACTTGCATCTCCTTTGCGTCTGCAGGAAAGGTGTCACACAAAAATACTGGTGCAGGCCAGAAACGCTTACCGATCTCTTCTTGCATAGCTTTCTCAGTCTCCACGTGGTTCTCCTCGAGCTCGTCATTCAGCTCTTTGAGAGCTTCGAGATCCTCGATGGTGATACGCATCTCTTCGATTTTCTGCAACGTTTGTGTTAGAGAATCCACAAGACACGCAAGGACGAGGAGCCGCACCTCTCCAAGCATGAGGTTGCGCTCTGTAAGCTGCACGAGAAGATCCTCGGCACCCAAGGCATCGTCCAGCTGAGCCTTCAGATCTTCAATCTGGACCTCCGCGTTGGACAGCTTGATGAGCGAAGACTCGTATTGAGCTAGAAGCAAGCTAATTGGTCACGGGGACAACGATGTTCAAGCCGGAGACCATACCCTGGAGATCGTCGAGGCCAGTCACATCCTTCTCCATCTCTGCAATTCTCCGGCGTTGCTCATGTTCCGTGTCTTGAGTGATATCTCGTAACCTAAACGAGCTAAGCATCCGCACAACAGGATACCACAGAATGCGCACCTAATCAACGCCTCCTTCAACCGCTCGTTCTGCTTCTCGAGTTGGAGGTATGCAAGTGATGACTTGATGTTGCTTTCGCCTGCCTCGTCGTTGCCTCCGCCCTCCTTCAAGTGCTGCAACTCGACGTCGAGAATCGCTGCCTTCTCTAGAGCCTCTTCCAAGTCTGCCTCTGCAGTCTCTGCTCTCTCCTCCGCCATCTCCTTGTCCAACATCGCCATCTCCAACTGCTCTTGTGTGTCCACGATCCGGCTCTCTGCCAACTGAGCGAGCTGTTGAGCATCCGCAAGTTCTCGCCTGGTCGCGATGAGCTCCGTTTGCTGCTGGTTCAGCTTCGCCTGAAGCTTCGGTCGCAGCGCGACGAAGGACTCCGCTTCCGATAGTCGGCTCTCGAGTTCACGGACATGCCGAGCGTCATCCGCACGCTTGGCTTCAAGCACCCGAATCTTGGCCCGTAGCTCTTGCAGCTCGGTATCATCTACCACTCGCTGAAAAAGATGAGCAAGGGTTTCGTTTATTGAGGGCGAAGACTCACGACGGGTGTGGCCGGTCTTGATTCTGGGTGGAGCGCCGCTATTGGAGGAGGCTCCGACAGAAGCGACTCAGACTCCGGTTCAGAGTCTTGTGCGGGAGAGGAGACGCGTCGTAGGGAAGAGGGCAGTGGAGGTTGCGGAGAGGACTGCTGAGGGGGAGTGTGGCCTTTGGAGAATATCCTTGGTGCAGGTTCGAGGGTGAGGGTGGAGGATTCAGGAAGGCGTGGGCTTCTTGTCGTGGGGCTAGGAGCCTCAGAACCGGTGGAAGTGGTACGCACGAGCGATCTCGCTGAAAGCGCGAGGGACTGCCGTTTCGAGGGCGACCCCAGCCGTGCTGAAGGGGGCGCGGTCGGACGACCTGGCGACTGTAGCGGCGCGCCATGTGCTGAGCCCAATCCTGGCTTCGCAGGACTTGAAGACCGGGGGGACTGCGGTACGCCAGAGCGTAGGGAGGGAGAACGCGACAGGCTGCCCGTACGTTGGTGCCCGACCACGCGCGCGACCGCGGGCTTGAGAAACGTTGAGATACATCTCGGACAAACAAGCAGTTCACTCACCACTGGCTCTGGAGTGGCCGAGATAACCTTGACCTGGCTCGGGCGGACAAACACTCCATAGTTGGGCTTGCAGGTGAAGTACTTGGTGCCTTGAACGGCGCCGTCGTTCTTGCCGTTCGGAGCTGCAAGCTCGATTCCAACCCATTTCCCAGCAGCAAACGCAGTGGCACCGCAAAATCGAACTGTCCCTCGACCGGCGGGAACCTCAACGACCGCACCAACAGGAGGGTCCGATCCGGTGGGAGGCATAGCGGGGTGAAACGATCGCGCAGCCTAGAGTGGTAGAGAGAGGGTGCTCGAGGCACCCAGCGTCCAGAGGACAGTCAGATCGTGAAATTTCAGGAAGGAGCGTGTAGGTCGTGAGCGGACCCCGGCGTCAAGGTGGGTGGTGGAGTTGAGAGTAGCTTGGAGGACGTCCTGGCGCTGGAGCGCTGAAGACGCGTCGTAATCCAATTGTAATCATCGAACTTACCAGGGTTGTAAGCAGGTAAGCTTTGGATAAATGGTCATGATCATCTGGACTAATAACGCATTCAATTCCACGGCAGCCGGTTTCCGACCCGAGCTCTCCTCATAACTCACACATCCACATCCCCTCTACTTTCCCTCCCTCGCTTCACGGCTCAGAACTCACGCCTCGACGTTCCGCGGAGGCTCTTGTTTGAGCGGGTATAGCCCACAGCGATGTACGGGAACCATCATGCAGAAGGTCCGTCCACTCCCTGCTTGCTCGTCCTAGGTTGTAAACCTCGTGCTCCAGGCAGCAACGGCTGGCCTCCGGCGAGATGGAAGGGCTCGGACGACTCGGACACAGAACGCGACTACCGCTCGACCACCCGCTCAGAGGCGTCCTCTTCACGTACAGGCGTGCGGGGCATGAACGGCCTCTCCGACCCCGACCTCCGGCATAATGGCTCAATGACAGACATCCCCGACGTCTCCCCCATACACCCATACTGGGCGCGAAGCGACATCTTACCTGTGGTAACCCCACTCCGCCTCCGCCTGGTACACCGAAGATGATTCCCTGGCGTGCGGCTCCGGGGAAGATCAAGACGGCCCATGCCGCTCTTGTCTTGTGTCTGAACATCGACGTCGATCCACCTGACGTCGTGAAGACCAATCCCTGCGCGATTTTAGAAGCCTGGGTGGATCCGCACACCATGCCGTCCATGAAAGCGATCGAGGTCATTGGTCAGAACCTACAGCACCAGTTCGAAGGTCTCAACCCGAAAATCACTTACAAGCCCGTCCTGGATCCCTCCAAGGACGACTTGAAGAAGGTCTGTGTCACCGCACGCAAGCAAGCCGTCGAAGATGCAGTCCTGTTTCACTACAACGGACATGGCGTCCCGAAGCCCACTCCCAGCGGCGAGCTATGGTGTTTTAACAGGAACTATACCCAATACATCCCCATCGCCCTCCAGGAACTTCAGTCGTGGCTACGCTCTCCCTGCATCTATATCTGGGACTGCTCTTCTGCCGGCAACCTTCTCACGTCGTTCGTCAAATTCGCGGAGCAGCGGGACAGTGAAGCCAAGCTTCATGGCGGCGGGTATCCAGAAGGTGCGACGCCCTTCTCCGAGTGCATTCAGCTCGCCGCTTGTGCGTCTGATGAGCAACTGCCGTCATGTCCGGAGCTCCCTGCGGATCTCTTCACTTCCTGTCTCACTTCTCCGATCGACATCGCGCTCCGCTACTTCCTCTTCACGAACGCGCTCCCTAGCCATATCTCTCCAGACCAAGTCATGCAGCTCCCCGGCGACCTGAAAGACCGTCGAACACCTCTCGGAGAGCTCAATTGGATCTTCACGGCTATCACGGACACCATCGCATGGACTACCTTCCCTCGAGAAGTGTTCACACGTCTTTACCGCTCCGACTTGCTCATCGCTTCGTTATTCCGCAACTTCCTTTTGGCCGAACGCATCATGAAGAACTACCACTGCACCCCACATACGTATCCTTCACTCCCTGCTACCAATACGCACCCGCTATGGGCGTCATGGGATCTTGCCGTGGACGCCTGCCTTCGCCAGCTTCCTGAACTGCTGAAGAATGTGGAGCCCGGAGTTGAGAAGGAGCTTTCCTTGGGCGCACGCAGCCGAAGGCAAGGCTCTCAGTCCGGTGCCAACGCAAGTGGAGACAAGAGTTACATCTATACACCGAGCAGGTTCTTTACGGACCAGCTCACAGCATTCGAAGTGTGGATATCTCGTGGCGGTTCGGCTCTCACCAAGCCCGGCCCTCTTTCCCTTCCCATTCCTCTTGACCAGTTGCAAGAGCTTGAAACACCCGGACACCTAGCGCCTTATTCCATCAACGTCGACACCGAGCACCATCTTGTACCGCGAAAACCTCCAGACCAGCTCCCCATCGTTCTCCAGGTCCTTCTCTCGCAACCCCATCGACTGCGCGCCTTGATCCTCCTCTCGCAGTTTGTCGACCTCGGACCTTGGGCCGTCCACTTAGCCCTCACCATCGGCATCTTCCCCTATATCGCTCGCCTCCTGCAAGCGGCAGGACAAGACCTGAAGCCTGTCCTTATCTTCATCTGGGCGCGAATATCGGCGGTCGATCCGAGCTGTCAGGTTGATCTTTACAACAACCAGGGGTACAAATATTTTGCGTCCGCTCTCTCCGGTCAGGACGACGCTCGCCAAGCCCATCTTCCCAACGGCTCAGAGCACAAAGCGATGTGCGCATTCATCCTCTCGACTATCGCCCGCGACTACGCCAATGGCCAGAACGCATGCTGGCGGGAACGCGTGTTTGATTCCTGCTTCGATCATCTCGACGAAGGCGACTTCCTCCTCCGCCAGTGGTCAGCGTTATGTATCGCGCAAATTTGGGATGCAAATGACGAGATCAAGGTCTACGGTGTCGACCGCGGGATGCAAGACAAACTCATCGCCCTTCTCTCTGACGATTCGCCAGAAGTACGATCCGCCGCCCTTTACGCTCTCAGCACATTCCTTGGCGCATCAGGGTCTTCGGATCTGGAAAAGCTGGGAGGCGGAGGGAGTGGGACGATGTACCAGCTGGACGAGCGGATACACTTCCGGATGGAAGTAGCCGTAGTCACAGGTGCGGCCCTGGCTATCAAGGAGGACGCAAGCCCCATGGTGCGCAAGGAGCTTCTCGTTCTTATCAGCTGCTTGGTCAAGGAATGGCGCGGATACTTTATTGTATGTGCGTGGATCTACTGGGAAGAAGACCGCCGGTGGAAAGAAGGCGAGGAGACCCAGCATCCCGATGATGATGTCGCCGCAATCGCCGTCACCGAGTGGCTCGACAGTTTTGCCGACGACGAGGACTACAGAGCGGAGAACCGTGTACTTCTCTCGTCGTTCTTCACCATCTTTTCCATACTGCTGGAGCTTTCGGTGGACCCTTACCAAGAGGTCGCCACGCAAGCCCAGACGATCGTCGATTACACCATGGCTCTACTCTTGGAGTCACCGTTCACTAGGCTAGACAACACAACACTCTCTTTCCCACCCGCTCAGCACACCTCGAAGAATGCTCTGAACAGCTCTCGGCACCGTGTCTCGTCAAACACCTCTGTTCAGTCAACACAGTCCTCAGCCGGTGGTCCACCTCGCCCACAGCTAACGCGAAGCGAGACGATGACCAGCACATTCTCCAACGGCGTCTCCAACACCCTCCGCCGAACCTCGTCTTTCGCCAACGTGCTCAGGAATTTGGCTGGGAATATCGCATTCCCTGCTGGTGAAGAGGGGCGCTCTTCTCCCAAGCCGCAGATCGCCGTGCAGGAGCGTACAGAGATCGTGGAAGGCGTCTCTCGTCCGCCATCTCCCAACCTGAACTTCGCTCAGTACGCATCACCCTACTCCCGTCCAGACAGCCCCCATGAAGAGTACCCCGGGGTGTCACGATCGCCTGTCGACTCTCCCCCATCGACGATGGACTTCCTTCCGAGCGACGTCATGGAGGCGCTCATGGAGGAAGACATGGAACGTCTTCGCGCAAGGCGGCGTGTTTCCGACAGGAGACACAACGGTCACCACGGTCATCATGGCGGCGGACACCACGGACACGAACCGCATTTCAGCGGAGGAGTCAGCCCATCAGGCAGCACCTTCTCCGTGGATTCTAGCGTCATTCTAGGGCTTGGGACAGGCGTCGGTATCCGTGACGTGTTGCCGCTGAAGAGCCGGTTCTACGACTGGTGCTGCGAGTACTTCAAGGAGCCCCAGATGAGAGTGAGCGCACAAACCGTCTATGTTTGTCGCATTTGCTGACGGTGTTCGGAACAGCAACCAGAGGTGGACGAGCCGGGAAGCGTGCAGTACAACTATCAGGTGTGGCGACAACAGCGTAACGAGCACGTCATGGAAGATACGGAGAAGCAAGCTCGCGAAGCCCGTGAGTTATCTTCATTCTTCCGGTGCCGCCATACGCTGACGATGTATACTCCCAAGCGCGCTGTCGATGGGACCGGCCCGTCAAGACAATTCAGATCAAGGGCTTACCTCTTTCTCTTGCATTCCACGCTTACGACCCCCACCTCGTCATCGCAAACGAGGCCGACGTGATCACGTGCGTGGCTCCATAAAGTGCACCCTCCTATCCGATGTTGACATTACTCGACAGTGTCTGGGACTGGATCAAGGGCCAAAGGCTCAACCAATTCTTTAATGGAAACCCTCGAGGCACAAGCATCACCTCCCTCCACATCATCAACCAAGATGTCGGAGGGATCATCCTAGCTGGTGCAGGTGAGCAGGCATTCGGTAACATCTCATTCCTCACGTAACTGGACCTTTTGCAGCGGATGGCATGATTCGCCTGTACCGCAACTATGATCCCAACCTTTCGGTTGGCCCGGTGCAGATGGTCAGCGCGTTCAGAGGGTTGAATGAGGTGATCCAGGTTCGGCGCGGCAGTGGTATTGTCACGGATTGGAAACAGTCCAATGGTACACTCATGGTCGGCGGAGACTCACGGATCGTCCGGGTTTGGGATGCGCACACAGAAAGCCAGGTCATGGTTCGTACACATCGTTCTCATCACCTAAACGTCTGCGCTCATACAACGCCCATCACAGGACATTGATACCAACGCTGAGAGTCCTGTCACGCCCTTGCGTCTGACAGTGGGATATCGTCGACGTTCCTGGCCAGCTTCGCTGATGGGACAGTCAAGTACTTCGATCGGCGGCTAGAAGAAGACGACGCTGTTGTGCGGTCCTATCATCAGCACACATCGTGGGTCCAGAACGCAAAGTGGCACCCAACTCTCGGCGCCCATTTCATCTCCGCAAGGTACGTTGGCGCTTCGCCCACCGTTAACGTCAACATCTAACACGTTTGCTATTTGTGTAGTTTGGATGGTGAGGTGAAGCTGTGGGATGTTCGAGGCGGTGATTCGCCGTTGGACACTTGGGATGTATTCCCCCATGGGTTATCGGCATTTGACGTTCACGAAGAGACCGAAGTTTTCGCAGCGTATGTCGCAACCCGTCTTATTGCATTCATTCACAGAGGGCGCCGCTCACCTTGTGATACACAGAACGTCTTCGCTCTCCGCATCCAACTGGCGCGCGCAGCGCACGGATGTGCAGTCGCTTGCCTCACATCGCAGTCTGGGCTCCTTGACGACCAGCCTCTCTATCCCTCCGCCGCGCGAGAACGTAGCGCCCTTCACGCCACGGACGAGCAGCCTCATCTTCCACCCACGCGAGATGGTATACGGCGCCGGTTTCTGGGACGGATCTGGTGAGTGTGCCTTGCGCGAGGCACCGGCTGTGCCCGTTAATTCACCCCGAGTGTCTGAATGCTGATTTATACTTCCGCAGTGCGTATAATGGGATGCAAGCTCCCATCAGTAGTGTAGGGCGGCAGCGCCTAGCAAACATACCCTTGAAGTCTTGTAATCGCCCCTTGCTTCTGTTTCGGGTCGGGCCCTCAACCTGCATTCGCCATCTTCCAAGCACTCGCTCTGTATTTACATCTACCTCACCCGCAACCGCCCCAGATCGGACCGTACCGTCACCATGCGCTTTCACGTTTACCCGATCAGTTCGTGAACCATACGAAGACCGTTTGCTTTGCTAATACGCTCATGCTCAAGTATATTCACAGTGTACCATATCCAACGTACATACAGTAACATAATCTATCCTCGTGTATTGTCTTGATTCCACGTCTCTTTGCCATTTGGCTCATGAAGATCAGGCTGATCGGGGCTGTGTTTCCACTCAATGGGCCCGCTTGGGCGACGGGCTTGGCCCGGAGTTGCATCTATCACCCGACCCTGCACTTTGACAGGACGCTGTGGGTGCGAGCGATCGTCGCAAGCCTCGAGGTGGCCATTGAAGGTGAAGGTGGACCTATGGGCCATTGGAAGCCTGTGGAAGCGGGCCTCGGCGAACGCCGATTGCCGAGCCGACGTGAGCGTCCAAGGGGACTGCCAACAGTTCAACCCGCCTCTCATTCCCTGTGCCTTTCGACTATCATTTCACTCTCACTGTCTTCCATCTGTCAGGATGCGCAAGATCTACCCCTAACTCCGGTTCGCGTTGGGGCAATCTCGGGAGAGTCTTTGATTCCGCTGTCGAAAAAACAAGTGACAAAGATGCACCACATATCCATGGAATTCCGCGTCCATCTTCCTTTGTTGCACCTATCCAGCAACCACAAGGGCAAAAGTGCGGCAGCTAGCTGGTAAGAGTTTTGGGTTGTTCGTGACTCGCCCCTGTGAACTGACAAGGCAGTCTTGTCCGACCGCCCAGTTGTAGTATCGACGCCGCTGAGTAGACTCTGCTTTTCAGCCAGTGGCACCTGATCTGGATCTCCTCGCTAAGGCAAATCATATTGAAACACGGTGTCGCGCGCCCAACACTACCATGACAGCGGGGTTTGTTATATCCGCCGTTGACAAATGCCGGAGACGCCTCCCGTGGATCGCGACCGATCGCAGCGAGGGCACAAGACTCCACGAGGGCGAGTACTTAAGCCTTGTCTCTGGATTCCTGTTCATTCATCCTTCTGCATTCGCAGGAAGACGTCGTCGCGCGATTCCTCATCGACCAGCATGGCTCCCGTTCCCGGCGTATACTACGGCCCCGACGAAGACGAGAACACCATCAATCTCGAGCGGTTCTTCCTCGCTGGCGACTTGGTGTGTGGCGTCGGTTATGGTATGTCACTTCAAATACACTGCCAGTCTCCTGTCTACTAGTTCTGACAGCGTGCTATAGGGATTCAACTACTCATCTGGTCCTCGTGCACGATGTATCTCTGGAAGCACCGATATCGCGGGAGGAAGACGATGTTTCTCCTCGGCTATCTTGTGCTCCTCTTCGTGATCGACACGATTTTCGTGATCGATCAGGCGCGCACCGTCCAGGTCATCTACGTCGAGAACAGGAACTACCCCGGCGGCCCATGGCAGTACTTCCTCGACACTCAGTACCTCGCGGTCAACGTTATCTTCTACGCTACCTTCTTTATCATGACGTTCATGTGCGACGCCATCGTTGTGAGTATTCTGAGGCTGCTACATATGGAGATGTCGCTTATCGCCAATCCCAGCTGTGGCGTTGCTGGATCATTTGGACGTCGTCAGGGCGTATGCAAGCATATGCGGTCACGTTCTTGCCCTGCATTATGCTTGTCGCGTCCTTTGGTGCGCCTCGCCCACTTCCTACCGCGGCATCTCTACTTACAGCCCCACCCATGCAGTCATGGGCACGCTCTGGACGTTGCAGTCGAGCCACCCCGGCCTCTCGCTATACAGCAAGACACCACTGGCATACGGCACCGCATACTACGCCATCTCGCTCGGCGCGAACATCATCCTCACCGCGCTCATCACCGGTCGCCTGTTCGCATTCCGCCGGACGCACCTCGCCCACCTCCCGCCACAGCACGCCCACCAGTACCTTTCGCTCGCGACGATCGTGGTCGAGTCCGCGGCGCTCTACTCTGCGTTCGCGATCGCATTCCTTGTTTCGTACGCGCTCAACTCGCCGATCAACCAGGTCTGGCTCGGAGTCGCGTCCGCTGCTCAGGTGCGTTGACCGCTACGACCGCTCTTGTTCGAGCACTGACAGCTGGGCAGCAAATCGCGACGTATCTCATCATCTATCGTGTCGCGGACGGGACGGCGTGGACGAAGGAGAAGATGGAGACACAGACACAGTCCACGTTCCAAGCAGGGGATGTGGCTTACGCCAAACCGGAAGCTACTCCGTCCGACCCCGGTGTGTTCTCGACTGGGATAATCGCCATGTCTGTCGGCGATGACTTCCTCGCTGAGTCGAAGGTGGAGTCTTCGTAGCGCAGCTTTCGATGTACTTGTGGTTGTATCATACGGCTTGTTGTTCTATAATCAGTGCATCTCGTACCTTGCTGTTAGACCTTGTCTTCCCCTCTGGTGTGCCTGTGGTCATCCAGCTCTCCTCCCCCGCTCCGCGAGACCGCGACCCGTTCGCTCTATTGTACCGAGTGTATGACGTCGCTGGGCCCCGGCCCGAGCGGCCAGTAGATTGGATTGGATCTGTCGACTTGTGCATCGGGCAACCCCCTCCACAGCTGGCTCTCGCGGTAACGTTGCCCCCTTATCTCTACTAGTCTACTGAACGCCCCGCGTACCCTACACTCGGCTCATTCACCCTGGCCCGTTCGGTCCTCCTCGGAGGACCATTGCGTCACCCCCCGTATGCGCTAACCTCCCCCGTCTTATAGTTGCTGTATGTACCGCCTACCATAGGGCTCCGCCCTTACGGGCGATAAATGGAAATAAGCAAACCTTACCTGGCCGACGTGTACTAACCAGAAATGATGCTATTTAGAACAGTCCATTTCTTTTCCTCCGTGTCGAATGCAAAGTACTCAAGATGAGGGGTTACTTGCAGAAGTGACCAGCATAAGCTTGCAATGGGTCTTTCCAGACTGGCTAGTGATCGAGCGCCCGTTTGATGACGTATCCCGACAGCGTGGGCACGTTACTCTACATATGTTCTCACCTCGCATGCAATGGATGCAAATATGGCCCTTTCCCCTGGCGGCTCGGAGCGCTGCGCCGCTGCGCGAATTCCCATATGGACACCGCGCGCATATCCTACACTTTCACTCCTGGTCTACCACCTCTTGTTCCCCGCGTCGCACTCAGCATCATCTTGATTGCGTACTGGCTTGGCGACCGCAGCGCGTTCAAGACGCTCTTTCAGTCCAGGCGGAACCTTGAGGCGCCCTCCTCTTTCACCCTCAGGCCGCATCCGTTCAGAGCCCCAGGAGAACGAGGACGGTATGGCGGGTCTGTTTTTGAGACAGTTTTGGGCCTTGTTTTGGAAGAACTGGATTGTAATGTCCAAACACCCTTGGGTACGTCCATCCCTCCATGTTGCGCAAACTCCACTGAAGAACACCGTCTGCAGCTGAACACGCTGCGATGTTTTATCATGCCTGTGGCCTATGGCATCTTCCTCGCTGTTGCCCAACTCTTCCTCAACAAACCTAACAACGTACGTCTGACCCCGCCTTTCCCATCCGCGCTCCTTCACATTTTCCTGCGCATATAGTTTGGTCTGGGAACCGCGATAGCGGTGCCGCGTCTCGCGGATGTCTACGACGGAAAGCTGGCGCTCCTGTGGGCAGACGGCACCAACGGAACCGGCTCGCCCTCCGCGCAGGAAATCATCAACACCGTTACCCGTGGTTTCTCGTCGCGCCAGCTCGCAGGCGTTCGCAAGCTCGACGCAGTCGACGACATCCCGTCCGCTTGCCCGCAGAACTTCAACCTCTTCTCTGAGTGCTTCGCCGCGGTCGCGTTCAACGAGTTACCAGCCGCCTCGGACACCGTCGGTTCGATCAATTATACGCTCAGAGCGGACGCAGGTTTGTTCCACATCGATGTCACCAAACACAACAGCGACTACGAGCAGCGGTTGCTCCCTCTCCAGTGGGCCGTAGACAGTGTGAGTCGCTAGAGAAGCGCGTGTTGCGCCCTTTGCTCACGTTGTTTCCCGCGCGACAGGCCATCATCGAACTGAGAACGGGGACGACGTCACCGACGCCTCGAGAATGGCCATTCACCCAAGAGACGAACGATGAGCAGTTCACGGAGATCAGGTTGAGCTACATTCGAGGCTTGCGGACGCTGCTCGTTTTGGCCCTGTGAGTACAGCGTGTCTGCCCAGATCGCACACGCTCTGGTTGCTCATGCTCGCATGCTAGGTTCATCTGCTATGTTGGGATCTCTTATCAGCTCCCCGGCTCGTTCAGCGGAGAGCGCGCGAACCTGCTCACAGCTCATCTAAAAGTGATGGGTCTCCTCGATTCGGCGCGCATCATGTAAGTCTGTCGGACTGTTTTGGTGACGCACACATTAACCTCTGCCATGCAGTTCGTGGCACATCAGCATCTCTTTGGCATACCTTCCTGCCTGGGTCATCGTCTCGATTATCTGGCACTTCCGCATTTTCACCGCGACTAATATCGGGATCATCATCGTAGTCCATCTCCTTCTGGGCTTCACCCTCGCTAGTTGGTCATTCTTTGTCGCCACACCATTTGGCAAGTCGCCGCAGCTCGCCGCGGTCGCATCCACCTTTCTCTCCATCGTCTTCGCCATCCTTGCTCTCGTCTTCTCGCGCGCGAGCACTGGCGCGGCATTCGTCTTCACCTTGATCTTCCCTCCTGGGTTCTACATATTCGCCATCCGCGCGATATGCGGGTGGGAAGTGCACCGGCTCGCGACCGACGCGCTTCAGCCAGATCCGGACAGCGGCCTCCGACTCCTGCCTCTAATCATCGCCGCTATTGTAAGGTTGTTTCAGCAAATTCACGCTGCCTGCCATTGACCCGCCTTTCTCACACGTAGATCGACGTCTTCCTCTGGCCATGGCTCGCCACGCTGTGGGAAAGTCGTTTGTATGATGCCCGGAACCCGTCGACACGCTCATGGTGGTCGTGTTTCGGTCGTCGTGCCCGGCGTGCGGAGGATGGCATGCCGCAGATGGCGCCCGACATGGCCATATCCGTCCGGAATCTCGGTAAGGATTTTAAGTCGTCGTTTTTCAAGAGCGGCAAGGGCGTCGTCACTGCTGTATCCGATCTGAGCATCGACGTACCCAAGTTCGGCATCTATGTTCTTTTGGGCTCGAACGGGTGAGTGATACCGATCACCGTATGTGTGACCATGCTCATGTTTTTTGAAGGGCGGGAAAATCAACGACGATGTCGATCCTCGCGGGGCTTCTGGGACGCACGCGCGGTACGGTCACTTTCGAAGGCGGCATTGAGAAACCGCCCCGAGGCACCATCGGCATCGTCCCGCAGAAGAACGTGCTCTTCCCAGAGCTCACTTGCTTCCAGACGTTGCGGGTCTGGAAGGCGGTCAAGCGCGCGGACGGACGGTCGGACGACGACATCGAGCAGCTTCTCCGGGACTGCGACCTTGGCAAGAAGATCCACTACAACGCGAATGCGCTGAGCGGCGGACAAAAGCGGAAACTGCAGCTTGCCATTGGGCTGATTGGCGGATCCAAGAGTGAGTTGCATGTGCTTGACTTTGATACGTGCTGACGGATGTCTCCAGTTGTCTTGGTCGACGAATGTACATCTGGGGTCGACCCACTGTCTCGACGAGCGCTTTGGCGCACGCTCAGCTCGTTCCGCAATGAGCGTACCGTCGTCTTCACAACCCACGTATGTTCGTCCTTCTCACCTGTTGGGACTTTCTGATTTGTCTTTAGTTTCTGGATGAAGCCGATCTCTTGGCGGATCACATCGCCGTCCTCAAGGCCCCGGGTACTCTCGTCGCTAGTGGGACTCCGGTAACCCTCAAGTCTAACCTCGGCGAGGGTTACATTGTGACTACTACTTTTGCGGAAGACAACGAGAAGTCGGCCGGCGGCGATCACGCGAACCAGCTGCTCGACAGGATACGCGCGCTGGCACCCCTCACATACACGACATCGTCGTCTCCCCATGAAATCTCCTATCATCTCAAGCTAAAGGAAGCGTCCGAGGTCCAGCAAGTCTTGGAGCTGGTGGAGGCCAGCCGCGATGCCTACGGGGTAGCAAACTATTCAGTCAATGGAACGTCAATCGAGGACATATTCCTGGGTCTCATGCACGATGAGCGGCCCTCTATCGAAGAGAAGAACGAAGATGCCCACTCATCAACGACGCCTTCCCTCGTGCACAATAGTAACGCTACGGCGGTCGCCCCCCTGGAGCTCACGAACGGCCGACGTCGGTCCCCGCTCAGCCAAGCGTTCACCATATTCCACAAGCGCGTCCTGATTGCGAAGCGCAGCTGGCTTACACCGACTCTTTCCGTGCTCATCGCCGTCGCCGGCGCGTGCATCCCGACCTTCTTCCTGAACGGACAAAGCGCCCCGTCGTGCGTCATGCGCTTCCGCAACGTCCCGCAAGTTCCTCTTTACCTCCCGTTGTCGCCACTCGGCTTCTTGGGGGAGATCTCCACTGGCGGGCGCATCCTGGAGTCCCCGCCGGGGATCGTGTCAACGCTCGGGAATAGCACGTCTATGCTGCTCCTAGACCCCATCTCAGACAACGCGACATTCGTCAACACCATCGATCAGACGTTCATCGACGAGCCCTTCGGCGGTGTCTCGGTCGACACCCAGTCCGGCAACGCGCTGCTTGCCTGGGAAGCGACCCCGCCTGGGCTCACCGGTCTCGTCATGCTCAACCTCGTCTCGAACATCCTGTACAACAGCGCGCAGAACAACGCCTCCGGCCCTGTCATCCAGGCGAACCTGCAAAATCTACCTATGATCGCCGCTGGGACGCTTGTCGCACTCAAGTGGGTGGCCTTCTTCGGCGCGGCAATGGCCGTCTACCCTGCCTTCTTCTCGCTCTATGTCGCGAAAGAGCGCCGCGCGGCCGTGCAAGCGATGCAGCTCTCGAACGGTCTAGCGGACCCAGTTGGAATGTGGTTGGGTCATTTGCTCTTCGACTCGATCTTCGCGGTCCTCGCGGCGTCCATCATCATCATCATCTTCGCGACCACGGGGGAGCACTTTGTCGGGCTCGGGCTCTTTGTGAGTAGTCGTATGAAGCGGTTCTTGTACTTGCTGACGTCGTTGGACAGTGGGTGGTGCTGGTACTCTATGGCATCGTGGGCGCGTTGTTTTCGTACTGCGTGTCGCTGATCGTCGCATCACCTCTGGCGGCATTTGCGCTCGCCGCCGGGTATCAGGTCGTCATGTTCGTGGTATGTATAATCTCGGACCATTTGTGTCGGGTGTTTGCTGAGTTCAGGTTAGCTTTACCTGGCCGCATACTTACTGGTCCTCACTTATGCCAAGACGTCGGAGGCTGGCAAAGACCTCATGCTCATCCGTACGTTCATTCACTCCCTTTGTTCATCCATTGCTTACAGTGGCATTCCAGATTACACCATGTCGCTTTTAGCTCCAGTGGCGAGCCCCGTGAGTGTCCTCTTAAGCATCATCTTGACGCGTATCTGACACGCTTGCCAGTTGCGCGCTTCCTTCGTTTCCGTCAACTTGTTCTCCCTGCTCTGTGACGGCTCCGAAGTCGTCGACACAGCTGCTCTCGGATCGATCCAGCGCTACGGCGGACCCATCGCATACCTCTTTGTGTACGGTTTTATCCTCTTCGGCATCCTCGTCTGGGTCGATTCAGGCTCCGTCATTGTGCGCAAGTTCTCGCAGTTCCGGAAGAACAGTTTCGGTACCCGTGCAAAAGAAGCGCCTGTGGCCGGGCAAGACGTCAAGGACGAAGCAGCTCAGGTGTCAGGGTCGACCGATGCCCTCCGCGTGATGAACGTCGTCAAAGCGTTCGACACCTCGGACAACCGTGTGGTGGACGATGTGAGCTTCGGCGTGTCGAAGGACACCATCTTCGCGCTCCTCGGTCCGAACGGCGCAGGCAAGACGACAACGTTCAACGTTATCCGTGAGTCCATCACAATACAGGACCTCTTGATTACTGACTGTACTCTCCCCAGGTGGCGACGTCATCCCCGACGAAGGCGACGTGCTCATCAACGGCATGTCGATCGTCCACCATCCGCGCTCGGCCCGGCTCTCCCTCGGTGTCTGCCCGCAGTTCACCGCGATCGACTCGCAGCTGACGGTGCGCGAGCACCTGCTCATCTACGGGCGGCTCAAGGGCCTCACGCGCGGCGCGGAGCTGCAGACGAACGTCGACCGGCTGATGCGCGCGACGGCGCTGCACATGTACGCGGACCGGCTCGCGAGCGCGCTCTCGGGCGGGAACCAGCGCAAGCTGTCGCTCGCGATCGCGCTCATCGGGAACCCGTCCGTCGTGCTCATCGACGAGTTCTCGACCGGGATCGACGCGAAGATGAAGCGGGACATGTGGGGCACACTCCGGAACGTCGCGGTCGGGAAGGCGATCGTGATCACAACTCGTATGTACCGCGCGCCATTCGCAGGCCATGGAGGCTCGTCGCTCACGCTCTTCCCTGCACAGACTCTATGGAAGAAGCGTCGGCGCTGGCCAACAAGGTCGGCATCCTTGCCAAAAAGATGTTGGGTGAGACTCTCCTCTCTAGTCTGCCGGCGCGTCGACTGACCGTGACTCGTTTTGCTCAGCGGTTGGGACGACGGACGCGCTCGTCGAGCGCTACGCTACGTACGAGGTCCACTTCACGTGCAGGACGCGGGACGAGGTCGCGCGCGCGCAGGAGCTGATGGCCCAGGTACCCGGGGCGCGCATGGCGGACGACGTCGCTACGCGGTTCGCGGTGCCCATCGTCCGGGGCGGCGACGGGCTCTCGCTCGCGCAGCTCTTCGCGGTGCTCGCGCGTGGGGACCTCGCGGAGTACGCGGTCGAGCGCGCGGGGCTCGAGAGCGTGTTCTTGAAGGTGATCCGGGAGAACAACGTCGCAGAGGAGGACAGAGACGGCGGGCGGCGGCGGTGGTTGCGGATGTGCTGATGCTCGTTCGGTGGATTTCGGGCCTAGATTATAGATTCTGGTATACACACACGGCCCTTGTACTTGCTTTCGCGCACACGGACTATAGGTACACATGATAATGTTATGTTACAGCTGTTTCCGAAGCGATTCCCCGACGCTACGCGAGCAGCAACAGGCACGAATGCTCCGAAAATTATGGAGAAATTCGGAGCGTCACCTCGGTCAGCCGAGATCCTCTCCACAGCACGCTGCCCGTTCAAAGCGCGCCCATACCGTCTTTAAACGATTCAGTTGTCCTTGCTCGACTCGTCCGCGAACACGAGCTGCGAGCGCGAAAACCGGGAGGTGATCTGGGCGTGCCACCGATGCCGGGTGATCTCGTCGCGTTCAGCTGCCACCTCATTTCCCAGTTTCTGGTACGATGGACGAGGGTACGGTGGGCAGTACTTGATGAGAGTAATGCGAATACCGTGGGTTTCAATGTGCCATTTGAGGTGCATCGGGTGGGAGATCCTCTAAGGGTGGAAGCAGATGACGGTGACCACAGAGCATCTTTTGAAGCTGTTCTGAGTCCTGACGCCTAGCAGCCGCCTCCCCACCGCCGGATGGAGCGTACGGACACTCCCAGAGCTTCGGCGATGTTGACCCGCGACTAGCCTTGAACCGACCGTAAGTATATCGCACACGCCTTGATATCTTGGGAGGTAGAGCACCCAGGCATGGTCAGAAGCGAAAGAGAGACAAAAGGAGTGGAGTGGAAGGCGCAAAACCGTTGTGCGGAAACTGGAGACGATGAGGTCGATTTTTGCAGAAGACGAGCATGCACGCCGTGCGAGATCTCTGCTGAGTGCGCCCCAGAGCTGGTGCGGCCTCCCGCGCTGGCTTCTGGCCGCACCAATCAATTGATCATGCTCGGCAACGTTCGTCTCCCGAGCTCTCGCCGCGGCCCGCCGCGCAACATCCTCCGCTCCGAGCCCGAGAGCCATGGCTAGCAATGGCAGTGGGAGCCCGCGCACGGCCCACCTCTCCCTCTCTCTCTCTGCCCGCGCGCAGCTTGCGCCCGGACCCCCATCTCGCGGACCTTGTGCCCCGGCCCCAGTCCTCGCTTCTCGCCTCTCGTAACGCGCGCGCGGCGGCAAACCCGACGGAAAGATGTCCCACAAACCCGCTGAGAAGGCGGAGGAGCCCGGGCTCGATGAGCGGCAGGAAGAGGAGGAGGAAAGCGACGAGTACGACGTCGAGGTGTGTGCGCGCCTGCGCGCCCCCCTCCCTCGCGCTGCCCGTGCTGACCCCGCACCATCCGTTCTCGTTCGGCTAGGACGACGACGACGACGGTGAGGGCGAAGATGAGGGCGAGGAGGACGAAGACGAGGAAGACGAGACCGAGGCAGTGGTGCGTGTTGCGCTCGCGGCCGCCGTCTTCGCGATGGGAGTCTGCATATTCACGTCGGCCCGCGTCACGCAGCCGCACAACCCTGCAGCCCAGCAGGCGAGCCTGACCGCGATGCTCCTTGGCGCACAGGTGAGCACCGTGGTTTGCGTTTCTCCGTCCCTTTCCCGCCCGCGCGTGGGGCGTGCATGTATGCGTGCTCACTGTTGGTGAACATTGCTCTAGGCGCTCCGGGCCGCGAATGGGGACTACGAGGAAGACGACGAGGACGACGGGGAGTACGAGGATGCGCCGGTGGGCATGAGCGCGACGTCGTCCGTCGCGGGCGCGAAGCGGAGCCGGGAGGAGGATGAGGACGTCGAGGCGGGGCTCGCGGGCGAAGACGGTGCGCTCGAGGCGGCGGAGGAGGGCGTGGCGAAGAAGGCGCGGACCATCGCGGCGGCGGACGAGGACGAGGGGGCGGACGAGGTTTGAGATGCACGAGGCGGGTCGGAGGACAGAAGGGAAGGCTTGCTCGGCCTTGAGGACATGTGTGTACTGTTTTATCTCGTCCTGCTGTGCTTTTTATTGTGCTATGTGTTATCCATCCCACCGTCTAGTCGTGCAAATTCGAGTGCTCTTACGCGGCGAGAGACTCTGGACCGGATGCGCCATCTCGTTCATGTACTACTCAAGCGAACTCCTCACGGTTCCTGCATGCCCAGCTGATCTGCAGAGAAACTCACACCCCTCACGCAGCCTGTGTCCAGGTTTTAGCCGTTAGTACGGATATCTCGCCCACACGACTAGCGCATTTCACCTAGTTGTCTCCCCGACTTCGACCACCACCAAATGTCGCAAATGAACCGAGTCCGACTGGCGTCCTTGCGGAGATTTTCTCGAATGCCGACCCCAAGGACGCCTCATCGCGCTGCAAGACTTTCCTCACGCTCGCGCCGCCTCGCCAACAACTTGCTCATCCAACTTTCTAACGACTGGCCCCTCGTTGCACGTCTTCACAGACTCGGTATCGCTGGGTCAAAGCCCCTCCATCGACCATCGAAGAAGACTGGGACAAGCCTCGGATCGACGACGAAGACACTCCCGATTCGCGACATGTGGGAGCGCACTGCCACCCACTGCTTGCTTGTATCGGTGACCCACTCTGGACGTGGGACAGGTGCTGGTATCTTTGGCTCCCATTATCAGCCCGTGCAAGACCTACAGAGGGCGCCCACTTCCAGATGTACGCGGTGCGTGCAGCACATCACTCTCCGTTCCATCCATCGGGCCCGAGATTCAAGCACAGTTTCAAGCACGAGCGAGCCGCTCCTCCCCTTGTCTTCGCCGAATCACACCAGTCCCACCCAGCGGGTTCTACGAACACTCCCAAGACAGTGGACGGCTTGCACTGCATTCTCCAAACGTCTACTGGGCGGAGGTTGAATGCGGATGTGGCTTGTACTCGTACTCAGACCGCAGAGCCGCGTAGACCACGCTCGAACGCCTCTCCTGCGCCATGTTCCATTGCCCCGACCCGGACGACTTCTTCAAGTCCGCGCCGTACCTGCCTCGAGTGCAACTTGCAACTGAGAGATGGCGCAAGAGGTGTCGGCGTACGTACCCAGTGATCGATGACGAATCGAAGAAGTTGCAGTCCCCATTTCATTCGGGAGACACCTGGATCCATGTGAAGCGGAGTGTGTGCAGGCGTGCGCATTTCGGGCTTCGAGGCTACATTTATGTTGACATACAGAGTACACAGGTAGTAAATCGCAAGCCCACGAGGCTTTGAGTGCGCACAAAACAGTCATAGAGCACATCCACCTTGTGGATCGCAGCGTTTAACATGGTAGAAGCACTTCCTTCACTGGGGGGACGAGTCAGAACCCATGCGCACTCCATCCTCTGAAGTGAACCACTCACTTGTCCCTCTCCGGGCAGAGCGGCAAGCTCCCTCCTGTGCGCGATGTTCGCCTGGAGACGGCGTTCCAACTCCGCGTGCGCCAGTGCCATCAACGGGTCTTTCCTCTCTTTCAGGTCGCGAAAATCCCCCCACATGGCCGTGTCCACCGCGTCCGAGATATCCTCGACCGTCTTTGCTTGATCCTCAGGGGAGACCCACTCTCCCTCAGGGGAAAGGCACTCCGCTATCTTCGCCCGCGCGGCCGCGAACTCGCCGAGCGCGCCGTCTTCGATCGCCCGGCACGCCTCCGCCTCCGCTCCCTCCAAGACGGCGTCGAACCCCGGCCGCGGATCCGCGCCCGGCTCGGACGCAGCGGGCGTGGATCCCCCGAGCCAGCGCGCATAACCTGCGAGCCACGTACGCCAGTCCGACGCCGGGTACACGACGTCCGCGCTGCCGGCGGGCACGAGCCGCTCCCAGAGCGCGCGCGCGAACCACGCGTGCGCGTGCGTGTCCTCGTAGGCCTCGACGTGCAGCCGGCGCAGCGCGCACGCCGCGACGACGAGACGGACGAGCGTCAGGGGCGCGCGGCTCGAGCGCAGGACCATCCGGCGGCGCCCCGTCACAGGGTCCAGGAACGGCCCGTAGACGTTGACCGCGTCGTGCACTGGGAGCCACATGGCCCGGTTCGCGTCGCTCGAGCAGCCGCATTTGTCGTACTGCTCGACGGGGATGGAGCCCTTCCAGCAGCGCTGGAACTTGATGAGCCCGAGGGGACGCGGAGGGGCCGGTTCGGAGGGAGGGGGTGCGTCGGTTGGATAGGAGGGGGTTCTGGCGTGGGGAAGAGCGACGTGAGCGATGATGTACTCGCGAGGGTGTCCGTCGTTTGGGTCCAGGATGTGGTCCAGCTGGGTGACGATGCAGGAGTAAAGTGGTTCAGGGGACCGGACGTCGTCTACCGAGATAGTGCGGTCGATGAGATTGTTCATGAGCACATGGAGCCGCCAGAAGTGCATTGCATTGTCCTTGCATCCGGAAATCCATGTAGGCAAGGAGGGAATACCGCTGAGCTTCAAGCGCAGAGTATCGAAGAGTGTCATCTGAGGGAAGACAATGAAGGGTAGACGCAAGTTCTGAGCGAGGGGCGGGCCATATCTGGTCAAGCCCCGACGGCGTCTATGTATGACGTGGTTTGGCCGTGGCTTGCATATATACTGTCCGTTGATAATGACCTCCCCAACGGGCTCTACACAATTTCACCCGCAGAGCGAGCTACCAGTCACGATCAGGGAAATATATACCTCTGTCCCTGAAGACAGCTGCCATTAATTTGAGACCGAGTGAGGCTGAAAATCGTGTCCACGACTTTTTGAACCTTTAGCCTGAGAAGCGGCGACAGGGTCCGACGCCTCCCCGAAGTCGTCGTACGTCGTCAGGTTCCGCAAGCTCTCGGGCAGTGAAAAGATAAGCTATCGCCTGCGGGTCCTCTGCGGGAATGGGAGAGCGCGTTTTCAGTGGCAGAGGAGAGGTCTGCTGTGTGTTCGAAGCCGACAGGTGGAGTTTGGATCTTGCGCCACGCAGGGATGCGGATCTTCAGCGATGTCTTGCGCGCCTTTGAGCTGTGGTGTCGATTAGAGTGTGCGCCTCAGCGAAGGTGAAAAAGCGCACCATGAGAAACTTTTGGGCGCGAAGCATCAATGCATGAACCCCTTCACCGCCTCCTCCGGCGTTCTCAACGCTGTGGTCCCCCTCGGAGCCGTTGACGCCATGCCACGACGAGTATATGACACTACTGTCGGGATCGACATCGGAATGGTCGGTTTCACGGTCAGATCCAACAACGACGATGTCGTCGTCGGAGAGGGTGCGGTGCACGAGAGACCTGTGTAAGCATGAGGAAGGGGAAATAGTGGAGAAAAGCTGTGAAGACCAACATGAGGAGGTGCGTGTGTGCAGGGTGAATTTTCGGGAGATCTTCCATCAAATTCAAGTTTGCGGGCGCGGTTTGGACAAGCCTTGTGCAAGACGCTGTAGTTCCTGTTGAAATACAAGAGCTCGCCGCTGGGAGTGGACTTCGGAATGCCGCAGTGTAGTGACATGCGACCGCATCTTGGGCGGCTTGCTTGCGTGCGGTGACACACCTTCTTCAAGCCGTCACTGGAGGGATCCAGGACGGGCTTGAGGCCTTCGAACTCGAACTGGTGCTGCAGGTTCTGACCAACGACCTCGATCGCTTGGCGTGCGGATCCACCCAGGCTGCTAGAATCGCGCAGGGATTGGTCTTGAAAACGTCCGGTGGATTGACGTCGATGTTCAGACACAAGACAAGAGCGGCATGGGCCGTCTTGATCTTCCCCGGAGCTGCATGCCAGGGAATCATCTTCGGTGTACCAGGCGGAGGCGGAGTGGGGTTACCACAGGTGCGGTGTCGCTTCGCGGCCCGGCATGGGTGAATGGGGGAGACGTCGGGGATGTCTGTCATTGAGCCATTATGCCGGAGGTACACCTGTACGTGAAGAGGACGCCTCTGAGCGGGTGGTCGAGCGGTAGTCGCGTTCTGTGTCCGAGTCGTCCGAGCCCTTCCATCTTGCCGGAGGCCAGCCGTTGCTGCCTGGAGCACAAGGTTTACAACCTAGGACGAGCAAGGAGGGACTCGTGGACGGACCTTCTGCATGATAGTTCCCGTACATCGCTGTGATCTATACCCGCTCAAACAAGAGCCTTCGCGGAACGTCGAGGCGCGAGTTCCGGGCTGTGAAACGAGAGAGGAATGTGGATATGCTATGAGCAAGTTGTGGGGAGAGGAAGTGGCTGAGTGAACACGTTATTAGTCGAGATGTTATTGGCGACTTATCTGAAGCTTACCTGCTTACAACCCTGGTAAGTTCGACCTAATACATACAATTGGATTACGACGCGTCTTTAGCGCTTCAGCGCCTGAGGTAGACTGCACCACAGCGACATCCTCAAAGGCTTGATCACCACCCACCTTCACGTCGCGGTCTCCTCACGAACCTACACGCTCCTTCCTGCAATTTTACGACCTAGCTCTGCTCTGGACGCTGGATGCCTCGACCACATGCCTCCCACCGGATCGGATCCTCCTGTTGGTGCGGTCGTTGAGGTTCCCGTCGGTCGAGGGACAGTTCGATTTTGCGGTGCCACGGGATGTGACTGGCCTCGACGATCTCCAGGGTATGGTCTCCGGCTTGAACATTGTTGTCCCCGTGACCAATCAGCTTGCTTCTAGCTCAATACGAGTCTTCGCTCATCAAGTTGTCCAACGCGGAGGTCCAGATTGAAGATCTGAAGGCTCAGCTGGACGATGCCTTGGGTGCAGAAGATCTTCTCGTGCAGCTTACAGAGCGCAACCTCATGCTTGGAGAGGTGCGGCTCCTCGTCCTTGCGTGTCTTGTGGATTCTGTAACACAACGTTTCAGAAAATCGAAGAGATGCGTATCACCATCGAGGATCTCGAAGCTCTCAAAGAGCTGAATGACGAGCTCGAGGAGAACCACGTGGAGACTGAGAAAGCTATGCAAGAAGAGATCGGTAAGCGTTTCTGGCCTGCACCAGTATTTTTGTGTGACGCCTTTCCTGCAGACGCAAAGGAGATGCAAGTTCACGAACAGTCCCGCAAGATTCAGAGCCTCGAGGAATCATGCCAGGATTTGGAAGGCACGATTGTTCAGTTCCGGGAACTTGTTTTGTCATTGCAAACGTACGCGACTCAACTTACGTCCGTCATCCTCATCTTATACGGATGCTGCCACAGGGAACTAGATAATCTCCGGACGGAGACGCAGACTGCACAACACGAGTCTGCTACAGCTGCCTCACAGACGGCTGCGATGATGTCGCTGAACCTCAAGCTACAGTCGTCGGCGTTGAAGAACCAGGTGCGGCATATTGACCTCGAAGTCAAGAAGATCGAAGCACGCGAGGCCTGGGACTTCCTCACCATCGTCCAGCCGTATCTCCCTCAGGTCTATGTCGAGTCGTTGTGCAAACGCACAACTTTCCCGAGGCCTTGAACCGACCCGTTTCGGACGTATCTGCGAGGTGGGTTCTCTTCAGTGTGATGTAATGACAATTGCTGACCTCTCTGGAGACCTGTCTAACATTGGCCGATTTTATGCACCTTCGGCTGGAACTGTACTAGTTGCAGTGCCACCATCTCTCGGAAGCGCATTTCCCTGTTTTTTTACTTGGATTTCGGCGAACGCGAGTTTCGTTGGATCACGGCTTGGAGATATTTGCAGGCGCAGTCGGTCTCGTCAAGATGCTAGCGGCAGCCGCCACCAGAGCCTAATTTTTGGAGGCAGGAGCTTAAGGAGGTGCTCGACGTCCGGATGCTGCTCTCGCCATTGGCTTATTACCACGTCTTCCGTCTTCCTGGTCTCACTATACCCTACACGAATGTCATGTCCGTAGAGCATTTACACACACTTTCTCCACATATTGCGTTCACGACAACTTGCGACTGATGATGGTGTCGGCGTACGTACCCAGTGATCGATGACGACTCGAAGAAGTTGCAGTCGCCATTTCATTCAGGTGACACCTGGATCCATCTGAAGCTACATTCGCGTTGACGTACAGAGTACACAGGTAGTAAATCGCAAGCCCGCGAGGCTTTGAGTGCGCGCAGCAAACGTCATAGAGCAGACACGCGCCATGGATCGCGGCGTTTAGCATGGTAGAAGCACTTCGTTCACTGGGCGATTACGACACGAGTCAGAACCCATGCGCACCCCATCCTCTGAAGTGAAGCACTCACTTGTCCTTCCCCGGGAAAGGCGGCAGGCTCCTTCGTGCGCGCGATGTTCGCCTGGAGACGACGTTCTGCTTCCGCTTTCAACTCCAATGCCCTCAATGGGTTTTTCCTCTCGTTCCGGTCGCGAAAGTCCCCCCACACCGCCGCGTCCACCGCATCCGAGACATCCTCGATCGTCCTTGCTTGATCTTCGGGGGAGACCCACTCGCCCTCGTCGGAAAGGCACTCGGCTATCTTCGCCCGCGCAGCCACGAACTCGCTGAGCGCGCCGTCTTCGATCGCCCGGCACGCCTCCGCCTCCGCTCCCTCCAAGACGGCGTCGAACTTCGGCGGGTCGGAAGCCACGAGCGATCCTCCGAACCAGCTTGCGAGCCAGCTGCGCCAGTCCGACGGGTACACGACGTCCGTGCTGTCGGCGGGCACGAGCTGCTCCCAGAGCGCGCGCGCGAACCACGCGTGCGCGTACGTGTCCTCGTAGGTCTCGACGTGCAGCCGGCGCAGCGCGCACGCGGCGGTGACGACGCAGAGGAGGGACAGAGGGGCGCGGCTAGAGCGCAGGACCGTCCGGCGGCGCCCCGTCACAGGGTCCAGGAACGGCCCGTAGACGTTGACCGCGTCGTGCACTGGGAGCCACGCGTGCCGGTCCACGTCGTTCGAGAGGCCGCATTTGTCGTACTGCTCGACGGGGATGTGGCCCTCCCAGCAGCGCTCGAACTTGACGAGCCCGATGGGACGCGGGGGCGCCGGTTCGGAGGGAGGGGGTGCGTCGGGGGTTCTGGCGTGGGGAAGAGCGACGTGGGCGACGATGTACTCGCGGGGGTCTCCGTCGTTTGGGTCCAGGATGTGGTCCAGCTGGGTGACGATGCAGGAGTAGAGTGGCTCAGGGGACCGGACGTCGTCTACTGAGATTGTGCGGTCGATGAGTCTGTTCATGAGTACATGGAGCCGCCAGGCTTGAGTTGGATTGCTCTTGGAGCCGGAAATCAAAACAGGCAAGACGGGGACGGATTTGTTAGCAGATAAGATCCAGTGGAGAGTGCTGAGGAACGTCATGAGAGACCGTAGAGGATGAGAGGAGTCGCCGGCGTAGGTGGTGGGATGTATGGAACGAGAGTCGCCCCTGTGGTGAGCGAGCATGATTGAATCTGTTGAAGAATGGGTAGAAAGGGGCCCGTCGAGAACTCGTATGTGGTTGATTTCGTGCGTTCGCCGCCCGCCGAAAAAGTTCGAAGGCGCGGCCCGTGATACATCTCAGAAATCTTGTGCAAGAAGATAGAAAGTACCAAGCATCGTGAATAGGTCGTCATCGTACAAAAGCAGGCGGAGGATTGGGTCATCGCGTGATCTGGTGTATAGCGCGCGTGACAAGGCATGAGTCGTGACTGAGTTTGGTGTCACGATACTTATCTCCGTCCTCCTGGGCAAGATGCATATGCAAGACATGTGTGCAACTCGCTCCCCACAAGCACTCTTTGCGGACACAATCTCGAGTCTCGACACCAGAGATGATCCATCTGGCTAAACTGCTCTCGCGCTTGCCCTCTCTTGCCGACAATTCATGCATGAATCATCAATGTCGCCTTTTAATCCGGGCCCCGGGAATCGTCGGGAAGCGGGTCTGGGTCACTTGAGGTCTCCGCGAGTCTCTGGCGGAGTACGCTCGTTCTCTTCTTCACAAGTAGCTAAGAGCGAATAGCACAAGTGAGGCCCCGAGGAGCCCCGTGATCGCGTGTGTCATCACGCTGTCAATCACTTCCCCCTCTCCACAAGTGTCTCCCTGGTACCGTTTCGTCCTCAAAGATGCTACACCAAACCCACCTTGCAGCGGTCGACGACGTTCTTGCGGAGATTTTTTCTCATCTAGATCCGGATGATCAAAAGTCCCGCAACACTCTCTTCGCGCTTGCCCTGTCTTGTCGACGATTCACCCATCTTTCCCTCGACGTCCTCTGGCGGAGTCTACCGATTGATTTCCCGCTGGTGGCACTCCTGCATACCCTCGGGATCGCACGGATGCGAATCAACCAAAAAGACCTCTGCGGAAGTTGTACCCCAACGTGCTGCCCTCACGGAGGGTGGACCTACGTGAGTCCTCTCCCGGTCCCAACGTCGTGGGCTAACGTCTTTCGTCCAGAGTATAGACCACATCCGAAGTCAATCACAACTGCACAGTAATCCAAACTGGAAAATCTTTCAGATATATGCACGTCGTGTGCGTAAGATCACCCTCCTTCCGTATACAAGCTACTGCACACCCTCAGTATGGGACCAATTCAAGGAGCTGCTGGAGACCGACGAACCGCTCCTCCCTCGACTTCGTCGAGTCACACTCGATATGCATACGGGATCAATATTTCACGCTTGCGAATCTGGGCAGCTTGTGCTGCTCTCAGAGAGTGTTCGTCGGGTAGGGCTCAGGGGTGCGTACGGTCAGCGCAGAAATGCCGACGTCATCCGTGTCCTCACCACCCGCTGCCCCAACTTGGAGGTGGCCAAGCTCGCGTACCAACGTTTCCTACCACTTCTCTCAGCCCACACACGTATTAAAACGTTGCTATTCTCTTACCTTCACTCGGACTACCTCAGCGTCGACACCGTGGCCTCCATGGCCGCTTGGCCTGCACTGCAGTCCTTGTCTTTCATCATGCGCCACGACGAGCCACCCGCTCCAGACCCAGACCCCCGTCCTTTCTGCCTCCCAGCGCTTCAAGAGCTCACGATCTCGGACACGGACGGCGACGCGGCCCAATTCTTCGCCAGGGCGCAGCTCCCCGCGCTCCACAAGCTCTGGTACGAGCTCATCCTCGTCGCATCCACAACCCGCGGCAGCCCCGAGGTCGAACTCGCCGCCCTCGCCGCCGCCTACCCACACCTCGTCACCCTCACGCTCACCGTGGACATCTCGCAGAGACACTGGGAGGACGCGCTCGGCGAGCCGAGCCGCACTCTGCGGTGCACACCCCTCCGCTCGCTCCTCGCGCCCCTCGCGCCCCTCCGCCGCCTCCGCGCGCTGCACATCGTCGTGCAGGGCTGCGGGTTCGGCTACAACGCTGCGGAGCTCGAGGCGGGCGTGGCGGCGTGGCCTGCGCTCTCCGAGCTCCGGCTCGCCGTCGAGCCCGAGTCGTGCCTCGAGGACGCGGTCGGCGACGAGTGCGAGGAGGTGGCGGGGCTGGAGGTGCTCGCGTCGGTCGCGCGCGCGTGCCCCGGGCTGCGCGTGCTGCACCTCCCGCGGACCGCGCTCGTCGTGGGTGCGCTGGACGCCGCGCGCGCAGACGTGCTCCCCCACGGCGTCCTGTACGAGCTGCGGCTCGGGGAGGTGGGGGTGCGCGGGGGGCTGGAGGGCGACGATGGCGAGGCGGAGCGGGAGGTGCACGCGTTTGTCCAGGCGGTGTTTCCGGGTGCGGCGCGGCTGGCCATGATTCATCTCGACCGTGGTGGTGGTGGTGGTGGTGGTGGTTCGCCGTAGAATGTGGACGAAGCTGGTATGTCGGTTTGTTCCCGACTCAGTACGTGATTGTCTATCGAGGCCGTCCTGATTGATGATGGTACGAGTGGCTTCAGACAGTATTTAGCAGACCGGGCCGTCTATGTGATGAGGACATGGGCACCTTGGGCGGATGTCGTAGGACTACTAGCAGCAGGTGTGCGTTCGGGCTGTAAGGCTACATTCACGTTGACATACAAAGTACACCGGGAGTAAATCGCAAGCTGCGAGGGCTTTGGGTGCGCGCAGCAAAGGTCACAAAAACGGAACTACAAATCGGGAAGTGGCGAGCTGAGGCTGACATCCCCGGGACGAAGAATACGCGACGTGTTTGAGCACATACACGCCGTTGATCCATTACGACGTCTAGCATGGTGGAAGCTCTTCGTTCACTGGGCGATTACGGCGCAAGTCAGAACCCATGCGCACTCCATCCTTTGAAATGAAGCACTCACGTGTCCCAGCTCTTCGGGCGAAGCGGCGAGCTCCGTCCTGCGCGCGATGTCCGCCCTGCGCATCGCCTCCGCGCACGCCTTCGCCAACAGCGCCAGGGCTTTCCTCTCGATCAGGTCGCGAAAGTCCCCCCACACCGCCGCGTCCACCGCGTCCGAGATATCCTCGACCGCCTGCGCTTGATCCTCGGGGGAGGCCCACTCGCCCTCAGCGGAGAGGCGCTCCGCGATCTTCGCCCGCGCGGCCGCGAACTCGCCGAGCGCGCCGTCTTCGATCGCGCGGCACGCCTCCGCCTCCGCCCCCTCCAGAACGGCGTCGAACCGCGGCGGCTCGCGCGCCGCGAGCACTCCTCCGAGCCAGCTGCGCCAGCCCCGGGACGGGTACACGACGTCCGCGCTGCTGGGGGGCACGAGCCGCTCCCAGAGCGCGCGCGCGAACCACGCGTGCACGTGCGTGTCCCCGCAGGCCTCGACGTGGAGCCGGCGCAGGGCGCACGCGGCGACGACGAGGCGGGCGAGCGGCAGGGGCGCGCGGCTGGCGCGCAGGAGCGGCCGGCGGCGCCCCGTCAACGGGGTCAGGAACGCCACCCCGTAGACGTTGGCGGCGTCGTGCGCTGGGCGCGACGTGCGCCGGGGCAAGTTTTTCGACACGCCGCATTTGTCGTGCTGCTCGACGGGGATGTGGTTCTCCCAGCAGCGCTCGAGCTTGACGACTCCGATCGGACGCGGGGGGGCCGGTTCGGAGGGAGCGGGTGCGTCGGGGGTGTGGGCGTGGGGAAGGGCGACGTGGGCGACGATGTACTCGCGGGGGTCTCCGTCGTTTGGGTCCAGGATGTGGTCCAGCTGGGTGACGATGCAGGAGTAGAGTGGTTCAGGGGACCGGACGTCGTCCACCGAGATCGTCTGGTCGATGAGTCCGTTCATGAGTTCATGGAGCCGCCAGAAGAGCGTGACGTTCTTGTTGCAACCGGATATCCAAGCAGGCAAGACGGGAACGGGTTTGTTAGCAGGTAAGATCCAGCGCAGTGTTTGGTGGAGAGTGTCGAGGAACGTCATGAGAGCCCGTAAAGGATGAAAGCGGCCGCCTGCGTAGGTAGTGGGATGCAGGGAAGAAGAGTCGCCCCTATGGTTGTCGTTGGCACCTGAGCGAGCAATTGAAGAATGGGTAGAAAGGGGCCCTTCGAGAACGTGGTCGAACCTAGACTTCGTGCGTTCCCGATATATCCCAATGTGGAAGAGAGGTTTGATGACTTGACGGCGAGGAGGAGGAGGAGGAGGAGGAGGAGGAGGAGGAGGAGGAGGTTGCGATCGATAGAGTCGGGGACTAAGTGAAAAAAAGCAACATAAGCAACGACGGATTTGCGACCCGCGAGACGCAAAGTAGTCGCGCGCCGCCCCTCGATCGGACTGACCTTCCATCCTGAGTGGACAACCACTCGGTTGCACTCACCTGGGCTGCGCTCGGCAGGCTCAGACCTCGAACGTGCACGCCGGCACTAGTCGCGGTCGAAATCCGTGTGATTACCTACGCAAGAGAGCCAGAGTGTACAGAACACCGTCCGGATAATGTACTTGAGGACCGGGCGGACGGGCGAGGGAGGGGGGGAGGGGGTGCTAGTGTGTGCTAGTGTACGCATAGATACGAAGTGCCGCGGACCGCGGACGCAGAGCCAAGCGAGGAGGGCCCGGCGGGCGGCGACTCCGGGGTATTATGTACGAAGAGAGGGTGGAGGACGTGTGGGTGTGGACGTGAACGGAGGGGCGCGACGGCGTGTGGTCCGTGGTCCGGGGACGAGAGCGATGCAATGCGAAGTGAGATGGATGAAGGGGCGTATGCAAATATGGAGGTGGACGTGATGGATGTGAACGAACGTAGACGGCGTGCGGGGAAAACAGCGTGTGGGGAAGCAAATGTACCGTACGCAGCGAGAGACCAAATAGTACGCATGCATATCCAGAGCGGAAACGAGAACACAGTTCGAGAGGCCTGTGAGGCCAGGCCCAGTCAGGACTGAGCAGAGTTTGGAAAACAGACGGAGCAGCCCGCACCTCACGCGGGCCTGCCCCCACGCGCACTCCAGCTCGACGGCGGCGGCCCACCCCGTCTTGACGGCGAGGGCGCCGACGGGTCCGACGGGCTCGACTTCATCCGCGGCCGCTGCCCCCTTCCGGACGACGTCGGGCCCCCGACCTCGCTCCGCGCGCCGGAGTGGCCCCCACCCACGTTGCCCATCCCACCGCCCATCGGCATCGGCGCCATCCCGGGCCCGAACATCTGCGAGTTGCGGAACACCATCGACGCGCGCTCCGCGGCGGAGCCCGTGTACGAGCCTTGCTCGCCGTACGCGGTGCGCGAGCCCCAGCCCATGCCGCGCGACGTCGGCCCGCCGATCTCGCTGCCGCCGACGACGCTCGCGGCGTACATCGACTGCGAGCTCGGGAACATCGGCATCTGCATCGGCATCTGCCACGGCATCATCCCCATGTTCATGTTCATGTTCATGCCCATGCCCATGTTCATCATCGCCGGGTTGATGCTCGTCGGCCCCCCATACACGCTCGTCGCGGTCGAGTTGCGTTCCCACTCGTCGTTCGCAGCGGCGAGCGCTTGCTGCGCGATCGCCATCTGGAATGCCTGCTTCGCGACGAACATCGCCTGCTGGTGCGCGGCGATCATCATCGGATCCGAGCCGGGGGGAGGGCCGGAGAACATGGGGTTCATGGCGCCAGGAGGAGTTTGTGGGGCCCACGACATGGGCGTTGGGGGAGTGACGTTCATGGCGTTCATATTCATGGGCGCGCCCGCCATGAGGGAGTTGAACATGGACACGCGGGGGTTCACGCCGCCGAGCGCGACGACGTCGTCGTCCCTCGTGATGGGAGCCTTGCCGTTGACGATGCGTCCGAGCTGAACACGGGGATGGGTGCCGGGACAACGGAAACGAGAGAAGAGAAGCACGCACCTCGATCGCCGCCTTAGCCTCGCTCCGCCGCCGCTCCCTCCGCCGCGTCTCGTCCGAGTCCGACGCCAGCTCGTTGTCCTTCCGCACGCGGTTGTCCTCGAACGTGACGCTCGCGCGCTTGCGGTGGCTGGGTCGCTTCTCGGACGGCGCGCTGCTGATGTCGCTGCCGTCGACGGGCGTGATTGGCGTGCGGCCGCTGCTCGAGTCCCCGGTGGAGCTTGCCGGGCTGTATCCGCGCAGTGGCCCTGCGAACGGCTTCGGCCGGGCCACATTCGACGTCGACGACGCAGGCGACGGGCGCGAGCGCGAGCTCTCGACGGGCGACGGCTGTGTTGACGCCTTGGAGGCGGAGCTTGACAAAAGGATGGAGCGAGAGGTGGCGGGCGAGACGGAGGATTTGACGAGGCGTGGAGGGGGTACTGACGGAGAATTTCGGAGAGCCGGACTTGGCAGTGGAGAGGGCAGAGGGGATACTGAGGGTGTCGCGCTCGAGACTGTCCCAGCCCGTTGTCGTGCACGAACAGGACCGGTCGAGGGTGAGGCTCCATTTGAGGGCGAACCCCCGGCAAGTAGCCCACCGCCCGTGAGGCCCTTCGCGCTGGTATTAGCGAGGTCCCCGTCGGAAACGAGGGTCGACGCATGTTGTCCGCCAACCCGCACCGTCTCCTCGGATGACCTGGCGCCAGGCGTGCCGTACTGCGAGAAAGACGATGGTGGACGGGAGGTGATGGCGAACGAAGGGGGCGGCGTCCGCGCACCAATGCGCGTCGGAACGATATGAGCATCAGTTGGCGAAGGCTGGGCGTCGTCGAAAGTGGCATTAGGCGAAGACATCGATCGGGGGTTGGGTCTGCGGATGGACGCAAGCGAAGGGAGTGGTGAGGAGGGCGCCTCGAGGGGTTGCGTTTGGCTTCGTGTCGGAGTCTTGCGGGCCTTCAGGGAACTCTTGTCTTCGTCCTTGGTGGGGACACCTGAACCGACCCCTTTGGCCAGACGGTTGAGGCGGTCGTTCAAGCTTGGTTTCGACACGTGGGTGGGTCGTGTGGGTGGTGGCGACGAAGGCTCCTTCATGGGAACCGGTGGCTTCTCTTCCGCAAAGGGAACCGGGGGAGAAACACCAGACAAGTCAATAAGCGGCTTGGCAGGGGCTCTCGGGCGGGACGCAGAGCGCGCCGAAGAGGCTGCACTTCCTGGTCGCCTGGGCCCAACGAGAGTCGCAAGCGGTGCATCGTCCGAGTCGGACGACGAAGAGCTCGAGGATGAAGACGAGGAGGATTGTCGGAATATCGAACGCGCTTTCACGGAAGGAGCCTTTGTCGCAGAGGCTGCAGAGCGGGGAAGTCGCACGGTTACGTGAACGGATGCGTGTATGGAAAACGCGAGCGGGCTTACCAGGTTGGCTGCGAGGCTGCGTTGGCACGCGCTGCTGGGGCTGGGGCTGCGGACGCTGCTGTTGATTGAGCCGCACCGAAGCCCGGTGCGCGGCCGCGTTGGGTTGCAACGCAGAAGTCGACGCCGACGCACGGGCTCTCGCGGCCGAGGAGGAAGTCGGCTGGGAGCCTGCTCTCGTCGACGTGAATGCCGCATTCGCCGAAGCAGAGGGCGCCATGCGGGGCATAAGATCCGGGTTGGGACGCATTGCCTTGTGACCGAGCTCGGACGCGGCCTTCTTGCCTGGACTGACCCCGGAAGGTGCTGACGCTTGCCTCCCGGTTTTGCGCCGCCCTGGCCGGAGGGTGGAAGACGCTGCCGACTCCCGGACTCCTCGTCAGAGTCGCTGTCTCCGCTGACGCTCCTCGAGTTGCGTAGGTCGAAGGTCGACGGAGGACGGAGGCCGTTGGCGTCGTGCGAGAATGAGGGTACGGGTGAGGCGGCGGTGCTGCGCCGGGCCTGCGCCTCTCGGAAGGCGGCGACGGATATGCGCTGCGACGAGTCGGACGCGAAGCTGTTCTCGCGCGGTCGTGGGCGTACGGGGGGCATCATGAAGGGCTGAGGCTCGTTGGGGGACTCGGGGAGGACGTGACGGAAGGAGCGGAGGTTGAAGGAGTCGGAGTCGGCGGAGGTGTCCCGCAGCGATGAGGATGGAACGGAAGGCTTCGACTTTTTGCGCTCGCGGTTCGCCCAGGAGAAAAACCCACCCTTGGCGCTCTTCTGGGGCGTCGCTGCAGGCGAGCCGTGGCTAAGATCAGTGGGCTGCTTGGTGCCTGTATGCGCGTTGCGTGATGGGTGGGTGGGAAGGGACCTTGTTGAATGCGCGCTGCCGGGGTCTCCGTAGCCGGAGAAGACTGCAGAGCGTGACGGGGGCGGGCTGAGGTCGGTCACGGACTCCGAGCGGATGCTGAAGTATGCGGAGGATGGGGGCGAGAGCAAGTCGTTGCTGGGGGTCTTGGGCGGCGGCGCAGGCTTCTTGGATTTGAAGCCAAGCCGAAGCTTCGAGGATGATGCCCCAGGCGGGCCGTTGTAGAAGGAGGCGGATGGCGAGGAAGGGGGGAGGACATAGTCGGGCTCACTGGGGTCGACGTCGGAGGCGGCGGTGGAGGAGGCCACATCGTGGGCTCTGTGCTTGTCCCGCTTGGAGAAGAGCCCCAGGAAAGCCATGGACACGTAGGGGGAGGGGAGTCAGTCGCGGGGGGGAGCGACGGTGAGGAGGAGGGAAGCGACGACAAGCGGGTGGAGGGAATGAGCTCAGGTATGGGCGCTCGAGCGGGCGGCCTGCCGAGTCTGTATTTGATCCTGTTTGATGCCTGCTCGCGTCCCATCTCTGGCCGCCACCGACAACCACGTCGTGACAGCCAGCCCCATGCTTCCCTCCACCCCGCCACTGCCGTCGACAACGTGCGCAGGCCAGATCACCGCGTCCTCCCCGGCGACGGCGATGTCGAGCGCATGCTCGCAGCGACGCGTGACACAGGCGCGGGCAGAGGCTGGCACTCGGTGCGCACGGCTGGCCGCGGTGGGAAAGTGCACATTCGTCCGAGGTGCGACCTGGGGGGTGCTCGTTCAACCTCGTTCCCATCGCGAAGCATCCATGTGCACGCGTACGGTCCGAGTGCCCAGCGCCATACGGGTGCGTCCAAGGCCATGGTAACCCGCGAGCCAACACGCCCCCAGCTGCGGTGCGAGCGAGAACGGTTTCCGTCAAGCCCGAGCTTCGACAGGCGCCGTCAGCTGGGCAGTCGGGGGCGCCGAGCATCTGCGGCCGATCTCAACCGTCGCCTCCGACGAGAACGATCGATGAAATGCGCAAGCCAACTTTCCAGTATGCACCCCGCTCCGCGTCATCGGCCATGGAGGCCGTGAGTGTGCATCTCATCAATCCATCATGGCGTACCGGCATTGCGCACTCGTTGGTCGACAGCAAGTTCATCGACCGCCGTCTTGGCCCCGGTATGTCGCAATGTTCGACATCAAAATGATGCTCCCGCCGTACGGACAAGCGATCTTTCTCACCGGCGCTTCTCGGCGCAGGTTGTCCCTTGTCCCTCGGGATCAATATGACGTCACTCCACCCTGCAAGGTACACGCCGAAAGCGTGTCCCTGTCTGGCTTTCTAGAATCTATATATACCGTCCACGAGCGTCCCTAACCAATGTTTTTGACGCGACGTTTGCACCAGTCGAAAGCTTTGTCGTGCATTCCAACACCACGCGCGCAGACTCGATCCCAGTTTCCCTCCTCCATACGTTGATCGCCCCCTGCGCGTCACAAAACATACGTTCGTACCTCAAAGCATCCACGACGCACATGCCTCATCCCCGCGCAAACGGCAAGTCCGACACGACCGAGTGGCCATGCACGTCACAGGGGCGCACAACACACAAGCACACTGGGACTATCACAATTTCTGCTCGTCAGATATGTAATCCCAAATGCTACGTTTGCGAACACATTTTGAACATGGGAACACGAAGAACTTCGTATCTTCACAGTTACACCATTGTGAAAGCCGTTCCAGAAGCGCAGAACTTTGAGGAATGACAATACTAGAAAGTTGGAGTTTCGAGGCACGTGGAACTCCGAGTTTCTGTGGATGATAAATGATGAACATGGGGACCGTCATTTCTTCTTCTGAGTCACTTCAAGTTGCACCTGTTGTATTACTCTCACTTCCCGGTGTTACCCATGCATCACAATGAGAAACAACAAGTTCCTGTGCCCCCAGAAGGTTTCTCAGAACCTTGCATTTCTGAAAGAACAAGATACTTCACTCGTGCTTAGTTGGAACAATGTCAGAAACATAACACATCTAGTAACATTTCGCACAACGTGTTTGACGACCAGAAATCTCGATAATTGTCGGCGTGATTAAACCTCCGCACTTCGTACTAACGGTGGGGATACCGCTATTCCGCGAATATCTCTCCCCCCTTTCCACCGTTTGCCTTCATACTTTGCACATAGGTGCAGAATTTCACGAAGAACGGGTGACAAGGGATAAATTGCGCGAGGAAATACTGGAGCACCCCCACAAACGGCGGGTTAGCGCCTGATGTGGTCACCACTCGGGTCACGATGCCGACCATACTATGCTCCCCCCAGAAGCGGCGGATGAAAGAATTGACCCAGAAGCGGCCGTCGACCTCCCCCCGCCTGCCCCTCGCACTTCTGTGCTACAAGCCGTATGAGACATGTATCGAGAGGTTCCTGCGAGCCCGCTGGCGAAAAAACGGTGAGATCCTGGGCAGTAGAGCTCTCGCAATTTGAGTAACGAAGTCGTGACTTTGTCACAATTGACATTAACGGCTTCGCTTGACATGGGATTTCGGGCGCTTATTTCGTGGACGCCATAGTATCTTTATGTGGTACTATTAGGGGCTAGCACACATTTTTCCGAGGCGTCGGATGAAGGGAGAAACACACCGTGAAGGAATGGGCTTCGAGCGTGACATCAGCCACACGGAGTCTGAACGCGTCATCACGTGATGCTGGCCTGCGTTCAGCCACAGCGGAGTTTGATTCGGCTACGGTCGGCATTGTGACCCGAGGGGTGACCAAATCCGGCGCCAAACCGTCATTTCTGGGGGTGCGCCAGTATTTCCCTGCGCAGTTTATCCCTAGTGATCCGTTCTTCGTGAAATTTGGTACATAGAAGGGCATGTGGATTCGGCACCCATGCGCAAAGTATGGAGGCAATGGGGGGGGGGCATAGTAGCCGACCGATGTGGCTGCTGAACGCGCGCAACGCGCCAGCATCACGTGATGGCGCGTTCAGATCGCTGATGTCACGCTCGAAGCTCATTCCTCCGCGGTGTGTTTCTCTCTTCATCCGACCCCTCGGAAAAATGTGTGCTGGCCCCTAGTGGTACTACAAAAAGGTACTATGGCCTCTGCGAGAGAAGCGCCCGAAATCCCATGTCAAGCGAAGCCGTTAATGTCAATTGTGACAAAGTCACGACTTCGTTACTCAAATTGCGAGAGCTCTACTGCCCAGGATCTCACCGTTTTTTCGCCAGCGGGCTCGCAGTACATGTCTCATACGGCTTGTAGCACAGAAGTGCGAGGGGCAGGCGGGGGGAGGTCGACGGCCGCTTCTGGGTCAATTCTTTCATCTGCCGCTTCTAGTCGCGGCACGCGAAATGTGCAGGGACGGTATAAAGGAATCGTGAATTGCCCAAGCTACAGTAACAGGTCGGTGAGGGTCGGTGAGTGCGTGCGTAGATACGAATAATACACAACGAGCGAGCGAAGAGAGCACCGCGAAAGCATCAGATATACATGAGTCGAAGCCGAGCGCAAAACCAAAATGTCCGAGCCGCCTGTGCGGAATATACCACCGCGCGCATTACCTCCCCGAGCGAAGCAAATCCAACGAACAAGTCCGAATGCCCCGCATCCCAACGAAAGCAAGCAAGGGAAGGACGACGCTCAGTCGAGCTGCTGCAGGTTCGCGCGCAGGCCGCGCACCCGCTGCTCGATGATGTCCAGCTGCGCCGTGATCGCCCCGACCTCGTCCCTCCACTTCCCGCTCCCATCCACCGGCGAGGCCGCGAGGCCCTCGGCCGGGGGAACGGGGATGTGCACAGAGGGGCCGCCGACGCCGTTCGCCCGCGCCGCGTTCATCTCGTCCCACAGCGCGGTGACGATGCCCTGCACCCACTTCTCGCGCTCCTCCATCTTGTGCATCTCCTTCCGCCGCCCGACCTCCTCGCGCCCGCCCATGACGAGGAGCGTGTACGCGTTCGAGACGACGAGGAGCGCGATGACGACGTACAGGATCGTCGTCGACGACGACTGGTCCCACGCGTCCCCGATCAGCTCCAGCGCGCCCTCCGCCGACCGCTTCCCGACGTTGAACGCGCCCTCGAAGGTGTCGTACGCCCACTGCAGCGACCGCTGCCCGCGCTCGTGCTCGCGCTCCTTCCGCACCTCGTCCGCGCTCTGCGCCCGCGTGGGCGTCATCGGCGTCCCTGGCGCCTCCGCAATGGCGGCCACGGTCTCTTGCACGACCTCCGCGTCGACGCCGTCGGGGACGAATTCCGGCCGGTGGTCGTGGATGTATCCACGCATCTTCTTCTCCAGGTCCACGTGGTACGACCTCTGGCCGTCCATGCACGACTTCTCGATGATCCCTGTGCGCACGTTCGCATCTCCACGCAAAGAAGAGCAGAACCGCACTCACCCTTGATGAAACTCCGTCCGGTCCACTCCACCTGCGACGTCACGAGCACCTTGCTCGCGATCGGGCTCGCCCACGTGATGCACGTCCTCGTCTTCACCGAGAACACGCCGCCGCTGGGTACCTCGGGTGTACGCGTGGTCGTGACCATGCTCACGTAGTTTTCAAAGTCGCAGTGGACCATTTCGTCTCGGAGCTCGCACTTGGTCTGCCTCGGGCCGATGCTCCCGTTTAGCGGCTTGATGTATGTCATGTTCCGCGCCAGGAGCTTTGCATCCTCCATCGGCGTCCAGTCCGAGATCTGGATATCTGTAGGCGCCGAATCAGCAACCGATATTCAAAGTCGCATGGCTGACGCAAGTGCGGTCGGGCAGGGCGCGTTGTGCATGGATAAAGTGGGCAACGTACCGATCAACTTCTGGTCCTCCCGCATAAAGTCCTTCATGAACCCGCTCGTGAACATCAGGTTGTAGATCTTCTCTGGTGTGCCCGGGAAGACGGCCTCCATCGCGACCTCCGGGTAGTGCTGCCCCGCCTTGCCACAGTCGCACTGCGAGACCTTGTGCACCACCTTCTTCGCCACGACGCCGTTTGTAGCCACCATCGCGCCTTCGCTGCTCACGTTCTCGACAGAACCGCCCGGACTCGGTGCCAGCGAACCGAGAGTGGAGTCTTCGGGGCGAGCGAGCCGCCAGACGTTGTAGAGGACGTCGAAGGTGGTGTCGCGGGCGAGGAACGAGGTGAACGTGTACTTGGCCGTCCGGGTCGAGAGCTGGACGGCGTTCGGGATCACGAACGCAGTCATCCGCTTCTCGAGCGATATGACCTCGTACATCGGGATTGACAACTTTCCGACCGACACGTCATCACGGCGAGCGTGGGAGAACACGGGTGGGCCGCCAATCAGCACCGGACTACGCTCGTAACACCGCCTGAACACTCACGTCCGTGATCCATCCGAATATGTTCGCGTGGAAGCAGACATGGTTCTCTGATATATACAGCCTGCCTTGGATGAGAATTTCACGCTGAAGCGCACAGCCGTAGTCTATCACGGGGGACACGTTGGCAGGGGACACGCAGAGGGGGGACGGATGCGCTCACCTTCAATGAGGTAGTCGCCCTCGGGCACGGTCGGGAAAAGCTCATGGAAGTCCTGGTTGCGCTTGTTGCTCGCCACCGCAAAGCCAGTCACGGGAATGTCTTCGGGATCGAGGAGCAGGTCGTCGCTGTCGTCCGAGCTCCCGCTGTCGCTCAGGGAGCGGTACGAGTCGCGGTCTGACAAGTCGCTGGCGCCGTTCATGGACGGCCCGCGGGAGCGGGAGCGAGGCTTGCGGTCGAAAACGTGCGTCCGTGGCTCGACGTCGTTTCCGCGGGGGCGAGTGTGGGCGGGAACATCATGGCCGGGTTCGCCATCGCGAGCCCAGAAGCAGCGAGGGCGGAGGCGAGGCCGCCGCTGGCGGTGTTCTTGCGGGGAGGGGTTTTGCCGAGCCCAGGGGGCTTGCTCGAGAACGTCGACGAGCGAGGGGTGCCGTCCGCAGGGGAAGTGGGTCGGCGCCAAGGATTACGCTTGGAGTTGCGCTGCCGGTCGAGTGGACAGAGACGGTGTCCGACTTGTCTGGGACGAGGAGGGTGGGACCGAAAGAGGGGGTGGTCGAGCTTGGGGGAAGGGTTTGCTTGATGGAAGGGAGCTCGTGGTGGAGGCCGGTGGGAGACTCAACGAGCGCGTGGCCGTCGGAAGATGTGGGCGGAGAGGGGGCGGAAGTCGTGCGTTCGTGGCGGATGACGGGCGGAGGGGGTACCGGGGGCGGCGGATCGCGCGAGGGCAGCATGATGGAGAGCTTACTGCGAAGGGACTTGTTCGAGGACGCATGACGCAATTCCTTGGGGGCCTGCAGTGCATTGACGCTGCTCTCTACCACGGTCGCCGAGCGAGGATGGACTCCGCGTTTCCCGTCAGGCCGCATCTCGTCGGATGGCGGCGAGGAATGTTGAAAGAGTGTGGGGGTAGGGGGTGTAACGAACGTGGAGGATGGAGTAGGAGTTGGGAGGCCGTCGTCGGACGTGGGTGAAGTCGGCAGCGTGCGTGAAGGAGGTGACGGTCTAGAAGCGGAGGGCATTGATTGGATACGCTTACGCGCGCTGTCCGTCCCTCCGTCCGGTGCGAGTTCGCGGCGAGGGAGTGAGGGTGAGGATGGTACGGGAAGGGGCACGACGTTGCTGTCTGGGCTTGGCGAGGGGGGTACGACCGTGACGTCGAGGCCGGAGTCGGAGTCGTAGGTGAGCTGTGGTCGCGGCCTTTCGTTTTGTCTCTCGACGCTGCTCTTGGCAGAGCCTACGGAGCTGACGCTGATTGAGGGGTTTCGGCTCGGAGACTGGGGCGACGACTGCGCGCTCGAATGGCGGGAGTGGGCGGACGGTTTGACGAGCTTGGAGAGAAAGCCAGGGGCCATACTTGACTGCGGGATCTCACCGGGATTGGCTGCGCCCGCTCTCGATTCTTCCGCAGGTGTATGCGCGTTCTAGGGGTGTCGGGTGGGTATCCGATCGGCGGGAAGGAGAATACAGCGTCGCGGACGTAGAAGCGGAAGGCGTGAAAAGTACAGGTGGAGAAGGAGTCGTGAGACGGGGCGAGTGATAGGGAGAAGCAAGTTGCGCAGCGGTTTAGCCTCTGTCGTCCCGTCCTGCTTACTTTTGATGCCTCGCGAACTTGGAGCTCCAGCCCCCGTTGCCGCCCCGGCTTCTGGACTCGCGCCCGCATCGCGCTCGCGCTCGCACACTTGCGACCGTGCATCGCACATCCGCCCATACGTTATCGCATACTGCCTCTTGGCACCGGGCTGCAGAAGGCGGAAGGCGAGCGGTCGCGCGCGGCCCCGCGCGCGCGCTCAGGAAATGCCCACTCCGACGGCCTACGGCGTTCCGCGCCCGCCGCAGGATGATGGCATCCCGCCAAGATGACGTCGTTTGGCCTGGGCATAGCTGTGGTCTCATTCAAAGCGGTACGGTACTTACTTGCTTGTGACCCGCGCACGGATTTCAACATCTGAAGGCGTCAGTCGTACCGTAACATCCGTGTTTGTCGGGATCGGAGGCAGCACAAGTCGCACCCAACCATATTTGCAATCCGCGATCGGCTGCTCTTATGTCATTCGTTGTTCAACAGGCTGACCCCTCTCTGCGCACACAAACATGAAACCTCGATCGTGGACTACACAGCTCTCTAGTGGGTTTCACTCCTCTTTAATCCGGGCATATTTTAAACATCATCGCGAGAGTGATTTTCATACCGGGCTCTATGAGCCGGATGTTCGGGCCGCAGCCAAGAGCGCTCCCGAGCGCTGTGGCAGGTCACAACTGGTTTCGTCCCCAGCCACCCTGTCCTTACCCACAGAATACGGGCTGTCTAGGGGAGACTACCCTGTACCGCACCGCATCATGCTTTTGCAGGCGGTACAGAGCGGCTGGGGACGAGACCAGTCAAAACTTGCCCGCGCCTGGAAATGAAGCTCACATCGACAGCTCCCGGCCGTTTCGGAGTCAAAACACCAAGGCGGTTGACTGTTGGAATTGTGCTCGCGCCCGGCTGCATTCGGAGAGCGTGATAATGTACTTGCGAGCTCCGACGTCCTCGCCGTAGCGACTCTCCAGTGCGTCTCCTGCTGACTCCCGATGGGCTCACTGACATCGCAGCCTCGCAACAGAACGACCGGATCTCCATCGCCTGCCCCGTGCGCAGCTCGCCGTGTTCGCCCACAGCGTCCTCGAATTCGAGACCTCTGTCGTCGCCCTCGCGCCAGAGAACGAGACTTCTAAGTTTCTGCCCATGTGCTGTCTGGATCTGTCATCGAGATGTGCATATATTCTCGCGTCCACCATACCACATGAGCAACGACGGTCCGCCGACTCGTCGCGCCTACGTACTATTACTACCATACGCACGAAGAACGAGGATAACATCATGCTAGTAAACGTTCGCAGAACCTGGGCCAAACTTGGGTGTGGTTCCAGGATCGAGTCGCGCCGACAGTACTTTCAAGTTAACGCCCGTAAGGCTGAATATGCGAATGGCACCAATGGACAGTGCTCTTGGCACGCCCGAAGACGTCGGACCGAGCGAAACGGTCGGGGACAACCACGCCGGACGCGGCGCTCGCGCCCGGGAATAGATTAGTCATTACACGAGCTCCGTGTACAACAGAGGCTCTACAAACGAGTGGGGGGTGGCACGGTGGCAGGCGGGGTATGCGACAGAATTATACGATAGTGTACTTTTGCGTCCAGGAAGGAGGCCAGGGGGAGACAACATGGGAGAGGGAGCGACGAGAGAAGGTGCGACGAGAGCAGAGGCAATAAACAGTTGCAAAAGCTATGCGAGGCGATGCGGAGGGTTGCCGACGAGACGAGGAGAGGAGAGGTGGAGAAGGGCGAAGTATGGACAGCGTCGGAAAGCAGGGTGATGAGAAGCGTGTTGCGGAGTGGAAGGGGTCGTGGGAGGGTGGGCCTTAGTCCTTGAGCTTGATGGGTAATGGCTGGCCGTCGTAGAGCTCGCGCTCCTCGATCCACTCGAGGAGGTCCTCGCGGGTCATCTCGGCGTGCATACGAGCGAGGTCCGGATCCGTGCCCTTCGGCGCGCATGCCATCAGGGAGTCACAGCCCTCCAGCGCACAGCGGATGGGAACATGGCAGTTCAAGAACTCCACGGTGGCTACGGGAGGAAGGAGAGGCAAGGACTGCCATGAAGTCTCGTACGCGGAGGAGAGAATGAAAGCACACACCGGGAAGCCAGACGGCAGACATGACACACGCCCAGTACAGCTCGTCGCACGCGACGTCGTCGCATTGCGGCTGGGGCTCGTAGAACTTGATGGGTGCCGGAGGTTGCAGCAGTGCTCGACCGCGCCGCCGAAGCCGACGAGGACAGGGCAGCTGGTCGGACGCAGGACGATGCTGCGCTCGTTGAAGTCCCCGTGCGCGACGCCGACCTTGTGCAGCGCTTGCAGTGCCGACACGGCCTTCCTCCTGCCGACGGATGCACCCCACGGGGTTGATGAGACTCGGTGGAGAAGGAACGTGCCGAGGACGTACCTGAAGTCGATCCCTGTGGTGTGAAGCGAGTGCTGTGTCGGCTCGCCTTCGTAGCTGAGCACGAGACACGACGTCTCGACGCCCTCCACCACACCCTCAAAGAGCCCGAAGCATCGTGGGACGAAGCGGCCCTGGAGAGGTGCGAGCTTGGTGCGGTACAGCCTGGCTTCGTGGCGTATCCGTTCAACGAGCCGAGGGCCTGTGCCGACCTTGCAAACGACCTCGGTGTAGGGGATGCCGTCGGCAGAGAGGGTTCCGCGGAAGATGCGGGTCGTGCCGTGGTGTATGAGCGCGGAGAGGTCGACGGAATACCGCGAGCCGTCCTGCGACTGGACTCCGTGGAAGGAGTCGACGGCGGTGAACTCGAGACCGTCATCGTCGGCGTCGGAGTCGGAGTCGGTAGGGCTTCCGACTGGGGAGAGGAGGAGAAGAGATGAGGGGCCAGCCATGGTCGGAGACCGGGAAGGGGGAGGGGTGTGCCAGCTTGGCCGGGTACTCGGGGAGCATATGTATCCGCGTCAAAAAACGTAAATAGCGGGCAGTGAGAGGTGGGACGCGTTCACGTGATCGTGTCCTGACCCGACTTTCCCCGTGGCAGTGGTCTGATTTGTTGGCCTCCGTCCATTTGGAGTCTGTTCCCCGCAAACCGAGCGCAGTGGTTGCGGTAACGACACAGCACCATCAAACGTGCGACGGTCATGTGGAACCATCTTCGCTCGCTGTCTCGGACAGCTTCCGCTCGCAGTACGTTCCATTACGTCGTCCGACTTCCGCGTACTTATGTAGCTTGTGACGCAGAATTACTCGGGCCTTTCGGTCAGCAGGTCTTTCCTCGACTAGAATCGCACACCGGTTCAATCATCCGTCTCTGACGCGGTCGTCGCTCGTGATGCTCCCGCCCCAGCGCGGTGCATCTGCCGATGAGAGCGCTGCTAGACTGTTCCTTGGCATCCCAAAATAGTGCGTCATGCGCCCTCGTCATTTTGTCCTCTCCACTCCGAAGGTGGAGGGTCTGCCTAGGGGAGACTGGTTCTCTCTCGGGCTTGGGAAATACATCCCGAGGCTGGGTTTCGCCGTAGAGAGCCTGTGAACGAGTGCAAAGTGACTGAATCACACTGGACACCATGGAAGCGGATCAGCTAAACCTTGTTGCAGACGTTTATAAGCTGGCTTGTCAATGGAGGCCAATCCCACCATCCGCATTCTCGGCTTCATCCCTTCCGACACCACTTCAGACGAGACGTCATGTCAGCTGTTTTAGCTGGCCCGCCGGGGGAATGCTGCAGGCAGACAGTGCACCACGTCGGCGAGGCCCGAGGAAAAGTCGAGATTGTGGCTGGAGTCGAGACATACATTGCCCGGCCGGCCGATGGGAGCAACAAGAAGATTGTCTTGTTCTTTGCGGACGTATACAGTCCCCTGTATCTCAACTCTCAGCTCATCATGGACTTCTGGGCTGACCAAGGTGAGCTGGGCTTGCGATTGAAGATTGAACGACGTTTTTGTTATCGTCATTTTAGGTTATCTGGTCGCTGGCCTGGACTACTTTGAGCGCGATTCGATGATCCTTCACTCCGGTGAAGAAGGATTTGATTTCATGAAATGGGTGAAGCCGAAGCAAGATCGTGCGCAGGCGCTCATTGGACCCTGGGTTGAAGCGGTTCGCAAGGACTTCGGTGCGCATATGGGGCCCTAGTTGCTTATTTCCTGTGAGATTCACGCGCTATACATGCAGGCGACAGCCAAACGAAATACTTTTGTGTGGGTGAGAGTATTGTGAGCGAGTGACTGCATATCACGATGACTGATCCTGGAACTAGGATATTGCTTTGGAGCGCCGTACGTCATGGAGCACCTTGCACAGGATTGGCTCGTGGCAGGTATGGACGTGCGGCATTCTGCAAGAATAAGCTCACGGCCGCGACAGGCGCGTTTGCCCACCCGGCGTTCTTGAACGAGGACCACTTCCGAAACATTCGGAGTGAGCGCTGGCGTCTAATCGGTTGTCTGCATGCCACTGACGTCATCCCTATTATTTATCCAGAGCCGCTGCTTATGTCTTGCGCCGGTAAGTATGCAGGCAACCATCTGATTCTTGATGCACGAGGACTCACCAGACACAGAAATCGACCACACATTCGGTCTCGAAGCGCGGCGCAAGGCCGAAGACATTCTGGTCGAGACCAGGGCAACGTACTTCATCCAGGTCTTCGGATCGGTTCAGCACGGTTTCGCGCTGCGCGGCGATCCGAAAATTCCGGTCCAGAGTAAGCACATTGGCTATCATCGAAACCAGCACACGTACATACTGATCTTGTTCCAGGATGGGCGAAGGAGGAGAGCGCGCGGTCCATTGTCAATTGGTTTGAGCACTTCTGCAGGTGATGTGGTACTAGGGGGAAACAGCAAACAGGAATGGCCTATTATTCGCTTCGAATTGTATGAATAGCCGTGGGAGAACGCCTGTAGAACGTGTTGTTAGCATGTCTGTCCTCCCGCCTTTTGTGCATTCCGACTCATAGCAACACCCGCCAAAACCACGGTGATCGAACGACGGCCCACGACGAGATGACGTCACGCCTCGTGCCGGCGCTCAGTCAGGCTGGGCTCCCCGCAGCCACACCCCCGCCGTTCTGTCGTCCACGCGTCGGGGTACATAACCCGACCCACTGCGCTCCCACCGCCCCCACCTGCCCCTCCCCGACTTCCCGTCCCCCGTGCTAATCCGCTTCACGACGCCCACGACGCCCATACCCACCTCCCACACACCATGGTCGACTACAACAAGCACATCACCAGAGGACATCCAGGTCCGTGCGCCGTGCCCTCGTCGCCCCTCCCATTCTAACCACGCATCCCCTACGCAGTCATCTTCGGCTTCATCATCCTCTTCAGCATCATCGAGGTGAGTCCCTCCGTCACATTCTGCGGAGCGTTGCTCAATGGCGTGTGTGGCAGCTCGCGATCGCCGCCTGGCTCGTCAGTCGCTTCAACCTGCGCCACGACTTTTTGTCCCTTGCCGTCCGCAACGGGGCGCGCTTCCTGCTGTTTACCTCTTCTTGGACCGTCTTCTTCTCTCTCTTCTACTTCGCGCTCTTCTTCCACTCGCCCACCGGCAGCGCCCTCACCAGCGTTCTCAGCCACGCCGTCTTGTGCGTACTCTCCACTTTGTTATGTATCAGCCGGGTCCTAAAATGCCCTCCGATCGCCCAGCCTCACGTTTGCATGGATATTTTGGACTGCTGGCGCGGCGTCGATCACGGCCGCTCTCGGTGGAGGGCTGAACTGCAGGTGCGTATCCCTTGCTCATGAGCCCTCGTCAAGCGGCTCACCCGATGGTCATCCGTCCAGTGTCCACTTTGTTTACTGCGGCCAGCTCAATGCACTTGAGGGCTTCGCGTGGGTTGTCTGGTACGTTATGAAGCGGTTTCTTCCCCCGCAAGAGTGATCTCATCCCTCGTACAGGATTTTCATCACGTTGGCTCTCTTCGTGACCCTGCTTCGTGGCATCTCTGCCTCACGACGAGGAGACGGGTTCAGCGGAGGTCTCGTCGCGTAGGCCCGAGTCCCAAGACACTGTCATCTCTCACGAACGATACGGACTGTTGCTTGTTGTATAGGACGGTGTAGTGATCTATTTGTTTGTATCAATAAGGGAATCTTAATGCACGGTTTCTGACCTCCCAAGTCGGCATGCAGTCGAGGCAGGTCATCTGCTTTGTCTGAGTGAGGGCAGACCGGAGTAACAAGTCAGGCTGAAGGCACGTCTGCGTACCAGCAAGCCTTCCGCATTCTCCGGAAGGCATCGCTCCTATCACGTATACCGCCTGCTTTCGTGGCATGATGCCTTTTCACGACACTTGGGACTTAACATGAGGTTCAGGATGTATCGGGGGTCGACCTTCGGTGTGTGACGAACGCACGGGATCAACCACGTCATACAAGGCCTCGACGAGCCTCTCTCAACTGTTCATTATTCTCCGACAGGGGTGTTTGGACATTACGATACCAAAACAAGGCCCAAAACTGTCTCAAAAACAGACCCGCCATGCTGTCCTCGCTCTCCTGGGGCTCTGGACGGATACGGCCTGAGAGTGAAAGTGGAGGGCGCCTCAAGGTTCCGCCTGGACTGAACTAGAGCGTCTTGAACGCGCCGCGCGCGGTCGCCAAGCTAGTACGCAATCAACGGATGCCGAGTGCGACGCGGGAAGAAAAGGTGTTGGACCAGGGGTGAGAGTGTGACTGAGGAGGCATATACGCGTGGTGTCCATATGGGAATTCGGGCAGCGGTGCAGCGCTCCGAGCCGCCAGGGGAAAGGGCCATATGTGCATCCATCAGTGCATGCGCGGTGAGAACTTACGCAGAGCAACGTGCCCACGTTGTCGGAGTACGTCATCACACGGGCGCTCGATCACTGCCTCGAGTCCGAAGTCCCCGGGCGCCCATTGCAAGACGATCACTGCTTCCGCAAGTAGTAACCCCTCAACTTGACTGTGCATTCGACACGAAGGAAAAGAAATGGACCTTTCTGAATAGCATCATCTCTAGGCAGTACCCGTCAGCCAGATAAAGTCTGTTTGTTTGCTTGTTCCCTGTTTATCATTCGCCCGTATGGACTAGGGGGTTGCCCGACAGTACTACAAGTCGATAGATCCAATCCAATCTACTGGCCGCTCGGGCCGGGGCCCAGCGGCGTCATGCACTCGGTACAATAGAGCGAACGGGTCGCGGTCTCGCGGAGCGGGGGAGGAGAGGTGGGCGACCGCAGGCACGGAGGGGAAGACAAGGTCTAACGGCAAGGTACAAGATGCACTGATTATAGAACAACAAGCCGTACGATACAACACACAAGGACATCGAAAGCTGCGCTACGAATACTCCACCTTCGACTCAGCGAGGAAGTCATCGCCGACAGACACGGCGATTATCCCAGTCGAGAACACGCCGGGGTCGGACGGCGTAGCTTCCGGTTTGGCGCGAGCCACATCTCCTGCCTGGAACGTGGACTGTGTCTGTGTCTCCATCTTCTCCTTTGTCCACGCCGTCCCGTCCGCGACACGATAGATGATGAGGCACGTCGCGATTTGCTGCCCAGCTGTCAGTGCTCGAACAAGAGCGGTCGTCGCGGTCGACGCACCTGAGCGGCGGACGCGGCTCCGAGCCAGACCTGGTTGACCGGCGAGTCGAGCGCGTACGAAACAAGGAACGCAATCGCGAACGCGGAGTAGAGCGCCGCGGACTCGACCACGATCGTCGCGAGCGAAAGGTACTGGTGGGCGTGCTGTGGCGGGAGGTGGGCGAGGTGCGTCCGGCGGAGTGCGAGCAGGCGACCGGTGATGAGCGCGGTGAGGATGACGTTCGTGCTGAGCGAGATGGTGTAGTATGCGGTGCCGTATGCCAGTGGCGTCTTGCTGTATAGCGAGAGGCCGGGGTGGCTCGACTGCAACGTCCAGAGCGTGCCCATGACTGCATGGGTGGGGCTGTAAGTAGAGATGCCGCGGTAGGAAGTGGGCGAGGCGCACCAAAGGACGCGACAAGCAGAATGCAGGGCAAGAACGTGACCGCATATGCTTGCATACGCCCTGACGACGTCCAAATGATCCAGCAACGCCACAGCTGGGATTGGCGATAAGCGACATCTCCGCATGCAGCGGCCTTCAGAATACTCACAACGATGACGTCGCACATGAACGTCATGATAAAGAAGGCAGTGTAGAAGATAACGTTGATAGCGAGGTACTGAGTGTCGAGGAAGTACTGCCATGGGCCGCCGGGGTAGTTCCTGTTCTCGACGTAGATGACCTGGACGGTGCGCGCCTGATCGATCACGAAAACCGTGTCGATCGCGAAGAGGAGTACAAGGTAGCCGAGGAGAAACATCGTCTTCCTCCCACGGGATCGGTGCTTCCAGAGGTACATCGTGCACGAGGACCAGATGAATAGTTGAATGCCTGCCGCAGCCTGTCAGAACTAGTAGACAAGAGACTGGCAGCGGATTTGAAGTGACAAACCATAACCGACGCCGCACACTAGGTCGCTGGCGAGGAAGAACCGCTCGAGATTGATGGTGTCCTCGTCTTCGTCGGGGCCGTAGTATACGCCGGGAACGGGAGCCATGCTGGTCGATGAGGAAGGTATCGCGCGACGACGTCTTCCTGCGAATGCAGAAGGATGAATGAACAGGAATCCAGAGACAAGGCTTAAGTACTCGCCCTCGCGGAGTCTTGTGCCGTCGCACATGCACAGTCTTGTGGTCGCGATCCACAGGAGCCGTCTCCCGCATCTGTGAACGTTCGGACATAATCAACACCGCTGTCATCGTTGGGGTTGCAACTTGCGATGGCTCGGCTCCGGCTCGGCTCGGCTCGGTCCCGGGCAGCTCCGAGCGAGCCAGAAATGATCCAATAGGGTCAGGGTCCGAGCCGCTGGAGCCGCGAAGAACCGTCGTCTTCCATTAGCGCTGGGAGCGACACAAAGATTTTTGTTTTATGACGCAGCCGTGAAGCAGGAGTACCGTAGAACTGCGTTTTATGCACCTCCATGAGGTGTCGAAAGTTTTGATATTGCTAAGAGGGCGATCAGACGAGGTTGACCAAACACCCATGTGCTTATACAAGCGCCGGTCGCCTGTGCGCGTGTGGCCAGGTCCTAACGTTAACTTTAAGCCCGCATGAGACTCGAGAGTCCGCGATTATCCGTCGCGTCACGAGCTGTGTGGTTCGGAGTCTTAGTGGGTCCGGCTCAGTGAGGCACCAGATCGGGCCGGCCAAAATCCCGGGCCGACACGGCTCAACCGCGGGTTGACGTTGAAACTTGAGTCGCGGATCCACACGCAGAAACGGTACTTGCGCGCTCCATTTGTACATAGCCGTACTACCTAGACCCTGCTAATGTACGTAGTTGCGTGCCTAATCGGAGTCTGTTGTATCAGACACGGACTCGGGGGTGTACAAGTCGGGCAGGGAATCGCCGTCCGAGTCGTGTCCGTAGGTACCAATGACAGTGTGAGCAAACCCGTCGGTACTGTCCTGCCCCGCACCGGCCCAGAAGACCCCCGCGGTGTGCTCTGTCGTGCCGGGTGACGGCCGTCGCCCGGGCGTACGCAAGCGCCCAGCGAGTGGCTCGAGTCGAACGGGCGAGGTTTGGCGGCGATTGCGAGCATCGTTCGGCGTCGACGGGCGCGCGTGCATCCGGTACCATCAAGTGGGCGCGTGTGGTCCTGGCAGCACAGGATCGAATTTGCCGTTAGCCCGGTACGCTTGCAGTGCGCGGCCACGATCAGACTCACTGCATCGAAACGTCGACTACCGCAAGTGGTGCTCTGCGAGAACGAATGTTCTCTCTGGGACCCGTGGAGCGCGCGCGTATTCTGCGCATTCCCCGCCTGCACGGGATGTGAACGTGTGGTCGTGGGCTAGGGAAGTCCGGGCCCCCGCCTCGGACACGGCGCAGAAGCGGCCACATTCATCTGGCGCGTTCTTGTGCGAACAAGGCCCGCCAATGGCGGTTTCCACTGGGGGTGACAGGGCACGGTTAGCGCGGAGAGCGGACGCCGGTAGGCACAGACGTGGTACAATGAAGGGGCACGGAAGGTGTGAGAATTGGGAGAGGGGAACGGTGACTTGAACGGACGGATGTCGAGCAGGGCGGCGAGAAGGTGGGCAGCGTCGATACCGATGGATGATGGAATGAAGTCAGCCGGGGGCGTGGTTACTGCAAAGCCGGCGAAATCAGGTGCGGGCGGGCGGGCGGGCCTGTTCCTGTGTAAGTCAGCGAGGTCTGTTTTGTCGTGGCGATTCCAGGCGCGAACGACGTGTTGTAGGAGCGGGCAGGAACGGGCGCGGTACAATGGTAGGGGGGACGGCAGCTCGCCCCGGCGCAAGACGCCCGCGGTCGTGTTGCTCGTCGACGCGTACAGACCATCCGGTGAGTGTGGGTGGCCGAGTGCTGATCCGATGTCCGATGAAGTGGGATCCACGTGCGGGGCGAGAACACGATATGTTTGATTTCTGTCGCAAAAGGGGCGAGGGAACGGCTGGAGAAGGGGCTTCACCGGCGGTCGGAGGTGTGGACAGCACGAGGGACGGGCGCAGCGGAAGCACGTACGAGGGAGTGGCTGCGAAACTCTGTCGTCTACCGCCGCTCCCGGCCTTTACAAGATGACGGGCATTGGGCGTAGCGATGCGGAGGGAGCCACGGTACGTCGGACGCCGGATCTCTTGGTGCGTGTGGCCGATGGTGGGTGTTCGTTGACAGAGCGTAAATGGGGACTGGAGATCGGGCGAGCAAGTGTGGTTGAGTGGGTATATGCGTGGAGGGCGGAGGGGACCGCCAAAGAGGCGTGCATGAACGGGACGGCGGTGTATGTTGGGCGAGCCTGTTGAGAGGTGCGGGTACGCCGGCGCGTTGTGGCGCGCAGTCAGTCAAAGCGATCTGGAGACCGGGCGAGGTGCTGTTGGAGCGCGCGCGCGCGGAGAGCAAAGCGCAGAAACTCACGGGTGGGACGACCAAAGAGATGTGCATCGGGGCGGCGATGGTCGTTGGAGCTCGAGCTCAGCGGATTGCGTGCGGCGAGGTGTTGAGAGGCGCCGGGACGGTGTGGATGCGGGTCGACCGCAGTGCGCCCTGCAGCGCTGGTACGCTGCCAATGGCACGGTCTGCCGACCGTGGTCCGTTCAGAGCGGGTGGGCCCGCGCCAAGGTGAGAGGAGGCGAGAGACGTGCGCCGTGCGGGATGGCGCAGTCTGCAGTCTGCAGTCTGCATTATGTAACGCGGCTGCGGCGCCCGCTGCGCGCCAGTGCGCGCCCCCCGCACCCTCGGCGCTCGATCGCGTTTGCCTCCTCCCGTTTCCTGACCTCCCAGATGGTTGGACGCAGGTCATCTGTCTTGACTTGTAATGAAGGTAACGAGTGTACTCGGAGACTCGCGGTGACCCCACATAACCCAGGCCCGAATCAGGCTGACAGTTCCCGGGGATTTAAACGCAACATCGATGAATCGCCGGCAAGAGAGGGAAAACGCGATCGAGAACAGTTCCGCCGGATAGATCATCCCTGGTGGATTATGTCCGCAAAGCGTGCTTGGGGCGAATTCGAGGGAAATGTCGTGAGTGACAGTGACATCAGACCGTCACCTAGTCACCACTGAATCATACAAGTTCTCGACAGGCCTCTTTCTACCCTCGCTTACCATAGGGGCGACACCCCGCTCTCATCCTTTACGGTCTCTCATGACGTTCCTCGACATTCTCCGCTGGATCCTATCTGCTAGTAACAAATCCGGTCCCGTCTTGCCTGTTTTGCTTTCCGGGTGCAAGAACATTTATAATACGCTCTTCTGGCGGCTCCACGAACTCATGAACGGGCTTATCGACCACACGATCTCAGTAGACGACGTCCGGTCCCCTGAGCCACTCTACTCCTGCATCATCACACAGCTGGACCACATCCTGGACCCACACGACGGAGACCCTCGCGAGTACATCGTCGCCCGCGTCGCTCTACCCCACTCCAACACCCCCGACGCACCCCCTCCCTCCGAACCGGCCACCCCGCGCCACATCGGGCTCGTCAAGCTCGAGCGCTGCTGGGAGGGCCACATCCCCGTCGAGGAGTACGACAAATGCGGCGTCTCGAAAAACAGGTCCCGGAACGTCCTGGGTCGAGCGCACGACGCCGCCAACGTCTACGGGCCATCGATGAACCCGGTGACGGGGCGCCGCCGGACGGTCCTGCGCTCCTACGGCGCCCCTCTGCCGCTCGTCCGTCTCGTCGTCGCCGCGTGCGCGCTGCGCCGGCTGCACGTCGAGGCCTGCGGGGACACGCACGCGCACGCGTGGTTCGCGCGTGCGCTCTGGGAGCGGCTCGTGCCCGCCGGCAGCGCGGACGTCGTGCACCCGTCGGACTGGCGCAGCCGCCTCGCAGGCAGGATCGCAGGATCGCCCGAGCCGCCGAAGTTCGACGACGTTCTGGAGGGGGCGGAGGCGGAGGCGTGTCGGGCGATCGAAGACGGCGCGCTCGCCGCGTTCGCGGCCGCGCGGGCGAAGATAGCGGAGTGCCTTTCCCCTGAGGGCGAGTGGGTCTCCCCCGAGGATCAAGCAAAGACGGTCGAGGATATCTCGGATGCGGTGGACGCGGCCGTGTGGGGGGACTTTCGCGACTTGAGCGAGAGGAAAGACCCATTGATGGCGTTGGCGAACGCGGAGGCGGAACGTCGTCTCCAGGCGAACATCGCGCGCAGGAAGGAGCTTGCCGCTTTGCCCGGAGAGGGACAGGTGAGTGCTTCACTTCAAAGGATGGGGTGCGCATTGGTTCTGACTCGCGTCGTAATCGCCCAGTGAACGCAGTGCTTCCGCCATGTTAAATGCCGCGATCCATAGCGTGCACGTGTTCTATGACCTTCGCCGCGCGCACTCAAAGCCTTGTAGGCTTGCGCACGATATACTACCTGTGTACTCTGTACGTCAACGTGAATGTAGCCTTAAAGCCCGAAATGCGCACGCTTGCGTACATTCCGCTTCAGATGGATCCAGGTCTTTTCTGAATGAGATGGCGAGTGTAATTCCTTTGAGCCATCATCGGGGGCCGCGCCTTCGAACGTTCGAATTTCTTCGGCGCGCGGCGAACACACGAAATCAACCGCGCCATGCGAATTCTCGACGGACCCCTTTCTATCCATCCTCCAAACATTCAATTGCTCGCTCACCATAGGGGCGACTCTCCTTCCATACATCTCACCACCTACACCGACCACCGCTCTCATCCTTTTACGGTCTCTCATGACGTTCCTCGACACTCTCCGCGAGGGACTCCGCTACCACGCTGCGTTCTACTGGTGGATCTTATCTGCTAACAAATCCGACCCCGTCTTGCCTGTTTGGATTTCCGGTTGCAAGAAGGGTGAAACGCACTTCTGGGGGCTCCACGAACTCATGAACAGTCTCATCGACCGCACGATCTCGGTAGACGACGTTCGGTCTCCTGCACCACTCTACTCCTGCATCGTCACCCAGCTGGACCACATCCTGGACCCAAACCACGGAGACCCTCGCGAGTACATCGTCGCCCACGTCGCTCTACCCCACCCCAAAACCCCCGACGCACCCCCTCCGTCCGAGCCCGGGGCCCCCCCGCTTCCCATCGGGCTCGTCAAGTTCGAGCGCTGCTGGAAGCACCACATCCCCGTCGAGCAGTACGACAAATGCGGCTGCTCGAGAAGCGTGTCCCGGCACATGTCATGCCGAGCGCACGACGCGGCCAGCGTCTACGGGCCGTTCCTGGACCCTTTGACGGGGCGCCGCCGGACGATCCTGCGCTCCTGCCGCGCCCCCCCGGTGACGCTCGTCCGTCTCGTCGTCGCTGCGTGCGCGCTGCGCCGGCTGCACGTCGAGGCCTGTGGGGACACGCACGCGCACGCGTGGTTCGCGCGCGCGCTCTGGGAGCGGCTCGTGTCCCCTAGCAGCGCGGACGTCGCGTACCCGCCGGATTGGCGTACGTGGCTCGCAGGCCGGCTCGGAGGATTGCTCGCGGCGTCCGAGCCGCCGAAGTTCGATGCCGTTTTGGAGGGGGCGGAGGCGGAGGCGTGCCGGGCAATCGAAGACGGCGCACTCGGCGAGTTCGCGGTCGCGCGGGCGAAGATCGCGGAGCGCCTCTCCGCTGAGGGCGAGTGGGCCTCCCCCGGGGATCAGGCGCAGGCGGTCGAGGATATCTCGGACGCGGTGGACGCGGCCGTGTGGGGGGACTTTCGCGACCTAGACGAGAGGAAAGCCCTGGCACTGTTGGCAAAGGCGTGCGCGGAGGCGAGCGCAACTGCAAGCAGGAAGCTTAAGCTTGAGGAACTTGCCGCTTTGCCCCGGGGAGAGGGACAGGTGAGCGCTTCACTTCAAAGGATGGAGTGTGCATGGGTTCTGACTCGCGCCGTAATCGCCCAGTGATCATGAACGATCGTCCTAAACACCGCAATTCATCATGTAGCGTATATGAACCCGTATTCAAAACCTCGTAGGCATGCAATTTACTACCTGTGTGCTCTGTACGTCAACTTGAATGTAACCTTGAAGCCCCAAATGCGCACGCCCGTCGCCTGCACACACTCCGCTTCACATGGATCCAGGTGTCTTCTGACAGCTGGTAACAAAACGATAGAGGCCTCCGCTTCCTGCACGTACGGCTTCCCGCGAACGATGTTCCTCCGCTCCGTTCCCGCCAGGAGTCGGTGGAGGAGTGCTGGGAGGTCTAGGACGAGGCCGTGCGTGAACTTGCGGCCGTGCGGTTGTTCTTCTCCCCTGAGAAGGGTAAGGTGGTGGCGGACGTTATGGAGGCGTCGGACAGATGTGTCTTGGCGGGGGCGGGAAGCGGTCTCGAATAAGAGGCCGCAGAGCCGCCGCCGCCGCCGCCTTCACTATCCTCCTTCTCTGGGTGGAGTGTCGGAAGAGGGGAGGACCGGAACTTGTTGCCAAGTTGGCATGAGCGGAGTGAGTCCGTTTGCACATTTGCACTGCATGGACCATGTAAATATAGGGATATGAGAGGGTCCACTGCGACCGGATCCAGCTACAGAGTTTCCGCAGCACGTACGAAAGCGAACGCTGACCGGACGTTCCGCGTTTTCGGATATGTCGCGAAAAAACCGAGCACGTTCCTTGTACGAAGATGTCAGCGATGGATGTAGATGGCTTAGATTACCAACGAGGTCATGATGGAGGGTGTAGGCAGCTATGAATTTGACTATTCGTACATGATGCCGACGCCGGGTGGCTAGGAAACGCAGGGTTCGGGTGACCTGGAAATAATAAACGGGGAACGGGTCCGGGAGGGATACATGTCCATCTGGACCATGAGGTGCACGTTGGTTTATGGACATGAAAGACGAGGAACAACATCACAGAATTCTCCTTGAAATTGGCCCCCTTGCAAGCGCCTTTAGAATAGCGCTTGTCGGGACAAGCATACACGCGTCTTGGGGAGCGCTGGGAACAGGCACATAAGTTGGCCTCTATGCGAGATAGTGGTGAGAAAGTTGCAAATAGATGCAAACTGGGATCGCTTCCGAACACGATTGCGCTCATTGCAACTATCTTGCAGGTCTATTCCGACTTTCCCCCAACCTTCCTCTAAGACACTCACCACCAATGATGTCACTTCTGCCCTCAAACGACTTGTTGAACGACTGCACGTGATGTTTGAACTCTAATTATGACACCGGGGGCATTTTCCGATGAGACAAGCCGTTTCCTTGATGACTCATATAGAATGCCTCGCGGATGCGCCATCTGGACTCATTTTGAATGTCTCTCCTCGTATCATGGGAAGCTCGAGCTCTGATTGGCTAGCAATCAATGATACAAGGATGTCCCTCAAGATGAGTTTGTGCGGTACATCAATGGGACAATCTATATGAACAAAGCATGAAGCTGCGTGTTTCATCTGGCAATGCCCCCGGTGTGAACTAGCCAGCATCAAGCCACCCATTCAAGCCGCCCGGCGCCCAGCCTTCCTTAACTTGCAGGCACTTCATGCTATCCTTCAAGCTTCAATGCTTCACCCTTTGACCCGCTTCATCATCGCCAGTTGCTTGATGAACTCTGAGTAAGGCAAGGGACCGACTGTAAGCACACGAAGAGGAGCGATCCTCAGTCAGTGATAGAACGACTATATTGAGGGCATAAGTAGTACCTGTAAGCACACGAAGAGGAGCGACTACAGATACAGTAAGCATATGTGTAAGGAGCGCATAGAAGTGTAGGTACTTACTCCTCAGTCAGTGATAGAACGACTGAAGTAAGGCTGTATGCAGGTCTACCTGCGGGTGATCTGGATCTGTACCTGCAGGTACACGTGACAGACAGACATGGATCTGGATCTGGAATGATCCGGAACTGCCAGGGACCCGGAACTGTACGATCCGGACCCGTGACCTGCAGGTACACCCGCGAAATGACCTGCAGGCCATATATACCTGCGGATCCAGGTACTTACAGACCTGTGATCTGCAGGTAGACCTGCTATTTGACCTGCAGGTCGCATATTCTACCTGCAGATCCAGGTAGTGAAGTTGTTAGAACACACAGTAATGTGAGTGCAGACGACGTGAAAGCGCTGTATGATGTGAGTGGGGAGCACGCGCGTGCAGACAACGCACCAGCGGTGGGACATGAAGACGCATTGGCAGACAACACATGTGCGGACAACACACGTCGACGGTCGCGCGAGGGCACAAAGATGCGCCACGGACAAGTCATTGATGCGAGTGGGGAGGACGCGTGTGTGGGCAGCGGATGACGCGCGTCGCGCGAAGTCACACCACAGAGTCTGGGAAAATTTGATGCAGGATGCGAGAGTGGCGCGGAGGGGAGGACGTGTGTGCGGATGATGCTGCGAGGACGCGAAGACACACCACGGCCCACGGATAATGTTGATGTGAGAGTGGCGGTGAAGGCGGAGAGGACACGAGCAGGGAGCACACACAGCAGGACGACACAGGCTCCTGAGGACGTTGTATGACATGTGCATTACTATCCTAGTACACATTCAATCAGCATTACCCTTGGCCGCACGATGCGCGCGTGCAGCCTTCTTGTCCTTCAAGAAATCCACCATTTCGGTCTCGGGAACCAATCCAGGGATTTGGGCCCAGGAGCCAAGGATCGTGTTGGCGCGAACTGAGTCGTTGCCCATGGAGTGACGGAGCCGTGAGACGGTGAGGCGGCCGCGCGAGAACGCCCGCTCAGCATCCGTAGAGGTAGCTGTGGGGATTAAGGGCAAGGTTGCATGTCAGATCGAAGCATGGCCAGAGAGGGGTGAATGAGATACCTGGGATGGAGAGATAATCGACGGCCATGCGCGCGAGGTGCACATCCTCGGTGCCGTTCGCGAGGGCCGCATTCCAATACGCAAGAGCGTCGTCGGCGTTCAGGATCGGGCTTGAGTCAAGCCAGGCCTGAAGCGCGTCCACATCAGGCTTGTTGTGTGACGCGCTTTGGGAGCTAATGTTAGCGAAGAGCTGTAGGCAACTCATTCAGTGGGTGGATCTTCATACATGTGGTGGATAACGTACCGCTAGGCTCTCCTCGCGAGCTTGATTAACCGCAGCGGAGGAAGACTTGCCCTTCTGCTTGCGTGTGCTGCTGGCGCTCGAATCCTCGGTCGCTGGAGGGTTGTTTGGGGAGGGCTTGTAGTACTTGATCCAGACCTCTGTGATGACGCGTCGAGCCTCCGCGACCCAGTCATTGTCCCACTCAGCATCGTCGAAATACTTCATTTTGTATGCGGGGCTGAGCACTGCAAGTATCACCGATGTAAGTCCTTCGGAGGCAACTGTACAGACGAGCGGGGAAGAATGTACTCATGGCAATCCGGTATAGTGGTGTGTCATCTGTCTTGCTGTAGTACTTGTCGAGTATTCCGCGCGCAAGGGCAGCGCTCTGTCGGATCGCGGGGTGGACATCCTCGCAGACTGCGTAGCGGTCGACGTGCGAGGTGAGCCTATCCATGTACGGGATTACCTCATGCAGGAGCGCCTTGCTGCTCGAGGACACCTCAAGCGTGGCAACGAGGAAAGGCTGTAACGTGAGAATGTCAAAATGAGTGTTGCACACTTGTGCGAGGGGTTAGATAAATGTTTGCTTACATCCATGAACCGGTGGAGCTGCTCAATAAGCGACCAGTCTTCGTCTTCGAGCTTGAAACGAAGAAGGCGGATACCGCCTGGCCGGTTGAACTGCCGCATGACACAAACCTTGCCAAGAACTTCTTTCATCTCGAGGGCGCGCTTGAGAACACCGATGATCGAGTTCCATCGGGTCTTGACGAGACGGACAAGGACAATGGCGCTAATTCCGTGCGCCTCTGCGAGCCGGTGGAGCTCTTCGCGGACGGCGGGGTTGTGCCAGACTTTCTGCGAGAGCTGCAAGACCTGAGCAACAGTGTCAGCCCACGGATCGCCTTACAATCGCACTCAAGATCTCACCTTGTGCAGTGCGTCGACGGCCTCCTTGATCTCCTCCAGAGTAGCGGAGCTGTTCGACTTCTCGAGCATGTCGATGAGCTCTGCATCGGCGTGCTCACGATCCGCATCTTCGATGTCGTCGTCCTCTGCCTCATCCTCAGAGACGTCTGAGGCATTGGAGTCAGAATCCGGCCCGTCCTGAGCCTTGTTCTTGCGCGAGCGAGGTTTTTGAAAGGGTTTTAACGCAGCCTGGGCGGTACAGTGTCAGATTGAGCTATGAATTATCTCCTAGATCGTACATGTAACCTTACAGACAAGATTCAGGGATATGCCCAAAACAACGGACTTGCCCAAACCCAAGACGTAACTCCGGGTGGCTCTCCCGCAGGGCGCGCATCATGGCCGTGTTGACCTCTGCGTTGTCGGAAGTCAGAGCCAAGACCTATAACAAGACATATCAGCTGGATACGAAAAGGTGCGTGTTGTGCACTCAGCACAGTGGTGTACCTTTTCCAGGATGCCGAAGCGACGGAGAACGTCAGTGAGCATCTCGCCAAGATAGCTTGCTGTGTGGGCCTTCACTAATCTGCGTAGGAGCATCATTTCAGTTACGTGCACGAACAAGACTGAAAGGGAACTTACTTTGCGAAATCCAGAGTGATATGTTTGATCTCACTCGGTGGCAGTGCTGTAGCCCGTCGGTAACGCCCATACGAGGTGCCCGCGTTGCCGTCGGTAACGGCCATACGAGCTCGTACGAGCTCCGGTAATGTAGCCGTCGGTAACGGTCGTACGAGATGTGGGGGGCAGGTAGTTCCCCTTGATAGCTTAGTGCTTTTCCAACTCTCCTACATACCCTAGTACATTTAATTGGTACAACAACAATGAAAACGATATTCTACAGCCCCTGGGAAGCCAATACCGGGCTGATACAGCAGGGGACGCCGGCTCCGGTAGTGGCACGTCCCACTGCGTACATTGCGCCCTACTGCACCGTACGTTTCGGTAATGCGTTCGCTACGTTCCCCTGGGTCGTACGAGCTCGGAACACTGGTTTTTATCCCCGTGCGTGCTGTGGTTGGCCGGGGCATTGAAAACACTGCCCAGACTCGTACGAGCCTGTAGCCGTCTGTCACGGTCGTACGAGGCACCTCCGGTGTGCACCCGGAATATTGCGGTAATGGATTCGGCAGATGCGCGTTCGTACCGAACTGCAGCGCACTCAATTTCGTTGCGATGCGTGCCATGGTTGGCCTGGGGTAACAAAAACGCTGCCCAGGCTCGTACGAGCCTGTAGCCGTCTGTCACGGTCGTACGAGGCACCTCCGGTGTGCACCCGGAATATTGCGGTAATGGATTCGCATATGCGCGCGAGTGTACTGAACGCAGCGCACACAATTCCATTGCCGTGTGTGTTGTGGTTACAGAGGGAGAGTCAGAACAGTGCTCAGGCTCGTACGAGCCTGTACCCTGTCTCAGACGTCGTACGAGTACCTCCGAGAGAGCGGACACCCGGAAATCTCGGCAATGCATGGCGTGCATTGCCGAAGGTTACCGGAACAGGTGCACTTTGTTTCGTCGCTTTGCACACTGTAGTTAAGGCAGGAGAGTCGAAACAGTGTGCAGGCTCGTACGAGCCTGTACCCTGTGTGAGACGGTCGTACGAGTTGTCCCCAGTGGACCTCATTTTTTTGGTAATGCTTTCGGTAGATGGCACGGATACTGAGAATAGCGAACTTGATTTCATTGCTGTACAAGCCGTAGTATGAAGATATTGTCGAAACAGTGTGCAGACTCGTACGAGCTGTACCCCGTCTGGAACGGTCGTACAGGTGCTCCTGGTGGGTATCAAAAATTTCCGGTAATGCATGCAATGCATTGCCGGAGATCACTGGAACACAGCGCACTTTGTTTTATTGCTGTGCGTGGCATGGTTAAGGTGGCGGAATTGAAACACTACAGAAGCTCGTACGAGCTTGTACCCTGTTTGAGACGGTCGTACGAGTTGTCCCCTGGTGAACTCGTTTTTTTCGGTAATGCGTTCGGTAGATGCGCACGGGTGTGCCGAGAATAGCGCACTTGATTTTAGTGCTGTATATGCTCTGGTTGTGGCAGCGGAGTTCAAACAGTGCAAACACTTGTACAAGGTGTCCTCCAGTAAACACCCACTTTTTCCGGCAGTGCATTCATTACCGAGATTCCGGCAGTCCCTCCATTACCGAGTGTTTGGTCATCTGTGTGTATTACCACTCTCACAACCGAGGTTTTGACCACCTGTGCATATTACCGCTCTCACTGCCGAGTTTTTGATTGCCTGTATTCATTACCGAGTTTTTTGCACCCATTGCCGAGTTTTTGATCACCGGTATCAATCAGCAGTCCTCATTACCGAGTTTTTGACTGCCTGAATCCATCACCGAGTTTTTGGTCACCTCCGGACTTCAATGCCGAGTTTTTGACCACCGGTATCCATTGCTCGTCCTTCCGACTCCTCATTACCGAGTTTTTGGACACCTCCAGCCTTCAATGCCGAGTTTTTATTACTGAGGTCTGTAATCCCGGTGCTCACTGCCAGTGCTCTTGCTGACCTCTGGCCTTCAATGCCGAGGTTTGAATACCGAGATTGGTAATCCCGGTGCTCACTGTTGGTCCTCCGGCCTTCAATACCGAGTTTTTGTTACCGAGGTCGGCAATTGTGCTACCAGTGGTGCTCACTGTCTCAAACAGCGAGCTCACTGTCAGACACAGTGAGCTCAACATGTTACCCATCTCTGTATCTGTCCCTCATGTTTTTGGAATGCACCTCTGCATCACATCTGAATGTATTGCAGCACATTACAGCATATTTATATGAGTTGGTCTGCCTGTACTGAACACCTTCTACCTGAGAAGTCACCCTTCACAGCAGCATGTGTAGATGTTATTTCACCTCGCTGTTTTTTGGATCAGGGAGGAGCATGCAAGAGCTGTGGGTTTGCAAATTTGGAGGGCAGTAGCTGCAAAAGTGAGAGAACAGTGTGGTATGATATTTTAAAATGACATACCACACACAGAAATGGGATGGGAGTGTATCACATTCCGAACACCTGGATATATTCATAGACGATATTATGAATGCAATGCAGAAGAGAGCGCACAGAAATCAGGATTTCCGGTGAAGATACAAGATATGTGTGGAAAGTGGAAGTTCTGAGAAAACACGACATGCATAAGTTCATGTGCAGACATGATATCAACATGCTGTTTGCTGCATCACAATTGGGTACTATTGGGGTGCTCAGATCGGAATTTCCAAGCTTATCGGTGATGAGATGTATATGGGGCATCATATGTCATTATTTCATGACATACATTATCCTGACACAGCATATGCTCCGATTAGAATGCGAAAACATGGAATAGAACAGGGTAGAACATAGCTATCCAACGCAGAAGAGACCTTGAAAAACGGTTGAGAATCAGTGGAGATGTGCAAGGTGAGCCAGAAGTGTGGTTTATGCTGAATGTGCTCTGACCTCGCTTTCCACTACAACCACACTTCTGGCTCACCTTGCACATCTCCACTGATTCTCAACCGTTTTTCAAGGTCTCTTCTGCGTTGGATAGCTATGTTCTACCCTGTTCTATTCCATGTTTTCGCATTCTAATCGGAGCATATGCTGTGTCAGGATAATGTATGTCATGAAATAATGACATATGATGCCCCATATACATCTCATCACCGATAAGCTTGGAAATTCCGATCTGAGCACCCCAATAGTACCCAATTGTGATGCAGCAAACAGCATGTTGATATCATGTCTGCACATGAACTTATGCATGTCGTGTTTTCTCAGAACTTCCACTTTCCACACATATCTTGTATCTTCACCGGAAATCCTGATTTCTGTGCGCTCTCTTCTGCATTGCATTCATAATATCGTCTATGAATATATCCAGGTGTTCGGAATGTGATACACTCCCATCCCATTTCTGTGTGTGGTATGTCATTTTAAAATATCATACCACACTGTTCTCTCACTTTTGCAGCTACTGCCCTCCAAATTTGCAAACCCACAGCTCTTGCATGCTCCTCCCTGATCCAAAAAACAGCGAGGTGAAATAACATCTACACATGCTGCTGTGAAGGGTGACTTCTCAGGTAGAAGGTGTTCAGTACAGGCAGACCAACTCATATAAATATGCTGTAATGTGCTGCAATACATTCAGATGTGATGCAGAGGTGCATTCCAAAAACATGAGGGACAGATACAGAGATGGGTAACATGTTGAGCTCACTGTGTCTGACAGTGAGCTCGCTGTTTGAGACAGTGAGCACCACTGGTAGCACAATTGCCGACCTCGGTAACAAAAACTCGGTATTGAAGGCCGGAGGACCAACAGTGAGCACCGGGATTACCAATCTCGGTATTCAAACCTCGGCATTGAAGGCCAGAGGTCAGCAAGAGCACTGGCAGTGAGCACCGGGATTACAGACCTCAGTAATAAAAACTCGGCATTGAAGGCTGGAGGTGTCCAAAAACTCGGTAATGAGGAGTCGGAAGGACGAGCAATGGATACCGGTGGTCAAAAACTCGGCATTGAAGTCCGGAGGTGACCAAAAACTCGGTGATGGATTCAGGCAGTCAAAAACTCGGTAATGAGGACTGCTGATTGATACCGGTGATCAAAAACTCGGCAATGGGTGCAAAAAACTCGGTAATGAATACAGGCAATCAAAAACTCGGCAGTGAGAGCGGTAATATGCACAGGTGGTCAAAACCTCGGTTGTGAGAGTGGTAATACACACAGATGACCAAACACTCGGTAATGGAGGGACTGCCGGAATCTCGGTAATGAATGCACTGCCGGAAAAAGTGGGTGTTTACTGGAGGACACCTTGTACAAGTGTTTGCACTGTTTGAACTCCGCTGCCACAACCAGAGCATATACAGCACTAAAATCAAGTGCGCTATTCTCGGCACACCCGTGCGCATCTACCGAACCCATTACCGAAAAAAACCATGTTCACCAGGGGACAACTCGTACGACCGTCTCAAACAGGGTACAAGCTCGTACGAGCTTCTGTAGTGTTTCAATTCCGCCACCTTAACCATGCCACGCACAGCAATAAAACAAAGTGCGCTGTGTTCCAGTGATCTCCGGCAATGCATTGCATGCATTACCGGAAATTTTTGATACCCACCAGGAGCACCTTGTACGACCGTTCCAGACGGGGTACAGACTCGTACGAGTCTGCACACTGTTTCGACAATACCTCCTTAACTACACCAGGTACAGCAATGAAATTGAGTTCGGTATTCTCAGCTTATCCGTGCGCATCTACCGAAAGCATCAACAAAAAAAACGAGGTTCACCAGGGAACAACTCGTACGACCGTCTCACACAGGGTACAGGCTCGTACGAGCCTGCACACTGTTTCGACTCTCCTGCCTTAAATACAGTGTGCAAAGCGACGAAACAAAGTGCACCGTGTTCCGGTAACCTTCGGCAATGCACGCCATGCATTGCCGAGATTTCCGGGTGTCCGCTCTCTCGGAGGTACTCGTACGACTGTCTGAGACAGGGTACAGGCTCGTACGAGCCTGAGCACTGTTCTGACTCTCCCTCTGTAACCACAACACACACGGCAATGGAATTGTGCGCGCTGCGTTCAGTACGGTTTTGCGCACCTGTAGAATCCATTATCGCAATATTCCGGGTGCCCACCGGAGGTGCCTCGTACGACCGTGACAGACGGCTACAGGCTCGTACGAGCCTAGGCAGCGTTTTTGTTACCCCAGGCCAACCATGGCACGCATCGCAACGAAATTGAGTGCGCTGCGTTCAGTGCACTCGCGCGCATCTGCCGAATCCATTACCGCAATATTCCGGGTGCACACCGCAGGTGCCTCGTACGACCGTGACAGATGGCTACAGGCTCGTACGAGTCTGGGCAGTGTTTTCAATGCCCCGCGCCAACCACAGCACGCACGGGGATAAAAACGAGTGTTCCGAGCTCGTACGACCCAGGGGAACGTAGCGAACGCATTACCGAAACGTACGGTGCAGTAGGGCACAATGTACGCAGTGGGACGTGCCACTACCGGAACCAGCATCCCCTGCTATATCAGCCCGGTATTGGCTTCCCTGGGGCTGCGGGATGTTCTTGCGCGTATGTAGCACACTAGAGGACCTCAAAGCACGCAAACGACAGCCAGAATGATACATTTGGCATTGTATATTACTTCTCCACCACTGCTCGTACGACCGTTACCGACAGCTACACTACCGGAGCTCGTACGACCGTTACCGACGGTCTACACGACCGGAGCTCGTACGAGCTCGTATGGCCGTTACCGACGGCAACATGACGGGGTCGTACCGCCGTTACCGACGGCTACAGAGGGGGAAGGGGGTCGGAGACGCGCCTCGGTGGGCGGCAAGGACGCGTGGCTGTGATGCACGCCACGCATCCCTCCCGCAGTCCTTGCTCCCTCCCCCGCCTCCTCCTCCTCCTGCTCCGCCCCCACCACCGTCCAGGCAGACGATAGCGACTATACAGTCGTCCTTCGTCTGCTATTGGACTCCGGTGTCACCTGGTGACACCGTTCAACTCCCCTCCTCCTCCTCCCTCCTCCTCAACCTCGACCTCCATGCCGTCCTTCACCCACCTTGCCGGCCGCATCCGCACCGCACGAGGACGTCCATCCGGACGTCCTCAGCATGGAGATTAGAATTAGGGGGTTGCGGGGATGTACCGCGGCCCTTGTTTTGGTGAGTCCCCCGCTCCACCCTCCTGCATTCCCAACGCCCACCTCTCCTCTCCGGCTTCGTACATCCGGCCTGCCGCCGGCCTTGACCTCGATCTCCGCATCCGCCTGGCCCACCTCGCCGCTGCCCTCCTCCCCGTTGCCCACCTCCGCGCTGTTCTCTGCCCGCCTTCACGCCGCCCGTCTGCACACCTCAGGTGCCCGCGCCCGCACACCCTCCTCCGCCTCCCTCACCCGGGGCCCACCTCCTCCACGCGCGTCGGCCACCTCTGCGTCATTACCCACCTCCGAGCAGCAGTGAATCGCTAGGAACACCTGTTGTGAGTACTTATCGGCAGGTGCAGATGCACCTGTCGTAAGTGCCTAAAACAATGGAGGCACAGGAGTCGAACCCGCACCCACACCGTGAATCCATAGTGATGTATGCCACTACACTATAGGTCCGTATTTACCTAGCTATGTTTTTAAATTATACCACCTTTGGTATACGGCGCGGACGCGTGGTGCGCATCAACGGGCCCGTTGATGCGCGCCACGCGTCCTTCGCTGTTGCTGTCCTCACTCGCTTCCTCCTGCTCCTGCTCCTCTCCTCCACCCTCGCTACCCCTAGCCTCCCCGCTCTGTCCAGGCAGACGATAGCGACCATATGGTCGACTGTCGTCTGCTATTGGACTCCGGTGTCACCAGGTGACACCGACCTTCCCTCCTCCAACCTCCCTCGACCTCAACCTCAACCTCGATCCCGCCCTATACCGACCTTCCCGACCGCACTCACAACAAAAAACACTGCACAAGGACGTCCATACGATGGAGATCGGAATATGGGGGCCGCGGCGATGTGCCGCGGCACTTGTTTTTTGGTGAGTCCTCCGCTCCGTCCTCTTGCACTCCCGATGCCCACCCATGCCCCCTGCCTACGACAGGCCGAGGACGTCCACACTGACGTCCTCCTCCGCGCCGCTCTCCTCCCCCCGCATCGCCCGCCCTCGCCTTCCGCCTCTGCGTCGCCCGCATCGCGTCACCCTCCTCCGCCACGTCCTGGCCCTCCTCCACCTCCGCGTCCTCCGCCCACGTCACCGTCCTCATCCTGCTCGTCCTCCCCTTCCCCATCATCCTCCTTTGCCCGGCGCCCACTTCACCCTCCTCCGCCCGCGTGCGGCCCTCCACCTCCTCCCGTGAGCCCTCCGTGTCGCCCACGTCTACGTCGCCCATCTTCTCCATCTCGTCCCGGCCCTCCACCTCCTCCTACCAGCCCTCCGCATCGCCCTCCGCCGCCGCCGTGTCCACCGCCTCCGCCTCCGCGTCCCTGCCCTCTGTGTCACCCACCATCGCCCGCGTCGCCCTCCGCCTCCTCCGTCTCGCTCGCCTCCGCGCGTGTCGCACGCCTCCGCCTGCGTCGTCCTCCGCGCCGCCAGCGTCCCCGCGCGTCGCCCTCCGCCTTGTTTACCTCGTCCCGGCCCTCCGCCTTGCCCTCCTTCGCATCCACGCCACCCTCTGCATCGTCCCAGCTCTCCGCCTCGCCCGTCTCCGACTCGCCGCCTCCGCATCGCTCGCCTCCGCGCCCCCCTCCTGCGTGCTGCGCGCGCCTCGTGCGCCTTCACCAGCGTCCCCCTCCTTCGTCCGCGGCGCCCTCCTCCGCGTCCACGGCGCCTTCTTCCGCCTCCAACCGCCGTGCCGCGCTACCTCCATGTTGTAGTAGAATATACTAAATATATTTCATCTCTCATAATAAACTAGTACGCCTACGAAGGACGGCGGGGAGTCGGGACGATGAGCACGGGTGGGCGCCCATATGAGGTGCGTGTGCGCGCCTGGGGAAGTGGCGTGATGGGGGTGGATATAGCAACGGGGTGGTACCTGAGATCAACAGATGCATCTGCACCTGCCGACAGGCTATGGGAACAGATGCACCTGACGATTCACTACTGTAGCACCTCCATGTCGCCCGCGTCCGTGTACCTGCCGCCCGCATCTGCGCGCGTCGCTAGGCTCCCCCCCGCCTCTGCGTCCGCCCTCCTCCGTGTCCTCCTCCTCCGCGTTGCCCACCTCCTCCGGCCCGTCCGCCCCCGCGTCGTCCACCCCGGCGCGCGCTGCCCACCTCATCGCCCGCCTCTGCCCGCCTCACTCGCACTCTTCCGCCCACTCTGACCTCCTCTGCCTCCGCCTCCTCCCGCGAGCCCTCCGCGTCACCCTCCTCCGCCCACCTCCTCCGCCCACGCGGCCCTCCTCAGTGTCGTCCCAGCCCACGTCATGTCCTCCACTGACGTCACCTCCCCCGCCCACGTCGTCCTTCCACTCGCATCGCCCGCCCTCGCTGCTCTGCGCCTCCTCCCCCTTCGCATTGCCCGCGTTGCCCACCACCTGCTCCGCCTCGTCTTGGCCCCCCCCGCGAGCCCTCCGCGTCGCCCTCCTCCGCCTCGCTTGCCTTTGCGTCGCCCGCCTCCGCGTCTCCCGCGTTCACGTCGCCCATGTCGCCCTCCTCCTCCTCTGCGTTGTCCCCGCCTCTACGTCTGCCTCCGTGTTGTCGCGGGGCGTGGTATTACTTACTAGTGCACCTATGTAGTAGTTTACTAATAAATATATTTTTATCACTAATCATATAAAAGATGTGGTGTGAAACAAATAGGGAGGCGAGCTCACTGTCGGAGACAGCGAGCTCAGGTGGCAGCGCCTGAGGCGCCGGTGTCCGGACATCTCGGGACAGTGTCGCACCCAGGGGTGCGCGAGCGCGCTTGGGGAGGGCGGTGTCGAGCGCGACCGGGCCGGCCGGCACCAGATGCATCCGCACCTGCTGATAGGCTGTCACAACAGATGCACCTGGCGAATCATCACTGTAGGTTTGACATTGCACGTGTGTTGTCAACCAGATCGCTCTTTCTTAACAGCGCGATAGCCCTCCTCCTCCTCCATCTCCTTCAATAGCTGCCTTTTCTTTGCCTCCACAAACAGCTCCTTCCGATGCTCATCTTGGTGTTGCAAAGCCTCCGCATCAGGCTTACGCCATGAATGTTTGCAACCTGGGGGCAGGCCTTGAGATCGAGGCGGCGTGTCGGGGCGATCCTCATTGAACTTATGCAGAGAAGGGGGAGTGCTCTGGCATCCCGATGAGCCACTGTGCCCAGAAACCATGGGTATAGTACTCACAAAAGGACGTATTCTCTCTGAAGGCAGTCTCTTTGAAGACAGTGTTGACATCTCAGTGTCAGTCTCCGAGAGATCCTCGGCGGCATGGAAGGAGGCGTCCGCCACAGAAGGTTCCTTCTCTGTCTCCTTTGCGCTGATCTGCAGAAGGGGAGCCTCAAGAGGACCTGGGGAGAGGTCAATAAGCACTGTCTATGGAGATGTGTGGGGTTAGCTCCAAAAATGTGCACACTCTTGCGACACTCACAACTGATTTGCCAGAGTCATGCGCTATTTCAACAGCGACGCATATGCCAGTTCCGTCTGCAGAAGACACCACGTGATATTGGGGCAGGAGAGGCCCAGAAGCCACGGATACAGTAGTGTTTTGGAACAACGCCATTGGTGGGGAATTGGGATGAGAGAGATGACAAAGATGTATACTGCACTAGCACTGCACACTCAAGCTTTTAAAGACTGCAAAAGGTGGCATCGATCAATTCACACGTGACCTCGTTGGACCCAATCATTGAGCGCTGATCGGTTGGAGGTGTTTTTCACTGCTCCAGCTTGGGACGGGTCATTTCCGCCCACAGGCGCTTCCCCAATCAGACGGCGGTGAATATCACCTGCGTCACGTGTTAAACCAGAGTGGGTCTAAATCACCTTCAAACGCCTACTGCCATGAAAACAACCACTCTGCCGGTGATCCTCGGGAAACACCTGGACCGAGGGTGCTTTTTTACCCACATTCTTTCTCACAGTGAGTGTAGTCTTCAACATGTCTCCCTCACCCTCCAACATCGTCTTCGAGCGAGTCGAGGCTCCGACAGGTATGGATGCACGTCGTTGGCTTCAAGTATCACTCGCTGATGCAGACGTTTCGCAGAGACGCTTGCACAAGACGCGGTGGACATCATGGTTCCCCTCGTGAATGATGGCCGGTACTGCCTTTTTATGCCGATGTTCCTCCATTCTCACTCGTTGCATTTGCAGAGAAGATATTCTGCGCGCTCATCAGAGGCGACCTAACGCGCCTCCCCAGCCTCGTCAAGCTGTTGATACGCCCCATCACCCTCGTCGCCGGCGTCGGCCATATCTACATCGCCCGCGATGAGTCCGGCACGCTCGTGGGCTTCTTGCTGTTCACTCTTCCGGGGCAGCTCGTGATGTCGACGTGCGTCCGCTCTCATGCTCGCCCGCGCTCGATCGCTCACCTGATTCGTGCTCTCGCGCATCAGCGAAGAGCAGCGTCAGATGGGCATGTACGAATACGTCGCCGATCTGCCGGAAGATGCCAAGGAATACTTCCTACAGGCCGTACGTTCCTGAGTCGTCAAGGTCGTCGCATCGGCGAGGCATCTCACTCTCTACCCTCGCAGAACACGGTAGACCTGCCGAAGCTCAACGATGAGATTTTCGGGACCAAAGAGACCGAGCGCAGCACGTACTGGTGCAACTTTGCCATGATCCGCGCGGACTACCAGAGAAAGGGTCTCGCGACGCGCATGTTCCAAATGGTGTTCGAAGAGGTGAGCGTTGTTCCCATGTCCTCCAGTGCCGTTTGGAGCGCGCTGACGTCCGTGATCACGTACAGGCAGCCAACAGAGGAGCCAACGTTGGGCTCACCGCGACGAAGGCCTCAAACGTAAGCCGCGCGCGTGTTTTCACGGTCGCGCGCCTGGACTGAATCCGTCAACCCAGGTCGAAGTCTACGAGAAGATAGGGTTCACCTTCCGCGGTGATAGGACCCTCCATTCTCCATGGTGCGACTGGGGCATTTGGGGCATGTTCAAGGACCCGAAGGCCGAGGCAGTGGTTGAGGCTTGAGCGCGTCATCACTGTGTGCAGAACATAGTATTAGTATCCGTGTAGTGTTATCCATGCGCAAAGTGCAGTTGAGCATCCTACGATCTGCCTCGGCATCTTGTTGGTCTCCGCGAGTGCCTTGTTAGGCCGATCGCGACCCCTGGGTTTAGTGCACGACCACGCGGGAGTCTGGCTGTCGACTACCCTGTGCAGGCGGAAACTTGAAGCCGCGAACGCGCGGGGTCGACGACCGCATCAACCGGCCACGTGGCCGATGCGCCCGCCGCCGATCCCTGCGATCAATTTTCGGAGTGCGGTTGCGCTCCGCCATCCTCGTCCACCCCGGTCTGCTGCCGCCAACGTTGCCTGATCATACGCTCGCTCTCGACAGCCAGCAGCGTTCTCCAATCTCCGTCCCGCACCCTCACCCGAGTGTGCTGCCGCAAGATGAAGTTCCTTCGACGGGTGCTGTCAGTTAGTGGAGAGAGCGAGCGGGATTGTCGAGAAGGGGTGATACAGCAGGTGAGTAACCCTGCACATATCATAGCATTCTTGCGAACAAGCTCGCCTGTAGGTGCCGTCTTTGCCGGCCCACACACCTGGATGCGGCATCACGGCACATGAGGCCTTCTCTGGTTCTCGCGGGTGCATTGCTTGTCGTAACAGTGGGAACACCACCAGCGAGAAGCATGTTCATACGTCGCCGGATTATCCGGAAGCCATCTCACGTTGTGCGAAGACGATCGGCAACACGCGGTGTTCATCTTGTTCATCTACCGCGAGTCGACGCCCATTCAGTCCTGGTCCGTCTCTTCCGCTCCGCGTTGCGTATATTAGCCCCCGCACCCCGGTCCCACCTTTCGAGAAGTCGCGCCGGAAGCCGCAGTGGAAGGTCTAGTCTCCCCACGATCAAACTCGTTCAAGAGGTTCCTTCGGACGAGTAGGCACTCCGTTGTCACAATCCCTGTATCACGTTTCGGTTCCCGTGTATCCTCTGTGCACCTCACCGTCACGCCCTTGTCCCCACCCTCTAGCGCAGTGACAACTGCGAGGTTCCTTGCCACCACCCACGTTTTCGATGTTTCCCGTCTATCCATTCATCACCCTCTCCGGATTCTTCCGCGGCGGCCCACATCATAGAGCACCGGACCGCACCTCGGCTGGGCCAGCGCGCGCACCCGGATCTGGCCCGCCCGCTGCACTCGATGAACCCGAGGTATGTTCGCTCTCGTTGCAACGCTTGCCGCCGTCGGGGATGGTCAGATAACGAACACCGCTCGTTCAACGTCATCACCCCGCACTAGTCATCTACGCCTGTTCTAAATGTATTCTGACATCTGTCTAATGGTCGTTGACGAGAATGGACTTGCGTGCGCTGGCCGTCGTCAATCAATTTCATCTCCGGGATTGCGAGGATTGGAAAGATCGGAACGCGTAGGATGTTAGAGCGTCGAGCGAAGACACATTAAGCGAGTCCCAGCATTGATAGCCATACAGTTATACAGTCATCACTACTATACGTTCACAGCTATCAATCTAGGAACGGCTATGTTAGACTCTGTCCATGCGCGGCGCTGAATGGAGAGTCAGATGCGTGTAGGTGAGACCTGGCGGGGTGGAGGACGGCGTATTCTAACGATCAACCGGCTACAACGGGCAGGTTTCAAGATGGTGTATGTCACGGTTACGCCTACTCAATGCCATCGCGTGCACGCCCAGTTGGCGACGAGTATGAACATACTCCGACGAAACTACACGAAATAATGCTTAACGCGAAAAAAGGAACACATTTATAAGTCGACTCGAGTCCGGCAGACGACGCGCGACGTGGGGTTGTCGCAGCACCACCTCCGTTCATCAGAATACGTCATACATGTACAAGAGGAGCGGCTCTACTAATAAGGGCAGATGAGAAGTAGTTCACTCCCGTTCGCGATACCACAGAGAGCTCACCTATACGTTTGCTAAGCGCGCCTTGATTGCAGCTCGGAGCTTGATCAGAGCCACATATTCTCTTGGGGAGGAGAGACGGCATCGCCTACCACAGATCCGTGAGGTTCCACGGCAACGTGAGAGCGGGAAACACTTACCCGTGGCGTCTTGAGGAACCGGGGACGCCTTGACAGACGTACTGATCCCGGCGATCGCGAAGAGTGCAGAGACGATCAAGTGAAGACGCATGTTGGAGATGTGGACGATGAAGGGTGCGTTATGAGCTGTGGAACTTGCGCAACGCCGTCCAATATATGGTGCGCCGGTATCGGTGAGTTATCGCCCCATCGATGATGATCCGAACCTAGGACGACGTTAGTGTCCTCGAAGTGAGAGTTCGGAGAACGGATGCACACACGGATGCGGCTAGCTGTCAACTTAGAGGCTCTTGGAACAAGCTAGAAGTCAGTTCGCGTGGAATCACGGTGGTTGTGACCACCCTTCTTGACTCTTGCCTTCATACGGAAGACAGACGTATCCGGAGAGTCCCCACCGAGTGACGAGCACGGAGGCGGCTCGGAGGCGAATGCATTCTACGCTAACAGGCGGAGATGTCATGTGGGATATGGGGGCTAGAGCGTGTCAGCAAAGGAACGGAACATAAACACAATGACAAACAAACACCCACCATAACAGCATGTCGGAGTCATCTTCCATCCACCTACACTGTCTGCTTATGCGCTCCCGCTATTAGCGTGAGACGCAACATATCGGCGGGGATCAAAGTTCATATGCATACATAGATGCATACGATACGAAGGAAGACATCCATGCACAGAAACCGAAGCCAGCGGAACTGCCGCGCCGCGCGGAATGCGCGTCGACAGTTTCACTTGATCGGTCCGAAATGAGTCGCTGATAAACATGAAGGACTGTCAATACTGATAACAAAGAGAAACCATAGTAGCACATAACGCTGTACGAGACGGCGCTCAAGCACTAGGTGGGGATGCGTGAAACTTTGTGCTTGGGGGAATCAATTCAGGGCACTCATCTTATGTTATGACGTCATCGAATCTTCTCGGTGATACGTGCGGTTGTGGCAGTCAGTGATCGAGCCTATCGCAGCGTTGTTGTGTGTCACTGGCAACTTGGCAGGACACGTATGTAGCATGATCTTCCGCCAGGAAAACGTCTACAGGATAATGTCATGGACGTCAGTCTAAGCTCGAAAAGGCTAGTTCGCGGAGGAATCCTTACCGTGAGCGTCACAGCGGTTCGTTCAAGCAACGTCGACACCCTGCTGGAGCACAGCGCGATCAAATACGCGAATCAGAACGGAGGCGCACATTGAGACGGTGTCGCGTCCGAGAGCCACCCCGTGCGGAGGAAAAGATCCGCGCGCGCGGATGACCGCGGACGCGTAAAATACCGCGATATGAGACGCGATATCTGCGAAGAAGTCGCTCTTGGATGGTGCGAGTGAACCAGGAACGAGTCGTAGAAGACGCGGCACCAGTAGAGCTGGAAGGAGGCACCGCGCGAAGCTAGCGTGGGCGTGGGCGGAGTTACGACGGAGCGGAGTATCCACACAAAGAGGGCGTCGCTGAGGGCGGAGGAGGACGTGCTGCCCGTGACCTGGCAACTTGCGATCGGCGGCGACGCAGGCTGCGAAACCGCATCCTGCCCAGGTGGAGCGTTGCACGTGTGTGCCCCTTCGGTCTCTCGAGTCGTGCTCCATCGTGGCGGCTCTTCATGAGGATGAGGATACACGTCTTATGCGCGTCGTCCTGTGTTTGAATAGAGCGCTCCCAGGGTATGAAGACAGAGGTCGGGATATGGGTGCCCTGACGCGGTAGCGGCCATGGTATGATGTTGGTGTGCAAGGGGTTTAGAGACAGGGGCAGCCATTGGCCCGCGATCCCGTCGACCAGGGTAGGGCGAAGACGTATCTGGTCATCCAGTGCATGCGTTCTTGATGACTCTCTGGATAAAGTCTTCTTAGTCGATGACAGCGTGTGTTGTGACGAGAGTGAATACACCTGGACGGGGTCCCGCCGGACGATCTAAAGATCCGACGTGGATCGTTGGCGGAGAGCTTGCAGAGAAGAAAAAAGGACGGACGTGGGAACGTAGAGTCGGCGGGAGAACACGTGTGTTGTGGAAAGGAACTATATGCAGATGTCAGAAAGCGACTACACGAGTGACTGGGGATAGAAGGATGGAGGCGAGGATGCTCGAGTATGGTACTTCAGCGCACATAGAGGGTACACAGAAACTGAAACGTCACAACGCTGATCCCGGGGTTGATCCCGGGGAGACTACAATGCATCGTTCCCGGTTCCGCCATGCTTCTTGGCCGAGAGGAGCATGGCGGAGGTACAAATCGTCTTCGTGGTAGAAGGAGGGACGGTATCTCAGGGGCCGCAGAAACGCGAAGTCCGGGGCCCGAGGTACAAGACACGCGACGCGGAGAGGGAGAGACGGTCCAGAGTTGAGTGGACATAAGGGCCAGAGAACGCTTCATACCGGCCATCCCCAAGTCTTTCCTTCGACGAGGGCTGTCACATCGACCGTCAAGGTCTATGGTCCTGCAGGGACAGCACCTAAAAGCGAGCTTGTTCGCAAAAATGCCATGATATATGCAGGGGCTACTCACTTGCTATATCGCGCCTTCTCGAAAATCCCGCCTACCCTCTCCACAAACTGACAACACCTGATGGTCCGTGAGAGAACATGCCATGATCATAAGGGAGTGCATCCGTCGACGGAACTTCATTTTGCGGAAGTGCGCTTTGAACGTCCGCGTGAGGGTGCTGGACGGAGACCCAGAATGATGGAGAGGACGGTGCTCGCTGCTGCCGAGCGGGAAATTGAGCTTATGATCAGGACACGGTCGAAATAGGCTGGCGACAGCGGTGGACGAGGAAGAAGAGACCGGCGATGGTGAATGCAAGCTGAGCACAATTCCGCCCCGAAAAATGGTCCCGGCTCCCGGGGATGGGCGGCGGTCCGTGAGTCCGGCCACGTGGCCGGCTCCTGACACCGCGTTCCGTTTCCCGGCCGGCCACTCTTGGGCGCATTCCTCGTGGTTTCGTCTGCAATGACTCACATCGTTACAACCCTTGAACGCTCTGTTTATGCCATCAGATACACGTACGCCGAACACTAGTACTCTATCTTGGCACCACCCTGCCCGAAGTTCAAGAAGCGATCCACAAGGATGTACGCCCGGCAACGGTGAGCGTATACGCCCAATCTGACCAATTTTTGTTGACCAGTGCATCCAGTCACTTTAATGTTTTCCACTCTCAACTTGAGCAGTGTCGCCAACGCTCAGACGTCTCGACATCCCTCGGCCCTTTGGTTTGGCCTTCCCTCATGCCTCCGCGATCTCCTCCGGAGGCTCACCCCTCCCCACGCGCAAAGCCCGTCCACCGGTCCCACTGTTCTGCGCGGACGGTGGCCTTGCTGGATGAACACGTTTTTCACCGTGTTTCTTATCCGCGTCCCTGCCGCGAAGACGTATACCACCAGAACGCATACCGCCGCGTACTCGGCGACATCGAGCTGCGCTACCACGGTTCTCATCGACATCTCGAACCGCACGAAATTCGCTGCAGAGGCGCTCCAATTCGGATGCTCTTCCTGAGGGGGAAGACCTGGACCTGGGCGGGTTCGACCAGGGGGCCATGGTGATCGAATACTCATTTAGCGTGGTAAGTTGCGCTTCCTTTCCTCCCTTTCCAAGCTGCCTGGCTCCACGAGACATCCTGCTTTTCTCTTTCTCTTCCGTGTGCTCGCAACGCACGGGGCCCACGCTAATCCACAGAATCGCTGAGCTTATCAGTCCCTTGAACCCATCGCCCCACGAGATCAGACTCTAGCTCATCGGCCGCGACATCCACACCATCTCGTCTCCGGATCCGAGATGGCGCACGACAACTCCCGCACTGATCGCACTGGCAAGGATGCTCCAGGAAAGATTCAAGAGGTTGAGATCGCGACGGGCTTTTGCTTCAACTCCGCTTTGACAGGCATCGCACTGCGAACATCTGCCAGCGCCTGCATTCAGGATACTCTTCATCCACGGCTTCCTGCCCACCCAAGTCGCCCACTTCGCCCCTCTCGGCGACGGCGTACGGTTGTCGTTCCTGACTGCCGTGGACCGGGGCACGTCGACGCCGAGGGCCTCACTGAGGTCGTCGCAATCAGATACGACTAGTGCGTCCAGTCTGGCTCTATCCCTATACACGAAGCCGTGCGTTTCTAAAGCCATCGATTCTGTCAGAGGAACCGCGCTTGTGTCGGCGCTAGTTCACCACTGCCAGGATCACTTCCGCGCGTTCGTGTGACTCGCGGCCGCGTATTTCCCGTCCAGCCTGCATGCGGTCGACTTCGAGCAGATGTGCGCCACGGCGGCTCAAGAAGGCAACCGGGAGCGAGCACTTCCGGCACGGGAAGCTCTTGACCCCGCCATACGCTGCTGCAAGGCTCGTTAAGGAAAAGGTGCACTGGCCCATTAACGGTACTTTTTCGGCCGCAGCGATCGATGGTTCATTCGTGGTCAGATGGACAGTTTATTGCAGCTACTCTACACGGCGGATCCGGATGCGTGGGTTGAGCACTTCTGCCCCAGCGGTGCGATCGACAAGCGGTTTGAAGAAGACTGCCGACCGGGGCTCCCGAAGCGGCTTTCTGAAGATGTAGGGCAGCCTTAGGGCGCTACAACTGGCGAAGGGCTGACGTCTGTGCATCCAGGAATACAAACACATCGGCAGCGTTGTACGAGTACTGGAAGGAGTAATGACGTCACCGGTCCAACAACGGAAACTTGGCCGATCACAAGGGTACAAGTCTCGCGGGCTGTCGTCTAGCTAATACGCCATCTCACAGCCTTATTTCCGGCAGCTCTCCTGGAGGAGAAGTGGTACATCAAGAAGCCCGCACTGTTCTTCGCGGCGACTCTCGACCACGTCGGTCGCTACGCGCCGAACGAGGAGACTCCCTCCAAGTACGCTACCTACTCGAGCTCAACGCTGGGTACTGGGTACAGCTGGAGGTGAAAAAATGTTTGCAGCAATGGCTGCCCAAGCCGTCTTCCGCTTCCGCGAAATCGATTCGTGTTCGTATTCAGGCGCGCATCAATGGTCGTTCTCTGTACATATTCCGTGTTCGAGAGATCTGATCCTATTTATCTCTCGTCCCAGGCACAAAAAACTAAACTTCCGCCTATACACTCGTCAGCTTGTGCAGGTACCGTCACATGTAACAATGGCGGAATTTAGGTACCTCTTGAAGCGGTCGCGAAGGCCGATAGCATTCGAACGCGCACGGCCACTCCCCCAGACAAAACGCCTTCCCACAGTATGAGCTCCCCCTCGTCGGTGATCTCCACCTCCACCTTCGTCGCCCACACAAAATGGGGCAACGCCCACACCAAGGCCTCAACGGCGTCCCCCAAAGCCGCCGCAACGTCCGGCCCCAGTGGTCGCATTCTCCGCGTCTGCGTCTACCATAAAAAAGCGGAAGCCCGCGCCCCGAAGACCGACGAACGGAGCGCGGGGGCGAGCTCCGCGATCCCCTCGGTCAACTACGCGACGGTCGTGCAGCGCGCCGTTGGCCCCGTCTGCGAGGGCGCACAGGACCGCTAGAAAGCACGCGTTGGTGCTCTTGTGCATCGAGATCTCGAGGTCCCCCGTCCTGTGCAGTTCGGAAAGGGAGGGCACACCTACGGCGGTGATGTGAGTTTCAGCTAAGGAGGCGAGAGTCGCAGTAAAAGCTCGTACCGGTGTGAGACGGAACGGCTATGGGGACTGTGGGGATGCCCCTCATGATCTCTGAAAGAGCGGCGGTGCGCTGCAGCGTGTGCGGACTTGGGTTTGATGTGCTGGAATGGAAGTCGATGGTGGAAGACCCGTTTGTTCCGTGTCTGTCCAGGTAGCGCTCATCGACGCATCGCCTGTGGGCTACCCCGCGCGCGTTTCGTGATGAGGCAATACGACGTGTGAAAGCGACAATGTGCACAGGCCACTTGATGCACACTCTCGATAATCATCATCCGCATAACCCGCCTCTCCCCCAAGTTGACCGCTCCCCGCTATGTCGGCCATCGACTCCTACTGGTCCTGTCCCCGTGTCCCTCTGAATATCTCCGAAAATATCATACGACACCTTTCCCCCCGCAACGATAGACAGACGCTTTGCGCCTGTACCACCGTTTCCCACACATGGCTCCCTGCAAGCAGACACATTCTATGGTCCAGAGACACACAGCTCACAGTGGAACAGGCAGATGTAATAGTGAGTATCCTTATGCCATGGGTGTATCACCGCGCCTCGAGACCTATGCTGGACTCCCTCCACCCCACAGCCACTGTTCTTCAGAGGGACCTCAGTACGCTAGAGTATATAGTGACACCTATTAGGTGTCAGATCAATTGGCATGTGTCATATACCCGCGCGCAAAGAAACCACCACGTGACGAGATAGGCCGCAGGCTGCCACGCGCGAAGCGCCCGGCAAAACTCAAACTGCATTTAATCTGTTTCGAAAACGGGCATCCGGGATGTACTTGCCGCTACACCAACTGCACCATCGGACTGTTCATAGCGCTCAAACTTGATGTGCTATAGCCTCATCAAATAGTAGGTATGAACACTTGTAAGTCCTCACAGAGGGCTTGTTTTTCGCACTTGCACAAAACGCTCCTGGATGGCGCTTATCTTGGTACTGATTGTGCATCTGCCAATTACGCCGTGTGGCACACACCAGCGCCTATCTTAGCCGCGCCAGTCAGCGCCTTCCCCCGCGCCGCTGCGCCGCCTTGATGGCCCCAATATCTCCCGACGCTCCGCGCCGCCGCGTCTTCGCCGGCGCCTCCCCGCTCCGCCACCTGTGCTCACTGCCTCCAACAGCGAGCTCGCTGTCCCGCCGCCCCGCTCTCCGCTCTCCTCCGTTTCCCTCTATTCCTTTTTGTACCCGCTTGTATTTAAAATGCGCACCTAATGGTATATAATGCAATACCCTCACTCAGCTGGGTGAGCCTGCATAGAGCCCTTATACCCTCAAAAATGCGTGCAACATAGGAACTCATACAACTGATCAATCGTCTGGCTATTATCTGCATCGGATAGGATTATGAGAACTCGTTTTTCATCTGAAATCGCAGGTGGATAGCTGGAAGGGTGTCCTCTGCACAACCTGCCATACTAGGCTCCTCTAACATATCTCCACCGTTTCTTGGCCGTTTTGCGAGATTACTTCTGCATCGTGTAGGAGAAGACTACCATGTTCTATTCCGCTTTTCAGAAAAGTAATCGGAGCACATGTCATCTTGCTATACACTATGTCATAGAATAATGACATACCATACTCTATCTTCAATCCTCCACCGATAAGTATGAAACTGACGATCTGAGCTCTATAAATGTGTGGGAACGCAATGAAGCAAATGTTACAATGATTGGACGTCTGCACAAGAACATATGAAGGCCACATTTTCAATGTAGTCCTCCCTTCTGAGCACATGTCATATCATCGCCAAAACATCGTCGTTTCATCTGCTTCTTTGTGATATGCGCTCTGATTGATCTCTATGTATGATTCTAGGTGTCCATATGACGATAAATGTATATACCATATCACTGTGGAATATGTCATCCTGAAATGACATATGACATCATACCTGCACCCTTCCAGCTATCCACCTGCGATTTCAGATGAAAAACGAGTTCTCATAATCCTATCCGATGCAGATAATAGCCAGACGATTGATCAGTTGTATGAGTTCCTATGTTGCACGCATTTTTGAGGGTATAAGGGCTCTATGCAGGCTCACCCAGCTGAGTGAGGGTATTGCATTATATACCATTAGGTGCGCATTTTAAATACAAGCGGGTACAAAAAGGAATGGAGGGAAACGGAGGAGAGCGGAGAGCGGGGCGGTGGGACAGCGAGCTCGCTGTCGGGGACAACGAGCACGGGGGGCGGGTCGGAAGCGCGCGACGTGGGCGTGGGAGATAACGTGGGTGCAAGCGGGAGAGATAACACAAACTGATGGGAGATCTGATAATATGTCCATGGGTGCAGTAAATCCATAACAACGTATATGGGGAACCTTGTAAGGACGCGTAGCTCAGCTGTAAAGCTGAGCTGCGCTTTGTTTATGCTAGGCCGGGTTCTAATCTCGGCAGACGCAAGTCTTTTCTAGGCGCCCGCTGTGCGCGCATGGCCCGCGCCTACCCGTATGCCCCAGGAATTGGCACATGCCCATTGACCCGACACCTAATAGGTATCGGTATATATATAGGCGTACTGAGGTATATGGTTCTTCAACGTCATTATCGCTCTCATGACTCATCACGCTCCTCCCAGGTCCGGGGGAAGATCATCTGGACTGCAAGTCCCCACGAAAGCATCCTTGCCGTCTCGACATCCACCTCTGTCACCACGCTCTATCTGATATGCTGCACCCTGCCCTCTTTCTCGTCCCTTCGTCGCACCATCACCACCGTCCCGACCTTGTATACCTTCCGTGTCCGAGGCATCCGATATGCTGTACCTTTGGCGTACACGGATTATAGATATCCTGAAGCATCCACAGCACTTCAACACTTCGACATACACATTGATTCGAAGTCAGACGAGTTGAACTTTGCAAGACAATTTCTGCAGTGGCTGTCCGACACACCGACACTGACCTCCGTCACCATTCATGTCCTCATGAAGCAGCTCACAAGGCTGACATCAGGAAAACCTTAACGGGCTAATTAGCTCTAGGGTAACTAGCACTAGCACTATCAACTTAGCTATTCACACTAGCATACTATGAACAGTTAGTCATACTATTTGACCACTATTTTTCACTTCTCACAACTATGTAGCTAGTTGTTCTGCTGCCACAGCTAGTGGATCTAAATCAAATCTATTTGTGTTAGATCTGAACTAATGTTTAACTACTCACTATGCACCTCAGACACTAGGGAGTCCCGAAACAGCTGGTGAACTTGGTGAATTGCAAGAGGTGGATTGTTATGGGTGAGACAACATCACTGAGACGACCGCTTTACTGATGGTTCACAATGATACAGAAGAGTGTGGGGAATGAAATATATTGGGAACTAATGTCATCTAACCACACTGGTAAGCAAGGTGTGTCTCTGGCCACACCCTCATATACTACAACCACCGTTGACATGGGCCATGTGGGCGACACGGGGGATGCGGGTGAGTGGACAGGGGACATGATATGGACGCAGGCAAAGTGGTAAGGACGATGTGCGTCGTGGGTGCAGGCGACGCAGACGTGGGTGTAGGCGACGCAGATGTTGGCACGGGGACGACGCGGATACGAGCGGGCGAGGCAGACAACACGGATGGACGATGCGGGCGACGTGGATGTGGGTGAGGTCAGCGACGCGGTGACGCAGGCGAGGTCGGCGGTGCTAACATTGGCGTGAGGACAACGCAGACGTGGGTGATCGATGTGGACCGACAATGTGGGCAACACGGAGGTGGCAATGTTGATGCGGGCGAGGAAGGTGGGGCGGACGTGGGAGAGGAGGGTGACGCAGGCGAAGTGAGCGACATGGGCGGGTGAGGCGGACGACGAGGATGTGGGCGAGGTCAGCGATGTGAACGTTGGCTCGGGAACGACGCAGACGCGGGCGAGCGATATGGGTGGATGATGTGGGCGACGTGGTCATAAGGGCTCGCCGAGGCCGTTTGCATGACCATGCACATCCGGGGTGGGTAACGGGACGGCAGCGTGGTGGGAGGTGGCACCTGGGGATACCGGGGCCTCGCCTTGCGCGTACACCGCTTCTTTTCCAACTCCATAGGTGAGCCAGCAAGTGAATAGAGCACCTCAGGTCAGCGAATCCGAGATTCTCGGGTCGACTGGCGAAGCTTACCTGGGGCACCACAGGCACGCGCTGGTCGTCCATGCGGTACGCAGACACCAGTGTCCACGGGTAATCCTCCGGGCGTACAGTAGCGGCCCGTGCCTGCGAAGTCGCGCCGTTGACGGGAGAAGCTCTGAGTGGGGTGGACGACAGGTTGACGACCCAGGCAGGGAAAATGGGGGATGTTGACGCGGGCGCGAGACAGGAGAGGCGGGCGAGGAAACATGGCGGGCGGCACAGACACGTGCGAGGTGAGGGCGAGGCGTGCGCGTAGTGGCGCGCTACACAGCCGTTCCAGGGGGATGAGCACCCCGTGCACACCCGTTGGGACGTAACCGACGTCGTGGGGACGGGGTCGGTGGCGCGGCCGGAGTCTGGGAGGAGGAGGAGGAGGAGGCGAGGAGCGCAGGAGAGCACAACGGGAGACTCACCAAAACCTAGGGGCCCACAACAGCTCATCGAGGAAGCGGCAGTTGAGGAGAGCGTTGGCTTGCTCATCGAGGATGTTGCGCCAGGAGGAAAAGATGGGGAGGATGTGGAGGACGGGAAGGACGAGGAGGACGGCGTGCTAGTGGACGAAGGGAAAGACGCGCTGACAGGTGCTGGCATCAGCGTGGGAAACGACGCGCGTTGCGTGGACTCCAGCGCTCTCGTCGTCGTGGTCCTCCTCCTCATCGTCGTTGTCGTCCTCTGGCCTCCCCTTGCCCATCTCGCCCTTGCACACTCCACCCGTCTCGTAATTGCCCGTCTCGCCCTCGCCCGTTCTGCTCTCTCCCTCCCCGCCACCTTACCCATGTCAATCCGCGTCATCCGCGTCGCCCACTTCAAGCTTTACTCGCCTGCGCCCCACGCCTCGCCCGGCCCGTCTCAACCCCCTGGGCCCTCGTCCATCTCGCCTGTGTCGCCCACCTCGCTCGCGTCACCCCAGATCTCGCCCATCTTGCATGCGCTCGTCTCACCTGTCTCACCCACCTCGCCCACCTCTCTCTCGCCCGCCTCTCTCTCACCCGTCCCGCCCTCGCCCATCTTGCTCTCGCCCGTCTTGTCCTCTCCCTCGTTCGTTTTGCCCTCACCCTTGTCAATGGCGTTGCACCCACGTTATCCACGTTGCCACGTCGCCCACTGCACCTACCTCGCTCTTGTGTCGTACGTCACCCATCTCGCTCACCTCGCCCGCGTCTACTGCCCCGCTTATTGCCCTCCTGCAGCCGAGGATGGTCGCCACTTCGCCCATCTCCTGCGCATCTCGTGAACGTGGGCGTGGCCCTGACCGTAACAGTAAGTGCCCCATGCATCCGCTCTGCCATACAATTCCTGACTCCTCCTCATGCGCACGCGCACCACTGAGATTGGAATTCCCCATATCGCCACCTCGCCCACGCCGTCGCCGCCTCTCGCGGCGTCTCGCCTGCGTCACCTACCCCGCTCGGCTGACCATCTGTGAGTACTACAGCTCCGTCTCCGCTATCGCGCGCCCCACACTGACGCTGACGCTGCCTCACGCTCTCACAGGCAAGTGCGACATTCACGCGCAGATGCGCTAGATGCGCTGCACGTACACGAAGGACAACGTCAGCCCTGAGGATGGTGCGATGAAGCCCGATCACGACACGGAGGAAGGCGCCGTCTGAACACGCGCGCAAGCTCCAATGCCCCCATCACCCCCCCACTCGTCCAGGTAAGCAGCCCCCTCGCACACGTCGATCTCATCTCACCGTGCAGTCGCTCACGCGCTTGTTTAAGCTCGCGGCCAAACCGACGCCCATTCACCCACATCGCCCATGTCACCCACGTCCAAACCCGCATCTCCCGCCTCACCGTATTGCGCCCGGTTTGGGCATCTCCCGCACATCGCCCCGTTCGCTGCCACATCACCTGCCTCTCGTCCGCATCACCCACATCGTCCACCTCGCCCGCTTGCCCGGTTCGCTCTCGACTCGCCCACGTCACCCGTGCTGCCTGCCTCGCCCTTGTATCGCCCATGTCGTCCACACTGGGCACGTGCGGAGAGGCTGTATTCCTCCATAAGTAGTGCCCGTGTCGTTGCTTGTAGTCTACTTTGTACGTTGTAGCATGATAAATATAAATTTGTTTGACTCTCCTATACACTTGTGTGACCAAACCTACAGTTGCTCTATCTGTCTATCTAACTTGCAGCTAGGCACTCTATTCAGCCGTCTACTTCAGAGCTAGGTGCTCTAATCACCCATCTACCCAGTAGATAATGGGGCTAGTGATCTAATTAGTTCAGGGGTAAAATAATTAGCACTAATGAACTATTCGCATCTAGTCAGCTAATTAGCGCTATTTTAGATGACCTAGAGCTAATTAGCTGGTTAAGGTTTTCCTGATGGAGATACGACCCTGATCTGAGGACATCGACTGCCATTGATGATCTCCTACGCGTATCTGGCACAATCCCTGGCAGACATTTCTCCTGGAAGACCTTTGACTCCGGTCAGTACACACCTCAGGCATTTGGAATGCTTCCCGCTTATCTTCGCGACCGGTCATTCCACAGAATTTCCATCCTCACGTCCAGGCCTCGATCACTTGCAAGATCTCACACTCTGTCTAACAAATGGCAGTACGAAAGACCTCCTGACGCTCGTACGCACACTCGGGGATGGGTACATCCCAGAGCTGCGCAAGCTCACACTCGCCCTTCCTCAAGTCGCGCTCTCTCGCGCGGTCGAGTCCCTCACGACGCTCGCGGAACTGGCCAGGTTGATCGGGCGAAGTCGTTTTGCCGGTTTGGAGACGATCACGTTTACCCTGATCGTCGAGGGCTGCGCTGCCAAGGAGAGCGACGGAGTCACTCCGACCGCGATCACGGCGGCACAACGCGTCTTAGATGCACTGGAGAGTGCGGGCGGACTTCATCATTCGCACGACAGTGATGGTATCCCTCGCGAACAACATCCACCCTTTCGTCCCGCTTTGGTCCAGGGCCGTGCCGTTCGAAGACCCTCACGCCAACACCCCCACACAATCGTCTCCCCGTCTCCCTCCGGAGATCTGGGACATGATCATCCGATGCCTCAGTCCGTACTTGGACGTAACGACACTTCTTCACTGCGTCCTCGTCTCCCACAGTTGGCTGCCTGCAAGTAGGGATGTCCTTCACCAGTCCACTTTCCAGACACTCAAAATCAAGGAAGCCAATGTATTGTTCGCCAGTGACGCTCCTACGTCACCGCCGACTTCATCTCTGAGACTCCAGCTACTCTCGGTGGCGGCAGATAGCGAGGGAGAGAGCCGCTCGTCATCCTGGAACACACTGCTCGCCTGCATGGCTAAACACATCCCCACCCTTCAGACCTTGCGCATGTCTGGTCTCGCCTTTGACTCTAGGATTCAAGCACAACACGCAGCTTCGTGCCTCTCAGCCTTCACCCATCTCACAAAGTTGGAGCTACAGGACAGCAAATTTCCGTCGTTCACGCTCTTCCGTCGTACATTGGCTGCACTCCCCAGATTAAGCTATCTCACCACAAGGTCCATTTCCTTCCCCATATATCCTGTCGACACCACGGCAATATTGCGCCCATCTTCACGACCACTTCTGAAAGTCCTCACAATTTATGGAGTGGAGAGTGATGATTGTAGGGACATCCTGTTGCACTACCTCGCAAGCACTCCTTCATGCACTTCCCTCAGGACCTTTGACCTCTTTTTTGATCCACCAACTTCGAGTCCGTTCGCATTGGTTCTGCGCACGGCTGCCCTTTCAAAACTGCTGCCTTTCGTCAAAAACCTCCAATTTGGACATCCCTCTCACGCCGGTACGTCTATCTGCACCCTCGCACGCCCTGATTCATGCTGACAGTACCAATACAGACCCATCGTTCCTGTCTAGCTTGCTGTCACCTAGCTTGCGAAATGTGGAAGATGTCAGCCTCAATTTTCCAGCAGCCACGACCGAGACTCTCCTTGCGATCGCGGACGGAATAGTGCGAGCGAACAGCACCCATCTGTGCCGCATCGGTTTGTACTTGCCCCTCGTCGCCCTAACGAGCGCATCGGGCGCGGACATCGCCAAACTCGCAGGGCTCACGTCCGGCGCTGCATTCGCACGCTTAGCGGAGGCGGAGTTCTTTTTCCACATGGAGAACCCAAAGTCGGAGGAAGACGCCGTCATGGAACCCGAGGCCGCGGCCGCATTGGGGACGCGTGTGGCGGAGATCGTGGCCAGCGCGTGGCCTCCCAGCAGTAGACAGGCGGACGTGAGGATTTACATCCATAGCGATCAAGGGAAAGGGGTATGGACGGGAATTTCACGAGCAGAACCTGCCCGGACGACGGAGGACGCTGCTCGCGGCGACGTGAGCACATCTGATTCTCTGTAGAGATGTCGGGCATGACGGCCAGGTTCGTCCCCAGGGTGTCGAGTACATATCACACGGGCTGATCAGCTAACGTACAGGAGCATTACCGGAGACGGGAGGCTTACCGCATCGCGTCGGGATCCTCGTGGCACGGTAGACGTCCGTGCAGGGCGGAGGCGAAACGAGTTGGTGTTCGGAGAGCGGGCGTGACTTCGCGCGCGACGGCCGACGCGGCGGCGGCGGCAGCGGCATGGCGTGAACGGAGGCAGATGGAAGAGAACTTACCGATGACCGGAACCTGACTCATCTATATATACGTGGCTTGTACAGACTCGATCCCGCCTGATAACAATGAACGTTCATCTGCATCGAGCGTGAACAGTCAACTTCACCGGGGCAGAAACGGACCGTGCCGACTCACCACTTCCAGCATCTCCCGAAGAAACAGCGAACGGTTGTCGTCCACTGCGCGAAGGGATGGACCGGCAAAAGAGCCTGACGCAGTGCCAAGATAATCAAGAGAGAAAACGCACGCAGTCGATTCTACAGCTTCGGAGCTACAAAAGGACCAATGTCCCAACAGAACAAATCTACACCTGTCTCCGATCGCACCGACCCGGAAGGTGCGACTGCAAACTCACGCCATGACCTCCTTCGTCGTATACACCGGTCGCGGCGCGGCGCCTGGGATCTCCTCGTCCGGAAGGTCCGCGTCGAGGTCCCCGCGCTCGACCTCATACCCGAAGTAGCGCCGCGTCATGTGGATGTCGAGGTCGGCCTGTTCCTGATCGCGCGTGCCGATGACGCCCTGGTACTGGTAGACTGACTTTGTCTAAGGAACAGCGCATAGTCAGCACGGCGCACGCGAGTCAAGGACGCGAGAAGAGTAGTAGGACGGGTTGGAACCCGAAGAGGAGGGATCGCGTGCCGAACGAAGGCGCGAGTGGAGAGGAGAAGATACTCACCAGATCGAGGGACACCTTGATCACCGGCGCGCCCAGGGTGCTCTTCTCCAGCGCGAGGTCCTCCTCCTCTGTCTTCTCCTCATGCGCCTCGGCCTCCTCCTTCTCACTCTCCCCGCCCCGCCCGACCGACTCGACATCCTCCCTCGACATAACCTCCGCTTCGGCCTTCTCCTAGTGCTCAGCCCGCTTGATCAGCCGGATGACGTTCCGCGCCGCAACCTCGCCCTGGAATAACGCATTGTGCCCCGCGTTCAACGCCCCGAATCGCAAAGATGCGCGCCCCCGCGACGCGCGTCCTCGCGTCTTCGACGTTCTCGAGCTGCGCATCCTCAGCCTGTGACGAGGTCTCGGACGCGTCGTCGCTCGGACGCGTCGGTTGAGGGGACGTTGGCGAGGGAGGGTTCCGTAGACGAGGGTCCGGCAGAGGTGCAGGCTGTCGTGAGGGAAAGCGGGGAGAGGTCGGGGACAGCGGTCGGGGGTTCGGACTCGGGGGCGGCTCCGCGAGCTGGAGCGTGCGCAGGACGCGTGCGAGGCCCATCGGGGCCATCGGCGACGACTCGTTTTGGGAAGGCGTCGCGGAGAAGCCACGTGTTGGGGGACTGGCCGGTGCAGAGCAGCTGCAATCGCACGGGGATGAGCACGGGGATGGAGTCATGCATACCGGCGAGGGCACTTACCACCAGCTTGGCCTGTACTTCGCATCCGCTCTGTGTACGGACGACGCGTTCACCGTTGCTGTGCTTGTTGTCGGCGAGTGAGGCGAGGTCGAGGCGATCGCCGAGCATGGTGCAAATGTTCAGTCCTGAGAGGCTAGAGATGACTGTTCATTCGTTGACAAAACCGTGGTGCATGAGAAAGGACCACACTTACTTTCGCTGTGCATCGCCTCGTCAAACCTCGGCAGGAGGCAATCGCGAGAGTGTAGCAAGGTGACATTTGTGGCTGGATAGATCTCAGCAATGTCTGAGGCAAATTCTAGGGGAACAGGCGCAGTTAGCATACCAGGAAATGCGGGATGGAGGTCTAGGATCGCAGATGTGGAATGGGCCAGCTAGATAGGACGACCACCACCACCACACCACGCGCCCGCAAGAGTGTGCGGTGGCCCAGGACTCCAGCCAGCCTCCACTGCAGCACACAGAACATTGTCGCGGCAGCCTCAACCGTGTGTCGAGTCCCATGGTATGCGCAGCGAACGCCCACGACCGGCCCCCGGGCAAGCTACCAGCCATGGGCGCCTGGACACGGACGGTGCGCGCGATCAGCAACGGTTTCACCACGCGGAGACCGCAGCAGTGGGTTGGGGGAGTGCGGGGACAGTGCGCGTGAGGAAAGGAGTACTCACAGATACAAAGAGCCCCGCCGACGACCACAACGGAAGCCGCGCGCGAGACACGGAGTTGGAACTGCTTGGGGAACGCGACCCCGCCCTGCTTCGTGCCGCGCGCAACGTCGAGCACCTCCGCCTTCTCCACATCCTCCGTGGCAGGGTTCCAGAGGTTGGTGGGCGAGGGGAGGCGCAAGCCGAGGGCGTAGATGAAGCAGTCGAAGTGGAGGGTCCGGTCGGCCTCGGAAACGCCGTGCTCCGGGAACGCACGGTCAAGGGTGAGGGTGCGCGTCGCGAGGGACGTCACGGACGCGTGTAGCATCACCAAGCGTGCGGGGTTCGTATATCCGGGGGAGCCGGGGGTGGAGACGGTGCGCAAAGGGAGGAAGACATTGTTGTAGGGGATGAAGGCCTTGTGCTCATGGCCGGGGAGGACGGCATACCGGGGTAGGACAAAACATAGTTGATGTGCGAGTTACGGCCGACGATGATGATGCGCCAGCTGTGGGGGAGGCCCTGGGCGAGGGTAGTGGCAGCGCGGGCCCCGCCGTAGCTTCCACCGAGGATGTCGACGGTCTTCATGGCGTTCGTGCGAGAAGGTGTGCCGAGGGCGTTAGAGAGGGTCAGGACGCGGTACGTATTACGGAGGTCGCGGTAGAGTAAGCGGAGAGAGGCCGGACGGGAGGAACGCTGCCCAGTACTTGGCTGGCGCGGGCAGGAGAGAGAGAGAGAGAGAGAGAGAGAGAGAGAGAGAGAGGGCAGTTCAGAGAGACACGCTCGAGCTGGAGCCCCAAGAGTCAAGACGGAGTGAAAGCAGAGGGGCCGAACGCGCGGGGTCGGCGACCGGATCAACTGGCCACGTGGCCAATGGATCTGCCGCGGACCGCCGCGGATCCCTGCGACCAATTTTCGGAGCGCAGTAACGGTTGTGCTCCGCTTGCATTCACCGCCGCCGGTCTCTTCATCCTCGTCCACCACTTCACGTCCCATCGCCAGCCAATTTTGACCTTTTTGTGACCATGAGCTCGCTATCGGCAGCCGGCAGCGTTGTCTCCGGTCTCCGTCCAGCACCCTCTCCCGGACGCTCAAAGCGCACTTCCGCAAGACGAAGTTCCCGCGACGGATGCACTCCGTTGGCCTCATGACATGGTCGCTCACGGGCCATGGGAGGCTGTCAGCTCGTGGAGAGGGTGAGCGGGATTGTCGAGAAGGGGCGATATAGCGAGTGAGTAACTCCTGCATATATCATGGCATTTTTGCGAACAAGCTCGCTTTTAGGTGCTGTCTCTGCCGGACCATAGACCTGGACGGTCAACATGATAGCCCTCGTCGAAAGGGGCATGGGCCAATATGAGGCGTTCTCTGGCTCTGGCGGGTGCGTTGGCTATCGCGGCAGTGGGAGCACCGCCAGCCAGAAGCGAGCTCATGCCATGAACGTCGCCGGATCACCCAGAAGCTATCTCCCGTCGCGCGAAGACGATCTGCAGCACACGGTGTTGATCTCGTTCATTTACCGCGAGTCGACGCCCACTCAGCCCTGGTCCGTCGCTTCCGCTCCGCGTCGCGTCTGTCGCCCTGTGCGTGCGATGCCATCCCTCCTTTCAAGAAGCAGAGGCGGAAGCGGGAGCGGAAGGAACGCATCAAGTTTTGCCTCCTCACGATCAAACTCACCAACGAGGGTCTTTCCGACCCGGTCCTGCTTCGTGTTTTTGGACGACTAGGCTCCCCGCAGTCGGCTTCGTGACGTTTCAGTTCCTGCGCATCCTCAATGTGCGCTGAAGCACCGTACTCGATTTTCCTCTCCTCAATGCTTTTGTCCACTCAGTCATGCAGTGGCTTTCTGATGTCTGCATAGTTCATTACCACCACCCACGTCTTCTCTCGCTGAATTCACCTCCCCCCGTCTATCCATTCATCATCCTCTCCAAACTCTTCAGCGATGAGCCACGTCAGCTGTGTAGAGCACCGGACTGGACCCCGATTGGGGCCAGCGCGCGCACCCAGAGCTGGGCCGCCCGCTGCGCTCGATCAACCTGGGGTATATTCACTCTCGTTACAATTCCCGCTGTAGTTGACACCGGACAGCCATCGAGAACGCATGTCAGATGACGAAGATAGCGCTAGTACAGCGTGCTTGCCCACCCTGGTCGACTACACCCGTTCCAAACCCCCTCGCCGACTCCCAAGCTTTTGCAGGCACGCCGCACCAACATCATACCTCGTTTGCTACCGCGTCGCCCATATTCTGGTGTGCTTGCTGCCTCGTCTTGGTCCTCATGCCCTAGATGCGCCCCACTTCAAACACAGCACGACGCGGACCAGACGCGTATCCTCAACCTCACGAGACGGAGTCCGTCTCTAGCAACCGAAACGACATACGTACACGTGCACCTCTCCGCCTGGCCTGGACGCGGTTTCGCAGCATACGTCGCCGGTCCCCCGCTTGGCGTCCTCTGCTCCGTCGTAACTCCGCCCACGCCGTATTTGCGCCGTTGCCCCGTCCAGCCCTACCGCGCCACGTCTTCTATGCCGGGTCATCGTCTTCCCGACCCTCCCCCACCTCGGTCCCATGGCGTTCAGATTTTCCACTTGCGCCACCCAAGAACAGAGCAGCTTCACCAGGCTCTTACTCGTCCTCGATCGTCCAGGTGAACTTCATCTGTTCCGCGCTCATTCACGCACGATCCTCTTCTTTACGCCGCGTCGAGGCGGCCCTGGGCACCCGAACGTGCACGATAGCGGCCATGATCTTTTGAGTCGCGAGCGTCGTCGTGTTGTGCTCAAGCACGGTGTGGATCACTGACGCTCACGGTGAGGGTTCCTCCACGAACCAGTTTTTTTCGAGCTTACGCTGACGGCTCAATACCCGGAGCCGATTTTTCCGCACGCCCTGCTAGGTCGCGCACGAGAGGCTCGATCACTGTGCTGCCACGACCGCACATCAGCCGTTCAGACCGAGAAGATTCGATGACGTCATAACATCGCATGAGTCAAATGCCCCAAGCACACGAAGTTTCACGCTTCCCCAACTACATTTTCATGTAATAGTATGGTTTCTCTCTGTCATCAGCAGTGTCAACAACCCTTCATGCGTTAACAAGTGATCCTTTTTGGACCGATCAAGTGCAACTGTCGACGTGACTTCCGCGCGGCGCGGCAATTACGCTGGCTCTGTTTGCCATGCACCGACGTCCTCCTTCGTATCGTATGCATCTATGCATGTATAGGAACTTTGACCCCCACCGGTGTGTTGCGTCTCACGCTAACAGCGGAGATTACCAGGTTCGTCTCACGGTAGGTGCACCACCTACACAAGACCCGCGACCGTCGCACTGCACCACTGTTTCAGCCGGGACTGCCTATGCGCAGGGCCTGTAAGGTAAGCACTGCCGCGTCAGGACTTTGGAGCGCGTACTAAGCAGAGTTCTCTTAACCAGGTCCAGGCGGATTGAAGATGACCCGGCATACCATTACGGTGCGAGTTTGTTTGTCATAGCTTTTATGTCCTGGTGCTTTGCTGATGCGCTTTAAATCCTGTATCCCACATGGCATCTCCGCCTGTCAGCACAAAACATAGGTACACCCCCGTGCTGTCTCGCTGCTCGTCACTCGGCGCGGACTCTCCGGATACTTCTTCCTTCCGCATAAAGAGAAGGGTGGCCACAGCCTACCGCCGCTCCATGCGTTCCATCTCCTAGATCGCTCGAATAGCCTCAAATTTGACAGCTCTCTGCATCCGTATGTGCGCCTATTCTCCGTTCTCTCGCCTCGAGGATACTAACGTCGTCCTAGGCTCGCACCGCCATCGATGGGGCGATAGCTCGTCGATACCGACGTAGCATATATTGGACCGCGTTGCGCAGGTTCCGCAACTGAGAACGCACCTTTCATCGTCCACCTCTCCGATATGCGTCTTCACCTGATCTTCTCTGCACTCTTCGCGATCGCCGGGATCAGCACGTCTGTCACGGCGTCCCCGGCACCCCAAGACACCACCACAAGTAAGCTTACTTCGTTCTCATCTCGCTGCAGCACCTCATTTGACCACGTATCCATGGCAGGCGACACCACGACGACCACGTCTCCTCCCGAGGAGAATATGTGGCTCCGATGATGCTCTGAGCCGAACTCGAAACACGCGCCGCAAACGTACAGGTGAGCTCTCTGTCATCTCGAGCAGCCGCGGACGGTTTCTGATCTCCCCGTTTAGAGTATAGAGACCATTGAGTCCCCTTGTACATGTAGGACGTACCCTGAAGACGACGGAGATAGTGCTCCGAGTTGCGCGTAGACCCGAGTCCACGTTCCTTTTCTTGCGCATTAAGCGGTATCCCGTAGTGAAGTACACGAGTGCATTCACGCGAGTCTCCAACTGCGCGCACACGCGGGGCATGAGTAAGAAGCTGTGACATGAATCCACCGTGACACGTCCCCGGCGTTAGCTCACCTGGTAGACCAATGTTCCCGCCGCGCGACAGGACTCCCCACCCCGGTCGCCATCCTCCAACGGGTGCAGCGGATACTATACGCCCCCCGCCTCGTGATCTGTGGTCACCATTGGCATTGACTCGAACACCCTGCCAACGCGTGGGTACGGGCCGTGATCCGGGTCTCCTCGATTCCCCGGTGACGTCGGCCTTGAGGTCAGGCATACACCGGCTGATGCGCACCGGGTTGGAAGAGGAGCCAGAGGGGAGGGCGGAGGAGGTCGAAGAGCGTGCATCTAGGGGAGCGAAACGCCAAGTGGGTGCACATCCCCGGGGATGCGGATGCGGCGCAAGGACATCGTGGATGGGGTGGGAGAGGGCAGGACTAGAGGTGATGGCGTAGTGACGCAAGACGTTGACGGCGCGACGACGGTCCTTCATAATTTCTAGATTTTAATGGCGTCTACGAGACACGGAGGCCGTATGGGCGCCCTACTACCTCCATAGGGAGCAGTGATACGCGTGGTCAACAGATTTCCGCACACAGCGCAAATATATAACATGCTCCTCCAACAGAAGCTCGACAAGTAGTACACGGCGGAGTTCCAATTGTCACCTCCCGATGAGAACCCTACGAAACCTTTACTGGATTGACCTTGAGCATCATCTCCGGGTCCTTGTCTCCGACGTGGGCGGCCGGATAAGCGACGACCGCGAGGTTCCAGACGTACTTCTTGGTGCCAGGCTCGAAGCGGAATGCGGCGACGAGTGTGGACAGGACTACCTCTAAGCGCATAAATGTAGGTGAGAAAGCGCAAACAAGAGAAGCTCCGTGTACGCACTCATCTCAAGCTGCGAAAACTTGAGCCCGCTAAAATCAATGGGGGTTAGAATCCATGACGCTCAAGGAATGTCTCAGAGACGAGCGCACGTACATGCACGAGTACGCGCCGCCAGAAAACGTGAAGCTGCAGAGAGATTAATGCCTCGTATGAGGAGGCAAAAGATCCTTGGGACGTACGAGTTCGCGTAGATCCCAGGAATACGAGCTTCATCGAGCGCGACAGGGAGCGGCTTCAGCCACCTGTCTGGATTCCACTCGTACGCGTCCTCGCCCCAGAGGGCCTTTTGAGTGTTACAAGCGGCGATATTCGTGATGACCATCGTACCCTTCGGTACGACGATGTGGTCGAGACCGTTCACAGGTTCGCTCAGCGGAAGGACGGTCTCTTTCGTCGCCCTGTTGAATACGAGGTGTAAGCATAAGTTATGAGACATCCAATCGTGCACTCACTCTCGTGTGGAGAATGTAACCGGGGAGTACCTGCAAATTGCAGAATCAGTGCGTCTGAGAAACCAGCAATCACGACCACTCACAACCGCAAGGTTTCTCTGCAGACCGCGTCCAGATACGGCAACGCGTTCAGTTCGTCGTATGGAATCTCTCGACCGTACTGTGTGCGAGCCTCCAAGATCTCGCTCCTGAGCCTCTCTTGAGCCTCTGGATGAAGAGACAGGACTTCAAGCACCCGTGCGAGCGCGTTGGACGTCGTGTCTACACCCGCCAGGATGAACGTTCTACGGCAATGGAAGCATCAGTTCTCCGGGAAAGCGCAACGCGGGGAGTGGAGCAGAGCGTACGATATCTGAGCGAGCAGCTCCTCGTCTGGAAGCCGGTCTTCCGCAGACGCAGCCGTGTTCTCGCGCACTTGACGGCCGTCAGCGTTGTCGCCGCTGGAAGTATAAATGAAGTGAACACCTACGCAAGATGCTCATCACGTCCTTCCCTTCCCCGATTTGGTGCAACAGCGCGTCGTCTCCGCGCTCGATCGCCGCCCTCTTCTCCGCGATCAACCTGCTCCCGAATTCAGACATGACTTCGGTGTGGCGTCGCATGCGCTGCACCGCGGGATCAGGCCACGCCCGCACAATCAGTCTGCGCAGCCAGCGCGGCCCTCGCGCCCCTCCGGCCATCGTGAGGAGCGCGAACGCATATCTGATGTCGGCCATAGACGGGCTGCAGAGTATATGCGTCAGCGGGGAAGAGAAAGACGAGGATGAAGTGGGAATCACAAGAATGACTTCACAGTGTCGGTGAACGCGTTCTTCGAGTCCACGACGAGCGGGTCGAAGCTGTGCCCCAGCGCGCCTTGGCCGATGAGTTCGAGCGCAGCGCGACCCATCCACCCCACGACATCGAGTTGCTCGTCCCCTGTGTTGACTCGCGCGGCCATTGAGGATTCTAGCTGCAAAATAATGCCAGGTAAGCGGATGTCCAGCACGCGGACTGGAGATCCCAAACGCACCTTGCCGGCGACTTCGTAAAAGAAGGGAGTGAGGCCGCGCATGTACTGCGCGGAGAAGACGGAGTTGAGCATCTTGCGCTGACGTCTGTGAGTATCGCCTTGTGTTGAGAGGAGACCCGGGCCGAGGCACGCCATTCCCGTCCTGCAATTGAGGAAGTGAGCCAGAAGAGTCCATCACAGAACGACGGAGACTTACTGTAGCCCCAGCCGGCTCCTATGCCATGTCTCCTTGTCCTTGATGTATACCGCATGCATCACCTTCACATCATAGTTGAGGATTGCCTTCGTCTACGCTTCTGCATCAGTACAGATAGCGGAAGGAATTTGATATGAACAAACGCCAAAGAAGCTGTGCACACAGCATATTGGGCCGTAGGTCTCGGACAAGTTCCGAATGTACTCCCAGGCGTTGTAGTGGAATATTTGACCCATGTTTCCTGGAAAAGCGTGTCAGATGGGTACAAGAGAGTACTATTCGACATGCCCTTTGCCCATGACTGCGGCGGCGGTCCCGGAAGTTGTTCTACTGAATTCCCGGGAGCGAAGACGGTGCGCGCAAAGCGCCACACCAAAAACGCCACACTTGCAGTGAACGCGACGATAAGCGGCGGCGAGGTCATAGTGGAAGAGGCTGGTTGTAGCAGTGCAACGAGGGGGAGCGGGCATATATCCGTCCGCTGGCAGAGAAGCACGGCAGTCGGCGCGAGAGCGGCAATGAGCGATGAACTCAAATGGAGAGCCTATGAGCGCCAATATGCCTCCTCATGATGAACACGTTCTTGTTCAGTATGTGAGGCAAACGAGGTCTCAAACGCGTCAAACGCGTCATTAATGCGCCACTTTCTGTGCAAAAACACACTATTATATTGTGACAAGATGTAAACCAAACTTCACGGAACGCGCCGCGGTCCCTCCTCTCTCGCTGTATCATGCTCCTGCATCCACAGCGCGTGTTCCCTCTGAATCTGTTCTACCTTCTCGTACACCGCCCTCCAGTCTCGGCACCGCCTGACCGGATTCGTGTCTACCGCCCTCGGCTTGCTCGCGTACTGGTAGCCATCAAGGTGCGTGTCCCCTCGGCACCGCGCCGCCTGCCGCAAGTAGTTCAAGCAGTGCTGCGCCACCGCCCAGTCGCGCTCGACCCGCGGGCGCGTGAACTCGTGCCGGAGCGCGTCCATACAGCGCAGCTGGTGCATCATCGCGACCGTGTACGGCGCGCGCGACGGTCCGAGGTGGACGACACCGCCGCCGGGGAAGAGCGGTGCCCACGGCTCGGGATCGTGCAGCGTGTAGCGCGTCCACGCTCCGGTGTCGAGGGCCACTTCACCGCTGGCGAGAGGAACGGACCAGCCGGTCTCCGCTGAAGAGCATTTGTTGAGCGCAATGTGAGTTGGAGAGTAACATGATGAGCGTACGATGGGCGTGGACATCCTGGGACTGTGTCCGTTGCACGAGCACAATGGCGCCGATCTTGAGAGCAACGTTCAGCACAATGAGTGCGACGCATGCAGCTGCGAGGTAGTATTCAAGTGCCCCCCGAGAGAGGAGAGTACGTCTGTGCATGTACAGCGATGGATGGAGTTACTGTGGATTGGAAGACAATGAAGTCCAGTCCAGAAGATAGGGTAAGAGCTCTGATTCATATCTTACCGCGTGAATGCCACGGAGTGGTGTGCGTATGACGAGAGCGCTGGAGATGGCGCTGTCGGAGCTGAGGCGGCGATTGATACTGTGATATAGGCCATGTTAGAGCGAAATATACTGTAAATTGATGCGCTTCGAAGGGTACTCAAATAGGCACCTGCACTTCTTGTGTTTGAACCGTATTCTCAATCAGAACCACGATACTTGACAGCATCGGAGGCTCGGAGACTCCTATGACCGGTCTCGTACTGACATCGCGGCCTTAGAAGAGCATCGCATGAGTACGCATGGTGTAGAGAAGATGTTCCAATGATTCCCAGTAAAGTGGGTGAAAGATAACCCCTCGATGATACGTAACTGGTATACTTAGCATGCGCACGAATGCCTGCTGCGTACGTACACGATGTGTACGAACACGGCCAGAAGTTCCGACGGGCTATGCAGCTGCGGCCGCAAGGGCCAGCGACAAGTTGTAAGTATGCGTGTGGATACGTTCTGGGGTCGCTTATTTCATATTGGAAGGGACCGCTCCATGCACGAAGGTAAAATCGCGGGGTTCTATTCTTCGAGCTGACCTCGAGGATTGTGCATGTACCAGTCAAGCTGGGGTGTACTCACGTTATTCTCGCCCCGTTTGTGGCAAGAAATTCATCAGCTGCTAATCTTGCTAGTAAATGAGGAAGCACCGAGTCACAGATATGCGTGGAAACAGATAAGTATTCCCGCTTATGATAGTTCACAGCCCTCGGCGGGCTCGAAGGCGAGAACACTGTCGTTCAGGCTCTTCTGTGACGTGTGCGAGCGCTCGAACCTAATATACCGTCGTTATATGCGGTGCTCACCGGTGTACGTCTTGATTTCGGCGTTGTCTCTCCGAGCGACAGCGATGCGTGATAGCAGAAGGGAGACGTCGGAGACGACAGTTGGAAGACTGGTCTGGCAGCCCGCGTGGGAACAAGATCCCGTGTGACGGACTCTTGACGCCCAACGCGCTCGGCCATCCTTCGTCTGCTCCAATTATCTTCCGCCAGGAACACACCACACATATCATCAATTCCAGGAAACACATCTCCACCTCATACTTCCTCTACATGGAGCCGGTATGTTCTGAGGGCGAACTCTGTTGGACAGTGTTCCGTCCCGCTCTGACCCCGTGAGGCTTCGATCGGGCAACTCGGTCGGACCTCGTTCATTCCAAATCGAAGTTATCGCGCGTCCCGCGAAGGACTGAAAGTTTGTCAATGCCCCTGCATCTTCTATAGATGCCCTACGTCTAGTCACGTACCGGACCGGCCCAGGGCACAGGGCCAATGTCTGAAGCCCGGACTACGGTGAGCCACTCCGTCCAGTGGGCCCGCATCGTCGCATAGTACGCCTCGACGTCCAAGCACCTCATCTCGCCCCACTCCCGCTCGGTCGCAAAGTTCCTGCTGAACGGCTCTCCCGGCTCGAGACTGGCGTCCGCCGCGCACAGCGTGTGGTCCTTCAATATCGCGAGGCAGTGCTCCATGTGGTGCGTGCTCGCCGCGCTCAGCTCGTCTTCTTCGGCCAGCGCCGTGCGCATGGCGCGAAGGCAGTGGAGCTGGTGAAACATGTTGATGTTGAAGACGCGGTGCGAGGTTCCGAGGTGGACGTTTCCCTGGTCCGCGGGCGTGGCGGTGTAGAGCCACTCGAGGTAGGCGTTTGGGGAGGTGATGTTGTAGTGCGCAGACTCCTCGGTGCGCATCAGGACGTGCGGGCGTGCGTTGGCGACATGGAGGCGCTCGGGGACGTCTTCCTCGACGAATGCTTGAGTGTGTTGTTAGAAGGAGCTCTCTCGTGCAGACACCGCACTTACTGAAACGGGAAAGTGGTCGTGGTCGTTGAGCGAGTGATTTCTTGATAGAGCGAATAAGCGACCGATTCGCGAGGAAGGTGACGCATACGAGAGTGAGTAGGGCGATAGGGCGTAGAGACTTCCAGAGCATCTTAGAGGGAGTGAGTGATAGGAACGAAGGTGAGCAATACGTATCAATGGGTATTTGAACCATTTTCGGATCACCATCATTCGCATAGCCCTTATGTAGGTCCCACATACTTCGAAACTTCATTTATTACTTCTTGGGCCTTCCTTTCATACGCCAAAAGTGCGCCAACGTAAAGTGTCTGTGTGTTGGATCGAGTGCGTGGTGATTGACATGTATATACATATATAGGATAGAGAAGGTTCAGCGAATGGGCATGTAGTGAGACATATGGAAACACTGGAACTACATTATCTGCGTCAACTTGGTCTGGGGTAGCGAAGACTTAGATAGGCTAGGTAGCTGGATGGCTGTGTGTTCCATCGCCGCCGCCGACCCCTCCTCAGTCTCATCCGAGGTCATCCGCGTGTCCGGAGCACCGGTACCGCGGAAGCGCACGCTGCTCACGCCCTTCGTGTTTGTCTCCGCTGAGATGCCGCGACCCATAAGGACGCGGAGCATGATCATCTGCGGAGAGAGTACCTGTCGGGACAACGTTAAGGCTGCTTCCGAGACTTCGAAACGGACGGGAGCGCACTCACCGAGAACATCACGTACGGCGACAGGAAAAATATCGCGAGCGGGCTGTGCACGCCCAGAGTGACGAGGTAGCCCACGGCTGCGATCGTGTACGGGAGCATGCTCTCGATGATGACCGCCACGGCGGTGGTGTAAGTGCGAGTGACGTCGGCACCGAGCAGGTCTCCCATCTCTCGAGCCATCCATATCATGCGTGCGCAGATGAAGGTGGTACACAGCACATTGAGGGCCATGCTGACCGCAGAGTAGGCCAGCGCGATTCGGGCGGAGGTCCCGTTGAAGAACACAGCGTCTGGAAGTGCCGAGGAGACGGCCGTGCAGATGCCGAGGGCTATAGATCGCACACGGGTTGGCTTGATATAGGTATTGGGAGCGAGAGAACAAAGGGCAAACGTACCGACGCTTGCGAGGTACAGAACACAAGGCACGGCGACTATTGGCTTATTGAACCCCCAGACGACATACAGTCGGTACACCTGGTATCACACCGTCAGCACAGTTCAATGCACGCCGATCACGATGAATGAGTTGGACAGGAGCCTCACCAGGAATGCGTCGGTGCCAGCGATAATCGTGACTGATGCTGAGATGGCCAGCCCCTGGTACCATACGGAGGCGAAGTCCATCCAGTATTTACCGGACCCACCGGGGTAATTGGCATTCGTAATCCACATCAGCTCTGAGAAGACGCTATGGATACACCCCCACATGGTGATGAAAACGAGCAAGAATACGCTGAACGCGATAAAGAGCATGTTTGAGCGCGGGTCTTTCTGGGACGCCCGGCGGCGGCCTCGGAGGGCAAAGTGGATGGTGAGGACGTTGAGGCAGAGATAAATTCCTGCACGCCCGCGGGCGGGTCGGCTCCATGCGTCGGTGCTCGAGTAGTGATACGCTACGCACCGTACATGACCGCGTTCAGGTTGTTGCTGTTGTACCAGGCATGCTGGAAGATGGAGTTGTAGTCGGACATGGCGTCGTCGCCGGGAAGCGTTTGTGTTCTGGGGAGAGAGAGCCTAGAGGCGTGGAAGGAGACGACGAGGCAAGAGAGGTGGAGTGTAGTAGGTTTTGAGGAAGTAGGCTCTCCAGAGGGTCGGATACAAAAGTTCCGGGATGCTGTACATTGAAATGTTTCCACGTATTCACAGACGGACAAAAACGCCAGCGCCAGAGCGTGCTATGATGAGGGTCTGGAGCTGGAGAGAACCCGGGCAGTACTCACCATGATCGCAGTGTGCGCGGTGCCGAATAAGAAGAAAGCCTCCCCTATTCGCGCGGTCAGTTCCTGGAGCAGTTTTTCATCAAACTTACAAGTATGTTCTCGTGATCTATGCTTTCATATAGTATGGGCTCCCATAATCCAGGCACTCATCGCACCCACCAGCCCGATACAGCAAAACTCCCGGCGGCGCCCTGGCCACGTCCGAAGACCTTGAATGCATCCGCCGAGTGCTGTCGATGCGCACTGCGATCATGATCTGCTGGAGCGCTAGAAGCATCCGGGTGAGAGTCGGAAGTGAGTTGTCAGCTCTTCGTTAGACAATCTGGCAGAACGGTATCAGCATCGGTGCAGACGCTGGAGGCAGTCGGCGGAACAGATGACCCAGCAGGACGGGCCCGAACTGGTGCGCTTCACCGTGAGAATGACGTTCTTCCGTGGGGGCTGCAGGTGGCAACGTTCGCAACTTGTTATTCACACTCGTCAAGTGTAACTCATAACAGCCATGATAAACTCGTGTCATCGTTTCCTTCTTCAACATCAGGAGCCGCTCAAGACGGACATGTTAGCACGGCAACCCCCCATGGCCCGTGCATTCGGTCTCCTTCAACTCCTCTAGTGTGAAAAGTGTGCAACTCTGCTCCACGCCGATATTCCACTCTATCCTACACCGTAGCATTTCCCTCAATTCATTCAAAGGTAAGACAAATTTCATTCATGTTACAACCAGGTCGACATCACACACCGCGATCCCCCTATCATGTGTACTCCTGTTCGGTTCGACTGTGGTAGTCATGAGTACACGATCCAAATGCGAGCATGGAATACTCTACCTTTGCAACATCTAAAGGCACCGGTTCTCGATGTACGCGGTCCCGGCCTCTGCCTCCGCGAATACATCTACGCCATCTGCACGCACTGACCTCAGCACACACAAACGCACGCGTCGGGAATATGGACTCGACATACCATTTTGCAGACAGCCATTTCCATGCGGAGCCGCGACAGCACCGGGGGCCATAGTCGCTGCGACGAGGGCGACAAGGCAGACAACCATGGAGAGAGAGAGAGCGGAGAACTGCATGTTGAGCTGTGTTCTTATGGTGAGTGGTGTCTGGGTGCGAGATGCTGTGGATGATCGAACACGCTCGCTCTTTTAAGTCTCGCGTCCAATCAATGTGCTATTTGTACCCGTTTTCCCATATTAATTCCCTATGCAACATCAGGTCAGCTCCCGGAAATTTATTCTAGAGCACGATGTATCATTCAGAGCTTCTCAAGCGCCCGACACTATTACGCATTTCTCGCATTACATAATTCACAGTGACCACGGATGACTCACTTAACACTTGCCCCATACCCCGTCTATGATCTCAGAGTGACACCTAGTGAGTCTGGACGTGGCGACTCACTGGGAGCGACTCCGCCCCACGTGCACCACAAGAAATAGGCTGTTCTGCGGACATCAACAAGTCTTCAATGGATGAAATCCGCCTCCTTGGGTCACTTTCCCCTCACCATCGCGCAGTCTCCCTCCGTGACGATACACGCGCTAACCCTACGTTATTATTCTCTCTCTATTCTCTCCTCGAACAGCGATAGATGCGCTGGTCCCCGCAACGGCGGCTTATCATGCGAGCAGCCGCGCGCTTGGAACCCATTTCACAGTGGCAGTGATGTGCAGACAGTTCCGATGCATCTGCCACGGACTCGGAAGCATCAGGACCTGTCAGGTTCCCAAAGACAACGCCCCCGAAAGTCCGCGGAAAGTTTACCATTGGTGTGGGCATCAAAACACAGCTTACAGAAAGCATTTCCCATGCGAGCTCCACGAATGTGTTCGGACTTCAGCTTCAGCCGTGTGGGCCATGGCATGATCTTAACCGCTCGTTCGGGCTTTGACAGATGGAATTCATCTAGACTCCGCGGCCTCTGCCAATAATGAATCAGTTGAGAAACTCTGCATTTCACAAATACCGACGGTCGAGTTCCTCACCATCCCTCACGTCATGCCCCGTACCGACCACGAATACATCCACCTGTTGCCAGACACCAACAACTCTTCCGAAGATGACCAGGAAACAATGCTGGGCGAGTTTTCTGTTGTCTCGTGTCGTCTTTCACTCACCATTTTGCAGTCTCGCACTGCGACGATACGCGTGCTGGCCCGTCTTCCGTGCTACGCTGGGCCCTCTCCGCCATCTTGAGTGTCGCCGTCATAGATATGCTCGGCCTGGCATATCTCGTCCATTCGTATTATACCGTATTTCAAGACCCCGCCGACATATCCCGGCTCGAGTTCGCCAGCCCATACATCGGTCTGAAGGAGCTCTATGCCAGCGGCCGCGTCAACTCGTCCCGAATCGACCCGATCCTCGTCCGTCCTCGCTTCTCCGCGCAGGTCTTTCCAGAAGATGCGTACCGGCTCGCGCCCCTTGGAGAGCGGGATCGTTGGGAGAACGATTTCGGGCGGATCAGTCCGCATGAGCGGAGGCTCCATGTAACTCCGGAGGTGAGTTTGGCTTCACCGTTCACTCGATCGCAATGCTCAACACCTGCCGTAGACACACACGATCGTCCAGCTCCGCGCCATCGACTTCGGAATGGAAGATTGCGAGCTCACCGTCACCCTCCCCGCGCCCGCCGATGCCCTCGAGTCCGGCGCGTTCTTCGATATGACCGCCGGTTCCCGCTTTGACGTCTTCCGGCTCGGCGTTGACCACAAAAGCCCAATCGATGTCAAGAAGCTCTCCTTCCGGTCGAAGCCAGGGGTGCTTGAGCAGGTCGCGAACGGTTTGGTGCTCGTGCCAGGCAAAGACACGGTGGTGCACCGGTTCCCGTGCCCCTCGGCATCGGTCCACGCTTTCGAGTTCGCATGCCCACGGGGTTCCGACTGCAGGCTAGACGCCTGGTCGAGCCAAAACACGACGTTCGGTAAGTTCCTGACGGCTCGTGCTGGACAACGCTCACCTGGCATGCGAAGGTGTCAATATGTACCAGTACCAGACTATCTAGCGCGGACATATCGTTCTTGAGGACGTTCTTATTGGCGTTGTCTGACTCAGTGAATGTCGAAGATGGAGATGACCCAGTCAGTACTTCGACGTACATGCAATAGACGGCGTGGAGAAGGTCATTTGGAGACATAATCTCCATGGCTTGGCTGTTCACTGCACTCTGCAGGCGGAAAGGTGAGGAAATGCTCCCAAGATGGTGTGAAAAGCGGAAACAGAGAACTTCGCGCGGAGTCGGTGACCGCATCAACAGGCCACGTGGCCGATGCGCTTGCGCCGCCGGCCCGTGGACCGCCGCCGATCCCTGCGACCAATTTTCGGAGCGGAGTTGAGCTCAGCTTGCATTCCCCACCACCGGTCTCGTCTTACAACTCGTCTACCATATCGCATGCCGTCGCCAGCTCAATCCGACCGTTTCCTGATCATAAGCTCCGCTTCCCTCTCTTGGCCCTCAGGAACTAGCACCGTTGTCTCCATTATTCCGGGTCTCCGTCCGGCACCCTCCAAACCCGGACGTTCAACGCACACTTCCACAAAATGAGGTTCCTTCAACGGATGTACTCCCTTGGCGTCATTACATGGTCGTTCAATCAGGTGCTATCAGCTCGTGGAGAGGGTGAGCGGGAGTGTGCAATAGAGCAAGTGAGTGATCCCTGCATTTATCATGGCATTTTTGCGAACAAGCTCGCCCGCAGGCCCGAATATGAGGCGTTCCCTGGCTCTGTAGCGGGTGCGTTTCCTGTCGTAGCAACGGGTGCACCGCCAGCGAGAAGCGTCTTCATGCCATGGACGTCGCTGGATGATCCAGAAGTCCCGTCGCGCGAAGACAATCGTTGATCTATTGCGAGCGACGTCCACTCAGCCCTGGTCTTTCTCTCCCGCTCCACGTCGCGTCTTGCTCCTCGTACCCCGAACCTCAAGTCTAGTCTCTCCACGACCAAACTCATTCAACAGGACACCCTTTCCGGCGTAGAACTGGGGCTCTGCGTTCGTTCGGACGCCTAGGCTCACCACTGTCACGATTCCAGAACTAGCCTCATGACGTTTTAGCTCCTGTGTATGCTCTGTGTCCTAATGCACTGTACTCGGAGCCTCCAATGCCTTGTTCACCACGCAGTGGCTCCCTGATCTCTGTCTGACGACGCAATTTCCCTGCCAACCACCCACGTCCTCTCTCGTATTCCCCCGTCTATTTATTCATCATCCTCTCCAAATTCTTCAGCGACGACCCACTGCGTGACCCGGCCAGAGCCCCCGACGGGACCTCGGGGGCCAGAGCACGCACCCGGAGCTCGCCCGCCCGCTACGCTCGCATCGACCCGACGTATATTCACTCTCGTTCCAACCCCCTCCCTCGTCGACTGAGCCATCGGGAGCGCACGCAGCGGATGGCCAGGTAATGAACATGGCGCTAGTACAACGCCTTCGCTCCACCCTGGTCTTTGGGATCGCGGGCTCGCCTACGAAGCTATGCCCGTTCCAAACCCTCTCGCCGACTCCCAACCTCCACCTCGCCTCGGTCTTCACGCCACGTCTCGTGGGAAAGGTTGGCGTGAGATGTGTATCCTCAGCCCCACTAAATCGTCAAAGAGAGGCACGACGACAGAGTACGACTCGAGAAACCGAAGCGGCGTGCACGTGCACCTCCTCGTCTGGGCAGGATAGGTGGTAGGTCATGGGCAGCGCGTCCTGCTCCATCCCCGGCGACGCCCTCCTTTTTTGCACCCTCCGCTCCGTCGTAACTCGGCCCACACTACCCTTGTGCCGTTCCTCCTTCCAGCTCTACCGGTGCCACGTCTTCCAAGGGTTGTTCCTGGCTCACTGGCACCATTCAAGAGCAATTTCGTTCTACATATCGCGTCTCAGATTTCAGTCTCTTACGCATATGCGGTCATCCGCGTGAATATGATCTACTCCCCGCCCATACGCGCGCGGAACTCTTCCGTACGGTGCGACTCTCGGGCGCGACGCCGTCCGACGTGCGAAGGAACGGCCGAGACCCTCGTCGATCCTGCGCCTCCGTTTTGATTCACGTACGTCGTCGAGTAGGGCTTAAGCGGGGGTCGACATTGTGACGCTTACAGTAAGGGTTCCTCCACGAACCAGTTTTTTCGAGCTTACACTGACCATGCCGCGCGCCATGCTAGGTCGCGTGCGAAGCAGAACAACATTGCGAAGGGCTCGATCATTTTGTTGCCACAACCGCACATACCGCCCGTCGGAATCGAGAATGTTCAATGACGTCATAACATAAGATGAGTGTCCTCAAATGGTTTTCCGAGCACAAGAAGTTTCACGCTTCCCCATTTGGTGCTTGAGGATCACCTCGTATGTCATCATGTACTCGTATAGTTCCACTTTGTTATCAGTATTGACAGCCCTTGATGCGTTTAACAGCGATTCATCTTGAACTGATCAAGTGCAACTGTCGACTGACTTCCGCGTGGCGCGGCAATTCCGCTGGCTCTGGTCGCCGTGCATCGACGTCCTCCTTTGTATCACATGCATCCATGGGTGTACAGGAAGTCCAATCCCCGCCAATTTGTTGCGTCTCACGCTCATAGCGGAAATTTAGGTTCGTCTCAAGGTAGGTGCGCCGCTTACACAAGAACCGCGACTGCCGACGCGCAGGGCCTGTAAGGTAAGCACTGTAGCGTCAGGCCCTTGGAGCGCATAAACGGATCAAGCGTAGGTGGATCGAAGATGACTACGACATGATGTTATGGTGGGAGTATGTTTGTCATTGTGTTTATGTTCCGTTCCTTTGCTGACACGCTCTAGCCCCCATATCCCACATGATATCTGCACCTGTCAGCGTAAAACACATACGCCTCCGTACCGCCTCGCTACTCGTCACTCGGTGCAGACTCTCTGGATACGTCTGTCTTCCGCATAAAGGCAAGAGTCAAGAAATGGGGTCACAACCACCGTGGTTCCACGCGATCCGACTTCTAGCTCGCTCCAAGAGCCTCTAAGGTAACAGCTAGCCGCATCCGTATGTGCACCCATTCCCCGACATCTCACTTCGAGAACACTAACGTCGTTCTCGGCTCGGACCATCATCGATGAGGCGATAGCTCGCCGATACGGGCGCAGCATATATTGGACCGCGTTTCGCAGGTTCCGCAACTGAGAACGCACTCCTCATCGTTCACCTCTCCGACATGCGCCTTCACTTGATCTTCTCTGCACTCTTCGCGATCGCCGGAATCAGCACGTCTGTCACGGCGTCCCCGGCTCCTCAAGACGCCATGGGTAAGCGTTTTCTGCTCTCACGTCGCCCTGGAACCTCATTTGACCACGCATCCATGGTAGGCGACACCACGACGGCCACGTCTCCTCCCGAGGAGAATATGTGGCTCTGATGATGCTCCGAGCCGAAATCGAAATACGCGTAGCAAACGTATAGGTGTGTACTCTGTCGAACGGCCGCGAGCAGCTTCTGACACCCCCGTGTAGAGACCGTTCCCCTTGGACATGTATAACGTGCCCTGCAGACGACGGTGATAGCGCTCCTAGTTGCACGCAGACCCGACCCGACTTGTAAATATGTCCATTTCTTGCGTGTCAACCATTATTCGAGTCTCCAAACGCGCGTACATGGGGTGGCGTGAGTGGGTGTAACTGGGGCATGCACCCGCCGTGACACGTCTCCGGTTATAATCCCTTAGTAGACCGTAGCTCCCGCAGCACGACAGGACCCTCCGCCCCGTTCACCGTCCTCCAACGGGTGCGGCGGATACTATCCGCCCTCCGCCTCGGGATCGGTGGTCAACCGGTCACGATTGACATTGACTCGGGCACCCTGACGCCTGGGCAGCGGTCGCGGTCCGGGTCGTCCTCGATGACCCGGGTGACGTCGGGCTTGAGATCCACACACCAGGCAACAAATAGGAAGTACATGCGAAACTTCACCTGATAGTCATCCTATGTGATCACGTCACTGTCCTTCCCCCATGCGACGCTGGCGTGGATAAGCTATCACTAGTGAGAAAATGCCCTGTATCAACAGGTCACTACATACATAAGCTCCTGTGCGACGACAGTACGTACTGCAACGCGTGCCCACAAATAAGCGCAGACGAGCGGGCGTTCTGTCGACGGACCACGACGAGTGTACTGCGCTAGCTTTCTCCGCGCCTGGGCCCCGGGGCCAGTGCCTCCCGATCCCGCTCGCTCTCCTGGAGCTGCACCGCGATCCTCCCGAGATCAGGCCCGGCGTGCGCGTCGCGTTCGCCTGGGATCTTCTCAGTGGGCTGCGCGGCCACGAACCGTGCGTGGTGCGCGTGTCGCAGTGCGCACTGCGCGCGCATCCGCCCGAGGCCGACGTGGACGCCCATGTGCGCGTCCTGGATCGTCTCGGCGAGCGTCGTGTCCATTTGCTTTCACGCCGACGCCAGCCGCGGCGCCACCGGCGGGTCCGTCACCGCCGCGGAGTTCGGGGGCCAGTCGAGAGGCGCTTGCGTGGCAGGCGGGGCAGGGGTAGCGAGTGCCTGTGCAGGGCTAGTTTGCGCAGCCTGTCGCGGAGTCTAGCACGCCGGGCTGAAAACGTGGGATTGGCGTGATGCGCGACGCCGAATCAGAGCCCGTACCGCAAGGGATGGGACGGGGACGTCCAGAAGGGATACGCAAAGGCACCGGGGCATACTCCCCCCAGTGTGCCTGCGTAATACCGGCATCTGGTGGTTTGCAAAAGTGACGACTTACTGCTGAATGTTGAAGGGGTGCGGTCGTTGGGAAGACGCAGAACGCAGTACATCCCTGGAGCAACGAGTGAGTGGGATGCAAGGAACAATCAGCGATGAGACGCCTCGCGATCCATCGGAGCGGCCCCGGTGGCGCCTGGAGTCAAACGCGGGAAACCATCTGTCCTCGCTTGCATGGCCGATACCGCCGGCTGTGGGAGACTCTGGTGACCAGATCAGGACGCTGCCGCTGGTGTCGCTGTCAATGCCGTGAAACTTACTCTTCACAAAGCTAGTTGCCAATTTCAAGCGGGCAGGGGAGAGCTGGATGATGGAAAGCGTGGAAGCCCGGGTGACCGGGCTGAGTCTACCTTTGTTCCAGGTAGAACAGAAGTGTCCAAGTGCCGAGCAGCAAGACGACGAGTGCATCCATGGCATCGATGTATCTGCGAGAGAAGGTTGCATGTTATTCTTCCGGTCCGCAGTCAAACGTTCATTACAGCGTGTCACCTTCGCATGAATAGATCACCAGAGCGCCCGGCTACGTGATTTTCTTCCGCTGCAAGTCTGAGATGATCCTTCATGTTCGACAGATAAGCGAAGAATTATCACCAAAGATCCGTAAATGCATATACAGACGAGGCGATTGCAGTGTGCACAGCGGGGGGAGGAAGAAGCTGGAGCCGAAAGAAAGAGAGATTTACCGTTAGTCGCCTGAGCGTCGTCAGCACTTGCACATGATCGGACCGAATGAGCCGCTCCCAAAGTTCAAGGCGGGAATACGAGAGCTGGATCAACAGAGCGAACGTTATAAAGTGTCATACAATAAAGTCGCGGCGTTGCAACCATGCCTAAGGAAGGAAGCGTGAAAAAAAATCGAAACTTCATGTGCCCGAGGGGGGACGCCCTCACAGGCCAGTCATCCTATGTTATGACGTCATTCCCGCTTCCCAGCTTCGAGGTCATCCTTCGTGACCTCCTCCCGCATGTTAGTGCTTGCCCCGCCAGTGCTCAAGGTGAACCCGTGAAACGCTGAGGTATATAGTTGGGGCGGCGTCGACGAGAAGTGGGCGCCCACAGTGGTGGAACCGTTAGTGGCGGCGGCGTTCTGCGTCCACGCGCGGCCCATCAGGATGCGCAGGATGATCAGCTGAGGGGATATGCACTGCGCGCACACGTTATGTGAGCGAACGGCTGACGGGAACCTCCCTCGCAGACGGGCACGCACCGTGAACATCACGTAAATGGACTCGAACAGGATCGCCACGGGACTCCCGACCCCGAGCGCAGCGACGTACGCGATCCCGAACAGCGCGTACGGCAGCGCGGACTCGATGAGGATCGCGGCTGTGCCGGTGTACGCCCGGGCGGCGTCGGGACCGAGCACGGCCTCGGCGCGGCGCGCGAAGAAGAGGATGCGCGCGCAGATGAGCCCGGAGCAGAGCACGTTCAGGCTGATGACCGCGGAGCTGTACGCGACCGCGATCTGGGACGCGAGCCCGACGAAGAAGTTGCCCGAGGGCGTGCCCGAGACGACGCAGGTGAGGATGCCGAGCACAACGGAGGCGAGGTAGATGAGGGCGGGGAAGACGACGATCCAGTGGGATCCGTAGAAGACGTAGCAGCGGTAGAGCTGAAAAGCCGGATCACAAACGTGAGAGGAAGCGGAGAGGTCAAGATGGAGTAAAGGTGCGCACCAGGAGAGCGTCGCTGAGGACAGTGAGCAGAACGCCTGCGACGCTTCCCATGGTCTGATACCAGACATCTGCATGGGTGGCGAGATATGCTGCGGAGCCTCCAGGAAAGTCCTCGTTGACGATCCACATCATCTCGCCGAAGACAGACTGGACAGCGACGAATATAGTGATGAGAAAGAGAAGCGCGGTGCTGAAGACCAAAAAGAGGGTGTGAAATTGTCGGGACTGGTCCTTGACATTGAGGACAATGTAGACAGTCGCAAAGTAGAGCATTAGCTCGATGCCTGTATGCCAACATTGCAACACAGGCGCGGTGCGCGCTGTCAGTGTGTGTTCGGAGATAAGGCATTAAAATGCGCCCACGCACCATAAAGAATGGTGTTGAAGTTGTTCCCGACATAGTAACAGTTTTGGAATACGGCGTTCAGGTCGGCCATTGAGCGCGAGGATGAGAGGCTGCCGAAGACGAATGTAAAAGAGGATGCGGGCTCCCCGAGGGTTTATGACCAGTCCGATTGCGCGGCAGTCCACCTGCGGGGGAAGCGCCAGTCACTGTCAGCGCTGGCTTCCGTTCATGCGCCCGCGCTTCAGCCTCGACCGAGCGGACTGTACCACTGGAGACGAGAGGGAGCGGTACTTACGACTGAATCGTTTGCCGTAGAATAGACGATGCGAGTGGCTCGGCACACGCAGTAGCCTTGGGGCTCGGAGGTAAATCCTGCCCGAGACCACAGGTAGTGACGGACGTCATGGTGATGGAAGGCGTCACTGTCAGGCCACGCTTACTAGTCCAGGGTCAGAATGGCAGCGGTTTACAGCATTGTGTGTGAAGTGGGGCGCCGGCAGGAACCAAGAGAGTTGTCTGCTCAGACCTAGGGTTCAGCTCCGGTTGCCCGTCTGAGAGAGACAAGAATAAGCTCACCTTGAGCGACTCACACCGCGTTAGCGTTGGTGTATCATCTTTCCAGGAGTCAACGAGGGACGGAGGACCAAAGGTCGGACTCGAGACGCGGGCAAAGGGCGGGCGGATCCGACTCAGGGAGACATCCCAGGGTTCGGGCGTCCGCGCCCTAAGGCGAATGATGTTGCGCGCGCGGAGTGAGATTCAATGCATCGAGGCGCCTGTACGCTCGCGGGGCCGATTTGTCAAACCAACTTCCAAGGATTGTGCTGAACGAGGCGTTGATGATGATGATGTATTCATGCCAGTACTGTAAGTATCTTCGTAACGCTAAGTACGAGCTTTCTCAGAGACGACGGGTATCCCGCATTCGGTGGACTATAACGGCTGAACGAGGCGTTGCTATGATGGCTGATTGTGGCTCATGGCAAAGTGCAGCGCCGACCGAATGTAGGTGTCCGGGATGACTAATCAGCATTCTCCGCGAATTCCCGGCTCGAGCCAAACTTGCCATGGCACTCGTCCGTATGATGGAGTCCAACAGTCCTCGATTAAATCACCGAAACTTAGCGTAGAAATTATACTACATCATCGTAACACGTACTATTATCTAGACATTCATGTCTGACGACTTTGTGCACGAGAACTGCGACACAATGGACAGATAAACTACTGCCGGGTCCGACGTTCCTGGCGCTGACTCGAGTACGGAGGGCAGGTCGGTCGCATCTGTAGCATCATCATATCCGAACGTAGCTGTTATTGGATCACGGCCGGTAAGCGCACGACCGATGAGGACGCGGAGCATGATCATCTGGGGCGACAGAACCTGCATTGGAGAAACAAGGATACGCATGTCAGCTCCCGACGCCCGTACGTTCAACCCGATGATACCCCCGGAACACCACTCGTTTTCCTCCACCTCCCCGTTCGTAACGAAAATATGGAGTGCTCGAGATAGACACTCACCGAGAACAACACCTGCAGCCCCAACAAGATCACCTCCACCGGACTCGAGAGGCCGAGTGCGACGAGGTACGCAGTCGTGAACACCGTGTACGGGAGTATGCTCTCGATGATTATCGACGCCGCGCCCGAGTACTTGCGTGAAATTTGGCGGCCGAGTGCGTGCCGTATTACGCGTGAGAACCACCACATGCGCGCGCAGATGAGCACGGTGCAGTAGACGTTCAGGCTCAGGCTCATGGACACGTAGCCGACCCCGACCCTGGACGCGGTCCCCGTGAAGAAGTTCGCCCTCGCCGATAAAACGCACGCCGTGACACCTAGAGCTGCGGATCAGAAGTGCGTAAGCTGCATGACTCGATGGTGCGGAAGTGACAGTAAACGTGCCTATACTAGCAATGTATAAGACGGACGGAACGATAAGAACGACTTTGTAGGGGCTCCAGACCACGGTAAGTCGATACAGCTGCGACAGGGTGAGTGCGCGGAACTGAAAATGGATGGAAGACCGACCAAGAAGGCATCGGCGATGGCGTTGATGGATACCAGTGACACAGAGCCGGGCATCACGTAGTACCATGCAGATGTGTGGTCGAGGTAGTACCGCTGCGCACCCCCAGGATAGTTTTCGTTCACTACCCACATCTCCTGCCCAAAAATCGCTTTCACGACGATCCAGAGTGTGATCATGAAGAGTAACACGGTGCTGATGCAAACAAAAAGCCGATGAGAGCGCCCGTATTGGGCGCCGGCTCGTCGGTAGTCGTCGATGGCGAAGCGGACAGTGAGATAGTAAAGAGAGAGGTAGACGCCTGCGCATGGGAATCAGCACCAAGTCTCGCCCCTGAGGCGATCGTTTCAAAGTCCCAATTGCAACTTGACGCACCGTAGAGCACAGCGCTGATATTATTGGCGATATAGAGGCTGTGTTGGAAGAGGGTGCTGTAACCCGACATGCCGCCCGCCGCCACTTGGTAGGGGTTTCGAGCCAGGAGTACGTGGGGGGTGATGCGCAACCAGGAGCTTGGTATAAGCGAGCACTAGGCTGGCAAATTCGACCTTGTCTGGACTGCTGAAAGGTGGCCCGGGCGGCATGTAATTTGGTATAGCTTCTCGCATGACGGAGGGCGTGCACTGGATGTTCCCGGTACCGATTTGCCACCGAAGAAGGCATGCACGCACCACCGATGCGTCCTAATCGATAATTAGCTAGCGAAACAGACCGCGGCCCATCATCCCTTAATCACCTCAAACAAGCGGGTGCGGACTGTGGCCCGTGACAGGTGTCGCGATGTGACAGCGTCACTGCATGGAGCGCTTCTAGCGTGTCTGGGCAGCGGAATACGCCAATGGTGTTATTTCCTCAAGTATGCTCACCTTGCGAGCGGGTCTGAGTTGTAAGTATTGGAGTTCCACCAGGGACAAGCGCCGCGCGCGGAGACTCCGCGAAGGTTCGGCTGGCTGACCAATCGACGTTCCCGGGTATGCCCGAAGATTATCGACCGAAAGGCCTGCCGTGAAGATCCAAGGACTCTAAACTCCCTTTTATTGTTATCTCGCAAGTATCATAGGTTGCAGCCGTTTCAATGCCACGAATGTCAACGGAGCTCTCCATATATGTAAGCGAAAGCGACAGCAGTACCACAATCTATAATAAACCAGCGCACCTCTGCCGTCATTTCAACGGGTCAGCGGCTTCTCCCTAATAAAGACGGCGCACACCACCGTCACAGTTGACAGCGCGGCGATGAGCCAGAACGCAGCCTGGAGCCCGTCCTGATAGGCACTGACGACCTGCTGGCGCATCCTGGGCTCCAGCTCGTCGATGTACGCGAGAGACTCCCGCACGCGCCGCACGATCTGCGTCGAATGTCAATGCAGGCGCAAGAAAGATGATGATCGCGACGTGCCTCGTCGACGTCTTCGCCCGTCAGGCGCTTGCGCAGGCTCGAGCGGAGGACGTCTTGGGTAAGGGTCGTCCCGACGGAGACACCCACGACGGTCCCGAGCGAACGGAAGAGGTATGAGCTCGCGGTGGCGATAGCTTGGTCCTCCGGGCCGGCGTTAGCGACGAGCGCGATGAGAGTACTCGTCAAGCCGGATCCTACGACGGTGCTTTGTCAGCCGTCTTTCTGTCAGACTGCACATCATGGCCTACCGTAGCCAAGTTGGGTCGCAGTGGTGCCTGGTGGAGTGGTGAGTCCTCGCGCAAATGCATCCAGCCCAGGAGCACGCACCGTAGATGAGGCCCGTGACAGAGTACGGCACGACGCCGGTCACGAGCGCGACCGCCAAGCTCCCCGAGAGCATGACGGCGAACATCACGATCGTGAGCACGTAGTACTTCCCCGTCGCCTGCATGACGAGCCCCGCGCCGAGGCTGCCCGCGACCCCGCCAAAGATCGCGGGGATGAGCATCAGCCCGACCGTGCTCGCGCTCGCGTGCTGCACCGCCTGGAGGTAGAGCGAGGCGAGGAAGAAGGTGGACACGGCCGCCGCGCTCCCGAACATGTTGCAGAGGTAGCTCGCGAGCAGCGTCTGGTTCGCGACGATCCGCTTCGGCGCGAACGGCTCGCGCGCCCAGCGCAGCTCGACGAGCGCGAAGAGCGCGAAGAACACGCCGGCGCACGCGAGCGCCCCGATCGTCAGGCGGTCGGACCACGCGACGTTCCCGCCGCGGTCGAGGCCGACGAGGAGGGTGAAGATGGAGACGATGAGCGCGCCCGAGCCGGCGAAGTCGATGCGCGCGAGCTTCGCGCGGAAGTCGAGATCGCTTGAGGGCGGGCTTGGAAGGCGCAAGAAGATGGAGACGATGAGGATCGCGAGGAGCATGAGCGGGACTTGGAGGAGGAAGGCCCAGCGCCAGGAGAAACGGTCGACCAAGAGTCCGCCCAGTGGTGCTCCGACAGCCTGACCGGACGCAAACGCGATGTTTGCAAATCCTGACATAAGAGCATGAGTGGGGGAAACTTCCTTGAAACAGTGCGGTATCGCGACTCGCCTTGTAATGTTCCGCGTTGCCGTAAAGTGGCGACGTCAGACATGATGATGGACCCGACACTAATTCGGCGTCAGGATTTAGAGGTGGCAGCGAAAAGTGAGCCACCTACGTGGACATGCCCCCACCGCCAACCCCTGCCAGAGCGCGTGCGACGACGAGCTCGGTCATATTGCGCGCGAGGCCACAGAAGAGACATCCGGTAGCGAATATGGTGTACGCCACGAGAAGGCAAGCTTTGCGCCCAAAAATGTCGCTGAGCTGTAACATAGTCAGTTTTGAAATGGCGAGGATGGAGGGTACTATACCTTGCCGTACAGTGGCCTTTGTCCCGATTCAGTGAGGGACCAAAAGTAGGCAGTTATTTGACTCACTGGAAAGTGGTCATAGAGAGCATGTAGGCGGTGGCAATCCAACTCGTGTTTTGAAGCTGGTTGAACTGGCTGCCAATGGACGCATATGTGGAAGTGACGATTGTCACATCCATCGCGACGAGGAAGATACCCAAAATAAGGGGCGTCATCTGCAGGACGTCCGGGTCAGCGGAATGCCGCGGCAAATATTCACCCAGCCGGCATACGCACCACAGCAGCGATAGATACGGTCGGCTTATCGAACCCGGTGGCCTCATCGACGGGGCCGTCGGGGGCAGGAAGCGCATCCTCGTCCCTCCTTTGCGTCAAGAGAGGGGTGCGCTCGTCCGCGGGAGACTGCGTGCGCGACATCTGCCGGAAAGAGCAATGAGATACGTCAACGACTACCTGACGAACTGGTGCACCCTCTCACCAGACCGTTTCAAGCGTACCGTCAGCGCACCGAGATATTGCGACGAACAAGGACCAGGGGCGACAGTAGTCTTCACCGAGTTGAGAGACCAGGTTAAAGTGCAAATCGAGCGTGGTGCGCACGCCACGCGGCTGAGAATTTGCCACGGGCCACGGCACAGCCGGAGCGCCGCCAATCCACGTTGGCGGTGCCATGGTGGGTCTGACACATCATCCCAGCGTGGCGGCAGCTCAAGCTCAAGCCCCATCAACCATGGTCTAGACGTCTGAGTGCTCAGTGCATGCTGGCGAAAATAAGGGTTGGTGCGGCGCAATACCCTGCGTTGCTTTTAATTTCACATACGCTCGTTGGGAATAACTTCGTCAATCCGATATGGTGTAACGGCTAACATTACCGCCTTTCACGCGGTAGCTCGGGGTTCGATTCCCCGTATCGGAGTCTATCTTCATGAAACTTTTTATAGAACTCGTCGAGTCGTCACATTGAGTAACTGCTTATATGACGTGTACACAATCTCCACATCAATGTCGACACTCAGTATTAAAGGAATTGTACGGCGACTGATCGATTATATAGAGACAATGTGAAGCCTGAGATACGAAATCCAGTGGGCCATACTGACGACTAAACTTATTCACGGGGAGCGATCTCGTAGTATGTGCGTGGTAATAGCCCCCGCCCAAGACTCGCACCGTAGACCTCTTCCGGATAACCCTTGACGCCTTCGGCGGATATTTTGCTAGAGACGTACGCCTTGAGCTGAGGGCAGCGACAGCAATTAAAGTAAGAGTAAGGAGGCGAGAGGGAAATGGGGAAGTGGGTGGGAGTAAATAAGCAGTATGCCACCGACGGCATGAAGGAGGTGCGAGATATGCATCCGGCAATGGATCCGGAGGAGGACACGGGTGGTTTCGGGGGATATTTGGGACCAGGGACAACGGGCAAGACGATGATGATCCGAGGGGGCGTACCGAGGAATGATACCAGCGGTATCGGTGATGGGCGAAGGCGTCGGGGAAACACCAAGTCAGCACCGGGGTGGCACAGCAACATACACCATTCACGCACCTTCGAATTCTCGATGTCCACAATCGCGGGCGCGACAAACACCCTGACCTGCTCGTCCACGAGCCTGTACTTTCCCGAACCCCTCACGACATGCTTTCCGGGGGCACCGGTACGGTGTCCACCAGGCAAGAACGCCTGGCGTGTACCTGTTGCAGAACGGCGGCGGTCAGCACTGGGGAGGGGCTGAGAATGCGCAACGAGCCTGTGGCTACACACCCTTGTAGAAGTCTTTGTTGCCATGTTTAGGCGTGAGCGCCCTCCGGAGGGCTTTCGAGAGGACAGGGCGCGTCGGGATCATCGTCGCAGTGCAGAAAACGAAGGGGCCGTTCCGCTGGTCGCACTGGTCGCGCTCGCCGACGCCAGCAGGGCCCGGGCGCTCCGCCGCGCCATCGGCGCCTAGATCGCTTAGCTCGACGGCTTCATCTCATCTCCTTTGCGCGCACGCCTTTGGCACGGGATCTGCCGCAGCGGCGAGTCGCTTTCTGGCGATCTCTGTCGTTTCCCCCCCAATACATCCCAGTGTCTGCGTTCGTCTCAGTTTTCGCTTGACACTCTCCCCCAGACAGGACCATGCCCAGGCCGACGAAACGCGGAGGACGAGGGGGCGGGCGCGCGGCGTTCGTCCGCGGTGGACATGCGCAAAGAGGGCGCGGACAGCGCAGGCACGACGACCGCGCGCCGTCGCCGTGGGGCGCGGAGGATCGCCCCGAGAGCGCGGTGGACGACGATGACGAGGGGTCGGGCGAGTCGGGCGAAGGGAGCGAGACCGGTGCGTCACACGATTTGGGCCTCTCAGTTACGGCGGCACTGAGCACGGCGCGTGCGCAGAAGGCGACGAGAAGGTGTCCATCGACGTCCCGGTCGCGATGTGGGTGAGTCCCTGGGTGCTCGCTCGCCGGCCGTGCGACTGTGCGTGCGCTGACGCGGAGGGGCGGGACAGGACTTCGACCACTGCGACCCCCGCCGGTGCTCGGGCAAGAAGCTCGCGCGGCAGGGCCTCATCAGCACGCTCCGGGTCGGGCAGAAGTTTCGGGGCATCGTCGTCTCGTGAGTGGCTCTTTCTCCTTGGTCCTTGGTCCTTGTCCGCCGTCCCCCATGCGCCCCCGAAGGACAGACTAACAACGGCAGTCCCCCGCCCGCAGGCCGAAGGGAGCGGTACCCGTGAGCCCCGCGGACCGGGACATCGTCGCCCAGAACGGGCTCGCCGTCGTCGAGTGCTCGTGGGCGCGCCTGGACGAGGTCCCGTTCGGTCGGATCGCGAGCCCACACGAACGCCTTTGTGAGTCCACCTCCGTCCATACGCATCCTTCCACGCCTTTGTCGTTCTCCCCTCGGTGTGGCGGGGAGTGCTCACGCTGACGCTGCCTGGAACCGCGCTCGCAGTGCCGTACCTCGTCGCGACGAACCCCGTCAATTACGGGAAGCCGTGGCGACTGAACTGTGTCGAGGCCCTCGCCGCCGCGTTCTACATCACCGGGTTCGACGAGTACGCGGAGCGCCTTCTCCAGGGCTTTGGGTGGGGGCATTCGTTTTGGGAAGTCAACAAGTGCGCATATACACATCCCGGGCACTGGTGACCTGCGTGAATGCTGACATCGAGGTCCGTGCAGGCACCTGCTGGAGAGGTACAAGACGTGCGAAAGCTCGGCGGCGGTGAGCGCGATGCAGGAGCAGATCCTCGCGGACCTGGAGAAGAGCTACGAGGAGTCGCGGCAGGCCAAAGGTGAGTGCATCCCCGTCAAATCGGCGCGCGACTGGGTGAATTCGCTCCTGGCATGAGATTGGTCGTTGCGTTTGCTGCGGGCACGTTGGCAGGCCCAGAGTGGGACGATGTACTCACCGGCTGCTTGTAGACGGTGTGGATAGCGGAGACCTGCTCGTGCGCAATCCCAACAGGATATACGAAGAAGAGAGCTCGGAGGAGGATGAAGACGAAGAAGACGAGCCTCAAGAGGCGGACGGTGTGCAAGCAATCACAAAGCAGATTGAAGCGACGACTGTTTGACCATGTGATTTCGCCAATGCCGTCGGGGTGTTGTGGTGGACCGGCATCAACTTTTCCGCCATCCTTCAGCCATACGCTCATCCTCGGAGACGATCCCGAGCCTTTCTATGCTTAGTGTTGTATGATATGTGGTTTCTAGTCATGGTGTATCGGCTCCTTATCTCATTGGCTCGTGATTTTGCCTGATCGCATTTCATCCGCCGCCGCCGCGCCAGCCACCAACGCCGGGGCCACGATAAATACTTTTGAGAGAACTGCGCTCGCGATCGGCGACTCCAGACGATCTCGCGTACGTCAGCTCTCTCATGGACCGCCACCACTCTCCTCAATGCTCTCTGTCCTCCTTGCTCCCAGTCTTGCAACAATGAACCGTTTTACCATGAAAGCATCTTCATACTGTGCCTAAAACGCCCCGAATCGCAAGCTTCAGCGGCACTCACATGGACGCCGTCCTCCTTGTACGCCCTTTCCCTTCTCCTCTCCCACTGTGAGTTGTGACTCCGGGGGAGGCGTATACAACTACGGAATGCGAGAATCGTAGCGGTCTCGGCCCATGCACTGTGAGCATAAGTATATGCGCAATATATGTGCTTATGCCCATCGCCGACCAGCTTTTCGTCTGCATCCGCTGCCTTCGTCGGTTACCGCCTTTACGCGTTCCTAGACTCACGCCTGTGCCGCGTGCAGGGATCCCACGTTGAACGTGCACCGTGATGGTTGCGGGCATACAAGCTCAAGCTTCAAGACTTCGCCAAAACTTGATGAGATCGGCGCGTTGTACGTGCAGGCAACCCTCCGCCTTCCTCCCCACCGCCGGCCGCATGCTTCACGAACATTCGCGTCCGCGACCTTGACGACTTCCTTGAACCGTATTCAGCCTTCGAAGCCGCACTCCCCAGCCTCGATGTCTATTTGGGGCTTCATCCGCGGGTCGTGGGCACAGGGCACCATCGAAGAGGCGGCGGCGGAGGCATGGAGAGAGGACATTGAGCGCGCGGAAGCCGGAGGCGGAGGACGGGTATGTCAGGCAATACATAGTTCAGGTACGTCCGAATCAGAACCCTCGAGTTCTAGTCCCGGGCAGGCTGCTCTGCAAGCGCCAACTTTCGCAGGCGAAGCAAGCTTGTGAGAATAATATGACCCAAGGCCATGTGCCATGTGGGCAGAGCGGAAGACTACGAACTCGGTCGTGCACTACACAAAGGATGTCAGACACTGCAGGCTGACACATGTCGTCGAGCTCGTGGTGAGACTAGTCCTCTGAATGTGGCCGAGGGACTTGGAGGAATCTGATGGACGACAGTGGGTGGCCCTCCCAAGCCCTCCCACCGTCGACGTCACCTTCAGCGCCAGCCAATTGCATGCGCGACCCTCGTTTTGTTTCAGTCTGCCGGATGGTTCATCTGGCCGCGGGCATGTACATACGCACGTCGCCTTCGGTCACTTTCACTTCCACTCGGTCGTTTTCACGCGCGGTGGCGGGTTCCACATGCAGCTCACACACATTCGTGCAGGTCAGATGCCCTTTGGGTCTCTCGCTACGTCCGGGGATCGAAGCCCCGACGTGCCTACGATAGCTTGCTCGGGATCCCGCCTCTCGTTCGAAGATCGTCATCCCGAATCGCTCCAGCTCAAGGACAGCCCGTCACAGGCGCGCCCACCTCGCTTTTCAGGGCGACTTGGGCCTCCCACCAGGCACGTAGTCTCCCCGCTACTACGAGAATCACGAGCTCAAACATCAAACGGGCCGTCACCTGAGCAGTGGTGCTCCTGGAGCACGAGGTTCGCATGGTGCGCACCCGACCGCGCAGAGTTGGCTCGGAGGCTCCATCGCCAACAGCAGATGACCACCTGGAAGCTTGCGCAATTCGCGCCCCCTGGCGCGGGTCGCGCCGTGGCGCACCCGTCCGCATGGTGTTGAAGCAGACGCGACTTGTCGGAGGGCAGACTTGCAAGTTGCAACGGAGGAGCTCGCCCCTCGCTTCAAGCTTGACCCCACAACAGGATCTGATGCCCCGCGCGGAGGCGGAAAGGCTATCTTGATTCGGTAAGTCGAGCGCCGGCCGTCACGCGGAAAAGAAGCGCCGGAGACCCAGGGCTGGCGCAAAAGATATTCGTTGGACAGGAAGTCGGGTTCGAAGATGGCGCGCTGTCATGAGAACCTGGCCATGGCCGGCCGTGCGCGACCCTCCCTCGCTTAAAGGCTCATAATGGCCCGCCTCCGCGAACGTCTCGACGCGCGCCGGTCCTCTCCCCCCGCCCCCTCCACTCGGCCCTCCCCCGCTCTCGCCTCTCCTCGCGCTTCTAGCGACCGCTCACGCGACCGATCGCCTACGTCCCCGCCGCGACGCTCGAGCGTGCCCACGCGCTCGCCATGGAGCAGTCCCGGAGAGAGAACGTCGGCGAGAACCCATTCGCCCACCCTAGTGAGTCCACCCTCCCGTTCGTCGTGCGTTTGCTCCCCCCGCTCCCCCACGCGTTCCGCGCCTCGTTCGCTGGCCGCGGTGTGCTCCCGCCCGCGTTTGCACGCGCGCGAGACTGCACCACGCGTCGATCGTTGGACCTCTTTCGGCCCTGCCTGAGCATGCTCTGCTTGTGTGCTGGCGGATTCGTGTCCGTGCCCGGTGCAGTGCTAGCCTGGACTCGGAAGGCTCAACCAGGAACCATCGGACAGTGCCGAGAGCCGCGTTCTTCTCTTCCCAGATGGCGCTTGCGTCGCAACAGGAAGAATGGAGGTGGCCTAATGCTCACTGGCTCCGCGACCGGGGTTCCCTGTGTCCTTTGCGCGCGCTGCCTGGAGTTTGATGACTTCTCTATGCTCTTTGACGTCTGCACGGATGGATGGCGCAATGCCACGCGATGACGGAAGCCCGGGGTTTGCGACCTGCGCCGATCTGCCGTGACGCGCTAGTGCGGTCGTAGACGGACCCAAGTTCCATGAGGCTCGCCCCCGCCAGGCGGTGTCGAAGGAACGCGCGCTCTTCGTCATGCTTGGACGTTCGCCCCTGGCGATGCGTTTTCGCCGGGCGGCGCGGTCGCGTTGCCGTCCACTTCGGCGTCCTGGTGGACTGTTCACCACCATTCGTATCACAGACGTTGGTGGTCGGCTTTTATATCGTTGAGGAGATTGCCTCGCTCCACTACCCTTCTCTTTTGGCTTTCGCTTTCGCATACCTCGCCGCTGACCATGTCGGACGGGTTTTTTGATGTAGAGGACCAACAGCCTATTTCGCGAACAACTTCCGCTGGCGTCCATCCTTACTCAAGCGCCGCCGCTTCATCCGCCGCAGTCCAAGGCACTCATGGCGCCCGGGCCGCTACCAACGAAGGCGAAATCCGCCCAGAGGACGTACCTCAGCAGCAGCCACCACCGAAACCTCCCCTGTACAAGCGCCGGTGGTTCATCATCACCTCCATTGTCGCCGCACTCCTCGGAATCGCCATCCTGTTCATCCTGCTATACCCGGTCATACATGCCATCGCGCAGCACATTGTCACTGTCTCCGTGCTCAACATCGATCGGGCGCAGATCACCAGTCCAACCAACGGCTCGTTCGCCCTTACCCTCGACTCCTGGGTCTCGCACGCTGGCATCATCCCCGCGACGATCACCTTCAACCAGCCTTTGTCCGTCGGATGGTACAACGCTTCTGGGGCTATCGTGCCCCTCGGTTCGTTCACCCTCGACCCGCTCAAGGTCAAGTCGAAGCGCGCGTACATCAACCAGACCGTGCCCTTCACGATCACGGACGAGGCCAACTTCGCGCTCTTCACGTCGAGCATGATCACGCAGCCAAACTTCAAATGGCACCTCACGTCGGAGAAGCTGGACGTCCGCGCGCTCGCGTTCCCGACGGCGCACGACCTGCACTTCAACAAGGACCTCGTCCTCCAGGGCATGAACAACTTCAACGGCAACGTCTCGCTCGTCGACTTCAAGCTCCCCGCAGATGACCCCGCCGGGGGCATCAAGTTCGAGGCGACGACGGGGCTCAACAACCCGTCCGCGTTCGACGTCAACCTCGGCACCGTCGTCTTCGACCTCTCCTACAAGGGCCTCTTCCTCGGGCGCGGCACCGGCCCGAACACGGTCATCTCCCCCGGGGCGAACAACATCACGCTCTCCGGCAGCCTCGTCCCGCACATCACTGTGGCCGACCTCGCGACGGTCTCCGAGCTCTTCACGCTCTACCTCAACGGCGAGCAGGCGGACGTCGTCGCGACCGGCGTGTCCTCGCGCCAGGACGACGGGAGCGCGGTGGGTTGGCTCAGCGCGGGGCTCACGGCATTGCAGCTGCACGTCCCGTTCAAGGCGCCGGGGGCGATCTCGCCGATCAAGGCGATCGAGATCGGGGACTTGGCCCTGGACTTCACGCCCGAGAGCGAGTGGGCGCCGGTGGCGAACTCGCGGACGGTGCAGGCGCGGATGGAGCTGCCGTTCGGGTTTGGGGTTGACATTCAGAGCATCCAGAACAGCTTCAACATCACGACGGAGCAGGGTGTGGTTGGGGGTTTGAGCACGGTGAGCGGGCTTCCCTGGACGCGTGAGGATCACGAGGACTGATGTGCGTTTGTGTGCAGCCCGCGAGCGCGTCGACGAGCGAGATCAAGGTCGTGAACTCGACCCTGACGCAGGGGACGATCAACATCACCATCGAGAACACCCCGCTAGAGGTGTTGGACCCAAATCACCCGGTGTTTTCGTCGTTTAGTGAGCGCTCTCTGTGCACCTCCGCCGCCGACGCGAGCTTACGGCCGTGCAGACCTGAACCTGACGGACAGCAAGGTGATGCCGTTCATGCTCAACGGACAGGCGCGCGCGGTCGCGAACACGAGTATCGGTGCCATCACGCTTGACCCGATCAAGTTCAACGTGCCCTCGAACTTGCAGGGTCTGCAGGGGCTACAGTCGCTCGTCCAGATCAAGAGCGTTGACGTTCTCGGCGGGTCGTTGGAGGCCATCCACTTGGGCATTGACGGTACGTTTTCTCTCTCTGGAGGGGAGACGTGAACTGACAATGAGAGACTGGCAGTGGACATCTTCAACCCGTCGAACCTGCAGCTTGCCACAGGAGACATGAGCCTGCAACTGCTGCGCGACGGCGCGGTGATTGGCACGACGCTGCTCCCGAACCTGACGCTCAACATGGGCAACAACTCGTTGAGCGCGCAGGGCAACTTCACTGTGAGGACGAACATTTGAATTCATGGGCCCACCGCGCTGACGCCGTCGTTGGGCAGCCGAACGACTCGCCGCAAGGGCTCGAGACGTTGGGTCAGTTCGTCGGGGGCGTCAACGTCCAGGTCGCCATCGCCGGATACTTGCAGAGCACGAAGGTCGAATCGCTCCTCGCCGCGTTCGAGAGCCTGAACATCGACGCCACGCTTCCCGCGCTCTCGTCGAAGCTGCTGAACTCTGCGTCATTGCAAGGTGCGCCACATCGCGGGTGACGAACGTTCTTGCGCTGACGTCGACTTTCCTGCCAGTGCTGTCCACGACCGCGGAGAACAACATCTCGCACACGACCGTCTCGCTCGCGAACCCGTTCACCGCCGCGCTCGAGATCACGCATATCTCGTCCAACATCACCTTCCAGGGCATCTCCCTCGGGACCATCGACGACGCCGTCAGCTTCTCGTCCGCGGGCAAGTCGACGACGACCTCGCCCGCGCTCAACCTCAACCTCAACATGGACCCGCAGAGCCTCTTCACGGTCACAAAGCTGCTTGCGGAGCAGGCGGGCGAGGACACGGCGCCTCTCGACCAGATCGTCGCGCTCGGCGGGTACCACTACCTGAACGGCGTCGGTGGGTCGAAGCGGGCGGTCGACAGCAAGAGGGACAACATCTTCACGTACGCACTCCCATCTCCAGTTTGCTGCGCGCGGGCGCTGACCGAGCCTTGTAGGAACTTCGACCTCCCCTCCTTCGTCGACAAGGCGTTTACGAAGCTCGCCGCGGAGGTCGCGCTCACCGCGGGCGTCACGATCGGGGACTACCCGACCACGCTTTCGTATACGCAGCCGAACGTGACGATCAAGACGGACGAGAGCCTAAACCTCATCCTACCGGTGCTCGCGCAGCCGATCGTGCAGAACATCGTCTCCGGCTCCGTGCTCGGGATCGAGACGGTGGTGATCAAGGACGTGCAGGAGAACTCGTTCGGGACGACCCTGAAGGGGTCGATCACCAATGCTGGGCCATGTACGTCCCCGCCCTCTTCGCCCCTCTGATCCGTGCTCACCAGGCGATCGTGCAGTCGATGCGAAGATCGCGTTCCCCGAGGGGCTCACCATCGTTTGGAACGACAAGCCGCTGGGGAGCATCAAGATGCCGGACGTGGACGTGGTGGGCGGCGTCGGCGCGAGCTTTGAGGTCGACACGACGTTCGCGGTCGCGGACGTCGCGCACCTCGCGGACTTCACGAAGACGATGCTGACGGCGGAGGAGTTCGACTGGGTGATCTCGGGGAGCAACCTGTCGGGTGCGTGCCGCCGTCGGATGTTTGAGCGCGCAACGAGCTGACGGAAGGGGTGCAGTGGCCGCGATCGGCATCTCGGTGCCGGGAATCGTGCTGGGCGAGAAGAAGGTGACGCTCAAGGGCATGAACGGCCTGAAGGGCGGGGTCAAGATCGAGACGTTCGACCTGCCCAGCAACGACCCCGCGGGCGGCGTTCACTTGACGCTTCAGACTAACATCACGAACGTGGGTTTTGTTATTTGGCGTTCCTGCGTCCGACGAGTGCTGATGAGATGCGCAGCCCTCTCAAGTTGGCGTGGAGCTCAGCTCGATCGCGTTCCAGAGCTTTTTCGAGAACGTCAACATTGGCCCTGTGGCCTCTACGAACTCGTTCACGCTCTCGCCGATGTCCACGGTTGCGCTGCCCTTGGCAGGGCGTCTTGTTCCCCAGAAGGATGACGCCGGCCTCGCCGCGGTCTCTGCGATGTTCAACGCGTTCATCCACGGCAACGACAGCAACATTGTCGTCCAAGGAGACAGCGCGGGTCCCACTGATGTGGGTGCCTCACTCGCATACAGTACGTCGGAAGGCTGACGATACCGTTGACAGGTTTCCTGGCTCAACGACGGCATCAAGGCGCTCCAGGTTCAGACTGTCCTCCCCAACCGTGGCGTGCTCAACATCATCAACTCCGTCTCGCTCAACTCGCTCGACCTCCGCTTCACGCAGGACTCCGCGTTCTCCCCCGCCTTCGGCTCCAACGACACCACCGCGGCCTTCGCCCTCCCCTTCGCGTTCCCCATCGATATCACCGCCGTCGGCCAGACGATCTCCATCGGGACGGACGGCGCGGACTTCGCGACGGTCGCGATCCCCAAGGGCCCGAGCACGACGGACGTGGACACGCGCGTGATCCACCTCGCGTTCACCGGCGTGCCCTTCGACGTCGCGGACGGGCAGCACGCCGCGTTCGAGCAGTTCCTCTCGGACACCGCGACGGGCAAGAGCGTCACGATGCGGCTGAGCGGCGCGGCGAACACGGACGCGAGCACGGCCATCGGCGTGCTCTCGCTGACGGACATCGAGTTCGTGGTCGAGTCGACGGTCGCGGGCCTGCAGGGCCTGAACGCGAAGCCGTCGGTCGTGACGAGCCTGGACGTGAGCCAAGGGTTCGCGGACTTCTTGCTCATCAAGGTCACGTCGGACCTGTTCAACCCGAGCAACATCACGCTTGGTGAGTGCGTTCGCTGGGATGGGCGAGATGGGGTGCTGATCACGGACGTGCAGGCGCTGGCGACATTGCATTCGAACTCGAGTTCCAGAACGACGTCATCGGTCAGGCCGACCTGGTGAGTCGTGCTGGGGGCGGAGTGAAGTGAGTGCTGACCACGGTGTTTGCAGAGCAACTTGGTCATTATGCCCGGAAACACTTCATACCCGATCGACGTCCACTTCCAGCCCCAAGGCGGCGCGGTCGCTTCTGGGCAGAAGCTGCTCGAGAACTTCCTCCAAGGCGTCGACTCCGATACCACCATCCAAGGCTCGACCTCCTCCACGCCCATCGAGTCCCTCCAGCTCGCCATGTCCAAAATCAGCCTCACCCCCGTCATCATCCCGGCGCTCCACCAGAACCTGATCACCACCGCCTCCCTCATCTTCCCCACCGACATCGTCCAGACCGGAATTGCTCAGACGACGTTCACGCTCGCGAACCCCTTCACGGCCGCCCTCAACCTGCTCGACGTCACCGCGACGGCGACGCTCGGGAACCTCACGCTCGGCAAGATCGACCACGTCGACCGCTCGAGCGACCCGATCCACGCGGACGGGCACGCGAACATCACCTCGCCCACGCTCCCGTTCGCGTTCAACCTCGAGCCGGCGGCGATCATCTCGCTGCTCGCGACCGGGGCGCAGAAGAACGGGGTCGACCTCGGGCCGCTGTCCGCGGCGTTCCAGCTCGCGCTGCAGAACCCGGACGTGGGCAAGCAGGTGAACACGAGCGTGGACACGGGCAGCCCGCCGTGCGTGAGCGGGAAGCAGTTCGACGTGAACGACGCGATCTTGAACGCGCTGAAGAACTTGGAGGTCACGCTGGCGATCGACTCGTCCGTCAAGATCGATGACTGTGAGCGATCGGCGCGTTGGTTTTGTGGGGAGCTTTGCTGACTTTGTGGCAGTCCCGATCGATCTGTCGTTCACGCAGAACAACGTCAACGCCATTGTGAGTGGGCGTTCCGAACTGCCGGGATCCTATACTGAACGTGTCCCAGACCGACAAAACCGCGCTTTACCTCATCGGAGCCGTCGCGCCTCCCATCGTTCAGACCTTCGTCAACCAGGCCGAGCTCAAGTTCACCGAGGCTAACATCACGTGGGTCAACCGAATATATTGTTCGCCTGCACGACTGACTGGTCCGCAGGAACATCTCCGACGACGGCTTCGACCTCTCCCTTGTCGGTTCGCTCACTGGCACTGGTCCCTTTGATGCGCAAATCGAGTTCGTCGACCCCGTCAAGGTCACCTGGCAAGGCAACGATATCGCGACGATCGCGCTCCCGCCCGTCTGCGCGTCTGCGAACGACGGCGTGCCGGACTACCGCACCAGCGGGCGCCTGAGCATCACCGACCAGGACCAATTCACGAACTTTGCGACCTTCCTACTCCACAACCCCGACTTCGAGTGGACGATCTCGACGGGCGCGCTCCGTCTGACGGCGCTCGGGACGGTGTTCGACAACGTGCAGTTGAGCAAGGACGTCTCCTTCAAGGCGTTCAACAACCTGCCGGGCGTCACGATCAGCAACTTCCAGCTCCCGTCGGACGACCCAGCGGGTGGGATCCACATCGAGACGGACTCGCTCATCCCGTCGTCTGCTCGTGAGTTTGCGTTTGATGATCGAGGGAGATGCGAGTCTGAACCCGTTTGCAGAGATTGGCATCGACCTCGGCACTGTCACCTTCGAGGCGGGCTTCAAGGGCACCACTGTCGGACGTAAGTGGTGCTTGAACTTGTTTTGCGATCTCAATCGCTGATATCGGTATTCTAGCGTTGTCTGGGAGCAACCTCTTCCTGGCTGCTGGCGCGACCGTCAATCTCCACCTCTCGGGCCGGATCACCCCCAAGAGCGGCAACGACCTGGACGCCATGGGCGATCTCTTCACCAACTTCCTCCACGCCGAGAACCAGACGCTCCAGGTCCAGGGAGAGTCGGTTCAGCCCAGCGGTTCTAGCGGTCCTGTCTCGTGGCTGAGCACTGCGTTCAAGACCTTGACGCTTGACGTCACGCTGCCGGGACAGAAGTTCGATGTGCGTATCGACCGCGGTTGTGGAGCTACGAGGCGCTGACCATGCTCTCATTCAGATTATTCAATCCATCGAGATGTCGGATCTGGAGCTGGTCATGACCGAGCAGAGCGAAGCCTTCGCACCCAAGGCCAGCTCGCAGAACGTCCTGGCAGAGTACAAGAACCCCTTCGGCTTCTCTCTGCAAGTTGTGAAGAGTGCTGAGGACATCACGCTCGCCAGCCAGGGCGTCGACATCGCCAAGGTAGAGTTTTATTTCATCCCGGTATGAGATTCGTTTACTGATGTGCGATCTCAGCTCGAGCTGCCCCAACAAGATACCGATGGAGGCGTGTCGACCGGCAACTCCGCGCCCCTCAACTTGCCGTTCCAGGACCAGACCCTGCAGTCGCTCAACGACGCGGCGTTCGTTCAGTTCTTCGCCGCGGTCACTGACACGGCGGACGTCAGCTTCCAGCTCAACGGATCCGCCGACGTCGTCGCGCGGACACCCATCGGCGACATTCCCATCTCAGGGATCCCATTCGGCGTCACGACCGCCTTGAAGGGTATCAACGCCTTCAACAAGGCTGCGCAGCTCAGCAACATCTCGATCGCAGGCGGCGGCACGGACAGCCACGGCGCATTCATCCTGTCGCCCATCACGACCGTGCTCGAGAACCCGTCGAACATCTCGCTCAGCACCGTCGACGTCGAGCTCCCCGTGTTCTTCAAGGGCGTGCAGCTCGGACGCGCGGTAATCGACCCCCTGGACCTGGTTCCTGGGGAGAACACGCTCCACGCCGAGTTCCACTACGCTCCCAACGACGCGAACGACACGACGGCGCAGGGCTTCGTAACAGAGCTCCTGCAGACCGGGGACACTATCCCGCTGACGATCAAAGGAGACAGCGAGTCTTCACCGTTCGCCTCGCTGGCGTCTGCACTCGAGGGCGTTGAGATCGATACCAGCATCACTGGTCAGTACCGCCTCGCACCCGGCATATGGTAACTTGCTGACTCGTCGTTTAGGTTTGAGTGCCCCACCAATCGTCACACACATCAACGCGTTTATCACGCTGGATACCCTTGTGACCAACCTCATCACCATCGACTTTGACGTGAGTGTCCAGACTCTAGACCAACTGCTCCTCCGTACAATGCTGACTCTGGCTCCAGATCGCGAACCCGCTCGACACCGACATGGAGATCACAGCCCTACAGGTCGACTCCGGTCTCGACGGCGTCACCTACGCGCAATTCAGCGCCAGCTTCGACTCGTTCGTCATCCCCGCGCACAGCACCGCAAACTCGGGCACCGTTCAGAACGTGCTGCTCACGAAGGGCGCGATCGCGTCGCTGGGCATCATCCCCGTCGGCAAGCTCGACGTCTTCTCCGCGGCGACGGCCAAGATCGGGCCGTACACGCTGCCGTGGCTGCAACTGACGGTGCCGGGCGTCCCGACGGATTACCACCTCGACCTGTTCGCGATCTCGAAGGCGGCAAAGTCGGTGAGCGCGGTGAGCGGGCCCGAGACCACGGCCGCGAGCACAGCGTCGGCGAAAACGAGCGCGGCTGAGAGCAATACGGTCGCAGCGTCATCGACGACGAACAACGCTGATTCGACCCCTGCCGCATCGTCGACAGATGCTGCCGAAAACACTACGTCTGCCAGCGCTGATTCCGCGCAGTCGACGTCGAGCGCGTAGCCGTTGGACTCCTAAAACCAGCTTATGTTTCTTCCGTTGACGTCGGCTCTTCTCTCAGATACCCCTCGATCTCGGTCTCTGCTCTCTTCTGGTCGCTTTCTCAGACACTCCGCACGACTGTACACTACTACCACCCTTTGGCACGCGCATCGTGGGACGATTAAGATTAGATTAGATCTCTTAGCGTAATCTTTTATCGCATGCTCTTTGTTCTGTTCATGGACACAAATGCGCGGCACGAATCACCACTGTAGTACGGCCCCTTCATGTTATGCAATGTCCATGTCGCTTGTTATGTTGGTTGCAATGGAAACATGTTTTGATCGGGATGATCTTCGTAGCTTCGGCATGACTCTGAATTCCCGCCTTACCGCAGGAGGCTTATGTAAGCGACGCGTGGCCACTACCGCAGCACTCGTGGTCCGTGCACGTCCAATGTGGACGACGACAACGCGGCCAAAGTGAGGTACATTAAGTCGTGGGTCTTCCCCAAATCTGACTCGCATTCTTTCCCAGGTACTTCGGACTCTCGAAGCGCAGAGTCCCACCAAGAGAGTGTGCGTAATCCTCGAGTATAAAGTTGACGTTTGCACTTACCAATGGTATATATGCCACTCCGACATGCATGTCGCCCGCTCCCCGATGCATGCGCCTCTCGCAGCTTTCACCTGGGTGCTTCTAGTCTACACACCTTTCTCAAATCCGATCCAGAAGACCAACTCGTCAAGCCTTTATGAGTCAACGCGGCGGACCCGGAAGAGGCCGCGGCGGTCGCGGAGCCCCACGAGGCTCGTCGCCCGCGCCATCGAGCATGGGCAGCGGAGACCGAGGGCGCGGTCGAGGCGGCGGCTTCGATCGCGGTGGTGGCTTCGATCGCGGCGGCCGAGGCGGCGGAGACAGAGGAGGCCGCGGGCGGGGCAGGGGCGGGCCTGCCGGCATCTTCGCAGAGAACGTGCCGGTCAACGTCCCCGCGCGCCTCCAAGACCCGGAGCTGAACGCGCTCACCGCGGCGTTCAAGCGCGTGCGCGTCGGCGGCCCCGAAATGCCCTTCCGCCCCGGCTGGGGCACGCTCGGCACCGCGGGCGTCGTGCGCGCCAACTTCTTCGCCGTCACCGCGCCGCCGAAGGCGACCTACCACGACTACAGCATCTCGTTCGACCCCGCCAAGGACGCGAAGGGCGACCGCCGCGCGCGCATCATCCAGCTCATCGAGCGGAGCCCCGAGTTCGCGCCGTACGTCGCCTCCATCGCGCACAACAACGCGGACCGGCTCATCTCGGCGCGCAAGCTGCCCCAGCCGCTCGAGCTCACCGTGCTCTACCACGAGGAAGATCAAGACGAAGACCCGAACGGGCTCAAGTTCAGGGTCGACATCCAGTTCACGAGGGAGCTCAAGACCTCCGATCTGCACGAGTGAGTGTCCACGCCGAACGTGTGCATCGCGCTCGCTGACGCTGCGGAAGGTACATGGAGGGGAAGCCCGAGCACCGCGACAAGGACGTCCTCCCGCTGATCTCCGCCCTCAACATCATCATGCAACAGGTTGCCGCGAAGCGCGGGGTGCGCGTGAGCCAGAACAAATACTTCTTCCCGAGCGCGGGCGACCGGGCGACCACGCTCTCGCTCGGGGTCGAGGCCCACCGCGGCTTCTTCATGTCCGTCCGGCCGATGTACAAGCAGCTCATGGTCAACGTCAACGTGTGCATGACCGCGTTCTACACCCCCGGGAAGCTCGCAGACGCGATGCTCGCGTTCCAGCGGCAATCGCGGGGCGGCATGCCCGAATCGTTCTCGAAGCGGCTCAGGGTGTCCACCAAGCATCTCGGCTACACGAAGAAACACACGATCTGGAAGGTCGAGCGGAGCAAGACGGCGCGGAAGGAGAAGTTCGATTGCCAGGAGTATGGGGGCCAGATCACGGTGGAGAACTTTTTCAAGCGCAGTAAGTGCACGCCCCTCGCCACGGAGCCAGCGCTCACTCGTCTCGGTAGAGTACAAAATCAACCTTCAGCACGCCGACGACCTGCCGCTGATCAACGTCAGCCCCAATAAGCAGCGCCCGATCTACCTCCCCGCCGAGCTCTGCGACATCATCCCCGGCCAGGCCTACCGCGGCAAGCTCGACGTCGGGCAGACGCAGGAGATGATCAAGGTCGCGTGTCGCCCGCCTGACGAGAACGGGAACACGATCGTCAACACCGGGTTCGACCGCCTCGGCCTCCGCCCCAACACGCCCGGGGCCGCGCTCTCGGCCTTCGGGCTCACCGTCAGCGATCGGATGGCGGACGTCCCCATGCGCAGGCTCCCGCCGCCCAAGGTCGCGTACCGGTCCGGCCCGGCGTCGTTCGGCGCGACGGACGCGGGCTGGAACATGCGCGAGGTGAAATTCCAGACGGGCGGGGACATGAAGGGGCGCTGGGGGGTGATGCTGGTGCAAGAGGGCCTCCGGGAGGAGTTCACGGGCCCGAGCGACCCGGAGCTGGTCGATTTCCTCAAGTCCTTCCTCAGCATGTGCAACAAGAGCGGGATCCTGAACGCGGGCACGCCGCCGCGCGTTTGCTCCGTCACCGCGCCGCGCGGGGACGACGAGATGCGCTCGCGCGCGATTGGGGAGATCCGGAACACGCTCCGCACGAACTTCAACCCGGCGATGAAGCCCACGTTCCTGCTCGTGCTGATCTCGTCCGGCGACAAGGGCCTCTACCACGGCATCAAGCGCCTCGCGGACATGGAGCTCGGCCTGCACACGGTGCACATGCTGCTGAAGAAGGCGAGGACCGCGCCACACAAGCAGGTGCAGTACTTCGCCAACGTCGCGCTCAAGGTGAACGCGAAGCTCGGCGGCGTCAACCACCTGCTCGACCCGGCATCGATGAAGTGGCTGACGGAGAAGAAGACGATGGTGATGGGCATCGACGTCACGAAGCCGGGTCCCGGGAGCATGTCTGGCACGCCGAGCATCGCGGCGGTCGTGGCGAGCATCGACGACACCTTCGCGCAGTTCCCCGCCAGTCTCTCTCTCCAGAAGCCAGACTGGAACAAGGAGAGCAAAGAGGTCTGTGTATCTGCGCATCGGCGTGTTGATCGACGCTGATATTCACCCGATTCAGATGGTGGAGAACCTCACTGCGATGACGATCGAGCGCCTTCAGTTGTACCAGAACAAGAACAAGGGACAGCTTCCACAGCGCATCATCATCTACCGCGACGGTGTCTCAGAGGTAAGAGTGAATTTGTATCCATTTCCGAGTGGCGAGACCGACGTTGCCTCAGGGAGAATACGCACTCGTGAACCGCATCGAGCTTCCGCGACTCCAAGCAGCCTTCAAGCAGATCTCGCCCCAGAAGCCGTACAAACCTCTTCTGACGATCGTCATCTGCGGGAAGCGCCACCACGCCAAGTTCTTCCCGCAGAACACCGCCAACGCCACCGACAACGGCAACACCCTCCCGGGCTCGGTGATGGACCGCGGGATCACCGACATCTACGACTTTGACTTTTATCTCCAGGTTCGTTTCATCTCCACCCATTCTGGCGTTCACTGACGCGCCGCGCCCCTCTTCTAGGCGCACAAGGGGCTGCAGGGCCACGTCAAGGCGACGCACTACACCGTGGTCTACGACGAGAACGCGTTCGACGCGAACACGATCCAGCAGGGCACCCACACCTCCTCGTACCACTACATGCGCGCCACGAAGGCCGTCAGCCTCGTCCCGGCCGCGTACTACGCCGACCTCGCGTGCGAGCGCGGACGATCGTACCTCGACGTCCTGCTCCGCGGGCTCTCCGACACGGGCTCCTCCGCCGGCCGGTCCTCCGGCGCGCGCACCCAGGCGGAGCGCGAGGCGGAGCGCGACCGGGTGTTCCAGGAGGCGACGCGCCTGTGGGCGGGGGGGCTGCACAAGGAGCTGAGGGACAGCATGTTCTACATCTGAGCTCGAGCGCCGCAAAGGATTCCGGATGGACTGGTGGGAATTGTATGGCTCGTAATGGGGGAATCCGTCCGTATTATTGTATACCACTGAATCATGTATTTACGCCGTCGGAAGGGGCGGCAGCAACCCCGTCGATGTATTAACGCGTTTCGCTTTGGTCTTGGCTGGTGTTCCAGATCAAACACATTACTTGTTCGTTTTATGTTACGGAGCACCCTCGGGCTCGTTTACTATTACATGAAGCGCATAGTAGGAGAGCGCGGAATTGATCGCAATGGCGTCGTTGAAGGCACGAAGCGGAGGAGGAAGCGCATCACTGGAGCCCGATGGGAACATGATGTGCCCGCGGAGCGAACGAGGACCGACAACGATGACAACGTACGAACCTCCTTACGCCCTTGAGAATCTTGCCACCACTGATGAGGAAGCGTCCTTCTCGTCGTGGTCGAGCGTCTTCCGCAGCTCCAAACAATCCTCGTATTTCATCTCCTTGATGACCTCACTCTCCCCCGTCGCGCCAGACTCGTCGCAGTGCACGTTGTGGCCCGAAGCATGATCTCGCCAGGCTCGATCAAGGCGACGTCATGCACGTCCATGAGGCGCTCCACGCCCCCACGGACGATCTTGACAGTGCGCTCGTTCTTCGCGTTGAGCACGCGGAACTGGCGCTCCGTCTGCCAGTCCGTGGACGAGCAGATCAGTACGACGTCGACGATCGCGACCATGATTGCGACGCCCTCGACCCACTCCAAGCGATGCACATTAGAACACCGATGTTGACACTGGCCGTATCGTACATCCAGCGACTGAAGACGCCCCTCATGGCGGCGCCTTATCCCCATAATGTATGAACTCCCAACACGCCTTCCCAGGCTCCACCCCCAGAATGTTCTGCACGTCCTTCATCGGCAACCCGCACAGCTCGCGCACGCTCCCGATGCGGCTCATGACGTGCTTCACGTTCTTCCCCGTGACGCCCGGCAGGCTCCGCAACAGCTCCTCCGCCGCTGCGTTCACCCCCGCGCCCGCGTCCGCGTCCTCCTCCGCGCCGACGAGCACCGCCCGCCCTGGGTCCGGCTGCGGCATGTGGCCTTTGAGGTCGTTGAAGACTTCGGCGGTCGCGTACGGCGACGACGACCACAGAACGCGCACGCGCGGGAAGGTGAGGGTGAGGAGGACGAGCTTCGCCTGGATCGACTGCGACGCCGAAGTGGCGTGTTCCCCGCGCGCGTCCGCCTTCTTCTTTGGGGGGTACTTTGCGGATTTGGCGAACGACTTGACGTCGGCGACCGCCTATTAGGTCGGTGAAAGTGAGCAGAGCATGGGTGGCGAGAAGGCGACATGGCGCACCTCGAGCGCGAAGGATTTGTGCTCTTCGAACTCGATAAGCAGGATCGGTTGCTTGTAGTGCGCCGACATCAACTCGCACTGGGTGTATCTGGGCCATTTGCGTTAGGCTGACGTCCACGACGGTGGGGTTCACGTTCCACTCACAGGCGGCCACTGTTCAGACTGGAGATGAGGTCAGGAATACTCTTGCGCTCGACACAAATGTCGGGCGTCAGGATGTAATCGCCGACGGTGAGTGTCACGGGCAGAACGAGAAGCCCGGACGCATGGAGCAGGGACGGCAAAGAGGACCGGAACTCGCGCATGTCCACAATGACCTGAGCGTGTGATCAACCGACCATCCTGACACGAGGCCGCGAAGAGAACTCACTCGGGCGGGTTCTGTGGACACCTCCTTCCTGCCTCCGGCCATGCGCGTGCTGATCGTCCGGATCAACGCATCGTTCGCGACCGACCCCCGCTCCTCGTGGATGGGCATGAGCATCGACTACGATCGAGCCGTCAGTAACAAGCGCGGTCTGGACATCGCGGGAGTACGTACCCCGCGCTCTCGGATGAGACGTTCGAACGAGTCCTTCTCCCGTCTGAGCCCTGTGAGGTACTTGCCCTCTTCGCAGCTGAGCTTGTACATCATGAAGTACACGCGTACGCCGAGGCCCGGGTTCGAGTTCCGATAGACCTCGATTCGCCGGATGAACTCGAGGTTGGGTTCGTACATGACGATGAACCGCGGCTTGATTTCCTGCAGTACTTGATCGTCGGAATCGTCGGAGTAGGGTCTGACGAGGACGATTTTCTCAGGTGCGAGGAGCCCATAGTGCGCGTCGAAATCGTCGTCCATGGTGAACAGCTCGAATTCTTGCTCGAGAGGGATGTCCGCATGTTCGACCCCTTGAGTGGACAAGCTATATGCGCGTAATTCCGGCTCAACGAAGTCCGCGCGCGGAAGGACAACGAAGCACTCACAAGCCTGCGATGTCCTCCGCCTCCTGCTTGATGCCGATGTCATCCAGCTTCCCGGCGTTGACGATGGGAGGCGCAACGACCTCCCGGGTGTTCCCCGCACCGGCTGGAGCACCCCCTCTCACTCTCCTCCGGCTCGCCGTCCTTTCTGCCTTCTCCCGGTCCTTCTTCTTCAGTGCCTCACTAATCGGAGTGTCGTCGTTTCTGCCCTTTGGGAGGGCGATGGGAGTCTTCCCGTCAGTCTTGCGCTCCGAGAGCTTTCCCTTCCACCACAGGTAGAGCCGCAGTTTGCTCTCCATCATCTGGCGCCCCTGCTCCCCCCGTGGCGCAGTCGAATCGAGGTCGCGAAGGAAGTCCTTGATGAGGGTGCACGTGTGGAGGGAAGACGCCATGATGAGGACGGTGTTCGTACCGGGTGCACCTGGATCCCGCCAGTGAGTCCACGGGGCCTGCTCGCAGGAGGACAGGAGGAACCGGAAGACTTACGAGATCCAAGCAAAGGTTCCCTCCGCATCATCTCCTCCTCGACCTCGTGCAACACATCCGCCAGCAGGAACCACTTGGGCAGTTCCTCCAGCACCGGCTCCATCCCATCCGGTAACCACTTCTTCTTCTTCGCCCGCCCGCCCGCCACACCTGCGCCTGACCTCCCTGCCGCCTCCGCCTCCATCTGGTCCAAAATCGCCCACTCGTCTTCAAGGTCGATGACGGGCGCCGCTGCTGCAGGTTTCGCGGCGGTCATGACGTAGCACCGCCGCTTCGCGTACTGGAAGATGACGTTCGCCGCGTCCGTGAGCATCCACGGGCTCTGGTTCTGGCGCGCGTTGCCCGCGTCGTTCGTCGTGTTCGACGCGATCAGCGTCTCGAGGTACGCGTGGAACGCGAGCGCGTCGTACGTGAGCAGGTACGCCAGCAGCCGGCGGAGCGTCGCGAGGTCGTTCACCAGCTGCTTCGTCCGCGGGCCGACCTTGTGCCACACGGGGTCGAGAATCCGGCGGACGACCATGTCGAACGAGCGGAAGTACGCGTTGTCGATCGAGAGGTCGTCCAGGTCGAGCTGTGGAGCTCGTTGAGCCTGGCTGGCCGCGGCATGCAAGAGTCAGAGGTTCACGCACCATGGTGTTCGCCCGCTTCAGCTCCTGCAGCGTCGTGGTCATGCATTGCACGATGCCCTGGTGGATCTCCGACATCGATTCCGTCATCTCCTGGTGCAATTCGACGATGTCTGGGACCTTGTGGTCGAGCGACTCCTTGATGTCGGCGTGGAAGCGGGGATAGATGTGGACCGTCCGGAGCTGCATCTCCTTCAGCACCGTCCGCAAGGGAGACATCCCGCTCGTGATGTGCTCGGGCTGGTCTGAGAACGCTTTCAGGAAGCCCGTCTTGTTCTTCTCCCGGTACAGCCGCACGATGAAGGCTTCAGCAGACGTCGGCGTGACTCTGGACGTGCCATGAGCGAAGGGAGGACGAGCAGACGCTTCAAACCCACCGTTCAGCGTGCAGAACGAGCAGTCCGGTGATCATATGCGTCGGAATGTCTTCAGTGAGCATGTCGACCGTCAGGATTTGCGACGTGATGGATATCAGCCCTCCTTTCTTGTAGAGGTCCTGCCTGCATCCCTACAATGAGAACGGTCGGTCCATATGCCATGTCAGAGCAAGCAAAGACGCACCTGTCCTTCTTCACCGTCTCGAAACCCACGATCCTCAGCCCAGGATTCCTGCAACCCATCACGCCCAGCTCTTCGCCGACGGCCGACTCCTCCTCCGGCGTAGCATTGACAAGCAGCACGAGGTTGTGAGGACCGTCGTATATCTGCATGAGCTTGCAAATTATGCGGCGCAAACCAAGGCCGCGAGCGAGCAGAACGAGCTCTGAGGTTGCCGGGTCATGTATCTTCTCAAGAATCGACTTGTGGAAGGGAAGAAGGACAGACATCTCGGACAGACGGGTGAGAAGAGAAACTACTTCATGTATTTCTCTTCGTAGAGACCGAGACAGGATGTTCAAGATCTAGGAAGCGTTGAGGGAAAGTGAGACAGATGAAGATGACCGCGGAGAACAAGCTGCAAACGCCTGAGGGCGATAAGCGCCTCATTCTCCGCGCGCAAGCAACGCGCATGACTGATGCGTCTCGCCGGCAGTGGCAGCCGAACCTTTCGTGGGCTCGTTTGAGCATCGTACTTAACGCATAACGACATGGAAATAAATAAATAAGATTCTGTACACGATTGCTATAACTTCAGCCGCGGGCCCGATTCCACCAGATTCCACCCGGCAATGCCTACTTACGCCTTCGGAGGCGCACCGGGGACAACTTGTTGCGCGAGCATCTTCTTCACCGCCTCGCGCGCAATAAGCTTCTGGTGCCATCTGCGGCCAATGCGTCAGCTTCGACGCGTCCAACCCAGCTCGAGAGCGGAGAACACTTACGCGTAGAAAGCCGGGAACTTCGTCGGCACGTCCAGCCCCTCGACGTTCGAGAGCATCCCGCGCGAAACGGGGCCCATGTTCCAGATCACGAACGAGATGTCCGCGACCGTGCACTTGTCGCCGAGCAGCCACGCCCGCTTCGACAGCACGCTCTCGAGCACGCCGAACACCCGGACGACCTCGTTCTCGTACCGCTTGATCGCGGAGGGGAGCTTCTCCGGGTGCAGGCGCTGGAACCAGCCCAGCTGCCCGAAGTAGGGGCTGCGCGCGCAACATAGTCAGACAAACGAGGCGCCCCGCACGTACAAGCCGATCGAGTCTCGACGCACCCTTGGCCGGACGCCTGGAAGAAGAGCCACTGGACGAGTGCGTAGCGGCCGCGCTCGTCGTCCTGCGCGGGCGACAGCCTGCCCTCTTTGTCGTACTTGTCCGCGAGGTAGAGGATGATCGCCCCCGACTCCCAGATCGTGAAGTCGCCGTTGTGGTGGTCGATGAGCGTTGGAGTGCGGCCGTTGGGGTTGTGCTGGGTGTATGCGGGCGCCTTGTGCTCGCCCTTGTCGAAAGCGAGGAAGATGGTGTGGAAGGAGAGGCCGAGTTCCTCGAGAACCATGGCGACCTTCCTAGGAAGAGAAACGGGGTCAGTGGGCGGCGAAGGAACTAGAAGAATGAGCGCAAACCATCCGTTGGGGCCCATGGTGTGGCTGTAGAGCGTGAACTGCTTGCCGTGAGACATGGCGAAGTGCTGAAGAGAGGGAGGCGAGTGAGGTGAGAGATGTGGTGCTGTTGCTGAGGACACCCAGGAGGACGAGAGTTGCTTATATGTGTATTGCCGACATCTGCGAGGACTGTGCGCACATCCTCAAGCCTTCACCAGCTGCGGGACGAGCTGGATTCGGCCCGCGAGCTCTGACACCTTGCGTGATGCCTTGAGTCATTGCGAAGATCGATGTAGACCTGCAAGCGCGGTCGACTTGCTGTGGATTGCAACGACCGTCAAAAGTCGTCCAGGAAAGGAGAAATGTGGATTGGCTTACGAGCGTCACCATCTATTCCTGACGTTGTGGCGGGGCAGTGTCGATGGGGCGCAGCGTTGCTTATGAAGTGAAGGTCACGCTTTCAGAGATGATGACCAAGCGCTTCGCAACAGCGAGTGGGTCCGCTTGCCCATCAGCGCTCGATGCTCAACAGTAGGGGGAAAGGATGAGCAGGGTAATCAAAGTACACCACGACTAACAGATGGCTCGCTGTGGGAATGCGATCTGGTGCTGTCTGAGAAAAGCGCAAGAAGGCGCTTGGGCCCATTTTCAGAGATGGTGGTCGAGGATCAAGCAAGACGCGATCCACGTGCACCGGTGTCGTTACGAGTGACTGTACGCGTTGTGTCACATTTACGCGAATGTGACACGACACTCACACCTCGATAACTAGAACTCGACTGGCCAGGTAGAGATAATGTTATAATGTGATTTCCCGTTGAACTAACGATACAAGAAAGAAATACAATGAGGGCATTGTGACGCCAGCAAAACAGACCCATCGCAGCGTGGCTCCCGGAGCTCACGTCCAGAACACTCGTTCCATCTCTCACGGATCACAAGGCTTGCGAGAGCGCACAAAAGTGCGCTCAATCGCTGCCTGTGATGCCACCCGTCGCGCCGGGCGCGGCAATCCGCGCCTCGGCGTCCGCCTTCGTCGTGCACGCGATCGACGTCCCCGCGGAGTTGACGAGCGGGAGCGCGAAGCACTGTAGCGACGCCGCACAGCCCTCCTGGACGAACTTGCCGCCGACGCACTGCGCGAACCCGCCGCCGACGCATGCGTTCTGGCCCTCTGCGTGCGTAGTGAGCACTTGGGGGATGCGGATCGCAGCTCAAGGGAGAGGGAGACGTACCGGTGCAGGAGGAGGAAGCGGTGAGGGTCGCGAACTGCGCGTTCAGCTTCTGCGCGTCGAGCGCGTTTTGGAGCTTGAAGTCCGACGAGGAGGTGGAAGACGCGGTCGACGTCGCGGCGGATGAGGTCGTGGCAACGGAGGTCGCGCCCGCGGTCGAGGACGCCGCATATGAGGTTGCAGCAGTAGTAGCGGTAGCAGCCGCCGTCACAGTGGTAGTGGTGTCCTCATCATCGCAGTCACCGTCGTCCTCATCGTCGTTACTAGACGTCGAGGTCGAGTCGTCCGCCGTGGCAGTGGAGCTGGCACTAGTCATCGAGGCCGAGGAGGAAGAAGAGGAGCCGGTGGAGACAATGTTCTGCAGACCCGGATCCTGCGTGATGTCCGTGAGCTGCGTACCATCCGCGATCGGTCCGCTGGGGTTGGCGGCGCACGAGCCAAGCGTCGCGAGCGCCTCCGCGTGACCGAACGGGATGGTGCCATTAGCGCCTAGCGCCAGGCCGCCGACGAAGCTCTTCTGGTTCGCACCCTGGAACTGGCACTGGAAAAGCCCGTTGAGCTCCGGGTTCTTTGGTGCGGTTTGGCAGTAAGGCACGGCGAGAGCGTTCGGCTGCGCGCGGGTTAGCAAAGGGCATGCTCGCCAGGTGCGGGGGACGGCGTACAGTGTTGCGCGGCTGCTGGACGAAGATCTGCGCGAACTTGATCATGTCCGCGTCGTTGTTAAGGGTCTTTGCGAGGTCGATCATCGCGTCTCCAGAGTCCTGCTGGTCGCAGTTCCCGGCGGCGGCGAGGAGCGTCGAGAACGCGGTCACCGAGACGGGGTTGCACTTGTCCGCGCCACCGGCGGCAAGCTGTGGAAGCGCGCGGCGACAATAAGCTTTTGACGCACACGGTGAACAAGAAACGAGGACAATAGACTCACACAGGCTTTCTCCCAGAAGGTGGTCGAATCGGCGGTCGTCTGCGCGATGCGCTTGTGGAAGACGGGTATGGCGCACGCCTGCATGGCGAGGGCTGCGAGGGAAAGGGAAAGTGCGGCGGTGAACTGAACCATCTTGGAGCTGAAGAGCTGTCGAGTATTGGCAGGCTGTGGGGAGAAGCGTCGAGCGTCGTGGAAGAAAAAAAGCAATCAAGCTAATGAGAGAAAGACGGGGTCGGAGCGCTGCCCAAACCGGGAATGAGAATAGGAGCGGAATGAGGGACGAGAGTGGGGAGTCTGGGTTGTGGAGGGAGTCTTTTATATGTCCAGCCGTTGTGAGACCACTGCGTCCGTATGGTCCCCTTTGCGCAGCGAGCATGAAACGAAGCCTATTGTGCGGACATAGGCGGCGGCAAGTACCCAACGCCCACAAGGTGCACCGATGGGCGAGGGGCATTATCCTGCCTGCTGGTCGGGGCGCAAGCGCATATGGCCCGTTTCCATGGGAACATGCGCAAGGACGGGTATTTTTGGGCTCATACAAACCGTGGTACTGCTTCGTGCAGATTTCAGTGAGACGACAATGCACACTGGAAACGTACAGGTCCCTATACATAGACACATCCGTCCTTTGTTCTTTAAGCGTGGGCGCTTGCTTTTGTTTGGCTGCTCACTTTGTTTATGTAGCCTTTGTGGTGAAGGTGTTTGTGGCCACAGCTCCATCTTCACGCAAGCACTGGAGTTAATACTTTGAAGCAACCTCTATGCATGCATACAAGCCGCATGGATTCACTTGGCAACCGTCATCGTTATTTAAACACTAGCTTGGCCCACATCACTCACATGACTGTGCGCAGCCATGCACGCTTCGTTCCTCGAGACAGTGGTATGTACCGTGTAGATATGTGGGGACAGAGTGGACGATCGTTTTGGTGGCACTTTGAGCCGAGATTATAAGAGTTATCGGATGTTTTCGGCCGGGTCTCGTTTTGGCTATGGCCAGCGTCTGCGGGAGCTCTCACGCCTCACGTGTTTTCAAGCGCCGATATAGCAAAAGTCTCAGTTTGATTCAGGCGTTGGAAACTTGGAGCTCTTTCTTCCCTCAATCCCTCGGCAACTCGAATTCCACCTTCGTCATCCTGCAGCTATATGCGCTTCAATGACATGCACAACGTCTGCTGAAACCGCCGAGCGCAGCTGGAGATGTGCTTTACTCTCCCCAGTAGTCAGCATGGTCAGAAACGACGTCCGTCCCTACCGTAACTTACCTTCATCGACAGACTTGGCGACCTCATCTCTCTCGCCCTCTGGTTCCCGCCAGACCACCATCACGTCTCCTGTGCAACCACGTGTAAATGACGTCTTCGAAGACCCTCTTTCCGCAAACTGGCGACGTCGTGGGGGACTGCCCTCCCGCTTCGGCCTTCGCTCCGCTCCCGACTTCCAGAGCGCTAGCCATGCCTCCGGGGTCACTGCCGACGTTGATGTCGACCCAGGGCCGTTCTCCTTTCGGCCCTCTCAACTCTCTCAGCTGATCGACGCCAAGGACATCGACGGTCTCTGCGGCGTCGAAGCCCTCCTTCTCGGACTCGGCACCAATAGCGTGCGCGGACTCATCGAAAGCCCTGATAACCCGCTAGCAGTCCCAGTCCAACCGGGACCTCATCCACTCCCTAAATTCAACAACGGTGCTCCCATCCCGCCACCGGAGGCGCCACGGCGGCGTCTCTCGCGGAACGAGCCAGGGTCTACGGCGTAAACGCGCTTCCTCCCCGCCCGGCCAAGAGCATCTGGAAACTGACGTGGGACGCGTACAACGAGAAAGTCCTCGTGAGTACCTCATAGCCCCCGCCATGCGTCACATCCAACCCGCGCCCCACCGCCCAGATCCTGCTCTCCGTCGCCGCCGTCATCTCTCTCGCGCTCGGCTTCTTGGGCCTGGGCGCGACCCGGGCGAGCCCGCAGTGGAGTTGGTCGAGGGCGTCGCGATCATGGTCGCGATCGTAGTCGTCGTACTGGTCGGCTCGCTCACGTGCCGATGAACTGCAGTGATCGTCTTTTGCTATCGGATCTCTTATTGTCAAATCCCATTACTATGTCTTCAATCGTTGACATGCGAGACTGCAGGAGCCCACCCCGAGATCTCAGAGCTTGGACTCAGGCTTCCCCACGGCCGGCAATAATCCGCTCGGCGCTACTCAACGCCGGATTCGATGACGTCATAGCATAAGATGACAGGTCCCAAAACGTCTGCCTCACCCGGGATGTACATGTAACATACACGCACCCAGCCTCCCATTAGGCTTTTAGTGCATTGCTGTGTTTTCGTAGCCGCCCTCTACGCTGTCTGTTATGATTGAGACATTACTTGCCATGCGAGGGGCTGGAGGATGTTTGCATCAGAATTATGAAAACATGGTTGCAAACGTCCTCACGCCGACCGTTGGCGAAGACATAAACAGTTACTTTAGTTACACGGCACTTCCAGAGATGATCGATGTTCCCTAGAAGCAGCTTGCCCGAATGACCGAGTCTGGCGACTGCCGGCGCCTCACCGGAGCTCGGATCCATCCGGCCCGCCTTGGGCCCGCCAGGTCACTAGGCCGGTGTGCACGACAAAACTGCGACCACCATCGGCCTGTCCGACCTCAACACGCAAGTCGGCAGGATTGCATCGCGCCGCTGACGCCAATCTTCCTTCTTCTAGTCAAAGACACCGCTGGAATCTGGAGCTCGCCATCCACGCATCGGCAGCGCGCATGACAAGTGGGCACGTTCAAGTGGGGCCGGCGGCCGCGTCCCTACGTCCCTTCGCCTTGGGTCGCACCGCGAGCTTCTTCGATTTGCGCCCAATGCGGTTGCCACCCCGGATTGAAGGCGCATGTGTCAAGGGTTGATGGAACCGTGGATTGTCGGCTGATTGGCTGACTGGCCTGGTCTTTTGGTACGCCTTCCGATTTGTCTTCAAAGCTCAGGCCTGCTTTGAGCAGTACTCGTGCTGCCAGAGCGCGCTCGTGCCCGACCGACTCTCTCTGCAGAATCTTGAGGGACGGCGCGACATTACCGGAGGCCACAACCAGCGAGCAGCCTTCTGGAAGTCGTCTTCGCGAGCGATACGCGGGTCCCGTGGTCCCCCAAAGGACCCAACATGGCTAGATCTCGCCTGCGATGTCTGCCGGAGTAGTCCTCGCTTATACCCCAAAGGCTGCCGACGTAAGTACTCCCACCACCCCTTGCTCTCGATCCTCAGCAAGTGAACAAGAGCGGCATGCCAAGCCACAATACAGTCTTCCAGGATAATCATGTACTGCACCACGCTCGTATGCGCCCGCATCTGGTGGGTCTCGCGCGCGGTCCAGCCCACGCTCGGAAACACCGTCTCGCGGACGTACACTGTCGCGGCGTCGATCGTCGTCGAGAGCATGCTGTCCTACGCGGGGCCGTGTTCACGGTCGCGTACCTCGTCACCCTCGGTCTGGGAAGCCACCTCGCGGTGTTCTTCTTGGTGCCTTACGTGCTATTGTCGGTGAGCACGCCTGTACATAACTATGTGCGATAACTGGACGCTGCGGATCGCCTCGTATGACATGGAAGCTGACGTGCGTATACAGGACGTGTACCTATGGGACGTGGGTTGTCCAGTGACCAGACTGCGGTCATGCTCGAGTCCAGTGGCACTATGGACTCTGCAAGGTGGACTCAAGCACGGTCAGGGATATCGGATCCGACGGCTCTCCGTTTGTCGTACGTCTCGGCCGGGAGTTCTCGCGGTCTAACAGGTAACGACACACAGTGAGTGCGAGCTCAGTCGGGGACAGTAACGACTAGATTGCTGTACCTAACGACACACAGTGAGTGCGAGCTAGGTACAAGATATGTAAGTATAGGAATAGAGTAATGATACATAGAACGGAAACACATACCTCAGTCGGGGACAGTAACGACTGAGGTATGAGCGAGCGGCCGAGCGAGCGCTATGCCGGGGCTCCTCGGAGAGCGCCGAAGAACTGTACAGTACCAACTAAACTAAAATAGGTAAGACAGTATCGGACGTCCGTCCTCGAGCTGTATCGTAGGAGATAAGATAATCAACAACAGGGAGCCAGATACAGTAGCCTACTAGATGCAGTGCTACTGTACGCGAAGGTGTGTTGCATCCAACGTGAGTATTTCCGCTTCTTCGCACCTTGGTGATATTAGCACCGTGCCTTCAAGTCTGTCCACAGGTGTGTACCGTGGGAGACGACGTCGACGTCGGACTGCGGCTGACTGCGGGCTCGTGAAGTCGCTTGGTCATCCCGAGCATCTACGATCACCCGCCGCGTCAGCTCGATCTTGACAGTCCTGTATATCCCACTCCAAACGAGTCCGTCAGCATTCTCGCGGACGATCGGACGAACCTTGCTCAGCACGTATCCGCGACAGTTTCCTAGAAACAATGGACACCTACGTTGAGTCCCCTTCTTTTAGACCGTCCCCAGTTTGGATTCAATGGACCTTTCCACGTCGAAACTCGGCGTCTCTCACAACCGCGTTCTAGTGCAGATCTCGGTCTACATGACGCTCGGACACGACTTGTACTCTGATGGCCGATCATGCGCCTGCGGTGGTACGTTTTTCTCTCTTCTCCGCAACGCCATTGGCTCACGCTGCAGCTGGGTGTAGCAAACCGAGCGATACCGTCAGTCTGTATCCTAGAACAATTCGGCTCCATTTTTGTAAGCACGCCCCTGTCGTTGTTCGGCAAAAGCGCAGGATGGAGATGGCAAAGACCATCTTTCGTGTCGTGCATCAGAGTGTCCGTCAAACCAAGGTTGATTTGCAGACATCTGGATAAACACATACGCGCCGACGTCGATCACAAGACGATCAGCCCCTGCGCTACGCGACCGGCAAGACGAGTTCGTGTGACCGCAGTTCGAGGCGATCCGGTGAGCCAGCAGGTACTTGCCACTTCCGCCGGGTGCGCGTCAACGAATGCCCCGTAGATGACGGATGGCGCCAGGCGGTGGTGCTTCTAGCGTGGCCAGCTGCTCGGCTCCGCGACGCGTCCGGGGACGACAAAGGCTTCGACCGCTGTGGTGCCCGTCGGAGGCGAACGTCGCAGAACAGTCCATCCACGCTCGCTCATATAATCCGGTGTCTTCCTGGGCCCCCACCGCGACGCTTCTCACGAATACCGTGCTCGTGAGTCCTGATCACCGCCTACCCAACCGCGGGAGCGCCCGGCTAGCGTCCCGCCAACAGTCTCGGGTGCTCAAAGCGCTTAAAGGTGACACTAACTACCCTCATTGCCATCCATCCCGGCCACCGTCTTCAGATCTCATTCTCATCCCCCACCCCACGCCGCTCGGCGAATGTCCAGCTGGAATTTTGTCTTCCAAAATGGGTGGTACATCGGGAACAACTTCAACGCCCTCCTTTATGGTGAGTCTAGAGCCTACTTCTACCACATTGCCCCCTCAAACGGTGTCGGCGAGCAGGAGTCGAGTTGGTGCTCTACTTCCAGACTGTCCAGACCATCATGGACGGGCGGCGGCGGCGCGAGGGACACAAGTTCACGCACAGCGACAAGACATTCTTGTGCCTTTGCACCTTCTTCCTCTGCATGATCACCATCTATGTCGTCACCCAGAACTTCTTCGGCGAGGAGATGTGGATCATCAACGAAGGCTACCCGGGCGGGAGCGGACAGTACTTCGACGATCACGCGACCGTGTGGTACCAAGTCTTCGGAAGCACCAGCTGGATCTCTCTCAGCCTCGCGAGCGACGCTTTTCTGGTACGTCGGCCGGGGTTCGGTTCCGTCCACTTTGCCCTATTATTGATGTTGTATCCAGATATACCGTACCTTCATCGTCTGGTCCGGACTGCGTCACGTCATCATCGTGCCTTGCATCCTCTATGTCGGGAGCCTAGGTACGCCTCCCCTCCTTTCGCGCGTCACACCGTCCCCACGCCCCGCTTGACCCACCCCGTCGACAAGTCATGGGCATCTTCACCCTCATCTACTCGTCCAAACCCGGCCTCCAAATCATCTTCTCCGAGGCGTCCTCGCACATTGCGCTCGCCTATTCCTCCATCGGCCTCGCGCTCAACATCACCTGCACCGCCCTCATCTGCGCGCGCATCCTCTGCGTCTCCCACAAGCTCCGCCGCGCGCTGGGCCCCTCCCGCCTGCTTTCGCGCGCGCTCGGCGCGGACGACGCCGCCGCCGCGGGCATCGGCGCCACGGCGGTCATCGTCGAGTCGATGCTTCCCTACACGTGCTTCGGCGTCGCGTACGTCGTCACGCTCGGCGCGGGCAGCCCGCTCAGCATCCTCTTCCTCAGCCTGTACGCGATGTTCAACGTGCGTCCCCTCCCCCTCCGCCCTCCCTCGCCCGTCCGCGTTCTGACACGCGCGCGCGCGCGCGCTGCAGTGCCTCTCACCGCAGATGATCATCCTGCGCGTCATCGCCGAGCGCGGCTGGCGGCCCGAGCGCGCCTCGGACATCACCGTCATCCAGTTCCGGCGCTCCAGCTACTACGGCGCGCGCACCGCGCCCACCCGCACGCGCTTTTCCGCGGCGGACATCGAGCTCGGGGAGCCCGCGGCGGCGGCGGCGGCGGCGGCGGTCGACCTGCGGCGGCTCTCGCACCGCTTCTGCGAGCCGGACGCGGGGCAGCTCGAGAGCGGAGTGCGGATATACGACGTGTCGGTCTCCTCGGCGAAGCTCGATGGTGACGGACCTGAGCGCGACCCGCCGAAGCCGCGTTCGTTTGAGGAGGTGTGAGGGGTTGATCGCGCTTTGTTTTTTTTGCTGTGGACATGCTTTCTGGACTACCTGTTCGTGTAATAACGTCATAGAGCTACTAGTAACCAATTGCACGCACTTTGCGGAGCCACGCTGTTATGCAGATTCGATCGAAATAATCATTGTCCGCGTAGCCTTTTTGTCTGTGACTGTTACATGTCCTACACATCGGTTCGCCAATTGTGTTCAGTCGGGCCTTGCAGCAGGACAAGTCATGAATGACGCTAACGGCTGCTGGCGGACAAATCTACAGGGATCGCGACTTATCTAGACGCTTGATCGTGTGTGGGATGGGCGTCCGAGCGTCGGAGATCTTTGGGCGGCACAAGTGTGAGATGAACGTGCGTGCAGCCTTGTATCTCAAATCCGGCCTGCACCCATCTCTCCAGCAACGGCCTCGCCACTCACGGATGCCTTCGTCGCTGAACGTCACCTGCGAGAAGCTGAGGTACCCAGACGGTCAGACAGCCTTTCCTCGGGGGTGCTTGTCCTGACCTCCACACTTTCAGATACGTTCGTCGAGGAGGCCATCGATGTCTTCGCGAACGCCATGCACGCCGGTGCGTCCCTGTCTCCGTCGACTCCACAGAATACCAGAGATCGAGGCTCACAACCTTCGGCCAGACCCTTCATGCCCGGCCCTCACTGGCGGAAACATGAGCATCCTCCCTCAGCTCGGGGGCGTCATGATCCGCCCGGTATCCCTGTGCGAGGGCGTCGGCCACACCTTCTCCGCCCGCGACGAGACAGGCCGCCTCGTCGGCTTCCTGTGCTTGACGCTCCCCGGGCAGCTCATCCTCTCCACGTGAGTGGAACGACCCTTAGACGTACATACCGTGGTGCTGACCGCCGGTGGGGCGTTGGATCGCGAACGCGCGCGTGGAAAGGGAGGAGATGCGCCAGTGCGGCATGTACGAATACCTCGCGACGCTCTCTCCGGAGGGGCGACGGTACTTCACCGAGACCGTGAGACGCCACGGCCTGCCTCGGAGCCGGCTCGATGTGTTGATTTCGAATTCGTGGGCTGACACGCGCGCTCACTGCACAGGTCGCGGTGCGGTTCTCCGAGCTGACCGACGAGGTGCTCGGGATCCCCGAGGTGCAGCGGAAGGCGTACTGGTGCAACGCCGCCATGGTGCGCGAGGACTGGCAGGGCAAGGGGCTTGGCAAGGCCATGTTCCAGCTGGCGTTCCGGGAGGTCAGACTCTGCCACTGAGAAATGGTCGGAACGTGCTCACCTTGCTTTTTTCCAGGCCGCGAAGCTGGGCGCCGCCGTGGCGCTGTCCACGACGAACGCGCGGAACGTGAGCGCTCGCTAATTCATGCAGCTTGGATGTGCATCTTACACCGGCGCCCTGCAGGTCGCCATCTACGAGAAGATCGGCTTCGAGTGCAAGGGGACGAGACCTATGCCATCCCCGTGGGGCGACTGGAACATTTGGTACTTTTATCGAGACTCCGTGTCAGCAGAAGCGACTCCCGCATGAGACTTGGAGTGCGCGTAACAATCTGTTTACTAGAGAAGTTTCTTCATGGCAGATTCCGTGGCGTACTACTATGTACACCCGTGATTATGGCGGTTTCAGGGACCTTTATCTTCTCCTGTGTGTACACCAGACGGATTTGCTTCATGGTGCGTGGGCCGCTGAACCAGTCAGACATCTTATGAATGACGAGAGAAAGAAAGAGAAAGAGCGGGAGACACGTGGGTCCTGCGCCTAATTTTGGCCAGCAGCTGACGGATCTCGGGAAGACCCGGATTTGTCATCGCCGAGCAGACCGGGGGGCCCAGCCTGGCGTTGAGCAATGCTTGGTTTCTGCGACACATGCAATATGGCCTGTCGATACGTCTTCACTTCGGAGTATCCAGTCTCTCGCAGATGCTCACGTCGACCGTACTGGCGCCGAACGAAGAAGCGATCTCAAACCACGAGACCAAGCACAATTGTAGATGGAGATACGGAATATCATTGTACATGAGAGAATTAGACTGCATCATGCACTTGGTTGAACGACGACTTGGACGGGTTGGATAGGCTAATGGCAGTGTTGCCGGTGGTGTTCGTATGCTCTGGGTCGGTAGACGCGGCTGTGTGAACAGCGAAGCGCACTGTGCTTCGACCCGTGTCGCCGGATGTTTCGGCCGAGAGTCCACGGCCCATAAGGACGCGGAGCATGATCATCTGGGGCGAAAGAACCTGAAACCACACCTCACATCAGCAAAAATCCAGTGCTGGAGCGAAACGAGATCGTCCGTCCACGCCGAGCTTGAACCATCAGGACTTACCGAGAACATCTCGCATGGCGTTATGAAAAAACCCACGAGCGGGCTGCCCAATCCGAGCGTGATCAAATACGCCGTCGTGAAGACCGTGTAGGGGAGCATGCTCTCGATGATAATCGTGGCGGCACTGGTGTAGGGGCGCGAGGTCGTAGCCCCGAGGGTCGCGCGGATGGTGCGTGCTAGCCAGAGAATGCGCGCGCAGATGAGCGAGCTGCAGAGCACGTTGAGGCCCATGCTGACACCGGAATACGCGAGGGCGATCTCCGATGCGAACCCGGAAAAGAAGTCGGAGTTTGGGAGCCCGGAGAAGACGCAGGTAAGGATACCGAGCACTGTGCTCCCGTATGAAATGAGCAAAATTAACGCAGGACACAATGCACGAGATGAAACACACCGATGCTGGCAACGAAAAGGAAGGCCGGAATGACAACGATGTTTTTGTCGAGCCCCCATACTATATATAGGCGGTAAACCTGCGGACGTGCGGGTAAGAAAAGCATCCAAAACGAAGATCGGCGTGCTCACCAAAAACCCATCCGTGATGGCGCTGCTGAGGACAGATATAACGGAGCCCATGGTCTCGTACCACACGGAGACGTGGTTGTTGAAGTACTGAGCTGTTCCTCCCGGGTAGTTCTCGTTGATTACCCACATTTCCTGGCCAAAGATCGCCTGGATGCTGACCCAGGCGGTTATCATGACGAGGAGGAATGTGCTGAGTAAAACGAAGAGGCGATGAGAGCTTCCATATCTCCGGTCTGTATGGCGAACACCACGGAGCGCAAAGCGGATGGTGAGATAGTATAGGCAGAGATATATGCCTTTATGTGAGTTTGGTCGCGCATTAGTACAACTTGAAAGGCGAATCTGTGAAGCGCGAGTAGTCACCGTAGAGGATGGCGTTGAGATTGTTACCGATGTAAAAGCTGTTCTGGAAAACGGTGTTATAGTCGGCCATAGCGGATGCTGGGTGAGAGGAAAGAGCGAGGGCTTGCGACTCAGCGATTGTGCGAGCTGTGGATAAAAGCAAGGATCTATCGGAGGGGCGAATGATAGAAGTTCGGCATGGCACTTGCGTTCACAAGGACAGCATGTATGGAAGCGAATGCGGCGTGCAATATGGGAAGAGGCCTGAGGGCCCACCCACGGCCGTCACTTGCCGCACCGCACTCGCGCACCGCGTTCCGGGGAGCCATCGGAAGTTCGGAGAATGGTGTCTCCAGAAGGCGCTTCAGTATACACAACCGCGACAGAAGCTGATAAGCTCATGCCGCAGTAAGAGATGAAGCCATGCCTCGTGCAGATTCCTACAACCAATGAAGCTTGGTGTGATTTGTGTTTCTCTAGGAGGCCTACCGGCTTCTGTACTAATAGCGCAACTTTCTCAAATTGGAAGGGACTTGGAATCACGCGGCTACAGCGTTCATCACCTCCCGAAATGCCTCTATGTAACCTTGTCTCTTCGTCTGATGCTCGTTTCTGATTCTTCACACTGCAATGAGGCCACGCTCAAAAATTCGGTGTTTTATGATCTGCACTACGGAGTATCAGTGACTCTGTTGTTTGGTAATACACTCCCATACTGGAGGGTATCTCAGAGGTTTTCATAGAATATGGCAATCACAATCCCCACTTCCCGGTGGCGTCCCAAACGACGTGACTTCGGCATCTGTGTGACGTTGTCGCCAAACATAGCACACTTATTCAATAACAGGAGATCATTCGGGACGCGTAAAAGACCGATCCGAGTACTTTTTCTGTCCGCAACTCATCGGTTATCTAACAGTTGGATAAACGCAACCTCAACGCCGTTCGACAGCACCATCTAAAATTGCAGGTGCTAGTCAGATCGTTACTTTTGGAAGGGTATTGTATCCGCTGACCTTCACACCCCCGAATCCAGCAGTTCTCCGGCACTGGAAGCTCTGCCATATCTTCCTCAGTGAGGTTGCTCTCTGAAAGAAGCCGGCATGAGTAAACGCACAACATGGAACCCATAAGCATACTCCTACCCTGAGGAGCCGCTACAACACCAGGGCTGATAACTGCAAGAATAATAGCGGCCGCGAATAGAAGACCGACGGGCTTGAGAGCGAAAAACTGCATCCTGGGCTGGGTGGGGTGGGTGGTGACTGGAACATCGGGTGAAAGTGGACGTTTATATCCCGCTGCCTCTACCCATTGACACTTTCATAGCCAGTGCGTCTGACCGTTGCTGTCATAGAATATGATAGTACCACTGCAGTATATGGACACGCGGAACTTGATACCACGCGCTCAGACTCATGGTGTGGAGACAGACGAGAATAGCCTCAGCCTTTGCCACAAGAAGCAAAAAAAGCAAACAAGAGGCCCCAAAAAGTCATGTACATTCTTCACGCACCGGGGCTAATGCCTCCGGATAGAACACCTTATTCGCCTCCTTCTAGGAATAGCCCCCTTTGTGTAAGGCGGCTCGGCCAGTTACGCCCCGACTGTGAATGCCATCAACAAAGCCGTGTGCTGCACGCGAGATGGCGATGTCAAGAACACTCCGAAAGCGCATCGGACCCCTTCGTCGTACGACCGGCCTCCGCTCACACGGTATCCATGTCCACGGGAGCGCCATCGAAGACGAGTCCGTGTGGGGCAGCGGGCCCTTCTCCCCTCTAGCCTCCGGCTGCGTCGGAGACGCTACAAAGACTGGATACGGGTGCGGACCCTCGACGACCGATCACCAGTCTATGCCCGCGCGCCCAGCACGTACCATCACAGCCAGATTCAGGAAGAGCGCGCGATGGAAAGGAGTGTTGCAAAGTAAAGAGGACGGACGCACACGAGCCACGATAAAACGCGGAGAGAGAATATGCTGGGGTCGTTGTTGAGCGCGACCGGAAGGATGTATGTGATGCTGGCTAGCGTGGTCAACGCCGAGATCGCCGCAGTGTCAGCGTACGGTGGTGACGGCCACGGAAGCTCGCGACTGCCAGCGAAGGGGATGCAGTTGGCAGTGAGTGTGGTGGCTAGGAAGTTAAAGACGGTGGTGCTTGACGCGTAGACCACGGTCCGACGAAGCTCGCCGCGCTGCACACCACCGAATAAGGAATGTTGAAGGCTCGTCCTAGTGCACCCCGGCCTACAAACGTCCCTCCGACGTCAGCGAAAGCACTCGCCTCCCAACGGAGTCCATGCTCATAAAGTGGCTTGCCTCGGGGAGACGCAAGATGCGCACCTCGAGCATCCCCTCCACCTTCTCCCCCCATTTCCTTCCATATGCTCCACTCGCACCAAACCATCTCCCACAAAGACCCCTCGCACCACACGTAGCGCACCTCGACCGCCGGCCACCCGCTCGCGTCGGCCGTCTCGAGCGCCGCCTCGCGCTGCGCAGTCAGCACCCCACAGTCGACGCCCGTGTTGGCGTTGAAGAGCAGCTGGTCGGAGCCCCCCGGGGACAACATAGAGAGCGCTCGCGGCCTCCTCGGGTGAGCGTGAGGAGCGCGGGCGTGTCCAGCCATGGTACGCGCTTCTGCAGGGTAGCCTCGGTGTTGTCGCGAGCGAAGTAGCCGCTAAACCAGCGCAGGGCGACCGTAGGGTCCGTGGCAGGATCGAAGAAGGCAGGGTCCAGGGTTGGGTTGTAGTTGTCGGGGCTGTCGGGAGAGGGGTAGGAAGTTCGGGATAACCCGCTGCAGCAGCAACTCCGCTGATCCCTCAGTAGCTGATTCAAACTCCGCGCCAAACAGGCTCATCGCCAGTTCGAACCCGCTTTGGGCCCTACATTTTTCCTTTGCGTTCAAACGCTAAAAACTTGTATCTGGCTACAATAATCTCTCTCAACGATATTTTGCTCGCCAAATCTGTGCTGTCTAGTCAGAGGACGCTGTTTTTGAAGCAGTAAAGGCATTGAGGCATCGCTCAGGTTCGTCCCAATGCACCTGAATACATGCCAGCTCACTCGGGATATCTTCTGACCGCCAGACTTAGAAAGTGATTCGCGCCAGGAAGACGCAGAACCTTCAATTTCCGCATCTTCTTACCCTGCGTCTGCGCCTCCCGCATCTTCCACCACATCCGGGTCATCTCCCAAACAGAACGGTCGCACCAGCTAGCATGTACCGCACTTCCACATCCCTCTGCGCGCTGGTCACCATCTCGTCCCCGCCCCCATCCAGCGGCGACGCGACCTCCTCAGGAATATACAGTGCCGTGTTCTTCAGCTGCTAGTACAGCCCCAACTGAATGCCCGCCAGCAGCAGCCCGTCGGAGCCCGACGGTTCCCCGGGTCCGGGATACAGCGCTCTTCGTCCGTGAGGGTCGACAAGGCAGGCACCGAGGTCGCCAGCGGCGTACGCCTCTCGATCGCGTCCGCCGAGTCGCCGTGCTGGGAGTACCAGCTGACCCACATCGCGAACGCGCGCGTCGCGTCGCTGCCCAGCGACGCGTCCTACAGCGGGTTGTACGGCATGCAGTGATACGGGCCGTCTTTCGCCCGCGCGAAGGGAGGAGCGAAGGAACAGGGGGGAGACGAGGGGACGCACAGCACAAGACCACCCTGCGGACGTACCGGTCGACCTCGACGTCGTTCACCGGGAACTTCCCGACGTGGGCGAGGAGCGCGGTCATCCACGCGGACGCGAACGACCTGTCGGCGAGGAAGATCTCGCCCGCATTGCGCGCCGCGCGTGTCGGCGACGGGGCGCTGTTGCTCGCGATGAAGTACGCGAGGAGGGCGCGCACCTCGCGCGCGCGGTAGCGGTCTCTTGAGGATGGATGGCGGCCGAGCCATGGCCAGCTAGGCCGAACGCTGACCGTCTACGTTCGCCGCTCTTTCGTCTTTCCACCATCATCGCTCTTCGCCCTCAGATACAAATCGGGCTAAGCTTCCGACAGCCGACGAACTCGCGTTCCACCCGCCCAACTCTCCCTCCAAGTCTTTACACACATGGTCAATAAACATAAGAGGCACAGAGTACATGCACACAACGCTACATGAGCAAGGTCCACACAGCAACTACGGGCGAAAGCACGCAGTGCCAGAACGCGCGTCCCCGATCGTCCACAAGATGCACGCTTTACGCTCGGCGTAGCATCAGTAATTTTTCACACGTCTGCTGGGCACTGTCCGTCTGTCACAGTGACGGACAGTGCCCCGCAGACGAGCAGTTGACAGATGGACAGTAAATCTGAGCAGACGAGCAGTCGACCCCTAAGCCTCCTTCCACAGTTGCGCAGACGGGACAGACGGAGCAGTTCGTCAGCCGGTCTGGTTGGTGCACTCGGACAGAAATTAATGTGAGTGGGGATGGATTAATCGCATTATTAAGATACTGTAGGCGAAATTGCGACGATAGATTCGTAGTATCGAAATGTCCCATTCCTGCGGTTACGGCTACTTGCGAATGGGGGAATGAGTGCGCTGGCGACGGTACATGGGGTTGATAGGAATGGTGTCGTCCTCATCCTGCCCATCATCACCCTCAACTCCCGCGAGCTCGTCCGCTGCCTCAACAAGCCGGTCAAACGACTCGGACATTTCGAGCAGGTCTGCGACTGCTGTGCGCATCCACTTCGTCGTCAGAGAGCTGGCCTTGACCTTTGAGAAAGCAGGCATCGCCGTGCCTTTCCCGTTTGGGGACTGTAAAGAGTGATACCTGAATGCTCGCTCGATCTAAAAGGCATATTTCAGCGAACGATAAGAGAGCGAGAAAGAGACCAAGCAACATACAGCAGCCAGTGCCAGTGCGAGAGCTCCAACTGGGTATGGGCGATCCTCCCTGCGAGGCCAGAGCGCACCCTTGGTCCAGGACGCGTGGTGTTCCATGGTGGCGAGCACGAAGGACGACTGCATGAACTCCTTCGCTTTGTTATTCTGCGATGATATCGAGTGAGAGTTTCGTTAGAGCGAACTCAGTGGTACGAATGGAATATACATACATTTTCGATGTCCGGATCTCCATACAGCATTGCTCCGCCAGGCAACAACGCTGCATCAAGCCACGCGCGAAGTCCTCCGTCCGAGCGTTCGTACTTGCTGAGCCACGCGTCAGCACGGAGGTCCTCGATAGCTGTCTCGACCGATGCGACCGCAATCTCTTGCATCTTGCTCCGATAGTCGTAGACGTGCTGACGAGACTGTTTAACCGGAAATAGTGAGATTAGGGGATAGTAGAATAGTTGGAGTTGATTTGGACGACACTTACCGTCGTGAATACAGCAGATTCCGTTGTGAGATCCGGTTCACCATGAGCCGGGAACACCTGATTATAGAAATCTTGCACGAGTCCGAGGAGGGTCCAAGCTTCGCCGCCATCCGTGACGCCCGAGATGGTGTCCCATGGCGAGGTCAGCTGTCCGATGAACTCGATAACAGAGGGCATGATGACCTCTCTAACAACCGTCTGCTTGAGGAGTGTTTCGCCGCCAAGGCCGCGAGATACCGGTGCCTTGTTGGCCTTCTTGCGGGTGTCAGACGCCGCTGGCAGTGACGGCCGTGCCTTCATCAGTAACTTCCAAATTCCCTGAAGCCCTGAAGCCCTGGATTTCAGGGATTCAGGGGAACGGGGACCATGCAGGGCGCACAGGGCACCTCAGGGATCCAGGGCGCCCAGCGCGCGCAGGGCTTCAGACCGCCGGGCGTGGGCATCAAAAATGAGGCTACGGTCATCTCCGTGCTTGTCATCCCTGCCGTCCCTTCCATGGGTGTACTAGTTGATTATCAGAGATGAAATATATTTAATGTATTCTACTACAACATGGGGATATCGCGTCATGGTGGTTGGAGGTGGAAGAGGGCGCCGTGGACATGGAGGAGGGTGACGCGGACGGAGGGCGATGCGGGTGGATGCGCGCGAGGCGCGCGCAGCACGTAGGAGGGTGGCGTGGAGGCGAGCGACTTGGATTGGACTTGCGAGTGGATGCTGGCGAAGGAGCATCTTCGATAACGCTCTTCGTCTCGAGCCGGCGGCCTGTAGTAGTATGAGCGCGACTCCACGACCCAAGTGCATTTGACGAGGACGATGTTGGGGTCTCGGACGACCCGAGAGTGGCGCTCTTGGAACGTTTTGCGGCAGGTGTGGTATGGTCTGCTGGCGTGGAGCGCATCAATGCCCGTGCGTTCTGAGCAAGCGTCGCGGTCCTTGCAGAGTAGGCGTTGGTCATCTGATGTGGTGTCTGCGCACGAGAAATTTGTAGCTCTTTACTCGTCGGAGTGGGCGTCTGCGGAGCGGTCCGATGAGCGAAGGCCATCGATGGTTTGAACTTCCTGTAGTTCTTGAGCGGCTTGCTGAATTGCGCAGGAACTTCACTGAAGGGAAGGGGCGGACCAGTGAGGGTTGCAGAAGCACTAGCGTTATTGTGATCATAATCTAGTGTGATGTCGACATTGTCACGTGGATCGGACGGACCGGGGCCATGCTGAGCTGAGCCTTGAACGTCGATATCCTGTGCCAGTCATACGGTGAGGCTTTATTGATTCTGAGAACCACATTCAGCTCACCATGTACGAGTACTGGAGTACGTTGTGGCGTCTCTCATGCTCGTCTGCGTGATCCTGGAAGACATCCTCATCCGTGAGGCCTTGGGGAGTGAACGACTCGCCGATATCTCGGCTGCCTGAAATATCTGTTCAAACGTAGATATACTATTTGTGAGCGCGACAAGAAGATGAAATACATGCGGATGACACTTACCCGACTCAACATGACGCGGCAGATCGTCCGAAGAGATCCTCAACGCTTCTGGGATCGTAGCGAACGCCGCTTGAGAGCTGCGATGGAGCTCTCTGCGCCACGCATTCACAGAGGACGCTGTGGGAGGCTGTGACATCTGCGATGTTTCACGGCTGCATGAGAATTTAGATAGGTGTTAGAACTTAGAAATGGTGGGTAGTATGGGAAGAAACTTGGCTTACACAGAGATGCTGTTCGCTCCTGCCGGGAAGGCTGTATCCGATGCGGATGAGCTGTTGAGGTCGGGGGGAGCAGACTTCCGACGATTTGCAAGCTGCTCGTGCACATTGGTCTGACGTACAAGGCGCTGTGAAGGGCGGTTTTGCTTCTGCTTAGAAGACAGATTGAGAACGCGAATGCACCATTATTTGCTAGGCATAGAAATTGGACTCACCTTCGCGCGGGGCTCTTGAGCATGAGCTTCTCCGTCGCTGTCAGCATCGCCTTCAGCTGCATAGTGATCTTGAACACCCTCAGAGGCAGTCGTAAGTTCGTCTCGACGAGGTACAGTGTCTACAAACGAAGTCAGCAACAAAGAGGTGGCCAGAGAAGACGCTTACCGAACGCGTCACTCTGCATATGCTCATACTCCACATCCGCATCCATTATCTTTCCCAGCTCGTCGAGGTCAGCATTGTGTTTGCGCTTTCGCCCCGCTTTTGTGTCCGCGAGCGCTTTCCGTTGCTTCTTCTCGGCTTCAATCTCTTCATCGGGTCTGACCAGGCCACTGTCGTAACCAGGATGGCGATTGGCGTTCGTAGCACATGTCCTGTAGCCGTGGCTTTTCTGATTGCGAGAATGTGAGCACGGCAAGAGCACGGTGTGACACGTAAATGAGGTAAGACTCAATAGAGATAACGTACCTGGGGACTCTCTGAAATTACGGCAGGTTGTTGGCCCGCACCGGGAGCGGTGGCTGGTTGAGGAGGAGGAGGGTTTGGCGTGGCAGAGGTCGCCGCAGACTGACGAGTCTTCTTCGCTGGCGGCGTGGGCGTGGGAGCCTCGTTTTCCGATGCGAGAACTGGAAGCGCAGATGGCACTTGCGGGCCGGGAGGAGCTTCTGTGGGCGCCTTACGTTTCCCACTTGTTTTGCGACGTCCACCGCGGCCGGTCGCCATGTTGGGAGGTAGAAGTGGGATGGGATGGGATGGGAGAGATGGAGAGAGACGGTGCCAGGTCAGCCTCTCGCTTCTGGTTCTCGCTTCCTGCCAGTGCCGCCGCTTACTCGAGCTTGTCTCAGAGTGCTAGGCTTACGACTTGCTCTCCACCTCCACGTCTTCATCCAGCCCCGTTGCATTCTCCATCTCCCCCACCATACTCTCTTCTGTGACAAGGTTCGGATGCATCAGCAGCAATTTTTCCGCATTTTCCGTGCTCATGTCACAATCCTGTCAGTACATACCCATGGCACGACACTGCACGCTTTGCAATCTCGGTTTCAAGACACGTTCCGGATACAATGCGCATCGACGGACGACCCATCTTCACCCCAAGCCGAATCCTCAAAGCCCGTCCGTGTACCAGTATCACCGGCTTCTCAATGGTGTGTTCTTCTCGTCCTACAATGTGCATAATATCGAGCCAACATTGTGTCTTTATCAGCTCGTCCCTGCCTTCCGGATGGCACATTTCTCCCTCCCAACACCCCGCCCCCTCCGCACTGTGATGCCGTTGACTGGAACCCCTTCCCTGGTCGTCCATCTTTCGAGTACGCTGAACTGGTGTACGATGCGAGTCCGCAATCTGAAGAGGCGATTCTTCAGCTTCGTCAGATTCTACGCGCGCAGTTCGTTCTTGACGGCCACGAAGACTACGATCCCTTCCCTCAGAGCAAGCCCGACATAGAAGACCTCATTGATGCCATTCCATATGGCGAGGTGCCGTGGCGAACCCTTCTTGTCCGCTACCGAGGTGTTGTCGGGCCGGATTCACCCTCTTGGAAGCGTCAAATCTTCAAACTACACACACGCGACAGCCTTCGCTCAGTGGAGACTCTGGCCGGAAATCCCGAGTTCAAGGATCAGTTCGATTACGTTCCGTACGAGGAATATACCGGCCCCAACTGCCGCCGTGTTTGCAACCTTATGTCGGGGCAATGGGCATTCAATAAAGCAGTGAGTTCGCAAAGAACCACATCATCTGCGATACTGACTCGTACTTTTACAGAACGAGATCGCTGTCGACCCGAGCACGCATGGTTGCAGAGCACAGGTGATTTCCCTGGTGCATCTGTTGCGATAGCCTATCGGCAGCTACGGATGCATCTGGACGGATCTGGCGATCCGTGATGCGCGCCCGTGGAGACGCGCCTCGGTGGGCGGCAAGGACGCGTGGCGCGCATCGACGCGTGGCTGTGATGCACGCCACACGTCCCTCCCCTTCACTGTCCTTGCTCTCCTCCGCTACCCTCGCTACCCCCAGCCTCCCCGCTCTGCCCAGGCAGACGATAGCGACCATACGGTCGACTGTCGTCTGTTATTGGACTTTGGTGTCACCAGGTGACTCCTCCTTCCCTCCCCTCCCTCGACCTCAACCTCAACCTCGATCCCACTCTATACCCACCTTCCCAACCGCACTCACGACAAACACACCGCACGAGGACGTCCGTATGGACGTCCGAAGTATGGAGACGAGGATATAGGGGCCGCGGCGACGTGCCGTGTCCCTTGTTTTGGTGAGTCCTTCGCTCTGCCCTCCTGCATTCCCAACACCCACCAATTCCCCCTCCCGCCCGGCGACAACTACCACAGGCCGAGGACGTCCGCCCGGACGTACTCCTCCTCCCGGCCCTCCAAGCCGCCGTCCCCCTCCTCCGCGCCGCTGTCCTCTGCCCGGGTCTCCCGCCTGCACCGCCCTCCTCTGCGTTGCCCTCCTCTACATCGCCCACCTCTGCGTCGCCTTCCCCCTTGCCCTCCTCTGCTTGCGCACCCCTGCGCCGCCCGCCCACGCCGCCCTCCTCCGCGTCGCCATCCTCCGCCTGCGTTAACGCCCCTGTCCACACCGCGCTCCTCCGTGTCACCCTCCTCCGCCTCTGCGCTGCCCCGCGTCGCCTGCCTCCCCCGCACTGCCCTTCTCCACGCCACCCGCCTCCTCCGCGCTGCCCGCCTGCCCGCGTCGCCCTCCTGCCCCGTCCTCCGCCCGCGTGCGCGCATGTCACCCAGCTGCTCTGCGCCTCCTCCGCCTTCGCATCGCGCACCCCCGCCCGCGTCGCCCACCACCTGCTCCGCCTCGTCCCGGCCCACCGCGTCCCCCCGCGAGCCCTCCGTGTCGCTCTCCTCCGCCTTCGCGTCGCCCTCCTCCGCCTTCGCGTCGCCCGCCTCCGCGTCTCCCACGTTCACGTCGCCCACGTCGTCGTTGTCGTCCACCTCCGCCTTGTCCCGACCCTTCGCCTCGTGCTGCCCTGCTCTCCATCACCCACCTCTGCCTCTGCCTCCGCATTGTCGCGGGGCGTGGTATTACTTACTAGCGCACCTATGTAGTAGTTTACTAATAAATATATTTCTATCACTAATCATATGCAAAATGTGGTGTGCAACAAAGAGGGAGGCGAGTTCACTGTCGGAGACAGCGAGCTCAGGTGGCAGGGCCTGAGGCGCCGGTGTCCGGACATCTCGGGACAGCGTCGCACCCGGGTGCGCGAGCGCGCTTGGGGAAGGCGGTGTCGAGCTCAACCGGGCCGGCCGGCACCAGATGCATCCGCACTTGCCGATAGGCTGTCACAACGGATGCACCTGGCGAATCACTACTGTAGGGTTGCATGCTCACGCCCATCATTCTCGGAGCGGACAAGACCACGGTGTCCGTTGCCACAGGGAACCAAGAGTACCATCCCGTTTACATGTCTCTTGGTAACATACACAACACTATGCGTCGCGCCCATCGTGAGAGTGTCATCCCAGTCGCGTTCCTGCCCATTCCGAAAGGTATGTGACTCTATGATATACGGTACGTCGGTATCTATACTGAACGTCCCAATATGACAGCGCTACATGGGTGGGAGGACGACGAAGAGTTTCGACTCTTCAAGAAGAAACTCTACCACGCATGCTTGGCAGCGGTTCTTGAACCACTGCGTCCCGGCATGGAGGCTCCCGGACATGTGCTGCGCTGCCCCGATGGCCACTTCCGCAGAGCCATCTTCCAAGTTGGGCCGTTCATTGCGGATTACCCAGAGCAGGTATACCTTTCCGGTATCGTCTCCGGATGGTGTGCGAAGTGCGTTCCAGCGTTTTCTGATCTGTATGTATCATCTTCTGATACTATGTTGGCACAGGTGTTTCGCAATTCCGAACGGAAATTTCCAGAAGGGTGACCCTCGAACACACCAAGGGACGTCAAAGATGTGCGATACATATACACATGCGGAGCTGTGGGATGCGTGGGGAATCAATTCCGACATACAGGTATATTCTGTTGTATGTGGGCTCACTGTAGTTGTCGTACTGATAAGTCTTCCAATCAGCCATTCACGAAATACTTCCCTCGAGCTGATATTCACGAGCTCCTCACACCCGACCTTCTCCATCAACTAATCAAGGGGACTTTTAAAGACCATGTCGTTGCTTGGGTCATCGCCTACATCAAGCAAACAAACCCTGATGATGAAGCGAAAGCAATACTCGATGATATCGACCGAAGGTAAGCTTCGACATCTGTTACAATCAAGGGTCTCTGCGGGTGCGCACGACTCGTGCGCAGGTCGAGGGCGAGGGTGTGGCTCATGACCAGGGTACCCGACAGCGAGCCGGTCTATACCATTGCTCGCCGCGCTCAGCACACCTGGCGGGTTGCGCAGGTTGCGCGGGTCGCTGCGAGTTGGCGCTGCCCTACATGTCGTGCCCGACGCGCCCTGTGCACTCTACGCGTGCGGATCGCACATCAGGAAAAACACAACTTGCTAATTTGGTCTAAGTTGAACTAATTGCGGCCAGCGGCTCACTGCGCTCAACGTGTTCCGTTGCGAGTCGAGATGCTGCACTTCGCTGTCACCATTCTGTTCGATTTTTAAACATCTGCTAACAAGCTCGCGTTCTAGAATTGCAGCTGTGCCTCCTTTCCCTGGTCTGAGGCGCTTTCACGAGGGTTGGAAGTTCAAGCAATGGACGGGAGACGACACAAAAGCGTTAATGAGGGTACGTAGGTTGCAGTAATGCGTGCAGCTGTGTTCAGTGCTGATTGCAGGTAATAGGTCTTCTTGCCGGCAATTGTAGGGCACGTACCCAACAAGATGGTTCAATGCGTTGCGGCTCTACTCGACTTCTGCTACCTGGCACGGCGGTCGTCCACTTAAGGTCCCGGAGTTACCCCGATCAAGTCGGTCAGCCGGGACACCGCCATTTGCCGAAGGTACCGTTCACCCGGGCTCGGCCGGACTCACCCGGTTACCTCGGCAGAGTCGTCCGGCCGGACTCACCTGGTTTTCCTGGGGGAGCCGTTCGGCCGGATCCGGTTGAAGTAAGTATGGTGTATAGTATGTGTAAATATGTTGTAGGGTGTATGTAAAGCTTCAATTAGGTAGCTTGGCATTATGAAGGGCAGCTAATGGGGTATATACCGCACACTGCACAGGTAGGGCTAGGGTGTGTTACAGCACAGAACCCAGTCACTAGGTGCCAGCTGAGCCTACCCAAGGACACAGCAGCCACCTTTGTGACCTTACTATCTGACATAAGGTCTGGCACAGTGAGCAGGGTCCAATGCAAGTAGTGGACCACCGGGCTGTGGTGTGGGACCGACACACTGGGTGGCAGTACACAGATGGCCGGTAGTGATAGATGACCGTCGGCAAACAGACGGCCGGTGATGCAGCTTGAAGCGGACCGACTGTCGGCAGTGGAAGCCTCGGACCGGCCGCAGCGGAGCGCCGCCTGACGGCGGTCGTGCATAGCGCCGCCTGATGGCGGTCGTGCATAGCGCCGCCGCATCGGCGGCTGTGCACCGCCGCCCGCGCTCCGAGTGATCTGAAGTGGCCGCCCCCGACATGTTTGTATTCGTTCTCCGCCGTTATTCGTCGTAATAACGTGCAAAAGAGCGCGTTATGTGCGTATTGACGGCGCGAATAAAACGTACCATGGAACATTACGTTCTGTGCAGGCGCCGGCCCGTGACGTTATATGTAAAAATGGGGATGAGATGGAGTATGCTGACATTAACTTACATCGGATATATGTATGCATACCCAGATATTCTTCGCATCATCTGTGACTAACGAAAGAAGCAAGAAGCGTGAATAAATAGCAGAAACTCGCGAAGATATACTGTTTTGACCAAAAGTGTGGTTCACATGTAGGTGGGCTTCCATATGTTGGGATGGAGGATAGATATTGCATATCTGTAAGCTTTAACATTGATTGTAGTGTACACAGACCAGGAATCTATGTTTGTGCGCAGACAGATTAAGAATTGATGGTACAGTGCGATATGTCATTTTTCAATGACATACACAATATCGATACAACATGCGAGCTCATCACAGCACACAATAGCAGAACAGACTCGCCTTTACAGCAGCTTTCCAACGCAAAAAGAATCTCGAAATTCCGACAGGAACCCATGGAGATGTCGCACATGGGCTCAGAATGCATGCAGTGGTCAAGTCGTACCAAATCACCAAGCACACGAAGCCACATTCTGAGCACGTGTGCGACATCTCCATGGGTTCCTGTCGGAATTTCGAGATTCTTTTTGCGTTGGAAAGCTGCTGTAAAGGCGAGTCTGTTCTGCTATTGTGTGCTGTGATGAGCTCGCATGTTGTATCGATATTGTGTATGTCATTGAAAAATGACATATCGCACTGTACCATCAATTCTTAATCTGTCTGCGCACAAACATAGATTCCTGGTCTGTGTACACTACAATCAATGTTAAAGCTTACAGATATGCAATATCTATCCTCCATCCCAACATATGGAAGCCCACCTACATGTGAACCACACTTTTGGTCAAAACAGTATATCTTCGCGAGTTTCTGCTATTTATTCACGCTTCTTGCTTCTTTCGTTAGTCACAGATGATGCGAAGAATATCTGGGTATGCATACATATATCCGATGTAAGTTAATGTCAGCATACTCCATCTCATCCCCATTTTTACATATAACGTCACGGGCCGGCGCCTGCACAGAACGTAACGTTCCAGGGCACTTTTGATTCGCGCTGTTAATACGCACATAACGCGCTCTTTTGCATGTCATTAAGACCAATAACGGCGGAGAACGAATACAAACATGTCGGGGGGGCGGCCACTTCAGATCACTCGGAGCGCGGGCGGCAGTGCACAGCCGCTGATGCGCCGGCGCTATGCGCGGCCGCCATCAGCCGGCGCTCCGCTGCGGTCAGTCCGAGGCTTCCACTGCCGACAGTCGGTCCGCTTCAAGCTGCATCACTGGCCGTCTGTTTGCCGGCGGTCATCCATCTACTGCCCAGTGCCGGCCATCCATCTAATACCGGCCATCTGTTTATCGCCGGCCATCCGTCCATTGCCACCTGGTGCAGTGTCGGGCCTGCACCACTGCCTGGTGGTCTGCTGCTTGCATTGGACCCTGGTGCTCCCTGGTATGTCTGTCCTTGGACACCCACCTCCAAGTATCAGAGGTTTTGAAGGTGGCTGCTGCATGCTTGGGTAGGTTCAGCCAGACCTGGGTGACCAAGTTCTGTGCTATAACACACCACAGCACTACCTGTGTGGTGTATACTCCATAACTATCCAACCTTGAGGCCTAATTGATCATATGAAGCCTTACATACACCACACAACATGTTTTATGCATGCTACACTGTACTCACTTCGACCGGGTCCGGCCGGGCGGCTCCTCTGGGAAAACCAGGGGAGTCCGGCCGAACGACTCCCCTGGGAAAACCGGGTGAGTCCGGCCGGAAGACTCTGCCGAGGTAACCGGGTGAGTCCGGCCGAGCCCGGGTGAACGGTACCTTCGGCAAATGGCGGTGTCCCGGCTGACCGACTTTGCCGAGGAAAGCCGGGACATGCACTGGGTCGTCCCACGACTCGCATGTCCTGCACGCCATGGATGCTCTTCTAGAACGTTACCACGAGCTCCGGCAGGTCTTCGTGGAGCACGGTATTCGCCCGGACGGATTCGGCTTGCCACGCCAACATGCCCTCGTTCACTATGTCTGAGAGATCCAGCGATTCGGGTCTCCTAACGGACTATGCTCGTCAATCACTGAGTCAAAACACATCGAGGCCGTCAAGAAGCCCTGGAGAGAGTCAAATCGCCGTGACGCTCTCGATCAAATCATCCACAAGATCGCCCGCAAGGGGAAGCTCGCCGCTGCACGCTCCAAGTTTGGACGCCGCGGAATGCTCCGCGATGACGTTCTCACTGCCGCGCGCCGCGAGGCAGGCCTGCTTGATCCTGATGACGACAATCCTGAAGACGAGGAAGATCGTCGCTTCAAAGCACTCCTCGAAGCAGCCATGGATGGCGAAGTCCTCGAGGCTGAAGTCACGTTGGGAATCCGACCTAGTATGTACCTCTTGGTATTATTGTGTGCGTCACGCTCATTTCCTTGTGATAGTGTACATTGCAACTGTCGGCGAAGTTGCGGAGCGTCTCGAGCAGCCTCGATTTCTCAATATGCTGGAGACGTTTCTACTCTCTCAGCTGGACGACAACGACGACTCTTCGGACGACTCCTCTGCCTTCATACAAGAAAGTGACAGGATCCACGGATTTACCTGTGCCACGGCAGTCTTCTACGCACCGAGCGACCTAGCCACGCCTGGCGGCATGTCCAGCGAGAAGATTCGATGCACTCCGCGCTGGTGGAAAGAGCATCCGCGTTACAACACAGTGCTTGTCAGCATCGACGCGGACGGTGTTGGACTAGATGGTATGCTTGTGGCCCGTGTCCGCGCCTTCTTTTCGTTCAAATACGGCGGTAAAAAATATCCCTGTGCCTTAGTAGAGTGGTTTGAGTACTGCGAAGATCATGTCGACGATGTCACTGGTATGTGGATGGTGCAGCCAGAACTCCACGATGATGGCAATCGGGTAACCAGCATTATCTCCGTCGACTCGATAGTACGAGCTTGTCATTTGATCGGAGTGTATGGGGACGTCGACCTTCAGGCAGAGGACTTCCATTATTCGTTATCATTGGACATTTTTTCGCTGTTTTATGTTAACTGGTACATAGACTATCACGCCCACGAAGTAATATGTTAGCAAGCTTATCGACCCCCTTCCCCCTCTGTAGCCGTCGGTAACGGCGGTACGACCCCATCATGTTGCCGTCGGTAACGGCCATACGAGCTCGTACGAGCTCCGGTCGTGTAGACCGTCGGTAACGGTCGTACGAGCTCCGGTAGTGTAGCTGTCGGTAACGGTCGTACGAGCGGTGGTGGAGAAGTAATATACAATGCCAAATGTATCATTCTGGCTGTCGTTTGCGTGCTTTGAGGTCCTCTAGTGTGCTACATACGCGCAAGAACATCCCGCAGCCCCTGGGAAGCCAATACCAGGCTGATATAGCAGGGGATGCTGGTTCCGGTAGTGGCACGTCCCACTGCCTACATTGCGCCCTACTGCACCGTACGTTTCGGTAATGCGTTCGCTACGTTCCCCTGGGTCATACGAGCTCGGAACAGTCGTTTTTATCACCGTGCGTGCTGTGGTTGGAGCGGGGCATTGAAAACACTGCCCAGACTCGTACGAGCCTGTAGCCGTCTGTCACGGTCGTACGAGGCACCTCCGGTGTGCACCCGGAATATTGCGGTAATGGATTCGGCAGATGCGCGTTACTGTACCGAACGCAGCGCACTCAATTTCGTTGCGATGCATGCCATGGTTGGCCTGGGGTAACAAAAACGCTGCCCAGGCTCGTACGAGCCTGTAGCCGTCTGTCACGGTCGTACGAGGCACCTCCGGTGTGCACCTGTAATATTGCGGTAACGGATTCGGAATATGCGCGCGAGTGCACTGAACGTAACGCATCAAATTCCATTGCTGTGCATATCGTGGTTACAGAGGGAGGGTCAGAACAGTGCTCAGGCTCGTACGAGCCTGTACCCTGTCTCAGACGGTCGTACGAGTACCTCCGGGAGAGCGGACACCCGGAAATCTCGGCAATGCATGGCGTGCATTGCCGAAGGTTACCGGAACGCAGCAAACCTTATTTCGTCGCTTTGCGCACTGTAGTTAAGGTGGGAGAGTCGAAACAGTGTGCAGGCTCGTACGAGCCTGTACCCTGTGTGAGACGGTCGTACGAGTTGTTCCCTGGTGAACCTCGTTTTTTTTGGTAATGCTTTCGGTAGATGCGCACGGATACGCTGAGAATAGCGAACTCAATTTCATTGCTGTACCTGGTGTAGTTAAGGAGGTATTGTCGAAACAGTGTGCAGACTCGTACGAGTCTGTACCCCGTCTGGAACGGTCGTACGAGGTGCTCCTGGTGGGTATCAAAAATTTCCGGTAATGCATGCAATACATTGCCAGAGATCACTGGAACACAGCGCACTTTGTTTTATTGCTGTGCATGGCATGGTCAAGGTGGCGGAATTGAAACACTACAAAAGCTCGTATGAGCTTGTACTCCGTCTGAGACGGTCGTACGAGTTGTCCCCCGGTGAACCTCGTTTTTTTCGGTAATGCGTTCGGTAGATGCGCACGGGTGTGCCGAGAATAGCGCACTTGATTTTAGTGCTGTATATGCTCTGGTTGTGGCAGCGGAGTTCAAACAGTGCAAACACTTGTACAAGGTGTCCTCCAGTAAACACCCACTTTTTCCAGCAGTGCATTCATTGCTGAGATTCCGGCAGTCCCTCCATTACCGAGATTCCGGCAGTCCCTCCATTACCGAGTGTTTGGTCATCTGTGTGTATTACCACTCTCACAACCGAGGTTTTGACCACCTGTGCATATTACCGCTCTCACTGCCGAGTTTTTGATTGCCTGTATTCATTACCGAGTTTTTTGCACCCATTGCCGAGTTTTTGATCACCGGTATCAATCAGCAGTCCTCATTACCGAGTTTTTGACTGCCTGAATCCATCACCGAGTTTTTGGACACCTCCAGCCTTCAATGCCGAGTTTTTATTACTGAGGTCTGTAATCCCGGTGCTCACTGCCAGTGCTCTTGCTGACCTCTGGCCTTCAATGCTGAGGTTTGAATACCGAGATTGGTAATCCCGGTGCTCACTGTTGGTCCTCTGGCCTTCAATACCGAGTTTTTGTTACTGAGGTCGGCAATTGTGCTACCAGTGGTGCTCACTGTCTCAAACAGCGAGCTCACTGTCAGACACAGTAAGCTCAACATGTTACCCATCTCTGTATCTGTCCCTCATTTTTTTGGAATGCACCTCTGCATCACATCTGAATGTATTGCAGCACATTACAGCATATTTATATGAGTTGGTCTGCCTGTACTGAACACCTTCTACCTGAGAAGTCACCCTTCACAGCAGCATGTGTAGATGTTATTTCACCTCGCTGTTTTTTGGATCAGGGAGGAGCATGCAAGAGCTGTGGGTTTGCAAATTTGGAGGGCAGTAGCTGCAAAAGTGAGAGAACAGTGTGGTATGATATTTTAAAATGACATACCACACACAGAAATGGGATGGGAGTGTATCACATTCCGAACACCTGGATATATTTATAGACGATATTATGAATGCAATGCAGAAGAGAGCGCACAGAAATCAGGATTTCCGGTGAAGATACAAGATATGTGTGGAAAGTGGAAGTTCTGAGAAAACACGACATGCATAAGTTTATGTGCAGACATGATATCAACATGCTGTTTGCTGCATCACAATTGGGTACTATTGGGGTGCTCAGATCGGAATTTCCAAGCTTATCGGTGATGAGATGTATATGGGGCATCATATGTCATTATTTCATGACATACAGTATCCTGACACAGCATATGCTCCGATTAGCATGCGAAAACATGGAATATAACAGGGTAGAGCATAGCTATCCAACGCAGAAGAGACCTTGAAAAACGGTTGAGAATCAGTGGAGATGTGCAAGGTGAGCCAGAAGTGTGGTTTATGCTGGATGTGCTCCAACCTCGCTTTCCACTTCAACCACACTTCTGGCTCACCTTGCACATCTCCACTGATTCTCAACCGTTTTTCAAGGTCTCTTCTGCGTTGGATAGCTATGCTCTACCCTGTTATATTCCATGTTTTCGCATGCTAATCGGAGCATATGCTGTGTCAGGATACTGTATGTCATGAAATAATGACATATGATGCCCCATATACATCTCATCACCGATAAGCTTGGAAATTCCGATCTGAGCACCCCAATAGTACCCAATTGTGATGCAGCAAACAGCATGTTGATATCATGTCTGCACATAAACTTATGCATGTCGTGTTTTCTCAGAACTTCCACTTTCCACACATATCTTGTATCTTCACCGGAAATCCTGATTTCTGTGCGCTCTCTTCTGCATTGCATTCATAATATCGTCTATAAATATATCCAGGTGTTCGGAATGTGATACACTCCCATCCCATTTCTGTGTGTGGTATGTCATTTTAAAATATCATACCACACTGTTCTCTCACTTTTGCAGCTACTGCCCTCCAAATTTGCAAACCCACAGCTCTTGCATGCTCCTCCCTGATCCAAAAAACAGCGAGGTGAAATAACATCTACACATGCTGCTGTGAAGGGTGACTTCTCAGGTAGAAGGTGTTCAGTACAGGCAGACCAACTCATATAAATATGCTGTAATGTGCTGCAATACATTCAGATGTGATGCAGAGGTGCATTCCAAAAAAATGAGGGACAGATACAGAGATGGGTAACATGTTGAGCTTACTGTGTCTGACAGTGAGCTCGCTGTTTGAGACAGTGAGCACCACTGGTAGCACAATTGCCGACCTCAGTAACAAAAACTCGGTATTGAAGGCCAGAGGACCAACAGTGAGCACCGGGATTACCAATCTCGGTATTCAAACCTCAGCATTGAAGGCCAGAGGTCAGCAAGAGCACTGGCAGTGAGCACCGGGATTACAGACCTCAGTAATAAAAACTCGGCATTGAAGGCTGGAGGTGTCCAAAAACTCGGTGATGGATTCAGGCAGTCAAAAACTCGGTAATGAGGACTGCTGATTGATACCGGTGATCAAAAACTCGGCAATGGGTGCAAAAAACTCGGTAATGAATACAGGCAATCAAAAACTCGGCAGTGAGAGCGGTAATATGCACAGGTGGTCAAAACCTCGGTTGTGAGAGTGGTAATACACACAGATGACCAAACACTCGGTAATGGAGGGACTGCCGGAATCTCGGTAATGGAGGGACTGCCGGAATCTCAGCAATGAATGCACTGCTGGAAAAAGTGGGTGTTTACTGGAGGACACCTTGTACAAGTGTTTGCACTGTTTGAACTCCGCTGCCACAACCAGAGCATATACAGCACTAAAATCAAGTGCGCTATTCTCGGCACACCCGTGCGCATCTACCGAACGCATTACCGAAAAAAACGAGGTTCACCGGGGGACAACTCGTACGACCGTCTCAGACGGAGTACAAGCTCATACGAGCTTTTGTAGTGTTTCAATTCCGCCACCTTGACCATGCCATGCACAGCAATAAAACAAAGTGCGCTGTGTTCCAGTGATCTCTGGCAATGTATTGCATGCATTACCGGAAATTTTTGATACCCACCAGGAGCACCTCGTACGACCGTTCCAGACGGGGTACAGACTCGTACGAGTCTGCACACTGTTTCGACAATACCTCCTTAACTACACCAGGTACAGCAATGAAATTGAGTTCGCTATTCTCAGCGTATCCGTGCGCATCTACCGAAAGCATTACCAAAAAAAACGAGGTTCACCAGGGAACAACTCGTACGACCGTCTCACACAGGGTACAGGCTCGTACGAGCCTGCACACTGTTTCGACTCTCCCACCTTAACTACAGTGCGCAAAGCGACGAAATAAGGTTTGCTGCGTTCCGGTAACCTTCGGCAATGCACGCCATGCATTGCCGAGATTTCCGGGTGTCCGCTCTCCCGGAGGTACTCGTACGACCGTCTGAGACAGGGTACAGGCTCGTACGAGCCTGAGCACTGTTCTGACCCTCCCTCTGTAACCACGATATGCACAGCAATGGAATTTGATGCGTTACGTTCAGTGCACTCGCGCGCATATTCCGAATCCGTTACCGCAATATTACAGGTGCACACCGGAGGTGCCTCGTACGACCGTGACAGACGGCTACAGGCTCGTACGAGCCTGGGCAGCGTTTTTGTTACCCCAGGCCAACCATGGCATGCATCGCAACGAAATTGAGTGCGCTGCGTTCGGTACAGTAACGCGCATCTGCCGAATCCATTACCGCAATATTCCGGGTGCACACCGGAGGTGCCTCGTACGACCGTGACAGACGGCTACAGGCTCGTACGAGTCTGGGCAGTGTTTTCAATGCCCCGCTCCAACCACAGCACGCACGGTGATAAAAACGACTGTTCCGAGCTCGTATGACCCAGGGGAACGTAGCGAACGCATTACCGAAACGTACGGTGCAGTAGGGCGCAATGTAGGCAGTGGGACGTGCCACTACCGGAACCAGCATCCCCTGCTATATCAGCCCGGTATTGGCTTCCCAGGGGCTGTAGAATATCGTTTTCATTGTTGTTGTACCAATTACAATGTACTAGGGTATGTAGGAGAGTTGGAAAAGCACTAAGCTATCAAGGGGAACTACCTGCCCCCCACATCTCGTACGACCGTTACTGACGGCTACATTACCGGAGCTCGTACGAGCTCGTATGGCCGTTACCGACGGCAACGCGGGCACCTCGTATGGGCGTTACCGACGGGCTACAGCACTGCCACCGAGTGGCTTATCCACCGCTTCGCAGGCCATCTGTCCGTCTGGGCAACTGTTGGAGCTGTGCGCCCCCGAACTGCTTGTCTGCCCAACTGCTGAACTGTGTCCGCTGCGCGCAAATTTGACAGACGCGACAGCTGTGCCAGACGCGTGCAAAATTACTGATGAGCGTGCGTCCCAAGCATGCGCACGGGAGCCGCCCCGTCCGCCGGCTCCGCAGGGTATGTATAACCAACACGCGTCCACCACACCACGCCCACCACCTTCACGCTGCCCGCCCGGTGGCTGGCCATAGTCCGTACCCGCGATCGACCTTCTGTCCCACCGCGACGTCGAACGACGGCAGGGCAGCGGCGACGGCGACGAACGAACCCGAGTCGCGCGAGGACCCCTCGCCCCTGTCGCCGCTCTCTTCGTCCGCGCGCCGCGGCGCGGGCGTGGGCGCGGGCCTCGTGTCGAGCTTGGGATCGAGGACCGACTCGAGCGCACGGTGATGCGAGTGCGGGTCATAGTCTGAGTTGTCATCGGTGACCTGCGTGATCTCGACCTTGAGGTCTTGCATTATGTACGAGCCGTCGGTGCGGTGCGCGCCGCGGCCGCTGCTCGGCCAGGTCGTGCTCGGGTGTGTGGAAGGGTCCTTGTTGGAGGAGAGCGCGCGCCCTCCGGCGAGGCCAGTGCGGATGGTGAGCATGTAGAAAACGATGGAAATGATGGGCGAGATCTACGCGAGGAAGCGGGGAAAGGTAGGATTGGACCGTGGGCGTGGGGATGGATAATGCGGAGATTTGTTGTCGACGTGAACGTTGGATAGAGTGTGGTGTGCGACCCGCGAAGTGCAAATATAGCATAGTGAGCTCGTGGGACCGCGCTTAGACAGAAAAGACGTACCATGTCGAGGATGACGTATACTCCGGGGGATTGGACAACGAAAGTGATGAGGGCGGCGGTTATTGTCACCGAGTATATGGCCCCGCTTTCAATAATGACCCGTAAAACTGGAGTGAAGATGCTGTTGGTACGATATTGTGCTGAACGTCGTGCGATGGTCCAGATGCGGGCGGCAAGAAGGACTGTTTAGGGCGATGTGAGACGAGCACCGCAGACCGCAAGTCGAAACGATACCTACGAGTGGAAGATAAATTTGTTGCTAACGTCAGAGCATACAGTGCGGTGATCCAGCGACCTGTCTCGGCGGCGAAGACGTCGTTCTTGTGCTGGCCAGCGGTTGCAAGCGCCCAGTTCAAGCCTATCGACGTTGCTGAAGATGGGACAACTTTTAGTCAAAACGCTTGGCACCTTCGCGTTAGAGCATACCAAAAAGACCTCCCCATCCGAGACAAGGAACAATAATAACCCATATTCTGTGCCATACTATGTAGGTGCGGTAGATCTGCAGCACCTCATAAATCAGGATTGATTGCAGGCATCGCAAAGTTTGGGACAGCTTACCACAACGGCATCGAGAATGAGGGTTTGCACGTTATAGAGGCAGCTTTTAACTACAAACGTCGTTTCGGAGACTTCAGCGAAGAAGGCATTGCTGCCTCCAGGGAACGTTGGACCAACTGTGAGCAAGCCGATGTACAATCTGCCGATGTTGCATCCCATTTCCTATCCAACTTCGACTCAGAAAGGGTTTTATATGGTGCGGCAGGGAAAAGGTGACGGAGACTCACCGCCGTGGAAAAGAAGAGTAGAGCAACGCCGGCCGCGACCATCCACCAGTTTACCCGCCGCTTCTTCCTGTCGCGCAGCATGATCCACATCGCGAGCATGAACATGAACACCGAGTATCCTGCGCGCGGAAGCCAAGGTCAGGATATGATGCTTCCATGACATTACTCCTGTGATGGAGCGTACCGTAGAGGATGGCCTCGATCGTCGTCGAGATGACTCCGGCGGCCGACAAGGTGAGCATGTTGGCCGTTCGACCTGCGGGGTTGTGGCGACGCTGTCTTCGCTATCTGTTGGGAAGACGATCGACCAGGCGGCGGAATAAAACGACTCTGAAACCGAAGCCTGTACTGGATGAGAGGAATGGTGAGGGTGTGCGACTCATTGGAGGTTGTGCGAGCTTTGAACTTATAAGAGCGGGAACGGATCGGAGAGGTGATTGATGGCCACTAAACGTTCTGTATAGCACTTATGAGGACAGCATGTATGGAAGCAAATGTGGTGTGCACAATCGGAAGAGGTCTGGGGGTCCACCCACGGTTGTCTGTTACTAGTACGTACGCCGCGTTTACGCACCACGTTCCGAGGAGCCTTCGTATCCGCAGCGAATAATGTCCACAAAGCATGCACAACTGTTCTATAGAAGCTGATATACTCATGTCGCAGAAACGGGTGAAGCTAGTATGCCTTGTGTGGAGTCCAAGAATCCATTCGGGGGTTTGGCGCGATTTGTATCTTTCTCCAGGAAGGCCTGCCGGCTTTCATAACTGCCCGGCTTTCTCACAGTGGAAGACGTTTAGGATCACGCGACCGCAGCTTTCGTCACCTCCAGCAACGTTAACGCCTCCATCTAACCTTGTTGCATCATCTAGCTGTTTTTATCAAGAAGTGATGGTGTACATACAGACGCGTTGTGGAGCTCACGAGTAAGGTGGGCGGTAGTCGTCCCGGACCACCTATCCGCGGTAAAGTCGACAACCGTCATTCACAGCGCTGTCAGTGCACGAATCGCGTACGGGATACAAAACGGAGGCGCACCACCATATGATGCTCCGACGAAGCTCGGCACGCTGGCCGCCACCAAATAAGGAACGTTGACGACTCAAGCCGGCGAGGTAGTAGTCCATCTCTCGAGGATAGTAGTCGGCATGGAATGAGCAGAGATATCTGCGCGGGAGGTTTTCGAAGACTCACTTCATATGTTCATCCTTTTTCGTCAATGAGCTTGAAGACCCTCGCTCCTAGCCTAACTAGTGTCGTACCCTGATGCCATGTGAGATGGTTCTGTATGTGTGTAGGTCGTCGTGTCCTAGACAACAAGGTGGTTCGGGAGATGACATGGCGGTCAAGAGAAGAAGTCGAGGCCGTCTCTATGCGCACCAACGACACCGCGAGTTCGAACCCGGGTCGGGACGTCTATTTCATCCACCGCGGGAGTTATCTGCGTCGTTATAGAATTGCTCAAGAACTCCATTACAGTACAGCAACGTAGCACAGCGGGTCGTAAGCGATGGTATAGCAGAACACGGCGTGTCCCATGTAAAGGGCGGCGCCGTGCGCGTGTTCGTGATCCCTCAGCCAGCGCGCTCCTCGGCCGGAACCCCCGGGGCCCGACTTCACCCACAGAACCAAAGATGATAGCCAATAACGATACCCCCGACACCATCGGGCCATGACCACGCGCCCGCACAACACGCCCACGCGCATTGTCGAGAGCGCAAGCTAGACCTCCTCGAAGACGTGCTCGCTGCTGCCCTTTGACGCGACGGACGTAAGGTTCGTCTCCGCCCGCCTCGGCGCCTGCTTCTTCTCGTGGTCCACGGACGACTCCGCGCCGATCTGCGTCGTCGACCGGCCCGTGAACTCGAGCTTCGTGCCGACCATGGACGACTTCTCGCGCGTCCACGCGCGCCCGGACATGACCCGGAGCACGATCAGCTGCGGCGCGAGGCACTGCGGAACGAGAAGAGGCGAGTCAGCGGATCGTCATAGGTGTGCGGGCGCGGGCGGGAACGGATGCCTCGGAGGCCGAGCTAGGGACGCAGGAGACGCAAGATGAGTGAGGAAGAGGAGACTCACCGTGCACATGACGTAGATGCTCAGGAAGAAGATGTTGAGCTCGCTGTTGATCGCAAAGGAGACGAGATACGCGATGCCGGTGAGCGTCGAGAGCGCGCTCGACTCGATCATGATCGATACCGCGCCGGTGTACGCCGCGCCGACGTCGGAGCCCATCGCGGCCGCATAGCGCTTGCCGACGACGTACACGCGCCCGGCGACGAGACTGGTGTTGATGATGTTGAGTGAGATGATGCAGGACGTGTAGGCAACCCCGAGCTTCTGTGCGATGCCGAGGAAGTAGTTTCCGTGCGGGACTCCGGCTTCGATAAGCTGCGCGACGCCGAGGCCTGCGCACAGGGATTGAGAAAGTTAGGGAAGATGAACGCGTGATTATGGAGAAGACACGTACAGAGGGAGGCGAAGTAGAGGAAACAGGGGAAGATGATGACGCGGATATCATCCCACACAACATACGCACGGTAGATCTGGAGAATAGCGAATCTTCAAGTCAATCACGGCACCTGAGGCAGAAGTACAGTACGCACCATAAGCCCGTCGGCGAGCAGGTTGAGCGTGATACTGGCCGCGGTACCGAAGGTCTGGTACCATACGCTCGCAAAGTCGTTGAGGTAAGCGTCCATACCTCCAGGATAATCCGCGTTCACAATCCACATCTCCTCCCCGAAGACAGCCTCGGTCGCGACGAAGACAGTGTTGAGGCACAGACAGGCGGTGGAGAAGATGAGGAACCACTTGTCCGACGGCGCGTGCTTGTGCTTGCGATCAAGCACCACTCGGACGGTCATAAAGTAGAGCACGAGCTCCATGCCTACAAGCGTCCCAACATCGCGTGAGCTTCACCCAGATGTAGACTGGTCCGGGAACCCGGGGAGTGGGGATAGGGCAAGATGAAGCGTGGGGCGACGTACCATAGAGGATAGCGTTGAAGTTATTCCCCACGTAGAACCCATTTTGAAAGACAGGTATGGCGGTGGAGGTCATGACGGGTTCTGAGTGGTCGTCGCGGACGCTCGGAGGACGGGGATGAGAGCGTCGCGGAGGATGGGCGGAGGGAAGGCACCTGGAGATGAACCGGAGGGGCTTGCCGCGACTTATACAGACTGCGCCCACGTCCCGCGCTTCGTGATGCAGGCACATGGAGAACTCGGCGTGAAAGAGGACATACGCCGACACCGTGGCGCCAGCGTCCTCCCCTCTGTCTATACGATTCTAGCGAGAGGAGCAAGGCACCCTCTGCGACGTCTGCATTGACAAGGCCACGACCGTCGCGGCATGTCGTCCAGGACCGTCATGGGGGCGTAGGGGGACTGAGAGGGAGACATGGAGGATAAGGACAAGGTTGGACAGGCGTGGAAGATGGAAAAACGCCGACATCACATCGGGGACACGTACATCCTCTCCCCGCAAGTGGCCTTCCCATCTCCGCCATGTCGGCCTTCCGGATGCTTTCCATTGGCGGGCCACGGGCGTCCGGCGGTCAGAATGCCCGCGGGTGGTCGGTCGACTGCACGTCCGTCTCCATCCGACGCAGCGACGTTCTGACGAAGAACGACGGGAAGAGTCGAGGGGGTGTGGAGGCGCAGGCCGAGTGCGACCAAAGCTGGCTGGGCATCGCTGAGAACCTGCTGCGACTGAAGATTGCTCTGCGTGCGCCGGCATGGGTGGATGTATGCGCGGGCGGCATCGGGTGGGAAGAGTTCTTTGCGCTCGTCGCGCGTACCGTCGCCGCCCAAGAGTGCGCGCAACGCGAGGACATGTTCGTTGTATGACGATGAGGTGCTTTGTGGACGGCGTGCGTAGTTCCAAGAAGTTCGCGTGTGAGAGGGAAGTGGAAAAGGATCGGAATGCAATCGCTCCGTGAGAGGTCTGCAGCAAAGCGGAGATGCAAATGTTGAAGTGCCGCCACACCCACGGTTCATCCAGTCCATCTCCGCTCCAAGGTCCGCAAACTGTCTCAGTTCTGAGTTGAAACATTCACCATCCACGCAGGAGGCACAACACCAGTCATAGCATTGCAATTGACTTGGCCAAAGCTGCTGGTCACAGAACTCTCCCGCCGTGTCTTCAAGGGGACCCCATGTGGTCTTCCGCCGTCTCCAGCAATTCGGCGACGAGTCCGGCAAGATAGCGACGCAAGTCATGGATAGAACATACGACGACATATGAGAGACCTCAGGCACACATGATGACAACACTCAATCCGCTTCTCATGTCGTATGCCTCTCAATCAGGTACCCAGGTCCCAAATGTCGCGAGGCCGTAGGGTCACCGGCATCCAGGCGGCGGGAACGCGGACGAGCGGGTGAACCGACGACTCCAAGTACAATCTCAGAGCTTCGCGCTTCAACAGTAGCAAGCGAACTTGAATGTCGCCCTCGGAGAAGCGTCACGGAAGTAGGAGCACCCTGGGCGGCGTGGGCGGAAGGTCGCGTAAGCGCGACTGCGATAGGGGACGCCTTCTCGCCGCGCGCTCTCACCTGAGCAGAGTTCTTCAGACGGGCGCACTGCCCCCGTCATCATCCCGGGAACTTGATGCTCTGCCTTCCGAGGGGCTGAGGGCACAGTGAGAGCAGCACAGAGGGAAACCCCTCAACGTTCCCCCCGACGAGCCCAAGCTTGCGCACCTGCGACGACCGACGATGCTCCGCCCACCGCCGCTATCTGGTGTTCTTGCATGGGGGACCCTGCTCTTGCTCGTGGCAGCGAACATTCTCATCGACGTCGCCCACGTCCGTGCGACGAAGCGCACCGCCGCGCTCCGTGCCCCACCAGCCTCCCGCTACTGTGCGTGCCCCTCGCCTCTCAGAAACTCGGTGCTCACCTCGAGAACGTCCTTCCCACAGCCTTCATCGACGAAGACTTCCCCCTCTACCTCCCCATCCCCTCACTTCCTAATCGCCGCGTCGCACTCGCGCTCGAAGAGTCCGCGCACTACCACTCCGCCGCCGCGGGCGTGGCTGGGCAGCTCGCCGATCAGGAGTGGCGCTACGTCGGCGGCGGCGGCGACGGCAACGTGCGCCTCGGGCCCTCCCGCCGGTTCTTCAACACCGGGTTCTCGTACGAGGTCCACTGCGCGCGCGTCCTCGCCTCCGCGTTCCAGAACCCGGCGCCCATGGGGGAGCGGCGGCGCGGGGAGGTCGAGCACGTGAAGCGGTGTCTGAACGTCGTCCGCCAGTTCGCGCTGTGCGGGGCGGACGCGGGACTGGAGCCGGCCTGGGTCGTCGGCGCGCCTGGGGTGCGCGACGGGCCTGGTTTACATGCAGGGCTTGGGGCGAGGAATCTCAGCGTGGAGAGGTGGGGCGGGGAGAAGAGGTGCAGAGACTTCCCGGGGATGTATGAGGCGATGGACGCGAACTGGGCGGAGTGGCGAGGGTACCAGAAGTCGTTGTAGGACTCTTCGTAGGACCATTCTTGTGTAATTTGAGCGCATATAGACACTACGCGCAGCTGAGAGAAGGACGGAGAGACCGTCAAGATGCAAAATGCGAGCAAGAAAGTTCAGCGCAACGAGTCGACGACTGGAGACGGCCCGATGGATTGTATAAGCAGCGCCATGCCGCCTTGGGCGATTTCGTCACGACGTCTTACTTCCGTCCTCCCCCAATCTCAATGAGCAGCTAACTTGTAGCAGACAGTTCAAAAAATATGAGATGCAGGTATAGATCAGATTTTTCGCAGATGATCGCAAGATTTTGCATGACTGCACGCGAATCAATGCTAACGATCGTATACTTCAACCCACAGATCGTGCCTCCCTGTGTATGATACCTTGATCCAACAGTCTAGTCTGCTCGCAGATGACACTCGAACCTACAGAAGACTTGTATTGCCGCGCCGGAGGGGCACTAGTCAGCTTGGAGCCAGATGAGTTCCTCAGTGTTGAACTCGACGGCTGAGAAACAATAATCATATTGTGAGACGAGCTCGTCGTCGTTTCACAGTATATGCACTCACCAGGTTCTGCATCGCGAGCGGCGGCGGGGAGGATAGGTACGGCGACAGCCATCCCCATCACGGCGGCAAGAGCAAATAGGGTAGTGATGGCCTTGAACTGCATCGCGAATGGTCTGGGTACGATGTGAGTCGATCCCTCCTCTCAGACAGTGTATTTTATACCTTCACCAGCGAAACGCGCTCACAGTCGCGAAAAGAATCACGATTTTAGGACACGCCTTTCTTACAGTGGACAGATCCAACGGATCCCGAGGCTATCCGTCTTGCTTCTGTTGTCATCTTCGTCATTGCGCTCGCGAACAAGGCTACCCGGGACATATAAAACCAGTTTCACACAACACGCTCTTCCAGTTTGACAGATCAGATACCTGTCGGTCAACGTCCATGACCGTAGTACCATTTACAAACAGTGTCAATCCATGAGTGCATCCTCTTTTCCTCTCTCTCTCTCTCTCTCACCCGGGTATACCAGACGTCTATATCTGTAACACAGGGTCAGTCCAGAGCCTTTGAGGTACGGGACGACGGTCACTTACTCTTCGTGTTCACCAATGGCGGTTTTAGTCGGAGTTGATCTCCAACCATTTCATTTCGCTAATCGGCAGGACCGCTGCTCGTACGGAGCGGAAGTATCATGACGACGCGTGAGTCCCATGCCTTCCGGAGAATGTGACGGACAAGCACTCACCCAGCTCCTCGGCGCGCGCCACCACGTCAGCGGCTGCCGGTGTCGGAGCAGCGGCGACAAGGCCAACAAGGGCCGCAAGGGCACAGAGCGCGGTGAATGCCTTGAGCTGCATCGTGGGATGTGGTGGGTGTGTGGCTGCGTGCTGCTGCGTGGTGGGACTGGGACGAGACCACTCATCCATGTTCTTATACCAGCCAGCTCCCGAACCCTCGAGATGAGGCTCCAATTCTTTCGAGCGGCCACCGATCCGGCCTCCCACTTCCGGGTCTCTGCTCACTGCCCCTCGCGGGTCCAGAGAAACCCCTGGTCCCTCGAGGCCACTGCAGGTGGACACGCGGTCGTCCGGACGTCACGGAGATGACGGCGACAGATCGTACCGAGGTTGATGCACGCGAAATTTGACGGGGATAACAACAGAGTATATGTGTGGTATCGCCGTACAGATAAGCAGAATTAGGTCGCATGTTTCCAGATGCTCTGAGCGATTGACTAAGTACATGTGCAACCTGGACGCGGATCTCATCAATGAAGATAAAGGTCTCTCAACACAACGGAACAAGCCCACAACGGCACACCCGACCCGCACGCGGAGGTGAGGATCAATCTGCTGCCTCGAGGAAGACGAGCTCCACAGCCGGAATATCTTCACCTGTGCTGGTACGTGAACTTCTATAACGTTGTGACATAACGTGGGAGGAGCTCACCTGGTTTCTCGGCACGCGCCACAACGGCAGCGTCTGCGGAGGGAGCAGCAGCAGCCATGACGAAGAAGGCGGCCAAACCGAGGAGCAGGGCGGCAATCCTGAAATGCATGGCAGATGCGGGGGGTGAGTTCCGTGCACTGGAGCCGCGGTATGTCGGAGTAACAGTCGGCGCCGAGAGACCTCACTGCCCTCTGGATGGTCTCTTTTATACCTCCAAAACATCATTCTCAGAATATACATGCCTTCGACTTCGAGGCGAATATGCTCCAAGCCAGGCTGAAGGGGTTCCCTTCTCCGAGAAGCACGTCTGAGGCTATGCTCGATCTTATTCAGTCTCAAAAATACCTCCTCCAAGCGCGCGGAAGACTCACACAGGGATCTTTGAAGACTCGCGACCGTATGGTGCCGGAACACGAACGTGATGGTTGCGGACATTGCCCGGTCTCACGCAGCCCGTTCGAGCGAGCGATTCTCATTCTTGTCCGCGCATGGGAACGCGCGCGCGTCGATCTGTCAAGCAATGGCGTGCAGCAGCGCCGCATGTACGTAGCCGCAGCGAAGGTTTCCTTTCGCACTCGGGGGACGAAAGGCCTGTGTTCGTCTACTCGCTCCTCGGCAGGTGCCAACAAATCCTAGATTTCCGGCGTTTTATCTAGCCGAGATGACCGGTGAATGCGCGCTTTGAGTTCGTCTGTAACGTCACACCAAGGACGAGTGTTGTGAACTGGGATTGAACTCGCGGCGTCGCCGCACAAAGCGTCTATGACGCACTTCCACTGGGGGCTACTCATGAACCATTTCGATTTCCACCCAATCGTTCGAGATTTCTGGAGTCGGTCAAGCCTCACAACTTCAAGTAGTGTGAACTCTGCTGTACTGTCGCCAGGGGACCGTGGCAGTAAGTATAGCGCTTATGAGCTAGGTTTGACACATTTCGGAGAGTCAATGTGACCGCCAAGTTCCAACCCGGAATTCAACATCGCTGGAAGAGCGCCTAACGGCTCGCGGTCAAGCTTGTCCGTGCCCTCTGCCGTCATCACGAAAGCGTGTGAACCCTACGCTCCCATGACAGTGCTTCCATCTTCCTTCCTATCATATGTGCTGCCTTCTGGAGTGCCATCATGCTCGTACGTATCCATTCCTCGCGACTTTGACTAGTTCTGTGTGTACTCGAGTACCTATTTGAAGGCTACACCTTTTTCTACCCTTCTTCCCAACAAGCCCGCTGTTGTGTTTCTCGCCGTCTTTCTTCGTCTATACTATACCTAGTGATTTGACCTTCAATGCCGCACATCGCCCGAGAAAATCGGCTGATCACGTATTCTTTGATCTCTATCACAGCGGTCGCCAGCGAAGCTAGTGCTCGTGGATACGACTCTCGCTTCTTAGCATCCGAAATACACCGGGACCACCTGCGCCGGGAGCAAATAGCTCTCCGCAGCGGCCTATATATATGCATGTACTCTCAGACGCGCGTTTATAAACGCATCGGTCTCCTCCCGCGTATCACCCGGTAATACTCGTCTGGTATGGCGATTCCTGTGACCGTGGGCAGCACTCTGGGAGCGTTGCTGATTGGGACATGGATTGGAATATTGTGAGTAACTGTCAGTTCTCTGCCCAATGACGCTCTATTTGACACATTCATCCTCGCTATCTTGTCTAGCATGTACGGAATCATTGTCCACCAACTGTTCCAGTACTTTGTCAAATACCCGAAAGATCCGCTTTTCCTCAAATTATGGGTAAGTTGAAGCTCTAGAGCGAAGCGAGACAGCGATTCACTGGCTTGTGTTACTCGACAGGTCATTCTCGCCTTGTGAGTATCTTTCTATCTCCAGTGTCTCGTACATCTCCTCAAGACCGTCTGCATAGTGTCACTGAGACAACCACAATCGTCATCTCCATGTTCGGGTCGTGAGTTTGTGTAATTTCACTCAGAACGTCATACTCTGAGAATCCTCGACGCACACCAGGTATCACTATTCGATTGTGAACTGGACCAACCCCGAAATTCTCGACGAGAGACCGCCAACGTGAGTGACAACCGATCCAGTACTCGTGTTGACTTAACTATAGAACATCTCATAGTGCCATTGTAGTACGTGATAATCCGTGTCGACATTTATTGACTGAACTCGACCGTGTGTTCTACTAGATTTTGCCCGTGATTATGGTGAGTGAACCGTTGATAATATAGACCGGCTGTGCTCTAACGTAAGACACAGACCATGACACCGGTGATCGTCGAACTGTATGTACCCCTTCTTTTCGACATGTATGTGACTAAGGAGCGCTCTTCAGCTTCTTCGCGCGTCGAGTATGGCTGTGTACGTATTTTGGTGAAGCACGTATGATCGTCTCGTAACAATTCTCTGCCGCAGTGGGGCCTAGGTACAGGCCGGTGGTCGTTATTGCGGTGCGTGAATTCTGGTTTGATATCCTACTCAACGAATGCTGAACTCTTGTAGTTTCTTCTTTTGTGCGGTTTCTTCGGTAAGTATTACATCTTTACGCGTCCCCGTTACTCATTTGCTTATGCGACCGCATAGTACCATATCCGAGTACGTACCAGGCGATGCAGTTCGCCAATGAAGGGTCTACTGAAGCATTTTGACTCTTAGCTATGGCCGTCTTGGGGTATGCAAAAGTGGTTTCTTTTGCGTTTTGTGACCTTGGACTCAACGACACGATAGATTCAACGATCCGAACCCAGCTGTGTACTTCAAACGTATCGCGGTACGTACATCATAACACCTCCCAGACGATGGCACTGATGCAACTGTCACATTACTTCACAGATGGTTTCGCGCATCGCTGTCCCGCTTGTGGAAGTCGCCGATTTGATGCTCACGACTGTGCTCGTCTACGTTCTTCACAAGAGCCATTCTGGGTTCCGCCGGTACGTCCTAGTTAAAATGCTCGTGACAGTTTTATGTCTTGAATACGTTTTGCAGGACCGATACGTTGATAGACTTGCTCATAAAATACGTCGTGACGACCCGTGAGTATCAATCGGCTCTTCCCATGACGTGAATGCTCAAAAATGGCCTCCGAAATCCACAGAATCTTCGATATGGTGAGAGACCTCTAGGGACCTCTTTTGGCCGGATTTTTGACGTCTATCTCCCCCACCTTCTCGGTCGTTTATCCACTGGGGTGAACGTGTCGCAGTGTCTTCTTGACCATGACAATGGTGCTGGTATGTTCGCTCACAGAACTTATAACTACCTCTGGACTGATGACTTACTTTTGTCAGGCGATGGTCTCCACGGATACGCTAGTCTCGTTTGCTGCAGAGATGTTCCTGTGCAAACGTGCGTCCATATCAAATCTTTCTGAAATAGCGAATGTCTGATCTGTGAAACCAGTACATGTCTGTGTGTTTTACACGACGTGAGATGCATTTCTATATTCTATATTCGCCTCTCACTTCAATCTATCTGGCCACAGCTTGAACGTTCGCGATAAGATCATCACGTTCAACGACATCACTAGAGCTCCGGCTATCAACATGTCTATGACAGGGCCTTTGAGCACCGGGCATACAATGAATTTCGGAAGGCCAAGCAGATCGGAGGTGAGTGTATATCAAAACCGTTCGATCTGTCTTCCACATGGCTCACGCACCAGTAGCAGGATTTCAGTAACACCATAGGGAGCACTCGAATCCAGTTGAAGACGATTGTGAGTGTTGGACCTGAAGGGAACAGGTCCACAGCGCCCCGTGCCGGTATAGACACGGAAGACGTCTTCGACGAGGAACGCAAGGCCGCAGAGCTGAACGCGGCAGAATGAGGGCGTGTATCAGTACAAAGAGACCTTGTTCCATACGGGCTTGTATATCTATGTCGGAATTTTGGGTGACGCGATTTGAAGACTGAATGCCAAACCCTCGAGAGGATCCATGGCAGTGTGAGTAGAGACTCGGATCGTCTTGTCCCATCCCACCATCGCTTCCCTCCCCGCTGCCACGCACATCGCGTGCAGAAGTACACGGCGAACTTCCCGCAGCGTCCAGCCAACTCCCAGGAGCCCACGGCAGGTGCGAATGACGCCGCCGTCAGCACGTGCATGACTGGTGGGCTCGGCTGTGACATTCTTGAGTATCTGTTGCGAGAAGCAGTGATGGGAAAGCGCTGCTTACGCCCTCAACCGCAAGAGCTTAGATGCGGTAATCCGGCACCGGGAGACCCAGCTCGCGAAGCGCGGGCTGTACGAGAACCTTCTCGACGGAGGACAGTTCGTGATGGTCAAGGAATAGCTTTCCGAGCCTCGGGATCGACGGCGAACTATCCGGGGAAATACGCACATCTTGTATAACGGCACGTCTAGAACTATCGCAGGGCGCACACAACCCGAGAGATCTCGCCCTCTCATCTCCGTATACCGTCGCGCCCACCGTCGCGTTCGCCAGCTCACCAACTACCACCTGTCGACGCCCGTCCCCTGGTCCGCAGTGCGCGTTCGGTAGCAAATGCTTCGAGGCAGAGTGGATAACCGAGCCTGTCCTCGACAACGCGACAAATTTACAGACGGGCCTTCATACGGTAGCCGTCCGCGAAGCTGGAGATGGGCGCCTCGGGCGACTCGGGTACGCCGGTCATGTCGCGAGTTCGATTCCGCGTGAGACCATTATATTTGGCGCCGCTGTCGGAGCCTCCTCCTTTTCCTGCTGCCCTTGCATACCACCCATGCCATTTTCCCTCTGGCCATAACACATGTCTGAAAAACACAAGAAGCGCAAGCAGAGACCCTACGAGACCTTCGAGCCTCCACAGCCCTCTCAACCCGACACCTCTCTTTTCATCCAGGCTCACGAAGCGGACCTCGTACACGGGCCTAACGCGGCCTCGGCGGCGCGTTCTCTGGAGGTCTCCTTCGTGGAGACCGCGGGACGGAGGAAATTGGTTCCCGGCGAAGGGCTAATCAAGTGGGCTAGCCAGCTGGCCGCGTCTTTCCAAGACTTCTCCAAGGACGAGCACCTACACCTGGGCAGCGGCGGCGCACGAGCACGAGAAACCGCGTCCGAGGACGACGACGGGGTGTGGGTGGACAGGTACGCCGTTCTTTGATTTCTCGAGCGTGTTCGAGGTACTGTGCAAGACGTGGTGCCTTCCCGTCCGGACTTGCTGAGCTGCCCGCCCGAGTCACCGTAGAACGTTGTGAGGTTTTTGTACGACATCCCCGTCTCCCCTCCCGCGACCCTCCTTGCTGACGTCGGTCTCCAGGTACGATGCGAGACTGCTCCTCGAGTCCCTCCCGGAGCCTCCTCTCCCCCCATCCGCACCCGTAGCCGAGCCGCCGTCGCCCGGGGGCTGGTCCGACCTCCCCTCCGACGCCGAAGACACATTCTTCTTCTCCACACGCGAGGTGGCAGACTACCGCCGCGACAAGCGGCGGCGCGTGCTCGACGACAACCGCGAGGCCCGGTTGCACGCTCTGCGCGACGCAGACGGCTCCGACGACGACGACCCCAAGGACCCAAAGGATGACTGGGGCGGGAGCGACGAGGAGGTGCGCACGCCCACCACCCTTCTCCGTACCCCTTCCGCTCACTCGCATTCGTTCGTCCTCCTCCGCCTCGTCCGCCCCGCGCCTTCTCCCCACCCCGCGCCCTCTTTCACGCCCTCTTCATCCGACCCTCGCCCCTCCCCTCCTCCCACACGCCCGCAGCCCGACTCGCCGCAGCGCGAGCTCATGCGCCGCACCGCCGCGCACGTCCTCGGCTCGCCCAACCCCGCGCAGCTGCAGATGCGGATCCTCGCGAACCACGGCGCGGACCCGCGCTTCGCCTTCCTCCGCGGCCGCTGGGCGCGCGCGTGGCGCCTCGAGCTGGCGCGGCAGAAGCAGACACGGGCGCAGACGCAGGCTGAGGAGCGGGCGGCGGGCGGCGGAGGCGCGGGCATCGGTGGGCTGGCGGGGTATGGGGATAGCGATGAGGAAGAGGGTGAGGACGAGGGTGAGGCCGGAAGGGGAGAGTGTGGAGACATGGAGGTGGATGGAGCGGCTGACGCGACAGATGGGGGCGGGAGGGACGAGGGAGGCGTGCAGAGTCCTCCGCTCCCTCGGGAACCACCCCCAGCTCCTCCGACAGAGCAGGATGAGGAAGCGTTGAAAGCCGCACGGAGGGCGAAAGCAAAGGAGTGGGCGGAGAAGCGGCGTGCCGAGAAGGAGAATGAGGCAAAGCAGACGTAGGACTCGCAGGGATGCATTGGATATATTCCAACAACTTTCTTCGCCTGCTAGTATCTTTGTCGACACAAACCGTACCGCCACATGCTTTCCGGGGGATAGAGGAAGGGTTGAATAAATACACTACGTACAACAGATGTAATGCAAGTATCCACAACACGTCGGACAGTTGCTTAACCCCTGCTCGCCCCCTTCGTCCGAAAGCTCGCCCTTCAAAGCTCCTTTTTCTGCGCGGCGGTGTTCGCAGCGGCCGCAGCGCTCTTGTACCCATCGAGCGCGCGGAGCCGCTCCGTCAGCGTCGGGTGCGAGTGGTGGTACGCCGAATATCTGCCAACGTCCCGTCAGTCTCAGATAGCCACGAAGGTGATGGAGGTGGGGATCGGGGCAGAGGCTGGAGGGGAGACAGCGAACGCAGCAGGAGGAGAAGGAAAGAAAGGTGGAGGGAGAAGGGACTCACAGCCAGTCGACCCAGACGGTGGACAGGTTCTCGACGTGGAGCGCGATGAGCGCGCGCCCGAGGCGGTCGCCCATGTCCGCCATCTTGGCCTCGCTGAGCATCGTCTGGAGCTCGCATGCGAACCGGTCGGCCTCGTACTCGAACCGGCGGCTGATCGCGTTGATCGCAATCCCGACGATGGCCTCCATCGGTGTCAGCAGCATCTGCAGGCGGGCGACGACGTTAGCGCGCTTGTCTCCAAGCATGAGGAGTGGAATGCGACGAGGATAGGGGTTTGGGACGGGGAGGGAAAGAGGAAAAGGAGAAAACAAAAAGGAGGAAACGCACCTGGTAGAGAAGGAAGGCGACGATGGTCGGCGGATGTGCGGCGACGGCGGTGGGGAAGTTGAACGCGGCGAGGAGCGGCGGGGCATGGAGGAAGGCGGGGAACAGGGCGAGGATGGTGAAGATGTGCACCTGCGAGACGAGGAGGAGCTTCGTCGGGTGGATGTGGTACCAGTGACCGAGCTCGTGTGCTGTCAGGATGTGGATCAGAACGGCGAGACGGGAGAAAGAATGGGAGGAGCACACACCGAGGACCGCCTCGACCTCCTCCGCCTTGCTCTGTTTGATGAGCGTGTCGAAGATGACGATGTGCTTGCTCTGCGGGATTGCACCATCGAGGTGAGCAAGCGGCATGCATACACACAGGTTGAAGGCGACGTACCCAGGGGAGGCCGAAGAAGTACGCGTTGCTGTGCGAGCTCCGCTTCGAGCCGTCAATCTCGTACAGGTGCTTGAGCGGGAACTTGAGCTTCGACGCTAACGCCTCGATACGCCCGCGGAGGTCGCCCTCGGAGAGGGGGGAGAGCTTGTTGAAGAGCGGCTGGATGACGGTCGGGTAGAGGACGACCATCGACATCTGGAACATGAGCCTGCAGGACGGTGGAGAGCGGAATGAGAAACTCGCGACGGACGAGAAAAAGTGAGAGAAAAAACGTACAGGAACGCCATGAGCCATGGAACAAAGCGGTCGCCCGCCCACTTGAAGATGGAGAGGAACGCAGCGAGGAAAGGGGCACCGATGGCGAAGCCGATAAGCCAGCTCTTGAGTAGGTCGGTGACGAAGAGAGAAGGCGTGGTCTTGTTGAAGCCGTGCTTCTCCTCGAGGACGAAGGTCTGGTAGAGGGAGAACGGGAGGGAGGGCAGGCTCGAGATGAAGAAGAGCACAAACGCGAACGCGATCGACTGCACGATCTGCGGGGCGCGAAAGGGTGGGATGAACACGCTGCGTGTAATGAGGCGGAAGGCGGGCGCGCAGGACGTACCTCGTACTCCGGCCCATACCCTAGCTTGTTCACGATCCATCCACCCGCAATCCAACACCATGCGACGAGGTTGAGTTGGATGAAGACCGAGTCGACGACCTGCTTGAGGAGCCCGGAAATGAGAGAGAACTTGGCCTTGTCTTTGCCGTACTCCTGCGACTTCTTGAACGTCTCGGGCTTGAAGTGGTCCGCTAGAGCAGGGGGCGGCTCGGTCTTTGAGTAGAGCGGGTACTGGCGGAGCCTAGAAAAACGGGCGCGTCAAGCTGTGGGCAGACTCGCAGAACATGAGAACTCGGGGACAGCACTTACAAGAGGTAGGACTCGAAGAGACAGACGGCCCAGGAGGACGCCTGGAGGTAGAGCTTCCAGTCGAAGGACTCGGTGGAGACCCACGCGAGCTGCGACTGGACGGCGTCCAGGCCAGCGTTCAGGTATTCCATAGTCTCGGTTTCAAGATGAAGAGAGGTGGCCAGGAACAGACGTTAGACCATGCAAGAGTGCGGTGAAGGAGAGACGAGGAAGCTAACAGCCTGCGGCAAGGGTGGCGTGTGCGGCCACTGAGACGCCTTAGCGCGCGCGGCTATCTACGAGATTAGATAGCGCACCGGCCGAGACTCGCGAGGGAGATTGGAGGTACGAAAGCCCAAACAGCTTCTGGAGATTGCTCCTCCAGAAGCGGGCCCTTTTATATTCGCTAGCTACGATGTACATGAGTCAATGTGAGTCGCGCGTGCATTCGCGTGCTGCAGCGTTAGCTCGCCTGCTTGCACTCACATGTCGGGTAGAGTCAACGGAAATACAAAGAGCAATCGCACGAAAGGCGCGAGGCGTCTGCGTACGATACTGGAAGAAGTAACTACGTAGTCAGGGCGCTGGTACGCTCCAGGCACAAGAGGCAACGTGCAGGAGCGCGCGGTCACTCTCCACGGCCCGGTTGTACATGAGGCGCTCAAGTGAGCTCTTGTACGGCGCGCGGTAGCCTCGTGGCTGGGCGTCGGAGCCGCGCGCTGCTTACTAACACCGTGACTTGCGTGATTACTGGAAAAGGCAAATTTCCGTAACATCACCCCCCTCTCTAACATCGTGTCCTCACGATTCAGGCCAGAGTCCAGACGCGAAGCGGAACAGTCATCGTTCCTTTCCATCTGTCCCATTTGCGCGACCACTTATCCCATTCGTGATCCAAAGGGTCCGTGATCTGAACTAGACGCGCGCGTGGTCCTAGTAGACGGAAAGGTCGGGGGGCGGTAGGATTATGCTTGTGGTAGTCGTCGATTAGATCCTTGTACTTATCGAACAACTTTCCACGGGGGACCCAGGTGTTCTCGGAGATGGGCTTGTCTTTCCACTTGACGAGGTATTGCACAGTACCGGACTCGAACTTGGAGTTTACCACGGTCTCGGGCTCTTCGGGCTTGTCGACACCTTCAGGCGCCATGGTCTCTAAGCGCTCTTGGTTGTTGAACTCGGGGGCGAATGCAGGGGTAAGCAGATCTTCGTTGAACACGGGGTGGATACCACTGAGAGCCTTGGGTAGCTTCAGCTTGTATGCACTTGCGCCGACTTTTGCGAGGATTTTGAAGGGACCGTAGCGCTTGTGCTCCAACTTTTTGTTTGGACGCACAGTGGTGATGTTTAGCGCTTCCAACCACACGAGATCTCCTTCTTGGTAATCTCGTGCGGGATTGCGGTGTCGGTCGAATTTCTCCTTCATGATTTTCTGTGCTGCCTTCAGGCTTTCTGTAGCGGCTTCAGAAATATCATCCATGCGTGTTTTGAACTGTTCGGCTGATTCGCTCTTTGCCGGCTTGTGTGTCTCTACCCCAGTGTACGGATGGAAGCCGTGTGTCATGTAGAAGGGGGAGAACTTAGTGGCAGAATGTTGTCGATTGCGATATGCAAAGAGCGCGAGCGGTAGCCAGTCGACCCAGTCGTCTTGTCGGTGATTGATGAAGATGCGGAGGTAGTTCTTGATTTCTCGGTTCATACGTTCAGTTTGCCCATCTGTTTGTGGATGGTACGCCGTACTTGGGTTTCCCTGTATTCCTAACTTTTGGTACAAGCTCTTCGTGAAGTTGGATACGAACTGTGGTCCTCGGTCCGATGTGATCTTGCGTGGGAGTCCATGTTGCGACCAGACGTGCTTGAGTAAGATGTTTGCGTATCCTTCTGAGTCTAGTGCTTCGAGGCATGGAACTGCAATTACGTCCTTGGACTTCATGTCTACACACACGAATATGGAGTCAAAGCCGAGGCATCTTGGTAGGTGCGTGATCAGATCTACAGAGATGTATTCCCAGTTTCGACTAGGAATCTCGTGCGGATGCAGTGGGGCTGACTTGGCTTGCGTGCGTATTTTCGTTCGTTGACATGTGGTGCACCCTATGATGTACTTTGCGACGTCCTTGCGTAGCGTTGGCCACCAGTATGAACGTTGCACAAGATCTTGAGTCTTGCTCCGGCCCGGATGGCCAGCGCTAACAGAGTTGTGATGCGCGCCGATGATGCGTCCGCGGAGCGCTTTGTCATCAGGAATGACAAGCTTCCCCCTCCTATAGATCAGGCCGTCCTCGGTCTGAACGTAGTCTTCGTTTATGCCCACACGGTTACGTATATCTTCATCCATTTTAGACATTAAGTCTGTCACGGATGTGATGATATTCGTAGTTCCATCTATTGTAGTCTTGCGGAATAGATGTGGTTTCAACAGTACTTCGTTCTCGACTTCTTCCTTGTCGGCAGTGTGATCGGGTCGTCGTGATAATGCGTCTGGCTTCCCCATGGTCTTCCCTGGGTGGTGGCTGAGTTCGAGATCGTATTCTTCTATTGCAAGTAGCCACCGGACTTGTCGGGGACTTAAGCGCTGAGGGTTTCGGAAGTATTCTAGGTTCTTGTGGTCTGTCCAAACTTCTACGGGATGTGCGGCTCCAAGTAGGAAGTGCCTCCATTCGTCAAGTGCGTGTATTACTGCCAGCATCTCACGATCATAGATCTGGTAGTTCTTTTCTGCACTTGTCAGAGATCTCGATAGGAAGGCTATGGTTCGCCACTGCCCGTCTTGCTTCTGCGATAACTCGGCTCCTAGCGCGTAGTTTGAGGCGTCGCACTCGATCTTGAATGGATCTGAATCGTTGGGGACAGCGAGGACAGGTGCGCTCGTAATCAGTTTCTTGATAGCTTCAAACGCGCTCTGTTCTTCGTGTGTCCATTGCCACTCTACGTCGCCTGTCAGGCGATTTAAGGGTCCGGCTGCTTTCGAGAAGTCTTTGATGAATCGTCTGTAGAAGTTCGCGAATCCTAGAAACCCTTGTACGTGTTTCTTGCAGGTCGGAGTTGGCCACTCGGTGACACCGGCTACCTTGGCGGGGTCCATCTTGATAATTCCTGGCGCTATGATGTGTCCTAGATATTCAGTTTCTTGTACTTCAAACTCGCACTTCTCGGGTTTGCAGGTGAGTTTGTCGTCTCGCAAGATCTTGAGCACTTCGCGTACAACGCGTCTGTGTTCGTGAAGATCTTGCGAGAGTATAAGAATGTCGTCTAGGTACACAATGACCTTGCCTTGCAAGATGAGGTTGCGGAAGATGTCGTTCATCATCATTTGGAAGGTTGAGGGAGAGTTTGATAGTCCGAAGAACATAACCGTGGGTTCAAACAGTCCTCGGTTTGTGATGAACGCAGCCTTCTCCTCGTCTCCATCTTTCATGCGGATATTATTGTATCCCCATCGCACGTCGAGCTTGGTGTAGTACTTGGCTCCTTTGAGGCGATCAAAGATATCTGACATGAGAGGTAGTGGGTACTTGTTCTTTTTGGTCATGGAGTTCAACTTGCGATAGTCTTGTACCGGTCTTAGCTTACCATCCTTCTTTTTTACGAAGAAGAAAGGTGCTCCCCATGGTGACTTAGAGGATCGAATTCGTCCAGTGCGCAGGTTCTCATCCAAGAACTCATCCAGTGCTTGTTGGTGTTGTCGGGGCATTGGATACACCTTTCCACAGTATGGTTTCGCGTCAGGCAGGAGTTCTATAGCGTGATCGTATGGGCGTCGCTCGGGTAGTGTGTTGAATGTACTGTCTTCAAACACGTCCTTGAAGTCGTGATAATGTGCGGGAACCACTTCTTCAAACGTTGCGGGGGCGCGTTTCTTGCTCTGTTCAATGGCGATATCCATAGCTACTGAAGCTCTTCTTGCATGCAAGTAGGCAGGGACGTCCATCATGAACACGCGTTCACCTTCATCCAGAACGTGTTCGCAAGTGTGGGGACAGCGGCTGAACTCCACAGACTTCTTTTGCCAGTCGATCTGTGGGTTGTGGTGCTGGATCCATTCGTGTCCGAGGAATAGATCGGCCTTGCCTAGGTCGGTGACCAGTAAGTGCATCATTTCTCGGTGATTTCCGATTGTGATGAACACTTCTACGTAGTGGGTTATACTTCCACCTATGTTTGGTGTGCCGTCCGCATTGTGTACAGGTATGGGTCGGTCATAGGCACGCATGGTTAAACCAGCTCGTCGTACCAGATCGCGGTGTATGCATGATCCTGTACACCCGGTGTCTAGTAGGGCCTGCACACTTGTTCGTTTGGTGGTTTCTGGATTCTCAAGCTCTAGCGGGATGTCCATTTGTCGCTTAGAACCTAGCGCTCTGACCACGCTGAAAAGCTTGGGTCCGATGCGGTTGATGCCGAAAGTGTTGGGTGTGTTTTGTTCCGCTGCACTCGGAGTTTTCGTTCTTTTTTTGGTAGTATTGGAGAGAGAATTAAGTACAGATTCCCGTCTGCCGCGCTTCACTGGTGAAGACGCTCTCTCGGTAGGTACATAAGGAACAGAGGAATCTACAGTGTTCGCTAGGTCCGGAACTTCGTATACAGGTAGGCAAGCGAAACGATTCTTAGTAGCTATAGTACATTGAGGGAGAACGGAATTGATTACGAGGGGGGAACGGGGTCGTGCAGCAACTCCGTCCCAAACGAAAAACCCTGCGACAGGAAGTCTTCGGGCTCCTCGGAGACCCAGGCGCGTATAGCATCGACAAACTCCGAGCGCTCGACGGATTCCCACGCGCGCAGCGTCTGCGTCGGGCGGTTCGGAATATGCCAGGGTGATCCGCACGTGCCGGCTTGATCCTTGCGCGCGGCGCACTCGGGCTTGCGGCACTTTTGCGCGTTCAGCCTGTCGATGTCCATAGGTTGTCCTTTTCCTCCGTAGGTAACCCCGGTTGGCTCGCGTCGGTCCGTCCTAGGTTCGTACAGCGGGCGTGATGGTGCGGGCCTTGGTGGTGTTTCGTTGTGGTTCGCGCGCGAGTTTGTGTTGACCGTCGCGCGCGCAGTACTGGTGGTCGCGTGCGAGTCGCGCTGCATAAGTCCGAACTCGCGGTCTGCTTCGTCCAGGTCTGTGATGCGGGTCTTCCATTCCTGGTACGTCGCGGGGCGGATGTGTGATCTGTAGATGTCCTTGAGGAGGTCTTTGCGTGTCTTCTGTAAGACCATCTCAACGATTGTTCCGTCAGTGAGGGATAGTCCAGCCGCTAGCACAAGGCGCTCGAATTCTATGAAGAAGTCCACTGCGTTGGTCGTCCCCTGTCGGTACAGCGTGAGGTCGTGGAACGCTCGTCGCTTAGCATTCTTGTCTAGAAACACTGCGTCCATCGCATCCCAGAAAGCTTCATGGTCGGTGAAGTCCCAGCGACCGTTGACGTCGTGAGTGGTTCTGAACGCGTTCTTCCATTGTTCTATGGCATTCGTTCCGCGCACGAATGAGAGCACGTATCCGACAATGTCTTCTATGGGACCTCCTCGGGTTAGGAGCTTCATCTCGTTCCTCCAGTTGACGTATTTGGTTCTATCGCCTGCAAACAGTTCCGGTTCCTTCTTCCGGTAGTATGCCGGAGACGTGTTGGTCGCGTTTACTGTCACTGGGGGAACATTAACTTGGACAGGTACAGCGGTAGTGGCGTGATCGGAGAGGTGTCGGAGGATGTCGACAACGACTTGGAACTGTGCGGGGTCAATTTGTGACGCCATCGTTGTCGTTGTTGGTGGTACAGTTGGTGGCGGAGTTCCGTCTGGGCCTTGATCAGGTTCGGATGTGGTGTCGCTAATGTCGGGCGTTTCGGAAGGAGGTGTTGTGGTGGGATCAACAACGGTCTCGTCGGGGTCTTCGAAGTTTTCTTCGACTTCTTCCTCTTGTGGTGGGATGATCTCTGCCCAGCGCGCTGAGATGAAACGGCGGATATCGCTGGTGGTATCGTCGTAGCGCCGGGGACAGGGATTATGTTCGCAACGTTGGAGTTGCCTGGTACCCTCTGGTCTGTACGCGTCGTAGTCGTCTTCGACGTTGTGCGCGTGAAAGCGCCCTTCGCACCGGAGTGGTCGCGACACGTTGAGGAACTGTTGCGGAGCCTAGGAGTCGAGTGATTCGGGCAAGTCGGCGAAGAGACGGCTGAGCGCTTTTCGCGTGGGAATTGTTTAGGCGAGGTTCTGTCTACACGACTGTCTGAACCTAGTAGAGGGCGTGGAACACTAGCTGACGCTCGAGGCGTGGGAGGATGTGGAGGCTGTGGCGAGTGCGTAGGTACTCTAGGTACTCTCCAATGGGTAGGACGTATAGGATGAGGCCGAATTGGAGGTTGGGGGCGAGAGAATTAAAACGTAAGGCGTTCTCGCCGGGATCGAGGTTGTCAAAGGTGGCTACGCGAGTACGTCTCCTCTCGTTGTCTTCAGTGGATAAGGTGAATACAATGCGGCCGTTAGGGAGCCAATCGAAGCGGTAGAACACGTGGGTCCAGGGGCCTCCTTCGATGTATTGGTAAGCAGGGGCGGTGCCGGGAGCGGCGTCTACCGTAGTGCAGTCTGCTGCGAACCAATAGCTATCGTGCTCGCTCACGCGGTAGGCTGTAGTGGTGTCAAGGTCGATAGCAGAAAGCTTATCACGAAGAATTCCAGCGGGAGTTCCGTACGCGATGGGTTCGTCCGTCTGGACACAGGTGCGGGTGATGAGGGATTCGTAGTGCGCGGGAGAGAAGATCGGAAGACCTTCGCGGAGGTTGTAGTAGGCTTCGAAACGTTGCAGGCCGTAGCGCACGTCTGAGTAGTCACCGGTGAGATCCCAGGACTCCGCGTAGTTGGTGTTGACGCGGCGGAGGTAACCACGGACCGTGCGATCGTGTTGGTCGAGCGCTTCGTAGCACGGGCGCGGGAAAGCGGTGCGGTCGAGGTGAAGGAAGTGGTGGAGGTAGTTGGCTACCGGTTCGTAGGGTGGCGGATAGTCGTCGAGGAAGTTGGGACGGATGCGGTCTCGCGGTGGAGTCGCAGTCGACTCGTCGGCGAAGATGTCGGTGAGTGGGAGGATAGAGGGAGTGCTTCGCGCGGACACTGGAGGCAGGTCGCGTTAGCGGTGAGGGTGTAGGGGGTGTGGTAGAACCGTACTCGTGTATTCGCGCGCTTGATTCCGCGGCGAGTGGGGTTTTGAGTAGGTGTGGGGTTTGGTAGAAGCTGTTTATGAGACGCCTTAGCGCGCGCGGCTATCTACGAGATTAGATAGCGCACCGGCCGAGACTCGCGAGGGAGATTGGAGGTACGAAAGCCCAAACAGCTTCTGGAGATTGCTCCTCCAGAAGCGGGCCCTTTTATATTCGCTAGCTACGATGTACATGAGTCAATGTGAGTCGCGCGTGCATTCGCGTGCTGCAGCGTTAGCTCGCCTGCTTGCACTCACATGTCGGGTAGAGTCAACGGAAATACAAAGAGCAATCGCACGAAAGGCGCGAGGCGTCTGCGTACGATACTGGAAGAAGTAACTACGTAGTCAGGGCGCTGGTACGCTCCAGGCACAAGAGGCAACGTGCAGGAGCGCGCGGTCACTCTCCACGGCCCGGTTGTACATGAGGCGCTCAAGTGAGCTCTTGTACGGCGCGCGGTAGCCTCGTGGCTGGGCGTCGGAGCCGCGCGCTGCTTACTAACACCGTGACTTGCGTGATTACTGGAAAAGGCAAATTTCCGTAACAGCCACTCGCCCTGTCGTCGCCGACGTGGACGGACGCGTTGGCGCTCGGGCCCCTGACGCGTGGCGGCTTGCTCGGCCCGGCGGCCGTGGGGGAAAACATTCAAATGCTGAACATTCGTTAGGTACACGGACTTTTCTATTAACGGACGGAATTATGCAGAGTCAAAGCTATATTGCATCATCGCCCCACCAAGCCAATCCTCAGCGGAAGCTCAGACTTCTCGCTCTCGTAACCCACGCTCGGGAACATGGTCCCTACTGAGCTCCATACGATGGGTGCTGGAAGATCTTTCGGTACTTCGAAGATGAAGTGCCGGATCAAAGTGGACAGAACAACCTCTACAGAGGCCATCAGCGTCAAAAAGAGACAGAAACAGCACGGATACGCACTCATCTCCATCTGCGAGAACTTGAAGCCGCTGCAAAGCATACGTCAGTTTTCACTCTCCATGAAGCCTGGAGAGAACACTGGACTTACATGCAAGATCGGCCACCACCGTTGAATGTCATTCTACGCCACCGCGAGAACGGTCAGTGTCCATAGGATCAGCCTCGAAAGCAGCCGCACGCACAGGTGAGAATACACGCCCGGAGTCGGCGCGTTCGTGACCGCCTCCGGCAGCGGGCTCAGCCACCGCTCCGGCTTCCACTCGTTCGCGTCGGGGCCCCAGAGCGCAGGGTTTCGGTTCGCGCCCATGATCCCGAAGTGCACCATCGTGCCTTTCGGGATCGGGATCTCCGTGATGAGAGAGCCATCTGTCCCCTTCACCGGCACACCCACGGGGAGAACGGCGTCCTGGAGGGCCCTGCGTAGTGAGCTAGATCAGCACGTTGAATGCGGATGCACGCCACAGCTATACGCACAATCGTCCGAGCTCCGTGAGGGGCGGGTACCTGAGTCGTCCGTTAGCTGTGCTGTAACACGCGCGCCGAGTGTACGCACATTCGGAGGGTCTCGCGACAGATCGAGTCGAGGTACGGAAGGCCCATCAACTCGTCGTAGGATAGCCGTCCGCTGTCAGCGTTCTCGAGGGCGTTCGTGACCTCCTCGCGCAGCCGAGCTTGCGCTTCCGGGTGCTCCGCCAAAGTCTGCAGCGTGCGCCCGAGCGCGCTGGACGTGGTGTCCATCGCGGCGAGCACCAAAGCTCTGGAGCATACATCAGCCGAAGTCACTGCGCTCGAAAGACAGGCGAAGGAACGCACGACATCTGCGCGAGCACCTCTTCGTCCGGCAGGCGATCCTTCTCTGACGCCTTGAGATTCTCTTGGACTGGGATTTGGGACGTCAGCGCGCCACCTAAAGCGGCACGAGACGACTCGGAGGCGTACGCAGTTTGCTGATGATGTCCCTGCCCTCCCCGATCTGCTGCACGACGGCGTCGTCTCCACGTGTGAGGGCGGCCTTCTTACCCTCGAAGATCGCACACGCGACCTCGTGCATCGAGTCCACGATGTGCCGCACCTTCTGCACGCGCCGCGACGGGGTGTGCTCGACGACCCAGCGTCGGAAGCGTGCCGAGCCGATGCTCATCAGCTGGGGCAAGAGCTGGACGACCAAGGTCAGGGAGATGAACGTTGGCCTGTGGCGACGAATTGACGTCAAAAACGCATCGATGGCGGAGGCAACTGGTACCTACCCTAAAGCCTTGATGTTCTCTACATACGCATTCGTAGAGCCCGCCTCCAAAGAGTCGAAAGAGTGCCCCAACCCGCCTTGCCCGACCATCTCGAGAGCAGCGCGAGTAGTCCAGCCAAGCATGTCGACCGTTCGCGGTCCGTCCGCGGTCATTTCCGCGAGCGTGTCGCGCAGCTATTGAGCGAGGGCGCTTCAGATCGCACGGCCGTCGGCGCGAAGATGGACACGCACCCGCTCTGTGATCTGATAGAAGATGGGGAGCATGTCTCGCATGTGGTTGGTGGAGAATACGGGGTTGAGGAGCTTGCGCTGCCGTTTGTGGTGGTCGCCGACGGTGACCAGAACACTGGGCCCGAAGAGAAGTCTGTTGAGGCTGAGAAGAAATTTAGATAAAGCAGGTACGCCTAGACTATGTACGTACGCGAGAAACAGCGGGGCCTCCTCGTAAATGTGCTGGTCCTTGAGCACGACGTGACTGAGAGCTAGAGGGTCGACAATATATAGCCACTTTTTCTGCGTGGAGAACGTCAGCGTATCCTGCCATTTACTCTGTGAAGAACCACAATCTTACCCCGAACATTGCGTCGATCTTGACGACCTGTCCATACTTGCCAGAAGCAAGTTCAAGTTGCCATTCCCACCCGCGCCGACCGAGAAACTGGGGAAGGTGACCTATGAGAGTGCGTCAGTACACAGAGCCCTTCTTGTCGTCACCATGAAGGGATGAACCTGCGAGGAAACTCCTGGAGGAAGAAGGGCCCGGGATGTTGGCGAAGACTGCACGTCGGCGGCGGGTGACTCTCCATAACGTCCACGTAGCAGCGAGGAACAGTGAGATGTAGAGGCTCAGCATGGCTGGGCTTCAGAGGTGTGCTGTCCGGCATGTCTCGCTTGGGGTTCTTGTATGTGACCGAGAGGAGTCACTCTTCGCGTGCGGGTTTGTGATGACAAGGTGGGCTGGACACCGGCCGCCGCGGCGTTTCGGTTCGGCGTTTTGGCCAGAGTCTCGGTGCGAATCGGAGCCCGTTCATGAGCCGTCCTGATCTCTGCCGAATCGTCAGCCCATTTGCATCGACCAAGGATCGCGTACAGCAGAACCAAGACGAGGTTGTCCAGCGCCCGCGCCCGAACTGGAGCAGCTGGCGCTTGACAGCCGATCGAGTCAGGCTGACCGCGCTGCTGTACCGCGCGCGGTGCACCCACATCGCAAGCTCTCCTCTGCCCGACCACCCACCGACTCGCGATGGTCCAGGCCAGCCACCCCGCCCCCACCTTCGCGTTCCCGATCCGAACACTGGAGAGCGATCGCGTCAGGCTCGAGCCCTTCTCCGTCAGCCAACATGTCCGCGTCCCTCCTCTCACTCCAAAGAACTGACAGCCCATCAGGCCGGCGCACACGCCCCCGCCTTCTGGGAAGGGACCCGCGCGCACCCCGCCCTGTACGACTTCCTCCCCTGGGGACCCTTCGTCGACCCCGCCGACCTCCTCGCCACCCTCGTCGACCCCGCCGCCGCCGCGCCCGACCGGCTCCTCTTCGCCGTCCTCGACAAGTCCCCCGCTCCCTTTCCACCTCCCTCTCCCTCTCCCTCATCCTCGTCCTCCTCACCATCGCCCTCACCCGTCTCTGTCCCGTATCTCGCCGGCATCACGGGGTACCTCCACGCGGACCCCTCGAGCCTCAGCGTCGAAGTCGGCTTCCTCGTCGCGCTCCCCGCCTCCCAAGGGCGCGGCCTCATGTCCGCTGCGGTCGCGCTCCTCGTGCAGTACGCGCTCCGCCTGCCCTCGGACCCCGAGCGCGGGCTCGGGCTGCGGCGCGTGCAGTACCAGGCGCACACGGAGAACGCGCGCTCGATCGCGCTCGCGAAGCGGCTGGGGTTCGTGTTCGAGGGCGTGCAGCGGTGGCAGCGCGCGCTGGCCCTGGGGAAGCGGGGCAACGGAAAGCCGGTGAGGGAGGGTGATCCAGGCGAGGGGAGGGTAGGGAGGGACTCGGCGGTGTTGGCGCTGTGTTGGGACGACTGGGAGGAGGGTGTGAAGGAGAAGCTTTGTGTTCCGGGGTGGGAGATGTACGCGGCTTAGCTTGGAAGTCGAACGCAGCTTGAGCTCTTAAACGTCTTCTATACCCGCGAAAATCAACTATTTTACAAACCGGGAAAGACCGGACATCTAATTAAGAGTCTTTGTGTCCCACCTGCAGGACGGGGTCAGCGGCGTTCGCTAGCAAGAAAGATGCCCACATACAGGTCCATGAACAGTTTCCAAAGCACAGAGAACATGAGCCCCTGCAGCCCGTTCGCGAGGATGCGTGTCTTGAGGCCACGACCAAACAGCCCGCGCAGTCCGTCCTGCGCGATGACTGCCTCTGCGGCGGCGACATACCCGATCGGCGTCGCGCTCACCTGCCGGTACGTTTTCACGACCCGGAGCGAGTTCGAGATCGTGTCGGACGCGACGGACGCGCAGAAGCCGATGAACGCCTGGCGGAGGAGCTTCTCACCGATGTTCGACGGTAGCGGCAGGTTCTTGTCCAGCACGTTGTACATCCCGAACCATGGGTAGTGGCCCACGAACGTCGCCGCCGCGGTCGCGAGCGCCCCGTACCACAGCGAGCCGACGCCGTAGCGCTTGATCTGCCATCCGCGTCGCGATTCAACGACACTGGCGCGCTGAGACGATGATGACGCACCCTCGCACGCAGTATCGGGAGGCCCGCGCGGCCGTCCGTCTGCATCGTCGTCTTCACGGTGTCGATCGGGGTGAGGATCATGCGGAACGCCGCGGCGGCGAGCGACGCGAAGACAGTCTGGCCGAGCGCGGGGAGGTTCTTGAGGTACTTGTTCGACTTGAGGATCGCGAGGATGCCGACGTTCGCGGCGGTGTCGCCAAAGCGCGAGACGGGGCCTTGGACGAGGGCGGGGGCGAGGCCTTGGTAGTAGCGCGTCCAGCCGCCGTCGGCGTAGAGCGTCTTCGTCGCCTGCGTCAGTGTCGTCCCGTACCGGTACTGGTAGTTCATGATTGTCCGGAGCGGCATGAGTGTGAGCACTTGAAGGACCATCGCGGCTGCGCCGCTCAGCCCACCGCCGAGGGCCTTCTTGAGAGCTGCTCTAAGATCGAACTGTGACAGACAGTTAATATCAGAATACCCGAGGCAAATGCGGTTGAGCCCGCGCAAATGGTGCAGAGAGGGTTCACAGTGGGGATAAAAGGGAGTGTATGCGCATATGGTGGGCAGGCAAGGGAAAGGGAGAGGGAAAAGAGATAAGACACGCGCAAGAGTGAGAAGCGCGACAATACATGAAAATGGAGGGTCAAAAACGCGTGCATTCGATGCAAGATGCATCAACAGAGAGGCGGATGGGGAATGGGCGCGCATATAGCTGGGGCATAAGACTGACGCATTAGGATGGGATACGTACCTCAACATCGTCCGCGTCGGTGAAGCCTTTCACGAAGATCACCGCAGTGAAGATCGCGAGCGCGGTGATGACCGCGTACCACAGTATCTTCCCCCACGTCCGCTTCTTCTCCGGAGAGGCTACTTCTTCGGCCTGCGATGCGCCTGGCGAGAGGAGAGGAGTGCGCTCCTCGTCTGGCTGGATGAGAGACGTCCGTTCGTCTACCGGTCGGTCAGCCATGGCGGATGTAGGTGGGAAGGCGGGAGGATGTAGAGGGCGGCAGCGGGGTGCCCAAGACTGGTGTCATCGTGGGCGCTGCTGACTGAGCCGCCTCCCGCGCAGCCGCACAGCGCCGCGCGTGGCGGCACTAGGACACGGTCGCGCGCGCCTCGCACGTAATATTAGGCTATCACATCTTATCTTATCTGTAGCCGCGGGTTAGTCTAAGTTCTTAGTCTTGCAACGTTGAGAGCACCGTGTATCGTAACAAGAAGTCATCGTGTAGAATGAGACAGATGCATGTTACGGACGGTATACTACGGCACTACAGTTAGATGAAGGCGCGATGTAGGTACCCCCAGTGGTGGCCATGCTGGTGTGTCGTGCGTACTTAAGATCTAGTAAAACACGCAGAGGCTGAGATCAATTTCTCCCCGAAAGTCCGTGCGCGAGTACATACCGCGACATTAAACCCGACCGATGAGGATGGCCCGAAAGCCCTTCCGAGTGATCAGGCCCAGGGCCGGGGCCAGGGCCACTGATCGCGAACTCCCGGTTGGTATCTCCGACGTTCCCTCCAGGGATATGGTCGCTGCTTCGCGGACGCGGTCCCATCGCGACAGACACACCCGGCCCAAAAATTTCGAGCCCCGCGTTCATAACGCTGGTCTGGCCGAACGAGTATTCCCGCCCGTCAGAGTACCCGGGCTGCGGCTGCGGCTGGCCATGATAGTGAGTCATGCGTGCACAAGCCGGACTCTGCGGAAGGCGTACCGTGCAGAACTTCGTATGTTCCCCTGGAAGAAATCAGCTTCAGAAATTCATAACATCTACCAGCAGTGGCTGCCGACTCACTGGACCTTTTGCCCCAGCGTACCTTGCGAACGAGAGGTCGCTGGGTCGACGTTGTTGGCTTTGCGTATGGATGTCATGGTAGGGTTTAAGATGGGAAGACTACGCTCGAAAAGCGCATTGTTCTTATAAACGACGCGAGGTAGCTTGTAGTCTACATTCGTCTCCGAGTATGACGAGCTGGTGGGGAGAGGAGCCACCTCGACGCTTCGGAGCTAAACCAACGACATAAACTTAAAAGGTCTGGTGACGTCAATCGAAAATCCGAACTCGGAGGTTGCGCACTACGCACTTGGCCAACTGCAGAGACGACGGATCGCGCGCCCGCTCGTTCGGGATGGCGGTCTAAGTCAAAGCGCGAGAGATTGAGTCAATCAGGCTCCGGTCCGGAGCGCCGCCGGCCGCGCCACGCCGGCCAGTGGATCAACCGGCCCGAAAAGCCCGTCTTGAATCAGGACATCGTGCAAGGTGCAGTCGAAGACTGAGACCGTATCATCGATTGCGTTCAGGAAAACACGGAATATATGCCAAAATGATCTCCAAATTCCTAATGGTCAATATCAAACATAGCTTGAAACGGGCGGGGGTTCAGGATCGGAAAGGGCGTGCGCGCGAATGGGAACCACTTTGTGAGTGCTCTTTGGTAGAGAAGTACGTGCGTGCTAAACGAAGGCATGTAGGTATACAGTGGGATCGACCAAACGAAGCGATGTGTGTTTTATCGATGTAGAAGATGTTCACAAGCGTGCTTCGTCTGCCATATTTCGGCCGTCGGAGACACCGGGTCATATGGGCCAAGTGGCTCGTTCATAGCCGGTCCTCACTAGGTATTCGGGTTGTATCAGCCATTCATCGGCCCCTCGAGAAAACTGGGTACGAACCTTGATGTTCTTCCATTCTGGGCATTCTAATCCAAGAATGGAAGGAATCTTGTTCCACGACGCATAGCGTTCAGCTTGCCGGACTTCCCCAAGCTGTGTGCGACATGATGGGCACAGTTGTTCCAGAACAGAGTCGCAAAGTACGATGGATAAACCATGCTGCCTATCGGTTTGACCGAGATAGGTCGACTCGGATTGCGCGAGGTCTAGAAGGGGCATTGCGGCTTCGCGGCACGGTTTCCCAGTGAGACCTAAATTGACACAGTGGGAAGAGAGGAATGGGGTGATGATGCGAAGGAACGAAGAGAGGCGGTTGCTGGCAAACTGTGGTTTTGCCGTCAGACACCGTACGACGTCTCCCGCTGACAAGGTCTCACTCTTGCCGTCGCTGTACTCGAAGCCTACCAGCAGGCGAGGAACGCTGAGTAGGCAACAGGCGCGTAAGGCGAGGGGAAGCATGGATGATTCTCCCACGAAGTGGGCGATGTTGACGACACCAATGGCGTGAACGGGGGAAAACGACTTTGGGATGGAACCGTTGACCTTGTAAAATCCAAAGTAATCGGTTCCGAAGAACCTCTTGAGAAATTCGATGCTTCGGTTGTAGAGGCTCTGGATGCAGTATTTGTGGCCGATGCGAACGTATGCGAAGATTTCTTCAGCGGTGGGGAGACGCTGTTTCTCTCCATCCAGTCTAGGAATTACGTAAGTGTGCACGTTCATACATAAGATCATTTACAGACGATCAAAGTGACGAACCTCAGAGATATTTCTTGAGTAAAGCATACGCGCAGCACGTAGCGCCAGTCCCTGGCGGTATCAGGAAGACAGAGTTCAAGCTTACGGGAGTTGGTAGTGGTCTCGCCCATGTGATGTACCGCGAGTAGCTTCTTCAAAACCTTTGAGTGCCCAGCCAAGACACCTCCATAGACGCGGAATCCGACGTTTTCCGCCACGAGCGTTACAGTCGCATCCTCGAAAGAGAACTCAGGGTCTACCTTCCAGGTCTGTGCGTCGTTATCCACCAGAGTGGTCTGGTTTACTGAGGATTCTTCCTCGGTGTCTATGAAGAGCCTTAGCCTTCTGACGAGATACTTGTCGAGTTCTCTGCATCGTACCTTCGCGTGCCCTACACAATAACTGTGGTGCTTCCCACTTTGGGGAGCTCGGCGGAGAAATTGGTGCATCAGATCTATCGAGGACTTCTAGAGGCTGCAGCCACGCGGAATAACATTGGATTCAATAAAAAAAGTGTGCTGAGACGAAGAGTGAATAGATCTCTCACTTTGAAAGAAGTCACGCTGACATGACGCTCGGGATCGACATAGCGAACGGGCATGTTTGACGATGATTGTGAAGAAGGCGAGTGGTAGAATGGGGTGCCGTTGGATGATGGTACGCTGGTGTGGAAATTCTTTCATATACCTGTTCAGCGGCTTACTTATTCCAGGGAGAAGCAGCCTACCCTGTCATGCGGCCGTGGATTCCCCAGTACGAAGAACGCTTCCGCAGCGGTGCGACTATGACGAGCCTACGTGCTTTGTGAGTCGCAGCACATTCCGTGTGACGCTTCTCACCTTGTTCCAGCGCGAGCGCGAACGGCTGACGTCCTGCAAGATGAATTTGAAGAGCCATTGGACGTCCATTTTCGGCGTGTGCTGCAGAACACACACGGAGCAGACAGCGTGTCAAGAAAACTTTATTTGCACCTCAAATACAGGTTAAGAGCGAGGCCTATATGTTCCGGTGATTCATACCACAGCATAGGCCAATTGGATCGAGGGAGTACAGCATTGCTGCGGTAGTCGGGCCCCCGTCCGCTATATTGAGATGTTCGATGAACGCGGGAACTGTGATCTCGTGAGTGTGAGTCTCATGAGTGCAATTTTATCGTGTACCCAGAGCTGGAATTTTGTATTCGGGGATTGAGACTTGCGGCTGATGGTGGTGGCGAGAGATAGAGTGAGCACCATAGGCGCTCATCATATAAACTGGCCACACCGTCGTCGCGGCGAGAGTCATCGGTGATTCAGCGTGGGTTCGGAAGCATCTCCGACTCTACGCCCTCCTCGGTTATTTTGACCCTACGCTTCTCAGATGATGATGCTACGATACCTGTGCACGCTGGTGTTGTCGCTGCGTCCGTCGCCGGTGTGCCCGAAGGGAGTTAGCGCTTGTGGGCATCCGCGCTAACCGTCTGTCTCTCCTGCTCGTTTTAATCCCATCTCCCTTCCTTAACGTGTCATGCAGATCCGCAAATTCTCCTTTCCCGCTTCCCGCACCCTGCGGCTGACGTGCACGATTTACTTCGCGTATGGACCCCCCCCCCCACACGTGCGAGCGCCGCTAGCGCTCGGCTTGAGGGACAGGGAAGCTTGGTGCGTCATGTGTTGTGCGCGTCGCTGTGGGAGGTTTTGTACGGGGCGTGCTGCGCGCTTAGGGTTGAGACGGCGCGCGCGGAGGCGGGCGGTGGGGGATGTGCGGGTCGTGCGGGTGAATGGGAACCGCTTCGTAAGTGCTTTCGGTCTGGAAACGTATAAAAGTACAAGGGTGCTGAGCAGAAGCGTCTAGGTACACTGGGGCCGGCCCGGCGAGGCGATGCGCGGGTTTTTGGTATCGAGAGAGAGAGCATCGTGCGTTGACTTGCAAGTATCACGTCGACGGCTATTCAGCAGCCGCCTTCTTGGTGTCCTTCGGGTACATTCTCCATCCGTGCATGATGAAGAAGAACCTGGTGAAGAATTAGACAGGGTCGCATACGAGAGTAAGGGATTACCTACCACTTCAACCTGTCCAGGCGGAAGATGTAGAACAGCAGAATCCACACGACTGTGAGATCCGCAGGGTCAGACATCTGTAAAGTGAAGGGACCAGGGCCGTCATACCCATTTCCATGTACGTGAAGAAGCGGAGCGTGTCAGTGCGCTTGCGGCGCTTAGCGTCAACCCAGAGCTTCATGTCCTTTTCGGTGGGTCGAGTGGCAGGATCCATCAGGAACGTGAGGAGAATGCGCATATCTATTGCATCGGCGCGTAAGCATATATTTCATGGGAATAAGTCAACAAGCCCGACGTACAGATCCCAATGTGGCTGCGAAGACGAGTCACAAGGAGATGGGAAGGCATACGACTTGGAAGGAGACAACGTCACTCACAAGTGCCCTGCCGTGGCGAGCCCGTGCTCGTACGTCGAGTTCGTCATCATCACGGACCAATCTTCCGTCGAAAAGCTGTGCATGTACAGGTTCGGCCGCTCGTAGCTCTCTGGGAAGAGATCGTCCTTGAAGAAGTCGACTGCCGGCTTTTTAAACCCAGTGGCCAAGACGATCACATCTCCTTGGATCTGAGTTGGCGTTAAGAATCACGGAAAACGACTAGGGAGGACGATTGAAGACGCACCTCCCGCTCTTTGTTCCCCTCGCCAGGCTTATCTTCGCGCCCCCGGAGCTTGACGCGCACACCGCAGCGCGTCAGCCGCTCGATGTCGCAACGCACATACTCGCAGCGCCCATCTCTGACAAGCCCCACGAACTCGTTGTTGGCGATCGGCGTTGTTTCGAACAGACGGAGTCGCGCGGGGACGAGCTCGGGCGCTCCGCGGTAGTTCAAGAACGCCACGCACGTCTCCCAGACGCTCGTCACGAACTTCTCGCGTCCAAACAGCTGCGCCGAGAGGAGCGTGTTGAAGACGATGTTGCGCGGAACGATCCACTGCAAGAGCCACCGGGGCACCTTTTGAGTTGCCGTATGCGCACGACAGCGACTAGCCACGCACCTTTTCGTCGCGCGCGAGCATCACACATCCCTCGGCACCCTTCTCGAGCGCGGTCTCGACCACCTCAACGCCGCTTGCCCCGCTCCCGATGACGATGACGCGCTTCCCTTCGAAGTCCACGCCGTCGATCTCGGATGAGTGCATGACGTCACCCTGGAAGACCGCCGCGTCGACGATGCCCTGCTTCTTCTCGTCGTCCGATGAGTCCCCGCTGGCGTCCTGGTCCATCTCCGGCATACCCGGGACGTTGATCCGAAGCGGCGGCCCGCAGGTGCCGATCGTGCACACCACCGCGTCGAACACGCCGTCCACGCCGCCGTTGACGATCCACTTGGACTGCGAGTGCTCGGGGTCGCTCGTAACCTTCTCGCCCGACCCTTTGACGCGCTTGACGGACGTGACCGGCGTGTTCAGTCGCGTTCGCGGCTCGAGGTGGTACTCCTTCCACACGCGTGTGATCTCTGCGACCGTCGAAACCGAGAACAGGTGGGTATATGCGCATTTCGAAGACAAAATGAGCGGCATAAAACGTACCCGAGAGGATCTCGTCGCGTTTCGGGCAGGAGCTCGTCCATCGTACGCCCGGGAAGAAGCGGTACAGCATCGCGTGGAACTGGATGGCAGACGTCTTGTTGACGTTGGCCCAGATGCCTCCTGCTTGACTATGAGAATCGCAACGCATGCGCATATATGCAGGTCAAAACACACCGATCTTATCGTCCTGCTCATAGATCACGACTTCGAAGCCATTGGCGATGGCGTGCGCCGCGCTTGAAACCCCAGTGAGGCCCGCGCCGATGACGGCTATGCGTCCCTTGGGGTTCTTGAGGTAGTCTGGACCAGGAGGAGGAGGCTTTGGTGGCGATTCAGAGAAAGGACTATTACGCCGCAACGGGAGACTTACCGGTTTGAACAGCTTGAAGACAACCCGCTGGATGGAAGGGTAGCAGAGGTCGAAGACCTGCTCCAGCAAGCACAAGGGAGAGAGGGATTGCAAGAAACCGTGTCTCTGAGTCGCCATGTCGTCGGAAAGGTGGATGGGGTATGGGATGAAGTGCAGTCCACGCTCGTCTTGTGCTTTTGACCGGCCCAGCTTTCCCACGCTTTGCCCCCGTCCTCCAAGACCCTAGCCCAAGCTCGGTTCCGTACGACCGGCTGCATTTGGATCCGACAGTGAGTAGATGCTGCAGATAATCACGATGCACCTCACCACTCAAGCTACGCAATCGCCATTCGACGCTGATGTCGGCAGTGATCGTATGGGATGAGGATGTTGTGGATACGCCGGACTGGAACAAATACTCGCGCCCCCGGGCTCGAGAGAAGAATGCGCAGTAGACGAGCCCATGACGAGCTGGGTTACTGGATACGCTATACCTACCGACGCCGCTCGCCGCTCGCAGACTCCACGTTGACGATCACGAGCATATCCACGGCTGGGCTAGCCGTGCACGACTAGCCCGCGGAAGACCTGGAGAAGAGAACGGAGAAGGTATTGTCCATGCAAAGCTCGTAGTTCACTTCTCCTGACCAGCACACGTGGGGTGTGCTGTACACGTAGTCGCTGGAGGCGGCGACACAGCGCAGAGTGCGTGCTCAACGGCGTACGCCGAGGCGACCTAGAAGGAAATGATGCGAAGACCATCCGCGATGTACATGTGTGCTGAACCGAAGCACGAGCCCTGGAATCGACCGACGAAGCGATGGCAAGTGGATAGCGTAGTGCATCCCCGAGATGCCTGAGTACCCAAGGGCGGCCACGATGACTGAGAGCTCCCTAATGCCGTGCAGGATTCGATCAGATTCGTATAGCAATATGAGAGAACGATTCAACTACCATCTAGGTCCACGGAGCCATCGTCAGACGAGAACTCCTGGCCCTTGGGCACGGACGAAGTCGAAGTCACGTCTTCACTTAAAATAATTCTAGGCAGAAAGCTCAACACATCAGCCGAGTTGGCTTGTAATGAAACGAATAACTTACCTTCGTTCGATCCTGCCGGAAGTGACATGGATGAATGGTGTGACGAGCAGCTCTTTCCGTGTGTCGTGAAACCGAGCATAGTAGACTAGTCCCGTGAGGAAAGGCGTACATTTTTGATGAAGGCAGCCCCTTGGATGATGGTGAAGAGCAAGTCGCGCTGCACCTGTGCCCGGCCCGTTGGATTCTTCAGGACGTGACGCGTGACGGATACCACACGTGGCCGAGGATGATTAGTGTAGCGCTCTGTGTCACCAGGGCCTTTAAGCGCTCGACCCCGCTGAAGTATGTAAGGTTGGGCTCAGTCACAGCCCGCTCCATCACGTGATCCAAATGCGTCCGTTTGGGTGGAGGATTCATTGTAAACCATGTACTTTTCTTAATGAAGCATTTTCTCCTGGTTTGTTTCCGGAGGATTGTACCAATAGTATTTGGCTACAACTCCCTGGAGCTCCTTTTGGCGAGAGAAGGCGGGAAAGGAAGTGGCATCGTGAGCGGTGTCGCAGACGAGCGCAGTTCAGGCGTCAATAAAAGCGCCAGGAAATGGAGTTTATTGAGTAAGCCTGTCAGAATGACATTAGCATACAACCATAGGTCGAGTTAGCACCGCAAAAGCGTCCAGGTTGAAGAACATAGGCAGGTGGATGAAGGAGAAGGTCTTGAAAGCGAGTCCAAACAAGGAAAACCCGGCATGGATATCATACCATCTCTTCAAAACCTCTTATTGAGCTCGCTATGCAGCCCCCGGTGCCACCGGAGCGTGCACTTCAAGCACGCATCACAGGGCTGAACCACGACGTGCACGTTGAGAAGTCGCCGCATGCTTGTGGAGATGTCCCAACTTCAGGCAGCACCTCAGCTGCCGCCTGGGAACACGCCATCCAGACTGCCGGTTGCGGACCTTCCAGCGGAATCCTCCACTGTGTTGTCGTCCCCGCGATCCCAAACGACACTGCCGGAGGACGCTTTCAATCAGCGCCCACGCGTAAGGCTACAGGAGCGGGGCTGAAGCTGCTGGATGCACTACTGTGGCCGCGCTCAAAGACGAAGAAGAGGAGATATTTGCCTTTCAAAGCAGGAAACCCGCAGCTTCACCGCCGTCTCGTGGAGATGCGTCTGTGCGTGGATGGAAGAAGACCTCCGTGTCGACTGCACAGAAGCTCGGTTGCGCGCCAAATCATGCGCGAACGCTTCGCAGGTGGTGTCGGAAGTTTCTGTCAGGCGCAAAGCCCACACTCTCAGCATTATCGCGACGGTCTCAACGGAGCGGAGGCGGCTTGGGCAGCAAAGAAGTATGCTAGCCATCATGGGCTTCCCCCTAGGGCGATATTTGAGCGCGCAGACATCGCGACACCTGTATAGCATACATAACGATCATTTGCATGCTTTTATCTACTCGCGCACCCAGTCACTATTCTGCTGTGTGTTCGGGATGGTGTGCGCGCATTCTGGCGTCTTTGCGGGGGACTTATCTGGCGTCTAGCGCAAAGATAACTGATTTGAGCGCCGATCTCACGTGCTCAGCATAGGGGCGAGCTGTGACTGAGCCCAACCTTACAGTACAATGAGAAGCGGGGATTAAATGAACCCATTCAACGAGTTTTCTACTATGAGAATGAATGTTACTATTTTTGGTTGGTGTTTGGTTGCTTTTCAGATATTGAGCTGGACTTTCGCGAGAATTGTTACTCTGCACTGGCAGAATATATTCAATGTAGGTGTTTGCGATGTTTTGGACCCTTGGCCGGATCCACGAACCACTGGTCCAATTTTTTTAAAATAGGTGATTATTCCAGGGATGTTGTTGAAAGTTGAATCGTCCGCGCGACTCGAGCTGCCCTGGGACCTCCCCATACCGCTGGCCAATTGCGATGGGATTCCCGAGTGAAATTTCAACCCGAGAGTCCCATGAGAGCTCTGATGAACCCCATTGTCTGGGCACGTCCGATTGCGCTTCGGTCAGCGCTTTAGGGGGAATTCGTGGAGCTTTGTCAGAAGTCACTAGTCCGAGGGAGACTTCTTTGCATCGCAATTTGCAATCTTCATCGAACCCCATGCGCGCTGTGGGTCTCATTTGAAAAGCTGTACATTGGGGTGAAACACGGTGGCTATGACAAAGCCCCTCAGTTTCACCGTCGTCATCTTGCTGGTGAACTCAATGGTCCTTACATTATATTCGTTTCTTTAGGTCTCCGCGCCCAGGACCTGGGACGACGCGGCGGCCAGCGTTCCGGTGCCGTCGACAGTCGGAGCTTCCCTCGCACTTTGTTACTCAGTCGCCCTGAGGGCTTTCCGTAACGCAGATGACATCGCGGCTTTCCGCTCAGGAACCTCGGGCCAACACTACGCCGCCACAACTTTGTATAAAGGTCGCACCCAAGACACGGCGATCGACAGCATCGATTCCAACCCGATACCTCCCTCCAGCTCCCACCTCACCCAACCGTTCAACCATGGTCCTCAAGCTCCACGGCGCCACTATCGCAACGTGCACCAAGCGCGTCCTCACCGTCATCGAGGAGCTCTCCATCCCCTACGAGCTCGTCCCCGTCAACTTCTTCGCGGGCGAGCACAAGGACCCCTCGTTCCTCGCCGTCCAGCCGTTCGGCCAGATCCCGTACATCGACGACGACGGATTCAAGCTGTTCGAGTCCCGCGCCATCTGCCGCTACCTCGCGCTCAAGTACGGCGGCGTCGAGGCCGGGCTCGTCCCCGCCGCGGGCGAGCTCGAGAAGGTCGCGCTGTTCGAGCAGGCGGCGTCGATCGAGACGTCGAACTTTGACGCGAGCGCGAGCAAGCTCGCGTACGAAAACCTGTTCAAGCCGTGCGTCAGATTTTTATTTGTCAAATAAACTTTGTCGTCTTCGTCGCTCGGATAAGAGTACGCTGACGCTTGGCTGCACAGGATGTTGGGGCAGACGACGAACACTGAGGCCGTCAAGGCGCTCATCCCCGTGCTCGAGGGCAAGATCGCGGGCTACGAGGTCATGCTTGGGAAGACCAAGTACCTTGCCGGCGATGTACGTACCTCGCCGTGATCACTGATGCTTCGGCCTGGATTTTGAGCGCTGACCCTGCGTCGTCCCAGGTGGTGACGATCGCGGACCTGTTCCACCTCTCGTACGGGTCGCTGCTCGCGCAGCAGAAGATCGACTTTCTCGAGAGCGAGAAGTACCCGAACGTGGCGCGCTGGTGGAAGGATATCTCGTCGCGTCCGTCGTGGAAGAAGGTGTCCTCTGCTTGAAGTAGCGGTGCGCTCCTGTGTAGAATAACATGTGGAAAGTTCAGCCTGTTCCGGACCGTGGCACAAATATTCTCGTGCGACTCTTCTCTCGACTTTCGCATTATCCATATGCCTACCGACGCAGTCGTCCCAGTCCACTGCCTAATTTTCAGTCAGGCCCGACGCAAACCGACAGTGCTTGGCGAGTCGCCGATGTGCAGTGCCAACTCCGGGAAGAGTCGGCGTACGCCGAGGCGGCCTGGGGGGAAATGATGCGAAGATCATCCGCGATGTGCGTATGTGCTGGGCTGGGGCACGTGCTCTGGAGTCGGCCGACGGAGCGATGGCGAGTGGCTGGCGTAATGCAACTGAGAACTTCCTGGTGTTGCGCAGAAGCGATTAGACTCGTGTACCGATATGCGAGAAGGAGTCAACTACCATATAGGTCTACGGAGCCGTCGTCAGACGAGACCTCTTAGTCCTTGGACAAGGACGGAGTCGACATCACTATCTTCACATGTCGTGCAAGCGTTGCGAGGGGAGACTCGGAGACGGGCCCAAATACCTGTAGGCAGAAGCAAGCCCACAATATCAGCAGAGTTGGCTTGTAATAAAACGAATAGCTTACCTTCGTTCACTCTTGGTGGACGACGGATGTTGTGACGAGCAGCTCCGCTCATTTGTCATGAAACCGAGCATAGTAGTTGAGTAGCCCCGTGAGGAAAGGTGGATATGTTTGATAAGGCTGGACTTCAAGTCTGACAACTGTCGCACAAATTGGCAGAGAGACGTGCTCTGAGCAGGTGCGATGACGCTGAGCTCCTCGCTCTATACCTAACATTGAGGAAAGGGGACTTGAGGGGTCAGTCGAGCATCTAATTGAAAAGAGATCGTGTCAACACTCGCAATAACCACCGAGCTTGCACTGTTCCTTGTCGTGAGTGAGCCAATCAATGAAGGTAGCCCTACGGGTGATGGTGAAGAGCAAGACGCGCTGCGAACCTGCAGTGCCGTTGGATTCTTCCGAGCGTGACGCGTGATGGCTGCCACACGTGGCCGAGGATGATTAGCGCAGCACTCTGTGTCACCAAGGGCCTTTAAGCGCTCGACACCGCTGAGGTACACAATGAGAAGCGAAGGTTAAAGTGAACACGTTCAACGGGTTTTTCACTGTGGGAATGCACTTTGGTTGATTTTAGTGCACCTTGCAGATATTGAGCTGAACCCTCGCGAGGACTGTTATGCACCAGAAACTACCTGATACAAGGGTTTGCGATATATTGGAAGGCTCATGGCCAGATTTACGAACCACTGGTCCAATTCTTGCCAGCAGGAAAGTAGGTGGTTTTTCCTGGGATGGTTTTGAATCGCCCGCGTAACTCGAGCCTCCCTGCGTCCTCCTCGTACCGCTGACCAAGAGCTCCAACTAACCCTCTTGTCTGGGCACGTCCGATTGCGCTTGAGTCAGCGCTCTAGGGGCAACTCGGTCAGAAGTCCCTAGCCCGGGTGAGGCTTCTGTCCATCGCGATTTGCAAATCCTCACCGAACCCCATGCGCGCTGTGAGTCTATTTACATAAAAAGCCGCGTACATTGGGGTGAAAAGCGTCGATCCTTCCCCATCCATCATGGTGCTTAAGCTCCGTGCTTTCGCGGATACAGGAGCGCCCCCAGGAAGCACGGACTACACCACTCTCGTCCTTCTCCACGGTTTCGTGTGGCATTCTGGTGAGCACGTCTACACTCTGAGGTGTGCAAGGATAGTAGAGAACCATCATGGCTCGGACAGGGATATTTGCGCGGCTATTGCCTCTCGCGACCTCCTACAACGCCCGCGTCATCCTTGTCAATCGTCCGGACTACCCCGACGCCCCGCAGTATACGGATGAAGAGCGCGCTCTTCTCAAGGATGTCTGCGCTCTCTCCGATGACCCGGCCACGCTTGCAGACCGGCGTGATCAGCTATTGGATTTCATGAAAGATCGGTCGCGCGAAGTCTACGACTTCCTCGGAGGCCTCGTTATCGCCGGCGACGTCTCCCCCGCGGACAAAGCGAAGAACAAGGGGGGCATCGTCATCGGGGGATGGTCCTTCGGGGCCGCATGGATCACCGCGCTCCTAACGTACGCGGACGCCTTCCCTATTGAGCCCGTCGACCTCAGCAAGCACGTCCGCCAAGTTATCCTCCACGGTGCGCCCCGTTGAAGCTCAACGCGTCCATCCCTTCTCGCCGTCAGGCTCACACGCTGCACAGACCCTGGGACCCGCATCCTCGGCTACCCGACCGACGCCGTGCCGGACCCCTACAACCCGGCCGTCCCGCCCTTCCGCCCCGCCGACGGCGACCGCGCCGCGGACGTCTTCGTGAGCTGGGTCTCCGGCTACTTCTCCCACGGGTCCACCCTCGCCGCGTACGAGCGCCGCACGCCGCTCGCGCACCCCGCGCCGACAATCGTGACGCTCTCCGCCGCTGATCTCGCCGCCGCGCGCCATGCGCCCGCGGCCGACCCCGCGACGGGCGCGGACGCGCTCCTGTTCCGCGCGGCGCTCGCCGCGGACGTCTTACGCCAGCTGCGGCAGCGTGCGCTCGCGCGAACGCCGGGGAGCGAGTGGGGCGTGGTGGGGGTGCGGCTGGTGTTGTGCACGCGGTCGGTGTGGGAGATGCCGTACGCGGTGGACTGCGTGCTCGAGGAATTGGAGACGGCGCGGGCGGAGGGGCGGCCGGTGAGGGACGTGGAGGTCGTCCGGGTGGATGGCAACCATTTTGTGAGTGTTCTTTATCCATTTTTGAGGCATGCTGAAGGGAGATGCGTAGGTGCACTGGGACCGACCGGAGGAAGCGATGCGCGGGTTCCTGGCATGAGACCTCGAGACGACGCAGGCAACAAGCACGCTCAGAGAAACGATGATGGTCCTCCTAGCGTACAAATATCGACTTAGGTCTGTAGAAACGTGCAAGAGAACGACTCGACTTCAGACATCCTCTTTCTCCCACTCCACGTCCAAGTTCTCCAACCCGAGCAGAGAGGGCAACTTGTTCCAGTTCTGCCGCGCGATCTTCTGGCTGCGATCCTTCAGACCAGCAAGGCACTGCGGGCAGAGTTTTTGAAGCAATCCTTCGTCGAACCTAGAAACCACGCTCTGGAGCGGGTTCTTCTCATCCTTCGCGATCTGCGTCTCGACCGCCTGCAGGAAGTGGGGCGCTGCAGCCTTGCACAGGTCTCCATGGAAGGAGATGCTTCCGCAGTCGCTGAGGAGGATCGGCGAGACGACGGCGAGCAGTGACGAGCTCGTGACCGCGACCAGACGCGTCCTGGCCTTCCAGCAGAGCGCAACGTCTTCTTCCGAAAGACGCCCGTGTCGCTGGTCGAGTTGGGCGTCCCCTACTACGATCTCCGGACGGGTGCTTACGCAGCAGGCGAAGAGAGCGGTGGGGAGGATGGAGAGGTCAGGAGCCAGTCGAGCGATGTTGACCACGCCGACGGCGTCGATCATGGTGAACTGTGGAGGGACGTATCGCGAGAGCTGTCGCCATCGGGTCAAATTGGTGGGGAAGTAGTTTCTCAGGTAGCGCATCGCGCTTTCGTAGAGCCCTGTGAACTCGTACTTCCGTCCGAGCCGAACATAGGCGAACACTTGTTCCGCAGAAGGGTGGGGGGGCGGGTCTCCCGGAAGTCTGCACGTATTACGGCAGTCGATAAGCGATACGCGGAGGATAGAGGACGGCAAAACGACGTACAGGAGCGTTCTGTGCTGGGACATGCAGCCCCGCAAGACATGGCGCCATTCTTGGGCGATGTCGGAGCGGAAACAGATCACCATGCCCTCTGTGCCATCATGGAAAATTGTGACATCGTCGGGTACGTCCGCTTGCCCTTCGAAAAGACGGCTCATGAACTTAGACTGCCGTGCGAGGACGCTTTTGAAGACAAAGAAGCCTGTTTCTTCCACTACCAAGGTGACGGAGCCGTCTTCGAACCAGAACTCCGAGTCCTGGGACCAACGCGGGGTCGATCTAGCGTCTTCCAAAGCAGTGGAAGGAGTCACGAAGGACGACTGGGCGACGGGCAGGAACACCCCTAATCGTGAGTGTATCCACGTTCAAATTAGCGGATACTTTCAACCGAGGCGAATAAGGCACCTTCATTTACGCTCGCTGTAACTGAGGCACAAGCTTGAGACGAGCACCCTTTGTCGTTGAAAAATTTTCCATCACTGAGCAGAGAATCTTTTTCTGAGAAGGTAGTCGACACCTACGTGTTGATAGTGTGACTATGGGTCAGTCTCGGAGAAACAGAAGGCATGCCAACACTCACGATAACAACGGAACTATCGCCATCGCTGTCAGGATCCTCGAAGCAGGGTGGCATCTGGAAGAGGAGGATGAGGAGGAGGAGGAGGAGGAGGAGAGACGACGAGGCAGAAGTCGTTGCTCAACATTAAAGGAGCCTCGCCGGATTCAATGACGACGTCATCAGCACACGGTCACGTGTGTGTTGCCATTGGGAGGGCGCCTATTTAGATGTAGTGACCTGCGCGTTGACCAAGTGTTTCCTCACCGCCGTCATCTTGCCTGATCTTCCAGTCACAGCATCCGTTCCCTTAGGTCGACACGCTCATGACTGATAGGACGATGCACCAGCGTTCCGGTGCCGGCGAACTGTCGACAGTCGGAGCTTCCCTCGCACTTTCAAGTTCTTAGTCAGTACAGTATCAGTCACCCTGGGGGTTTTCGGTAAAGCGGATGACATCGTGGCTTCCCGCTCAGGAAGCCAACACTACGCCGCCACAACTTCGTATAAAGGTCACCGCCCACGACACGATCGACGCCATCAACCCGCTACCTCCGTCCAGCTCCCACCTCACCCAACCGTTCAACCATGGTCCTCAAGATCCACGGCGCCACTGTCGCGACGTGCACCCAGCGCATCCTCATCGTCATCGAGGAGCTCGCCATCCCCTACGAGCTCGTCCCCGTCGACTACGCCGCGGGCGAGCACAAGGCCCCCGCGTACCTCGCCAACCAGCCGTTCGGCCAGATCCCGTACATCGACGACGACGGCTTCAAGCTGTTCGAGTCCCGCGCCATCTGCCGCTACCTCGCGCTCAAGCACGGCGGCGTCGCGGCCGGGCTCGTCCCCGCCGCGGGTGACCTCGAGGCCGTCGCGCTGTTCGAGCAGGCGGCGTCGGTCGAGATGTCGAACTTCGACCCGAGCGCGAGCAAGCTCGCGTTTGAGAACCTGTTCAAGCCGTGCGTGCCCGTTCCTGTGGCTCGGATGGGAGGACTTCCGCTGACGCTTGGCTGCGCAGTATGGTTGGACAGACGGCCGATACTGAGGTCGTCAAGGCGCTCGTCCAGGTGCTCGAGGGCAAGATCGCGGGCTACGAGGCCATGCTTGGGAAGACCAAGTATCTCGCCGGCGATGTGCGTACCTCACCGCGATACTTCGGTTGGGATTTTGAGCGCTGACTCGCCCGGCGTCGTTGCAGGTGGTGACGATCGCGGACCTGTTCCACCTCCCGTACGGGTCGCTGCTCGCGAAGCAGAAGATCGACTTTCTCGAGAGCGAGAAGTACCCGAACGTGGCGCGTTGGTGGAAGGACATTTCGTCGCGTCCGTCGTGGAAGAAGGTGACCTCTGCTTGAAGTAGTGGTGCGCTCCTGTGTAGAATAACACGTGGAATATTCAGCCTGTCCAGGCCCGTGCCACAAATATGCCTTCTTTTCGGTCAAGCCCGACGCAAACTGACAGTGCTTGGTAAGTACTGAGTTCAGCTTTGTCTCAAGCAGGCGACGCTCGCGTGGACCTTCATCATTATGACCAGTGGGCACTACATCATCACGCCCATTGCATTTAGACAATAATGTACTCTACGAAGCATACAGCTAGATCACACCTACAGCTTCCTCGCACCCCCTCGATCATACTCCTCCGGGTACACCCTCCACCCCTGCATGATGAAGAACAGCCTATCGAAGGGTCAGACGAGGTCGCGCCGTCACTGCCCAGGAGAAACCCACCACTTCAACCTGTCCAGACGGAACAGGTGGAACATGAGAAGCCATATCGCTAGTGGAAGCACGTCGTCAGTCAGTTGTGCGCAACGAAGAAGCAACGAACGTACTGAGTTCCATGTACGTGAAGAACCCAAGGGCGCCGCCGCGTGCGCCTCTCTTGATGTACCGGATAACGTCGACCCAGAGCTTCATGTCCTTGCCCGTGGGCCGAGCGCCAGGGTCCATCAGGAAGGTGAGGAGGATGCGCATGTCTGTGGGGTCAGCGGGTCAGCGGGAGTGTCAATCGCGAGAAGGGGACTTGAACGCACAGATACCAATGTGGCTGCGAGGACGAAAGAGATGAGGAGGCGCCACACTCGGAATGGAGATGGTGTAGCTCACAAGTGCCCAACGGTACCTATCGCGTTCATGTACGCCGAGTTCGTCATCAGCACCGACCAGTCCTCCGTCGAAAAGTTTTTCAGATACAGGTTCGGCCGGTCGTAGCTCTCGGGGAAGAGGTCGTCCTTGAAGAAGTTGACCTCCGGCTTCTTGAACCCAGTCGCGAAAACAACGACGTCTCCTTGAATCTAAGATGGAACTGAGCACGCTCAAAACCGAACACAGAGGACGCCAGGAAACGCACCTCTCGAGCCTCCTTCCCTTCACCTGGCTTGTCTTCTCGCCCGCGCACCTTGACTCGCACACCGCTGCGCGTCAAACGCTCGATGTCGCACCGGACGTACTCGCATCGCCCGGCCTTGACATGCCCGATAAACTCGTCGTTGACCACCGGCGTGCTCTCGAATAGGCCGAGCCTCGCCGGCACGAGCTCGGGCGCCCCGCGGTAGTTCCAGCACGCGATGAACCGCTCCCACAGGAAGGACAGCGGCATCTCGCGGCCGAACGGCTGCGCCGAGATGAGCGTGTCGATCACGATGTTTCGCGGGATGATCCACTGCGCGACCCCCGCCCACCATATCAGTGACTGTATGCGCCCCGCACAGACGAGCGACGCACCTTGTCGTCGCGCGCGAGCATCACGCACCCCGTCGCGCCCTTCGCCAGCGCGGTCTCCACCGCCTCGACGCCGCTCGCCCCGCTCCCGATGACGATGAGCCGCTTCCCGTCGAGGTCCGCGTCGTCGAGCTCGGACGAGTGCACGACGGCGCCCTCGAACACATCCTCGTCTTCGTCGCCCTCCTTCTTCTCGTCGTCCGATGCGTCCGCGCCGTTCGTGTTCTGGTTCAAATATGGGGTCCCCGGGATCTCGATCCGCAGCGGCTTCCCGCACGTCCCGACGGTGCACACCACCGCGTCGAACTCGCCGTCCGCGCCGCCGTTGACGATCCACCTGGACCGCGAGCGCTCCGGGTCCGTCTTGACGTCCGCGCCGGAGCCCTTGACGCGCTCGACGGACGTGACGGGCGTGTTGAAGCGCGTGCGCGGCTCGAGGTGGTACTCCTTCCACACGCGCGCGATCTCTGCGAATGGGCGGGGGAGGTGGGTATATGCGCGTGCGTAGCATATGCCTTGAGAGGGACAGGACGTACCAGAGAGTATCTCATCGCGGTGCGGGAAGGGGCGCGTCCAGAGCACGCCCGGGAAGAAGCGGTACAGCATCGAGTTGAGCTGCAACCCGGACGTCTTGTTGACGTGGGCCCAGATGCCCCCTGTGCGCGTTTGAGAGGCGTGAATGCGCGTGAATGTGGAAGGGGACGCACCAATCTTGTCGTCCTGCTCGTAAATCACCACTTCGAACCCATGGGCGATGGCATGCGTGGCGCTCGAGATGCCGGTGAGCCCCGCGCCGATGATGGCTATTCGCCCCTTGGGGTTCTTGGGGTATTCTGGGCCAGGAGGGGGACGCTTTCATGGCGGGTTAGAAGAGGGTGACGATGAACAAGAGGAACGACGTACCGGCTTGAACATCAAAATGATAGCATACTGTATGAGGATGTAGTAGAGGTTGAACGCTTGCTCCAGCCAGTAGAACGGAGAGAGGTAGTGTAGGTAGTGGTGCTGTTTGATATACATGTTGTCGTCGAGGCGGGGCATGGGATGAGTCCACGGTGCCTCTTAAGCTCCAATCAGCCTATGCAACCGCTGCATGACGTCGGGGTTGTTGGGAAGGCGGTGACGTCAAGCACATCGTGTGAGTGGGGACCGGCTCGGCCATCGAGGTGTTCGAGGCTGATGAACTCTGCGCATATGATATCTCTCGGATGTGGCAGTTTCGTGCATGCGAGAGGATGGCAGAGGACGAGGAGGAGGACCCTGAAGCGCTGACTCGAGGCTCTCAGTGTGTCGAAGGGTTAAAACTCAAGGCGTCGCGCTTGGTATCCTCTGGGCACCGGGGGCAGGCGGAAGGATGGCGGATGCGTGGTAGATGGTGGTGGATAGGAGCAAACGCGTAGCGTACGGTAGCTACGTGATTACCTAAGCAACCGGCCCGAGGTTGCACCGGTCTAGTAGAGCCTCTAGTGCCGAACTCCAACACCATCTTGTCTCCGACCGCACACAGAGCCCAGAGTGCCAGAATCTACTCCTTATACGCGCCATAAAATGCGCGAAATACCGTCAACTCTTTCTCTACAATATTGTACACACACGAATATGGCACCTCACTCGTTCTTCTTCTTCTTCATGTCCCCCAGTTCTATCGCCTCATCCTCTCCAACCGGCGGCAACGGCTCACCCTCCGGACAGACGTCCACCCCTCTGCCTCCCTCCCCGTCCTGCGCCGTCCAGAACCCGAACATCATGAACAGTCGCGCACTGAACATGGACATCCACGTCGCGAGGACGAGCGCGAAGCGAACGAGCGGGATGAGCGGGGGCATGACGAGCGCCGCGAAGTCGTCCGGGTGGTAGAAGTCCTCGTGCTCCGCGATGACGTACACCGACTTGGATGGGTCCGCAGGAGAGCGCTCTTCGCGCAGCTTGAGAAGCGCGATCAATCTGCCAACGCAGTAGTCAGCGAAGAGTGAGGACAAGGAGCGAAGGGCGCGCACCGTGTCGAAGCGGGCGCGAACGGCGAGTAGAACATGTGGAACGTCTGGGTGACATCAAGGTACACGTGCTTCGTCTCCTCGTTGTACGTGACCGACGAGACGTGGACCGAGATTCTGGGAGACATGATGCGGTACCATTGGAGTATGCCGAGCATCTGGGCGCGGGAGTTGGGCCCGGACTTGACGGCGCATATAGGATGGCGGAAGTTTATGTTTGGCGCATAGTACCTTTCGGAGCGTGGTTAGATACTGGACGGAGTGTTGGTGGAAGAAGAGAGCTCACTTGAGCACTGCTTCGTGTTGGATCTCCGGGTTTACTGCGGCAGTGACGAGGGTCGCGACGGTGGCCGCCTCTTTCGCGGGATTTTCCATGGTAGTCGAAGAGAGAGGGTATGGGCGGAACGGTGGGGACTTCTGCAAGTGGAGAAGGGGAGAGGACGTGCACCCGGTGGTGACGTCATCTTGCCTGGCACTGATACCCGTGACGTCACCCGCTTTTGCCGGTTGTTAGGCCTAGAGCGCACTACGCAGTGCCGCAAGAAACAGTGCTTGGGATACCCGCCGTCTCCAGGAAAGGTCGTACATAGTATTACGAAGATACTTAGGAGGTCTGGCATGAATCCATCATCATCATCATCATCAGCAGCAGCAGCAGCAGCAAGAAACAGTGCTTGCGCCCACGATCCAAATTAATGAACCTATGTTGGTGACCGCGCCCGGGAAATGACCGGGATCGCCGCGCGCTGAGCGCTGCGGCTTCTCCAAGCTCCCTCCCTCCATACGTCGTTGCCATGCGCTAACATCCGCATGCTGCGAGCACTTGGGCGACCAAAAGTAACGTCACGGACCACCAAATGTACACCTGGCCAGGCATCAACAACCCTACCACTGAGCGCGCCAGGGCAAGATGCATCTGCGATGGACGCGTTCGATCCGTAGGCACGCGGCCGATGGTAAAGCAAAGATGGAAAGGCCACTTGCAGTGCACGCGGAGAACTCTAGAATTCTTGATCGGCCTCTTTGTTTGTGAGATCGGGGTGATTGTCAGGGGCACGGCCTCGCGAGAACGCGGTGGGTCGCGCGTCTGTGCCTTGTCCCCCGTCGGGGTCGCCTTGTGGTGTTGACCCCACCGTGGATGGACGCCGCGATGCACGACGGCGAACGGCGAGGTCGTGCCTCAGTCCCACGCGCGCGCGGACTAAGCCAAGCCAAGGCCAGTACCCACTGACCACAGCGACCAGTCGCGATGCGAGTCGATGAAGCTGAGAAGTCGGAGCGCACCGCGCTCACCAGTGCCCGCCCGCTGCGGGGAAGCGCCGTGCATGCGACCACAGCAGCGAAGGTGCGCCAGATGCACGCAACGCCGTGCGCTGCGGCTTCCCGGCGGACCAGAGAACGCAACCGTCCTGGTGCCCAGACGTGACCCGATCTCAACTCGCTCGCGCACGGCAACCGTGGAGTGACGGCCTATCGAAGTTTGGAGTACCGGCGCGAGCGACTTCAGTGGCTGCGGCACAGCGAGATGGAGGTTGAGAACGTGGCCCGGCGCTACATAGTACATGCACGACGCTGGCAATGTTAAGATTTCCGGTCGTCAGATATGTTGTGCGAAATGTTATCAAATATGTTACGTATCTGAGCCCGTTCCAACCATGCACAAATGAAGTATTCCGTGCTTGCAGAAATGCAATGTTCTGAGAAGCATTCCGGAGACACATTTCCTAGGCATGATACCACGAAGTTTGAGTTCTGGAACACTTGGAACTTTATGTAAGTTTCTGAGAGGAAGAAATGACGGCCCCCCATTGGTTCATCATTTCGGATAGACACGTGTACGCCACGTGCGCTCCTCGTGAAGCTTGTACCGCGTTCGTTGCCTCAGCTTCCTCTTCCTCTTCCCCATCACCATCTCACATCCTGTCCCGAGAGCAACCTTCTCGAGCCTCTCAATCACACCACAAATTTTTCCAATCGTCTTCAATATCGAACAAGCAAACGCTACGCGACTTCCAAACCCTCAGGTAGCTGCGCAGTGCGCCACCAGATGCTACTAATACAAGGGCTTCAACGGGGCTGGTGATACAAACGGGTCGTAAACGGAATACCGGGTGAGTGTCTAGTACGATAGGGAAGGGGTATGCGTGGCCGGCGCCAGACTAATCGCCATCTCGTCCATAGGCAGTCCGAAAATAAGTTACGTACGGGCGTCGGACAACGCCGCGCGACATCTGTGCAGGACCAACAGGCGTCCTCCGCGCCGCGCGCCCACACCGCGAGTCTCCGGAGGCACGGCGCATGTGCGCGCGCTCACGAGAGGAACTCGGGCTCGCGCGTCGGGAGCGGGTCCTCGCAGCTCGTCGAGACCGACGCGTGTCCGCCGTACCCGCCGTACCCGCGCCCGCGGCGCGACAGCCACTCCGGCTCGACGGGGTCGGTGTCCCCGGCGTCGCTCTGCCGGCGGGAGAGGAAGTCGACCTCGAGCGGGGCGGGCTCTTCCTTCGCCGTGCGCCTGGAAAGGAAGTCGACCTCGAGTGGCGGGACGTACGCCTCGCTCGTGGTCGACGTGGAAGTGGAAGAGGTGCGCGTTGTCGGCGGCGCGTGGCCGGGGCCTGTGTGGCAGGGCGCGGTGAGCGGGTGCGAGGGGCACGCGGGCGGAAGGGACGTACCGAACGCGAACGCGAGGGAAGTCGTGGGGTCGTCTCGCGGCACCGCGAGGGGCGCAGCGAGCGCGGAGAGGGCGAGGGAGAGGACGGAGAGGGCGGCGAGTGCGCGGACCATGGGTGCAATAGCGGTGGAGGTGAGCGCAGGTGAATGTGCTAGAGCGAGAGAGAGCTGACTGGGGAGTGCAGATGACGAGGTGCCCTCCAAGCCTCCCGCGGGATGCCTTTTATACTACGCAGCGCGGTCAGACACGGACGAGCAGAGCCTCGTGTTTGCGTTTGCGCTCGCGTTCGCGCGAGACAACTCGGTCGACTCCGCGCGAGTCACGTAGCCCTTCGGTCTGTTGGACACTGCACGGGTTCGGGTTCCCGCCAGCCCCTGCTTCGGGCGGCACTCACGCTCCCGCCGCGCCTCCCCCACCATCCACGACGCGTTACACGTAAACCATCTACCTCCATCTCCCGCCCCAGGGCCCACCCACACCCCGCTCGCGATCCGGTCGTAGCCCCACCCCACCCGCCTTACCCTGCCATGGATGTTGGAACGGGGCCGCGCGTTGCATCGAGATCCCAGCGCACCACCCTCGTCTGCGCGTCGGCCGCTCCAGTACCAGCAGCAGCACAGGACGCGTGCGAGAACGCGCCAGGGCGACAGCGCACCATGACTTGGTGCGTGTGTCACGATGTCGACGGACCGCCTGTGCATGCAAGACGTTCGACATGCCGCGGGCCCGGCGCGCACAGGTACGCATCACCTCCCCAGTTCGCGCATCACCCGCCCCGCGCCTCTCCGTCCCGCCCGCGTCGGCCTCGGTGCGTCCTCGGCGCTCGCACCGCTCTGCGTGCTAACTGGCCTTCTCTTCTCTCTTCCAGCTCGTGCGCCGCCCGCGCTGTGACGCGTGGGCCCGACGCATCCCGCGCCCCGACGCACGCTGGCCTCCGCGCCCGCCCCCTCACGCACCCGGGCCCGAATCGACGAACGGCCGCACCCGCCCGCGCACCGCACCTCGGTGCGCGCCCGCCTCCCACCGCTCCCACGCCAGTCCCTCCCGCGTCGCGAACTCAATCGGAAACGGGCCCCGCGCGCCTCGGGGGCACGCACCGCCCCGGCCCGGGACCCATCTGTGTCGTCGCGGGTCATTCATCAGCGCATGAGCGATGGCCGCGGTCAGTGCTCGACCGGTCAAGGTCGCGGTCAATGGTGGGGCGACGTGCGACGGGTAAGAACCGGACGAGGCACGGGAGGGGTGCGCTCACTCAAGCTCAAGCTCAAGGTTCGGCGTTCGGTATTCCATCGCCATTTGGGTACGCGCCGAGTTGGATCTCGCATCCCGCGTTCCGCCGGCGGCAGGTGGCAGACGATCGCAATTAGCGGGGCTCTGGCGGTGTCGACTGCGACGCGTTCGGGGCCGACGTGCCTCAGGCCGTGAAGACAGGCGGGGAGGGCAGACGAGATGAGACGGGGAGAGGCAGGTTCGCATCATGGATAGAGCTGGCGAGAAGCGTCGAGCCGGCTCGCGATTCATCTCAGGACGGCGAGCCTTCAGATCTTCAGAGCCTCACGGCCTCACGCGGAGCTGGAAATGCGAAGACCACGACGAAGACGTGGACACTCGGGGCCCATCCTTCCATTCCCTACTACCCCAGCTGCCGCCACCACAGGGACGTCCAGTTTACCCTAGCTGAACCTCCACGGCAGTCCACCCTCGCCGGCGCGAGCACCCCCGCCCGCTGCATTCATCACCGACCGCCGCCGCCGGGACCGCTCTCGCAGACAAGCCGCCACGAACACCGCGCGTGCAGATCCCTCACGCGCCCACGTCACCACCGTCAAGCCATCCCGCCCGAAGTCCCACCCCCCGGCACACTACTCGCGGGGCGCGAGTCACACCTTGTCACTGGTGAGCGCGAGGTACGAATGCACACATCCCTCGTGTGAGACAATATTCAGAATGAATCCCAGTGACCCACCCGCAGCAGCCCCCCTTCAGGGTCCACTCCGGGTTCCGCGGAGCGTCTTTCTCAACAACGAAATCGCGCGCGCGCGCACCGAGGCCTACGCCTCCGCTCTGGAAACAGCGCCGTCTGCCCTGTCGGCGGGCGCCGTCGAACCACCCTCCAAAACGGAGACCCTGCGGCGTAACGTTGGAATACAACGAGCCTGACCGGTGAACGTTGAACCGCGCAGCACGACCGCCGACACAAGGGATGCGAGCCACTTCGTCCGCGTCCGCGTCCGCGCCCGTGCGACTGGTAGAACTCGGTCTGGGAACGACGCAGGCGAATCGAGGCGGTGCGCACTTGGTACCAGTACAGCCCTGTAACGGCCCGCACGAGTCACCTCATTCTTCACCCGTGCGATAGGTTGGGCCCTTCGTCATGCGATGGGCAGACGCTGCGTTGAGTGGACCTCAAGAGTCCGCACGGGGCAAGTTGTGTCGAGAAGACGAGCACTGGTGCACGGCTCCGGTAGCAGCCCGGGTTCGCGGGAGCGAGCAGCGGCGGGCGATCGCTGGGCTTGTGATCAAGCGGCTGTACATGTCCTCTGCGCTCGACGTTCGACAGCGCGCGCACCGCGCTTGAAAGTTGAAGCCCCTCTGCGCAGGCCGCAGGTCACATGATGGACAGCCGGGTTCTCACCGTACGCCCGCGTCGAAGCGACAACTTACCCGAAGCGTACCTGCCAGCACAGCCTGTCACCCGCACCGGCGGGTGGACGAGTCGACACGTCGGCTCGACGTCAATTAATTAAATGACGCGCGCGGTGCGCTTCGATATGTCTACGTCGGTGTCGGTCACTTGTCGCGATCCCGCTGCCGCGCCGTCGCCCCGCCGCCGCTGCAGCGCATAGTGAATGAAGTGGAGCGCAGGCGGTCGGGCTGTACGCTGGGAGACCGCGTTCGCACAGACAAGTGACCTGTACAGTGCGACCGAACGCCATTACGCTGTGATAGGCATGACATACATAGTTTCCGAGAGCGGTGTGTCAATGTACTGTGGAGAGTACATGTCACCGCTGTAGACACAGTTCCGAGGGAGAGTACTACTCGACAGGTCGAGGATGAACATCGTCTCAGCGCTTTGATGGCTTCACACCTTCCGTGGTGACATGTATTCCGTCTTGCTCCTAACGCAATGGATGATAGGCTTATAATCTTCTTCGTCCGCAGCCTTGCGGTGGGGGAAGGGATGAATAGATACATTATGCCATACAACAGATGTAATGTACATATCCGTGGCACGTCGGACAGTTGCTTGGCCCCTGCTCCGACTCTCTGCTCCTCCCCTCTGTCCGAAAGCTCACCCGTCAAACCGCCTTTTCCTGCGCAGCGGTGTACGCGGCGGCCGCAGCGCTCTTGTACCCGTCGAGCGCGCGCAGCCGCTCCATCAGCGTCGGGTGCGGGTGGTGGTACGCCGAATATCTACCAACATCCCGTCAGCGTCGTTCTCCTCAGGTGCCCGTGAGGGTGTGGTGGAGGTGAGGATGGGCGTGGCACAGCACTGCAGCAGAGCCCGAGGAGGGACCGAGGAGAGGAGGAAACGTGGAAAAAAGGCCCGCTGAGGGACTCACAGCCAGTCGACCCAGACGGTGGTACACAGATCCTCGACGTCAAGCGCGACGAGCGCGCGCCCGAGGCAGTCGCCCACGTCCGCCGTCTTGGCCTCGCCCGCGAGCGTCGTCTGGAGCTCGCACGCGAACCGGTCGGCCTCGTACTCGAACCTGCGGCTGAGCGCGTTGACCGCGATCCTGAGGACGGCCTCCGTCGGCGTGAGCAGCATCTGCGCGCGGGGGTGGGGGAGGGCGTTAGCACGCTTGTCTCCAAGCATGGGAGGAGAGATGTGACGAAGGGGGACGCACCCGGTAGAGGCGCGAGGCGACGACGATCGGCGGGCGCGCGGCGACGGCGGCGGGGAAGCCGAACGCGGCGAGGAGCGGCGGGGCGTGGAGGAAGGCGGGGAAGAGCGCGAGGACGGTGAAGACGTGCGCCAGCGAGAGGAGGAGGAGCTTCGTCGGGTGGGCGTGGTACCAGTGCCCGAGCTCGTGTGCTGCCCGGCCGCGGGGACGCTCGTCACGACAGCGACTCGGAGACGAGAGGGTGTGTGGGAGGGGCACGCACCGAGGACGGCCTCGACCTCCTCCGCCTTGCTATGCTTGGCGAGCGTGTCGGAGATGACGATGTGCTTGCTCTGCGGGATTGCAACGTGGAGGTGAGCGAGGGGCATACATGCAGGTTAACGTGGAGAAGGGGGCGACGCACCCAGGGAAGGCCGAAGAAGTACGCGCTGCTGTGCGAGCTCCGCTCCGGATTCGAACCGGCGATCTCGTACAGGTGCTCGAGCGGGAACTTGAGCTTCGACGCCAGGGCCTCGATGCGCCCGCGGACGTCGCCCCCGGCGAGGGGGGAGAGCTTGTTGAAGAGCGGGTGGATGACGGTCGGGTAGAGGACGAGCATCGACATCTGGAACACGAACCTGCCGGAGCGTACGGCGCGGAATGGGAAACTCGCAACGCATGAGAGGAGCCGAGAGAACGTACAGGAACGCCATGAGCCACGGAACAAAGCGGTCGCCCGCCCACTTGAAGAGGGAGAGGAAGACGGCGAGGAAGTATGCGCCGATGGCGAAGCCGACAAGCCAGCTCTTGAGTGGGTCGGTGTCAAAGAGAGACGGCGCGGTCTTGTTGAAGCCGTGCTTCTCCTCGAGGACGAAGGTCTGGTAGAGCGAGAACGGGAGGGAGAGCAGGCTCGAGATGAAGGAGAGCGCGAACGCGAACGCTATCGACTGCGAGATCTGCGGGACGGGAGGGGGAAGGTGGGCGCGCAGAACGTACCTCGTACTCCGGCCCATACCCTAGCTTGTTTACGACCCATCCGCTCGCAGTCCAGCACCATGCAACGAGGTTGAGTTGGATGAAGACCGAGTCGACGACCTGCTTGAGGAGACCGGAAATGAGAGAAAACTTGGCCTTGTCTTTGCCGTACTCCTGCGACTTCTTGAACGTCTCGGGTTTGAAGTGTTCCGCTAGAGCAGGGGGCGGCTCGATCTTCGAGTACAGTAGGTACTGGCGGAGCCCATGGAGGGACAGTTCTAGCCGGACTTGCAGGACATGGGAACTCGTGGACAGCACTTATAAGAGGCAGGCCTCGAAGAGACAGATGGCCCAGGAGAACGCCTGAAGGTACAGCTTCCAGCCAAAGGACTCGGTGGAGACCCACGCGAGCTGCGACTGGACGGCGCCCAGGCCAGCGCTCAGGTATTCCACACCCTCGATTTCAAAATGAAGAGACGGCCATGCAAGAGCAGTGCGGTGAAGGAGAGACGAGGAAGCTGGCAGCCTGGATGCCAGCCTCTGCGGCCGCTGCACGCCTGGTTGTCGCCGACGTGGACAGACGCATCGACGCCGCTGGGCTGCCTGTCGTGATACATAGCTGCCAGTGGGAAGATCAGTGAGCTGTTCGGTGATGATGAACCTCAGCGGCTGTGTTGGAGGAGAACCTGGAGGAGCAGGAAGTGGCCCAGTTGATGTTGCCTGACATCAACTCAAGAGACCAAATAAAATGTATTACATAAAGCCACAGGTTCGAATACGAGCCGTGTCGTTTCATTGGTGGACATCATAATGATATTATAGGTGCATTGATTTGTCCATGCATACCAAGCAACACGCATGAATCGGGGGCGCTATGTAGTTCACAGGGATCTTATGCATGATCTGTACCGACGCCACCCCACGACCGACAGGCCACCGCAATGCGGGCATCGGCCGTGGCGGCCGCCGCGTCTCGATCTGGCCACAACGACCGCTCGTTCCAAAGCGTTCCTCCAGAAGCAGAAGTACGTAGAATATACACCACGCGCGGGTAAACTAAAAGCTGACAGTATCGACGGCGAGCAGACTGGTACTACGGAGAACGGGGGAGTCCGGCGCGGCGACGGCGGCGTGCGGACACGGATAGCGGGGCGACGGGGGGAGGAGGTGCGGGGGTCCAGGCGCGTGAGAAGAGAGTCCCAAGTACTACGGGAGTACGAATCCGGATGAAGGGTGAGAGTATCCAAGAGGAGGCGCGCGGAGTACAAGGCGCGGCGCGCGCCGCTGGGAACAGCGACGACGAGGACAAGGGCGCGCAGCCCTAGAACGCTGCGGCTCGAGATGGTGTGGCGGTTGCGGATGCGGGGGTATGAAGGCGTGTATCTATAGGTCCAAGATCCAGGATGAGGCGCATCGGCCGCGGGCGCTCGACGCCCACATCGTGGCGCGCACGCAAGCAAACGCTCCAACCTCCGAGGCGGCAGGGGTCGCGCGTCTCACAGCGCCAGCCTGCCGAAGAGCACCGCTCCACCACCGACGGCGCCGAGGACGACGGCGGCCAGGACGCCGCGGACGCTCGCGCGGACGGCGCCCGCGGCGTTGGCGCCGCCCTGGGACGTGCCCGCCTCGCCGAACTTGGCGCGGTCGGAGCCGCTCATGCCCTGCGCGGTCGCGAGCACCTTCGGGTCGATCGTGGCGGTGTTCACGACCTTGGTGACCGCCGTGGTCGCGAACGTCTGCGCCTCGCCGTTGTTCGGGAGGCTCGCCGCGGCCTGCGCGTCGTCGGAGAAGAAGACGAGCGCGACGCCCGGCGCGGGCACCTTCACCTGGCACGAGTTCGCGGTCTGGTCGCAGTTGATGGTGTCGATGACCACGTCGCCCTTCAGACGGCCGTCGACTTCGAAGCGACCACCGAGCGTCTAACAAGCATGACGTCAGTGAGACGTGCCTAAGGGGACGCGCAAAACCTAAGCTTACCTGGCCGGCCCACGTCACGTTGTCCTTTTCGGAGACCGAGGGCGCAAGGAGGTACCTGGTAAGTGGTATGTTAGGGTAGTTTCTGGTATGTGGCAGGACGGACGAGCCACTTACTTGACTTTCGCCGTAGCCGGGACAGAGTTGGCCTCATTGAACCCGCTCCCGCCGATGAAGATCGTCGCGGTGTAGTCGTTCGCGCCCGAAGGGTCGGACATGAAGTTGATCAGGACCATCTTCGCGAGCACGTCCTTCTCGTAGATCGCGTACGCAGGAGTGAGCTCGTTTTGGTTGTTTGGCTGGAGATCCAAGACGCGCGACGTGTTCGAGGTGCCAAGCGCCTCTGCAACCACGAGGGTCGAGTAAAAGAGAGGGCCCGCAGTCCACTGGTGGACGTGAGACTCGTTCGTGGGGGGAGCTATATGAGAAGCCGCCATCGTCAGTAACGTACGAGAGGTGTGACTGAGCGACTAAGGCTCACGTATGAACGGCTGAAGTACAATGTGAGCACGGTTATATGCGTTGTCAAGGCTTCAGCACTCACGTTGTAGCTGACGTTCTGCCCACCGAAGTGGAAAAGGGCGCCAGAGAAGTTGCTGTGGGCCATCTGCAGACCGTAGTCGACCCCCCAAAGCGCAGAGGTAAACGCGTCGCTGATGCCTGGGAAGCCTCCGCAAGAAGCCGTGTTGGTCTCGAACATGAGGAAGGGCTTGTTGACGGTTTGCGCGAACATCGTAGAGTTGAGGTATGTGGAGACCAGGTTGAGACCAGCTTGGTGTGTGAGGTACGTGGGGAGGAGCGCGAGGGGATCCTTCGGCTTGTTGTTGGGGTCAGGGAAGAGTACAGCGCAGTTGTCGCTCGGGTAGCTGAGTTATGGATGTGAGTTGAGCAAATGGGAACTGACGGGCTACGAAACTCACTGCTCGACGGAGAGGAAAGCGAGGTAAGCATCATAGGCCGCAACGAAGCCGGTGTTCCAGACAGCCTCGGGATTCGGACCCCAATCAGCGCCTTGGACACTCGGCGCAATGAGCGACTTCTTGACAGGGACGTTCGAGTCCGCCTGGAAGGCTTGCGTGAGGAGCCCAAACTCGCCATAGTAGTCAAACTGGCTGTAGCCCTGTTGGCGGGCCAAGTGTCTACGTAGTCGTCAGCACTCGCAGAAGACGAACAAGTGGCGCCACTCACGAGCCGTACAGATCAGGCTCGTTTCCGGCCTGGAGACCGAGGAGCCTGTCTCCAAGGACCGCCTGAGAGATCTCGGCCATTTGGAAGCGGAAGTTGGTGTCATTGAACGGCACGCCTGGAGCACGACGCCAAGTCCTTCTTCATTATGGGCTTCGGGGATCAAACTGACAAGGGACTTACCGAGGTACCACTTGGCGTTCGTCAAGCTCGAGATGTTGCCGAGCATGTAGATAAGATCGGGAGTCCACATTACGACTGGAGTAGACGTCTTGGCAGACCGTTGAGCCAAGGGATGGGCAATCGAAGAGGCAAAAAACAATGACGTACCGGGACGTTAGGGTTAATCGGGCCCTTCTCCAGAATCCTCCCGTCCGACAGATTGTCGACGAGGAACGCATCCTCTTGCGAGTTACCGCCAACACGGATGTGTATCGCACCGGCGCGCTCGACGAGGAGAGAGATGAGGTTGAGGAAGGGGACGTTGATGTTCGTGCTGCACAGGATTGGTATGAGCGCCCGGCAAAAGGAAAGGGACGGTGCACTCACGAGTTCTTGCCAACTGAGTGATGGGTCGCTTTGAGCAAGAGAGCTACGGATATATGCGCACAGACACGTACTGAGCTGGGTGGCGACGGACAACTCGATGGAGAAGCCAAGGAAAGTGCCAGACTGGGGGATGGAAAGGGCGTTCACGTTGCTGGCGGCGTGCGCAACGCCAATCGAGAAGGCATTGGCGGGGGCCGGGTTGGGTATAGCGGGGGCTTGGTAGATGACGGGGTTGTAGGCAGCCAAGCCGGTGTACTGAGGGGGTCCAGGGGTGGTGACAAAGGAAGTCGTGGCCGGCGCGGTGGAGGTGCCAAGAGCGGCGGCGGCGGTCGCGGCACTGAGGTTAATGGTGGTCTGGCCGAGCTGGCCATAGATGGTGATGTCTGCGGACGCGGAGGTCGCCAGCAGCCCCAGGGCGGCGAGACAAAGGAGTGGGCGGGGCATCTGGGAGGACCAGAGCGAGAGAAGGGCGAAAGGAAGGTGGGAAGGGCAGGCGAGGCCGACACGCTTTATGGAGCCGAGCCGGCGGTGCGCGCTCGCTGTCGAGTGGTCGTGATCGTCGATTTGCGCTGGACGGTTGGAAACACCGCGCATGTGGAGTGCTTTTACCCGGAGCCGGTCGTGGCGGAGAGGCCGGCGTGCGCGTGAGGTGCGTGTGTATGCAAGCCGTCCATGGCTCGGGGCGACCACGGCGAGCAGTTGGGCGAGTGCGGCGGGGACGTGCGGTGGGAACAAGGCGGAGAGTTCCTGCATCGGTCCGGCGTCGATGCTGGCATCGTGGGCGCTTCATCGTTGAGGGCAGGGCAACGGCAGCTAGCAACCCATCTTCTCGCTCCACATCGCGCAGCGCGCATCGCAGCTGGCCAAAGAAAGCGCGCTCGGTCGAAGAAAGCGCACAAGGTGCACGAGCCGGCCAACCTGGCCTGGGACAAGACAAGATGGGCGCTCCGCTCGGAGGTGGAGAGATTAGATAAGATTCGCTCCGTTGCGAGCTCGGTCCGCGCAGCCCCTGCCAAGCCAATCGTCGATCGACATAAATGCATAAACGCTCTGCCATTCCCGCCACCTGCAAACAGATCCCTACATTACAACCTGCCCACCTCCTCAAGCAGAGGTCACCTTCTTCCACGACGGACGCGACGACACCTCTTTCCACCAACGCGCCACGTTCGGGTACTTCTCGCTCTCGAGAAAGTCGATCTTCTGCTGCGCGAGCAGGGACCCGTACGGGAGGTGGAACAGGTCCGCGATCGTCACCACCTGCAACGACCCAGGGTCAGAATTCCAACCGAAGCATCGCGGCAAGGTACGCACATCGCCAGCGAGGTACTTGGTCTTCCCAAGCATGGTCTCGTAGCCCGCGATCTTGCCCTCGAGCACCGGGATGAGTGCCTTGACGGCCTCAGTGTCCGTCGTCTGCCCGAACATCCTGTGCACACAAGCGTCAGTGGACGTCCTCCCATCCGAGCCACAGGAACGGGCACGTACGGCTTGAACAGGTTCTCGAACGCGAGCTTGCTCGCGCTCGAGTCAAAGTTCGACATCTCGACCGACGCCGCCTGCTCGAACCGCGCGACGGCCTCGAGGTCGCCCGCGGCGGGAACGAGCCCGGCCGCGACGCCGCCGTACTTGAGCGCGAGGTAGCGGCAGATGGCGCGGGACTCGAAGAGCGTGAAGCCGTCGTCGTCGATGTACGGGATCTGGCCGAACGGCTGGTTGGCGAGGTACGCGGGGGCCTTGTGCTCGCCCGCGGCGACGTTGACGGCGATGAGCTCGTAGGGGGTGGCGAGCTCCTCGAGGACGATGCGGACGCGCTTGGTGCACGTCGCGCCGGTTGCGCCGTAGAGCTTGAGGACCATGGTTGAACAGATGAGTGAGATGAGAGCTGCGTAGAGGTGACGGGTTGGTGCCGTCGATAGTGTCGTGGGCGGCGACTTTTATACGTTATGCTGGCGTAGTGTTGGGCATCGTATCGTAGTACTAGTGGGGTTCGAGAAGCGGAAAGCTGTCGTGTCATCTGCTTTACGCGAAGTTCAGTGATTTGTTAGCGCCATACGCTCGACGCCCCTGCAAAGCGGGAGAGCGGCTGACTAACAAACTGCGAGGGAAGGTCCGATCGTCGACAGTTCACCGATACCGGGGAACGCTGTTGCATAGTTCTTTGAGGGCGGAGGCTGTAATGAAACGGATGCTATGAACGCGATGAGGAAACACTTGGTCAAAGCGCGCACGTCACCATTTGAAGATAGGCGCTCATGATCAGAGCTGCTGGCAACACGCACGTGATGCATTGATGACGTCGTCATGAAATGAGCAACGACCCCTCTCTGTTGTCTCTCCCCGACAAACGCGCTTCCAGATGCCCGTCTGCTTCGAAGACCCTGACAGCGATGGCGGGATCTCCGTGGTTATCGTGAGTGTCGGCATGCTCTCTGTTTCTCCCTAGTATCAACGTAGGTGTCGAGCGAAGAGCACCGTTGAGACGGCTCCGTCACCTTAGTAGTCGAAGAAACCAGCTTCTTTGTCTTCAAAACCGTCTTCGCGCGGCGGTATAAGTTCTTGAGGCCCGTGTTCGAAGGACAAGCAGACGTTCCCGCCGATATCAATATATCCCAAGATGGCACAGGCGGTATAGAGATCCCGGATTTCTGCTCCGACACCGCTCAAGAATGGCGGCATGTCTTACGGGGCTGCATGTCTCAGGACACAACGCTCCTCTACGCCGTCTCGCGGTCTTCCGTCCTCTGTGCATCTCTTCCCAACTACCGCGATACCTGCAGACTTCCTGGAGACACGCTTCCCCACCCTTCGGCGGCACAGGTGTTCGCCTGCGTTCGGCTCGGACGGAAGTGCGAGTTCAAAGAGCTCTACGAACGCGCGATGCGCTGCCTGAGGAGCTACTTCCCCACCAATTTGACCCGATGGCGACAGCTCTCGCGATACGTCCCTCCACAGTTCACCATGATCGACGCCGTCGGCGTGGTCAACATCGCTCGACTGGCTCCTGACCTCTCCATCCTCCCCACCGCTCTCTTCGCCTGCTGCGTAAGCACCCGTCCGGAGATCGTAGTAGGGGACGCCCAACTCGACCAGCGACACGGGCGTCTTTCGGAAGAAGACGTTGCGCTCTGCTGGAAGGCCAGGACACATCTCGTCGCGGTCACAAGCTCGTCGCCGCTCGTCGTCGTCTCGCCGATCCTCCCCAGCGACTGCGAAAGCGCATCCCTCCATGGAGACCCGTGCAAGGCTGCAGCGCCCCCCTTCTTGCAGGCGGTCGAGAAGCAGATCGCGAAGGATGAAAATAACCCGCTCCAGAGCGTGGTTTCTAGGTTCGACGAAGGCTTGCTTCAAAAGCTCTGCCCGCAGTGCCTTACTGGTCTGAAGGGGCGCAGCCAGAAGCCCGCGCGGCAGAACTGGAACAAGTTGCCCTCTCTGCTCGGGTTGGAGAACTTGGACGTGGAGTGGGAGAAAGGGGACGTATGGAGTCCAGTCGTTCTCCTGCACGCTAACAGTGACAGATTTTGATCGATATTTGTACCCCAGGACTAACATCGCTTCCCTGCTTGTCGCCCCGAGTTATGCCAGCAATCCGCGCATCGCTTCCTCCGGTCGGTCCCAGTGCACCTGCACACCTCGTTCAGCGTGCATGTTCCCCCCTCAAACAACAAAGAACACTCACAAAATGGTTCCCGTCCACCCGGACGACCTCCACGTCCCTCACCGGCCGCCCCTCCGCCCGCGCCGCCTCCACATCCCTCACCACGCAGTCCACCGCGTACGGCATCTCCCACGCCGACCGCGTGCACAGCACGAGCCGCACCCCCACCGCCGCACCCCAGCCGCCTGCAGGACGCGGCCCCACCGCGAGCGCGCGCTCCCACACCGTCCGGAAGACCCCCGCGGCGACCGCCGCGCCAAAGAGGTGCACGTCCGCGCCCGTCGCGGGGTCGCCCGCGGGCGCGTGGCACACCGCGGCGAGGTCCGCGGCGGAGATCGTCGCGATCGTCGGCGCGGGGCGCGCGAGCGGCGTGCGGCGCTCGTAGCCGTCGAGGGTCGGGCCGTGCGCGAAGTAGCCAGTCACCCAGCGCGCGAAGAGCGCGTCCGCGGCGCGGTCGTCCGCCGGGCGGAAGGGCAGGAGCGCGGGGTTGTACGGGTCCGGCACGGCGTCGGTCGGGTAGCCGAGGACGCGCATGCCGGGGTCTGCGGGGGGTGCGCGTGCGTGTGTGAGCCGGGCCGCGCCCCTGGGGAGAGAGGAAGAACGGGGCGGAGGGGGCGTACCGTGGAGGATTACTTGGCGGAGGTGCTTGCTGAGGTCGACGGCGTCGATGGGGAAGGTCTCCATGTACGCGAGGAGGGCGGTGATCCAAGCGGCTCCGCAGGACCATCCCCCGACGACGATGCCCCCCTTGTTCTGCGCTTTGTCCGCGGGGGTGACGTCGCCGACGATGACGAGGCCTCCGAGGAAGTCGTAGACCTCGCGTGCTCGGTCTTTCATGAAATCCAACAGTTTATCATGCCGGTCTGCAAGCGTGGTTGGGTCGTCGGAGAGAGCGCAGACGTCCTTGAGAAGAGCGCACTCCTCATCCGTATACTGCGGTGCGTCGGGGTAGCCCGGCCGATTGACAAGGATGACGCGGGCGTTGTAGGAGGTCGCGAGAGGCAGTAGTCGCGCAAATGTTCCTGTCGTCGTGATGGTTCGGTATCCTTGGACATCTCAGAGCATAGGCATACTCACCAGAATGCCACACGAAACCGTGGAGAAGGACGAGAGTGGTGTAGTCCGTGCTCCCTGGGGGCGCTCCTGTATCTGCGCGAGCACGGAGCTGAAGCACCATGATGGGGTCAAGCTGAGAATGGTCGACGGGGTTCACCACAACGTACAGCTTTTTGAACGAGACTCACAGCGCGCATATAGTTCGATGAGGGTTTGGAAGTCAGGATGCACACATTGAAGTCTCGCCTGGACCAGTGACTGCTCCATGAGTTGCCCCTAAAATAGTCTAGATACCGGTCCTCCAGTGCTCCGTGTTCACGGACCTTACGGACCTCAGCTTCATCCTCACCCACCGAGTATGCAGCCGAACGTCATCATCGGCGGAATTTTCCCACCTGTCGCGTGCGCCCCCCAAGTCCGCGACCGAGTTTGACCGCGGGCACGGTTCAGCGCGAGAACGCGCCGAAGGAGTACAAGATATTGCACGACCTCTGCAGTGAGGGGCGGGTAGCTTGATGGGCGTGTGCCATTGCCAGCAGTGCTACACGTCGTACGTGCACCACTTTCTCGGGTCCGCGCGAGACCCGGATCTTGGAACGAAGAGCGACAGAGTTTACTCACCGGGGTGGAACGATGTCGCAGTAAGACTGTCGTCTCAGAGCGGCGGACGTCAGACCTTCTGGACGGACCTGCTACAGATGGAAAGTTCATAATGCATAAGTTCACAATGCATATATGTTCATAGTGCATGAGCCGAGGCTGTGACCGACGCTATGCATTATGAACTTTCCATCTGCCATATACGGGGCAGCCAGCGGGTGAAATACAATGGGAAGGCTGCAGTTGGGCACCCACGAGCGGACAGCGCGAAGCCTGTTCTATTCAATGTGTCCGCCCGAGTCGTGGCGCGTGACGGAGGGCACGAAGCAGGCGAGGAAGGCGAGGGGGAGGTACGTAGAGGCCATTTCGAGCGTCGGGGCGGGTGAAGGCGGTGGTGGCAAGCGAGGGAGGGCGCACAATATTTCAAACCGCTCAGCTTTATCCGACGTGGATTCTTCCGAACTGGTCCCTGGATCATGTCGAATTCCAGACAAGCACGACATTCCAAAGCTTCTAAGCTTATAAAGAGCAGCTATCATGGCACCCCGGACTCTTGCTCAACGATCAGTATCTTTCGCAAACTCCTCAAACGCTCCGAACGGTGTCCCAAATACAATTTGTGACGGTAGAAATAAAATATTCTCCACGTTCAGCTACTTTACACTCCAAGAAATGGACCACGCTGCCACTACGCTTTGACCGGTGCCTCCTAGTTAGTAGCTGGTTCACTCTGCCCGCACTGACTGATAACGCCAGCGAGGTGGTTTCTAGACCTGACAGTGAGATCTCGCGAAGATCCAGCTCAATATCTGCAAAGCGCTGAAACATCGAACGAACATAAGCCTACCCGTTGAATGTGTTCACTCAACCCCCGCTTCCCGTTGTGTACTTGAGCGGATCGAGCGCTTAAAAGCTCTTGGTGACAAAGAGCGCCGGGCTAATCATCCTCGGCCACGTGCTGGAGTCACGCCTTATTTGCACTGCGGTAGCCTGCGCGCTTACGTTTCAGCATTTCTCCTTTTCTTTCCCATTGGATTTTCTCCCACCATCCAGAAATACTCCCTACGATCCGAATAGTGGCTCCATCATGCCTGTTGTCTTCGTTGACACCGAGGACAGAGTGGAAGAGACCCCCTCAGCCGCCGAGACAGTGAGCGTGTTCGTACATACAACAGAACTTGGCAACAGCTGATCGCTTGAATTACACCACCAGGCGCAGAACAAATCCAGTGGGAGCACATCTCCCGCCACTTCGGCATCCACGAAGGATGACTGGGTCGATACTGCCAGCGTTTCCGACCCAGTCGCGACTCCAGCCGAACAGAGGGAGTCGACTCCTATTCCAGAAGAACAGGTACAAGGTAAGTAGGAGCTCCGGGGTAGCAACTACTATTGATACTCACGCGTAGCGTTCAAGGTTCATTAGCGGAACCCCCCCTTGTGGTAACACCAACCCCGCCTTCTGAGCCACTCTCGGCCGCCACGCCTGTCTCGGATTGGAAGAATGACGATGAAGTATGGCTCGATGACGGCTCGGTCACCCTCGTCGCTCAAGGCATAGGTTTTCGAGTATACAAGGGTATCTTGGCCAAACAATCTTCGGTCCTAACCGATCTCTTTGGGAAGGCACAAGAAGGTCGCACAGGACAAGAGGACCTCGTCGTCCATTTACCCGATTCTTCCCGTGACTGGCGCCACGTACTGCGGGTCTGTATGTCTCATAACGTAACCCTAAGGTACGCCCGCATGTTCACCACCACTAATCAAAACTGAGCTAACATATCCCGCACTATCAGATTGCGCGACGCTACCCCTATGCAGACTCCGTCCGCCGAAGAGGTCTTCGCATACGTGCGCCTCGGCCGCAAGTACAAGATCGAAGCAATCTACGAGCAAGCGATGGAGTACCTCAAGTCATACTTCAACCCAGACTACAACCACTTCTACCAGCAAGACATCTGGACACCCCCGCGCTTCCGCTACGTCGACGCGATCGGCGTCGTGAACATCGCGCGCCTGACCTCCGACGAGCCCCTCCGCCTCATGGCCCTCCTCGTCTGCTGCCTCACCGACTCCACCGAGCTCCTCACCGGCATCGCGTACAGCGACGGCGAGGTCGAGACGCTCTCCCCCGAGGACCTCGCGCTCTGCTGGGTCGCGCGCCCGAAGCTGTCCACCGCGCGCCTCCGGTCGATCCTCCGCATCGTCACGCCCCTCCTGGCCTCCCCATGCGCGAGCCGGAAGGAGGGCTTCGGGTGCCGCGACGCGGCGCAGTGCATCATGGGGGAGCTGCACACGAACGCGACGTTCCTCGAGCCGGGGAACCCGTTCATGGGCTTCAACGGGAGCGAGATCGAGGAGTTGCTTGTGACCTTGTGCGAGCGGTGCCGGGCGTCGACGGCGGCGCGCCACTCGAAGCAGCACCGCGCGGCGTGGAACGATTTGCCGGCGTTGATGGGGATGCCGTGTCCGGAGTGGAAGATGGTCGATATCGATGGGTGAGTGGGCCGGCTGTCGAGTGCTTGGGTGTCAGGGGGTGCAGGCTGACCGAGGTTTGTTCACAGAGACGCGATTTTCTTTGAACCGATGGCAGTCATGGTGAATGACGAGAAGCGGGTGTGAAAGTTCGAGGCTGCGTTATCAACTTATCCCTCTCTTGATTCGCATATTTACTTGTATAACAGTGCCTTTGTTCCGTGAGAAGAGGATAGTAACTTAAGGGGCGAAAGGGGTGTGCCTTTTTCGGCCGAAAGTTACGTTTTGGAAACATCCTCCGCAGCCAAGAACGCCTTCAAAGCGCGCTCATGTTCGACCCGTTGTACCTGTGTTCGGAGATTAGCGTCTGCACCACCACGACTTCGATCGTCACTTTCCAGGGTGTATCAGTGTCCGCTTCCGGTGTTCCACGCACTGCGCGACGTTCGTCGGAGGCTGCGGGGGAAGGAGCACGAAAACGTACGTCCGTCATTTCAGCATTATTCACTCATATGGGCTCCCTTCACCGAAGTCTGGTGATTCGATCCTGGTGTCTTGCACCACTATTAATAACTCTGCACAAAAATCTGACACTTCATATCCAGCCTCTCCATCTTTTCTATATGCGAGATACAGACGGCGCAGCGGAAGCCTAAGGACGGAAGAACCACGAGCAGACTCACCTATCATTTCGACTGTCGCACCCCATCCTTCCGTGTCCCTGACGGAGGTGGTTTGTACAATCTGCTCGGCAACACTTTCTACAGGGTAAGCAATTCTTCCACTCGAACAAGTGCCTTCTTCGCGAACTTTGATACTTTAGGTGTAGGCGCTCATAACTCAAGCCATGCCCTCCCCACGGTGAAAACGCCCCGTTGAGGGCGGCCAAGGCGGCCGCTCGGAGGCATATGACAGTGCCCGCCCGCGCGTCCGTGAGGAGATAAAGCTCGATGTCCCTCGAGGGACGACCCGCATCACCTTCCTCAACTCGCCATTACCACCTAGTACGCCGCAGTTCTACATGCAAACCCCTCCGAAGACCGAAGATGTGAAGGAGTTTGCACTATCTCAAGAGGGAGACCTCCACAGCGCTTCAGATGAGGCTCGGAATCTGGAAGTTGAAAAGAGGTAAGAAAGAGCCTAGGGGCCCACAATGAAACTTTCTGAACACGTTTTCAGACTAGTCAGACGAATCGACTTGCGGATCCTGCCGGCTTCCATGATTATCCATATGCTTTCTTTCATAGACAGAGCCAACATTGTGCGCAACTTTCTCTTTGTGTCTAAACCTCACACTGCTGAGTGTCTCTTTAGGGAAATGCCAAGGTGCTCAACCGAGATGAAGGAGACTCGCTTGAAGAAACACTCGGCATCTCAAACCAGCAGTACCTCGTCGCGCTCATGATATTCATTGTCGCTTTCACCATCGTTCAGACCCCGTGCAACTATATGCTCAAGAAGTACCGCCCTTCGCGCGCGATGGCGCTGATGATGTTCTGCTGGGGCGTCATGACCATCGTTCTCGCCACGGTGCAGAACTTCTCTGGCCTCGTCGCTGTCCGCTTCTTCCTCGGCGCTTTCGAGTCGGGTCTCTTCCCCGGCCTCGTCTACATCCTCACCTTCTGGTACCGCCCCGAAGAGCGCGCACTCCGCATCGCCTTCATCGTCGCCTGCTCCTCCCTCGGCAGTGCGTTCGGCGGCGCGATCGCGTTCGGCGTCGGGCGCACACTCAACGGCGTGCGCGGCCTCGAAGCCTGGCGCTGGCTCTTCATCATCGAAGGCATCCCCTCCTGCCTCGCCGCCCTCCCCGTCCTCCTCCTCTTCCCGGACTACCCCGAGGACGCCCGCTGGCTCTCCGAGGACGAGCGCGCGCTCTCCGCGGCACGCCTCGCGGGCGTCGCTTCGCACGGCGCCGACGCGCTCACCTGGGCGGACGCGCGCGCGACGCTCGCCGACTGGCGGCTCTACGCGCACTACCTCGCGTACGTCTCGATCTCCGTCCCGTTCTCCTCGAACTCGCTCTTCGCACCCACGATCGTCGCCGGGCTCGGCTACACCGGGCTCGACGCGCAGCTGTTCACCGTGCCGCCGTACGCGGTCGCGTTCGCGGTCACGCTCGCGGTCGCGTGGGCCGCGGACCGCTTCGAGGCGCGCTCGCTCGCGACGTGCGGGTCGATGCTCGTCGCGGGCGCGAGCTTCGTCGTGCAGGGTGCGTCGCCCCCCTTGTGTAGCCTGGGCGGACAGAGCGCCTCCGCTAACACGACTCAGGCGCGCTCCCCGCGGACGCCTTCAAGGCGCGCTACGCCTTCCTCTTCTTCAGCCTCTCCTTCTCCTTCGCCTCCATCCCGCCCTCGCTCAGCTGGCTCGCCGCGAACGTGCACAGCACCGGCGCTGCCACGCTCGCGATCCCGCTCAACGTCGCCTTCGGGCAGCTCGGGCAGATCATCGGTCAGTGCCCCCACCTCCCGCCGCGTTCCTGGCCTCGTCCTTCCCACCCGTACATGTTCCGTCCATCCTCCCCTCTCCGCGCTCCCATGTATTTGTGTCGTCGCGCTCACGCCGGGCCCCGCAGGCGTGTACATCTACAAAGACTCCGAGGCGCCGAGCTTCCCCACCGGCCACTTCACCAACGCCGGCTTCCTCCTCGAGGGCGCGGTGCTCATCGCGGCCCTCCGCGTTTTCTATGTCCGTAGGAACGGGAAGCTGTCTTACGGCGCGCGCGCGTGGCGTCTTTAACATCGCGGATGCATTTGTGCGTAGCCTACGCAGAAACGAGGATCAGGGGTAGGTACAGGCAGGTAGAGGCGGGGCGCACACTTGTGCATCAGGCGTGCATCGAAGCCACTCTGTTGCTTCTCGCATTCCTCGTATGTACTGCTGCCGCTTCGTGTAGATTGGAAGCGAGAGGTCGCCTTGTGCTTGCATCTGACATCACTTGGTGAAATGTAGACAGCTATTTTATGATCTCAAAGTTGCTCTGGTGTTCGTACATAGACATCACATGTGCTGCCTCACCCAGAGTCAGTGTACTCCAACAGATAACAAAGGGGGATTGAATGTGACCGTCCGTGGCATCTTTCGTGCGATTCAAAAAACTGTTGGTTCTTTACGACTCCGATACGGGGAATCGAACCCCGAGCTACCGCGTGAAAGGCGGTAATGTTAGCCGTTACACCATATCGGACATAGTAATTTTAAACTTTTAACACAATATATCGTACATCATATGAGAGTACGAATCCACTCGTGGGTACCAGTCAATCCGAAGGCTGCACTACATATGGTATGCATGGGCTACCGTTCGCCTCTCCGTTCGCTCACCACCGCGTCCATCCACTTCCAGACTAAGCGCTCAAGCATCAACTCCCAACCCTCCTCCTTCCTCGCGACCATCGGCGCGTCGAACAGCACCGCATCTTCTGTAACACCTCCTGGGAAGTTCACCGTAGAACCCGCCGGGGAGGGCAGAGGCGAGGATCCCAGCGCGGGCGTGCCGGGGCGCGTCGTCGACGTCTCCTTGCGCCGGTTCGGCATGACGATCGGTATTGAGTACCGCAGCTTCAACGCGCTATGTGCGTGGTCAGCGAAAAGCGCATGCAGCAGAAGCGGGAAGCACGCACGCGGCCCACAGGCGGAGGTTGTCCGTCCGGCGGAAGGTCCAGCCACGCTTGTTCCGCTCGGCGGTCTCCTCCGTCTGCGCCTCCTCGAGCGCGGCGATGTCGTGGATCGCGTCGCGGCTCACGTATCCCCACGGCTTCTTCGACCGCCTGACGGCATGGTTGTAGGCGTGACAGAGGAGTTGCCCCGAGGAGAGCGCAGTGAGGATCTCGCGCTGGTCTGTTGAAGACAACGGTAGGAGTCGTAGCATGGTTGCGGGGAGCAGGGCGACGAGTAATGCATGAAGACGACCTGAGCGGTGTATGAGCGAAGTCCAAAGGCACGGAGGCGTTGAACTCTTACCGTAGTCGTCGTCGGGATATGTTGACCGTTTCGCCCAAGGAGGCAGTTCGCTGTCAGCAACCGCCGCCTCTGCCTCTTCTTCCTGTTCCTCTTGCAAAGACTCCATCTCTTCCGGTTCTTCGGTAACCGCCATGTCGCGCATCGACTCCATGAGCCCGGTTGACACGACTCTCCGCTTGGCTCGTCCAAGGCTCGGTCCAGAATCGCCAAGCACGTCGCCTGCGCTCACACGCCGACCCTTCGACCGCATCTCGCGCTCAATGCGCTCCTTCTTCTCCATCCTCTCCCTTTCCCGCTCCCATCCCCGCTTGCCCTCCTTGAACCCTCCGAACAAAACCTCGTCGCACGAGTCGATGTAACTGCTCACCAAGTCCCGTTCCTTCGCGATGTCCTCCATCCGCATGTCCTGGCGATACAGCCATCCACCACCCACCACTAGCCGTTCGTCCCACCCGTTCCGCGTCTCCGCCTCGGTCATGCTGTTGAAGTCGTAGGATGACTCGTCGTCCCACACCGGTACCTGCTTCTGCGATGCCCCGACGGCCACGAAGGAGATCGAGACAGAGGTGTCCGCGTCGAGGTAGTCGGGCTCCTCCAGGTGGCTCGACGGGCTCGTCCCGCGGCTCGGGCCCCCGCCCGCGCTTGCGCTCGAGCCGTGGTCGCTCTGCGCGTCGTAGGCGTCGTGGTCGAGCGGGAGCCGAGCGCGTTCCTCGAGCTCGCGCAGCACCGCGAGCACATCCAGCGCGAGCGTCCGTACGCGCGTGACTGGGTCGGAGGGGTCGTTCGGCTGCGACACCTGCCGCTTCGGGACCGGTGCGCTCGACAACGTTTGCGGGCGGTAGCTCGCGCGCGTCGTCTGACCGGGCACGGCGCTGTCGTCGGGGAGCGAGACGAGGTAGTTGCGCACGGTGCGCACCGCGCGGGTCGTCATCTTCAGCAGATCGAGCACGTCCACCGTCGTCTTCGTCTTCACCGCCGGCCCCGCAGAGAGCAGGTCGGGGTTTCGCTCCGCGTGCGGCGTTTTCAATGGATCGGCGGCGTCGAGCTGCCATCCCGTCGCGACGATGCTGAGGTCGAAGACGACGCCCGGGCGTAGGTTCTCCGGGTCGGTCTCGAACGTCTTCACGTACGGAGGGAACGTGGGGTGTATGCTCTGGGGTATTGCGGGTGACGGGGGAAGAGTGAAGCTCGGCGAGCGTTTGGGCCGACCCGTAATGGCCGCTCCGCCGATGGCGGGGCGCAGCTCCCTCCCGGCCTTCTTCAGTGGACTGCGTCCAACATCGACCACGACTCGCGGTCAGTTCCCGCAACATAACAAAGGGCGAAGATGGACGCACTCGCTCTCTGCCGCGATCCCGGTCTTCGTGAAGTAATGCTGCAGGTACTCGATACTCCCCAGCGCCATCACGCTCTCCCTCTTCGCCGCGCTGCGACTGAACGGCTTCTGGGGCTTGTTGGTCGAGTTCATGTGCGGGTAAAAGGCGACCTGTCGCTTCCTGGCAGGGACATTATCCGCCGTGTCGGATGTGGGGGACGCGCTGGACGACTCCGGGGTATCCATCGTGGCGGGTATGAGTGGTATAGCGTGTGCTGGGATAGTTCCCGGGTTTTGACTAGGGCTATATGCGTGCGGAAGTGGTAATACAAGCAAGGTGGGGTCGTAAAGACGTGAGGGAGGGTCGTGGCGGGAAGGTGGTGGTCAGACAAGTCAGGCGGCGCAGATCAGGCGCACGCCGCGTCTGCCCTTGCCCCCCGTCTCGACCTCCGACGATCAGCATCGCCATCTCCGTCATCCTCCTCCAATCGCCGCGTGTTTCACACCAGGCGGAGACAAAGCAGCGAGTGAGGTGTATTTAGAGCGTAAGTAATGTAGAATAAAGGATCCATAGCATGCAAGATGGTGAAATCTGTCCGTCTCTCGCCATAACGACCTGTCCAACCCGAGCCTCACTAGACCATACGTGCCATCTGCCCGAGCTGAGCAGCCATGTCCGGATACGCGTGCATGAACTCCACCTGCGCCTCGGTAGCCTATATACACGTCAAATCAGTCGAAGCTCACCGTGAACAGCGGCGAAGGACTCACGAATTGGTACGTCAACGCGCTCACAAGTTCCGGCTCGCTGCGGGCGAGCTGGGCCTGCCGGTCGAACATCTTCATCGCGATATCGATCTTGCCCTGCTGGAGACTGAGCTGGGCGAGCGTCGCGACTGCTGCCTCGCACTCGGGGTCGATCTCGAGGGCTTCTTGACAACATTTCTCTGCGGCCGTGATGTCCTGTTTGTATTGGAACATGGCAAGCCCTTTGTTGACCATAGGGAGAACATTCATCGGGAGAGGCTTGGCGCGCTCGATCTCCACGGCACGCTCGAATTTTTCAATCGCGTCAGGATAGCGTTGCTGATCCAGGAGTAGTTCGCCGCTGGATATATGCCAAATCAGTAACCCTGTGCGGTCGATCAGGGGAGGTGCGACGTACTAGTAGTTCTGAGGCTCGCTGCGATCAGGGAAGGCCTTCAGCGTCCGACGGAACGTGGCCATCGAGTTCGCAAGGTTGCCGGACTTGTACTGGGCGACGGCGAGCTGGATGTGGCTGAAGACGAACTTATCGTCGAGCTCCGTGGACTTGGTGTAGTTCTCAGCAGCTTCGGCGAACTCGTTCATGATGAACAACACTTGACCACGGTGGTAGTAAATGTCAGGGTCGTTCGGGTTGTGCTTGATGGCTTCATCGAAGCACTCGAACGCCTTCTTGGGATCCCCACCCTCCATCCACACACTAGCAATCTTCACCCACGTCTGGGTCAACGACGGCTGCAGATCCAACGATGCGAGGAAATCCGCCTTCGCGCTATCGACATCCGTCATAAGGAAGTTGAAGGTACCGCGGAGGTTCAAAGCCTCGGCCTTGCCATTGTCCCACGAGATGCCCTGCTCGATTGCCTCGTTCACAAGGGTGAACGCGTGCGCGTAGTCAGACGCGCCAAGGGCCTCCAGGGCCAGGATAAGGGTGTTGTCCCCGGTTGAAGGCTCGGCTGGGAGCTCGGGAAGTGGGCCTATACAACGTCCATGAGTATTGTTGCAAGTCTCAGCGCATAAATGAAAACAAGTTTTGGAAACATCTTCACCAAACACGGACATACTGCGAAGGAATTGCGTTGCCACTACAACGACGTCGAGTGCTCATGGTGAATGAGTCCGAAGAAGCCTGCTCAAGAAGCTGTCGGACGGCCACCCGAAGCCACTATGCAGCGCCAACAACGTCCAATGAAATGCCTGGTTGTGCATTTGCCGAGGCGGGGCGTATGGGCCACGAGGCACACCGACCATCCCGTGGTCCGACGGAAGATGCAGATCGCGCAGGTGGGGCAAGGGGGATGGAAGCCTCATATGATTGAACAAGAACTCACGTTGACGGAAAGCACCAAAGTAAGCCGACGTGAACATGTGGGAGGGAAGACGCTTTTCGCGTGTCTATCGCGTGTCAAGTGAGAAGCTGGCTCTGGGAAGCAGCAAGCGTACTCACCGAGAGCACATCCTGCGCCTTCGCTGTTGCCAGCTTTTTGAGTACCCGCTCAACAGACTCCCCGGAGGACACGTTCTGGAACTGGTCCAAGATCGCGGCGGCAGTGAAGTCGCGAAGGGCTTCCTCGTATCGCTCCAACGCTTCGAGCGCCGTCGCGCGACGGTTCAGCGCCTTGAGGTATTTGCTGTCAAGAGCAAGCGCCGCGTCGCAGTCTTCAACGACCTTGCCGTGCTGTGGGGGGTTGAGGTTCACGTAGCACGCGGCACGATTGCTGAAAAAGACTGGTTCGGGCTTTGGTGTTACTGCGATCGCACGAGTGTAGTATTCAATAGCCGCGGGGAACTTGCGCTGTTGGTACGCAGAATTGCCCTTGGCTTTGAGCGACGCGGCGACCTTGGTGCGGTCCTAAGAAAGGGTCAGAGAGCGCACATGGTCCAGTAAACATGTCAACAGACCGTGTCAGACATTCCGCCGATGTCCTCCGGAGTCAAGACCCTGTCTTCTGCACAGTAGAACACGTAGTGGGTCCTCGGTCGCGCGCGTAGTACTGGAAACGAACTCACCCTCCTCGGAGACCGCAGCGGGCTTCGGCTTGCGTTCTTCGAGAATGGGGCCATCATCGTCCTTGGCTGGCTTGCGCTTCTTCGTCTTCTTCTTGTCCTTTTTGCCCTCGCCTTTTTCTACGTCACCGCCATGCGCGCGCGAGGTTGACGCGTAGTAGGCCACACCGCCCACCGCAACTGCGGCGGCGGCGGCAGCAATAAGCACGGCTTGCCTGTTCTCGGAGACGAAGTTCTGGACGCGTTCGACAACGCCCGATGAGGCGGCGGAGGAGGACATGGCGGCGAAAAGAGGGACGGACGCGGGGCCTCGGCCGGCGCGCGCGCTGGGTCAGCGCGGCATTGCTTCTTGGGTTAGGGGCTATGACGAAATTCCTGACCCAGCCTCCAACGGCTTGACTTTTCTCTTCTACACTATCATCACCATCCACGTTATCCACCTTCTCTACTCGGCATACCCCCATATGGCGGAGACAGCAACGTTCTCCTCGAGCGGCGTGGACGCTATCACGCGCAGCATCGACCTCACGGAAGAGGTTCAGGGGACGCTGCCTCTCGATGTGCTTGAGCGAACATACGACATTGAGAGGACGGCCAACCATATCAGTCTGGGCGCATACAAGCGAGTACGTCTGCTCCAACCTCTCAAAATACGACTGTCATAGCTTTGTGTGCAGGTCGCTTTGCAATTCCCCGACGAGCTTCTGCCACATTCCGTGCCCATCTTCAAAGCGCTGAAATCGCGGATACCGGAAGCGAGCGAGTTGTACGTTCTAGCAGACACTTCATACGGCAGGTGAGCTTTCTTGCGCGCCATGGATGTGTCATTTCTGAGGCCGCTTACCTAGCTGTTGCGTAGACGAAGTTGCCGCTCAGCATGTTGATGCCGATGCTCTTGTACACTATGGCCATGCCTGTATGAGTCAGTACGTCGACATTTGCGCATATTCATGGGGTAGGCCTCTCATGAGCTTATAGGACGTCCCGCCTCCCGGTCATCTACGTATTCGGAAAGAAGCCCATCGACCCCCTTCATTGCGCTCAAACTCTGGTAGCTGCATTGCCAGACGATCGACAGACAGTGGTGCTGAAGTGCGATGTCGCCTATACTCATGCCGCACGTACGTCCAATCTCATGATATGTGCAACGTCGTTCCCACAATATTGGTGTAGACGAGATTGTCACACATATGAAAAGCGTCCTATCCCCTTCCACGAGGGTACTATATACGATTGCACCCCTAGCAACGTTCCCTTCCACTGTCGATCAAGCGCCAAGGCAGTCGCCCCATGCCGTTCAAGTCACTGGTCAAGGAGAATCTGAGTCTCTCGACTCGGACATGTCTCCAGAAGACAGCGTCATCCTGCACGTCGGGCCGGAGAGTCTTTCTCTCACCAACTTACTACTCACGCATGCGGCCTTCGAAGTGAGTATATGAAATTTTCTTGAAAGCGCGTCATTGACTCGATGATAGGTATTTTCTTACCATCCGACAACGAGATCCGCTCAGCACGAATCTGGACGGACAAACAAGTTGCTTATGCGTCGCTACGCTGCCGTTCAGAAAGCTCGGGACGCGGATGTCATTGGCATTTTGGTCGGAACCCTTGGTGTTGGTATGCATCAGGTTACCTTACCCTCAGCCTCTATACTGATTTCCATGGTGTGCACGCAGCGAACTATCTACCTCTAATCAGCCACCTCCGGAATGTCATCTCTCGAGCGCACAAAAAGTCATACACAATCAGTGTTGGAAAGCCAAATCCTGCGAAGCTCGCCAATTTTCTGGAGATCGAGTGTTTCGTCCTCGTGGCCTGTCCTGAGAATAGCCTGCTAGATGCCAAAGAATTCCTGCGACCCATCGTAACACCATACGAGCTTGAAGCTGCGCTTCAGCCCACCCAAACATGGACAGGTCGCTATGTCTTGGACTTTGCTGAATTGCTGAAGTCACAAGCAGACATGAAAGAGGCCGAAAGTAAGTACCTTGTGCAATGCCCCGAGTACCTTGAGCTTACTGGATTGATGTAGTTGCAGGAGAACAGGGTAACGAGCCTCAGGATTCAGATCAGCCTATATTCTCCCTTGTCACCGGGAAGTATCGACATGCTAAACGTTATGGAGGTTCGCAGCTCAGCGTTCGACTATCGCCCATCGCCAGACGCTGACCGTCTATCCCAGACTCCGATGAGGCTCGAGCTGCAGAAGGGGATCCCTCTGCTATAGTTCTCCGGAATCAAGAGGACGCTCTCTCAAGGATCAACGGCAGTGCTGCTTGTTCGTTCATACTTGCAACTCTACTGTTACTTCGACTGACTGTGTACCCTCCCGCAGCACAATTCTTGCAGCAGCGTACTTTCCGTGGTCTAGAAACGCGCATCGGGCAAGACGGTCCGAGTCTGCTCGAACAGGGCCGAAGCGGCATTGCCCGAGGCTACGACAACGACCATCGCGAAGGATGAAAAGCGACTAGCATATCTCTTTGACAATTGAGAACGAAGAACACAGTGACGCATATAATCGCACCCTCAGCCATATACAACTGTAAATCCATAGATTACTCGCACCTTTTCACCGCCACATCCATCAAGGGATCCCCCAGCACGAGCTGCCGGCGTTCTCATCCAGTCGCTCTAGCCACGTCGCGCGTCGCGTTACGCGTAATGCCTTCATCCAGTCATCGCCCCCACCTTCACCACATCAGATGGGTTCGCTTCCCACGCACTCTCACGGTAAATTCGCATTCGTTCCCACATCGCTTTCTCTCACTTCGGCGTCCAGCGAATACTGTTCTCACGAAGTCTATACGTGAACCTGACTAAGCAAACGAAGCGTTCCATTCGTGGCGGCCACCGCGTCCATATTGCCGAGCTGGTACGCGCTTTTTCTAGGCCCGTTGACGGGAACTGTGCTTTTCAAGGCTTTCATACCATGAACTTAAATAGCGTCTGCACGTGGGCTCCCGAATCGCATCTTCCTGCTTCGCCGTATGAGAACGCTAGGACACGGTGCGCATCCTTCGTTTCCCGTCTCTCGCGCACGCGCAGGTGACGCAGGGCGCTGTACACGCTTCGGTGCCAGTATCTTGTTCTTCCGTCGCCCGGCCGATCGTCCTCCCGACAGCTATATACTCTAATGAGTGTACCACAGTCGTCGCCTCCCCTGGTCTTCACCACAGCCTTGCGCCGTGTCTCCCCTCACTAACGAAGACGGTGTCGCCGCAACCCCGCAGGTCAAACGCCCAACATGCTCACCTTGTCTGCCGCTGGAGTCATCTCGACGACGATCGAGGCCATCCTCTACGGTACGCTCTGTCACAGGAGTAAGTTCATGAAGCATTAGGGTTTGACTTTGTCTTTCCGCAGGATACTCAGTGTTCATGTTTATGCTCGCGATGTGGATCATGCTGCGCGACAGGAAGAAACGGCGGGTAAACTGGTGGATGGTCGCCGCCGGTGTTGCTCTACTCCTCTTCTCTACGGCGGTGAGTCTCCGTCGCCTTCTCCGCGCCATATGGACACCTTTCTGAACCGACTTTGGATAGGAAATGGCATGCAACATCGGCAGATTGTACATCGGCTTGCTCACAGTTGGGCCAACGTTCCCCGGAGGAAGCAATGCCTTCTTCGCCGAAGTCTCCGAAACGACGTTTGTAGTCAAAAGCTGCCTCTATAATACGCAAACTCTCATTCTCGATGCTGTCGTGGTAAGTCGTCCCAAACTTTGTGATGCGTGCAATCAATCCTAATCTATGAGATGTTGCAGATTTATCGCACCTACATAGTATGGCAAAGAATATGGGTTGTTATCGCTCCTTGTATTGGCTGGGGAGGCCTTTTTGGTACGCTCGATTATGAGGGTAGCAAGCGTTTTGACTAAAAGTTGGCCCATCTTCAGCAACGTCGATAGGCTTGAACTGGGCGCTTGCGACCGCTAGCCAGCATAAGAACGACGTCTTCGCCGCCGAGACCGGTCGCTGGATCACCGCACTGTATGCTCTGACGCTAGCAACAAATTTATCTTCCACTCGTAGGTATCGTTTCGACTTACCATCTGCGGTGCTCGTCTCACATTGCTCTTCATACAGTCCTTCTTGCCTCACGCATCTGGACCATCGCACGACGTTCCGCACAATATCGTGCCAACAGCATCTTCACACCCGTCCTACGCGTCATCATTGAAAGCGGGGCCATATACTCGATGACAATAACCGCCGCCCTCATTGCTTTCGTCGTTCAATCCCCCGGGGTGTACGTCATCCTCGACATGGTACGTCTTTCATTTAAAAGCCCCGGTCGCCTCTTTGGAACACGGTCCCACGAGCTCACTATGCATTCCATTCAATGCTCACGTCAACAACAAATCTCCCGATTATTTATCCCCACGCCACCCCACACGCCCACGGTCCAATTTTACCAATCCCCGCTTCCCCGCATAGATCTCGCCCATCATTTCCATCGTTTTCTACATGCTCATCATCCGCGTTGGCCTCGCCGGAGAGCGCGCCCGCTCCTCCAACAATGACTCTTCCACCCACCGGAACACGACCTGGCCGAGCAGCGGCCGCGGCGCGCGCCGCACCGACGGCTCGTACGTCATGCAAGACCTCAAGGTCGAGATCACGCAGGTCATCGAGGACGACTCAGACTTCGACCCGCACTCGCACCACAGCGCGCTCGAGTCGGTCCTCGACCCCGAGCTCGGCACAAAGCCGGCGCCGGCGCCGCAGCGCGCGGACGAAGAGAGCGGCGACATAGGCGAGGGGTCTTCGCGCGACTCGGATTCGTTTGTCGCCGCCGCCGTCCCGCCGCCGCTCGGCGTCGCGGCGGGAAAGGCGGTCGACCGCGGGTACGGACTATGACAAGTGATCGGGCGGACAGCGTGAGGGTGGTGAGCGTGGCGTGGGGGATGCGTGTCGATTATACCCTGCGGAGCTGGCGGACTGGGCGGCTCCCATGCTTGGGACGCACGTAGCTACGGCGCGCGTAAAGCATGCGTATTGTGGACGTGTGGGGACGCACGTTCTGGCACATGCTCTCGCTCGTAGGTGCCGTGCGGACCTTGTTCATGTCGTGTTGCGTGTACGTACTCCGTGCCTCTTCGGTATGTTCATTGACCATGTAGGTCGTCATCTCCCAAGAGGGATACCCACAGGGTGGGCCGGACGGTGCATGCACCGGGCCGGTTTGTCTAAGTGGGATTCCTCGGCGCTTCCAGCGATGTCGTCGCACGCTGGTTGAGCTCAATTCACCAACCTCCTCCTCCTCCTCATCTCCTTCTCTATGACGGAGGTCCCACGGCCACGTGGAAGCCCGCACAACACCCACTATGTACTGCTCCCGGGGCAACTATCAGCCCATAATCATTAATCAGCTCCCGTCCTCGCGTGAAAGACATCATTTGGGCGATTATGCTGCACCACCAAGCCTCGCGCGAACAGAAGCAACACTCTCTAGTACGCGGCCATCTTACCCTCACGTTTCACTTCGCGGAATTGACTCGAGGTCTGGATCAGTTCGCAACACGTGCGCGTTCGAGGTACTGTCTGGCTGTGTTGCTTGGAGGTTCCTGCTTGGTGTGCGAGGTGCCCGTTTAGCATGCGCAGGGCGCACAGGGGCTAGCGGCGCTCGTTTCGTTGTACAGTGACGGGCCAGCGCGGAGTAGTAGACTACATAAGGAGGGGTAAGTTGAAGTTCAATTGGGAGATCACAAGTGAGAATAATCCCTTTCCTTGCTGGGGCCATTTCAAGCGCACGTCCAGAATCGCACGGCGCGCTTCTCTTGCTCCTCGATTCCGAAAGACGATTCTGGGTCCAGCATCGTGTCCAGAATCATCCCCCACTGCGTAACTCTGACCTCCACTATTCTCACCAACAGAGTTCAAAAGATGGCGATATAGTCTCATCCATGGCAGCGCACTGCTTCACCGGACACACCATGAAAGACCCCGTCCTCCACATCCACCTCGATTCTGGCGTCCCCGAGGGCAGCACCGATTACACCACCGTCATACTCCTCCACGGCTTCGCCTGGCATGGAGGTATGTTGTACGCTCCTTCTTTTCACCCTAACCCACCCAGACTCATGTTTCGATCGAGGCGTCTTTGCAAAGATGATCCCCCCCGCTCACGCCCACAACGCCCGTCTCGTGCTCGTCAACCGCCGCGACTACCCCGGCTCCAAGCCCTACACCCCCGCCGAGCTCGCGCTCCTCAAGCGCGCGACCGCGCTCGTGTCCACAGACGCTGCTGGCGCGCGCACGCTCCTCGCGTCGTTCATGCGCGACCGCGCGCGCGAGGTGTACGACTTCCTCGTGCACTTTATCGCGGACAACGACGTCCCCGCCGCCGACGCGGCGCGCAACGCGGGCGGGATCGTCCTCGCCGGGTGGTCGTTCTCGTCCGCGTGGATGACCGCGCTCCTCGCGCACGTCGGGGAGTTCCCGATGAACGACGTCGAGGTCGACCGGTACGTCCGCCGGGTGGTCCTCTACGGTGCGTCGCCTCTTCGTTCCCTGCAGTAGCGCCCGTGCGCGGGGTGTTGACCCCGACCCCCTCGCTCTTTCATCCTTCCTTCCTTCGCGCGGGCGCAAGACGGCCCGTATCACTCCATGGGGTACCCGCCGCCCTCAGACCCATACAACCCGCTGTGGGACGCGTCGCTGGGTAGCGACGCGACGCGCGCGTTCGCGATGTGGGTCAGCGGGTACTTCCAGCACGGGGACTCCGCGGACGCGATCGAGAGGCGCACGCCGCTGGCGAACCCGGCGCCGACCCTGTCGACGCTCACGGACGAAGAGCGCGAGTCCGCGCTGTACCCCGGACCTGGGGAACCGTCGGGCTCGGACGGGCTGCTGCTGGCGGGGGGCATCCAGTCGGGGTTGTACGAGCAGCTGAAGAACGCGGCGCTGTACCTGCCTGAGGAGATTGCGTCGCCATTGGGTGAGGATGGTGACGAGATGGTGACCAGCGCGTGGAGCGATGTGGAAGTGCGGTACATCTGGTGCGAACGCTCTGTTTGGGAGATGACCTGGACGTCGTGGAAGATGCGGGAGGAGATGCGGGAGGCGCAGGCGCAGGGCAAGAATATGCGGAACTTGAAGATTCTGCGTCTTCTTGACGCCAATCACTTTGTAAGTGTGGCGGTCAGAAGATATCCCGAGTGAGCTGACATGTAGGATTCGAATCTTCAGGTTCATTGGGACGAACCTGAGCGATGCCTCAAAGCGTTTCTTGCGCCAGAAACAGCGTCCTCTGAATAGACAGCTGTCGGGGGAGCGAAATATCGTTGGGACATTGGAGTCAGTTACAAGTGTGTTGGCGTTTGAATTCACAGTAGAAAATGTAGGGCCCAAGGCGGATTCGGGCGGAGTCTGAAACAGCCGCTGAGGGATCAGCGGAGTTTTCTGCTGCTGCGGGTTTTCCCGAACGTGCATTGTGCAAGTTGCGATTTTTGAGCTCATTCCTCCTCTTTGCATGACCGTCATCCCTCCTTTTGCGACTTGGGACGCTACACATGACAGGAATGTACCGTTGGGTATGTTGAGTTAACTGCTTCTGTGCTTTTGCTTGCGTTGACGCATTGCTGACGAATTCGACTCGCTGTGTGGCAGCGCTGTCTGTAGCTCCATTGCAAACGCCAATTTCGAATAACATCGCTTTTTTCTTGCTGCGAGTGGTTCAAACGTAAAGCCGTGAGAGAGGAGTTGGACGTTGGCGGCGACGAAAAGGTCGAGTGAACCTTGGACGCACCGCAGCGACGGGTCTGAGACGCACTTCAAAAGGACTCGTGATGCAGCTTACATCAAGACAACGCCCATGAGGAAGTATTGCTCCTGTCGTCCGTATATGTGCTCAGCCGAATGACTCTGCAGGCTAGGAATTTGATTTTGGGGGTCTGCGCTTGGGAGTGTACCCCGAGTTTGCACTCGTTCTACTCTTCAAGGTAGCTGACCGTCTTTCTCATGCAGGAATGGGGCGCTATTAGCGGCCAGGTGCATTCCATGGTTCCAAGAGGAGGGAGAGGATGATCGACATAACTGAGAGTCTGGCGAGGTAAATCGGAGAATATCGGAACGCGACGGGCGGTAACGGGCGGCTGTCGCTCGTCGGTCCCGCACTTTGCCTCCTTTTTCTGCGTCTGGGTGCGTGCGTAGCGGCTTTTCCACACGAAACAGACCGACGGGATCGCACAAAGCATCAACAGCCACAGGAACGAGCGTTCAAGGTATCCCCGGAGCCACCGACGATTCGTGTCGAGGACGCTTGATACAGTCCCAGTCTGTGGCTTTCTGTGAGTACTTAAGCCGTCCGTTTAATCTCGACCCTCATCCGGCTCCAGCACCTCTTGATTCGCAATGTCTCAGCAAACTTCCCTCCACATTGCCCTCGACTCGGGCGCCCCTGCAGGTAGCACGGACTTCACTACCCTCGTCATGATCCATGGGTACAACTGCCCTGGAGGTGAGTTTTGAGTCGCCCCTATTTCGCTCCTAGCCTGATCGCCTCCGCCCAGGCATGTTCGCGAAGCTCGTCCCACTCGCGCACAAGCACAACTCGCGCGTCGTTTTCGTCAACCGGCGCGACTACCCTGGCGCGAAGCCCTACGATGCCGCCGAGCTTGCCGTGCTCAAGGAGGCTGCCGCTGTCGTATCCGCGGACCCAGCCAAGGCGCATTCTCTTCTCGCCCCATTCATGAAGGAGCGCGCCCGCGAGGTGTTCGACCTCCTCGCGCACATCGTGGAGGAGGGCAACATCACGCTCCCGCAGAAGGAGAAGAACACCGGCGGGATCATCGTCGGGGGCTGGTCGTTCGGCACCGCATGGATGACCGCGCTGCTCGCGCACGTCGCCGACTTCTCCGCCGGCAGCCCCGTCGCAGTCGACGCCTACGTGCGCCGGGTCATTCTCCATGGTGCGCCCTGCACTCTCTCTTGCTCTCCGATACATGTTCACCCGCCCCCCTGCAGACGGTTCCTACCCCATCCTGGGCTACCCCTCTCCCGACAGCCCCGACAACTACAACCCGACCCTGGACCCCGCCTTCTTCGACCTCTCCACGGACCCGACGGTCGCCCTGCGCTGGGTGAGCGGCTACTTCGCGCACGGCGACACCGAGGCCACCCTGCAGAAGCGCGTGCCGCTGGACACGCCCACGCCCACGCTCCTCACACTCACCCCCGAGGAGACTGCGAGCGCTCTGTGCGTCACCCCCGGGCTGCCGGGGGGCTCCGACCAGCTGCTCTTCAACACGGGCGTCGACTGCGGGCTGTTCACCGCGCTGCGCGAGGCGGCGCTCGCGACGCCCTCGGACGCGCGCGGGTGGCCGGCGGTCGAGGTGCGCTACGTGTGGTGCGAGGCGTCGGTGTGGGAGATGGTGTGGTGCGCGTGGAGCATACGGAAGGAGATGGAGGAGAAGGTGGCGGGGATGCGCGAGGTGCGCATCTTGCGTCTCCCGAAGGCAAACCACTTTGTGAGTGCGGACTTGGTTGGACGGCGAGTGCTTTCGCTGACGTTGGAGGGACGTTTGTAGGTGCACTGGGACGAGCCTGAGCGCTCTTTGAAGGTGTTCTTGGCTGGGGAGGATGTATCGGAGATGTGAGATTGAACGGAAAGCACCCGGCGGGGTACGTTATACACGCAAGATATGGATCCTGTCATGGGCCGCAACTTGCAAGTACTTGAATGTCAGTTACGGATGATCATGCAGGAATTTACAACGAGTTTGAGGCTGGGAGAGTGGAGATCTAACTCCTCAGAAAACGATACCATTTATTCACTACTTTTCCATCACCATGCTTGGGCCTTGGATGTCGCCGCGACGTTCGAAAAGTACCTGTCGTCTTTCCCACTCGCGTTGCACTCGATGCTCTCCCGCAGTTATATTCATCAACAAGACATCTTTACAGATCACGCACCGTACGCCGAACGGTGCCCACCATCAGACGCACGAACCACGAAGCATCGTGACCAGTAAGCATGCGAAGGAACCCGGACTGCGGAAGACAAGAACGGCCAGCCATGCGCCGACTTCGGGCGTCGCCGTCCTGGGGCCCGTGGCGGCCCGGAGCCGATGACGTCGCCAACATCGGCCGTTACCGAGGTCGAGTGCGCTGATGCTTGTTACTTGGTACTTACCAGAGTCTTCAAATGCTGCATGTAACTACCTGCATGCGTATCCCTGGGTATGTGAAAGAACGAGCCGGCTGGGTCCTCGACCCTCCGCTTTCGATGGCTCTCGAGAGCTGTGGTACGGCTCCTTCAAGAACCCGAAGCTCAAGGCTGTGGATCCTACTGCCGCACAGACACCGCTACTCGCTAGCGTAGGGAATGCACCCTGGAAACAACGAGGCCAAAGTGAGCCAGATGGGACCTCCTACGTATGACGACAATACGTGCGCCTTCGGACTTCCGCCTGGGCAGGTCGGTGCACACCCGACAACAGAGCGCCGGCGCAAGCATCGACATCATCTCATGACCTTGTGAGGCACTGGTCACCGCAGGCACTCCGCCGACGTTGATGGTCCGAAGGATGGCTTGGTGAATAGCTCAGAGCTTCTCTTCCCTTCCGTGACCATCGCACACGCGTTCCGAAGGTTCGTGGCCGTGTTCGCGAGGTACGCGTCCGTCATGTGCGGGCCTGCGTGCGTCGCGCTCCACATGCAGTGATGCGCATGCTCATCTTCTCGCGAGCGGACGTGCCGGGGGTGGAGCCTAGGTGAGTAGTATTTATTGATGTGGGCGCGCCCGTTTGATCCCCCAGACGCACCGAGAGTCGCATCGCGGTCGTCGCCTTCCCCCATCGTCGTCGCCCTTCCTCGTCGACGTTCAACGGCCAGCCTACTCAGAGCACTCCCATCGCGCCCTCATTTACCGCACATCTCGGTGAGCACTCATAGCTACCATTATCCGCCGCCGCAGCCCTCACCGCCCTTTCCTTTCTTCCCCCATCTGCTCCCCGACCGGGACCCACACTCTTATTCTAATCAGGCATGCTCTTCAACTTCAGCAAGCTCACCGCCCTCGCGGCGCTCACCGCCGTCGCCACCGCGTCGCCGCTCCTCACCGCGCGCGACCAGTGCGGCGCGACGCTCAGCGCCTCCCACGTCCGTCCGCTCCCCTCTCCCTCGCGCGCGCGCGCCCACTGACCGTCGCGGTCCTCGCGCGCAGAGCGTCGCGCAGCACCTGATGGACGCGTTCTGGTACGGCAGCGGCTGGGGCATCTTCTGGACGGACGCGAACACGCTCGAGGACCTCTACAACCTCATGCTCGCCGACGGCTCCACCGCGTTCGACGTCGCGGACAGCACGCCCATTGGCCAGCTCGGGCTCCAGCAGAGCCGCGACGCGTGGGTCGCGAAGCTCGGCGGCTCGAACGACGACGCCGGCTGGGTCGTCCTCTCGCTCTGGAAGATCGGCGACTACCGCCTCCGCCACGGCGGCGACCCGAACCCGTACTGGGTGCGTCTGCTTTTCTGCCGCGCGGTGCTCCCATCGGGCGCAATGCCTTCGCCGCGAGTGCTCTCCTCGCGTTCGGGGAGGTCGCGAGGCCCCGCGCGGATGCTTCCCCATCTCTTGATGACGAGCGTTGTGCTGATCGCCGATCGCTGTGCCCGCGTGGCGCGCGCGATGCCTCCCTCCGTTCACAGAACAGCGCCAGGATCGTCTACGACCTGATCGCCGCCGAGTGGGATGACTCCGTCTGTGGCGGTGGAGGTGAGTGTTGTCTGCCACCATCGCCAGAACGCGCAGCCGGTTTGCGGCGTCGAGCGCGCGCGACGGGGTCTCGTCCTCTCGCGCACACTCACACGCTTTGCGTTCTGCACAGTGTGGTGGTCGAGCGCGCACACGTACAAGAACGCGATCACGAACCAGCTCTTCCTCCACGTCTCCGCGGCGATGTACAACCGCTTCGGCGGCTCGCAGTACCTCGCGAACGCGCAGAAGGTCGGTCCCCGCGCGCGTCCGCTTTCGCACACAGAGCATACCGCTGACCGCGCGCGACTATGCAGACCTGGAACTGGCGTAAGCGCTCCTGACCTCATTCGCACCGCGCCCGCGCCCGCTCAGGGAGCGTACTCACATCCCCCGCGCGCAGTCCTCAACTCCGGCATGCGCAACTCGGACGGGCTCTGGAACGACGGCCTGACGGACTCGTGCGAGAACAACGGGCAGACGACGTGGACGTACAACCAGGGCGTGGTCGCGTCCGGGCTCGCGGAGCTCGCGCGCGCGACCGGCGACCGCGCGCTCCTCGACCAGGCCGAGGTCACGCTCGACGCCGCGGCGCGCCTCAAGGTCCAGAACGGGATCCTCACGGAGACGTGCGACAGCGCGACGCCGACGTCGTGGTGCGACAACGACCAGGCGATGTTCAAGGGGATCTGGATGAAGCACCTCCAGTTCTACCTCGACAACTTCCCCGACCGCGCGGGCAAGTACACGAGCTTTATCGACGCGCAGGACAGCGCCGTCGTCCACTACGCGACCGGCGCCGGGTGGAAGGTCGGGAACGTGTGGTACGCCCCGGACCAGGGCGGCTCGCTCTTCACGGCGGAGACCCAGGTGGGCTGCTTTCTCTGCGAAAGTGCGTGTCCCGGACAAGAGGCTGACGACTGCGGGCAGACCGGCGGTATCGCCGCGCACAACTGCGCTGCCAAGTACGGCTCTTGCTGAAGAGCTCCAGTTGATTATTTGTTGCAAATGTACTATCAAGTGTTGGCGGCTCTTTAGACCTGTATGAACGACGAGGCGGATCTCTGTCACGAGGCACCGTCGATGAAATGGATGCTTAGGCAGGATACAGCATATATCCTCCGGCCATCACATCTCTGGATAGACCAACTGTGGGGATTCGTAGCAGACAGCGCTCTATAAACCCTGGGACAGCATCTGAGCACAATCTATTCACAAATTTGCAAAGTCCTTCAAACACATTGGTAGAGACGTGCGATAGGTTGGATAGGCCTCTATGGTTGTTCTGTAGGGGGTGGATAGACGCATGCATATGAAGGATAGGCAACCACACGGCCCAGCGAAGGCCACAGGTGTGGTTGCCACTGGCCGCGCGATTCACACGTGAGTATGAGCTTGGACAAAGCGAGAGTTGGCCACTCCCCAATACGCTTTGTCCACGACCACACGGCCGGTTTCCGCAGGCGGTACTTAAGATGCGCTTGAGACGCGCCCTCGTCCCCTCAACAGCGCACGTTGCCCTTCCCGCCCTCGTCTGTATTCCGCCATTGCCAGGCCCGAGCGCTTCATCGAATTCGATCTCGATCTCGTTCCAATCATCATCCATGCCTTCGAAGCGCGCAGGTCCCCGTGCACGTGCCACGGTCGAAAAGAGCCGTGAGTTTCGGCACATTTGCTTCAAAACCGCAGCCTGGCTGATCGGTCGGTCCCAGCACCCCAAAAATCGCGCCGATCCAAGAGGCTCCAGAAAAATCAAGAGCCCCGGACGGCACAGACCGCCCTCAACGGTGCCTCGGGCGCTGCTCCGAAGGATGAGGCCGAAGCAGCACCCTCCGTCCGGGCTTCAACGAACATCGAACTGCTCGTTGCCGCCGCCACCGCCCATTTTGCCAACCGACGCCGCACCGCGGCCGAGTTTCTCCCCGTGGAGCACGAGGTCGCTCGCACCCTCGTCGAGACCCTGCACATTCCATTCCACCTCCCGCCTCTCGTCTTCCACGCGGCCCACGCGGGCATGGGGTCCTCAGCTACGTCCGCAGGCACCCTCGCAGACACTCAGCGCGCGCAAACACCCAGTGGAGTCCGACCAGCCACCCCGTCCGATGCCCCGCGTCCCCCATCTCGCTCATCATCCCCTTCGCTCGACGAGCCCTCCACACCGCGCTCGCCTTCGCCCCAGACGGTCTTCCATGCGCTTCCCACAACGCGCTTTGGGGAGTCTTCCGCTCCGGCACTCAAGAGGAAACGAGACTCGGAGGCGGACGAGGTCGGGCCATCTTCGCCGCGCAAGACACGTCTGTTGGAGCTTCCGCTATCGGAGGGTTATTGCCGCGTCGACTGTGCAGGCGAGATGGCCGTTTGGGACGAAAGGCGGGGCGAGAGGCTAGTAGCAGTTCTGTAGCTTCGGCGATGGAAGTTTGTCCGAGTGATCGTCCTCTGGATATACTACTTAGTACTTACATGTACAGTTGGACCGTGTTTGATATTACCTTGGCTTGTGAGCTGCATTATCTCTGGCCGTTGTCTCCGAGTGCGTCGGCGAACGATTTGCTCCGGTCGACACGAAGCCAAGATGTGTGGGAGGAGGCAGTGTGTCATCAGTTGATCCGCGCCCGGCCCTGAACTGCTCCTTCCAAATACGGATCGGATTACTGACCTCCAAGCGTCTACGAGACGTGTCATGACTGCCACAACAATGGCCCCCTCGCACTCCGCCCCGATGTGCCGATCAACCTCCGAGAGGGGATGTCGTGAGTGCGTCCACCGCTCTTGCGCGCCTTTGCCTGTGTGAGGGTGGACGACCGTCGACAACCACGTGAGTTGTCACTGCAACTTGATGGCGATCAGTATTCACTGCCGTCTTGAAGCAGCTCACTCGAGTCTCACACTCCAAATATTTTCCATAGAGGCTGAAATTTCTATGTCTCGATGCTCCGGTACCGGTTCAAGGGGACAAGACGGTGGGCTTGTCATAGACGTCGTGTTTTCTGCTCACCCGCCCATGACAGGGCTCCACTTCATAGTTGAAACTACTGCGACTCTGCAAGCATTCCAGAGCTTTCGAGTGTCTGTTATCTATGGGTATCGGATGACTGTTCCTTTTTTTGAACACCCCGCTGACTGATTTCAAGGGACATGGCCTAGCCGATCCATCGCTTAACGCGGGTGCAGAAGAACAATGGAGCATTGGATGACAGCGCTTGGTTCCACCGCAATCAGCCCCCCTTGGGCGAGAAATTCTTTTTTCTGTGAGTCTCACAGTCGCGATTTATGGTCGGTGGGGCTGGTTGGAATCTCGCCAGGGTCCCGCACATATAAACCGCTCCCCTCGCGTCCCCAATCTGCTCCTCAACGGCCTCCCCCACCATCTCATCCCACCCTTCTGTCCTCCCTCCGGAAGACCCAGATGGCGAACAAGAAGAACCTCAACCGCCGCCGTGGCAAAGCGACTTGTAAGTGCGAGACTCTGTCTACCACTCGGTACCACAAGGCTCACCACTCGTTGTGCCCAGCTCGCCGTCGCGCCTCCGCCGCCCGGCGTGCTCTCCGCCGCTCTCCCGTTGACGAAAACGTCGCTCCGCCCCCGCCCCCAGGCACTCCCTCGACGTCCATGGGCCAGCCGTGGACGGCCGGCGAACAGCAGTAAGTCCACCGCTGCGAGCTCCCCCCGTCGCGCCCGCGGTCTCTGACAGCAGCCGCGCGCAGGGAGGTGCTCGCAGAGGCCATGCCCATCTACAAGCGGCTCGTGGGCCTCCAGGAGTCTACCGCCAGCTTGAACGCGCCTCCGCGACAGCCCGCGGTCCCGGGACCTGCTGACGGCAAACCGCTCCCGTCGGACCCGCTCGGGCTGCTGACCGCCGTCGCGATGATGCTCGATGGTCCCCCTCAAGCCGGGAGCGTCCAGCCTGGCGGGCGGACGGCGACCAAGCGGAAGCGGGCGGCGGAGGAGGGCGAGGGGCAGGTGGGGCCTCCGGCGAAGCGGCGGACCACGACGCGGGTCGGGAGCATCAAGCCGCCTGGGCATTACAGGCGGGCCAACATTGGGGGGTCCTAGACGCGTTGACCACGGCCGGCCTTCTGATGACCTCGTGGCCTTTTGTGGTGCGCGTGCATTCATTTTCACTCTGTGCGGATGTACGATATGGACTCCTGTTGTACTCTGCATATGTTGTCTCAATATCGGTCTAGTGTATCACTCTGGTCAAACGTATCTCATGGCACATTTATCTTTTCTATGAATGATCACTTCATCCGATGTGCACAAGTAAAGAGAGAAGGTGTAGGCCCGCGACACGACCGCTTTACTATTCAACGTTGACCACCTAAGCCAGCTCAGGAGTCAGCAGTGTCCTCACTTGCCTGGGCCTGCCTCGGCTATTCACCATGTAGGACACGAACGGGCCGCCCGCACTCACAACGTCAAAAAAAGCGAGTGCGTATTCAATCTAAGCATATAACAAGCCCGCGCGATCCCGCGCGAATACATAGACCCAATAACGTTACATCCATCGAGCCGCGCTGCTCTTCCACAACACACAGCTGGCGCCTGCGAGCTAGCAGCCGCGTAGCCCTTGAGCTCTATCCGCGCAACTGAAACTGAGGTGCGAGGCGCCTCAGAAGCCGCCGGTCGGGAGGTGATCTTGCCCGAGCTGGCGCATGACGCGGCTCAACCGGCGCGGACGGTGCACGGCGCGGCGGACCGCGCTGCCCATGTCGCAGCTGCCCGACGTGGAACTTGTCGAGGCTGCGGCGGAGGACGCGGTGGAAGAGGAAGCCACGGACGACGCCACGGAGGAAGCGACCGAGGTGGTCGGAGATGCGGAGGAGGCGGGGGCGGAAACACTCGACGAGGAGCTGCCGCTGTTGTTCCCCGAACCGCTGCCCGCCACGATCGCGGCGATCGGGCCGCCAGGGAAGGTGTAGACGAAGCCGGGGTTGTAGACCTGCACGAAGGGCAGCTTCGTCAGTCGCAGCCGGTAAGATCAGACCTATGGAGCAGAACGCACATCGGGGGTGAGGATGCCGGGGTCGGAGTCGGAGTACGCGCCGGGGAAGCTGACGGTGGCGTTGGGGACGCCGTTGCCGTTGCCGCCGATGCGGACCTGCGTGCAGGAGGGGTAGAACTCGGCGCCGCCGAGCGAGACCGCGATCTGCAGGGCGATGATCTCATGCCGGATGAGGTAGTCCCCGGGCGCGAGGTTCTTCGGGAGGGTGAGCGAGTACGCCGATCCGTCGTCTGCACGTGGGGGTCAGGCGTTGTGATGACGGAGACAGAGATAGAGAGGAGACGCACCGATCTCCTTCTGCACCCAGCTGCCAGAGCTCGTCTGGCCGGCCTCGTCGATCTTGAACCACGCGGCGTTGGACGAGTCGAACTTGTCGCAGGTGGTGCCCTCGCACGCGGCCATGTACGTGATCATCGGGCCCGTGTCGTGGAACCACTGCCCAAACATACGATCAGTTAGACGGCCTGATCACACTACGATGAAAGGCAGCCCGACTCACGTTCCCGGCATTCGTGGCCCACGAGAACGCGACCGTGCTCCCGGGGTTGGCAGAGGCGACTTCGGAAGCGAGCGCCACGACGGACAGCCGAGGGGCGCCGGATATCGGGAAATGTTCATTACCATGTTATTATATGGACGCCTGGGCGAGACTCCGCCAGTAACTCGGAAATGATGAAGGGTACTCAAACCGTTTGTCAACATACGCCTAACATTTCCGCATCTTTGTCAGGTAATCCGGCTGACAACATTTGCGAGTCTCGGAAATGTTGACGTTCAGATCACATGACTACCGTCATATCGCGGCCTCGTGTCCGCCGTGGTACACGAAATCGATCCTAGCATCCCCTGAGTTGTCTGAAACATAAATCCCAGTGCTCGCAAGTGCGGGAACCTGGACATCGGCAGCGTGCACGTGATCTGATCTTCAACATTTCCGAGACTTGCACATGTTGTCAGCCGGATTACCTGACAAAGACCCGGAAATGTTGGGCGCATGTTGACAAACGGTTTTAGTATCCACAAAGTATCCGTCAAAATTTCCGAGTCTCGCCCAGGCGTCGATACAATAACATGTCTGGAAACATTTCCCGCTCTCACACGCCCCTGGGCTGCCCGTCGTGCGCGGCGTTCTGGCCGCAGGAGAGGTTGGGGTTGTCGGAGCCCTTAACGGGATCGACAGTGCTGATCTGGCGAATCGGGCTCGCAACTGCGGAAGCGCGTGGGTCGCGTGAGTTCATTGCCTGGCAAGCTAGAAGAGGCATTCCAGACTCACTGGGAGTGACGCCGGGGCCGACGCCCTTGTAATTGGTGCCGTCGATGGCAACATTGCTCACCCAGCCATGGGCAACAACGTTAGAAACAGCGGCGACGAGGATAAAAGCGAGCGCGAGTGTCGTGGTGTACATCTTGGAGTCGAATAGATTAGATAAGTCGTGTCTAAGGAAAGTGGCGCGTGCGTGAAGGCCGACTCTTCAAGAGCGGCGCGGTGGACCAGAGAAGTAGAAGGAGTGAGTGAGTGGTGGATAGTGGAGAGGTGCCCTTTGAGGTGCGCATTATATATGTGCGTGAAGGCCGTTTCGGCGTGCTTGGTCCCTTGTATTAAGCGCCATACAAAGCATCGGGAAGCACCTTTGTGGCAGCTCCAATCAGACCACTCGTAGATGCGAGGCGCAGTGGCCACGCCGAGTGCCCTACGCTTGAACCAAGTGAGAGGCAACGCGTCCAGCAGGTGCTCGACTTAGCGCTGGCTCGGAATAGGCACCTGCCCTCGTTGGTGATTAGAGAAGCAGCGCTTCAACATGAGATAAACTGCCACCCACCACGCGGATTATCAGCTGCTCTTTGACCGGGGTGCTAGATGAAAGACGGGATCTCAGATTGACAAACGTGGAAACCGGCTTTGGTGGGCGCGATTCGCATGCCGCAAGCCGCGCTCTACAGCTGTGCAGTCCTCTTCAACAACGCGATCACCACGAGCCTGGTCTACAACGTGGGCGCCTCCGAAGTCTTCACCGCGGAAGCGGACCGATCGACAGATGTAGGCATGTCAAACGATGTCGAATCGGATATTCATAGACTTGCAAAGGGCATGCGGACATGAACTAATGTTCTGAACAAGGATTAAGGTCAGGCGGTACGCGACATCGACATTCGAGACCACAAGACACACACAATGCTCAGGTACACCTTCTGGGCAGTGTTCCCGAGTGACTCCCATCGCCCCTCGGGATCTTGCCTGTCGCTGCCGATATGGACGCACAACGGGCGGGTCTGGGCTACAGAAGGACACGTGTTAGCCATGCACCAAGCAGCACCCTTAAGTCACAACGTCTGAACCGTCGTGGCCCGTTGGTCCCTCGCACGCGCGGTCCCACGTAGTCGTTGAGAGAAGAACGGCATGTGAAGATAGAAACGCTCAACACACCTTTCCGTCAAGGTCAGCACCCCTGTTCAGGCGGGCGCCGGGGATGCTTAGCCACATCTTTTGTGAGGAACAAAGTCGAGCGGTTCACACCCCTTCGGATGTGAGGTCCCTGCCTTCGAACGTTCCGTCGGAGGCAAGAATACATGAATCGAGGGTCGAGGGCGATAGACATTATGCGCCGATCGCCGAACCCTGATCACACCTTGTTCGTCAATTCCCCGCGGGGTTATGGGGGGCCGGTCCATCAGGGTGCGCATAACACGTGCGGCGTTCAACACGCACCTCTCACGCGCAGACACGCGTTCACACGCGCCGACTCTCCGCTCGCTGGCTGTTCGTCGTTCACGGGTAGATCCCGGGTGCGAAGCCTGCGAAATGCCCATGGATGGCAGCAGGGGGGCCTTGAGGCACGAGTGTTTGGGGTGTGGGGACGGAGATAGGATGGGGGCACAGCAGGTGCGGAGACGCATCTTCATCGCCTCTCGCAGGACGCGGTACACTGCAGGTGGTGGGGAAGCTCTTGATTGTTAATGCTACAAAGAAACTGCGAGAAGTCGATATCTCGCACATATGCACGACAAAGACGTAAACGTACTTGATACAGTTCTCCATAGACCATAAAGGTGAGGGGAAATTCTCGATTGCTAATGCTACAAAGTCAATCTCTCGCAAATATGCACGACACAGACGTAAACGTACTTGATACAGCTCTCCATACGGGGCTTCATAGCGCGCTCTCACGGCAGCTCCGCGTCGTAATCCCCAACGACGGTCCCAGCCCCCAGCTCCGCCGCCCGATCGGCCACCGCGCTCGCGATCACGACGTCCTGCACCCCGACGCCGACCGACTTGAAGATCGTCACATCCCCACTCGCCCGAACGTCTGCGATCTTCGTCGCATCCGGCGACCACGCCGAAGTGTCGAGGTCGCAGTCGTAGAGGGTCCCCAGCTCGACGAGGTCCTTTTCTTGCAGTCCTGCCGTGATCAGTTCGCCAGCTTCCTTCTGATCACGCGCAGAGATCTGGTAAGCTTCCGAAGAAGACGCCAATGGGGAGAACGGACGTACCAGACAGGCGGCCTTCTGGTCCACGACGACCTTACCCGCGCGACGGACCAGAGGAGTGTCTATTTCATGCCTGAATTCCATGAGTGCATCAGTCGGTGCTTCAAGTGCGCTGCGTGTAAGACACTCACATCTCGGGCGTGTAGGATCCGATGAGGCACAGATGCGTCCCTGGACTGACGAACTCGGAGGGGAATAGCGGGACCGTCGAGGACGTCGCGGTGATGATGACCTGTGCCTTCGAGACTGCTTCTCGCATGGTCGAATCCGGGCTAAGAGAGCCAGTGGACACATGAATGTGAGGGAAAGCCAGGGCGATGCGATCGCGGAGCGAGGCTAGGCGGGCGTTCTGCGTGCGGTTGAAGATGGTGCACGTCTTTATGGTGGGGTATGCGACGAGGAAGAGGTTGAGATGTGCTTGGATCTGTGCTCCGGCGCCGACGGCTACGATGTTCGTTGGAGCGGCATCGGTTGGGAGCAGGAGTTGGGTGGCGAGGAGTGATCCTGCGCAGAGAGCTGAGGGTCAGAGAGATGTTCTCCATGCGCCGACTATCGCAACGAGCAGATCCTATGCTATGCGACACGCCCACCCTTCTCAGAGAGTATATATCCGCCCCGGGGCAATTCCACCTCATCCGCCACACTCCAGCCAATCCGCAGTCGCTCGCGGCCCAAACCCACCCACGCAAGAACAGAGCCGAGAGCAGGCACTCACCAGCAGCATTCCTCAGCGCAGTCAACAACCGCGCATTCACCACCGCCTTCACAGCACCCGTGCGCTCATCCAGCACCAGCGTGCTCGCCGGGAGCCCCCGCGCCCTTACATCCTCCGGCGCATCCGGGGAGGGCACCGAGACAACTTTGAGCGTCGTCCCCGCCCCAGATACGCGCGCAGGCATGAACAGCGCGGTGTGGTGAGCGAGCGCGAGCACGGTGCGGTGCGGCTGCGCGAGCCCGGGGTCGGGGGTGGGGGCGGAGAGGCGGGCGAAGACGGCGGCCATGAGCGCGACGAGCTCCGGGGGCTTGAATGACTGGGTTACGCGGAGGACGTCGGGCGCGGAAAGGACGAGGAGAGACATCGGTGGGGAATCGGGAAGGTTGGGGTAGCCAGAGGAAGCGGGAGAGCGGACATGGTGCAGGTTAGAGTTTGAGACGAGTTGGCTCGCGACTCGCGAGGCGCGCGGGCAGGGCGCACCCGTCGGGAGCCCGATGCTGGTTGGCACACGGGGTCGTCTCCCAGGTACGACGTCTACGCAAGGTCGGTGCACACAGAATACCAGACGCAAGGAAACGAGTCAACATATGAATTAGAGCACATCTGTAGTTCACGCCGTTCCCGCAAGTATCTACACCGTAGGTGACCGAGGCGACAACAGGTATGGAATTCAACAGGCTGAGAGTAGAAGGACAACTCCATACGGGAAAGCTGGGGAGCCTCGAGCCGCTTTCAAATCCGAAACCGTTTGCAGGCTGCTTCCCAAGTTTCGGGTGAATATTCGCTGAAGGCATACGTCCGGCAAACCGAGCGCTTCTTTGATTGTGATGTCTGTTCGCCAGCTTCGGTTATCAGCCCCGAGACCTGGAATTGGCGAGCACGACCAACAACACTTGTAGAAGAGCCGAGGGCATCATCTACAATGCAGGCGTCAGGAACGGGTCGAACCCATGCATCACAGAAGACCGCGCCCGCCCTCGCCAGAGCTCGCAGACTCACCATCGCTGAATGAAACCGAGGCTTCGTTATTCGAGGCCAGTCCGTACGCATTGTCTCCAAAGATACTGTAGTTGAGGTCTGCGGAGCATTCTTCAGTACAGCGTCGATCGACGCCAAAGTATATGCGAACGTACCCTCCCGAATCATCCCAGGATACGCATCTGCGCTCGAGAACTCGGAGGAGGAAGGAGCCCAAGGTCCAGGAGAAGGTACACGGACACGATCGAACGAATCCGAAGTTCTAGATCCCGGCATGGTCGCCCTCTCCTTGCCACCTCGACGCGATCCTATGGAGGGAGTACGGGCCTGGGAAGCTGATGGTATTGAGGTAGCCCGGACGAGGTCCCCGGATGGGGCGGCTAGGGAGGTCGCATTGTCTGTGAGAAGCAAAAGTCCCCGAGTGGTGCGATCGGGGGCGGGTTCGTGGTGCGAAGCTAGATATAAGTATGCGCAGTAAACATCCTAATTCTGCAATAGACAATAACTTCGCACTCACAGTGGGTCGACGCACGACAGGATTTAGAGGAAAGGACAAGGGCCGACGACTCGGCCGGCTCGGTGTAATTCAGAAGAATGAAGCTGGAAGCGCGATGAGGATTTGGAGCCGTGAGGGAGGCTAGGGAGGGCCGTACGCAACTGTCACCCCGACGGCGCAGAGATGGGGCGCATAACTCGCGAGAAGTGAGAGAATATCGAGGGAGAGCATCTTCACGGTGGTGTGTATAATGGGAGAGCAGAGAGGAGGTGCGGCATCGATCCGGGACGCACTTGTATTTGACCGTCGTACAGCCGAGTGGCAAGTCGATATCATAGTCGCTGAGACGACACAAAGGGATGCTATCGTCAAATCAGCCACGCGCTTCTCATACCGGGATCCTTTCCATTAGAGTACAGAGTGTCGGCTTCGTCGGTGTGGCAGTTCCTTGTACGGGGACTTGCATTGTTCTTCATAACGTGCGCGCATCCCTCGCGAGGAAGTCGGCTGGACGGCTGGAACGCAATGTCGAAGGCAACCTTGACGACAAAAAAGAACACAAGCAAGGCGCGGTGCGTCGAGAGGCAGGTGTCAGATCAGATTGTGGGGAGAAACAACGAGCACTTGCCTCGACGGTGCGGCCCCAGCGACCTGCAGAGCGTTGGGCGCCTATATCGCATCGCCCGGTTCCCTCCTCACGAGCTCCCAGTGCACGTTGTCCCTCAAGCTTCAAGGCCTGAAGCGTACCAGCGATTCTAAAACGCACTCACCACCTTCATTATCATACGAAATGCCTCGCTCCTTACGCACAATTTCCGGTGACTCTCCAGGGACCAGCTCCCTCTGTACTATCTAATCTCGTAGATTAGCGCCTGCGCTAAGGGACGTTGATGACAGCAACGCCAAGTTCATCGTCGGAGAATTCGCTATGCATGTATATATGTATACGCAGACACCACTTCCGCACCCACCGCATTCAAACACACCGGGTATATGCCATAGATACAACATTCAAACGAAACTTCCCATCCCCGTTCCTTTCGCTCCTACCCAACGAGACAAGGACGTCCATTGCCAGGGGCCACTGGTTTCGTGACGTCTAACATAGCGTGCTGTCGCCGGAGCGAGCACGGCGGCGGCGGCGTTTCAGAACCGCCCTCTGATATACGTAAGTATGCAGGAGCACAAAGCACTCCAAAGCAGTACACACCGCTCGCAACCCCCCCGTCGTCATCTGGTGAAGCAAGGAATACGCAGCTCAGCACTTCTCCCGCACTGACATTCACGCACAAGGTGGACTCACTGCCAGAGTCCTCAAGCTCGCGCAGATGATAGTCACGAATCATCTCGTCCAGACGCATGCTGTCCGAGTTGTACATCCGCAGAAGGAACTCTTGAAGCCTAGGATTCCGCAAGAACGTCGCGACTTCCCCATCCGAGACTGGGACGAGGATCGAAGGTGCGCTGAGGAGGAGACTGATTCGTGCTCACGATAGACCCCCACAATCCCCTCCTTAAGTAGATCGGCGCCCTCTGACACCGGCACGAGTTGGTGGGTCCTGCCCGTGTAGAAGCCTTGGCGGGTCTGTCTCTCGTTCATGCGCAGCTTGAGGTTTAGCAAGTAACAGGCGAGCTTGGCGCGCTCTGCCCGACGATAGGAGCGCGGCTGCCACCAAACACTGTCCACGGCCCTTGAGCAAGTCTAAGAAGCGGATGCCAGAGGATGGCATACACGAAAGTGGCTGCGATAGCCCAAGCGACAAGGAGGAGGTTGATGGAGAGCATGTTGCGTCGGGAATCGGAGAAGGGCGGGGTTGTGGGGATCAGAGAAGACGTCTTAGGCCTAGGACTGGGGGGCGCAGAGCAATATATCTTGAGGGGAGAGTGGCACAATGCAACGAGGAGTCACAGCGGGCGGGACATCAAGTTGCCACTCCGTTCGCCGAGAGGCATCGTATCCATGTGCTCGACTGCTCGCGGAGTTGTACGGCATAAGGACTTGCCTCAAGGAGCATGATTCATTCCAGCAACGAGGGAAGGGGAGCATGAAGAGGGAAGGGCTCGGAGCGGGAACTCATGATCAAGGAAGGGAGCATGATGGTGGGAAAGCAGTCCCAACGAAGCAGGAGCCTCGGCCGGTCCATCGCGCCTGCCAAATTGGGGTGGATACCAACCATCGCACCCTGCCCGTGGCGGTGTTCGTTCGCGATGACGTGGCCCACCACCCAAGCCTGCCCCGTCCCTGCCCTGGTAGGAGATCCATGCCTCGAATACGCTTGTGGTGTGTTCAATCGCTCTATCACCCCTCGTACGCCTCTCGGTCAGCGCGACGGTCCATCAACGGCTCTTGGGTTGACGAGAGACGTCGACTCGGAGCAAATACTAAGAGAAGATGTTCTCTTGCTGGTGAATGGTGAGCTTTGTTTTGTATCTTGCTTTCTTATACATGCCCAATACGTCAACAGACTTCCTCGTCGTCCCGGGGGAAGCTCCAGATAGCACCTGGGCCTTCATGCGTGATGATGCGCAGTTACAAACGCAAATCACGTCCGCTGAGCAGAATGCAGACTAGCTGAGGGAACAATGGAGGAAGAGCGTGAGTAATTTGTCTCAAGTCTGGTCCTCTTGTCTTACGCCACCCGGCCACTCCTCACCACTCAGGTGCCTACAAATTTGAAACTCCGCTCTCAAGGGAAACACGCCGTCTCTCCCCCCGACTTTCCGTTTTCCCTGATCGGCGTGGTGCGTGCAGGTGGTGTGTGCGAAGCAGAAACCATAATGGCATCAATGGAGCATCGAGGCGGGCCGGGCGCCCTCGCGGCGGGAGCACGCACCGACCCTCGGCTAAAGGCCGGTGGCCAAATGATCTCGACCACTTGCGGGGCGCCCTTTTTTGCGGACAATGCCCGGCGCCAAACCTCAACCTCCCTTGCTTTCCAACCACGACCATCGACCATCCTCCTCCCCAATATCACCCACCCGCCTCCCCCGCCCCACTCCCTCCCTCCTGCCCCCCCGACCCTCGACACCACAGTCAATCTCCCACACCTCTAAACCATGATCGGACGTATTACCAGGAGCATGACTCGCGGAACGACCGGTATGTCGCCCTCATGTTCAATCCCAACCACCTCTGACCACCCACCCAGCTGCCCCCGCCCCTCGCGTCGCCGCCGCTGCCGCTCCCATCCCCACCCTCACCACCGCCCCCACGAAGAAGGTCAAGGCCAATGTCGCGAGCCGTGCGGCGAAGAAGTTCGTCGAGACCGCGAAGAAGGTCGCCACGAGCCGCAAGGTCGCCCGCGCCGACCACCCCCAAGCCGAAGCAGGGCCGTCCTCAGCCATCGCGTGAGTCTTCCTTCGCCCCCTCTTCCCGTCTGTATGCGACCCTCATGTTCCGCCACCAGAGGGACCACCACGGCCGACGATCCCCAACCACCCGTCGCCCCGAAGGCGACTCGGGCTCGCAAGGCGTCGCAGCCCAAACCCAAGGCCGACGCGCAGAAAAGGTAACTCGCTTGCCCTTCGCTTAACGCACTGATTGTTTACGATATCGGTTACAGCGCCGCCTCCGAACAGGCGAAGACCGCAGCCCCTGCGGCCGAGCTCGAGGCCCCCGCAGCTCCCGCCGCAGGTGCGGCGCGCAAGCGCAAGACGTCTGTGGTAGAGAAGGACGACGTGGAGACGCAAAGGTGAGCAGGTCATCCTACCGCAAGCCGCTTGATCCTCACACCCTTGTCAAGCGTCCCCGAACCGGCAGAGGCGAAGAAGAGGAAGCGGACCACGTCCACCGGGTCCACCAAGTCCACCCAGGTCACCAAGGCCGCAAAAAATTCCCCACCCTTGGCTGACCCGTTCATTCTCCATTTGCCCTCTACATCTCCGAACCCCCGTCTTCCACCTTTCCCCGAGGCGCCCGCCTACCAATCCCACCTCCCATGGGCAGGGCGTCCGGAGCGGCCGTCGCTGGCCACCGTCAACCTCCCCGTTCCTCCCGCTCCCGCTCCCATCCCCGCTCCCACCTCCACGCCGACCCGCCCTCGTGCACGCAAGACCCTCGCCGACTACGAGGCGCTCCAGCAGTCCGTCAACGCGCTCACCGCCGCCGGCGGGCTCGCGGACCCGGAGATCATCCGCCAATTTGAGAACCTCGACGAGCCGTATATTCTCCTCAACGGCGACCTGGAGAACAACAACAAGAAGGCGCTCGTCAGCGTGCTCGACAAGAGCCTCAACCCGCTCTGGCCCGCCATCGCCTGGGTGCGCCGGGACATGGACTTCTACCTCGCCGACGTCCGGGAAGAGCACCACAAGGCGCGTCAGGCGGCTGGGCGTCCGGAATCGAACTCCCATAAGGACATCGAGCTCGGGGAGAGCAGCGACGAGGACGACTGGAAGGACGAGGAGGAGCGCCTCACGAGCCTGATCCACATGCATCAACAAGAGGACACAGGGCCTGACTACGGCCCGATCGTCCAGCCGAGCGAAGATGAGATCCGGCGCGACCAGCCCCAACTCGCCGCTCGGCTATTGGCCAAGCAGGAGATCGAGCGGAGGCGTGCGTCGCAGGGGCTCGCCCGCGATGCGGACAAAGCGGACGGCCGCGGGAAGCCCCGCAAGAGCAAGAGCAAGGGCAGGAGCAAGGGCAGGCAATCGGGCTCGTCTCCCGACACCTTGGAAGCCCTGAAGAACCAGTACCGTGGGTCTGCCATACGTTTCTTCGCAGCCAACGACAACGAGATCGAGCAAGTCGCGATCGAGCCCCGGAGCGAGCGAGCGTACCGCTACTTCAAGCGGCCGGAAGGCAGGGCGAATGTTGCCGGGGTGCGGGGCACGCGGGTGCAGAACATCTACGGCGCCGCCTACTTCCGCACGCACGCCGTGAGGGCGCCCCCGACGCTCGGCTGGTCCTACCAGGGTGTGACCACCCGCGTCTTGGTCGCACCGCCGTTCCCTCTTCCTCCGCTCGAAGAAACGCCCCCGCCTGAGGACCCAGAGCCTTCGTTGCCCGATGGTTCGACGCCTGCTAGGCGGCAGGGCCTTCAGCGCTGGGGTGCGTTCTACGACGAAAAGTCCAACCAACCCGCAGCTCTCCCGGAGCCATCCACCCCTACTTCTCCTACCTCCGCCACCTCCGCCCCCACGACTCCCCCGCAGCAAGGCGGCGAGGAGACCCCAGCACCGAAGACACGGCGGCGGGGCCAGCCCCTCCAGCGTTACAACGCGGTCATCATCACTCACCGCCCGGCGCTCGACTCGCCCTCCGTCCTCCCAACCCTCGACTCGCCCTCCGCCCTCCCGGCCCTCGAGTCCTCGCCCTCCGCCCTGACAACACTCGACACCCCTGGCACCGGCAGCGGCGCTGGGACCGCGCGGCCGTTCTCCCCTACCGAATTCGCACGCCTGCTCGGCGTCGAGCCCGAGCCCGAGCCCGCCGTCCCAAGCCCCTCACACTCCCCCACCGATCCCCCCCGCGCCCCGTCTCCGGCGCTCACGTCCACGCCCCCGCCCCCGCGCCCCGCCCTCCAGCGCAACTACTCGATGAACAACGTCACCTCTCCCACCCCCCCGGGCCCCGTCGAGCAGGACCCGTACCAGACCTCGCGCGAGTACTTCCGGGAGCGCTACCCGTCGCCCGGGCTCGCCTTCGACTTCGGGGCGCTGGACCCCGAGGCGGAGCTGGGCGCGGACGAGCGCACGCCGCTCGCGTCCCCGACGCTCGAGAGCGACTTCGACTTCACGTTCTCGGCGGCGACGCCGCCGCAGCCGCGCGTGCACCCGCTCACGGGCGAGACCGTCGTCCGCCGCGGGGACTGGGCGGACGCGGAGGCGGCGGAGGACGCGCGCCGGCGCGCGCGGTGGGCGGCGCAGGCGCAGGCGCAGGCCGAGGCCGCGGCGCAGAGGGAGGAGGCGGTGCAGAAGAGGAAGATGGAGGAGGCGGCGAGGCGGGCTAAGAAGCAGACGAAGGGGCTCAAGCTCGAGCGCTCGGAGTCGCAGCCGGGGCTGAGTGCCCTGTTTGGCGCGAAGAAGCGTGGGCGCACGCCCGCGGCGTCGGGTTCGAGGAGCGGCGCGCCTTCGCTCCTGGCTGGCTCGTCGGCGGCCTCCGAGCACAAGACCAAGACCCCGCACCGGACGTCCTCGCTGGGCTCGAACGCGCAGGCTGGCCCGTCGACGGCGGGCAGGACCCAGACGAAGACCCAGAAGCTCAGGATCGAGCCGACGCTCCCCGCCACCCCCACGCACTCGGACGTCTTCGTCACGATCCCGCAGCCCGCGCCGACGAGGTCGCTCGAGTGGCTCTCGCCCATCGCCGCCTCCTCGACGCCAAAGGGCAGCGGGAAGGGCAAGGCACCCGCCGTGCTCGTCCCCGCGACGCCGCAACGCGCGCGCGTGGACGAAGGCGAGGACAGCTTGGAACGGAGCGCGGCGGCGCGAGTGGCCGGCTCGGACGATACGGACGCGGACCTGGAGGAGGTGGAGAAGAGCCTCGAGCTCGCTGCCCCGCCGTCGCCGTTCAAATCTGACCCGGCCAGCGCAGGCGTGCCGGAAGCGAAGCGCGTGCCCACGGCGAAGCGCGGCCGAGATGAGTTTGAGGAGGACCTGCCGGTCGTCGATGCGCACGACAAGGACCTCCGCCCGACGAAGAAGCTCCGAAGGGAGTTGTAGAGGTCTACTTGAGGACAGTGCAACGTTGTAGATTAATATATCCCGTATGTATGAGGTTATTTGTCTTCGCGCCTGTCTTGTGGTATAGTGTACTTGTAGTGTGTTATAACCGTCTGTGTTCCGCGCGTTCTGATAGTTCTTGTCGATTGGGGCTTTGTAACAATGACATTATCGGTCTGTTGACCATTTTTCTGGAGCTGCTCTGGTGTGTCGAGTGTTGAATGCTGGTGATAGTGAAACGAAGTCGTTGGACTTTCGAAGCCGACGATCCTGTTGTTCCGGGGGGTCAAAGGCTCACGATAGTTTCCCTTCTGGCCAGCTGTCTATTTGACGCTGAAGTATGGGACCCAGCTTTAGGGTCAATAGCAAAGCCGAGGATACGGGGATACAGGTTTCGGCAGTCGTGCGAGGTTATGCACGATGGGTGGTTTACGTTGGCGATCATCGACCCGTCGCATCCGTCAACTGGGCCCGCGCGCACCGCGACATCTAATTGGCGCGTCCGTCACATGAGCGTGGACGGTGACGTAGTACCCACGGCTCCGAACGCAAAGCCCTCATCGGGCCCGTGATGTCGTCCAAAGTCATTAGGATGTCGTCTATACGCAGACGTGGGTATATATTACAATGGTGTACGCTACAGTCTACACACCAGAAACGGTGCTCTAGTTGCCGACTTCTGTCCAGACGAGGGGTAAAAACACGATGCACGCCATCCAGAACTATGGAATGCGTGAGCAAGCGCACGCAGACGAGGAGAGGACGCGACACTCACCACCTGTATGCTCTTGAACGCGAGGAAGGGGTACTCGTCCGGTCGCGGCCGGCGGAGCACGGGCTTACCGTCGATCACGCCCACCTGGCGCGGATGCGTGAACATGACCCAGATGGAGTAGAAGGCGACCGTGAAGAAGTGCCGGAAGAGTAAGAACGGCGCCTGCTCGATGCTGTGTACAAACAGGTAAGACAGCGCGCACGCAGCCTCAGCGGAGAGCACACTTACGCGGCGAGGAGGCTCACGGGATCGCGGACACATGCGCCGCCGAGCTCGAAGTACTTGAAGCATCCTGTCCGGAGCACTTCGAGACTAGGGTCGTCGGCGCCGAAGAGGTCGTACAGCGCGACGCTGAGGATGTTGACGGTCGACGAAAGCGGCTTGCGCGCCCAGTGCCACCGGTTGAGGAGCTTCGACATCTCTGGCCAGTCTGCGAGATGCTTGGCGTCGAGGAGGAGGTCGCGGAGGATGACGACGTCGTTGAACGCGACGGTCATCCCTCCGCCGGTGAGTGGATGGCGCATGTTCCACGAGTCGCCGAGAAGGATGACGCCCTCCCTGGTCTGCTTGCCTTGCTCGGCGGCAGGAAGGAATGAGTTGGGCATTCGGCGAAGACGGTCGTTCTCGAGAGCTTTTTTTGCGGGGGCGTGGAGGGCGGCAGGGAGTTGGGGGATGATGTTATTTTGGATATGAGCCTAGGCGGGAGCGTAAGACTGGGATTGGGAAGAATGCAGGAGAGATGAAGGCGCGTATACGGAAGTTGCTCACCTTCAAGTCTGACGGGACCGGGTTCTTCACGTCTATGAGTATCCGCGTCTCGTGTGTGCCAATCTGGTAGGAGAGCACGGGTCCGAAGCCCTCGACGAGCATGACGGTGCCGTGCTTGGGGATGGGGAGCTGCGCGTCCTCGAGGACCATGCCGACGAAGTGACCCTTAACCTCCGGCGTGATCCCCGCAGTGCCCATGACCTTGTTCCGGAAGTTGGAGAAGCAGCCGTCCGCTATGACAGTGAGGTCCGCAAAGAACGCCTCCTTCTCGACCGCGCCCTCCTCGCGGCGCGTCGCGCGCACGCCGAGCACGCGCCCCGTCATCGGGCACTCGATGAGCTCCGAGACGGTGGCCTCGACCACGTCGACGCATGGGGCAGAGCGTGCCTTCGCGCGCAGCGCCTGGATGAAGCGGCCGTGGTGGAACGCGACGCCCTCGTGGCCGTCGGGGTAAGGGATGTGCACGGGCTTGCCGTCGAGCATGACGCAGTAGCCGAATGTGGGGATCGCGTCAATGCCTTCGACGCAGCCAGCGAGACCGAGTTTGCGGAGCGCCATTACGCCGCCGGGCTGGAGGAGCTCGCCGACAATGCGGTCGGGCTCGGCGAGGGAGCGTTCGAGGAGACAGATGTTCAGAGGCCGTTTGCGTTCGAGGGAGGCGGCGGAGAGGGAGTGGGCGAGGGCAGAGCCGGCGATGCCGGCGCCGACGATGAGGATGTCGTAGGAGGTGGACCACATGCTAGCGCGAGAGCTCGAGGAGGAGGGGTTCGAGGAGGCCATGCTGGGCGTTGACTTTTGTGCGCTGGAGAACGAGTCTGGGCGAGGCGTCGCCGGGCGAGTCGACGGTCGAGACTGATGCTTTTATTGGAGAAGTGGGCCGACTTTAATTGCGCGCGTAGTGGGCCAAGTCGCTTGCCTGTCCGGAGGTTCGAGACTCGCCCACGGCCTTTTCCCTGCACCCATCAGTCTCAGTATTTCTCCGGTGCAACTCATGGATTTCACATGGGGAGAACATCATCCCTCGTCGGTATTTCAGTACTTACTAGCAAAGAAAAAACTTCCCGATATCAGGGGTACCAACGTCACTTTTGCGCAGATTAAGTATTCGTGAGAATAGTTCACGGGAACCGGGAGATAAGTAAAAACTACTGAACATCTGCCTCCCTAACTTAATAAGCCTGAGCCTGCGCTCTCGTTATATCCAACAATTACACTTTGACCAGTAGAAAATAATCCCTCTGCCAATTTAACTACTCGACAGAAGCTCTCTCATTACTGTCTGATGTGGATCAATTGGCCACTAGATTGCTACTTACCTCCAATATCAGCAGCCTGCCCTGAAGTCCATTGGGTGCACCAGCGGAAACGGTGGCCACGGCCGCTGTGCCAGGAGTCATCGCACCTGCACCTCACGAGATCAAAGATTGATAAGCCCGGTTGATCCCCCCTCCCCGCGCCGCTTTCGGAAACCTGCAATGTGCATAACACGCCCACTAGCAGCGTCTCCTGTCAATATCGACGCAATTACCTTGTGCGGTAAGTTCAGACCCCTCCCCTAATCTGTATGTCCCCAGGCGCCTCACCTATGTCTGATTACTCGGGGGTGGCCGGGTCAAGATCTCCCGCCGCCGCAGCCACCGGTGTTATCTCCCGCGCCCACGCCGCGCGCTTCCCACCCGCCGCGCGCCTCCCTGCCCCGCCACCCGTGCTCGCCACCCCCAACAGCGAGCTCGCTGTTCCTGTGCCCTGCCTCCCTCTCCCCTCCGTTTCCCTCCGTTCTTTTTGGTACCTGCTTGTATTTCAAATGCGCACCTAATGACGCACAATGCAATAGCTACACTTGGCTGGGTGTGCCTGCACTGAGCCCTTACACCCCTCAAAATGCGTGCAATATAGGAACATACAGAAGCATTGAATTGATGGGCTAAGTTCTGCATCGGATAGCTGTATATGAGGACTGCTGTAATCTAAAATCGCAGGTGGATACCTAGAGAGGTGCAGGTATGATGTCATATGTTATTTCAGAATGACATACCCCACAGTGATCTGGCATATACATGTATCGTTTTATGTACACCCAGAATCGTACCTAGATATCATTCAGAGTGTATTGCAAGAAGAAGCAAGTGAATAGACGATGTTGTGGTGATGATATGACATATGCTCAGAAGGGGGAGTTGGCTTGAAACTGCGGCCTTCATATGTTTTTGTGCAGACCTCTGATCACTTCGCATCTTGTTTCGTTATGTTTATATGCATGTGGAGAGCTCGGATCGTCTGTTTGGTGCTTATCGGTGAAGGACTGAATACAGGCCATGGTATGTCATTTTTCTATGACATAGGGTATAGAGAGGTACTATGTGCTCCGATTGTTATTCTAAAAGGCGGAATAGAACACGGTCATCTCCTGCTCAATGATGCAGAAACAATCTCGAGAAACGGTCAAGGAGTCGCTGAGATATGCCATATGAGCTTGAAGTGTGCAAAGTGGTGTGGGTGGTTCAAGGGCGTCCTTTGTGCAACCTGCCATTCTAGACCCATATGGCATATCTCAGCGACTCCTTGACCGTTTCTCGAGATTGTTTCTGCATCATTGAGCAGGAGATGACCGTGTTCTATTCCGCCTTTTAGAATAACAATCGGAGCACATAGTACCTCTCTATACCCTATGTCATAGAAAAATGACATACCATGGCCTGTATTCAGTCCTTCACCGATAAGCACCAAACAGACGATCCGAGCTCTCCACATGCATATAAACATAACGAAACAAGATGCGAAGTGATCAGAGGTCTGCACAAAAACATATGAAGGCCGCAGTTTCAAGCCAACTCCCCCTTCTGAGCATATGTCATATCATCACCACAACATCGTCTATTCACTTGCTTCTTCTTGCAATACACTCTGAATGATATCTAGGTACGATTCTGGGTGTACATAAAACGATACATGTATATGCCAGATCACTGTGGGGTATGTCATTCTGAAATAACATATGACATCATACCTGCACCTCTCTAGGTATCCACCTGCGATTTTAGATTACAGCAGTCCTCATATACAGCTATCCGATGCAGAACTTAGCCCATCAATTCAATGCTTCTGTATGTTCCTATATTGCACGCATTTTGAGGGGTGTAAGGGCTCAGTGCAGGCACACCCAGCCAAGTGTAGCTATTGCATTGTGCGTCATTAGGTGCGCATTTGAAATACAAGCAGGTACCAAAAAGAACGGAGGGAAACGGAGGGGAGAGGGAGGCAGGGCACAGGAACAGCGAGCTCGCTGTTGGGGGTGGCGAGCACGGGTGGCGGGGCAGGGAGGCGCGCGGCGGGTGGGAAGCGCGCGGCGTGGGCGCGGGAGATAACACCGGTGGCTGCGGCGGCGGGAGATCTTGACCCGGCCACCCCCGAGTAATCAGACATAGGTGAGGCGCCTGGGGACATACAGATTAGGGGAGGGGTCTGAACTTACCGCACAAGGTAATTGCGTCGATATTGACAGGAGACGCTGCTAGTGGGCGTGTTATGCACATTGCAGGTTTCCGAAAGCGGCGCGGGGAGGGGGGATCAACCGGGCTTATCAATCTTTGATCTCGTGAGGTGCAGGTGAGTCATCGACCACAAGACTCTCGCTAACAAGACAAAGCAGGCTCATGAGCTGCGGCTCGCGGGTGCGTTCTGTGGTCTTCAGCGCGTCCGAGTCCACATTCTGATGTGCCACCGGTTGCCCTCAGCATGCCAGCGAGAGTCTTCGCGACCGCGACTCCTCGCCAATAATGACCAAAACGCCTTCCGTGCCCGTGTTTCTACTCGCGAAGGGCGCGTCGGAAGCCTTGAGCTCCTTGAGGCTTGAGGCATTGAGCCCTTGTTGGCCACCTTCTACGGTGGCGCACTGTGGCCTATCCCTGGCTCCCCGAAGCCGAATCCTATTGTCACTATAGTAGTGCCATTATAAGCCGCGTATAGTAGGAAGAACAAGACGATGTAAGCTGCTCTATTGTTCTCTTGTGTGCCTGACTCTCGGCTCGTCCAGTCCGGAAGCGCTCACAAAACCGAACACGGCCAGAGCTCAAGCAGCGGCGACCACTTTCCACTCCGCCACCAACTGTACTCGCCCCCTCTCTCTTCCTCCCACCACCAACATCCGCGCCCCCATCGCCACGCATATCTCCTGCCAGTTCGCCTTCGACGTTCCCAGCCACCAATTCTCGTCGCCGCTGCTTCAGAACACGCCCTCAACCACCCCCCTCCACCTGCACACCTCTCGCCACACGGCATTCTATCTCAGCTCTCCTCCCCTCTCTGATCTTCCACCAGAAGGCACCACTTTCACGACATGCCGGCGAACATCAGAGTCGAGATTCCCGACCGGAAGGACGTCCACATGCAGTTCTTCCCCATTGATTTCGACGACGGAGAGATCTACGACATACCCGCCCACTTTCTCAAGCTTCCCGCCCCACATCCCACCGAGTTCCTGTACTTGCAACACTACTCCTCCACCGCCTCCAGCATGGACAAGGCGCTCTCCGCCTGCGCGACCGCCGAGGAGAAGGTCGATATGCTGGTTGATGAAGTCGCCGCGCTCAACGCCCTTATGGCGGGATACTTCGCCGTCACCCGCCGTATGATGTGCAAGTTCCGCGACGCGCACAACCAGACCGTCATGGATGTGGAAGAGCTCTTCAGTTCGTACCAAGGAGTAATGACGATCGCGAAGCACCAAATGAATATCGTTGACGGGGGCATGTGCGTCGCTGAAGTTGATACTCCAACGCTTCTTCTGACCGACTCTACAGCGATTACCTTGAAAAGCTTGACAAAGCTATCTACCTGGGGTACCCTCTCCCCCATCCCCCACCACCGCCACGAATCCTCAGCCGAGAGGACACCCTCCCCATCGGCGAAAACGCTGACACCGGTCCCTCCACTTTCACCAGCACCCCTTCCGCCAATTCGTCGTCGTCCACCAAACCCTCCACCTCTACCTCCATCTCCACCTCGTCTCCCGACCCCACCACCTCTTCGAACCCCACCACCGTTTCCAACACCTCCACTTCCATCAACCCCAAGATGTCCGCTACGGCCTCCAGTTCGGCGACGAAGCCCATGGATCCGATCCCGATTCCGCACCCCTTCACCGACCCGCCACGCGCGGCTCCGAAGCCCATAGCGGAACGCTTCCCGAAGAGGACCCCGCGGGAAGCAGAAACGGACACGTCCAGGTCGTACAAGACCGCCGCCGGCGTCGAGACTGCCATCCAACTGCAGAAAGAGACGCTCACCCAGGAAGGCGTGTTCGTGCAGATCCAACACCCCCCGGGGCCCCACCTTCCGGAGGGAGCGGCCGACGGAAAGGCCAAAGGCAAGGCGCGCGCCGTCGCGCTGTCGGAGGAGGACGAGGCGATCGTCGCACAGAAGGCGGCCCTGCTCGGGAAGACCCTCGACGGCGTGCACAAGGCGATGGGCGAGGCGCGCAACCTGCACGCCGAGGTCGCGAACCTGCTCCGCTGGGACGACGCGAAGCTCAAGGGGCTCGTGTTCGAGATGGGCGTCCAGCACGACGCGGCGCAGAGGCAGGTCTCCACCGCCGCCGGACGCGCGCACTTGGTCCGGTGAGTCCCTCGTCCCCCTCCAGCTCTCCCACCGCGCGCCTCGCTGACCCCCACCGCCTTCTCCCGCAGAGAGACCGCGGGCGAGTACCTGAAGTGGCAGCAGAAGTCCGGCTTCACGCTCGCGGAGGGCAGCGGGTTCGCGCGCGAGGTCTTCACCGCGGCGGTCGCGGCGCGCGTCGCGAAGACGAAGGCACTGGACGACCTGTGCGAGACGCCGCTCTTCAAGAACCACAAGGTTACCTGGAGCGTCAACTGGGGGAAGGCCCCCGACACCGTCACCCGAGCGGAGGCGATCGCGATGTTGAAGGACGTCCCGCTCACGTTTACGCTTGTCCCCGTCGATGAGAAGGCTAAGGACGAAGATGCCGCGCGCAAGGAGACCAACGGCGCGGGACCCTCCGCCCGTCGCGAACAGAACCCCACCAAAGTCCGGGCGGCGAAGGCACCCGCCTGGTCCCCCAAGTTCGGCGCGGAGGGCGACGGCGCGGCATCGACCAGCGAGCCCGCGCCGCAATCCGAGGCCAAGGGGCCACGGGCCGTGAGCGCGCTCGTCCTCCCCACGGTAGAGGAGATCGACGAAGACGACGAGGTCGAGCGCGGCGACGCGGTCCTCATGAAGCTCCTCTCCGCGCGTCGTCAGCCCCCCAGCGCCGATGTCTGCGGCGAGTCCTCCGCCTCCGCCCTCGCCACCGCCTCCGCCCTTGCCGCCGCCCCCGTAAAGTCCAAGGCGTCCGGGAAAGACAAGGGAAAGGTCACGGCTCCCGCTCCCGCCCCCGTCACGCGCAGGACCAAAGGCAGAGGCAAGACCCGCTCCGGCGCGACTGCCGCTGCCGAGGACGACGCCTCCCACCCCATGGTCGGCGCGTTCTCCGTCGCCCACCCGCCCCGCGCCTCGACCTCCTCCTCCGGCAGCGCGGAGGCCAGCCCCACGGCGCGCGCGTCCGCCGGGCGCACGAAGCGCGCCGCAGCCGTCGCTGGAGGATCCAAATCCAAATCCAAGGCCACGGCCGTTGAACGCGCGCCGCGCGCGACCAAGGGCAAGAAGCGCAAGGCGGAAGAGGAGCCCGAGGTCGAGGTCGAGGAGGACGGTGGCGAGGTGAAGATGGGAAAGACGAACGAGCAGGCTGCGCGGCCGCGCGCGAAGCGTCTGCGCGTGCAGAAGTGAGCGAAGGACGGTGCTCGTTAAATTGAGAAGGGCTCCGGTTTGCTCGTGTACGTTGTGCTTTTTTCTTTGTTGCTTTGCTTCGTTTCGTTTCGTCCCGTTCCCCTTTCCGCCGATGTTGCTCGTCCTCGCTGGTGTTCAGCTTGTAGTAGTAGCAGAGGCGCGCTCCCTGCGCCTGGTCCCGGTCGAGCCTGTCGTCTCTGCGTTTTGTATCGTTATTGTACAACTGCGAATCGTGAAAGATCCCTCAGAGCAGGGCATTTTCATCACCTTTCGAGTGGGTCTTCGTGCATCGGCAGGAACGTCACTCAAACACATCGCATCGTCGAAGAACGCGAGGATCGGCCTCAGCGTAGACATCTGCCATTTTGAACAGCGTGCGTTCGACTTGAAGACCGAATACGTCGGGGTCGTAGTATTAGTGTACAGAGCGAGCCTTCTAAAAGCCGGTCGTAATAATCATAACCGCCACTTCTGCTCCCCCGGCCCCAGCCTCTTGTTCCGGCCGACGTACATGAACCGCAGCCCCATGACGGACGCGGCGCCGACGAGCAGGAAGCCGGCGTTGGTGTAGTGTCCCGTGGGATACTTGGGCGACTCGGACGCCTTGTAGATGTAAACGCCTGACGTGCGGAAAGCCGCCAGAGTCAGCCAGTCAGAGGCGGGGAGGGGTGGTATTCGCGCCCAGAGGGCGAGAAGACGCGCCACGCACCGATGATCTGGCCGATCTGGCCGGTCGAGACGTTGAGCGGGACGGCGAGCGTCGAGGCGCCGGTGCCGCGCAGGTTCGCGGTGAGCCAGCTGAGCAGCGGCGGGATGCACGCGAACGCGAACGAGAGCGCGATCACGAAGAACACGTAGCGCACTTTGAACGACTCCGCGGGGAGCGCGCCTGTCGCCACACTCCGTCAGCACTTTCCCCACACACACGCGATCCAAACCGCGGAACGCTGCGGACGAACGGACGCACCTTCGACGATGAAGCACGCGCCGGCGATGAGCATCGAGCCCGCGGTGCCGATCGAGCGCACCTCGTACTTGTCGGACGCGTACGCGACCGCGACGGTGACGCAGAACGCGATCGCGTACGGCGGCACGGTGAACAGCTGCGCCTCGAGCCCCTCGTACCCGAGCCCGGCGACGATCGTCGGCGAGAAGAGCGACATGCTGCTGAACGGGACGGAGATCGTGATGTAGGTGAGGTAGTGCGCGTACAGGCGCCAGTCGCGCAGCGTGCGCTGCGCCTCTGCCCACGTCGCGCGCTGGTGCCCGAGGCTCGCGAGCCCCGCGAGCCGCGCCGCCGCGCGCGCGCGCTCGTCCGCGGACAGCCAGCGCGCGGTCTCCGGGTAGTCCGGGAAGAAGAACCAGACGAGGACGGCGCCGGCGCAGGAGGGCGCGCCTTCCATGAAGAAGAGGTAGCGCCAGGCCTCGATCCCGTGCGCGCCGTCGAGCTTGCCGACCCCGTAGGCGATTGCGCCGCCGAACGCGCCGCCGAGAGTGGCGGACGCGAGGATGAGGGCGATGCGGAGCGCGCGCTCTTCAGGGCGGTACCAGAAGGTGAGGACGTAGACCATGCCGGGGAAGAGACCGGCCTCGAAGACACCGAGGAGGAAGCGGACTGCGACGAGCCCACCGAAGTTGCTGACACCGCCGAGGATCATGGTCATCGCGCCCCAGGAGAACATGAGGAATGCGATCCAGCGCGAGGGGCGCAACTTCTTGAGCATGTAGTTGGAGGGCGTCTCGAAGACGGTGTAGGCGACGAAGAAGATCATGAGGGCGACGAGGTACTGCTGCTGTGTCATGTGGAGGGATTGGAGGAGGGAGTGACCGGCGTCCGCGTTCAGGATCCTCGCATTTCCCTGCGGGACGGCTCCTCAACTCGTGTATGCGTGGAAGGAGTAGGATACGTACGATGTTTGAGCGGTCCAGCGAGCACAGCAGGTAGATGAACATGGATGCGGGGACCATTCGCAAGTCGATGTGCCGCACAAGTCTGAGCCACGACAACGCATAAGAGCCTGTCCACGCGCGAGACGGACGTGACGCACCGTTTGTCCTCGGCCGAGCCCAGTTCCCTGTACTCCGTAGGCGCAGCCTCCACCTCTCCGTCGAAGCCCGCCTTCTCTAGATCCTCAGTTTGCGAGGAGGTCTTTTCATGCTTCGTGTCGGACATCGTTGGCGCGTCGTCCGAGGCGGTAGGGGCGTGCAGAGATTGAAGCGGACCGGGGGGAGCCACACCCACTCTCGCGCCGGCCCCCCGACCTTATATTTTCGGCGGTTGAACCGTACGATACGCCTGAGGTTTCGGGAAGACCATAGATCCGCGGGAAGTGGTCATACGGCACCGGACGTGATGAATGGGCGGGTCAGCTGGCTTCTGGTTCGCGCTAGTTTATTCCCAACGTCTGTCAGTGCCTGGCTAGGACGGTTGTGCAGGGAAGCAAAACATCTTACCGGCATTTGGCAGAGAGAATGGAGCACGGACGTGCAGGTTGCGGCCGCCTTGGGCGGCACGACTGGTCACGGTGCGGAAATTGGTCCTTGGATCAATCAACCGACGGGCCGAAAGCTGCGTCCTGCCGATTGAGTCAAGATTGAGGTGTTACTTACGATCACGTACCTGATCAATGCTTCCGTGCGTGTGCGTGGAAGTCGCGGTATAAAACGCACACAGAACTGAGAAGGTGCTTCTTGGTGCCGGACTCTGGCAACCTACGGCCGACGTCGCCCGGAAAATAAGGATCAAAGCGCATATATGTACCACCACGGGGTGTGTGTGTCACCACCGTTGTGGTGTGTTGAGCAAAAGAATGGCGAGGAGGGACGTGCGTGAGGTGGGTGGGTGGGTGTAGGAGGAAGAAAAACGCAAGTCAGTACGCCACGACCGTCCAGCTACATGGCGAGCACGTGCTTGTCACTTCACGTGTGCGGAAGAGTAGTTCCGCGATTACCGTTCGGACAGTGTGCTTCCAGCCTTGAGCTTGAAGAGACTTGAAGCTTGAAGCTTGAAGCACGTTCATCTCGTGCTCTACTATCCGCTGTCCTTCGCCTCTCGTGTGGCTTCCAACCTGCCGTGTAGGCAGTTCGCACATCGGGATACTGGCAGGGCTCCCATCGTTATGTGGACACCCGGATGAGTAGTAAGCTCGGTCTATTATATATTTAGTAAGTACATTCGAGTTCAAGCACCTAACGAGTGTCCCATCTCCCGTTGCTCCCACTTCCGCGATCACGAGTGCCGACGACGCGCTCTGTAGTAGAGGAGCGGTAAGAGGCGATCCTCAAGGCGTGCATCGTCCCCGCCAAGGGCGATACCGATACCGCGAGACGCCGCGCGAGTTCATCGCGACAGCGCACGTCTCACCGGTCAAGTCACATTTCTCAAGTAGAGTGAACTCATGCTACACGACGTTGTGTCGACCATCCCCGCCACGACGTCTTCGCGTCTTCCCCATCCACCTCCTTGTACATCGTCTTGATGAACACCTCCGCGACGTGCTCCGCGAGCGCCGCCGCGTGCTCTCCCCGCCACACCGTCCGGAACTCATCCAGCTCCTCCATGTGCGGCGCCGCGACGTACGAGAACCTGGCGATGCGGGCTCCGTGCTCCGCGCGCGCGCGCAGCATGGCCTTGAGCGCGTCGACGGAGAGATCCAACCGAGGCTGCGGCACCACCGGGTACCCGTGACGAGCTTGTTCCTCCGCCTCCCACGGGCTCCACAGGACGCTGCAGTCGCGGAGCGCGACGGCGCGCAGCGCGGGGCACAGGGCCGCCGTGCGATCCTCGAGGCCGTCGTTGAGACCCGGATCGAGAGCGCGCCACAGTGGCGCGAGCGAGCCTTGGCCCTCGAAGCAGAGCTCCACGAGGAGCGGGAATGGAGCGAGGAGCGTGCGCCAGGCGTCGGTGGTGAGAGCAAGGGGCTCGGCGGAGATGTCGAGACGGGTCGCGGAGTGGCAGTGGCGCGAGACGTCGATGAGGTCGCGGAGCTGGAACTCCGGGTTGATGCAAACATCGTCGAGTGTTCCGGGATTACCGGCGTCGAGAGGGCCGTACCATATTTTTACCGATTGTTGCCGGCCTGGGCTGCTCGCTTCAAACTGGCAGTTGTTACATCCAATGGTGAAGGAAATATCTGCCAACAGCGACAGGAACGGGAGCACGTTGGTGCGGGGGTGAGGAAGGACGTCTCCAATGCCTACGCGTTGGCCGGTGCTCTCCTCGTTGCCTTGGATGTCGACCATGTCTTCGACGATGTAATCAAGCTTTACGTGAGTCGCACGAGGAAGATGAAAGGAGGATAACAATGTGGTGAGCCCAATGGGGTGGCTGGAGATATTAAGGTGGGTGAGCGACGGTAGAGTGATAGGATTCGGGGGGACGCGGGCGAGAACTTCATTAGGGCCTAGCCATTCGAGGTGGAGAGACTTGAGTCGCTTCATGGCGGTCAGGGCTTCCGTGACTTCTGCGGAGTAATCCACCCCGTCGGGGAGAGAAAAGGAAAAATTCTCCAGGTGTTCGAAGAATGAGAGCTCCGCGACGTATACCAGATCGTCCAAGTGCAGTGTCTTCAGGCGTGGGATGTTTGACCTGTTCAGAACAAGGGCCTCTCCTGCCGGAGGCGAAATAGGTTCCCTGCCTTTACTTGCGGAGATTTTCGCCAAGCGAGGAAACGCGCCTGAGGCAAGAAACATGTTCAGTTCCGGTAGGCGTTCCCTCAGTGGCACATGGATGAATGTCAACGATTGTATATCGGAGGCGTGGAGGAGCATCGGGGTAAGTTCAAAGCGAGGAGTTCCTTGGACGTCGATAACAATCTCGATGGCAGCACCTTGGGCCCGATCGAGGGACAGCTTCAGCCAACGTTCGCCATGTTTTCCGCGGACGTGGATTGTGCTCCAGAACGTCTTCGTGCTGAGGATAACATCTCGCCACCCCCGGGACACGAGGAGCAGAGGAAGCCATTTGGCTGAGACCTCCATACTATAGTCAACTCGAGAAGCAGGGCGGACAACGTGTTGGATGATGGCGGTAAAGATCTCGTTAGGACAGCGGTCGATGGGGTGCACGGAGAGGCGATTTCCAGCAGCGCTAAACTCCATCTGGGAGGCTTTAGAGATCAATGAGCATGACGAGGGCGACAGAGCCAGTAGAACCCACCTACACATAACAATGTTGCTAGCAACTGTGCACTGGGTGTACACCAGTGTCTGGCAGTGTCGACGTGGCTTCAAGTGAGGACGACACGACTGCGGTATCGCCACGCGGCAAGGCTCACGTGGCGTCGAATTACGAGATAAGATAACAAGGTCAACTTCAAGGATGGGTGGATTCAGTGCGGCCAGCCAGCTTGAAACATGTTTGTCCCCCGCACTCGTGTGGGTTCCGACCTGCATCGGGATACCGGCCGCTACGGCCATCGTTCTATAGTAAGCACCGGGAAAGCACGATGAGAGTACTCGGTCTACAATACACAGGCCAACAAGTAGGTACCGTATCGTATCAGTGTCCACAGCCCCCCTCGCCCGCCGTCAGTGTAAAAGCGCCCCCCAACCCTCGACCTCAATGCCTCAACACCCAAGCACGTCCGCACGGACCGCCAGCGCCCACGCCATCGCAAAGTACACGACGCCCGCCGGGAGCGCGCACCGCGTGAGCACCTGCGCCCAGTCCCACACCCGCCTCTTCCCCCTCCGCATCAGCTCCTCCTCCGCCGAGGCGGGCGGGTGCGTGGCGGCGGCGGAGGCGGGAGGAGGAGGGTAGCTCGGGATCGGGACGATGTTCGACGTCACCCAGAGCTGGACCGCGCGCGAGCAGCAGGTGGTGGTGCCGATCGCGGCCCAGCAGATGAGCGGCCGGAGCTCGTGGTCGAGCACGGTGAGCGTCAGGTGGGTCGCGGGCCAGCAGATGGCTGGGGAGGAGGAGGGTTAGTGAGGGTGGGGTGGGCAAGACGTGCATGCAGCGACGGAGAGAGCATACACCCAGGGTATATCATAGACACGGGGAGACGCGAGAGCATGTCTCAAGTGCTCTCCGTGGCCATGACGGTCCTCGAACCGGCGACGGATGGCACAAGGAGGAGAATGCGCACCTTGAAGACCCAGGAGGCGGACGAGCGTGGCGAACGGCGAGTAGTACACCCGCCACCGCTTCAGCAGCCCGCTGGTGATCTGCAGGCACTGCCAGCCGGTCAAGATCGACTGCCCGCGCGTCGTCAGCACTCCCGCATTACGCGACCACGGCGGACGAGCGGACGCACCCAGAGCACGGCGACGGCGTGGTCGACCCGCATCTCCACGCGCCCGTCTGGCGGGCGGAAGACGAAGTAGAGGTTCCAGAGCGTGCCGACGCACGCGGGGACGACGGCGAGCAGGCGGAAGAGCTGGAAGAGGATCGGGACGAGCCAGGCGGTCGACGCGGGCAGGGCGAGCTCGTGCGATAAGCTCGAGTGTGTTATGCGCGCGGTGGGCAGGTTCCTCGGCTGCCGTTGGGGGCGCACACGGGGGGCCGGCGGGACGGGGAGGGCGGGGAGGACGGAGGGGCGGAATGAATGCGGGGTGCGGGGCGCGCGGACGGGGCCAGGGAAAACACGCACCGAGTCCTCGCCCTCCGTCTCCGTCTCCCCCGCGCAGAGCGCGCCCGGGGCGGTCGTGATCGGCCGCGCCCACCGCTCGTCGTGCGCGCGGGCCTTGCCCTTGCCGAGCAGCCGGTGCCGGAGCGTGTCCGCGAGGCTGAGGCCGGTCGCCGCGGCGCGGAACACGACGCCCTCGTCCGTCTCCGCCCCGGACTCGTCCTCGTCCGACGTCGCGTGGACGGTGTGCGTGCTCGACTGCGAGCGCGTGTGCGGCGGGGGCGGCGGTCGCGCGCGCCCTGCGCCTCCGTCGCCGTCGCCGTACGCGGGGCCGGGGGGATGGATCTGGGGCGAGGACGCGACGCGCTTCGCCGGCCGCGCGCTGGGTGGGGGCGGGTGCACCTCTGGCGGGTTGAGTGAGTATGGGGGCGGGCTCGAGCTTGGGGCGTTCATGGGGATTCTTGCTCGCCGTCGGGGCGGCGGGGGGCACCCGATGGTGTGCGACCGGTGGCGGGGCGGGTGGGGTGTGGGCGAGTCGAGAGAGCGGGGCTCCGGGGATGAAGAGGTTCGAGGACCAGACGGGCCTGGGAGAGGGGCGGGAGCGGGGCTCGCGAACGGGACGAGGAACGGCCGGGACGGTGGTCTGTAGGGTGGCGGGTCGAGCTGGCTGCTTTCGCGGTTGTCAGCCATGGCGTCGGCGGTGGGTGGGGGGCGGGGCGAGTTCGAAGCGGGCTCACCTTGATAAGCGTCGAGAGGAGGTAGGGCCCGATCGTCTGCGAATGGTTCGCTGTCGAACGTGGAGCAGTCCAGCCCCCGCGGTGTTGGTCGTGGGCGAGGAGAGCAGAGGCAGCACTTGGCCGTCGCCGACGGCACGCGGCGGCGGCGGCTGAAATGTCCTGCGCGTCTTTGCCTCGCGCCCAGCCGCGACCGTCCTCTTCCCTCCTCTTCCTCCTCCCAAACCACTCTTCCTCACCCACGCGCGCCCTTCGCGCCACCTTGTCGGCTCTTATCGCCCTCTCGAGCCGTCTCCCAGTCCCTGCGATCGCAACTCCTCCGCGATGCGGCCCTGAAATCCGTGCCCCTCAACGTCAACGCTGGCGCTCCCTATATGCGCGACTCTATCGGCAACTCAACAGTCTTGACGTTCTAGGCGCAAGGTACACAAAAAGAACGCCGTCGGACCCCCTTCTACACGACCCTCGATCTGCTTCCACACCCGTGGTAGCTTATTGGCTGGCTAGGGTCGCCGGTAAGTCGCCTTTGTTACTCCTGGCGTGAGCCAAATCGCCGTCGATATATGCATTTGCCTAGTTCGCCGAAGTCTGCGCTGTATGAGAGAGCATCTGCGCAGCCATAGTCGCCGCACCCTGAAATGCAGACTGACAAAGCATACACCCAAGGTATGTATTGAATTTGGGGTTCTTCCGTCTGTGTCCCGCTCACTAGGATGCAGGGAGCCTAGCCTCTGAGTGGCGAATCAACAGGACCTCATGCAGCCCTGACGGTGCGAAGCCGGCTCTTTGATGAGCAGTTGACCGCGAAGTTCCACATGGAGCTCGAGGGGGCTCAGGGCGGCGGCGGTATGTATCTGATTCACATGTTGAAGGATGAACTAGGGGATATCAGCCGTTCAGTGCCCATGCACCATTTATACCCGCCCCGTTAGTACTGTCGCTATTGCTAGGCGTGGTATTCCTTCAATCAACCGCTTTTCTGCCCGAACAAGATAGCACTGCTGTTTCACGGCCGTCGGGTCGACGAAGGACAATTGACGGAATTAGTCTTCCTTAAGGCCAATATCCCGCTGCGTACATAGCCATAGGAGCAGATTGTAAGTCACCCAAGGGATCCTTCACGATTCGCGACGATACGAACAATACAAAGCGCAGAGACGACAGGCCGGACCACGACCCTGAAAGGCCGGCATGGCGGGCGCAGCGAACACAGCACGAAGGTTCACGGTGGCACTACCTTTGGCACCTTCGACGGCGACGCCGTCTACGCGCGCAGACGCTTGCCCTGGCGCGGTACCCGCGCGGTGGGTCGAGGAGGCACCGAACCTTCTTCCCCGTCCTCGGGCTCCTCCTCCGCCCTGCGCTTCTTCTCCCGCGCAGAGACCGCCTGGGATCGAGATCCGCCGGCCACGTCGGCGCCGCGCTTCGTGCGTGCGGCGGATGCGTGGACCGAGGGGCTGGCCTCGCGGGCCCCGGGCGCGGGACCGGCGGAGGAGGTCGAGGCGCAGCGGGGGTGAGAGGTGGCGATCTCGAGGGGGCGGCGGGCGGAGTCCTCGTCGGCACAAGCCTTTCCCTTTGTGTCGACGGTGCGCGGAGTAAGGAGCGCGGCCTCGCTCGCGGTCCTGCCATTGTCGGGGATCATGGACTTGGTGGACGGCGGGCCCCTGGTTTCGCCTCGCAGAGTGGAAGTCGACGCGGCAGAGGCGGTAGCGCCGACTCCGTCGGTCTGACTCTCAGCCCCGCCGTAGACGGGCACGAGCTGGAAGGAAAGCGGGACGTTCTTGAGCATCGCGACCGCCTCTTCGCGCGTGACCGCGTCGGGGTCCTTGTGCCACTTGACGCTCCAGGTGATCTTGTAGTTCTTGATGAACGGCGCGTGCGCGAGGTCGTCGAGCGCGGCCTTTTGCACGGCGGGGGACGCCGAGGCGGCCTTGGCGAGGGTAAAGCCGGACCGCTGCTGCCAGTCGAAGTAATCATGCGCGGTTTCGCTGCGCGGAAGGCGGGCGGTCAGCGACGCTAGAGCGAGAGCGCAGGATGGAAAGCCTTACGCCATGCGATGTGCAGACCCAACGACATGGGCTACCTGATCTACGCGGGCCGAGTGCTCAGCGTCCATTTCGGACAAGATCGCGCCCAGCTCCGTGTCGTTAGCGCGTAGGAGGTTCGCCGCCTCGGCGTACAAGTCGTGCGCCCCGCTCATGGCTTTGCGCACGCTGTCCACTGTCGCCCCCAGCGACCTGGCTTTCTCCGCGACGAGGACTTCGTCTTCTTCGCATGGTGCGATTGCTGGCTCCTTGCCCTTGGCTTTGGTGCTGAGTAGGGGCTTCGGAGTCAATACTGGCGGGGTGGTGGAAGAGTGGGGGATAAGAGCCTTCTTTGGAGGTGTGGTCGAACTCGCGGAGGCGGCGGGTGTACTAGGGTGGATAGTCGTGGGGGAAGAGGGGTTAGCGGGAGTGGGGGGCCCGGTTCTACTACCGGAGGCGAGTATGCGGGATGATTGCGGCGGCGGCGGCGGCGGCGGATTAGGGTAGCCTTTGCTCAAGGCGCTGCTCAGCTTCTCGAGGTAAACCCTGTAGAACGGGTCAGAGGGCACAGGCAAGACGGATATGGGCGACGTACATGCCCCGGTCGATCGCGCCGGCCTGGTGCTGCGTGATTGTCGCGAGTTCCTGGTGGCTCGAGAAGAGCTCTTCGATGTCCGCAACGGCCTCGTTGTGTGCGTTGCGAAACTGGCACATAAGAGCGCGTGTGGAGTCGAGGTAGCCCGCCATGAGGGCTTGGAGAGCGGCGACTTCATCGGCCAGCGCGTCGACCTTCTCTTCAGCCGTTTGGCAGGTATCGAGGGCGGTAGTCATATTCAGGGTGGAAGAGAAGTGATGCTGTAGATGTAAGCAGCGGGAGGGGCGGGAGTCTCTGATGACTAGTGGTTGTTGCAGAAGAGAAGGGGTGCCTTCGATGGCGGTGTGGCGAGAGGTAGAAGTGGCGGGTCAGAGCTGGTGGTTAGGGGAGTGGGGGGGAACCGGCGATGGCAGCGTGCGCAGGTCGCGAAAGGTGGCGGTTGTCTGAGGGCAAGGAAGAGCATGCTCGGAGTGGCGATTATAGTGGGTGACCTCAGTGGCAAAAGGTGGGCGTCCTTGCCTGTTCGGTCTTGCGGGCGCTCCAGTAGTTCCCTGTAAAGGAACCGAGAGTCAGGCAAGAGTCAGGCGCACCAGAGAACAAAAGACCAGTCCACATCCTCTTGTTTTACCTGCTATATGCGGCTTATAACGATATAGTAGTAACTTGATGCGGCCCCCGTGAGGGCCCAAGGGTCAGCCCTTTGCTTCTTCGCCAAATTCGCCGCCACCGCAGAAGGTGGCTCACAAGGGCTTGATAGCCCATACCAGAGGCTCTGGATCTGGTTTCCGAGTTTTGCACTCAGTGTCTCGGCCTTTAAAATGGGAAGTGTTGTTGATCATCTCAAGTAAGTACTGTTGATGAGCTGCCCTTATGCTGCAACAGCAAAGACTTGCTGACATAGAGTTGAAGTAAACATGTCGCACGTCAGGGTCTGTGGGCGCACTGAGAGCCACAGAACCCACCTTCAAGCTGCAGCTCTTGAGCCTGCTTTGTCCTGCGAGGAGCCAGAACGATAGCCTTGTTGTCGACGCAGCCGCCCGTCGCCAGCTTCCGCTGATGAACTTCAGGGCAGGCTGCTTCGCGAGATAGTCTAAGTGTGAGGTCACTAACATCATCTAATCATCTGGTTCTAATGGATTAACGTGCTATTAGTATGGTGATGACTCTCCAACGCGACGCAAATATCGAGCTGCAGCTACGGAGCCGACTCCGAGCATTGATCCAAGCTGTGGTACGTCCGCGAACTATCCCCTGTGCTCCCTAGTATTCCCACTCCGCCTCACCCTGGTAGAACGAACACCCCGCGACTACAAGCACCACCCCACCGCCGCGCCTGGATCCCGCAAGGGGCGATCCTCGGACAGCGTCAGCGCGAAGCAGAGGCACTCGCGCTCGCGGTCCCGCCGGCCCTGCAGGCCGTACATCTTCCCCAGGAAGTACCACGCCTCGGGCACGTCCCAGCCGCCCCCGCGGGTAAGCGCGGAGAGGAGGCCGACGGCGAGGTCGACGTTGTCGCGGTCCGCTGGGGGCAGGTCGTCTTTCGTCTGGGGGTTGTGTGCCTGTGCGGCGGCGAGGTACACGCGGCAGAGGTGGATCGTCGCCGAGACGTCGTTCGGGGCGACGAAGAGCGCCTTCTGGAAGCACTCGAGCGCAAGCTGGTCGTCGTCCAGCGCGAGATGATACAAGCCCAACTGATAGCAGCGGGTAAGTGAGAGGAACGATGAAGTAAAGACATATTCTCTTACCTGCACCCAGACGGCCGGGTTGTTCTCGTCGCGCACCTCGGCTTCTTGGATTGCACCTCGCGCTTGCTCGATCTTGCCTAATCTCCTGAATGTCGCTGAGGACATGAGCCAGAGGTTGCTCAGTAGCCTGCGGTCTTTGATGACGCGACTCTTCGGCCGTGGGGTAGACGTGACAGGTTCTGGAGGAGGAAGCGAAGGCGGAGGTGGTGGTGCCTCCGCTGATGTCACATCAAGTTGGGAAGCGTAGATGCTGATATGCTGGCGCAAGTGGATCGAAGACGCTTGATACGGCGATTGGCCTAACAATGCGTGAATATCTACCATTCAGGTGAATTCCAGAGCCCGTGCGATCTTCATAACCGACGTACCTGGGGCCGAATTCGACCGCTTCAGATGCGTGCTGTTGTGCCGTACGACATTGTGCCGGATCTTCTTCGAGATCGTCGTGACCCGCATCTGGCTCTTCGTGACACCGGTGAGGAACGCCTCGCGTACCTTCTTCCCCGGTTTCCCGCGCGCGGTGTCTATCGAGAGCCGAGACTTTTCGCTCTTCTCGACGGGGGAGGTCGACCCGTTGAGCTGGTCTTGCGAGAACATCGGAGTGCTGTGCATGGGCGATGCAGGTGTGACTTGCATGACGGGAACCGCATCGGGAGTGTGGTGCGGCTCAATCTTGCCCTCCTCCTCCACCGTCGAGAACCCAGGCGGCGCGGCCATACCAGGGTTGGGACTGATCCCTCGTCTCTCGACGCCAGAGAACATCGACGTAGGGCGGATCTCTTGTGATGGTCGTCGGCTGTCAATGGATCTCCTCCCTGAGGACATGTCAGGCGCAAGATATATGCGTGAAACAGAAGGCACGCACGATCGTCCACGCCGACCTCCCGTCGCTCGGAAAACCACTGGAAGACCTCAATCCACTCCTCCCCGGTGCCCTCCGGTCCCTTCACAAACTCGGTGAGCGTGAGCTGCGTCATCCGCAGCTGCAGCGCGTGCTCGAACGCTTCCTGTCGGTTGGATGGCGGACGGTCGCCTGTTGGCTGCAGGAGGGTCGCCGGCGGGGGTAGTTCGACGGAATGCTTGGCTAATAGGGGCGCGAAGTACCCGTTCGTCTGCCCGTTCGGCGCCCCATTCGCCTTTGAAGGGGACGGCGGGGCGGAGAGCTGAACGACTTCGAGTGCGCTATCGTTGCTCGGCAGGCCGTCGATCTGGGAATCTGCGTCTTCGTCCGCGAGCTCGGCTTCGCCGACGCTAGCGCCCATCTCGAGCACCTCCTTTGCTGCGCGCCAGTCTCCAGAAGCGGTCAAGAGGAGGCCGAGAAGATGCCAATGCCTCATCTCGCCAGAGTCGATCTCCACCGCGGCACGAGCGTGAAGAATGGCTTCTTGAAGGTCGTGTGAGGCACCTGGGCGGAGGTTGGCGAGCGCAAGGTGGTGGTGGACAGAGGCTGTTGGATGGGTCTCCAGTGATGACTTGAGCAGAGCCATAGCCTCTTCGAGATGTGCGGTTCTCGACCTGGGGTCCTGCTCTACAGGAAAGGTAAGAGCATGAATGGTGCATGAGCAAAACGGACGCACCGGTGTACGATGACGCAATATGCCATATGGCTTCCGCAAGTAGTACTGCCGCAAGGACAGGCTTATCATCCATGCTAAGCCGTGTCTTTGCCTTCTCGATCATCTCGCCCGCCTCCCTCGCTTCCTCGGCCGCTTTGACGGGATCGTCGTTGACCAATGCCAACCTCGAGAGCATCCGAGAGCCTTGGACCAGAGTCTGCACCCAGTTAACGTTCGAGTCGGTGTCCTTGCCCTCCCCGAACTCTCCTTCGTCTTCCGGGTTGGTATCCAGATCCTCCGCGAGCTTCGTCTGCTTCGCCTTGCTGACGATCTGCACGTAGAGCCGTAGCGTGCGCTTCGCGAGCTCCGGATCGCCTCCCACATTGAAGAGGCGGCTCATGTGGCGGAATATCCGGTACGAGTTGAACGTCAGCCGCGTCGCCCACCACAGCACCTGGGCTCCACCATCAGCCACATCGTCCAGAACAAGTAGCAAAATGGACTCACATCGATGACCCACCCCGCGAACTCACCCACCGCACCATCCGCCTCCCACGCGGCGACAGAGAAGTCGACGAGGTCCTCGACCTTCGTGTTGCGCTCGCCCGCCTTCGGAAACGTCGTGCTTGCGCTCAGGATCGCGCGGTACTCCTGCACGACGGAGCGCGCGGTGCTTATCCAGTGGTGGGAGCGGTCGACGCCAGGCTTCGGTGTCGGCGCCGCACGCGCGCGGAGGATGAGCGCGCGGAGGTGCAGAACGGCGACGGTGCCGCGATGTTCTGGGCGAAAATGCGGGGGCCAGTGTGCGCTGCAAGCGTGGTACTGCTCGAATAGTCGCCAGAGGGACGCGTTCGTGCCGTCGGTGCGCACGACGTTGAAGAGGCGCGCCCCTAGCACTATCGCGCGCCGGAGGACTCGCTCGGTCCACCGCCAGAGCTCGCGGTACAGTGCGAAGGAGGAGCCCTCGGGGCCTGCAAGAGCTGCGACAGAGGTGGTGGGGACAGAGGTAGGGATTTCGGAGACTGCACCGGCAATTATAGGGGAGGCGAGGAGGTAAGTCGAGAGTGCTTGCTCGGGCTCATCTGGGTGAAGCTTCTCGTACGACATTCCTGTAGAGACGATCTTCAGCCACGGTGTTCGGCAGATTCGATATCCTGCACCGTTCCCAATGCATGATGGAAGCAAGGAAAGCACGCACCCTTGATGCATATACTCCGGATGCATTCGACCGCACACCATGCCCTCCCATCGTTGATGTCTGCTATAGACGGATTTGCAGAGGTGGAAAGGAAACTTCCGGTCCATGACGAGGATAGCGAACTCTTCGAGCTGCTCTCAGGAGCATCAAGCGTCACCGTTAATGTAGACGATCCCGGCGCGAGGTCCTGTTGAGCGTTCGCGAGGTCTATCACCTGCGCAAGGTGGTCGAGACAATCGGATGGTCTGCGCAGTGCATATGCATAGTACGCGAGGGCAGCCTTGATGGACTTGACGAGCAGAATGTTGAGGTGAACTGACATAACGCATATAGGGAGCTCGACGTACATCAGAGCGGCTCGCATCGAGCTGCTTGAGCGTGTTATACCCCGTCATCGCCTCTTCTATCCGCTCCTCCGCCAGCAAGCACTCTTCTTCCAGCACCAGCACTCCATATTCCCCGGGCTCGTTCCCGTCCAAGCCTTCAGCGTTGGCGGAGAGGAGCAGAGAGAGCGCCTGAGTTTGCGATGCGAGCTCGGCGACCTCGTTGTGCCCGGGACAATGCTTGTGAAACTTGCGCAAGAGATCTGACCACGAAACGAGGCGGCCGTGGTAGTCCTTCGCTGGCATGGACGCGTCCCATTGTCCTGCCGTCAGAACCGAGCGGAGCTGCCGCCAATAGTGTTGAGGTTTGACTTGCGCCATCTGCCGCAGACCACCTCCTTCGAACTTCAGTTAGGGATGGAAGTAAAAGTGAGGCGTAAAAGTCGGGACAGGCAGTGGTGGCGGGGACGGAGAGGAGCGAAGTCGGGCAGATGTGGCTGCAAGTGACGGAGTAATTGTATTATTACCCCGCACTATTCAGGGCCGTTCGCCCCTTGATCAAAGATATCAAGCCAACTAGAAGCGTCAATTGATCGCATTACTAACTCTGTTTGTAGTGGTCTCTATCTAATACCTCTACGTGCTTAAAATCACATACATCGCTACAAGAAACCCGCCTTCCTCCACGCCGCGACCCACGCCCTCGCGCGCTCGCCGTCCAGCATCGGCATCGACGCCAACGCCTGCGAGACCGCCGTTGACTTCACCACCGAGAGCGGGCACAAGCCCATCGGCTCGACCTCCTGACTCTCGGCCATAGTCTTCGTCTGCGCGCGGAAGAACGGCATAATGCGCAGCGCCGGGTTCACGCGCATGAGCTCGACCTCGTCACCGCGCGCGCCCGCGAGACTCTCCTCGAGCGCGTCCAGCCACTGCGTGTACGGCACGAGCGGGACTCCGAGTTCGGCCGCGATGGGGGCGAGGAGGGCGCGCCAGGGGGATGGACGCGGGTGCACGATGTGCATCATGCCGTGTGGCGAGTCGCGCATCTCGGTGAGGGCTTGGGCGGCTTCGTACGCGTTGAACCAGGCGACGTCCTGAAAGAGAGGGGAGTTAGTATCGGAGCTTGAGGGTAGAAAAGGTAAAAGGAGCGTACACCATCGAGGTCAGGTAGGCACTTCTGGTGCAGCGCGCTCTTCACGAGTGCAGGGAACCACTCTTTCTCGTTCCAATAGCCGAGCTTGTCTCCGGAGACCTGACCGAGCCGGACGACAGTGGTCTTGACGTCGGTGCGCTCCGCGACAATCTGGAATACGCGCTCGATGATCCACTTCGACTCCGGGTAGCCGCTGCCAAAAGGCGATGTGGGGTCGTCGAGCGGCTCCTCGGGGACGGGAATGGGTCCTTGGTAGTCTACGGAGAAGATGGTTAGAGCGAGCTGGAAGATGGATGTGATAAAAAAGCATACTGAACATGACCCCGATGCTGCTGACGAAGGTCAGATGCGGGGGTACGGTGTACGGAGAGCCCAGCGCAAAGTCGATAAAGTTGCGCGCGCCTTGTAGGTCGGCCTCGAACGAGGGTAGGGTCAAATTGAAGTTGACAGTCCAGGCTACGTAATCTTGTGAGCTCGAAGTGGATGCCGTAACCGCAACGGAATAACGCACCATTGACCATGATATGGGTCACGGACGCGCGGATCTCTTCTAGCAGGGCTGCATCGATGCCAAACCCTGGCTCGTGTAGCTTGGCCTCCACCATCGTGAACCTCCCAGAGGTCAAGAGCGCCTCGTCGAGCCCACGAGCCAGGAACTGCGCATGCTGCCTCGCCAGCGCGCGCGACCCTGCGCGGTTGAACGCATATACGCGCCCGACGCGTTCATCGCGCAATAGGTGCTCTAGCGCATCGCATCCGAAGCCGCCGGTGGTCCCGGTGATGACAACGACGTCTTTCGTCTCCTCGGGGCGTGGAACGAGGTCCTTGGGACGGGCGGGAAGGGAGGCGGCCCACCGCTTGACTTCGGTCCAGAGATCCTCCGGTTTGCGCGTGACGACAGCAGGACCGCTGATCGCGGCATGCACGGCGTTAGTGAGAGCAGCGATAGTGGGGAAACTGAACACCAAGTTCGAATCGATGCGCTTCGCCGCGTCGCCAGGAAGAGCGCTGACTGCACGGGTGAGAATGTTGCGAATCCAAGTGGCTTGTAGACTGTCGAGTCCCAGTGAACTTCCGCACAAGGAGCCGATAACGGGGGTAAACGCACCTGTCTCCACCGCTGGCGAAAATATCGGCAGAGTCATCCAGAGAGTGTCCGAGAGTGCTTCCGACGACCCCACGCACGAACCTAAGGATGCCGTCTTCGTCCCAGACGGCAGGAGGGGGAACATCGCTTTCGGTGCTTTCTTCGACAGTCTTGTAGATGGCTTCGATCTCTTCGTGGTGGTCCTTGAGGATCACGTTGCGACGCAAACTTCCCTTCGCGGTGAACTGGAAAGGCTTCGAAGGCGAGGCGACGAGGATCATCTGCGACATGCAAAGTGAGTGTCTGACAAAATATCGATATTGGTGTGAGAGCATACCTCCTTGAAGATGCGAGAGTGTTGAGGAGCAAACTCGTTCGCGCGCTCGATCGTGGGCCTACGTGATCAAATTTAGTGATATGTCCGACAGAGGAAAGAAAGAATATACCAAATCTTGTTGCGGAACGCAGCGACCTGCAGCATGTCGCTCGGATCGACAGCAAGATCCATGGCGGGCTCAACGAGGACTCCATTCTGGAACTTCCCCACGCCGAACATCAATGAGGACTTGACATACGGGTCGCTGTTGATAATCCGCTCCAGCGGGATCGGGTTGGTCTTCTCGCCATTGGAGAGCACAATCTGTTCGTCCATGCGTCCTACGATCTTCCACATCCCAGGGATCGTCGGGTGGGGCTTGGCGAGGTCGGTGGTAGCGTAGGCATCCAGGCCATCCTCTGTGGTATTCGCCTGCGCGATGAAGTGGGTCTCGTCGCCCTATAACGGTCACAGTTGATGAGGGTGCTTTTTAGTTGCAGACATCGTAGATGGCTTACCACAACAACAGGTTCAAGAAAGCCGTCGGTTGCCGGCCTGAAGATCATGCGCTTCGCCTTCCGTGGCAGGAAGTACCCCCAGTCCATACCGGGGTTCGCTTGAACAAGTATTAGATGCCAGCTAGAAGCCATAAACACATGAGCACTCACGTCTCATGAGCGAACTGATGATACCGGTCTCCGTGCTGATGTGGCTTGTAAGCATATATTGATGAGCTAGAGAGTGGAGGTACTGACAGCCCATACATAGGGAAAAGTGACACCCCCTGCGAGGCGAGGGAACTGCCGACCGAATCGTCGAGAGCCGCACCCCCGAAGATCTGCATGGGTGATACCAGTCAGCACGCAGGCTTCGGCGACGGTGACAACAGCATTACCATCCCACGCATCTTCCGCATGTGCGCGACCTTTTTGGGGTCTCGAGACCATTTTTCGATGAAGAAGGGGACGCCGAACGATATGTCGGCATGATTAGCCACGGTTCCAGCCCAAACCGCATCGGGGGTCGGGATGGTAGTCGGGAACGCGGGCTTGAAAAAGGCCAAAACGATACCAGACAATGGCTGTATACGAAGTCAGCACGAAGGGTGCGGAGGAGTGCGTAAAACAACATACCGTGGTTCCGTAGAGCGTGGAGCCGAGTGCGTGGAACATGGGAGTCCCGAGACACCCCAAGATTGTTCCGGTAACGTCCATGTCACAATCCACTGCAGAACACACCATCAGCGTCAGACTGTTATGCTCAGATATCCCCCTTACCTCCGACCCTTGCCCAGTCAAGGAGGCCTTCATGGCTCCATGAGATCGGCTTCGGATGGCCAGTGGAACCTAACCAGAATGGTTAGCATTACAAGACCGGATTCGGGATGTATATCCGCACCAGACGAGTGCATAATGAGGGCGGGGGCCTGTAGATCAAACTTGGTCGGTAGCGACATGGGAGACTCGAAGACGCTTCGAGGGTCGGGGTTGATGGGGAACAGATCTTCGAAGGCCGGAGCCAAGTGCTGAGCGACGTCGAAGCCATTCTCGCGGAGGCCAGAGAGCGACTCTTTGGCGAGGTGCTGCATGCCTTCGTCCGGGGAAACGAGCAGGTGATGGGTACCGGTGCGCTGGAGAATGTCGGCGACCGCGACGGGCGCGTTGCGTACTGAGATGAGGAAGACGGTGTGGCCGGCCTTGAGGAGACCGATCACGGTGCAATAGTATGTGATGGAGTCTTCTCAAAATATCAGCTGTGCACGTGAGCCGCAGGGAAGAGGAGCAGTACCTCTCGTGGAAAGCACGCCAATTACGGATCGCTTCTCTCCCACAGCTGAGAGAGCATAGCGCGCCGCGCGATCCATTGCCGCATTGGCGGTCTCATACGAGATGAAAGTGCGTTCCTGCCCATCGTGATAGACGAAGAGGGGGTAGTGGGGGTTGTGGACTGCATTCCAGTCGTAGAGCTGGTGGAAGGCGAAGTCGGAGCGGTTTACGAACTCTGTGGGTCGCTGGAACTCGTGGATAAGGCTGGCGGGGACGTCGGAGGCAGTGAGAGGCATATTGTGTACGGAGTGGAGATGCAAGTCTAAGAGTGTGTAGGAAAGGGGATCCTGAGACTTCGCTTGGTATATATACCTGTCGGAATTTTCGTAACTGTGTGAGCTACCAGGAGCGTCAGACGAGCTCCTCTGGCAAACGTACCTAGTCAGAGTGTGACAAAGACACAAGCAGAGAACAGTGCTCGACCGCTTGACAGCGGACGGAGGACACTCCGCGGGAATCCCGTGAGGTGGGCTACTAGCGTCAACACCTTGACCGCACGAAAATATGATGGGAAGACGGAGCCGGACGGTGGTGTCAGCCAGTAGCGCGAGATTCTAAACTTAGAGAAGCCTGTTCTGTGGCGCCGGCTTCGACATGATACTTACCCAGTAAGTATGTCCGCGATGTTCACCGAAACAGTCACAAGCCAGGCTTTGAAACGAACTTCGCCCTAAATCACCCTGTGTGAAGCCGTGGGCACAGGTTCAATAAATGCAACGTCATTGCGTTGTGAGGGACCAGGCGTATGGAAAGCACTGACCAACTAGTCATACATCATCGTACAACGGATTCTCCGCTGCTGTCTTCACTTACGGGATTCCACAACCGAGGGCCGACAACCCGACGAAGTTTTCGTACAGGATGCGGAGAACTGGAAGGGGGAGATCGTTGCGTAAGCAAGAATCAATCAACGGGTTGTTCGGAACACGTACGGGTTCCACTGCGAAAAGTAGCACGGAGTCTGGAAGGCAATGGGCTACGACATGGATGACAGATGGAAGCTGTGGTCAGCCACTCCGTTCACTTGCAGTTCATCTGCGCTTGTCCGACATGATACTATGAGCGCAGAAAGTCGAGGTCGGACGGGAACAAGGAGCACTGGCCTGCAAGCGCTCATCCCAGCATCAGCCAACATCGGTGGATACCGGAAGGATCCGATTGGCTGGGAGTTCGAGCCCACTACAACGCGCTTTATTCCACTTCCATAATAAAAGCCAAGGAGGTACATACAGAGCGATGTCAACTGCACATTATCTTTTCGTACTCCGGATCATCGACTCAAAATAACTTAGCGTCCACCTCAACCTCCATGCCACCGTGCGCAAATGGAGAGAAAAGCCACATTCCTCTGTTCGTAGTATCCTCCGGCGAGGCGTCCCACGGCCAAGGGGCCGCCGTGGTCATTCGATCGCGGACTAGGAGGTGCACGTGCACGCGACGGAAGCGTGGGTACCGTACGGAATCGCATAGCACCTGAGCGAGGAGTGCTAGTGCGGGCTTGAAGTGCGCGTCCATGCGGCAGGTGGGGTAAACGATCGTGAATGAGAGCTCTTTTAGAGTCGGATGGGGAGACGGCGCGTGCGCGAGGTGTTCGTGGAGAGAGTCGATGAAATCGGAGGGCTGCTGTGGGATATCGGAGAGAGCGAGCCCATACTCCCCGTAGCATTTCCGGTCGATGTAGGTGATTTCCAGAGAGCGCAGGAACGAACAGAGTTGTATGCAACGTGACATGTCGCGGACCTGGTGGGCTGGGAACGTGGTCAGTCCCATGAAACTTCGCGCGGCTGTGATGGGTGGCCACGTACCAATCGGGCTTCCATCTCCTCGCTTGTCCACAAAGATCGCACCGAATCTTTGCAGTCGAGAGGTGTCTGTTTGAGCGAGAAATGCCTGGGAAGGTTCTGGGCGATCCCAGGGAAGGTAGTGCGGGATGTCGAGCGTCTTGAGACCGCCCTGCTTCACAAGTCCGTGATCTACCAACGCCTTGAAGAGAGTATCGACGGGAGTGAGATACACCCCCCTAGGCCATACGGCCATGGGAATGTATACTGTGCAGCGGAGGTTCTGAAGGCCGATCGTTGTCGAGACCTCGCTTGGGGGAGAAGGGACAGACGATGCTTCGGCTTGCTTATGGCTCCCGACGAAGACACCGTGGAGGACCAGAGATTCGAGACGGGGCAAGATGCGCAGGATGGGGAAGAGGGTATGCATGGACACGCATGAGGGTGGGGCGGCTTTCAGCGTGAGCGTGTGGAGGTTCACCAGCGGCTCAATCCAGTTTAGATCGCGAGATCCCCATATGACGCTTGGCACCCAGTCGTATCGCTGGAGCGTGAGCGAGGAAACATTCAGGGCGAGCTGCGAATTGGCGGAAAGGATGTCGAGAAAAGCGTCTCGATGTTTGGTATGATAGCCGCCTATGTTCCGGACGGTGGTGCACGAGAATATGAGGTGTTGAGCGCGAGCGCGGCAGGCACGAGAGACGAGAGCACATGCGGTAAGCGACTCGGGTGCGACAGCTTGGACGAAGTCGATGATCCGATCCTGCAGCTCTGGAGGAAGTAAATTGCCCTGCATTTTCGGGAGTACCACCAGTACGGTCTCTTCGAAACCAGTTGGAATGGTTTTCTGAATTCAGATCAGCGTCCACCGCACGCAGACGGTCAGAATTCGAGGGCTTACAGATTAGAAACGCAAAACAACTGACACAGAAGCTTTATTAGGATGCAAGTGATGTTATTTGCGCTTCGTTTTGGCTAAGCTGTTTGATGTAATTGAGCTTCGCCAAATCGATAGTAATCTCAGGAAGGATTATATTTACATTCCCGATGGCCGAATTGGAGCTGCGTTCAGGCTGAGGTCCTACGGTGGGGCGTGCAACCTGAGCAAGTGAGTAATGACGTAGCGCAAGTGGGCACTAGTTTAGTAGTACTCACGGGCAGCCTTAATCCCCCGCGCTTTGCGGTACCCCCTCAGCCGCTCGGAAAGGCAATGCTGGCGTGGGCGTCGGAGCGGGGGCCCGCGCGCCGGGAAGTCATGCCTTGAATGCGATGCGCCGTGACGTCGCAGGATAGACGCCGGCGTCCTCTCGATCAACCCGTGCGGACGGAGACTCGTTGGTGCTCATACAGCATCGTAGTATGAGCGCATATAGTCGAGGTAGAAAAACAGGGAGGATATGTTGAACAGCATGCACTGGCAGACAAACGCTCAGAGTCGACAGCATCCGACGTCAGCCGACATCGGCAGATACCGGAAGAGTCTGGCTGGGAGTTCGAGCCCACTACAACGTGCTTTATTGCACTTCCGTAACAATAGCTAAGGGTACAGGGTGATACTAACTGCGGATCGTCTTCGTGATATTCAATTACACATCGCCAACGATAAATACCGGCTTTGTACTGTATGCAGAAGAGGCGAGCTTCAGCACATCTGCTCCGGACTCATCGCTGGTGATCACTGTCCAATGAATCTCCTGCTGCCTGTGTCGAATCGCAGTGTCTCAAGTGTCTCATGGCGAGTCACATCGTCGTGAAAGGTGATCTTGAGGCAGACGAGGATGATGATGGCCGTCGGGTACATACCCTACGAGGGTATCAGCGCAGCACAGCGCTCTCATGAACGTACGGGGCGTACCGTGAGGTGGTTCATCATACTGACCATGGCGTAAACGCCGTTACTCTCGAGAAGAAACAACGCCGTGACAATGACCTGGTGTAGAGTCAGGCCGGGGTCGGATCCGAAAACTAATAACAAGAACGAACACACGCACCCAAGAGAGGCAGTAAACTGCGCCGGATTCAACGATGATTACCAGGGCACTCCGGCATGGGGATTTTCCTAAGAGTCCGATGTGGGACCGCAGAGACCTGCATCCGAGATCCTTGAGTTGAGGGATTTCTGCGACGCATACATGCGTGACTCACCGAGCTTTCCAGCAGAGCAGCACCACCGAGTACATATTCGCGATGAATGTGAGCCCTCCGAAGAGCACGAACCACAGCCTTGTTCTGCTTGTGAACAGCTGATCTCCTGATCCTGACTCGGCTAGAGACACAGCCAAACCCGCCGCAGATACTTGGTGATGCCGATTAAACCAAGATGATATTCATCGCATGGATGTACTCACCGATACCGCCTACAATGCATACAACAGGAAAAATCAGAACCCTCCGTTTGCGTCCGTAGAGGACCCACGTCCTCCAGCAGACGACTGCATCACCGATAACGCACTGCATAAACACAGGCATCAGTGAAAGGTGGAAAGTGCGGAGGAAAGCGCGGCACGTACGTTGACCATCTCCAAGCACTCCTCTATCCACATTAGAGAGGTCCCTCGGGTGCTGAGAATCGAATTCCCGCTATTAAGTCCGTGTTGCTTGGTCAAGGCAATGAGGTTTATGCGCAGTCCCAGCGCAGTGTGCGCCGTAGACATGCAGTACATGATGACGATCAGCGCGATCATCCTGAGATTCGTGAGCGACATTCTCTGTTCAGAAACGCGTTTTCTACTGGCAAGATCTATGAGCCACAGGACCAGGGGCCCCGGACGAGGATCAAGAGCGCTCACTGCATGACGTAAAGGGCGCCTCCTACGAGAACAGTGTACATGCCTGAGTGGAGGTTCAGTGTTGTAGAATTGGTGCAGTATTGGAGAACTTGCCAAACAAGATCGCCTCTGCGAACAAGGAAATAAAATATGCCTCGTTTATCGTTGGGCCCCCCATTACAATGAAAGTGCGGCTAACCGCAAGAGGGACGTGAACGAAGGGTAAAGCGATACAGTGCACTTTCCGGAGCGACGCCTGAAGAGAGGGAACGGCTGCGTGAGCAATGTGAGAGGCCTGAAAATAAGAAGCTCGTGCTGGCAGAAGCATCATGATGAGGGCGCCCGTTGTGACAGGTACCACAGACAGGCGGTATGTTCTGTATAGTTCATCTCAGCCGAGTTACAGATATCTGAACTGTATCTGACAGATTTTCTCGTCAACATTGTCGGCATCCCGGATGTCTGAGGGCACATGTGAGCTGCGACGCCGCTATCACGGGCATAAAGTTGTCACCAGTGGGCTAGCTTCTGACGTCGCTATTGAACGACCACATAGGCTCATCGAGTCATCAATCCATGTGAACTGATAGAAGAAAGCGTACATGCGACATGCGCAGACGTGCGCAGAGATGGTTGCAGTGGCCAAGCAGTACGCAGGAGCGCTCGTATCGGGCCGCTGTCACGAAGCGCGGTGGATCACGCCGCTGTCACGAAGCGCGGTGGATCACGCCCCTTGGTGACTGTGACTCATATTGTCACGACTTTGGTCGGCCTGAGCGCTGAGCCGCCGGCCTGCAGCTGCCCATCCCCTTCTCATCCTACCGCACGCTGCCTGTGAGTCCTGCTCCGCCATTTTGGTCTCTGCGCTACAAAATTTCTCACTTACCCAAGTTTTACGCCCCACCCTAGGACCTCAGCCTGAACGCAGCTCCAATTCGGCCATCGGGAACGTAAATATAATCCTTCCTGAGATTACTATCGATTTGGCGAAGCTCAATTACATCAAACAGCTTAGCCAAAACGAAGCGCAAATAACATCACTTGCATCCTAATAAAGCTTCTGTGTCAGTTGTTTTGCGTTTCTAATCTGTAAGCCCTCGAATTCTGACCGTCTGCGTGCGGTGGACGCTGATCTGAGTTCAGAAAACCATTCCAACTGGTTTCGAAGAGACCGTACTGGTGGTACTCCCGAAAATGCAGGGCAATTTACTTCCTCCAGAGCTGCAGGATCGGATCATCGACTTCGTCCAAGCTGTCGCACCCGAGTCGCTTACCGCATGTGCTCTCGTCTCTCGTGCCTGCCGCGCTCGCGCTCAACACCTCATATTCTCATCCACCACCGTCCGGAACATAGGCGGCTCTCAGACCAAACATCGAGACGCTTTTATTCACATCCTCTCCGCCAATTCTCAACTCGCCCTGAAGATTTCTTCGCTTACGCTCGAGCGATACGAGTGGGTGCCAACCGTCTTGTGGGAATCTCGCGATCTGAGCTGGATTGAGCCGCTGGTGAACCTCCAAACACTCACGCTGAAAGCCGCCCCACGCCATCGCTTGTCATACGTGTCCATGCACACCCTCTTTCCCATTATGCGCACCCTGCCCCGTCTCGAATCGCTGGTCCTCGACGGTGTCTTCGTCGGGAGTCATAAGCAAGCCGAAGCGTCGTCTGTCCCTTCGCCCCCAAACGAGGTCTCGACAACGATCGGCCTACAGAACCTCCGCTGCACAGTATATATTCCCATGGCCGTATGGCCTAGCGGAATGCATCTTACTCCCGTCGATACTCTCTTCAAGGCGTTGGTAGAGCACGGACTTGTGGTGCAAGGCGGTCTCAAGACGCTCGACATCCCACACTACCTTCCCTGGGATCGCCCAGAACCTTCCCAGGAATTTCTCGCTCAAACAGGCACCTCTCGCCTGCAAAGATTCGGTGCGATCTTTGTGGACAAGCGCAGAGATGGACGCCCGGGTGGTACGTGGCCACACCCATCACTCCACGCGAAGCTTCACGGGACTGACCGCGTTCCCAGCCCACCAGGTCCGTGACATGTTGCGTTGCATACAAATCTATTCGTTCTTGCGCTCTCTGGAAATCACCTACATCGACGAGCAGTGCTACGGGTGGTATGGGCTCGCTCTCTCCGACATCCCCCATCAGCCCTCCGATCTCATCGACTCCCTCCACGAACACCTCGCGCGCGCGCCGTCTCCCCATCCAGCGCTAGAAGAGCTCGCGTTAACGATCGCCTACCCCACCTGTCGCATGGACGTACACTTCAGGCCCGCGCTCGCGCTCCTCGCTCGGACGCTATGCGATCCCGCACTGTACCCGCGCTTCCGTCGCGTGCGCGTGCACCTCCTAGTGCGCGGCCGAATGACCCAGGGGGATCCTTGGCCGTGGGAAGCCTCGCCGGAGGATACTACGGAGAGGGGAAGGGGGGTTTTCTCTCCGTTTGCGCACGGTGGCGTGGAGGTTGAGGTGGACGCTGAGTTGTTTTGGATCGATGATCCGGAGGACGAGGACATCCCATGCGAAGTGGGGTTGTGGGACTGACGGATCGTGCGGAGTTCACGGGGTTTTGACAGCTAGCGCCTTTCGTGTAGGACATACCATTGGCAGTTCGGCGTTAACTTTGATCACGGACCATTTGCTCGCGCGGCGTCGCATGTGAGGGCGAGATCAGCGCGTGAAGACAGAAGCAGAGTGGGCGCATCCCGGTCGTCCCAAATGTCACTGGTACTGCTGAACGACGGAGGCTACCATCGTGAACAAGGACCACTATCCATACGGCTCAAGCGGCAGCCAGGCTAGCTAGCGGTAAGGCGCGATACAAATACATCACCACCCAATAACATCACTCCGTCTTACAGCCCTCAGATCTGCGCCTTCACAAACTCCGCCATCAACTCCGGATGCTCCTCCCCCTCCCCGCTCCCGAAGCTCCAGGCGAAGCTAACATGGTTGTGGCCTTTCATAACCTCACACCGCACCGCACGTCCGAGCCGCACGCCCAAGTCCACCGCGAACTTGTCGCACGCCGCGTGGATCGGCGGCGGCTCGTGCTCGCTCTTGAGCACGAACACCGGTGGGAGGCTCGCGATCAGCTCCGCGGGTGCGCGCGCGACGAGTGCGGTCGGCATCGTCTCCATCGCCGCCTCGTTCGAGCCGTAGTACTGCGCGAGCAGGCCGGGCTGGAGCATCGGCGGCCCGGTGAGGTCGAATTGGAGCGCGCCGCCGACGAGGACGAGGCCCTTCGTCGCCGCGCGGAGGGCGGAGCCGACGGGGGTGATCTCGGGGGAGAGGTAGAGCGAGGCGGCGATGTTCGCGCCGGCGGAGTGCCCGGCGACGACGAGGGCGTCGAGCGGGGTCGAGGCGGGGAGGCCGCCCGCCGCGGCGACGATGGACTGGTTGGCGAGGAACCAGGTGATGGCGTCGCGGATATCCTCGACGGTTTCCGGGTGCTTTCCGCCCTGGCCGACGAGGCGGTAGTCGGCGATGACGGTCATGATGCTTTTCAGACCATTCAAGTCAGTTGAGGGCCGCCTATGAGGATCGTGGAGAATCTCACCCTCTCTGCGCGAAGAATGCCCCGATGTTGGTGTACACCAGGTTCGTTGGTTCGAGCTTGCGCTCGCCGGAGGTGAAGCCGCCTCCGTAGACGAAGAACAGCACGGGCATCTTGCTGCCAGACCCCGCCCCAGATGGGGGGTAGTACACGTCGAGCTGCGCATTTCACGGTCAGCGAGTATGGAAATATGATAGCGGCGCGGTCCAAACCTGATGCCGATCGGTGCCCCCATACTTGAAGGTCTTGGAGGGGATGCTCTCGATATCGGCGCGGCGAGCCTCAAGCAGGGGCGTAAACGCATCGATGGCTATAGCAGCCCGTCGTGTAAGATTCCAGTTGCACGATGGATCTGACAGAGAGAATGGTGCTCACTGGGACCCAGAATGACTGGGATAATGGTGCTATCAAAGGTGGCGATCTTGTCCATGGTGACTGGGTTTGAATAAGCTGTGGGTGGCGTTGACGAGGGAGACGACCGAAGGGGCTGGGAGAACGAGGCGGTACTTATATCGCCATGAGAACCTGCTTACGAACCACTAGTACTAGCTAGGACAACGGCGGATGCATGGGTAATATATGGAAACTCTCTCACTCGCACGTGATGGATCTATTTACAGCGATTAGCGTTGCTGTGTCTGGACCTGCTATTGTCCCGGCCACAAGGTTTCCAGTAGGAGATCATTCAAGGGTAGTGAGAGCAAGGTCGAGACAGGTGCTGGAGAAAGACACAGCTGGGTAACGCCGATGAACATGGGAGGGCTGAAGATAACGGAGGAACAGCTGACTCGACCTGACCCTGACGAGGAGTTCGATTCCCGCACAATGCACTTATTGGCCCATGTCCTCTAGATGCCGCGTAGAGTGTGGCGAAGTCGGACGCATTGAGTGCGATGACCTCCTTCAGGCGGAAGGAAAGGGCGGGCTACGTCGTGGGATCTACACTCAGCTTCCGGTCGATGGTGTATTTAATCGGAGCATAACTCACATTTGAGAGCAACGCAAGGCCGCACTGTCTGCTTGCGCACCATAGAAACTAGGAGACTCCGCCTCGACGACCGACCTATAAGCATCGACCACACAGCATTATCGATTGCACAGACTCAACAAAGAGCAGGCTGCTTGAGGACGTCGAACCGTCCTCCTCATCTCCCAACGAAATCCAGCCAACAAACGCTCAAACCCGCGTCACCGCCCACCACAGCATCCAAAACTGCACCTCCTCCCCGTCCCCGCTCGCGACCGCGACCGCCTGCAGCTCCGTCTCGACCCGCACCGTCCCCTTCTCGAACACCGCCCCGTCCCACAACGCGGCCCAGCTCGCGGGCGAGTGCCGAAACTGCGCGATCGCGCTCCCGTCCGCGCCAAGCATCACCACCTCCTCCGCGCGCGGCGGCTCCCCGTCCGCGCGGTCCGGCGCGGCGCTGTGGCTCCCGGCGATCGTCGCACCCGGGTGCGGCGCGAGGAGGCCGGCGAGGGCACGCGCGAGCCGCGCCTGGTCCGCGGCGGAGAACAGGTGGAAGAGCGCGCCGGCGTGGATCGCGGAGACGCGGCCCGCGAGTGGGTTGAGGGAGGAGAGGGCGGAGAGGTCGAGGGGAGTGAGATCGGAGGGGAGAGCGGAGAATGAGGTCGGGAGGATGGGGTGTTGCGTGAGGTGAATGGGAGAGAGGGCGTCGCCGGGGACGAAGGTAGCGGGGAAGGAGCCGGTCGTGGAGCCGAAGAGGGTGTGGCCGAGGGCCCAGAACTCTGTTGGGCGTGTTACGATTAGAATAAACATCGGAGGGGAAAGAAAGACGCGCCTGGATGGATATCGGAGGCAACAATGTTCTGCGCGGGCCAGCCATCTGCAGCTATCTTGCGGCTGTCAGTTCCAACTGCGTTCATAATTCCGTTTTATTGTGAGCAAACGAGCGAGAACGGTAAGGAACCACCTACAGCAGCAGCCAATGTCCAGGAGGATAGCGCCCTCGCGCTCCTTCCCGAGCCTCAAGAGATGGTCGTAGTTCGGGATAGAAGGGACCCTGAACCTGTCCACACATATTACGTTAACCTGGAGCTGGAGTGCCTATGAAGGGACCGTTGACACTCACGCTGCAAACGCGAAAAGGCGAATACATTGGTACGGAAACACCTATGTCACGTTGAGTGCCTCAACCTTGAAGACCAACCACCCAGAGACGCACCTCATAGGCCATCTTAGTCACCGTCAGGATGTGCGCCCGTAGCTGCTCTTCATCGTTGATGCCCGTCTGCTCGCGGAGGAACGCGACGTGGGAGGAACCAAGGAGCTGCGTGAGCTTGTTCTCGTCCAACGGGAACGCACGAGGATCCCGCTTGAGCTCCGAGCCCAGTGTGCCTGTTGGAGCGGGGGTGACGGACATGGTGCGCTGTAAACGTTTGAGCGATGAACAAGAGGGGAGAGTGAGAGAAGAGATGCTTGCCGCGTACGCCTGATATATACCTGGGCCTGTCCAAAGCAGTTTTGAGTTCAAACGGCCCCAGAACTACTCGAATTCGGTCTTTGACAGCCTTTCTAAAGCGCGTATATCCCGAAACGGATGAATCCCTGTCTGCCACATTGCACCGCTCGGTGCAGCACTCCGAGTATGAGTGAACGTAAGTATTATGACACGTCGCGAGCTTCCATGGGCCTTTGAATGAACCTTGTGCGTATTCGGAGACAAGCGCATATTCGCCGCGTCATTCGGGGAGTGGCGTCACCATGTGTTGCTCTACAGTTCACACTGATCGGGACGCGGGCATTGAAGGTGTATAGCATTCAACGCAATACGAGATCACAAGGTGTCTTTCCGAGCCCTCAGGACACAAATGCTAAACGGAACGAAGATGATGAGCATCGCATCCGAACGCAAGATAAACGTACACCACGTACTGTCGGAAACCCCAGCCGTCCCCACTCAAAGCCCGCTCAAGTCAAAGTCCACGACCTGCACCTCCGTCCCGTTCACCAGGAACATGCTCAGCACTCCGTCTTCCGCAAGCCGGTACCGGTCATAGAGCGGCTCCCACCCGCATCCACTCTCCGCCTCCCAGACCGCCTCCCAGTCGCGGAAGTGTCCCGCCGCGGTGCTGCGGAGGATGCTCAGCGCCGTCGAGTTCGGCGCGTTCGAGGGCAGGAGGAGCAGGATCGACGCAGGCCCGGAGAACGACGATGCCGGGACCGGGACTACCTTGCCGCGCTTGCCGATGACTGTCGGCGTCGCGGTGATGTTGTTCGTCGTCTGCAGCGTGGGAGGGAGTGGAAGGGGGGTGCGCGTCCAGTGCGATGTCGTACTGCGCCAATAGTGGTACCTGCACGAGGACATCGTTGGCCGAAGATCGGGAGGGACCAGGGAGAGACGTACCATTGTTCAGTGCCAGTAGTGTTCTCGCGGTTGAGGACGTGCATCCGGCCCTCGCTGTCGATCGCTTGTCCCTCCTGGTTCAAGATGCCGCCGTACTTGGGGATGCCGAACATCACGATGCCAGCAGAAACGGGCTTGATCGGTTCCTGCACAGACATATTCGCAATCGTCTGCTTCCAGTTGTTGAGCCATGTTTCGCCGAGATCTTCGCTGTATGCGAAGTTGAGGTCATGGTTCTGCCGCGGAATGAGTCACTGCACATGTCGCTCCGTGTAGAAGAGTGTATCAGGGAGGTGACATACATTCTCAGGTCCGTTCGGGCCTGCCTGAACAGCGACGTCTTGACCCACATCGTTGACATAGTCTCTGTACGTCCTGCGGCCAAGAGTGAGGATACAAGATATGCTGCAGTTGGGGAAAAGAGATACCATGTCGTCATCAAAGTGCCCTCCAAGTCAAAGTCGAGACCGTTGATGTATGCGTTGTCTTCATGCACCTGTCAGCTGAGTCCGGCTCGAAAGCGCATGTACTCACTGTTGACTCCCAGTAAATACCTCCCGATCTGCGCCCAGCCCTTGTTTGGCGTGTATTTGTATAGCCAGTCGTCCCCTAGTCCCGATCGACCGACCCGTAGCTCCATGATGAGGTCTGCACCACCATCGGTCTGAGCCGAGCTTGGCACAGATAGGAAGCGCGGGTAGGTAACGTTGATGAAATACGTGGATTTGTCGAGCGACTCCGTGCCCGGGAGGTAGTCCTGCGGTCCGCTGAGTATGAGACCCCAGAGGACCCAAAAAAGTACGCACAAGGACGGGTCCGAAAAGTTCTGCTGACCACTGAATCTCCGCGGGGTTGGTGGCTACCCCAGGCTGCGACGCGCGATACGTGAGGTTGTTGTCGTGCTGGTCGAAGCCCATGTGGACGGTGCCATCTCCATGAGAGATGCCGATGGAGATGCTGGTCTCGCTTGAGAACGAGCAACGCAGAACTGGGATATTGATGACTCACACATTGTGGCCGTCGTCATCCGTCTGGTTGTATTCCGTGAAGGAGAATGTCTCCCAATTCTTCGCTGCACCTGCGAGTGCCCTCCTAGACAGACTGGGGTGTCTGATCGACGTGTTCGAGGCATCCGGCACGTAGAATGCAGCATATTGGTATCCTTTGAACACACTTGAGAGTCGATCTTAAGCAAGAGAGGCGAGCTACTCACCGTTGAACGTTACGAGGGGATCCTGCTGAAACGACTCTCCATTCAAGTGGTTCACCGACGGCGGGTCTTGCCCCAGAGTCACCGTGCTCGAGACATGCAAAGTCGCAGCATATGCCAAGCTCTGAGCGAGAAATACCGGAGTAAAAACCCCAAGGCGCATCTTGTACCACCGCGAGCTTGTGTTTGCCGGGGAGTGCTGAGCATTCGACTCTTCTCTTGTGACGCTTTTCAACCATGACCCGTATCAGAACCTAGAAAGCGGTCCGCGGGAGTGCCTGTGCATGACCGCAGGGCTGGGGGAGGGGGAAGCATGACCTGGACATCGTGACCTACGAAGAGATGCAAACAACATGGCCGGCGGCGAGCGTGGATTTGGTGCGGTCTGAAGGTTTTCCCGACGGGCCGCTGGACAGACATCCTCGAGCGCCGCTGTCGGTGACGTCCGGTCGGCCGCCACAAGCAGCGCGCAGCCTGCAGCCGAGGGCTCGCACACCGCGCTCCTTCTCTCCAGCCCCCCACCACTTCACCATGGCTTTCGAACTCGGCACCCCGGTCAACACCGCGCTCCTCGTCTACATCCTTTACTCCATCCAACGTATCCTTTTCCCCTCGAATGCGCTTCCCAAGACGATCCCGAACGAGTTCAAGAATGGGTACACATGGATGCCCAAATCCCATGCTCCGACGCTCCTCTATCAGACCTACACCCCCAAAACCCTCTCACCCCACAACGGACAGGATGGAAAGCGAATCCTGCTTGCCATCAAGGGCGTGGTGTACGATGTGACGGCGGGAAGGAACTTCTACGGCCCGAGTGAGTCCATTGAGCGAGCTGAGCTATACGAGGGCTGATGAGTCGGTCTGCTAGACGGCATGTATGCCAACTTTGCGGGGAGGGATGCGTCGCGGGGGATGGCGAAGCAGTCGTTCGATGAAGGTGAGTGTCTGCGCGTCCAACCTCCATGTATGCACCCGGCGAGGAACCAATGGTGTTCCCAACGAAGTGCCCATTGTGCATAGTGTCTGTTGTCCCCTCAGTCTACGCCGTGCATGCATAGATGCGCTACGAAACGGTTTCCGGGGTGGGGTGCGCCGATTTGCTCACATTCAGGCTATCCTTCATGAGTGTTCCGCTCTGGAGCCATAAGCCCAAGATTGTTGCCAGGCTTGAGAGCCTCCCGTTACTTCTACTCCGCGTTACGTATTTACTTCAGCTTACTAACCATGAGATTACAGAGATGCTCACTCCCATCGACCAGCCCCTGGACAAGCTGGAGAATCTTACCCCCGAGGAAATGTGCGTGTCGTTCCTCGTCGTGCCGATCAGACCAGTCTCTCATGCCCGCGATAGTGACAATATGAAGGGTTGGATGGATCACTTCTCCACCAAGTACATCGTCTGTGGCAAGCTCGTCGAGAACGATGCCGCATAGACGTATTTGCTCCTGTTTCCATGTCAGTATGCTTGTGTTCGTGAATGGAAATCTAGAAGTGGCTTCGGATTTACTGCCCTATAGTTCGCGGCTTTTGCTTGAAAGTTGTCATGCGAAAACGGCCGGACAGACAGCTAAGGAGGCACAGAGCTGTTGCGCTGGTAGGCGACATAGCTGCTGCCACCATCCACCATGAAGGGGCTGTTCGTCTCTCTTCTGCTCAGCGGCCTCTGTTGCGCCGTCCGAGTGTACCTCCACCCTGACCCTTCACTTCCTCCCCGCCTCTCTATCAACCACGTCGGCGCCGTTCTTTCGTCTGGAACCGTTCGAGGATGCTGTCCCGGCATTCGTTGGGGAGCAGGGGATGATAGTCAGCGCGGGGCTTGATACAGGGATTTAGTGGAGAGGACATCCACGGTGCGTCTGGGTAGTCGCCGAATGCGCCCGTCCTTACACGAGAGTAGATGTCATCCCTCACGCTCTCAAATAGTGACAGAAGACAATCTCTTGCCCAACTTCAAGGTTTCAAATCGGCGCAGCATCGCCTAGGAATGGCTTATATCGGCGTAACGTGAGTTTGTCTTGCGAAATTCACCTTACGCTGAGTTCGATTTCGGGCCTCCTCTAGCCCGCGGTGGCAGTCCGTCGCAGGTTTGTATTGTCGGCAGTATCGTCGTGCGTGCCCGTCGGGAATGAAAACAATAAGCTTCTGCCCTGTCAGTCATGACGAACTGAAACGCTGGGTCCAACTGCATTCGTGGAGAGTGGTGGTGGTGGTCTCTTTAAGTTCATTACTAGTTTATGGCTTCACTTACCCTCATGACTGTATCTTGCAGGTGACGGCTGTTTCAATGGGGCGGAGTGATGGTACCAAACCGCTTTTGCTCGCCTCAGCTATCGGACTTTGCGCTCGCGGTTCTCGTTCATCCCGCGGCCTTAGAGGGGGTTCCTTGAGTCGCCGCACTAGGCTGCCGCTCAATACCAGCGTTCAAACGTTCAGGCGAGACTCACCCGGGGATTCTGATCGAATGCTTACAGATTCCGAAGCACGAGCATGAGTCAACCCAGTATGGTTTTACGCTCTGTAGCGTAATCTGGCTTCGCAATGCCTGACAGCTCATGTATTGCGTTCCCATTGTCTCGGCGCTAGTTGCCTCCCTTCGCTCGGGAAGCGTCACGATAAAGACCCCCGACCTCCTCAACGTCGAGTCCGTCTCCCCAGACAATCCCAACCATGTCTTTCTCCCAACCGCAGACCCGTCTTCGCGTCGCAGTTATGTAAGTGTTTCTGTGCCCGCCTACGTGCCTCGCGTCAAACATGCTCACGGTGCTCTTCTTTGACCAGCGGTGGCGGAATGGCCGGGCTCGTCCTCACTCTGTTTCTGCAGAAGCACAGCCCCGACGTGCAGGTCGACATATACGAATCTGCCCAAGCCCTATCCGAAGTCGGCGCGGGCATCACCATGTGGCCACGCGTTTGGGAGATCGTGGAGCAGCTTGGCTTTGGGGAGGAGCTGAACGAGATCGCTTCGGGCCCCGCTGGAAAAAGTGAGCACGCTGTTGTCTCTCCGTCGCGCTACAATGTTGACGCTTCTCTGCCTCCGCCCGTGTGACCGTGTCGCTATTCAGCACCCTCTTTTACCTACTACAAGGGCGACCAGCCGGAAATGCAGCTCGCGTTTCGGAGGAAGCCTCTAGGTACTATACGTGTCCAAATGTGGTACGGTCGTGCTGATGAACTGTATTACAGCACGCATGTTCCATCGCTCGCAGCTCCAGACTCTGTTCGCGAAGCACATCCAGAACATAGACCAGGTGATCCACTTCGGAAAGCGCCTCTCCGACTACGTCGCGCCCGCCTCGGGAACGGGGGAGATCACCCTGAACTTCCGCGATGGGACAAGTGCCACGTGCGATGTCGTGCTCGGCAGTGATGGGATCCGCTCTGCGGTGCGCCACACGATGTACGAGGACATGGCCAAAGCCGCGTCGGACGAGAAAGCGGCCACCGAGCTGCGCCAAGTCTCGGTGCCGATCTGGTCTGGCAACATTGTCTACCGCGGGTTGATTCCGGTAGAGTCTCTTGCGGAAGACATGAAGGCCGAGGTGGTCACTTGGATCCGTGTTGTGAGTGACATTCTGCTCTCACTCTGGGATCCTTCGTGCTGATAGCGCCCCGGGTGTAGTTCCTCGGAAAGAATCAAGTAAGTGTCGTTCGGTGAGGAACAAGGCGAGGGGTCCTAATATGTTGCACCAGCATATCATCTGCTACCCCATCGCCCAGGGCAAGTTCATCAATCTTGCGAATTTTGTTTTCACCCCCGAGGGGGAGGGCACCCAGTATGACGGACCTTGGGTCTCCCACGTTTCTGCCGAAGCGGTGGTGGAGAAGTTCGGCGGATGGGATCCGCTCATTCAGACCCTCATGAAGGTGCGTGTCCTCCCTCATCTACCGGTCTTTGTGCTTAAACCTGTCGGCAGGGTATGAGTGATCCGCTCGCATGGGCAGTGCACAGGTTGAAAGAGTTGCCTACGTTCTCTTCCGGTCGTGTCGCTCTTCTCGGGGATGCGGTGAGGTCAAGCTTTCATGAGCGAAGTTCTATTCTCCTAACACTCTCCGTCCAGGCGCACGCCATGACGCCCTTCCAGGCCTCTGGTCTGGGGCAAGCGATCGAGGTAAATTGCAACCTCTCCCCACCTCGAGCAAGGCTCGCGTTGACCTTCCCCACAGGACGGCTTCGTCCTCGCCTCTATCCTCGCCCAAACGAACGTGACGGCGTCCAACGTCGCGGAAGCGCTAAAGATCTACGACAAGATCCGGCGACCATTTGCGCAGAACATCCAGCGGCTCTCGGACGTGAACGGGCACTGTCAGCACCTGCGCCGGTGCGGGTGGGAGGACGTCACGGCCGAGGAGAGCTCGCGCGGCGGGTTCGCGCAGGAGCGCTTCGACGCGGTGTCCGAGCTTTTGGCCTCGCAGATGAAGTGGACGCAGGAGTCGATGATGGGCGAAAGGGACGAGGCGTTGAGGATGGTGAAGGCGCTGGCGGCTTGATTACAGACTAGTTACCAGACAGCCGTCCACTCGCGTGCAGAATCATGAAGTGAATGAGAGGACTCGCATTGGCTAGTCCATACTGAAGGGTTCAGTTGAGTACGAGGTGGCATCTGTAGGTACGTGTGACTTGTAAGAATCTCGGGGTAGGCCTGTTCCGGCAGTGATTCGATACTACAGCGCGATTGGAGTCTCATAGAGTCTAGACACTAGCGGGGCGGAGGACGACGGATGCGAATGGGTTAGGAGCAAACGCGTAGGCAACGCGCAGACGGCAGCCAGACGACTACCTGGTCAGCGCAAGGCAGCATGAGCTGACTGGACTGTTAGCCCAACATATCATGCACAGTGAAGTACGATCTACCATGGGTTACTATCAGCATTGATTCGCGTGCAGTCATGCAAACGTGCATTACGTCTGCGTCAATACCTCCATGTTTTATGTTTGGAACATCTGTGACAGGTCAACGTTTCAACTGCTCAGTGAGATTAGGGGAGGACGGAAGCAACTTGCAAAGTAGGCGGGTCACCGAATCACACCGTGTCAACTCCTCGGATCCCCGGCCCGTTGTGCTGAACTCGATCGCATTTTCCTGCTCGCATTTAGCATCTTGACGTACTCTCCCCTACTTGACGGTCTCAGCTGCGTTTGGCTCTCAGCTATTCGCTGGGTCTATACGCGCCCAACGTGCACAAGAATGGTCGTGCAAAAAGTTCTTCAACAATCGCGACTTCTGGTACTCCCGCGCGCCACCTCGCCCAATTTGCGTCCATCGCCCCATACATCCCCGGGAAGTCTTTGCACCTCTTCTCTCCGCCCCACCTGTCCGCGTTGAGATTCCTCGCCCCCAGCCCCGCATGCACCCCGGGCCCGTCGTGCGCCCCACGTCCGCCGACGACCCACGCCGGCTCCAGCCCCGCGTCCCAGCGCGAACTGGTCCAGACACCGCTTCACGCACTCCGAACTCGACCTCCCCGCGCTACCGCTCCCCCACGGGCGCGGGGTTCCCGAACGCGGAGGCGACCGAGCACGCGCGCGCAGTACCGTACCTCGTACGAGAACCCGGGGTTGAAGAACCGGCGGGAGGGCCCGAAGCGCATGTTGTCGTCGCCCCCACCGCCGACTAGCACCAAGTACTCCTGGTCGGCGAGCTGCCCGGTCGCGCCCGCCGCGGACCCTCCGAGCGCGAACGCAGCGCGGCGGGTGGGAGGAGAAGGGACTGGGGGGTAGAGCGGGGAGTCTTCGTCGGTAAAGGTTGTGGGAAGGACGTTCTCGAGGTGAGCACCGACTTTCTTGGAGGCGAGGGGCACGCATGGCAGCGGGAGGCTGGTGGGGGGCGGACCGCGGTGGTGCGCTTCGTTTCTCGGACGGGGGCGACGTCGATGGGGGTGTTTTTGCCCACGAGCAGGGGCAGCGCTCCCCATGCAAGAACACCAGAAAACGGGGGATGGGCGGAGCATCGTCGGTCGTAGATGCACAGGCTTGGGCTCGCCGGGAGGAACGTCGAGAGGTCGCCCGCTGCCATGCTCTGACTATGCCCTCGGCTCCTCGGAAGGCAGAACATCAGTTCCCGGGATGATGGTGGTGGCAGTACTTGCACCCGTCTGAAGAACTCTGTTCAGGTGCGTGGCGAGATGGCGTCTTTTGTAACCTTCCAACCCCCGCCACCCAGGATGAAGCAGACGAATGTGGGGCAGGGAGCCCTCGTCTCATAGAGGCGCTCTCGACCCCTGCTTTCGTCACGCTTCTCGGTCGACATCCAAATTCGCTTGCTACTGATGAAGCCCGGAATGAGGCATCTAGAGTATACCAGGACTCTCGTCTTCTGCCACTCGTACGCCCTCCTTGCGCCCCAATCATGACTATATTGTCCTCGGTCCCCGGCCAAGAAAGCGTTCTTCTCGCCGAGCCGCCTTGACGCTGGACGCCCGGTGCCGCCACCGTGAACCCTACCGCCGAGCGACGTCTAGGAACCTGATAGAGAGGCATACGACATGAGAAGCGGATTGAGTGTTGTTATCCCGAGGTCCCCCACATGTCGTCGTATGTTCTATCCATGACTTGTGCCTCTAGCTTGCCGGACTCGTCGTTGAAAGTTGCCGGAGACGGCGGACTGCCTCATGGTCCCCATAAGCTTGAAGACACAGTGGGAGAAATTCTGTGACAAGCAGTTGTGGCGAAGTCGGCTGTAACGCTCATGCACCTCCTGCGTCACTGGCAAAAGGGTCAAGACTGAAAGAGACTATTTTGCGGACCCGGGGAGATGGAGGGGATGAAACTGCATTACATATCTGCGCAGGATTGGATACCTCGGGAAGGCGGGCAGTGAATGAGGGAAAGTACTCTAGATCTGGGGACGCGGCTCAGCGGGAACTTGCAACTGGGAATATTGTGAGCTCTGCGTAACGGAAGCGCGCCAATATTTCCAACGAAGAGAATGCTCCATTGACGATTCGTGTTGTACACGAGAACTCGATGACCCTACAGCAAGAGGTGTTGATAAACGACGTCGAGACAAACAGCTTAGCCAAGCAAAGTGGCCACGTGGTGAAATCTGCTGACATAAGCGCACGGCCGCCGGCCCACCCCGGCTTACGAACTTCGTCCACCTGAAGATCCACGCCGCCGAGAACTTCGGTAATACACATCAGTGAAGCAAACATTGGGCCTTAACTGGAGTGTCAAAAGGGGTTGGGCCGCCGCCCGCTAGAGCTGTGGTACGTAGATCCCAGCTCGGAGGTTTTAAATACTTTCCTTACGACGTTCAGACTTTGCAGGCAGTTGCCACGTACCATCAGGAGGCGACCAGAGATCTCCTGCCCATTTTCAAGGCTTCAAATCAGCGCAGCATCGCCTGGGATGACTTGTATGGGCGTGGCGTGAGTTTTTCTTGCGAAATTCACCTTACGCTGGGTGCAATGTCGGGCCCCCTCTAGCCCGCGGTTGCAGTAGGTCGCGGCCGCGGCGTTGTATTGTCGGCAGTATCCTCGTGCGTGCCCGTCGGGGATGGACCGCGTCGGTTATGACGAACCGAAACGCTAGGTTCAACGTTCAGCCTCCATTCGTGGAGAGTGCTGGTGGTGGTCTCATTCCTAGTTTATGGCTTCACTGACCCTTATCACTGTATCTTGCAGGTGACAGCTTTTACAGCGGGGCGGAGTAATGCCATCAAACCGCTTATGATTGCCTCAGCTATCGGACCTCGCGCTCGCGGTTCTCGTTCGTCCCACGGCCTGGAGGGGGTTCCTCACGCTCTGCCGCCCAATGCCAACGTCTAGGCGGAACCCACCCGAAGATTGTGACCAAACGCTTACAGATCCCGAACCACTGCCCGCCTCACTCCGCTTGAGCATGAGTCAACAGGATATGGTTTTCCACTCTGTAGCGTAATCTGGCTTCGCAGTGGTTGGGAGCGCATGTATTCCGTTCCCATTGTATCAGCGCTAGTTGTCTCCCTTCGCTCAAGACGCGTCACGATAAAAGCCCCCAACCTCCTCAATGTCGAGTCCATCTCCTCAGACAATCCCAACCATGTCTTCCTCTCAACCGCAGAACCGTCTTCGCGTCGCAGTTATGTAAGTGGTTCTGTGCCCGCATACGCAACTCGTTAAGCATGCTCACAATTCTCTTCTCCGACCAGTGGAGGCGGAATGGCTGGGCTCGTCCTCACTCTGTTTCTGCAGAAGCACAGCCCCGACGTGCAGGTCGACATATACGAATCCGCCCAAGCGCTGTCCGAAGTCGGCGCGGGCATCGCCATGTGGCCGCGCGTGTGGGAGATCGTAGTGCAGCTCGGCTTCGAGGAGGAGCTGAACGAAATCGCTTCGGGCAGCGCTGGAGAAAGTGAGCACGCTGTCGTCGTTCCGTTGCGCTACATTATTGACGCTCCTCTGCTCTCGCCGGCATTCAGAGCCCGCTTTTACCTACTACAAGGGCGACCAGCCGGAAATGCAGGTCGCGTTCCCGACGAAGTATCTAGGTACACATGCCACCCAACCTCTCGAGTGTGGTGCGGTCGTGCTGATGATCCGGATGCAGCGCGCACGTTCCATCGCTCGCAGCTCCAGACTCTGTTCGCGAAGCACATCCAGAACGTAGACCAAGTGATCCACTTCGGAAAGCGCCTCTCCGACTACGTCGCGCCCGCGTCGGGAACGGGGGAGATCACCCTGAACTTCCGCGATGGGACGAGTGCCACCTGCGATGTCGTTCTTGGTAGCGACGGGATCCGCTCTGCGGTGCGCCACACGATGTACGAGGACATGGCCAAGGCTGCGTCGGACGAGAAAGCGGCCGCCGAGCTGCGCCAAGTCTCGGTACCGATCTGGTCTGGCAACATCGTCTACCGCGGGTTGATTCCGGTAGAGTCTCTTGCGGAAGACATGAAGGCCGAGGTGGTCACTTGGATCCGTGTTGTGAGTGATGTTGTGCTCTCACCCCGGGATCCTTCATGCTGATAGCGCGTCGGATATAGTTCCTCGGGAAGAATCAAGTAAGTGTCGTTCAGCGAGGAACAAGGCGAGGGGTCCTAATATGTTGCACCAGCATATCATCTGCTACCCCATCGCCCAGGGCAAGTTCATCAATCTTGCGAATTTTGTTTTCACCCCCGAGGGAGAGGGCACCCAGTATGACGGACCATGGGTCTCCAACGTTTCTGCCGAAGCGGTGGTGGAGAAGTTCGGCAGATGGGATCCGCTCATCCAGACCCTCATGAAGGTGCTCGTCCTCCGTCATCTACCGCTCTTTGTGCTTAAACCTGTCGGCAGGGTATGAGTGATCCGCTCGCATGGGCAGTGCACAGGTTGAAAGAGTTGCCTACGTTCTCTTCCGGTCGTGTCGCTCTTCTCGGGGATGCGGTGAGGTCAAGCTTTCATGAGCGAAGTTCTATTCTCCTAACACTCTCCGTCCAGGCGCACGCCATGACGCCCTTCCAGGCCTCTGGTCTGGGGCAAGCGATCGAGGTAAATTGCAACCTCTCCCCACCTCGAGCAAGGCTCGCGTTGACCTTCCCAACAGGATGGCTTCGTCCTCGCCTCTATCCTCGCCCAACCAAACGTGACGGCGTCCAACGTCGCGGAGGCGCTGAGTATCTACGACAAGATCCGGCGACCGTTTGCGCAGAACATCCAGCGGCTCTCGGACGCGAACGGGCAATGCCACCACCTGCGCCGGGGCGGATGGGAGGACGTCACGGCCGAGGAGAGCTCGCGAGGCGGGTTCGCGCAGGAGCGCTTCGACGCGATGTCCGGACTCCTGGACGCGCAGGTGAAGTGGACGCAGGAGTCGAGCGTGATGGACGACAGTGACGAGGCGTTGAGGATGGTGAAGGCGCTGGCGGCTTGACTACAGACTAGTTACCAGACAGCCGTCCACTCGTGTGCAGAATCATGAAGTGAATGAGAGGAATTGCATTGAATAAGCCATACCGAAGGGTTTAGTTGAGTAGATTTGTAGGTCCGGCCAGTGACTTGTAAGAATTTCTGGGTACGTGGATGCCGGAAGGTGCGGTCAGGCAGGCTGCCAAAGGCGGCATTCCATTGCTTATATAATCCATCCGGCGACTGGTTATGCTGCAACTCGAGTATCGACCGCGTTTTGCTGCTCGAATATTGCATCTTGACGGTATCGCCATCTTCTAACAACCCACAGACCGCTCAGAGGTCGTCCCGCCCGTTGGTTTTGTTCAAGTAGAGTGCCTCGTACTTCGGGCTTCTCCGGTCGGACTCTGAACCTTATCTACAGACTCTTCCCCCGACTCGTTCCTGTAGCTGTAGACACTGCTACCAACACTTCTTTCATTGATCCTCTCTCTCGACCCGTAACACACGCGCTTCAACAGGTTTCTGGTGTTCCGGTACGCCCGCATCCGAGGCACGACCTCCTAAGTATGCTTGGTCATGTGTAAGTAGTAAGTACTAAGTTCCCACCCGCTGTATAGTCTGCCTAGATTGAAATCCATCCACCATCGTCGTCCTGTCCGCTGTCCGGCGTCTTTCAGGCCGCGCGCGCTGTGGACCTCGTACGGGAATCCGGTACCTGTTGAAGATCCAGAGGGAGGGCCCGAGGCGCATGGTGCCCTCGTCCCTGCCGTCGACGTAGCGCCAAGTGGTCCTGGCTGCCTGGTCGCGCTCGTGGCAGCGGAATGCCAGGTAGTACGCGGACTCTTTGAGCGCGAGCGCGGCGCGGCGGGAAGGAGGTGAAGGGATGGAGAGGTAGAGGGGGGGGGGGTCTTCGTCGACGAAGGTTGTGGGAAGGACGTCCTCGAGGTGAGCACTGAGCACCGAGTTTCTGAGAGGCGAGGGGCGGCGGGAGGCCGGTCGGGGGCGGAGCGCTTCGTTCCTTGGGTGTAGGCGACGTTAATCCGGCGTCAGTATGGCATACTTCTGCTAGGGTGCGACGAATAACTTCTTGCGATGGTCCAGTGCCGCGTTGTAATGCGCGCCAGCGACGCCGCAAGTTCAACGATATGATTGCTCGTTCCTCGACAGATGCCAGATCTTCGGCATCTTATCTAGCCGAGATGACGGGGGACTGCGACCTTTGATGTTGAACGTTGAACGTTCAGATGAACGCAAACCTTTCGTCTCGACTCCCGCGAGTGCGAAAGGAAGGCTTCGCTCCCGCTAAGTACGTGCATAATGACATCGCTTGACAGATGGACGCGCGCGCTGTCTCACAAGAATGAGAATCGCTGGGCTGCGTGAAGCTGGCCAACTTCCGCAACCATCACGTTCGTGTTCCGGCACTGCACGGTCCTTATCCCTGTGAGTCTTGTGCACACTCAGAGGAGATATTTTTGAGACTGAATGGGATAGAACACAGTCTTGAACGTGCCCCTTCAGTGGAAGGCATGTGTATTCCGTACTTAGAATGATGAACAGACCATCTCGAGGGCGGTGAGGCCAGGCCTCGGCGTAAACTGTTACTCCGACATAGTTCGGCTCCAGCACACGATATCCTAAAGGAAGTCACCCTCCGCATATGTCATGCACAAGCTCAAGATTACCGCCCTGTTACTCGTTTTTGCTGCCGTCCTCGTCATCGCTGCCGCCGCGCCCTCCGCAGACGCTGCCGTTGTGGCGCGATCCGAGATCGGAGAAACCAGGTGAGCTCCTCCCATGTCATATCATAACCCTACTGTAGAAGCTCACGTACCAGCCCAGTCGAAGACATTCCGGCCGTGGAGCCCATCTTCCTCGAGGCAGCAGATTGATACGCGCATCCGCACATAGGCCGACTATTTCATTATGAGCTTGCAATCGTTCCGTTGCGTTCAGTTAACTGGGGGTCGGCCCACCCTGGCATATTCGAACCGGAAGGTCTTAAATGCGCCGAGCGCACCATTAACAGAGACACGGAGTATTTATTTGTGTCATGGATTCCTGCGGAATATGGTCAGAATGTTCAAACCGTTGTGGATGGGCGAAAATGAATCTGCAAACCGTTGGGCGCCGTTGCTGAACTCTTACGGCGTGACAGGTCCCCGAAATTACAAACAGTTTGGCGGGGTGTGATGCGTGACGTGAGAATGGACGGTATATTTCTGGACCCACGTGCACGTGTGGCCGTGAGCAGAGTCTCGAGGTGCGAGGCCGGAGCGGTGGTCGCTTCATCGAAGCGAAGCCTCTTCGGGAGGGAGCTAGTATAATAACACGCACGAGCAAAGTCTTGTTCCACCACGCAGCAGCACGCAGCTACACACCCACCACATCCCGCTATGCTGCCCCGACGGCAGGCGCTGACGTGGTGACGCCCTCTGAGGAACTGGGTGAGTGCTTGTCTGTGACATTTTCGACGAAAGGCATGGGAATTATATACGTATCACCGTTTCACTTCCGCCGGTACGAGCAGTGGACCTGCCGGTTGTCGCAATGGGATGGTTGGAACGGTGACCTCCCGCGGTGAACAGGAAGAGTAAGCAGCCGTCGTCCTCTCGTGTCTCGAAGGCTCTGGACTGACTTTGTGCCGCTACAGGTGATCTAGACGTCTAATTCAATCACCGGGTGTGAGAGGAAGGGAACGAGGATGAGCTCATAAATTGGGACTGATTGCAGATGACACTGCTATGTATGTCCGGTGATACAAACGTTTTCCCCCACCGCGCTCTGCCAGGATGTGATGTGAGATTGATACGCGTCGCCGATGGTGTATGTCCGGGACCACTTCCAAACCAGTGACAGTGCTCTAAAACCTCGTGTGCGAGCGCAATGAGAGGGATGGCAACAGAAGCAAAGAGACGAGCACAATCCACGAACAAGGATGGCATCGGGATCCGTTGGATCTGTCCAACACTGTGAGTCTTTTTGCGATTGTGAGCGCGTTGAGCCTCTCGTGAACGTATGAGGGACACCTCCTTAGATGGAGAATCCACTCCGACATCGTACCGAGACCATTCCAATCGTCATACACTTCAATCGTGCCATCGGCACCTTCTTTGCTCGTTCCACCGAGATGGGGATGGCTGCCGCCCCTATCCTCCCTGCTGCTGCTCGCGATGCAGAACCTGGTGAGTGCATCCACCGCTAAACGACGACGTGTCTCGCTTGATTATTGTTTCTCGCCGTCGAGTTCTAGTGACCTACTGGCTTAGTAGATCTCCCACCTTGTGACCGTCTGTGGAGAATTTGTACTATGCAAGATGTCGGCGGCTCAGGCGATTTCGGAAGAGGGAAAGCGTAATCGATGCGAAACAGTGGGTCCCTATGGACACCGGGGGACGAGTACAGACGGACGCGATGGAAAGAACGAAGTGAGTGCGGGACGGCAGGCGTCTGGCGCCAGCTAGCTACGGGATGACTAAGCACAGCCACGTTACGACCGATCCAACGGGGAATCTGATCAGTAACTGTATCTTATATGTTTGGAGCCGTCAACTGGTCATTGAGATTGGGGGAGGAAGCAAGCAAGAGGCGGGTCGTGACGGAATCGCCAAAGGCGATATGCCGCTGCTGAGCATAACCAACCGTCCCTTGGATCTGAGAGGTCACGTACTATCTCTACACAGAGTTGCTGTTTCAATTTGGGGAGCCAGACGACCGTGTTCAAGCTGACACCACACTAGGATATATGAACAGCTGTACTGGAATGGTCGTGGGCGACAAAACGCTTCCCCGCCGCGCTGTTGTTGCGGCCGATGTTGACGTCGACGTTGTTTGGGAGTCGCCGGCCGTCTGTATCCACTTCAGACGGTGCCTCGTGACAACAGATCCGCTTCGTCGTTCATAGTTATAATCACTAAAGAGCCGCCAAAACTGGATACATATGTAACAAACAATCAACTGAAACTCTTCAGCAAGTGCCGTACTTGGCAGCGCAATTGTGCGCGGCAATGCCGCCGGTCTGCCCGCAGTCGTCAGCCTCTCGTCCGGGACGCTTTCGCAGAGAAAGGAGCCCACCTGGGTCTCCGCCGTGAAGAGCGAGCCGCCCTGGTCCGGGGCGTACCACACGTTCCCGACCTTCCAGCCGGCGCCGGTCGCGTAGTGGACGACGGCGCTGTCCTGCGCGTGGATGAAGCTCGTGTACTTGCTCGCGCGGTCGGGGAAGTTGTCGAGGTAGAACTGGAGGTGCTTCATCCAGATCCCCTTGAACATCACCGAGTCGTTGCTGCACCACGACGTCGGCGTCGCGCTGTCGCACGTCTCCGTGAGGATCCCGTTCTGGACCTTGAGACGCGTCACGGCGTCGAGCGTGATCTCGGCCTGGTCGAGGAGCGACCGGTCGCCGGTCGCGCGCGCGAGCTCCGCGAGCCCGGACGCGATCACGCCCTGGTTGTACGTCCACGTCGTCTGCCCGTTGTTCTGGCACGAGTCCGTCAGGCCGTCGTTCCAGAGCCCGTCCGAGTTGCGCATGCCGGAGTTGAGGACTGCACGGGCGAGTGAGTACGCTCCGTGAGCGCGGGCGGGCGGCGCATGAGGTCAGGGGTGCTTACGCCAGTTCCAGGTCTGTGATCGCGCGCGGTCAGCGATGTGCTGTGCGGAAGAGGACGGACGCGCCGACGGACCTTCTGCGCGTTCGCGAGGTACTGCGAGCCGCCGAAGCGGTTGTACATCGCCGCGGAGAGGTGGAGGAAGAGCTGGTTCGTGATCGCGTTCTTGTAGGTGTGCGCGCTCGACCACCAGACTATGCAGAGCGCAAAGCGTGTGAGTGTGCGCAAGAGGACGAGACCCCGTCGCGCGCGCGCGCGCTCGAAGCCTCGAAACCGGCCGCACGTTCTAGCGATGGCGACAAACAACACTCACCTCCACCGCCACAGGTGGAATCATCCCACTCGGCAGCGATCAGATCGTAGACGATCCTGGCACTGTTCTGTGAACGGGGCATCGCGGGCGCCACGCAGGCACAGCGATCGGCCATCAGCACAACGCTCATCATCACCAGATGGGGAAGCAACGGCGCCCTCGCGACCTCCCTGAACGCAAGGAGGAGAGCACTCGCGGCGAACTTATTGCGCCCGATGGGAGCACCGCGCGGTAGAAGAGTAGACGCACCCAGTACGGGTTCGGGTCCCCGCCGTGGCGGAGGCGGTAGTCGCCGATCTTCCAGAGCGAGAGGACTGTCCAGCCGGCGTCGTCGTTGGAGCCGCCGATCTTCGAGATCCAGGCGTCGCGGTTCTGCTGGAGCCCGAGCTGGCCGATGGGCGTGCTGTCCGCAACGTCGAAGGAGGTGGAGCCGTCGGCGAGCATGAGGTTGTAGAGGTCCTCGAGCGTGTTCGCGTCCGTCCAGAAAATGCCCCAGCCGCTGCCATACCAGAACGTGTCCATCAGGTGCTGCGCGACGTTCTGCGCGCGAGGACCGCGGTCAGTGGGCACGCGCGCGCGAGGGAGAGGGGAGCGGACGGACGTGGGAGTCGCTGAGTGTCGCGCCGCACTGGTCGCGCGCGGTGAGGAGCGGTGACGCGGTGGCGAGGGCGGTGAGCGCCGCGAGGGCGGTGAGCTTGCTGAAGTTGAAAAGCATGCTTAATTAGAATAAGGAGTGTGGGTCCCGGGTCGGGGAGTAGAGGGAAGCAGATGGTGGGAGGGGGGGAAGGGCGGTGAGGGCTGCGGCCGGATAATGGTAGCTATATATGAGTGCTCACTGTGATGGGCGGCAAATCAGGGCACGATGGCAGTGCTTTGAAGACTGAGTCTGGCCGTTGAACGTCGATGGGCCCTGGGGGAAGGCGACGACCGTGATGCGACTCTCGTTGCGTCCGGGGGGATCAAACTGGCCCGTCCACATCAATAAATAAGTACTTACTAGGCCCGGCCCGCGACCTGCCCCCGCGTCCTCTCGCGAGAAGATGAGCATGTGCATCACTGCATGTGGAGCGCGACGCACGTAGGCCCGCACATGACGGACGCGTACTTAGCGAACACGGCTACGAACCTTCGGACCATCACCGTCGGCGGAGTGCCTGCGGTGACCAGTGCCTCACAAGGTCATGAGATGATGCTTGCGTCCGCTCTCGTTATCGGCCGCGCAATGACCGCTCTGCCCGGGCGGAAGGCGTACATGTTGTCGTCATAGGAGCTCCCATCTGTTTCAGTCTGGCCTTGTTGTTTCCAGGGTGTGGCACCTACACTGGCGAGTAGCGGTGTCTGCGCAGCAGTAGGATCCACAGCCTTGAGCGTCGGGTCGATTCCCGTTGAAGGAGCCATCCCGCGGCTCTCGACAGCTACCGAGAGCGTCGGGTCGAGGACGCAGCTGGATCGTTCTTGCGCATACCTGATCCACCGTGCCTGCGGCATCCGAAGACTCTGGTAGCAAGTAAGAAGCATCAGCGCACTCGACGCTCGGTAACAGGGTGAAAGCATATGCGTCATGCGGTGCAGCGGCCACAGAAGGCCGAGGCCGGCGCATCGCCGGCCGCCCCCCCGCCGTCCAGATTCGCGAATTCCTTCACATGCTTACCGGTTACGATGCTTCGTGATTCGTGCGTCTAATAATGGGCATCATATGCTTGGTGCGCTATGTGGTCTGTAAAGATGTCTTGTTGACCGGGTAAGCGTCGATATAAGTGCGGGGGAGCACCGGGTGCAACGCGAGTGGGAATGACGATAGGTATTTTTCGAAAGCCGTGGCGACATCAAAAGCCCAAGCAGGATGATAGGAAAGGAGTGGGAATAGATGGTATCGTCGCCGGGTGCGATCTATGTGGTGTCCGAGGACAGGTGACAAGGGACTACAACAGCGGACGAGAAAGCGGGCCTCTGGTATCTTGCGTACATACTTCCCATGGCACACGGGCTATCACTGTCGTGTCGCCAGGGCCGTGATGAGGATATCGTAGTCGAGCTTTGCCCCTATCCGAAGCGCGATCAGACTCTGTGCGTCCGGAGCATTGAGGATCACACACCTTTGAGGATCAGTCGTGTGAACGCACGCGCGAGATCCGCCTCGTCGCGCTCCAGCCGCTCCAGGTTCTCTATGCTGAGCTTCCACAGAATAGCAGGCCGTTCGACCACGCACGTTGCGTTTCGCTCCAGCCGGGAGAGCGTCGAGAGCTCCCCCGCGACCGTCCCCGGCACCATGGACTCTTCCATAGGCAGCGTCGGTGGTGCGAAGGCGTATGTCGCGCGAAGCACGCCGGCTTCAACGATGTACAGGCCGTCGGGCGACGCGCCTTGCTCCCAAAGGACGGTCCCGGCGGGCACGGACATGCGAGTGAGGTAGGGGACCAGCGGAGCCAAGGCGTCTGCATCGATCACTTCGTAGGGAGAGAAGACGCTGATAAGGGTGTTTAGGGGCTCAGGCGCCATATTTTCCGGGGAATGGTCTGCAGTGGCGTCAGCACAGCCGCATACTCCGAGAGCTAGTGGGAACCAACCTCGCGCGATAGTTTCCCATCCAGCGTTTAGCAACGCAGACCTCCGGGGGCTGTCGCCGACGGACCCTTGGAAGGGTGTGCCGCCGTCCTGTCTGCCGGGAAGAGCTAGAATGTTTTGGTCAGCGCCGAGACTTCCCAAGGAGAGGAAGGACACTCACTGACGGGCAGCGTCTCCGTCTTCTGCGCCTCAAACCACGCCCGCAAGTACACGTTTTCGGTCCACTCCACCGCATCGCTGAACGTCGTGAAGAGCTCCACTCCCGGCGCGTCCAGCAGCCCGACGTTCGCCAGCGCCCGACCGACCTCCCCGTCCGTGACTCCGCACAGCACCAGCACGACCCCGCGCTGTGCAAGCAAACGGTGCACCCGCAGCAGCGCCTCTGCTGCGCTCATGTCGACCCCCGCGACGAGCGCGAGGTCGAGCACGAGGAAGCGCAGCGGCTCGCGTCGCCACGCGTCATCGCGAAGAAGCGCGCTAATCGAATCCTCGACCCGCGCGATGGTACCGAAGAAGAGGAAGCCCTGCAGGCGCAGGACCGCGGTCTGGCGCGAGACCGCGCCGAGGAAAGCGCGGTGTGCTCCCGGACGACGGACCGTCGAGAGCACGGTGGACCCACTGTAGAGCGCACGGATGGACTGCCGCTGGGAGCTTTGGACGACGAAGAATATGCCTAGAAGAAGATGTGAGCGACTGGGTCAAGGAAGGAGATGGACAACTGACAGCTGGCGACGATGCCAAAGAGAACGCCGATGACAAAGTCCCAGACGGTCATGACCACCATGATGCTCGCGATTGTGATGTACTCTGTCGTGCTGACGCGTTGCCTGGTGTCCCAAAGCGCCTCCTTGACGAGGTCGATACCCAGGACAAAGATGAGAGCGCCAACAACCATGACCGCTGCGCGAAGTTATTAGCTCTGAATACCCCTCGAATATGAAAGAAACATACGGATAAATGCGATCGGTCCCGTCCCCACCATAAGCAGAACGGCGGTGGCACCGGCGAGCATGAATCCAGAGACACGGGTATCCCCGCCTACGCGATAGAATCTACAAAGAGGTCACTACATGCGCTCAAGCTGTATAGATCATGGCTTACAGGAGCGTGTTGACGTACACGAGATAGTTGGGACTGTCGATCCATCAGTATACCGCTGGCCGCGTGGAAAAGCAGCGATCGTGCTCACACAGTGCCCAGTATACCAGCCAGCACGTTGGAATACCCATGAGCAAGAAGCTCCTTGTCCGTGTCGACGTCGTGATTGAGAGAGACAGCCAGCGCAGGAACATTGAGAGGAGGGTGTAGAATGTTGAAGAACAGTCTGTACGGACGTCAGATCATGCGCATATAACCACTCAAATGCACTTACAGGGCGAGTTGAGTGGGCATGGTCTCCCAGAATGCCGACCAATGCATCTTCCGGAAGTCTGATATCGTTTTTGTAAGATTTCGTCGCATCAGCCAAGTCATGAAACGATAACACGCACCGAAGAGCGCGTAAAAGTGATACCACGGCTCGCTGGAAGCGCCCATGTCAAACAGCCAGCCGCTGTGGCGCAAGTCACTGAGGTCGATGCGTGCGGCAGCGACAACGACGTAGAACACGGCGGGTATGATACAGAAGTCTGTCAGGAAAATTTAGCATTTGGGCAAAGCAGAAACCCTAGAAATGGGGCGCACATATAGGAAAGATGAGCTGGTGGTCCCATCTGTGTGTGATGATGCGCAGGAGCGCCGCGAGGCCGAACGCGGGGACCCAAAGCGCGAGGTTGTGTACGTTGAGGATGAAGAACTTGAGCGTCTCCAAAGAGAGCGAAAAGTCGTCGTCGGACATGCGCGTGCTTACGGTCAGCCTAGAAGGCGATTAGCTATGGAGCAGAGAGAAAATGGGGAGGCGCGTCGTACCCAGTGATTATCAGGAATACACCGACTCCGCCTATGCACCCGACGAGGATGTGGCGAGGAAAGAAGCCGATGAGAGTTCCAAGCTTCAAAGCCCCGAGAAGGAAGAAGGTCATGCCTGTCCGTGTATGTGAATCTGCACTCGACTCTGCGAGCAGCGTACAAACATACCGGTGAGGATTGACGAAAACGCGAATGCGGCCATTGTCGTGGCTATGACCGCTTGAGGATCATCCTCTCCTATCCGGTCCTGGATGCTGTTAGCAATGAGGTGAAAGAATGGCTGGTCACGATTGTTGATGTCAGCCCCATAGGAACTTTGTCGATAGGACAGAGTAGATACTCACCACCACCTCGATCATCATACTCCCATTCGCCCCCGCGAACCCACTCGCACCCGCGGAGTACACGAGCTGTGAAATGATCGCACTAAGCCGTTCTCGAGCATCAGCCCCTGTTTTTTCACGGTGTCTTCAAACGAAGGCTACTCACGAGACGAAGAACATGGAAACCCCCGAGCCGCCGAGGTCGGCGAAGACGCCCGCGGCTGGGAAAATGATCATTCCATCTGCAAGAGAAGCACCCCGAAGCGCATCAGTCTCCACAGCCGGCACACATTCGCTCCCCGCGCGCGCACGTGAAGCCCACGGGAGATCCAGACGCAGAAGCGAAAGTACACGGACGTACAAGAGATGCCGTCGAGGATGTTGAGCAACGTGCCCAGAACGACCGCCGGGAGAGCCTTCGCCGCGTCCGTGGCGAGAGGACCTGCGCCCCTCGAGAGCGCAGTCCACACCGCCCCACGTTTGCCGCTGCCGCCGCGCGCGTGCGTCGCGTCCCCGTTCGTGTAGTACGTGAGCGGGTTCGCCTCTACGTCGGCGAGGAGCGGCGCGCGCTCGCCAATGGCTTCGCGAACTGCATGTGACTTCGCGGCGGACGTAAATGCGTCCGCATCGGCCAAGCGTGGGATCGCGCCGCGCCCGCGCGGCAGGTCAGGAGGGGGATGTGTTGGTGTGTTCGTCTCAGCCAGCGCGGGGCGTGACATCGTCGGGGTGGCAGCGGAGCTGTGGGAGACCGAGGTAGATGCGGGGACGTCGAGCGCGGTGGGTTCCGACTCGGGGGTTGGCGACGGCGCGCGAGCTTTAGACAGAGAGCGGGGCGAGAGCGAGCGTTGGCGTTCGGACTCTTTTTCGTGTCGGGCGATGAGGAGGGAGAGGGCGGAGGGCGCGGTCGCGCGCGGGGTCCGCGCGCCGGAAGGCTGGGTGGAGAGCGTGGACGTGGAGGCCTCGAGGTCGCTGCCCCCCACATCATGGTCGTTGTCATGGTGGAAAGAGAGCACGGACGAGTTCGCGGTGCGAGTGCCCTCGCGCGGGAGGTGCGTGTCGGAATGCGAGTGCGCGGCCGCGCCTAGGTCGGGGAAGATGAAAGCCCCTTGCTCTGCGCTCGGAAGGTCTAGCTGCGCATGACGAAGGTTGTGCGTCTTCGGCCGTGAGCCGTGGTGAGAGGAGGATGGTCGTCTCATGGAGCGACTGGAGATCCCCATGGTGTCGTCACGGATCGCGCCTTGAGAGTGGAGCGAGGGTGGGACATAGCCCGGGTCGTAGCTGGAGGACACCGTCATGGGCTGGTGGAGGCTGCGGCAGAGGGTCAGCTCGTGCAAGTCATCAACATAAACTATGAGGCTTCATGGAGTATTCTTTACGAGCGGCTGACGCTAAGTTCGAGAGAAGCATCGTCGTGACGGCTCATCACATCTCCAGCCTGGGCGTCAATTTCAAGGGACTGATGCTTTCTTTGAGACGTGTAAAGCATAACGTGGACGTACCACCCGACGTCTTGGGTGGAGATGGGGAGCACATGGAACAAATGGCATCGAGTCCGTAGAGATTCCACCAGCTCGCACTGCCTCTCAAGGGACTAGGAGTACGTGAACGGGCGCTCGCTGGAGGTTCCAATGCGATGAACCACGTTCGTTGTAGCTGGACGCACGACTACCCCTTACTTGGAGACACCCAAGAAAGAGTCCGCCGGCCTCGATTCCGCAGCAGACGCACACCAGCTGTGGCTCCGAATGCCAGCGCCATAGCTGATGTGAGTCGAGCGAGACGAGTGACCGCCCGAGACAAACGTGCGAGGGACTCACCCGGCGCGAGAGTGGAGGGGAGAGCCGCTCTGCATTCTGAGGTAGGCGTCGAGGTCGCGTGCGCTTGGTGATTCGTCGTCGCCGTTTCCATTCTCGAAACGCGGTGGCGCGGCTGTCGGAATTGACATGGCACCCGGAGTGGGCCCCTCTGGAGACAAGGTAGACAAAGGAGAAAACATTGGTCAGTGTCGAAGGAACGAGAGCAGAACGGAAGGAGCGGACGGTGAGGGCAGCACTCGAGAGGCACTAGGCTCCCTTATGCCGGGTCGGTGCTTTTGGGCGGAAGAGAGACGGCCAAGTCTAGACGTCCACCTGGACAGATCACCCGCCGGGAGGTTCGAGTGTGACCGGTCGGCAGACTCACCCGCGAAGCTGAAGATGATGGAAAGCGCGGAGAAAGAACGGTCGACGACCACGGCCGATCTGGACTCTCAATTCCCCGCTCGGCATTTCCCGCTGGATGGTGGATGTTTCCATATTCGAAACTCACCGACAGCGCTCTTCGTAGTTTGGACATGCTTCTAGCCACTGTGTGCGCTTAATGGCGGCTTGAGCGTTGTTGGAGTTTGTCGTCCAAAGTCACGGAGAGTGGTAACGGTTGAGCTGGAGAGAGAGGGTGAATGAGAGAGAGGAGACTGGTACTGATGAGCGTTGGGTGTCGGGCGTCTATCAGGCGGTCGACGAGTGAGAGGGAAAGAGGGAATTGCATTCTTTGGGGCCCCAGACCAGTATATATACGAGATCCCGCCGCCCCACAGCCGTCCTCTCCACTGGGGTGCCCCGTCACAAACTAGAAACCGAAGAGAATGTCCGAGAAGCGCGCGCATACAATCACTGTTCGAGACAGTCCACGCGCGGTCCCCGCCTTACCCTCCGCCGTCGGCGCTGCTTGACGCACGTCGGGAAATGTTTCGAGCAAGACAGGGGCAAAGCACGGCGACTAGCATTCAATATTCAGCCGCGTGCATCTGCCCGGGCCTGGATTGGGCCTGGCAGCCCTACCATCCCGACGTCATTCGCGGGGGCCATCAGAAATAAAGAGAGAGCTTGAAATGCCAAAGATCGAAAGTTCATGGGATCCGGAGCGATCACCCCCAGTGACTAGTGAGGGTCGCATGCGAAAACAACCAAGTGTAAGCCGCGCGCGGAGCGGACTGGTTCTTGTTGATAGTTTGTGATCATGGAGGAACAAGTTCGTACTCAAGCCGTCAGCTCCTTTGCCATCCTCAAAGCCTCGTCCCTGTCGTCCATCACGCTCGACTCTTGCGCCCACTTCATATGCGAGGCCAGAAGCTCGGACACACCGTCGAAACGATCCTGCGCGAATCCGCCTCGCAAGCTCTCCTCGGCCGTGACGTCCTCCCACCCGCCCTGGCGTAGGTGCTGACATTGCCCGTTCGCGTCCGAGAGCCGCTGGATGTTCTGCGCAAACGGTCGCCGGATCTTGTCATAGATCTTGAGCGCGGACGCGACGTTGGACACCGTCACGTTCGTTTGGGAGAGGATCGAGGCGAGGACGAAGCCATCCTGTGGGGAAGGTCAACGTCAGCCTTGCTCGAGGTGGGGAGAGGTTACAAGTTACCTCGATGGCTTGCCCAAGACCGGAGGCTTGGAAGGGCGTCATGGCGTGCGCCTGGACGGAGAGCGTTAGGAAAGTAGAACTTCGCTCATGAAAGCTTAAACTCACCGCATCTCCGAGAAGAGCGACACGGCCGGAAGAGAAAGTGGGCAACTTTTTCAACCTGTTTACTGCCCATGCGAGCGGATCACACATACCCTGCCGACAGGTTTAAGCACAAATAGCAGTAGATGAGGGAGGACGCGCACCTTCATGAGGGTCTGGATGAGTGGATCCCATCCGCCGAACTTCTCCACCACCGCTTCGGCAGAAACGTGGGAGACCCAAGGTCCGTCATACTGGGTGCCCTCTCCCTCGGGGGTGAAAACAAAACTCGCAAGATTGATGAACTTGTTCTGGGCAATTGGGTAGCAGACGATATGCTGGTGCCACATATTAGGACCTCTCGCCTGGCGCTGCACTGAACGAGACACCTACTTGATTCTTCCCGAGGAACTACATCCGACGCGCCATCAGCATGAAGAATCCCGGGGCGAATTCAGAACATCACTCACAGCACGGTTCCAAGTGACTACGTCGGCCTTCATGTCTTCCGAAAGACCCTCTACCGGAACCAACCCGCGGTAGACGATGTTGCCGGACCAGATCGGCACAGAGACTTGGCGCAGCTCGGCGGCCGCTTTCTCGTCCGACGCCGCCTTGGCCATGTCCTCGTACATCGTGTGGCGCACCGCAGAGCGGATCCCATCACTGCCGAGCACGACATCGCAGGTGGCACTTGTCCCGTCGCGGAAGTTCAGGATGATCTCCCCCGTTCCCGACGCGGGCGCGACGTAGTCGGAGAGGCGCTTCCCAAAGTGGATCACTTGGTCTACGTTCTGGATGTGCTTCGCGAACAGAGTCTGGAGTTGCGAGCGATGGAACGTGCGCGCTACGATCCGGATCATCAGCACGGCCGCACCACACTCGAACAGTTGGATAGCAACTGTACCTAGATACTTCGTCGGGAACGCAACCTGCATTTCCGGTTGGTCGCCCTTGTAGTAGGTAAAAGAGGGTTCTGAATGCAGGCGGGAGCAGAGGAGCGTCAATACTGTAGCGCGACTGAACGGCAGCAGCGTGCTCACTTTCCCCAGCGCTGCCCGAAGCGATCTCGTTCAGCTCCTCCTCGAAGCCGAGCTGCACTACGATCTCCCACACGCGCGGCCACATGGCGATGCCCGCGCCGACTTCGGACAACGCTTGGGCGGATTCGTATATGTCGACCTGCACGTCGGGGCTGTGTTTCTGCAGGAACAGAGTGAGGACGAGTCCAGCCATTCCGCCTCCACTGGTCAGAGAAAAGCACCGTGAGTATGCTTAACGCCATCACGTAAGCGGGCACAGAAACACTTACATGACTGCGACGCGAAGACGATTCTGCGGTTGGGAGGAAGACATGGTTGGGATAGTCTGAGGAGATGGACTCGACATTGAGGAGGTTGGGGATATTTATCGTGACGCGTCTTGAGCGAAGGGAGGCAACTAGCGCTGAGACAGTGCCAACCACTGCGAAGCCAGATTACGCTACAGAGTGGAAGACCATATCCTGTTGACTCATGCTCAAGCGGAGTGAGGCGGGCAGTGGTTCGGGATCAGTAAGCGTTTGGTCACAATCCTCGGGTGGGTTTCGCCTAGACGTTGGCATTGGGCGGCAGAGCGTGAGGAACCCCCTCCAGGCCGCGGGACGAACGAGAACCACGGGGTCTGATGGCTGAGGCAAGCATAGGCGGCTTGGTAGCATCACTCCGCCTCGTTGTAACAGCTGTCACCTGCAAGATACAGTGATAAGGGTAAGTGAAGCCATATACTGGGAATGAGACCACCAAGCGTTTCAGTTCGTCATAACCGACGCGGTCCATCCCCGACGGGCACGCACGACGATACTGCCGACAATACAACGCCGCGGCCGCTCCCTACTGCAACCGCGGGCTAGAGGGGGCCCGACATCGCACCCGGTGTAAGGTGAATTTCGCAAGAAAAACTCACGTCACGCCCATACAAGTCATCCCAGGCGATGCTGCGCTGATTTGAAGCCTTGAAAATGGGCAGGAGATCTCTGGTCGCCTCCTGATGGTACGTGGCAACTGCCTGCAAAGTCTGAACATCGTAAGGAAAGTATTTAAAACCTCCGAGCTGGGATCTACGTACCACAGCTCTAGCGGGCGGCGGCCCAACCCCTTTTGACACTCCAGTTAAGGCCCAATGTTTGCTTCACTGATGTGTATTACCGAAGTTCTCGGCGGCGTGGTGCACGTTGCAACACTTCAGGTGGACGAAGTTCGTAATCCGGGGTGGGCCGGCGGCCGTGCGCTTATGGCATCATATTTCACATCGTCCAATTCTCACGTGGCCACTTTGCTTGGCTAAGCTGTTTGTCTCGTTGCTCGTGTACAACATGCATGAATGGTCAATGGAGAATTCTCTTCGTTGGAAGTATTGGCGCGCTTCCGTTGAGCGGAGCTCACAATGTCCCCAATTGCAAGTTCCCGCCGAGCCGCGTCTCCAGATCTAGAGTGCTTTCATTCACTGCCCGGCGCCTTCCCGAGGGATCCAACTTTCCTGCGCAGATATGTAACGCAGTTTTATCCTCTCCGTCTGCCCGGGTCCGCAACTCGTCTCTTTCTGAGACGTGCGCTCTTCCGGATCGGCTAGATCAGTCCCCGTGCGCGTTGGCGCCGGTCACCTGATCGCCACGACTCCCCTTCCTCTTCCGTCTCCTCGTCTCGGTCCCGCTGTATCCTCCACGTCTCCCCTCGTATCATTGACTCGGACTACCCTACGTATATATAGTAGTACAGGTGTAGGGCGAAAGCCCCAGTGTTCCGAAGATAACAGACCTTATCCCTGTCTTCCCCTTCGTGACCTCTTCCCCCGTGTCGCACCACCGGCCCGATTGGACCGCGAGCGCGACATATTTTTGACAGTCACTCGTCTACTCTTCACCCCTACTCCTCTCTACTAGCTTATCTCTCTCTCCGACTGGGCGCCCTCGAGCTTGATCACCTCGACTACCTCTCGGATCCCCTCTCCCCATCCCGACATTTCTTGCAAGAACCCTCACCATGGCCGCACCTTTCTCTCGCTACAACCTCCGTCGACCTCGCACCACCGAACCAGCCTCTCTCGCGACGGTCGCCGCTGGCAACGAACCTGGTGAGTCCATAATCAACCGTACTCGTGAGGCTGAAGAGCCTCTCTTCCATAGTCCCCTCTCCTCTCCGGAGGATCCTCGCGCTTCGAGCGCGAGTCGCGCTGGTGTTTACCGCGCGTCCACTGCTCGGTCGAGCAGTGCCGGAACCGCACGCGCACGCTCTTACGCAGAGGTCGCGTCCGGAAGCCCGCGACTCCCGAGTCAACCCACGGTTAGTGGGCACTCGGCGGCTTTGGTAGCAACGAATATATTTCGTTCGCCCCTTCTACCTCCACGAGAGCTGGCATCGCCGCTCTCTAGTGTGCACACCCCTTCGGTGGCTGCTTCTAACCCTGTCGACACCGTTCAAGATGAACAGGATGGCCCCTGGACGACGGTCCAGCGAGGTCGTCAGGGCAGGAAGAGCTCCCGACAGGCTTCTGAGCCTCCCCGCGCGACGCCGATCGTCGCGCCCGCGCCGCGTCTGTCCCTAGAGCAGCTGCGCGCTGTTACTCGTGCTTCCGCTGACTTGACTCCTTCTGAGCACGCGCGTGTTGAGCGTCGCTCTAACGCGATGAAGAAGGCAGCTTCGTCGGCCTCGTCCACGTCTGAGTCTCGTGGCGAGGGCCCTTCTCGCATTCCGGCTGAGCTGAAGGGCAAGGCCATTGATACCCGCGACTGGGACGTCGCCGATGTCCCTGACCTCGACCTGGGAGCGCAGCGTCGCGCGTTTCAGCTATACGAGTATCTGCGCACGCTCCCATCGAGCCGGCAGCCGTCATCTGCTGAAGCGTCGCAGACCGACCGGGTATCGCAATGGCGCGACCAGCTGCGTGCGCCGGAGCCCACTGCTGCTATTCCCTCTCGCGCGCCTGGCGTGGAACCTCCTCCGAGCTCCGCGTCGCACGTGAGTTCATCCAGACCGCCGTCTGATCACAACCAGACGGATAGTTCATTCAAGGTTACCATACCTATGTACACACAGTTGTTACAAGAACATAACCAGCTTCTTCGCGAGAACAACAACCTTCGCATGCAGAAGACCTCTCCGAGCAGTGAGAAATCTGTGCTCCCGAAGTCCTCAAAGCGCGCGGTAAAGCGAGAGGACGTACCTGTGGGTTTGGACGAGTTTGGCCTCCCCAGGGAACGTACGGCAGCACGCGATACAAGCGCAGGACTTGACGCTGCCGCCGCGCGAGGGACATCGCTGCGACCGGTAGCCCAGATTGAGCCCGGCAGCTACCTCGGGCGTGCCTTCGACGACCTCATTGGAGGCGGCTCTGCTGGAGAGCCCCCCGGTGATAGCTCGTCGAGCTCTTCGAGTTCTGGTACGGCTCGAGGCGGTGGCGGTGGGCCACCGCGTGCGCATCATAACTCAAGCTCGTCGTCCTCGAGCTCGAGCAAATCTGGCAGCAATCGGCACCGAAACCATCGTAAGCTCCGGCTCAAGCCTGAAAAACCAGAGCCTTACGATGGACGCGTCGATGCGCAAGCCTTCCACAAGTTCATGCGACAGACTGTGGAATATCTGTCAGCATTCGACATCAAACCTGAGATGTTACCCTCTCAAGTATCTAACTTCTTGAAGGGTAAAGCATACAGCTTCTTTGTGACGTCTGTATCGTCTGCGCCGCGCGAATGGACGCTTCGCAAGCTCTTCGTTGGCTTGTTCAATTACTGTTTCCCTGTCGACTATCGTCTACAGATGCAGGAAAAGTTGAATAAGTGTAGGCAAGGCGATCGCAGCGTACGAGATTTCGTACATGAGCTTGAGAACCTGTTCTTGATGGTCGGATTCGTCTCACCTCGCGAACGAGTTGAGAAGCTCTGGCATGGGTTGCGCACATCAGTACAGCGCGAGCTCTGGATGCGGAGTCTTACCCCGAATTCTTCTTGGGCCGAAGTCGTTGAACAGGCCGAGATAATCGAGATCGCGGAACGAGTATCCGGACGTGTGGGACGTGCCAACCACGATGACCACAATCGCCCCACCACGAGCTCTCGTACAACGCAGGGCCGCTCCCACGACGCGAGCGGATCCTCCGTGTCACGCCGCTTCGTTCCCTACCAACGGCGGGACCGCGATCGTCGTAGCGGCAGTCAGAACGCTGTGCAATCAAGCTCTATACGTCCTCAAGGACGAAGCGTACCTTCTGGAAAGCAAGGACAATATCAGCGTGGTTCGCGCGGGCAGAACAAGCCCTCGAACACGTACGACGACCTTTCTCCCCAGGAGAAAGCCGAGCTTGTTGCAGCTGGGAAGTGCTTTGTCTGCAAGAAAGCAGGCCACTTCTCGCGAGACTGTCCGCAGAAGAGCCAAGTTAAGTCCGACAGGAAGGGTAAGCCTCCTGGCGTGACTTCATTCCATGTCGAGACACGACGCACCGTTGGAAAGAAGCCCCCGAGCAAGGCTCCACGGCCTGAGATGGCGTCGATCGAGACAACCGCAGGTTTGGACTTGTTCATGATCGAACCTGCCCCAGAGCTGCCACCGCACTTTGAGGCCGTAGGCAGCGACCTTGAGTACGTCGCACCTGAGGACGACGACCTGTTGAACAACTTGGGCAACGGTCCGCAAGAGAATCAGGAAAATGTACCTCCATGGCATCTGCATGAGTGGCCACAAACCGTGCGCGAAGGGCGCACGCGGACGCATATCGGCGACTTGTACGCCAATCGCGCTATGCAAGTCCTTCAGGACTACGGTCCCTACTGCTGTCTAGGTATCGATTTCGACAGTGGGGAACCATACGAACCTTGTGTGTACCGCACAACTGAAGACCTCTATGTCGTCGTGCACGAACGGTTCGACACGCTCTTGAAGCGTAGTTGGCTGCGAAATAAAGATTTCAACCTCCCGTGCTACTATCGACAGATCGTAGTACACACCTTCGAACCTGCGCAGGGTCACCAGCATTGTTTCCTATCCCACGACGGCGAGACGATGGGCGACGCAATTGCGATCGGCACTCAACGTGCTCTCGCAGAGGCGTTCCCCTGGCCAGGCGTGACCAACAATCCTGTCCGCTTTGTCGTGCGGTACGTCGGCTTCGGAATGATGCGCTTGTACGACTACTATCTGCGCGTCGCTGTGGACGTCCCGCGCAAACGCCTAGAGAACACTAAGATGGACGCGTGCAACCTGTTCGCACAGGGAATACGCACCTTGACGCGTGCGCCACCCTTCGGACTGAACGAAATAGAGGACGAGATCAGCCTCCTCTTCAGGGAGACTGCTCGTCGCTCGCGTCCTTCACTCGGAGCTGTA